AGATAGAAGATTGAAGAAGTGGTATAAGCCGAATTGAAGTAGGATCAATTCGGGCTCATAACCTGTGAGCAAGCGATGCTGCGCAGGTTGGGTAAAGAGGAAGATAAATTAAAGATGATTAAATAAGATCGATTGATCTTTCTTCCTCTTGATTGAATAGGAAGGATAAGTTCAATTCGGCTTAGAATCATAAAGATGAGAGAAAAGTAAAGTAGGACTGAAGCTTGGTTGATTGTATTGAATCTTGCTTGTATGTCTTGAACATGATTTTTGTAGAGAAAACAGGGCTTATTTATAATCAATCTTTATCAAACCTCTTTTGCATGTGATCGTTCTAGATCCTAGATCTAGATGCATGATGATCTCATGCAGACAGATAGTGATCTCATGCAGTAGCTGTTTGATCGGTGGTTGCTTGATTGTACGATGTCATTGATCGTAGTGATGATGTAGATCGTATACAATAGTATACGTCTTCTACGATATCATTGACCGTAGTGATGATGGTATAGCGATGTCATTGACCGTAGTGATGATGGTATAGCATAAAGCTTATAGAGATTCAGCCATCTTGTATAGGCCTTATGAATCTGGCTTGATATGCTGCATGGCGGTCTGGCTTGATAACATCCTGCCCTATATCTCACAGAAACACTATAATAAAGACTATAAACTAATATATTTTAGGTAGAGCGATCTTATAGGACTATTAATAAAGAACTTGAAGTTAAAAGGAAATAGAAAACTAGCCCTCTACTTTATTAGACCCTTCCGGATATTATAACCTATTAGCCCCTAAGCTTACCGCCTAAGCTTACCTTAGTAATATAACCGAATTTATAATATCTTCTATATTTCTCTCCTCGAACCCTAGTAGAAACCTAATAAAGATAATAACAAATCCCTACTGCTACCTAATCTCGAAGAAAATAACGAATACGAGATTAAGGAAGTATATAACGAAAGGAAGATTAGTAGTAAAGCCTATTTTCTAGTTAAATAGAAGGGTTAGCCCTCTAAATATAACTAATAGGTTCTGTAAGAAGATATAGTAAACGCTATAGAATCTATCTAAGCCTACTAGAAGCGACGAAAAGGGAAAAACTTCGGTCACTAAAATAGCGAAAAGTCCCTAAAGCAGAAACGAAAGCAAGACGATTCTTAATAAAAGCGAAGCCTAAAAGGTAGCTACCTAGCTAGGTTCTACCGGAAAAGTATTAGTACCTATAGTAAGTAACGAATACCCTATAGAAAACCGCCGAAACTAAAACGAAAGAAACTATAAGCGTAAATAGAAGGTTAACTTAATCAGTTATAGACTACTAGTATTAAGGAACCCTCTATAAAAACAAGACGAATAGGCGCCGAAACCCTAACTAGGCTAGACGGAAAGGTTAACCTATTAGATCTCCTCTAGAATAATTAGGAAGTTAGCTAACGTCTGCTAAACTAATACCTCGGGATCTATAAGGGCAGGGTTATTAGAATCACCCTCCTCCTTACTCCTAGCCTATTCTAATAGATCCTACTAGGTATCGCGAATATATACCGAAATAGTATCAATAAAGGCGATTTTCCTGCTAGCCTAGGTAACGAAACCCTCGTCTCTAGAGAGTAGATATAAAAGTATTTAGGATTAGTACTTCTACTTTAAAGCCTACCTGCTCCGAGGAGGAAGAATATAGGCTAAGTTAGTACGGCGAGCTATAATAGCCGTACGAAGAGCGCCGGCGTTTTCCTATCGAATCCCTAGTTAACCGGTGCTAAAGATAAGGAGAGTAGATATACCTTATTCGTCCCTTTATTTCCCGTCTACTAGTACTCCTTATAAGAGGCCTACTTAGTATTATCGAAATACTTATAAAGAGCTATTAAAGCCTTAAGGACCTCCTCCCGAACTATCTTAGGGTAAGGCTACTCTAATAGAGCGCTCTCGTCCTTAGGATCTTCTATCCCCTCCTAGAAAACCTTATTTACCTACGCGATAATCGACGATAGATTGTAGGCGTCCTCTAGTATTAGTATAGTAGCCTACTAAGAGGTTAGTAGGAACTCGAAACCGTATAACTTAACGAAACCTACGGGAATATATATCGTAGACCTGTAGGAATACTAGCAACACGCGACGGAAACCTTAGCGTCTAATATATAGTCGATTTTAAAGGGGTCGTCCTTCGTTGTCTTGAATACTCTTACCGAAGTACGTAGATAGTATATATACTAGAAGTGTTTCGGTCTCTAGGCAACCGTATAAGTCGCCCGAGTCCGAGGCGCTCTTCGGCTAGGTATCGCGACGTATTCGGTATAGTTTCGGTGGGTAAATAGTGAGGAAACTCGCGGTATATACGTGGAAACGAATAGCGCGGGGTTTCGAGATGATATCAAGGGCGTTTCGATGAGTCTTTAATATAGGATAGATAGAGAAAACGCGCTCGAAAGAGTAGGAGATACAGGAAGAAGAGGAAGGGTGACGAGGGAAAAGAGATAGGGAGGATAATACTAACAAAGAAGGAAGGTGCTCTTTATTTACCCTAGTCGCTATAGCGAATCCTTGTTTACCCTTCAGATCTCACCACCTTTTTCTGCTAGTTTGCCTGTTTACTTATATCTTTAGTTATACCTTTGTTTACACTATATTCCTTCGCTTAGGGCAAGCGAAATTGGAGGGGGGATAATTGTTATGATATTTCCTACCATGAGGCTATTCACACTTTTCGGCCTTGGGATTCAGGCCACCCGGGGAGATCATCTATAGAGATCAACTATGGAGCACCCCTTCAGGGTGGCCTATCCCTGCCTTCTCACCGCTGTTCCCACGGAGGAGAGTCATCCGCCGATCTGCATACAGCTCATGCAAGCCAACGTGGTTACCCCTCTCGTAGTAGGGTTTACTGTATATAAGATCAGTAGAGGGACGGGAAAGAGGGCCCCCCAAGAAACAGTCTCTGTTACAATCGGACTTAGTGCTTTGCTCTCCTACCTAGTTGACAGGCTTTCTACCCTGCAAGTAGACTATCTTTACATCTACCTTACTCTATATATTTAATAAGGGCCTTTAGATAGTGTGTTTATAATTAATAGCGCCTTTTTCCCTCCGGATCTTGCTAATAATATTATCCTTTGTAGCGATATAGAGGCCCGGGATATCGTATAACACGATATACATCACGCTAGACGGAATATTAGCCGGAGACCTGCTCCGTGTTGATCTAAGCGTCTCGGTTAGTAAGCATCCGTGTAGTTACCGATAACTTTCCTCTCTTGTCTGTTCTAGAGGGCAGAGGTCCGCTATCCTCTATATAGTTAATCGATATCTAAAGCCGGATCTTCTTGCCACGACGGAATAGATAGGCCTACGCTAGTAGCTGTTTCTCTACTACTATCTAATCAATACTAGTACCCTTAAAGTATTTGTTAATATCCTGTTAGGAGTTCACCGATAACACTATGTTAGTATTATCTAGTCTTACCCGTCGGCTACGGGCTATCTTCCGTCGTAGAATATTACAAGCATCCTCTTTTATCTGTTCCTAGTAGGATCTAGGCGGTTAAGTTAGGTCCTGTTTTGTATCCTTGACTATAACTCGATTGTTCAATTTAATCCTCTACTCGATCTAGTAGTAGATACGGTCCGGAGATTGTTCATCCTATGCACTTCTATCTGCACGTTCAACTATAGGGTCAAAACCCTGCTAGTCGAACGGATGTTAATACAAGGAAGGTGAACATTGACCAACTATGTCCTCGGGATCGGGTAAAGGGTAGATTACTGATAGCGTCCATTAGCGGTCCGGGTAACTAGGGGTGGGGGTATACGAGGGAGTCTGTTTCTATTGATTAGGTAGTTTAGGTCGGTAAGCATCATTATCATTATCGTTGAAAGGAGTGTAAGTTATCCCCTCGAGGCAGAAGATGCCACTGAGGAGTCTGTTAATATGGTTGTGTGTTAGCTTTGACCAAGTATGTTACAGGGCGTCAAGAAGAGAGGACTGTGGCTGATAGGCTGAGTATTATGGTAAGCAGGTTTATGAGTAGTCTGCAGGTACAGTACGTAAGTGATGTAAACCACTATTTTGCAAGGTCTGGTGCCGAGTAAGACCCCCAGCCCGTCACTTGGACATAGGAGTGGCGGAGGGAAGTGATAGGTTGCTAGGTTCTCGAGGCAATCACCACACCTAGTGTTTGACATGTTTGCATTTCCATGGAAAATTCTAGCTGCCTTGGGTCGCCAATACAGTTACGAGACAAGGCACCGTATTTAATGAAAGTAAATGAGAGTATCAAGACTAATACAGGAATATTGATATTCCGGAGCTATTCCTAATGTGTTTAAGTTTCTCTTGGCGGTGGGCCTAGAGAATCACTCGAAGAGTGGAGGCGGTTGCACCGGTTTCGCAACGTACTGTACGGTTCATTCAACTCATTCGGAGAAATGAAAAAGAAGAATCGTTGTTTGAGGCCCACTCTGCCTTTGACAGACATCTGTACGGGTACTCCCGCCGTGTAAGTATGGACAGAAGTGTCGTGATATTTTCATTTGGTCATGGCATACAAGAATCAATATTGTCACCCTCATAATGAGATCAATAGGCCCTTTTTCCAATTTGCCAAGGTTTCAGTCTCGACATTCACTTTTTAATATCTCATTCTACCAGCGATATCCAGCATCAACTATAGCATGAACAGCGGAACGCACGTGGGTTGGATCTGCCGGGCGGTGAATTTTAGACGGAAAAGCCACTGGAGACTGCCCACAACTTGCCAACGCTAGACTCCGTTCAGATAGGCGCCCTCTGCCCCTCGTCTCTCGAAAGTTCCCTGAACCAAGCGGAGTCTGCGCAAGCCCGACAAGTCTCGGCTCCTCCCCACAATCCTGGAAATTCGCCGTGGGTCTTTCCCTCGACGTGGGGATACCTGACCTCACGTTGCTAATTGCCAATTGCGAGGCACCTATCTGCCAGCTTGCTAACTTGCGAGATTGCGAGGATGCGAGGCTCAGGTCACAACCATGCAACACAATTCGCATCGACCACAAGAGTCATAATGAGCCATGAGTGATATGTTGCCTTCAATCCCAAATAGGAGCCCGCCATGTGGGCTGGGTTAGCCTGGACCCATGGAGTCTGGGCATCTAAACCCTGCTTCCAAAGCAACGCGGACTCAATCCGCCACCGGAAGTTGCCGTCTTGCCGTTCGAGGATATCGTATCCCCACTTCGGACAGCCAGTCACCGAGTCTGCAGCCAGCCTCTGGCTCTGAGTCCTGGCGCACGCTACCTGCATCCTCGGGGTTTTACCGCGTGGTCATCACTCTTTTCAACTGGCCTGCATGCACAATAGATGGTCACGTCCAGTTTTTAAGTCAATGCATCAAGTCAAGATCAACACCAGAACCTTCTATTCCGAGTGTTTGCCTATCCACCGCCACGCCAGTCTCTCGTTGCCTAGAATCTATATCCCGAGCTCTCCACCAAACCCCCAGAAGTCAGAACCCTCTCCAGGCGGGGCCGATGTGGGCACATGGCATAGGTCGGCGATTTAGAGAATTAAATCGGATTTAGGGGTTACGCTATGAACCATGGACTGATTTGGCCTGTTGCCCTTGGCTTAATTTTTTTTTTTTTTTCCTGTTGGTTTGCTCTCCATCTTTTTCTCGTATCTGAAATAGATTCAGCTTCCCCAAACTTTCTGACCCAGGTTTTCTGCTTCAATTTCACTGCCTTCAGAAAGTACGGGCCATTCGAGATCTACTGGTGCTGGGGGCTGAGTTCGTTGAAGGAAGCCAGAACCGCTCAATAATTTAAATCAACCTTCTTATCGGCTTTGGAGCCTTCATTTTTCCTGTTGTAATTGAGCAGCACCATGGATGACAAGTCGCCAGCAGGCAATGCGAGTGCTAACTCGGATACCGATTCCCTTCGTTCAAGCAACTATGAGCAGGGCCGGGAAGAGGTTCGCATTGCCAACCCACAGGCCATGACCATGACTCAGACCGGTGTCGATGTTGAAAAAGCCGAGTATGAATTTTCGGAGCTGAACAGACAATTTTCCAGTATCTCGCACCAAGCTCGCCGACTGTCAAAGCAAGCATCCCGGGCTTCTAAGCCCACTGCCACCGCCAAAGATGTTGAAAAAGCTGGGAGCTCGGCCGACTCTGATGAACCATGGGATCTGGAGACAACTCTAAGGGGCAACCGAGCTGCGGAGGAAGAAGCAGGCATCAAAGATAAACATATCGGTAATTCTTGCCTACTATATGCAAATCTGTATGCGAGCTAACCCACAAAACAGGAGTGATTTGGGACAACCTCACGGTTCGCGGCATTGGCGGCGTGAAAACCTTCATAAAAACCTTCCCCGATGCAGTCATTGATTTCTTCAATGTCCCCGAGACTATCATGCATATGCTTGGCTATGGAAACAAAGGCAAAGAATACAACATCTTGGAAGGGTTCCGAGGTCTCACAAAACCCGGAGAGATGGTGTTGGTGCTTGGACGGCCAGGTTCTGGATGCACTACATTTCTCAAAGTTATTGCCAACCAACGATTTGGGTATACCGGTGTTGACGGGGAAGTTTTGTATGGACCTTTTACATCCGAGACATTCTCAGAGAGATTCCGCGGCGAGGCTGTGTACAACCAAGAAGATGATATCCACCAGCCCACTTTGACCGTCAAGCAGACGCTTGGGTTTGCACTAGACACGAAAACTCCTAGAAAGCGGCCTATGGGTGTGTCCAAGTCCGAATTCAAAGAAAAGGTCACAGATATGCTGTTGCGGATGTTCAACATCGCTCACACTGCCAACACTGTGATTGGAAACCAGTTTATTCGCGGCGTGAGTGGTGGCGAGAGACGGCGTGTCAGCATCGCGGAAATGATGATCACCTCCGCGACTGTGCTGGCGTGGGATAACAGTACTCGCGGTCTCGACGCCTCCACGGCGTTGGACTTTGCCAAGTCACTACGTATTTTGACCAACATCTACAAGACCACAACGTTTGTTTCTCTCTACCAGGCATCTGAGAACATTTATAAGCAATTTGACAAGGTTCTTGTCATCGACAACGGCCGTCAGGTGTTCTTCGGCCCCACGGATCAAGCTCGTGCATACTTCGAGGGACTTGGCTTCCGAGAAAAACCTCGCCAAACTACTCCTGACTACTTGACTGGTTGCACCGACCCCTTTGAAAGAGAGTTCCGAGAAGGACGAAGTGCTGAGAACGTGCCTTCAACACCCCAGGCACTCGTGGAGGCCTTCGAAAAGTCCTCATTCAGCAAACAGCTTGACGACGACATGCAGGCGTACCGCGCGCAGGTTGAGCAGGAAAAGCAGGTCTACGATGATTTCGAAATCGCCAACCTAGAGTCTAAACGCAAATTCACATCAAAGTCCTCTGTCTATTCAACCCCGCTTCATCTTCAGATATGGGCCTTGATGCAGCGGCAGTTCTTGATTAAATGGCAAGACAAGTTCGCTTTGACTGTCTCCTGGATTACCTCTACCGGCATTGCGATCATCCTGGGCACTGTGTGGTTGAAGCAGCCTGAAACAAGCGCCGGTGCATTCACCCGTGGTGGTCTACTGTTTATCAGTCTGCTGTTCAATGGTTTTCAGGCTTTCTCGGAACTTGCAGGCACTATGATCGGTCGATCAATCGTCAATAAACATCGATCATTCACGTTCTACCGACCAACTGCACTCTTCATCGCTCAAATCATTGTTGACACAACGTTTGCCATCGCAAGGATCCTCATATTTGCGATCATCGTCTACTTCATGTGCGGTCTTGTTCTCGACGCGGGTGCTTTCTTCACGTTCGTGTTGATCATTCTTACCGGATATGTCTGCATGACTGTGGTGTTCAGAACGATCGGCTGCCTCTGCCCCGACTTTGACTATGCCATGAAATTCGCTGCGGTGATCATCACACTTTTTGTTCTGACCTCTGGCTATCTTATTCAATGGGCCACCTCACAGGTTTGGCTGCGGTGGATCTATTATATTAATCCATTTGGTCTCGGCTTTGCATCGCTGATGGTGAATGAGTTTAGTCGCCTGACGATGACTTGTACAAAGGACTCACTAGTACCGAGTGGGCCTGGCTATACCGACATCGACCACCAGGCGTGTACCCTGGCAGGTGGTGAACCGGGATCTGCAATCATCCCAGGTTCCAACTACTTGATGACTACATTCAGCTACGCAAAGGGGGATCTCTGGCGAAACTTTGGAATTATGCTTGCTTTGATCGCGGCTTTCCTGGCTTCCAACTTGTATCTGGGCGAGACTGTTCAATTTGGTGCTGGCGGGAAGACGATTACATTCTTCCAGAAAGAAAATAGCGAGCGTGAGGAGCTCAACAAGGCTTTGGAGATCAAAAAGGCCAACCGGCAAGCGAAGGCAGTGGACACTGGGGCCAATCTGAAGATTAACTCGACCTCGGTTTTCACTTGGGAGAACGTCTGTTATGAGGTGCCAGTACCCTCTGGAACGCGACAATTGCTGAATTCGGTCTACGGCTACGTTCAGCCGGGAAAATTGACCGCTCTGATGGGCGCATCCGGTGCTGGCAAGACAACATTGTTGGACGTCTTGGCTGCCAGAAAGAACATCGGTGTGGTTTCAGGCGATATCCTAGTTGATGGTCAAGCCTCTGGAACAGCTTTCCAGCGAGGGACATCGTATGCTGAGCAGCTGGATACCCATGAAGCAATGGCGACCGTCCGAGAGGCCTTGCGATTCTCTGCTGATCTCCGTCAGCCATTCGAAACGCCGCGGTCGGAAAAGTACGCATATGTCGAGGAGATCATCAGTCTTCTTGAGCTGGAAAACTTGGCGGACGCTATTATTGGAACCCCCGAGACTGGTCTCTCCGTCGAAGAAAGGAAGCGTGTCACTATCGGCGTTGAGCTGGCAGCTAAGCCCGAGCTTCTGCTGTTCCTGGATGAGCCTACCTCGGGCTTGGATAGTCAGTCAGCCTTCAACATTGTTCGATTCCTGAAGAAACTTGCAGCAGCTGGTCAAGCTATTCTTTGCACAATTCACCAGCCCAACTCCGCGCTTTTCGAAAACTTCGATCGCTTGTTGCTTCTTCAGAAGGGTGGCGAGTGCGTTTACTTCGGAAACATTGGCGCTGATTCTCACGTTTTGCTGGAATATTTCCGTCGCAACGGGGCTGATTGTCCCCATGATGCGAATCCGGCGGAATGGATGCTCGATGCCATCGGCGCTGGTCAAACACGACGCCTTGGTGACCGTGACTGGGGTGATGTGTGGCGTACGTCTCCTGAGCTGGAGTCGGTTAAGAAGGAAATTGTCCAAATCAAGGCCGATAGAGCTCAAGCTGTGATCCAGATAAGTGATCAAGGTCAAAATGCAGTTGAAAAGGAGTACGCCTCGCCTTTGTGGCATCAGGTCAAGGTTGTCGGACGACGAACCCATCTCTCCTTCTGGCGATCTCGAAACTACGGTTTCACCCGACTGTTCACTCACGTTGTCATCGCTGTCGTTACTGGCCTTGCATTCTTGAATCTTGATGACTCTAGGTCGTCATTGCAGTACCGCATCTTCGTCATCTTCAATGTCACGGTGCTTCCAGCCATTATTCTCCAACAAGTGCAGCCCAAATACGACATGTCACGACTGATCTTCTACCGCGAGTCAGCATCCAAGACATACAGTCAATTCGCTTTTGCCTTTTCCATGGTTCTGGCTGAGTTGCCATATAGCATCCTCTGTGCTGTCTGCTTCTTCTTGCCTCTATACTACATCCCAGGCTTCCAGTCGGCTAGCGATCGTGCTGGGTACCAATTCCTCATGGTCCTTATCACAGAGATTTTTGCCGTGACACTAGGCCAGATGATTTCGGCACTGACCCCCAACAGCTTCATTGCGTCGCAGCTCAACCCCCCGATCGTGATCATTTTCTCGCTCTTCTGCGGCGTCGCCATTCCTAAACCCCAAATGCCGAAATTCTGGCGTTCCTGGCTCTATCAACTCGATCCGTTTAATCGCTTGATCGGCGGTATGGTTGTGACTGAGCTTCACGGTCGCCCAGTTCAATGCTCGGCTATTGAATGGAACTCGTTCCACGCCCCAGCCAACCAGACTTGTGACGAATATATGCAACCATTCTTTCAGCGGGGAGGTAATGGATACCTCCTGAACAATACGACGCAGCTTTGCAAGTATTGTGCGTATAAGATTGGCGATCAATTCTACTCTGCCTTCAGCATGGACTTTAACAACCGGTGGCGCGACTTGGGCATTTTTATCGCGTATGTCGGGTCAAATTTGATTATCTTGTTCTTTGCGGTAAGCAGATGCCATTCCTGATGACTTATTGAGGTGGTTGTACTGACTTTGTCTCTTAGTCTCGGTTCTTGAATTTCAACCGAAGATAGATGGTTGCGTGGTGATGCTAGAGGAGATTCTTATTTAGAAACTTTAAACATTGGAAAAAGAAGGCAGACTGCATAATATGAGGCGTAGGGAGAAAAGTTGGCGATAATCTGTCGAGAAGGAATATAAAAGCGTTTGTTTATGTTGTTCTTTAATATTCACCTATATTCTAATACCGCTGGTGCAATCAATATCTGGCTCTTTCCTATGACTATTCGCTCATAGCAAAGAATGAGGCATCTACCTTTGACCGAGGTGGAGTATCCCCTCACACCCATGATGACCCCAGATTCTCATCACCCCCACGCCGCTTTACCAAAAACGGCAGGACGTACCATCGATGCTCAGATACGATCGACATGAGCCAGTCCATCCTTTCTCTTCCGAGGTACTTTCCACCTATCATCAAATAAGTAGAGAAGCAAGATCGCAGCTTACTCGCGAGAGTTTCGTCCATATGTAGCGTATCCCGGCGAACTCACCGACTATCGGACATCCTCCGAGAATTATGAATGGCTCTTGCCTGCTCATCACGGGTACTGCTCGATATGTGGCTGCATACCTGACTGTAAAAACGCTTTGGCCGTGAGATTATTCGCCCGAGAACTACCAGTTAGAGAAATTTCAGAGAACACGGGGTATCTCCGACTGTGTCGCCAATCAGCCACGACTGAATCCACCAGCGGATCTCCACGACTACGACACTCCCAATTCCGCATGGGAATAATACTGGGCCTTCCCCGCATTAATACGGCCTGTTCGTTGGTTTTGTGGATCCGAGGAGCTGTTCCATTTGCGGGGTCGAATATCCGGGGTTTTGTATGAGAGATGGACCAACTCCAGGTGAAGCACGGACAATGTCACATTACAAGTAGTGAATCATAGGCCCCCACGCTTGGAATATTTTGATCTGAGCTCTGAGCTTGCCTTCTCGTGCAGGGATTTGTTCAAAAGCATGATACCCTGCTATTGTGCCATCTCCTGTACATCCCTCCCTTTACCAACTAAAATACGTGTTTCTCCTGTCTGGTGCAAACGTGCCTCGGGTATCAACGAAAATGGCAAACAATGCCCCGACAGAGCCGTCGCCAAGCTCCAAGGCTGACATCGTAGATGTCCCTACCATCTCTCACGACGATAGCAGCCAAGCACATGCCAAATGGAAGGATGCCAAGGTCGCCGATGGCGATACAGCCATGACGCTGTTTGATGACCCCGACGAGCTTCATGAGGAAATTGACCCTGTCGAGGCAAGAAAGCTTTTGTGGAAGATCGACTTTATGATTCTACCTTATCTTGCCGTCTGCTATGCCTTTTTCTACATCGATAAGACTACATTGAGCTATGCAGCTATCTTCGGGATCCGTGATGACTTGAATTTGCATGGGACTCAGTACAACTGGCTGAGCAGTATCTTCTATTTCGGTTTCCTGGCTTGGGCATTCCCGACCAATTTTCTGATGCAACGACTTCCAATCGGTATTTTGCTCTTTTCCTAGACTCAGTATATTTGGACAAGGATCTAATCGTCTATTCACAGGCAAATACTTGGGGGCTAACATCTTCATGTGGTAAGCTAATCATCTTCTTTCCATCATATGCGGCTCTTTGCTAAATACCATCGCAAAGGGGTGTCTTTCTTATGATCCAAGCGGCATGCAATAGCTTCGAGACGCTTGCTGTTCTCCGAGCCCTAGGAGGAGCCGCTGAAGCTTGCTCCGACCCAGCCTTCATGCTCATAACAAGCATGTGGTACACTCGTCGCGAACAACCCGTCCGCATAGGCTTGTGGTATACTGCCAATGGGTTTGGGATTGCCCTTGGCGGTGTTCTCGGATACGGCATTGGTCATATTCGGGGTGCCTTGCCTTCCTGGAAATATGAATTTATTGTTATGTGAGAAAGTACCCCTCCCGTACGCTGAATTAGGCTACTAACACAATTAAAGTGGAGCCCTTTGCGCAACTTGGGGAATTATCATGTTCATTTTCCTCCCTGATTCGCCCGTCAATGCTCCTGGTCTTACGAAAAGGGAACGGCGGATTGCGGTTGATCGTATCAGGGAAAATCAAACTGGTGTGGAGAATAAGCACCTAAAGCCATACCAAATAATTGAGGCCTTCATGGACTACAAGCTCTACATGTTCTTCATATTGGGTGTGGTCTGTAAGTTGAACTTTCCACTGCGTATGATTTTGTGTTCATCCACTAACCAAGGCAAAGGCAACGTTCCAAATGGGGGTATTTCGAACTTTGGAACCATTATCATCAAAGGCTTTGGTTTCTCTACATTGGTGACAACTCTGATGCAGGTATGAACTCAGCTCTCCTTAGTCTTGAAGCCCTTTGACTAATAGTGCTCATGCTCTGTTTAGATTCCATATGGCGTTTTGATCGCACTCTCAATTCTCACATGCGTCTACCTCAATGATCGCTTTGAGAATCGGCGATGTGTATTCGTTCTGATCTTCTTGATCCCAAATCTCGTTGGTGCCTTTGGTCTTCGTTTCGTCCCGACGCACCACGGTGTCGGCCGACTGATCTGCTATTACTTGACCGGGCCATACAATGCTGCTTTCGTCTTGGTTCTCAGTATGCAGATCGCAAATACTGCGGGTACGTAACTGACTCAGCGTATAGTTGCCAAGTACAAGACTAAGATTTGCTGATGTTTTCTTCAGGACACACCAAGAAAGTCGTCACTAATGCGGTTCTCTTCCTGGGCTACTGTACTGGCAATATTGCGGGGCCATTCTTCTACAAGACCGATCAATCGTAAGAAAATCGAGCCCAAGCAACCTAAAATGAGAAAGGGATCTGCTAACACTAACTTCAGACCGACATACCCTCTTGGTATTTGGTCTATGATTGTTTCACATTTGATTGAAGCGGTGCTTATTACTATCCTCGGGCTGCTTCTTCGTTGGGAGAACAAGAAGCGCGACCGAATCCAGTCTCAGATGCCCGGTGGTCTCGAAGGTCGCGATCTAGACTCAACTGCATTCTTGGACTTGACTGACCGTGAAAACTTGAAGTACGAGACCTTCCTCTTTTTTGCTTGCAGATATGAAGCTAACGGTTGTCCATTGTACTAGTTTCCGATACATCTATTGAGTACGCGGACGAGTGTGGACCATGTGATGGCGTAGCCAGCACGACTTGAGTACTTCTCTATCAATCAAATCTATGTGCAGACGAATATCCATTGGAAAAACTCCCCTCTCCAGACTTCTTTCTACATGCGTCTATCAGGTGGGCTTTTCGAGGGGTCTTTCGATTCAAGACTTTTCCATGGAATATGACCTAGATATTTTGTAGCCTTGCGTCGACTTTGATTTCACGAAAGTGAATGTACCATGTAAACGATTTCACGGGATATGTTAAATGCCGCCGTAATCAAGTTCCTCACACACAGGCAAGTAAACTCGCGATGCAAACTAGGAAATCTAGAACAGGATTCAGAGCAATCAATCTCGGAGTCTCCAGAGTAACACGACTTGGTTCTTGGTCTTCACTTAAAATCTTTGAGGCATACCTCAGGACCCTACGACTGCTTTTAAGATCATATCGAAGAAGCTTTCCGGGACGGTGTGTTTGCGACGAAAGGTGTAGCCGCAGCGCCAAGGCCGGATATTACGACTGGCGCAAGCTCGAGCAATGCGGGGGGCATCCATGTAAGCTTCCTAGCTGGGGTGATACTCGGGCCTGAGACGAGGACTGTAACAAGGAACAAATTCTGCGCGAAGGAAATGGCAACAATCTGCCCCAGCAGCATGTACATCCATACATTTAGGATATTGTACCGACGGCCTGAGCTAGGTTTAACGAGAGTCTCAAGTGATTTCCAAACATGGAATGAGATACAGACCCATGACCCCCAAGAAAAGACTCCAACCAATCGTCCATAGGAAAATCTGTCCGCTCCACCACGTTCTCGCCGGCGTCGCAAACACACTTCCCCACGCCTCCCGGAACAGTTTACTATCTCGCAGCCACATCTCCCATTTTGCCAGAAGCGGTGCCACCTCAATCAATGCCTGCTGTGTGGGCGACTGTCCGGCTTCCCAGCTGCGATAGGAATGCGCGAAGAACGCGAACATGTAGTACCATGTTGTTACGATGCTGAGGATGGACAGGGTAATGAATATGGTGAATTGAGGACCATAGCTGTGGTACCAATATAATTGCGTCTTGCAGATTTGAAAACGGCGGTATATGTTGAGGAGGATCTTTATTGTGAGGGCAGCGAAGGAGGCTAGGTAGAAGGATAGAATGGAGAGGGAGCGGTGGTCTTGGAGGGGTTGGGCTAATGGAGGCATGTAGTGGTTCCAGCATTGGAGTGAAGCTGATAAGACCATGTGTGGTCTATGTGCTGCCAATGTGGTAGGTCCGATGGTCCTTCGGTTCTTGCAGAGGTCGCTGTTCAAAGCGTTGTTCCAACTTCCGAACGACCCTTGCACTGGTGACGCGCGCTTCGCACGCAGTGCCCTGAAACGAATAGGAACTACGTAAAAGACTAGCGAGATAGGCGAGCTGTGGGGCGCTGGAGGGGAAGAAACACAAGAGAGTAGGAGGAACTCCGTAGTACAGCACGAAAAGAATGCGCAAACGTGTGAAGATGCATATCGTGACGGAGGAAAACGTGATGGCGGAGCAAGCGAGGACCACTCTGAGTGAGGCTTTGGGGTGAAGTTTCGCATGGTAAGTGTGAATCTCAGACTTTTCGTTGCGACGCGCGGGCCTAGGGTTGTAAGCCCTTTCACAACGCTCCTTCGTTTCCGGGCATTGCAGTTCGTGTCTTCCTTTGCTCTGCATGCGTAACCTACGGCTGTAACCCCTTTCACTACGTTCCTCCACCTCTAAGGGAGCAGCACTTTTAAATTATAATTGGTCTAAATTTGGGCCTTATATCATACCGAACTCAAATCCAGGTCTGGTCGCAAAATATATTCAGGTCTGCCCTAGACCCACCTTATTTCCTTATAAAAAAGGGTATAAGCCCAATCCTAATCTATATCCACCAGACATAGTTACCCTCCATGATAGGGACCCAGCGCAAGACGGCAAAAGGAAATCGCTCCAGTATCGCTAGTCCCTCCTGTCCCTCCAATCACGCCAGCCTGGCAGCCATCTACCTAATTCGCTTCATACAAAAATAACAATGTATTTGTACCCAAATTTATGAAAGTTTTTTACTCGGCAAAAAAGGCAGCAATGGCAATTAAAGCCCAATCCGCAACTAAAAGAACACCTTGAATCCTAGGGAGTCTTAGCAATATATACCGACTAGAAAGTTGAAGATAAAAGACTGACCATGTAGACTCTCCCTCCATGATGAGATAGTTAAGCAGAAGAACGGACGCAAACAAGCTTACAATCTCGAATCCGTTGAAACTGAGAGTCATATTGTCGATTTTCATCGGCCACGCCAAAAGCACCATAAGCGGCGTCACGAACAGAGCTGTTTGCAAACATTTCCCGACGGTGACGTCTATAGTGCGATCCATCTCATCGGCCAAGGCATGAGTTATTGGAGCCAAGTCATTGTTAAGAATGGGTAGCAATACAAGCCCAATAAAAGCCATTGAGATGTTGGCTCTCTGACTGAGATTGTCGATACTGTCAACAGCGAATTGGGTGCAGAACGCAACTAGCGTGGTCGATGTGGCTAGCATTCCCAAAGTGACGTAGAGATTTAATTGTGGCCCCTCAACATCATCGCATTCAAATGCAAGCTGATCTGGCTTGATGGGCATGTTGCTGCCGGCGAGGGTACATGACATGTACCCGACCTGAGCAATACTCTTACTTACTGCCCCCTCAACGACTTTATATCCACGCTTCTCGGTTCTAGGAGATGGTCGATTCCATATATCGGCATGTGATTTGTACTGAAAGAAAAGATAGGCGAAGTAGACGCACAGCAGCACGACTGAAGTACCTCGTGACTGCTTCCTTAAGCCAGCACTATTCGTCTGGGTGAGCAAGTGAGCTGCTGTTGGAATTAGTAGGCTTGTAGATAAAAGCGACAAAAGGTTGGCACAGGTGTGGGCAACTGTCTTGTTGTGTAGATTATGGAATACCAGGTAATTGTAGATAGGATATAAGCGAATCTGTCGAGCTCCTTGAACGAGCTTGCCAATCTGACCGTGGGATGCAGCTATAGTGGGTCTCTATCGTTCGTTCTTTGTTTGCTATATAGGGTGCGGTACTTTATCGAGCAAACAAAGAAAGCCTCGAGCATAAGAAGGAAACCGAATAGTTCTGCTTTGCTTCAACTCTGATCCCCCTTAACAATTTTCTTAGACCTAGCCCAGTCGCAATCACTTAGTCTTTATTTGACATAGAGCTCGATCTACAATAGGAAAGATCAAGACCTTACGTACTCTCCTGCCGGCGGGAGAACAGTACATAATGTAGTCCTTAGAAGCGAACTCGAGTAAAGAGATACGACGCAATGTTTCTTTTGCTTGTATAGAGTGTTAGAGGAAGAAGACTAAGGCCTGACCCCCAAAATATAACTGCTGAGCTTGACGACAGGGCTAACATCGTAAGTTGGAAGTAGTGTTCAGGAACAACGCCGTGCACGAGATGTGTAACTAGTGCACAACAGTGTATTTATGATCAAAATAGTGATCGTAGACGCAAGGAGTATACGACCGGGCTGTTGAAAATTCATACTACTCTGTGTCGACTGGCTGCTACCCTGCGCTCCGCAGGTCCCGAAGAGCTATTATGGTTGGTCTGGTAGCTGCAAAACCTGCGAACAGATCAAGATGCGGTCGATTACCTTGTTCAAATGTTGGATTCATAGATACGGATGGACTGTTACAACGAGGGAACAGCGGTACTGTCTGTTGGGTTGCGGGTTGTGCCTCGCTGAAAAGAAGATCGATCAAGTCTAGTGTAATGATTATTCATCGGGTTGAGATATGATCTTGCTTTTAGTTTGCTTGCTATATCTCTGATAGTCTGCAGGAGTTGTTAGTGAATACGCTTGCTGTTCTATATAGTGTTTGGCCTCTCGTTGCTTTGAACTGAAGAACTGAGAGGAAAATATATCTATACATTTCGAGGTTTTTGACTTTTGAATTGGCTCGAAGTTTCCCATCGGTATTATATGGCCTTGCTGGACTTTTAAAATATAAACTCTACCGAATAGGTGCAATGGGTGTCAGAAGTCCAGATCCTATTGTACAGAAAGAAAGAGGTCCTTAACCTTAACGACAATCGTATACTTAGTCTAATAATAAGGCACGATTTTGCGGATCAGGAACCTAAGTAGTCGGATAGATGCGTCTAGTGGATATGCAAGTGTAAACCTTCTACTATGCCTTGAAGTGTCCGGGCCGTCTTTGACCTGCTGGCTTCGGTTGCCCTGATGTGCTGTGTCTCTTCGCCTTGCCTGATTGAAGGATTTTTTGTGCTCCATTCCAATACACGCGTGAATTGATTTTGATTGTGACTAAGAACTTTTTGAGAGTCGTCTAGCTTCCTGTGAATAGAACTTAGAGCCCGTCCAACAATACCGCAACGGATGCGGGCATCGGAATTACCTAGATTCCGGGATGAGAGTTTTCTATAACCCACTTGAATCGAAGAATCACTTCTATCCTCTTAGGGAATAAGAAATTCTACACCACGACTCAATTGATTGGGAAGTTGGGATATGCAGCAAGGGTAAAGAGCTTTTTGCCTTCCGGAAAGAAAGGATTCCTGACATATTGCAATATATAATCCCCTAGCCTATTCCCGTCTAAAAATATCATGTACGGTGCTCTTCTAGGCCAGTCTAGGTGATTGCAACTATATGATGGAGAATTTGAATGTGGCGGCGGCCTTTTCTTTTCTTTTTTCTTTTCTTTTTTTTTTTTTTAGGGAATGTCTAAGATATGGTAGCGTTGGGAATGCTTTCAATCTATAGCCCTGAATTCGTTTTATCTCGGCGATATCCCTCTTGATCTACAAACCTGTGAGAGCAATTGTTAGGCCGATAGCAGAGATTAATCCTTTTTAGTTTCATCACATGAGACCTGCTCTTCATGGAAATGACTTATGCGATATTCCCAGAAGCCACAACGTCTAGTGACAAACGTCGATGTTCTATAAGTTACCTTCTCCATGACAACAGAGGAAGATTCATGGAGAGAGAATACCAATAGCAACAAAGCATACCTGTACTACTTATAGGGCTGCCATTGATTGCATACCATTCTACATGCTTGTTCCAATATAACTAAGTACTAAAGAGCTTTAAAAGCGTTGTGTGTTGCAACAGATACCTGTAAACTATGTTTTATGGTTAATCACTGACCTGCCTCATAGGGGACAAGAAGACCATAGCAATTGCACATACCTAAGAGCTTGCCTTCAGGGGTCGACTACTCATGTGCTCCAATGATTGAATAGATCAATTTGAGTAATATATAAGTAGTACTTCTTCTAGCCTGTCCTTTACCTAACTCAGTTTCTTCCACAAGACGTCCTGGTTTTACGTTATTACGAATCTTCAAAATAGTCCTGCGAAACTTCTATACTGCGGCCCTACGGGAACTATGCACTGAAGAGCAACTGGATCTTCTAAATTCAATTAATACCCTCCGCTCTCAGGGTATTAGCCACTATATCTCTCTGCCGCAGATCTCAAATCTATGCACACAACCCTTGAGCTTGGACCTTCCTAGGCCCCAAGCACAAGAATAGAGGCCGAACAGAGCTATACTTCTTTAAGACTAGTATATGATTAATCGGCAGGATTCTTAGTCTCCTGCTTATAAGACAATTTGACTGTGCCCGAGCTAGCGCTATCCCTTAGCTTGCTATTGATGTGCTCTCGACTTTCGAAGTCGGATCTGATCGTGGAAGTGTGACGGACTTGGCCTCTGCTAGATATTCCGAGATCCTCTATCACCAACAGCGCCTAATACCTAGTCAAGATTAGTTAGTACTCCGGCGGAGGTTGCTCTCTCCGCGAGAGGGATTGCCTGGAAATACCTCCCGCTTTGGGCTCGTTTGCTGTCGTGCGCTTTGCTTTCAAAGATCCCAACGGCGGTTTCGGCCTTGCTGTCTGCTAGTCCGGTAATAATCGTCCGTGTGTTTGTTCGGTTATGTACAGTTAGGGATTTAAAAACAGCGCATTTAGAATGATGTTGTCGTGGTAATTCCAATACAATTAACTTACATAACGTTATTGAATTAGCTAATCACTGATCTTACATAGTTAATTAGGAGTGTCTGGAACAAAAGCGGGAGTGCCTCTATCAATTCCCATTCCCAGGATATCGTTACCATCAGCTCTGGTCCTTTCGGAAAAGTCCATAGCCACCTGGCGGGCCCCGCATTCCCGTGCACGGTTGGGCGTGGGGGGTCTGGCGATATCGTTTATTTTCCCACATGTAGACCGACTCCAATAACTGGGGCAGCGCCTCTCTACGGAGGGAGGACCTTGGTTTCTTTCCCAAGCACAGCGAAACCAGTCCACTGCTCAACAATACGATTTAGCTGCATTGGTTCTGCGTGTAATGAAAGTGCCTTAACAAACTAGGCAGACAAGTGTTTAGCCGGGTTCACAAGTCCTGAGAATAATAGCCAAGGTTTATAGACGAAGTCAAATTAGTTCATATCCGCCCAAACAGACCTAAACGCCGGGAGAGACATTGCCGCGTCGAAGTCAGATCACAAACGATATATCTACGCTTTGATAGTTTGGGTGAAAGGATTACAGATATACAAGTCTTTTAGCAGCAGCACGATCAACCCCTTTGATTGTTTTCAGTACTCACGTCATATCTTTCCATATTCTCTATTGTTTAAATACAGAATCCATCATCATCATGTACTTGGCTGCAAGTTTTGAAGACACTCTCGCCTCCTCGTATGCGCACGGCTCAACCTACCTATCAGCTGGCAGTCGCCAGCAGCATATGAGGGCATTCCTGTTTGGTTATCCGATCTCGCGATCCCTCGCCCCTCTGCTGCAGAAGACGTTGTTCAAAGGGGTCTCGCTACCATGGACTTACCAACTGCATGAGACCAGTGACGTGAACGAGTTCACTGACATGCTAAAGCAACCAGACATTGTGGGCTGTGCCATTACTATGCCGTACAAAGTCAAAACAATGTCTCTTGTTGATGAGGTGACAGAAGAGGGTCGAGTGATCGGAGCTATCAATACCGTCTTTATGCGAAAGACACCGGCGGGGATTACTCGCTACATTGGAACAAACACGGACTGTGTGGGTGTTCGAGAGGCTTTTTTGCAGAATTACCCAGACCTGCTCTCCGACTCTGAGTGCAGAGCGGCAATGGTCATCGGTGGTGGAGGTGCCTGCCGCGCCGCAGTATATGCCATGTGGAAGTGGCTCGGCGCTAGCAGGATCTACATAGTCAACCGGCTCGAGGATGAAGTCATCTCTACCATTGAATCCCTCGGTTCGGCGGGACTAGATATCCCGATTATACACGTCAAATCTGTCAAGCAAGCGGAAGGCCTTGACACACCAGCTCTCATTGTCGGGACGGTGCCGGATTACCCTCCTAGGGAGCCTGGGGAGATCAAGGCTCGAAGTATCGCCAACCATTTCCTTGCTCGAGCACAGAAGGGATATATCCTCGAAATGTGTTATCATCCAAAGCCGATGACAGATTTCTTCCTCCTTGGAAAGAAGGCGGGTTGGCGGATGATATATGGCACGGAGGCCATGATTTGGCAGGGCGTCACCCAGCAGGTACTCTGGGCGGAGCTTCCTTTAGATATGTTTGATATGGAAGCATCCAAGAAAGTCATGGGAGAAATATTGCACAAGACTATTATGCACGATGGAGGCGAGCCAGTTCAGTGGATTTAGAATTTCTGTCGCCCTCTGGTGGTTTCCCTTACTATACCTTTCAATGACGCTGCGAAACTCTCTTAAAATTCACTGTGTGTCTGAATCTAGAAGACGAGCGTTATAAATTAATCTGTAATTACTATATGGAATACTCATACCACCTTGCCTCACCTTTCCGCTGGTTAGTCCTGTTCTAGGCAATGAAGGTGCAAAACCGTTGTAGCTTATGACGTCATTACTCTGGGCGTAAGTACATCGTGAAGGTTATGTGTGATTGGTTGGACTGGAAACAGAGAAAGATAATGCCATTCCCCACAGCCACCTCCATAGGACCTCTCAGTTGGAATCTCACGGCAAGCAGAAGTGTTCAATAACGGGCAATAAATGCTAGTCTATTTGGATCCTGACCCGGCCAGCAGAGCTAGGTTGTTAAGCAGAAATCCTATCATCAACTTTCGAGAAGTAAAAAAAACCCAGAGAGTTCGGAATTTTAGATTACCTAGCCCGTCGGAATAACTCGTCGAGACACTCTTTGATGTTGGTTGGCGGGGAAAGTCCTATCCGAACCTTGCCGCAGTAAATCAACGTTGAAAGTTCCTGCCATGAAGGATGTCCCGGTGACAGGATGCTCCGGTAAAAAACAAGCCAAAGAAGAGTCACCCTGTATCCGTGGAATTTTATCTTTCGAAAGTTTCCGGCAAGGCGACGCTAACGAGTCATGAGAAAATGAACACCGCATTATCATGTGGACATTCGCTGGTGTTCCGTTCCGAACTCGAAAATTTTGATATGTGATTTGTCTTGGTGCCCGGAAAAAGAAAAAGAAAAATCAATAGTCTCATATCATCTGCAGTGACAACTCTATAATGACCCTAGCTCTGCGGTTCACAAAACCCAAAGTCAAGTCGATGCCGTCAGATGCAAGGTAAGATCGGGGACTATCAATGACAAAACCAAATTGCAACGAACGGTTTATCTGTTTAGCTAACCGATTGCCTATTCCGTATCTCTAGTCTTTCACAACACCCTCTTTGGCAACCTTAGATTGCTGTGGGGGCTCAATTCGAAAGACACGAGGACATAGTGTAGCTAGTGCACCTGTAAGGATTTTATTAGTACAGCTACAGTACCTATAAGGTCAAAGCGATAGAACATGTTGATATCTTGACTTCTAAAGTGCAGAAGACTAGGTGCATAAATACGATATTTCTCCATCTCTACTTATTCAGTAGCAAGGAAGACATGATTCTCGTTGGAGCGAACGCAGATTGCATCGGGATCTAGCGCTCTCTTTCGAAGGCAAACACTAATCTGAGAAGTCATCTTGAAGGGTTCACTGCACTAGCTATCGGCGGCCGGCAATCTACTGATCTACAATTTTCGCGTTCACAGAATATTAGATGAAACATTGGTTTATTTCTTCAATTATGACCCCGAAGAGGTCGAGGCCACCACGAAATGCCTGGAACAAGAGGAGTTACAACAAGAAGTTCGACATGGGTAGACGCTGGATGATGCACAATCTATTACACAACTACTAATTCAGGCTCTCAGCGCGATGCCGATCTAACCTCGCAAACAGAATCACCGCACGTGGTACGGAGCATTATCAGCATAGTTTACAAACACACCCCACTACAAGGCTCGCAAGGTTCTAGAGATATGCTATTTTGCGAGGTTGGCAAAAGAATTTCGGTGGGAGATAGACGATAGGCTAGAGGTCATGGAGCACTAGGTCATTGAACAGGCTATTCTGTGGATCGAGAGACCGCTTCGTGAGCTTCCTTCAGAGGGCTCCCCAACAGAAATATGCCAAGTCTTCCACCGATAGCGTTGACTAGTGTCCATCATCTCTATAGGTACATAGCTCGCTTGATTGCACTCTTCGGATTAGTCCTTGGCCGGGAAGATGGCTAGCAAGAACCAACGGTTAGGTAGCGGCCCCTAGGCTCGGGTTTAGCATTACACCTGGCTTCCCCAGCCTTTTATTTGCTTCATTTACCCCGCAATACCCCGTAAATCAACGCTTAAATCAAACACCAATGCCCTAAGCCATTTGCAAAAAACTTAAATCACAAGAGTCCAAAACCGGGGAAGCGGCGACGTCAAGTCTTATTTACTATGAAGGGACCGGTTAACGTTAGTTCGTAAGACGATTAGACTTTCTGCTCAATCTAACAAAACGTAAGTTTCCAAATCAACTAAGAGCTAGAAATACTATAAATTCCCTTGAGAATTTCTCAGAATATTTCACATCTTCCAAGCTTGATCTTCCTCACTGGGCATTCCGATCCTTTTGCGTATTTGTCTCCTTGGACCCTTTGCTCTCTGCATCGGCGTACGCTCATCCATTGTGTATTCAGTACCTTCTCGGAAACATCATCTTCTGTCTGCCATGACTATAGCCATTTTCAAAGTGGTCGAAGATCGACCGACGCCGAAATCCGTCTACAATTGGCGCATTGTCGCCTGTGCCATAGTTGGCTCTTTGGCTTCTTGTGCCATCGGCTATGACTCTGCTTTCATTGGCACCTCACTCGCTCTCCCGTCGTTTCAGAACGAGTTTAACTTTGCAAGTTATAGTACCCAAGGGCTTGCCAACCTCAAAGCAGACATTGTTTCAGTGTTCCAAGCTGGAGCATTCTTCGGTAGTCTGTTCACCTACGTTTTCAACTATTATCTCGGGCGAAAGCCGTCCATTTTTATCAATGTGATCCTATTCCTCATCGGCGCGGCCATGAATTGCGGCGCTAATGGAGCTTCTGGCCTTAGCCTAATCATTGGCGGCCGTGTCCTGACGGGCTGGGGAGTGGGTGGTTGTTCGAGCGTTATTCCCGTATACCTGTCTGAGATTGCGCCGCCAGCTGTCCGTGGTCGTTTGGTGGGCAGCTGGGAGATAGGCTGGCAGATAGGGGGCCTGGTCGGTTTCTGGATTAACTATGGTGTCGATCAGACTCTAGATCCGAGCCATAAACAGTGGATTATCCCCTTTGCGGTTCAGCTGATCCCAAGTGGCCTGCTCTTCCTAGGGGTCTTCCTCGTCCCTGAGTCTCCACGCTGGCTTTTGGGTCGCCACAAGCGCAATCAAGCTGTTAGGTCACTAACCTGGCTGCGAAAGCTTCCTGAGACCGATCCTTACATTTTATTTGAGATTGGCGACATTGAGAGTGATCTTGAAAGAAGACCCATGTCATTTTGGAAACCCTTTAAGGAGCTTAGGCACCGACGCATGCAGTGGCGCTTCACCATGGGCGGACTGCTCTTTATGTTTCAAAATGCCTCAGGTATCAATGCCATCAATTACTACAGCCCTATTATTTTCGAGACTATCGGCATCCACGGGGCCTCAACAGAGCTTCTTGCTACTGGAATATTCGGTGTGGTAAAAACGGTCGCAGTTTTCGTCTGGATTCTCTTCGTTGTCGATAATTTCCAGCGCCGTACTCTGCTCTTCTGGGGTGCTGCAGGAGGTTCTGTTTGTATGTGGATCCTTGGGGCATATATCAAGATAGCCGATCCTTCTGTCAACTCAACCGGGAATCCAACGTCCGGCGGCATCGCGGCCATTTTCTTCCTCTTTCTCTGGATCATTCCCTACTCTCAAAGCTGGAGCGGTATTCCATGGGTTATCAATTCCGAGATGTTTCCTCTCGATATCAGGTCTGTTTTACTTCTTTTTGTCATCCTCGCACGGCTCAAGCTAACTTGAGTTCCCCCTAAAAAGAGCTTTGGGCCAAGCTTCAGCTGCAGCCAGCAACTGGTTTTGGAACTTCATTATCACACGATTCACACCAAACATGCTGCTAGCGATGGGCTACGGTGTCTATTTTTTTTCGCTTCATTCATGATCGTGAGCATGATTTTTGTCTACTTTCTCGTTCCAGAGACTTCAAAGATCTCCCTCGAGGCTGTTGACAGAGTCTTCGACATTTGGCCTGTCCGTAAGGCCAATACCACGGTCCTTGCCGAGATCCAAAGCGAGATCGAAGAATTGAGCCAGCCTGCAGGGCATGGAGAAACGAAATATGAGGGATTTGTCCAGCACAAAGAGCATACAGTGTAACTGTACGCTTTGGCTGTCTTGACAGTACTGACAATACTACATGTAACGTCGTCATCAACAGTCATCGCTCAACGCTGCCAAATCCTCAACTCGATGCACTATTAAACAAGTCCCGGTCAAAGCCCATAACAACAAACGACGGTGACCAGAAAACCCACATAATACTGTATTTCATTGTTCTTGTCTCTCATTAAGTTTGTTTAGTTCGATTATTTGTTTCCTCGATGTGGCAGGCTCCGGTTTGCGCGTAAGTCGCGGAGGGATGAAAAAACTGCGCATATAAGAAAATCTCTTTTGTCACCTCTTTATCATTGTCAAAAATTTTGTTTAAAGATTAGGTGATTAGGTAGACCTAAATTCAACTTCAGGAAGTTCCGATCTCACGACTGTTCACCGTAACCGAAGAGGAAAACTCGTATGGTGGGAATGTTGACTTTTTGGACCACTAGGAATAAGTATCAGCCGTACAATACACCAGGAGGCGGCTATTCTCCCCCAGTCGACGTGATTAAATAGTCAGACTGCCAAGAATTACCCTCGTTGAATGCACATTTTCTTTTTGAGATTTTCTGGCGCGTAACACAGCTGACTATCTTGAATGATAGAGTAATGGAGCTGACTCTAGAAGTTCTCTAATTTTTTTTTCCCTTAAAATCCTTCTGCTCTCAAGTATTACCTGAAAGGCGCTAAATTAGCGATTTTTCTTGCTGTGCCTGTATTGTTGGGAATATATGCGGTTCTCATTGTGCAGATAATATGACATCTTCACTTTTCTGTTCTCAGATTCATGTCTAGTCCTTCTGTGGCTATTTGGGATTGGTTACGAGCCCATCTGGTCAAGAGAATCCACACGGGTAAGTTCTGCGTCAGGTGTATTCTTCTAGATCTTACCCGAGTGGCAAATCACGTGTCCATGTACTGGTGTGTGCTTTCTCGAAGTTTATACAAAAATGAGTTTGTCATATCTGCTCAAATGATCTGACACATACTCTAGCTTCTCCATTCGTTATTCAAAATTCGTTCAATATTGGTCCTATTCCACCCATATTAACATGACCTACAAACTCGCGATCGCATCTCACTCGCTTGGACGAGCCAGCGTCCACGATCTTGCCAACAAACTTGACCAGGCCGTTCAATATGGATACGAAGGTGTTGAGATATTCTTTGAAGACCTTGAAATGATCGCAAAATCTTACCCTGGAGGTTTTACTCCCGATAATCAGTTGCGGGCCGCGTCATACATCAAAGAATTGTGCGAAAAGAGGAGCTTAACTGTTATCGCTTTGCAACCTTTCTTGTTCTACGAAGGTCTCATGGATGAGGAGCAGCATCGGCTCAAGATTGAAAAGCTACACATCTGGTTCCAACTTGTCAAGATTTTAGGCACAGACATCATCCAGATCCCGTCTAACTTCTCATTTGACGAGCCTTTCTCTGGTGATAAAGCAAAAATTGTCCAAGATTTGATGGAAGTCGCAGACCTTGGCCTAAAGGAAACTCCAGTCGTCAGATTCGCCTATGAAGGAATGGCTTGGTCGCCCTACGTATCCTCCTGGGAGGATGTTTGGGAGATAGTTGAGCTTGTGAATAGGCCTAACTTTGGCTGCGTGTTGGATACGTTCCACATTGCTGCTAAAGTGTGGGCAGATCCAAGTTCACCGAAAGGGAAGAGAGTCAACGCAGAGGAAGAATTGGCCGCGTCTTTGGCCCAGATGGAGAAGAAGATCGATGTATCCAAAGTCTACTACATACAGGTCGCAGACGCGGAGTTCATGGACCCCCCGATCGGTGATTCCCATCCTTGGGTTGTGGCGCCCAACCACCCTCCACGCATGACATGGTCGAGAAACGGTCGACTCTTTGCGTTTGAAGAAGGAGGCTACCTCCCTGTACTTGAAATTTCCAAGTCATTGGTACATGGTCTCGGTTACAAGGGCTGGATTAGCTTGGAGTTGTTCTCAAGGTCAATAGCTGAAGTTGGGAGGGAAGTGCCAGAGAAGCATGCAAAGAGAGGAAGAGATTCTTGGAACAAGCTAGCAAAGTCATTGGAGCTGAATCAATAAGCCTTGTATCAAAAGTTTGTGGTATTAGATCCATAGTTTCCACTACATTGGAAAAATACATAATCATTTCTACCCTATTAACAAATTCACCTGTTGTGAAGAAAACCACAAGCTCAAAACTTCTCCAGGCATGATATATTATCATTTATCTGTCATCAATTAATCCCGGACGGTGATGCTCTCACAATCAGAGATAAGCACGGTAAATCGCCCAAGATGGATTTGCTGAAGTCATTCTGCAAGTTAGGTAACTCCTTTTGGCCATCGCTAAGAACCAATTTACTCGGGTCGTTACGAAATCGACTCACTGAAGAGGGTGGTATTTTATGACTTCCTTTGTTTGATTAGTCTCTTTCGTTCAATACCAGCAGGAAATCTCGGGAAAGATCTTACTTCGTACATGAGCGGGGAAACTACAGCTGAGAAATGCTCTTCCAGATGATAGAGGGATTAGCGCTAAGCTAGAATGGAATTCATTGAGGCTAAGGCCAAAAAGTAGGTGGGTAGAGTGATATAAATATCACTCAAAATTGGGACGAATGCGTCCCACCTGCCCAACGAATATTATGCTGCAGAAAAATTCCTCGCCCAACCGACACATATTCGAGGTTTTCTTATATATTGTTGACGATATCCATCATGAACTTCACCAACAGCAACCCGCAAATCAAAATAGCGGTGATCGGGGTTGGCCTTATTGGCCCGAGGCATTGTGCCACCGTCGCAAAATCACCAGATGCTCAGCTTATTGCCGTTGTTGATCCGATGCCACAGGGTGTAAAGCTCGCAGCGAAGTTTGGGATTACTCCTTATTCATCTATCAAGGACCTCCTCTCCTCTCCACACAAACCTGACGGTGCTATCGTCTGTACACCAAATAATACACATGCTGCTCTTGCAATTGAACTCACACTTGGAGGTGTGCACGTTCTGCTTGAGAAACCAGTTGCGGCAGATCTTGAAGGTGGCCAGAGACTATTACAGCATAGCAGACAAACTAAATTTCAGATACTGGTCGGCCATCACCGTCGCTTTAACCCCTACATTGTTGTTGTCAAAGAAGCTCTCGAATCAAGGGCACTTGGTCAGATCATTGCAATCAATGGTCTATGGACGCTTTTCAAGCCTCCAGAGTACTTCGAAGCTCCTACAGAATGGAGAAAGTCAAAATCAGGGGGTGTTGTTCTCATGAACCTTATACATGAGGTTGATCTCCTTCAGTATATGTTCGGCCAGATTACCCGTATTCATGCTGAAAAAGCTCTGTCTACTCGCAATCACGAGGCTGAAGAGGGTGCTGCATTGACTCTGCGGTTTGAATCTGGGGTTGTCGGGAGCTTTCTCATTGCTGATAATCTTCCGTCTCCGCACAATTTTGAATCTGGAACCGGGGAGAATCCCCTTATTCCCCAAACAGGTGAAAATTTCTATACTATTTTTGGTACTGACTCATCTTTGAGTGTGCCTAGCATGATCCGATGGTCCTATGATGGGGTGGAAAAATCCTGGCATGTGCCATTAATCCCAAACAATTTGGATGTACCTGACGGTGTGCCATTTGAGCTCCAATTTTCACATTTTGTACAAGTTTGCCGAGGAAATGAGAATCCCAAATGTACTGTTGGCGATGGTTTATCAGCCCTGATTGTATGTGAAGCAGCCAAGAGAGCGATATTCTCCGGAGAGACAGTCAATATTGCAGAATTTGCTCAAGCAGTTTATTCATAGTGCGAGTTGATCGTTTTGATATTGCAAGCAGTCAATTCTCTTAATTTCATGATATTGCTCAGCGAGTAGAAGCTCTGCTATGCTTCCCACTCGGCATCTCTAATTAATGTAAATTTGCAAAAACCTTCGGTTAAAGACATATGAGTATCATATCGGATGACATTCAAGACATGGGACTCATTCGTATTTTAATCTGTGTAAACGGATTTGCGACACTTCCCTATCTGGACCTTCAACTTAGTTTTCAAAAAATACCGTACCAGGCTGTCAAACCAGACTACTCTTTGTGCTTACCTCGCAAACCCAACAGACGGACAACGCCACGGCTTTGGAAGATACTCTTAATACATGCCTTCAGCTTTTGCTCGATAAAATAGCAACATCGCAGCATCGCAAGACACCAACTTCTCAATACAACATTCTCAGGACCACCGCTTTATATTTTCAAGAGTAGACTATACCTCATAGAATCTAATACAGCCTAAATCTCGATATTTTCACCATTCAGCCAGTCTCTGCATTGAATGTAGAGGAGGTCATGCTTTTTGCCACATGGATTAGAACCCTCACGCCGGTGACCAGGCATATCCAGCATAATCTTCACATTCATCGTCTCCTCCTGACAGTAGGCTAAATATCTGTACCCGATCGGAAATTTGTTCAATTTTTCGTCGTCAATATGCGGAATTTTCCGCGGATCGACAGGGATAAGTTTATCCTTTTCGTACCAGTGGCGGACAAATCTGGCAAGCCAATTCCCAGGTTCACCAGACTGGGGGGATGGTTCTTTCTGAAAGAAGAAGCAGAAGCGACAGTCACTCTCTGCATCAACATCACAACCGTCGATAGTGAATCTCTGTGTGATGGTTGCCTTCATCTTGGTGACTGCACGGGTACCTTCCGGGTTAATATCTGTAGTGGAACCGTGGATTCGGTGCATGATGAAGGCCCCCTTATCCATGCCCGCTTTGGAGACTTCGACAAAGTCTTTGTGGTGTGTCCGACCCGTCCAAGTTGTGTAGATATAAGCATCTGGGTGGAAGATAGAGAGGAGATTCTCCCATTCGCATGCATCTCTATGAACAGAAGTTATAGCGTTAGCGAGTCCAGCTGTGTGAATAGTAGCTGAGTGATCCGCTGTTACCGGTAGCATGGCCATCCTTCCGCAAGTTCTCGAAGTTTGTAACGCTCCAAAGCAAGGTTATCGGGCCCATTGTTGCGAATTGCTTTCTCAGGAAGCCAATTGGCGGGGAGGCTGTGTAAGTCCGGCATATTGAAAGGATCCTGCTAAGAAAGTATTACATGGATAAGTAGCATGGACGCGGTGTTGCCTTTATCTACAGGACTAATGAAAGGCGAGTATGACCAAAGGGCCTGCGACGGATTAAACATAGCCCGTTCGGGTGTTGATGTATTGGCATCTGACGGCAAAGATATCACCCGTTCCCAGACACCCATTTTGGAGATTGAGACAGACAAACGCAGTGGCAATCGGACTTGATCCTGGGCACTGGAAAACTTTCACCCAATTCAAGCTACGTGTTATTTGGTCCACATTTTTGATGAGACAATGCCCTGGACAAGAACTCAGCCAGTCTCGGACTAGTCATACCCGTGTTACCATCATCTAGCCCTTACAGGACCTGGCTTGGATCCGGCCGCTGGATCAAAGTACAACAGACGAGCAAGCGCGCGTAGGCGTCCCTGTTCGTATTTACCGCATGCCTCTTATACCCCTTCCTCGTGACGCCTCCGCCTTGATACCAGCATCATTTCTTAACGACGGCCCAACTTCTATGCAAATTACTCTCTTCCAAATTCAATTCCAAAATGACCACACACATAATCAGCAGGGTGACGGTGTTTAAGATCCCAAAGCTGGAAGACCAGGAGGTTGTGCTGAGGGAGTTTACGAACCTCCAGCATGGTGCATTAAAAGTACGTATTGTTTCCCATTATCCAAAAGAATTACCAAAGTCGATAGGCTAACAAATTCACAGGATGGAGTCCCTTATATTCTCAGCGTCAAGGCAGGACATTGTTTCGAGGACACAAGAAGCCAAGGTTGCTCAATCGCTCTGCAAACAACATTTTCTGGCCTCGAAGACATGCAATTCTTCGATCACGAGTGTCGATATCATGAGGAGATGAAGAAAATTGTGGGACCGAGGATCACTTCACCACCACTTGTAGTCTATTTCAAAGACATCGTGGCATCCACTACAGCATAAAATAGAGGGTTAGGATGTATCAATGTTTACGGGTCATATCAATCCACGCCAAATTCATTGACTTATTCGCTTGTTACATCTCATCTGTAATGCAGTTTATTTCACCAGAATGAATGACCTTTGCAATAAGAAATACTCCATTGAATGATACCTTACCATCATGCTATTCCGACTTCCAGCTAGACATAGAGGGAAAGCAAAAATCACTGTGGGGTTTCGGGGGCTATTGACTGGTATGATCAGAAGAATGAAAGCCGATGGGCCGCTTAGACACGGGTGGTACAACGTTTTGGCTTGGAATAGCGTGCGTGATTCCGGTACTCATACAATCCACAACACCTAAGTGTGGTTTTCTTATAACAAGTGAAATAGCAAAGCCAAAATGACTGATTTTTGCTGTAGGGGGTATCTTCGAGCCAAACTTCCATTCCATTAAAAAGATAAACTATCTCAACGAGGGTCAGTAATTACACATCCCGGAATGTGAAGCATTAGAATATTGACTCATTGATAATCCTTAGACCGAGGATAAATTCTAAGTGGCAAACCTGGAACGGAAGCACAATGCTGGGTTGAACTCTTTACCGGGAGAATATCAATGCACGTGGAAGGTGAATTAATAAGGATTGAATATGGTCAATTGTTAAGCCACTTTATATACCCCCCCCCAATGTTCGTGCACGACCAGGCTTGATTCTACACCACTTATCAAAAGGCCCGAAATTTGAACATTCCGCCTCTGAGGAGACGCAACGCATACATTTTCCTGTCAACCACCATTGTGTTTCAATCATGGCAAAAAGCATTCTAGTCATCAATGGGCCAAATCTCAACCTACTGGGGACTCGGGAGCCAGCGATATATGGCTACGACACGTTAGATGACCTTGAGAACAAGGTCAAGACAGTTGCGGGATCGCTCGAAGTAGCTGTCCAGTTCTTCCAATCCAACCATGAAGGCGCGATTATCGACCGAATCCACGTCGCTCAGAAAGAGAAGATCGAAGCCATCATAATCAATCCGGCTGCGCTTACCCATACTTCAGTTGGCCTACGTGATGCTTTAAATGGCGTGTCGATACCGTTTATTGAAGTGCACATAGCCAATGTTCACTCCCGGGAGGAATTTCGTCACCATAGCTATCTTAGCGACAAGGCAGTTAGTGTGATATGCGGAATGGGAATCTTTGGATATGAGGCGGCGCTGATGTATGCAGCTCAGCATATTGGAGCCTGTCGACCTGAGCAGTGAATTTTTACCGCTAAGGATAGGATGATTCAGCGTCCACCCAAACTCCCAAGTGTTCTGTCTACCAACTCGGGTCAATTCGGAATTCCCGCACCATAACACGCTAATACTATCCTCTCAGGCTAGGACCTCTCTCAACAGGGGTCATCTTGATAGTTCTTCAATCAATCAATCAATCAATGACCGATGTCGATTGGCTCCCTTAGCACTAGTCCCTACAGATATCCGACGAGTCGACAGAACCAATGCGAAGTGAAACGAATACACTGAACTAGTTGTTACATAGGCTCCTGACACAAAAATTGCATTGCACTATAACAATTCTCTACTACATACTTTGTTAAGAGTAACTTGTATTATTTGACATCAACAAGATGGCACTAAGAGGTATATTAAGGGCGAAGATAATACATGCAATGATGGTCAGCATTCTTAATCCGCCTTCATATTCCGATAACTCCATTCCACCTCACTTCTCATTTGTCGACGAGGTGCTTTCCGGCCAGTCAGAGATTCGAATTGCGCAATTCCCTGTTCAGGCAGGAGTTCAAGGCCATCAACGATGACCCATCCATGTCCTGTCCTTTCCCGTAAGTTTCGGACTTCCTGAAGAAGTGGCGTATTCAAGGGCTTGTATGCCATCTAAAAGGTGAAGTTAGCATAGTTGTTTTGGTAGCGCCCCAGAATAGACACGATTCACTCACCTCTATAACCAATCCCCCGGAAGGACTGGAGAGCCAATGCAAAGGAATCCCGACATCTTGAAAGCCATATGCAGGGATACATGAAACGACAATGGTGGCAGGACACATATTTGAAGGCCAAGGATCCTCTATCGAGGGAAGCACATTCACGCCTTGAGAGGCTCTCTCCCTTCTGTAAGCAACCAAGAGTTAAAGTGGCTTGCGACTTTCTCAGCATTCCTGGGTGTTCTGTTGAAAATAAAGACTTTGAAGCAACCCAATTGCAAGAGGGCATATATGGCCGCGCGTGCCATACCACCAGCGCCGATTACCAATCCTGTTGTTTTGGAAGGCTGTATGACATTCCTCGGAGCCAGGTTGCGTGTTATACAAGCCGTCAGCCCAACCCAATCTGTGTTATCCCCATACAAGCCAGCGACATGGCCGGCCCGCCCACGATCAGCTATGTGGCTGCCCGGAAGGAAATTCTCACCATCCCTGGACGACCGCAGAGGCATCAGTGTGTTTATTGCCCCAATATTCTGGGCATGAGTGCTTATCCCAGCAACAATCTCCAGGAGGGTCACTTTGAAAGGCCAGCTGATGATAGCGCCTCCAAACTGCGGATCTTGTGAGACCTTCCGGATATCCGATAATGAAGATGTGACATATTTTTCAGCGGTATGCCTTAAGCCACATGCTCGGTAGGCAGCAGTGTACATTGCTGGGGCAAGACTGTGGGAGACACCGGCACCAAACACATAGAAACGGAGGGGATCAAAAACCCCCCTATCAAATAATTCTTTCATAATATCTCTCGCGGTGGGAAAATGGATTGGATTGGCGTCTTTAATTGAATGGAGAGAGTGAACCGGTGTTAAGGTATGATTTGAGAACAACGATTCCCTTCCCAGATCTCCAATGTTGTAGGCAATTAACACAACCCGAGGGGTAACCAACGATTGAAGACGTCTTTTGAATTCTCGCAAGTCGTCATTGTCATTGACGGACAAAGCAGGCTGGGTAAGTTGTACAACATCACAACCAAGCTCCACCGCCTTTTGTATTTGGCAAGGCGATCCTGTCCAAGCCAGGCTCGTTTACTTGGCTCCGGCTCGAACGAATGGCCAATAATCTTCGTTCGACCTTTCGTGCAAATAATCGATCGTAGCTTGTCGTGGTCGTCATCAATCTCAACAACCAGGAATTCAACCCCCAAGCGAAGCCCTTGACGCATCAGGTAGTAACGGATTGAGTCACGGTCTGTCTTTGACAGGTCATCCAGCACATTGGAAAGTACACTCTGATCCACTTGATATATGATTGGAACGCCTACATGTCTTCTGATAGAAGCTATGTGACAGCGTATGTGAGACAGGGCATTCTGCGAAAAGTCATCAACTTTGAAGATTACAGCATCTTCGCATGACTCGAGCTGCCCTGCATCAAATCCATTACACATTATGTCAGAGAGACAAAGAGTGACCGCAAATGTGTAATGCCGGTCTTCGATTGGCACGGACGACAGTGCAAATGGGGTTGCAACGTTGATGATAGGAAGCGGCAGCCCTAGTATATGACGAATAAAGTAGCAAAAGTCTTCTTTGGCTGCCTTCAACTTGAAAGAATAGTTGGGCGAGCGCCTGTCCAAGTTCCCTGCACCACCATACGTCTCACAGTTGTCATCGTAGAGATTATAGTATTCGAAGTTTGAACAAACCTCATGGGTCGGATCGCCGCGTTCCATGAGCTTGGCTTCCGCATCCCCAAGGCACAAGAGAGCCCTGATATGGTCCATATTTCTGACAATATGAATTACAGGGTTCGTCTTGCAAAGCACCTTCAAAAATGTTTGCACTTCGCCTGCTAGGCTCCCCAGCCCGCACTCTATTACACACCTCTTTCGGTTCCTGTCCAGCATAGCCTTGATCACTTCAATGTTCTTCCTGTGGAATGCCAATCTTCCCGACTGATGCAAATACTGGGCCCTGGTTGCACCTGTCATCTCTTCAAAATACTGGTCCTCTGTGATAAAGCGCCACTGCAGTTCTGCTGACGCAATGAACCCCAATGAGCGCTTGCCACTTCCTCGTAAGCCTATGAGAATGATGGACGCATCTTTTGAGAAAGATCGGCTAGCAGATACATCACATAAAAACCAAGGCGATTGAAGTTTCCCGTGGGCGGCTAGACACGAGTTCACAATGCTCACAGTGTCAAGTTCATTCTCAGACATTGCTTTTTTGAGCCCCTGTGGAGGTAGCTGAGAAATTTTATCAATGACAGGACCAGAGAAGGACAGCGCCATTCCTAATGTAGGAGGGGTAAAACTCGAGATCAGGTCTGCTGGCGATTTCCAGAGCAATTCCCTTGAAGTCTAACTCTGTCTGGTTGGAAGAAAGCGGCCGAGATACTGACCTCCAGGGCCAGGAGTAGTGGAGTGCACAAATTTTGAAGGGAGGTGAAGAAAGACTGTGTATATGTTGCTAGGAAAGCCACTGGAGGTGGGCAAACGCTGTCGGAGATCCGATCCGATGACGTAGGGAGTGGCAACCTCGGGAAAGGTCACAGCCGAACGCGCAGGCCGATGAGTTTGATCGACGGCACACCACCACGGCACGACAACCATTCCGCCGATACGATGATGTGAATGCTCTGTGGCATTTTATACGTTAAGACCTGTCTGAGAAACTCCTAGTCGATGCAATGTCAACGGTGAGAAGGCAATTTGCTCGATCCACCATTGACTCCCTTCCCTTGCTGCAAGCAAGACCTTTCTCGCTGAGCCAGAATGCAGTCCAGTGATCGAAAACGAAAGCGGCAGACCAGTTTAAACCCCCCCAAGAGAGTCACCCGGGCCTGTCAACGATGCCGTGCTCGTAAGTACAAGTGCGATGGTGCTCAACCGTGTTCTACATGCTCTGCCGCTAGTCACGCCTGCCAATATGATCGCTCCTTCAGGAAAAGAGGATTGGTGGAGGGATATGTTCGGGGGCTTGAAAGACTGCTCGGTCTAGCTATATCAACCCAGCCCGATTTTGAAGAGCTGGTTGTTTCGATCTTGAGAAACCGAAGTGATAGCAACGTTCGAATTAAATCTCCAACACACGGTTGGATTGTTGGCCGCAACAAGGGGATCTTACTTGCGTCATGGAAAGAGAGCGAGATATTAGGGAAAATTGAAACTCTGCTCCCTGCTCTTGAAGCTTTAGACGCGGCTCCGGAGAGAATATCGAAGCCCAACGAAGAGGATGGACTGGCCACAGCAGATGCGGAGCGGTGTCCTCTCGAGGACACTGGCCCAACACAGGGTACAGTCGATTTGAGTGTTGAAGAGACGTTTGATGCCACCCAAATGCTTTTTCCGACTACGTTTGACACGGACAACGTAACGCAAGCTGTTCCCAACAGTCCCGTAATGGGTACGGAGACACATCGCACCGAATTAGCCCCCGAGCATTTCTCAGAGTGTCCGCCTGCCCTTGCAGCACCTGTCAACAAAGACCCTTCGTCTTCTCACCCGATAATACTCCCCGAACTTCCAAAACGAGCTGCGAAGCTTCTTCAAGACTATTTTACCTCCACGCACTGCTGGCTTCCTATCATTGGAAAACATGATACCTTCAAGCTTTCCTATCAATATAAAGGAAAATCTAGTATAGTTGCAACAAAGTCCTCTTGTCCCGGTGAATTTGCGGCTCTCTGGGCCATTCTTGCATATCAAGCTTCTTACGAAGAAGAATATTTACATCGGCCTTCTGACGGAGTCATTCGACAAAGAGAGTCTACCAAAGCCTTATATGTAACCGCAAGGGGTCTCATACCTTCGGAGGACATGGAGTTTGAGCTTGGTCATGTTCAAGCGCTTTTACTCCTGACACTATACAATGCTCGACTTGGTGAATGGAGCGCTGCCTGGTTGCTCTGCGGGCAAGCTATCCGGGTTGCATGTGATTTGAATTTGGTCAAGTCTTGCTCCTCAGCAAAGCATGCAGGGCAATCTCAACAGAACGGCAGCTGCAATCGAATAAAAGCTGTGGTATTCGGATGTTTTATTTTGGAAACAATACTAGCTGCACGCCTGGGAAGGGAACCGCATTTTCGATGCAAAGCCCTCCAACCTGTTGGTCTTCTTGCAGAAGATGGGCCCGAAGAATGGGAGGTGTGGCAGTATTCCACTGCATCACAGGATGAAAACATGCCTCTGAGTCCCTCGTTTTTATTAAGCACGTTCAATCGCCTGGTTGAAGTCACGCAAGTTTTGAATGACGTTTTGTGTGATCAGTCCCGTCTGCACGAACGGCAATCAGGTATCGATGGCTACCATTCTCGGCTGTCAAATATCAAAGAAAAATGCCGACAGACATATTTGCCGAATTGGATGCAACATGCCATGCCCCATCAAAGCATTCTACTGCTAATGTGGATGGTTACTGCAAGAAAAATAGGAGACCAAACATCCCAGTGCCAGCCTCAGTCAACGTTCGACGCTAGAATACCTGGCATGAAGGACCTCACCGTACAGCTTCAGAGTTGTGATAAAGCGTTCCAAGGTCGCGGGTTGCCTCCAGTCATTGAGTGTTTCGCATATGCAGTCTTGTGCGAGCTGAATTTACGACATGAAACCTCCGAATCAGGTTTGTCGCCGGAATGTCAGCTATTGAAAGCGACTCTATTTGATATTACGTGCGTTGGAACTGGGCAAGCTTTCCGGACACTACAAGAAGGACTACGTAACTATAGCGAGTCACACTATCGTGGTGTTTCTGACGACATGGCGTATGCTGCACGTGCGCTACTCGACTTTCCTACTACTGCATCAAGGCGTGCAAGCTCACCGACTGCTTCGCAATACCAACCTAACAATACCGACCCTCTTGTGCCAACCTCATCACCACGGCCATCTCCGTGCCTTGGTGAAAGTGACACCCGACATGCTCCCCATTGCCAAGAATCTCCCGTAAGAACTACTACACTGCCTTTGTCTGATTATGCCTGGGATACCTCTATTCCTGGAAGTAATAACATTGACGAGGTATTTCTTGGGCTTGCCCATCTGGACATAACTGAATGGTAAGCACTTCCTGCATGACTACTACCTTTGTACACCGACGATCTAACTTGGTGGGAAGGTCTGTCGGCTGGACCGTTGGCCTTGAGGACCTTGGGTTTACAGATGATACCAACTTTCGTGCCTTCTGTAACGATCAACATCGAACAGGGCTTCCGTAGGTCGTTAATTCGCATCAAGCCCAGATATTTCCTTTCTTCACTTGCAATTTCTCGCTTTTTTTATATGTATTGTCACCGGCCCTAGGTTCATGGTAGGTTCCTAGGTTACTTGGCAGCTTATCGTGTCGGAAATCAAACATGTGAGATTGGACTACGGCGGCCGATAAATGCCATTCTCCAAAACCAATAAAACCAGCAGAATTCTTCTCTGACTAAGCTAAATTTCTAAAATTTACTAAGCCATCCAGGTCACCTCACCCCCAATAAATCTTTTTGGAAGCAAGAACCGTAGGATATCATATCTCTCAACAAAACGTCTTTAATTCGTCTTAAGAATTATCAGTTATTCTTCTGTTAATGTTAAAAACTCCTTATGGAAGATATAGTTAGTTAGTTAATATAGGGGCTTATTAACTAGGTGAGACAAAAGAGTAGAAAGGGGGAATGCATTGAAATAAAAAGGAGAGAGTCGGGGGACAAGAGAGTTATTTAATATCCGTGCCTTACTGCCCACCCATACCGCTCCGCTTATGGGTGCGCCACGCATTCTTCGTAACCACGCATCTTCGTAATTCGGTACCTTTTGTATATCCTCACCATACAAAAGGTACTTACTTCATAAGTCTCGCTTTTTCTTGAATATCTTAGTGGACTATCACGGATTAACAGATTTGATATAGTAGTAATATAATGTAAAGCTAGACGATATTTAATATCGCACTAATTAATAGATTAGGCATAGAATAAGAGGAATAAATTGCTCTTAAAATTCCCTCATAGTAAATTTTTCTTAGAGGGAAGATAAACAGGTAATTAAATAATCTTTCTAGACCTAATTCCGTTCTTAAGCAGAAGGAATGGCTAGAAGAAGTAGTGATTTAAATTGATAGAAGAAATTTAAGAAACCAATCAGACTTCCCGTATAGTTATATCCGAAAATCGATTTTATTTGATGACGTACCTTTTACATGGTGAGGGTATACAAAAGGTACCGAATTACGAAGAATGCGTGGCGCACCCATAAGCGGAGCGGTATGGGCGGGCAGTAAGGCACGGATATGGACAGACTGTACGATTCGGAAAATGGTTCCTACGGTTACCCGCCGATTCGGTAGACATAAAAAGAGTTTCCTACCCACATGTCACATGAGATATTATATAGGAGAACAGGCTAGGCTTCTTATGAGGGCGGTGACAAGGGCGGAAGGAGTTTGGAGAATGGCGTACACCAGCCGCCGTACCGGAGGGAGTTGGCAGTACTCATGCATTCGATCTGTTCGGTAATTAAACCTAATTGCTGGCCGATCGAGCCACCCTGCCGTTCGGGCCACCCCAAAACACCATACTAAATGCATTATTTCACAACTTCATATTCTAACACTCGAGGTTAATTAAATGGTCTTGGGGTATCTTGATGTTAGATACATCATAATAGGTTATTTCCATAAGCTCGAGAAATGTTTTAGGGCGGGATAAAATAGAGATAAATATCTATATTGCTCCGTCGGAGCGTATTTTTGGTGATATAAGTAAATAATTGTTTTCAGAATATTTTAGCTATACAAATCTATTGACAGTACGAGGGAGTTATCATAGATTTAACATGGAGTAAAGATACTTCCTTGTCATTGATATATCGACAGCTGAAAAATCGCATTTAGTATGGTGTTTTGGGGTGGCCTAGACGGCTGGGTGGCTCGATCGGCCAGGAAATACGTTAGTAGGGTGCCAATTTAGACCTTCGAAATATTCCATAGGTGCATGAGTATCGCCGCCTTTCCGTTGTTCCGATATATCCTGATAGAAATTCGGCGTAATACATCTCTGACCACTTTAGTCACATCGACGACTCATGGGAAGACCTTACCCGACCAATGATCTCGGGTAGTCCAGTTGCTCTGGCGGCGGCTAAATTCCTTCCCTACGCTATGCGGGTTCTAGCCCCGGCCGCTGCCTTTCAATATTATCGATGACCTTGGTATAAATAGTAACAGTAGATATCACCAATGTTTTCTTCAGGCCACTTTTTACAGAGTCTCTGGCGCAAAATCGTGAAGATGGTAAAATTGATGGACAAACTCCTTGATAAGAATATTTTGGTTGTAGGGGGCAGCTCTGGGTGAGTGATCCAAGCAGAAATTATTCAACTCATCACAGATCTATTAGTGGCATATTGACATAATACAGCATTGGTTATGGCGCGGCACAAATTCTCCTTGATCAGGGCGCGATTGTCACTATAGTGTCCTCATCGGAAGGAAAGGTCCAGTCAGCTATCAAGCGACTAAGTGGTAAAGCCAAAGGGGCCATTGGAGATGTTCGGGACGAAGCTGCTTTCACGAGGCTACTGAAGTCCTTAGGGCCGTTCGACCATGTGATTTTTTCTGGAGTCGATAAAATTATCAGAGGAAATATCGCCGATGCTGACCTAGAAAACGCTAAATACTTATTTGGGGTAAAGTTCTGGGGTGCCGTGGTGGTCGGCAAAGGTAAAGAACCATCTCGTCCTTTGACTCAACCACTCGACTAAAATACCATTCTATTTCTTCAAAAGCGGCTGCGAAGTATGATATAATTAAACCCGGTGGCTCTCTCACCCTCACTTCTGGCGCGGCAGCCTTAAGACCGGGGAAAGGCGCCGCGATCGGCGGGGCACTGAATGGTGGAGTGGTTTCGTTGACCCAGGGGTTGGCGAGTGATCTTGCTCATAAGGGAATACGAGTCAATACTGTTGTGCCTGGGCTAGTCAAGACTGAGCTGTGGGATAAGCAAGGCCAGACGAAAGAACAACAAAAGCAGACATTTGACTCTGTGTCGAGTGGGCTCCCTGTCGGATTCGTGGCTAGCCCTGACGATATTGCCGAGGCCTATCTCTATGCAGTCAGGGCTGATTATGCATGCGGAAGTCTCATTGTCATCGGTGCGTACTAATCCTTTCATTGATAGCAGTCAACTTTGCTGATCATGTTGTAGATGGTGGAAGCGTTATGTGAATGCAATCGAGGGCGGTTTGTTTCTACCCTGTATCAATTCAGAATAGTATTAGCGGTCTCGCCGCCGGTCTCCATTCGAATATATTTCAAAATCCCGGCTGAACACAGCTTCGATGCTAGAATTATTTTGTTGTCATGGACTGAAAAATAGTGGTTATGTATCCAAGGGTTCTTGATGGTTTTACGTGACGACCTGCAGGTGGCTGGGAATCTGTCATGATAGGACGGAAAGTCAATCTCGTCCATGAACCATGTGTCGGGCCTAGAATGACTTTGAAGATCATCAATTTTGCAGGGCGTCAGGCCTCCAAAGCCGGCATTAGATCTTGGCGTCATAGCTAGTGTGTTGTGCTACTATTGAATGGGTTGGCAAGAGGCATAGATTTATTCAGAAGATATTGCACTCTACATCTATCCATTCTTCTGGGTCATCTATTGACAAACCCATTACTTCTCGAAGAAACCGGTAAAGACAACCGTAAAGCTCCAGCAACTCTTTGTTTGCGGCACATAATGGCCACCATGGTACTGATAGAGCCAAGGGTTCTTGTATTGCCGTGCAAGCTTTGTCGCCTGGGCCGGAGAAATCGTTGCATCTGAAAGGCCTATAGTGTGGAAAGTCGGGGTTGCGATCTTCGGCGAGTAAATTCACTAGTTTCGAAAAATCACTTTACTGAGGATGGATCGGCCATACATCTGCCATAAATGACATCATATCACGCCAACGAAAGTGGAGTACCACAGGTTGCGATATCTAGATTATCAAAGTGTTTTCCCATTTCGTCAAACGCCCGGTCACCGTTTACCTATATCCAATCAATATCATCTGAGCGCAACCAGATGCGACGTACAGGACGTAGATGCCTGAGGTGAGTGAATGCAACATGTCAATGTCCACGTGATGTTGGTGGTGTCTACACACTAAGAGCACTACTTTGGCCCAAGGCGACATTGAAGTCAGCCTCGCCGTTGATTTGGCCAATCCTAGGTTGGAATTCGATGGTATGCAGGTGCGAAGAGACCGTGGTTTCAGGCAGATCGAGGTGAACCAATAACGCTGTATCTGAGTTCAGCTGAGAGGGTCTGTGTGGTAATCGCGACGGAGTGTGAGAATCACCCGCTCTCACCCAGCTTCTCGCCCTGTCTATTGCGCACTCACCCTTCTCACCCAGGTCGCGCGACGCTAAAGCGGCGCTCACCCACTTCTCACCCAGGCGGCACCCACCCTACTATCTGCCGCACATAAGCCACACGCCGGCCAGTTAGTAGTATGGTGGGTGACCACATGCGAATCCTGGCTGTTGTATGTTTTGGTCTCTTTTTTTTGGCATGATTGCCAGCCAATTTTTCGAGTGTTTCGAGGAATAGTGGCTCAGAGCACTAACCGAGACTTACAAAGCGTGTGTGATTTTGTCTGTAGTATTTCTGTAGCGGACCTTTCACAGAGTCTAGAATTCGAAGTTTTGTCCTTTCGTTGTATCCTCTTCCTAGGCGCGAAAGTTGTCTGCTTGAGCTTCGTAAGATCTATCCGATGTTATGTCTCTTTGCAAACATACTCACGATGAGAGTAATTCCTGAGACCCCAACACCAATCGCCCATATTGCTCGCAGGCTTTGGACATATGCCGATCTGATTTGAAACCGAGTAGCTTTGTCCGTCTGGTCCAGGAAATTCAGCACATCAAATGCATCTCGGCTATATCGATCTGCGACGGAGGCCAGACGCGAGTTCTGCAGCAAGATTGTTCGAGCACGATTTTCGAAAGTGGCACCGCCGACTGCAACACCGAGCGCCTGCCCAAAGCTCCGGGAGAACGTTGACAGGGTGATGGCAATGGAAACATGTTCTGGAAGGACCGAGGCTTGCACGGCGACAGCTATTGCCGGTATTCCCGTTCCGAACCCGAGACCAGACACCATGCACAGGAATATCCAAGCAGGTGTACTTGTTTCGACCTGAAGGAGACAGAGTAGCCCCAGCCCAAGCGTACAAAGGGCCCAACTTGTCAACACGGTCCAATAGCAATTGCCAGTAACGGCTATAAGAGAACCGGTAAGAATAGCTATCGGAGCAATGGTTAATGTGGCGGGGAAAAGGGCCACACCAGCAATGATTGAGTTGTATCCTTTTACAGCCTCAAAGTAAAGCGGGAGGTAGTACAGTTCACACCAAAGCAAAAATCCCATAGCACAATAGCCAATCAATGAAATTGCTGTGGATTTGTTGCGGAAGATCACTGGTGGAATTAGGGGGAAGGTTGAATACAGACATTCATATGCGCCAAAGGCGACGAGCCCCATAATCCCGAGGATTAATGCCGCCAACGTGTGCCAAGAGTTCCACGGAAACATGATGCCACCCCATGAGAGAGGGATCAGGAAAGAACTAGCGCTGATGACGAAAATGAATATGCCAATGAAGTCGATTTTGTGGAATTGAGTCCTGAACGCACCAAGCGTAGAACTTCGGGGCATGAAGCAAACAATCAGAAACCTTCCTATCCCTATAAAGGGAAAGTTTATGTAGAACATCCAGCGCTGTAAGCGACATTAGGCTACTGGCATTATCTTTGCAGGCATGAGGCTTTCGACTTACCCAAGTCGATCTTTCCGCGAAACAACCACCTATGACTGGCCCAATGACTGAACCAAGTGCCCAGGTAGAGCTCAGTAAGCCAAAGTATACTGCTCGACGTTTTAACGGAACGTAGTCGGCAATCACGATGCCGGTAAGAGTGATAAGTCCACCGCCGCCAATGCCTTGAAGAGACCTGCCAAGCAGCAGTCGGAACACGTTATGAGCTGAACCGGCCAGAATAGCGCCAATAAAGAAGAAGAAAATCGCAATCATGATGAAGATCTTGCGACAAAATAAAATTGACAGGGAGCCAAAGATGGGCTGGCAGATTGCGCAGCATAGGAGGTACGATGTCCCCGCCCAGAAGGCTTCAATGGCAGATGCATGTAGCTCCATGGCGAGAGCCTGGACCTCACGTTAATTATTATCCAAGCATTTCAAACACTTTTACTTACTGGCAGTGCCACTGAAATAGATGAGCCATCCAAAGCTGCCATGAAGCTGAGGACCATGAGCGCAGTAAATGTCAAGCGCTGACCCGTAGTGAGGTAGAAGGCATTCATGGTCTCCTCGTTGCCATCGAGCTCGAGCAACTCGGGTTTTCTTCTCATGATGTCTAGCTGGACTGGTCACGTTGCAGAATGTCAGAAATGGGCTTCCTCATCCCCTCACAGGCTGTTCCCGTAGTTGATTATATAAACTATGGCAGTCCTTGGTGGGTTGACACTCTACCATGATTCAAGACGCAAATAACTTCATTCCACATATTTGTTTCTTTATTCACAAGATAGACTTTCTGTGGACTACGCCAGTGGAGCCCACTAAGAGGCCAATCAACGGGTATACGCCTATCCTTCCATGTACAGCATCACTATACGTAGGCCTATCTTGTTCAACACGCATGCCTCACAACCCTCTTAAGTGGGAGCTCTAGGGAAAATTCTTTTGAAGCATATTGATTGGCTCTTCGAGCTATAATAACCAGATTTTCTCGGTCGGCAAGGGGTTTCTTGGATTGAATGAAGGTAACTGTGGAATTTCAATATAGAAGTATCCGTGCCCTTTGGTAACACCCACCGCTTCCGCTTTTGGGTGCACCACGGTTTACCGGAAGTCACCAAACACCGTCTCTTTTTCAACACCTACCTACAATCAGCTATTTCAACCACCCAACATGACTAAATCTGCTAATTTTGACGAATCTCGCATGGCCGAAGCCTGCAGATTGGCTTCGGGCCAAAAGAGACCGAATATCACGAAGATTGCGCGTGAATTCAACGTGTCTCGCACTACACTGGCCGATCGCGTCAAAAAGGCCAAAACGCCTGCTACACCCACTACACCACTGAAAAATGCCCTTTCGCTATACCAGGAGAAGGCCTTGACCAATTGGATAGTCTAAATGTATAAGTGGAATCTACCACCTACTGCCGGGGTTATCCAGGCGTGGGCAAATCGCGCGCTTGAGCGAGCGGGCCGGGATAGGCAGGTTAGCAAGATGTGGGCGTACCGCTTTGAAGCGCGTCTCCTAAAGCACCTGAATCTAGCCCCAGTGAAGCAGAAGACCAAGGAGAAGAATCGAATCCAAGCTGAAGATGCAGGGCTTCTTGCGCACTGGTACGACCAGCTTGCAGCTCTTCTCTATGGTGTCCCCGCACGGCTAGTATACAACTTCGATGAATGCGGCTTCCAACCCGGTCAAGGGCAATCTCGAAAGGTTATTGGCTCTAAATCATCTTACCCTGACCTAGCCGAAGGAGAGAGGGGCGAGACTATTACTGCAGTTGAATGTATTAGTGCAGATGGCTGGCTGATGGACCCGCTCTTTATCTTCAAAGGTAGTGGGAAGAATCTTATAGAGGCCTGGTTCTACGGTAGTGAAGATCTCCTACGCGAAACTGGCACTGCAATCTCACTAAACGGCTGGATTTCTGATGAATTAGCCCTATCCTGGCTAGGCTATTTCATTACTGCTACTACCGATCGGGTGAAAAGGGGCGAAAAGCGCTATCTTATATTTGATAGCCATGGCGCGCATCTTACCCTCGAATTCCTATAGAAATGCGAGGATAATGCGATTATCCTATTCGGCTTCCTACCTCATTCAACGTATCTCTGTCAACCACTTGATGGCAAGCCTTTCTTGAATTATAAGTAGCAATTTCGGCTTATGAATAATGAGCTATCCTTCTGGGGTGGCCAGCCGTACGGGAAGGCAGATTTCCTATCTATAATTGGCCCGATTCGATCGAAAACCTTTAGCCAACGAATTATTCGCGATTCTTTTAAAGAGCGTGGAATCTGGCCGGTTGATGGTAGTAAGATTGTTGAAAATCTTACGAATCAACTAGTAATTTCTGATATCTATGCACCTAATCTTCGGTCGCGTACGGCTACACCTACTTCTACACTATCTCCGCCACTAAATCTCTCGTCTTCTAGTATTGAAAATAGCCCTCCAAAATCTATTGAAGCACTAGAGAAGAACCAGGCGAAGATTTACAAACACCTCAATTCTCTTTCAGAGAAGATGCAGCGAGATCTTACCAAAATCTTCGCCCACCAGCGAGAGAAGCTTGAAGAGCTTGCCATGACCCAAGATACAATTCGGCGAATCAGATCTGTACAAGAGCCAGTACGTCGCCAATATACTAAGCGGCAGGTTAAACCGCTTAGTCAAGATGGTATATTGAAGCCTCGCGATGCAAATCGATCAATTCGTGACAGGAAGGCGAAAGAGATGGCTAAGGAGGAGAGGAAGCTGGCTAAGGCGTATGGTTTTAAACCTACAAAAAGGCCTGCTGAGGCTATTCAACGGGCAATTGAGAATGAGGAGAAGGCGAGAGAGCAGGGAGATTTTTTTTTTATTGATAACTAGCTAATTGGTTGATTAATTCGATGATTTCTTGAAAAAGAGACGGTGTTTGGTGACTTCCGGTAAACCGTGGTGCACCCAAAAGCGGAAGCGGTGGGTGTTACCAAAGGGCACGGATAAGGTTTTCTCAATAGTTCTAAGCAAGGACCTTTTTTTTTCCAAACTACTGTACATGCAGGTTAAAGTATAATTGAGGAACGTAGGAACCAGATGCCTACTCGCAAACTCTATGATTATGGACCCGTCATCCATGGATTGTCTATTATGTGCGCCCTACGTTCTTTGTGTGCCTTGCTTTCATTCAATATCTCTTCTGCTTTTCTCATGATGTGTGTAATCTTTTGACTCGAAACTGCGGCAAACACCCTGTTCACCCTTTTTTAGATATATCAGTGCGGCGATCTTTTGTTAAATCTCCGTCAGGTTTTACAAGTCCAAGGGGCTGGAACATACCGCGGCACCTTAATTTTTGATTATACCTATCTCTCTAGTTGGCCAAGAATCCTTCGGATCTACATCAGAATTGACTGCTTTAGAGAGTTTTTTTTTTTTTTTAACATCCTTCACCTTTCAACGACGAACAGCAACCAACACGGTGCCGTTTCTCTTGTCAACCCATACTCCAAATTCGGCAGGTACGAGCGCTACGAACTCGTCCTACAGAGTCCCCTGAGACATTGGTCGCGATTCGGTTGTCAGTATCTCCGTGTTTTCTGGGGAAATCCAACCTCAGAATCTCTTGAGGCCGTGATTCCGACATGACGATCAACGACGGTGTTGCGACGTACAGCTCTAATGACAGCTACGGAGGCATCGTTAATGATGCTATTCCTAATGGTATCAATCAAACAGATGAAGTGAGCCCGGTTGATGGCACAAGCAGTCAAGATATCTCTCCGAAAAAGACCGACAAAATTGCAGCTCCCGAGCCGATTGCCATTGTGGGCATGGCCATGCGCCTTCCAGGAGGCGTTAACAGTGCTACTGATTTCTGGAACTTGTTGATGGATAAGCGCAACGGGTGCATACGTGTCCCAGAAGACCGTTATAATGTGGACGCGTTCTACAGCGAGAGTGGAAAGCCAGGGACAGTTCATACGCAGTATGGAAACTTCTTGCAGGACAACATCAAGCATTTTGACGCATCATTCTTCTCTATGACTCGTTCAGAGACTGAAAAGCTTGATCCACAGGCCAGGCTACTTCTCGAAGTGAGTAGAGAAGTGCTTGAGAACGCTGGAGAGACGCAATGGCGAGGCCAACGCATTGGATGCTATGTCGGTGTTTTCGGAGAGGACTGGCAGGATATCCACCTGAAGGATAGTCAGGATGCGGGGATGTACCGGGTTACAGGATATGGTGATGTATGTCTTCCTCGATGACTATCTTCTTGCTGATGTGCTCAGCTGAGGCAATCATTGTTCACAGTTCCTATTAGCCAATCGCATCTCTTATGAGTACGATATGAAAGGACCCAGGTAAATTCTCTTTTCTCTTCTCCCAAAAAAGTTTTGCGGCGTACAAAGGCATCTTACGCTGAATATCTGGTGAATAAAGCGCAACTATCAAGACGGGCTGTTCCTCGTCGCTCATTTGTCTGCATATGGCATGCAAAGCAATTGCAAACAACGAGTGTGATGGTGCCATCGTTGCTGGTACCAACTTGATCATGTCGCCAACTATAACAATCGCCATGTCCGAGCAAGGTGTGCTGTCACCGGATGCAGCTTGTAAGGCATTTGATGCAAGAGCAAACGGCTATGCCCGAGGAGAAGGTACACCGTTCTAATCCTCACCAGTGTAACTGAAGATCCTCGCTAAGATTCATATGAAGCAATCAACGCGGTTTACATCAAACGGCTCAGTGACGCGATCAGAGATAGGAATCCAATTCAAGCAGTGATTCGAGCTACGGCTAGCAACTGTGATGGCAGAACACCGGGAATCTCGCATCCAAGCTCCGAGAGCCACGAAGTCTTGATGCGGGCTGCTTATACTGCGGCTGGCCTCAATGATTACTCTGATATGGGATTCGTGGAGTGTCATGGGACAGGGACGTCAATTGGTAGGAATTCCCTTGGGCTACTCGCTTGAGTACTGAGCGGAAATAACTTCCTCGATAGGTGACCCCTTGGAAGCGCAAGCTGTAGCCAACGTGTTTGGAGAGCGAGGAGTGTATGTTGGATCGGTAAGGCTCTAACTGGATTTTGCTGTTTGTGGCTCTTCAAAATGGCTGATACTTCACAGTGTAAACCTAATGTCGGCCACTCTGAGGGTGCATCTGGGATTACAGGAGTCATCAAGGGCGTACTTGCTTTGCAGCACAAGACCATTCCCCCGAACATCAATTTCCGAACACCAAATCCTAAGAGTATGTTTGCCTCCGGACCAGCTGTTGGCTCGACTGCTAAAGAAATCATCCAGTCCCGTTCGATAAGCTGAAAGTCCCAACGGACGCTATCCCCTGGCCGAAAAGCTGCGCGGAGAGAGTCTGCGTCAATTCTTTCGGCTTAGGTGGTGCAAATGCGACTGTAAGTCCGGCAAATTCACTGCCAATCAAATCTTAAATCTCTGGCTAACACGAGCAAGGTCATTCTCGATTCCGCTGCATCTCATGGCTTGCAAACACAAACAGTTCTTTCTCGGAAAAAAGAAGAGCTCCTCGTCTTCTCGGCAAATCATACCGACTCACTGGAGCAACTGGTTGCGAACTCGAAGGAATTCCTCGAAACGAATCCAGAGGCAACGGCTGACCTGGCGTACACTCTCGGTGCCCGCCGAGAGCATCTGCCATTTCGCAAATTCTTGATTACCGGCGATAGCATCACCGAGGGACTCACTGGAGTAAAACCAAGCTGCGAACAGACAATCAACTTTGTGTTTACTGGCCAAGGCGCCCAGTGGGTTGGAATGGGCAGGGAGCTACTACGTGCGTATCCCTCCGTCCGAGAGAATATCAGACAACTCGATAGTACCCTCCAGCGACTGCCAGATGGCCCGTCTTGGTTGATTGAAAAGGAGCTTCTCACGACGGAACCTTCCACTGATGACGAGAATTTTGCCAACAAGATGGCCATGCGGTTTGGAAAGGCGGAATTCGCGCAGCCACTTTGTACGGCTGTGCAAATTGTCATCATCAATCTTCTCAAAGCTTGGGGAATTACTCCGAGTGCCGTTGTTGGTCACTCCAGTGGAGAGATTGCGGCTGCGTATGCTGCAAATGCCATCACTCAAGAAGAGGCAATCATTGCTGCATTTTATCGGGGCTTGTGTGTGAAGTTACAGACGAAGCGGGGTGGTATGGCAGCTGTTGGGCTTGGACAAGATGACATCAAACGCTTCTTGATCGACGGCGTGGTTGTGGCCTGCGAGAATAGCCCCAGCAGTGTCACAATATCCGGTGACGTAGAACCAATGGAGAAAGTCCTTGAACAGATCAAACATGAATTGCCCGGAGCTTTTACCAGGGTTTTGAAGGTCGAGATGGCGTATCATTCCCGTGAGTATCGTTCCCTCTGATCTCACCTCATACAGAAAGTTACTCTGCTAACAGCTTTATGACACAGATCACATGGCGGAGGTCGGACGTGAATATCAGGCTGCAATCGAGGATTTGATTGACGCAAAGAAACCCGAGATCGCATTCTTCTCCAGCGTCACTGGAGAGCTGGTTAATGCAAATGGATCATTGGGCCCTGCTTATTGGCGAGCAAATTTGGAGTCAACAGTGCGGTTCTCTAGAGCAGTCATGACTCTGCTGAAGGGTAGCTCAGGAGATCAGATTTTCCTTGAAATCGGTCCACATGCTGCTCTTCAGGGTCCGCTTCGCCAGATCCTCAAATCGTGCAACGCTCGGACTTTGAACTACTATACCGCATTAGTTCGCAACACCAGCGCCACTTTGAGCATTTTGCAATGTGTTGGGCAACTCTATGTCCGAGGATTACCGATTGACTTCAAAAGCATGGCCCCAGGCAGGGTACTCACAGACTTGAGGCCATATCCTTGGCACCACGAACTTGAATACTGGGACGAAAGCCGTATTTCCAAAGATTGGCGTTTTCGCAAGTATTGCCACCATGAAATTCTGGGAAGCCGAATCAGCGATGGCTCTGACCTGGAGCCAACGTGGAGAAACCTGCTCAGAATGGAGGAGTGCTCCTGGATTCGTGACCATCAAGTTTCCTCTGACATCATTTTCCCTGGAGCAGGGTATATTGCCATGGCTGGTGAAGCCATTCGGCAGCTGACTAGCGCTGAAGACTTCACAGTCCGCGAGGTAACCCTTGCTTCGGCTATGGTAATCAGCGAGTCACAAAACACTGAGCTTATAACCTCGCTGAGGCCTCTTCGTCTGACCAACTCCCTCGACTCTGTTTGGTACGAATTCTCTATCACATCCTACAATGGTGCTTCCTGGACCAAGCACTGTTTCGGCCAGGCGCGTCCCGGTCCGGAGCATGACTTGAAACCCCCAGGACATGAAGCGCTGCCCAGAAATGTCTCATCCGCAAAATGGTATCAAACCATGCGAAGCATTGGGCTCCAATACGGGCCCAGATTCCAGGGACTGGATGAGATCTCTACAGGGACGAATCAGATGGTCGCGAATGCTTCATTGTCAAATGAGCTGCACGCCGATGAAGCTTTTTACGCGATGCACCCGTCTACCATTGATATGTGCATTCAGCTTTTCAGCGCCGCTGCTACCTATGGTCAGCCACGCAGGCTTAGATTGCTTTCGGTGCCCAGTGCGATTGAGAGCCTCTATATCGCACGACCTGAGAGCAGGATAAACATAACCGTCGAGGCGTCGACAACTCCTAGGGGCTTAATCACAGGTAATGGAGCTGGAACATCAAACGGAAAGGTCGTATTTGAGATCAGGGGGCTTCAGTTGCATCCACTAGAAGACAGTGACGACCTTCGTGGTTCAGATCCCCATGCGGCATGTCACATTTATTGGAAGCCAGATATTGACTTCCTTAACCCTGTTGACCTCATCCGACCAGCAAATGCGGGAAGTCAACGCCAGTGGTACCTCCCTGTGGAGAAGCTAGCACTCTTGTGCACGATTGAGAGTTACAACGAGCTGAAATCTGTTCAACCATCGGAAAGACATCTCACCAAATACCAGTCCTGGTTGGAGCGAGAATCTATTCGCGCAGCAACAGGTGACAATGTGCTGGTTGAAGAACCGCAGACTCTTGTTGCCCTGAGATCTGATGAGCGACTTGCTGAAATCACACGTCTCACAGAGCAGGTTCTTCAGACACCAACAAGAGTTGCTGCCATCGCAATTCGAAGAATTTTCGATGCTGCGAAGGACATCTTTGAAGGAAAAGTCAATTCCTTGGAATTGTTGCTCGCGGACGATGTCCTCACCCAGTTGTATAACTTGGGAGACCGGTGGCACCACGCGGATTTCTTCAAGTCGCACTGCCATGCAAAACCTTGGCTAAGGATCTTGGAAATAGGCGCTGGCACCGGAGGTACCACAGCCACAATTTTTGACAGCCTTTCATCTCACGGAGAACGGATGTATGGCTTGTATTCGTACACAGACATTTCCGCGGGCTTCTTCATTGAGGCAAAGGATCGCTTTGCCAATTACTCCAACATCGAGTATTCCGTGTTAGATATCACCCAGGACCCAGCAGACCAAGGCTTTGAGGTTGCCTCCTACGACGTTATAATTGCGAATAACGTTCTTCATGCGACACCTAACATTCGTGAGACGCTAACCAATGTGAAGAGACTTCTTCGCTCCGACGGCTTTTTGTTCCTCGATGAATTGTGCTCTACTGCAAACTGGTTGAACTACATCATGGGCACGCTATCTGGATGGTGGCTGGGTGAAGCTGATGGACGTTCCTGGGAGCCGTATGTTAGTCCTGAGAGATGGGCACAAGAGTTGGCAGCTGTGGGATTTAGCGAGCCATCCATTTTCTATGATGATGAGGCTCCATATCAGGCCAACGCTCTCATTGTCTCACGTATCAAGCCGGTTGAGGAGACACAAACTCCAAAACTTATCTCACTACTCTGCGACAACTCCACTCAGCTTCCCCTTGTTGCCGAAATAGAGAACAAACTGACAAGGTCGGGCTACATGGTCGAGCATTCTACACTGAAGGATCCGCCGAAACCAGGGCAGGACATTGTCTCTGTGCTGGACTTGCAGGAACCTTTCCTTGAGAGGATATCTGAGCAGCGTTTCAACGATCTGGTGCAATTTTTCCACGCTTTAGATGCAGAATCCGGTGTCCTATGGCTGACTAGAGCGGTGCAAGTAAACTGCAAGGACCCGAGATGGGCGCAGTCGCTTGGCTTCACGCGCACCATTCGCAACGAACTCGCAGTGGACGTGGCCACCCTGGAGCTTGACACCCTAGAGTGCGAAGCCAGTGGGGCGGTGAAAAACGTGTTGAAGAAGTTCCAGCATCGTACGAAGACTGATGGCTATGACCCCGACTATGAATGGGTTCTCGATAGCGGGAAGATTCACCTTGGGCGGTTCCGCTGGTTCTCCGTCAATGATGGGCTTCGTCGCACCAGATCTGACAGTCATCTCCCCAAAAGACTTGAAATTACCAAGCGAGGCTTCCTTGGAACCCTTAGATGGGTGCAGCATCCCATACAAGCCTTGGTTGATGATCAGGTTGAGGTCGAGGTCCGCGCTGTGGGCATGAATTTCAAGGTATGCTTCTCTCCAGTGCACTATAGGTGAAAATTATCTAATTCCCGTGCAGGATGTACTTATCGCGCAGGGAATCGTCGACGGACACCCGAGCGAGGGCAATGGCCTCGGCTGCGAATGTGCTGGTGTCATTCGCCAAGTTGGGCCCAAAGTGCAGAACCTTACGGTAGGAGACAGAGTCGTGGTATTTGCCGGTGGATCTTATTCGACCTCACTGGTTACAAAATCGTCACTCTGCGCCAGAATCCCTCCCGAATTATCATTCGAGGAAGCTGCCACAATGCCCTGTGTCTACAGCACGGTGGTTCGTTCCATAATCCACCTTGGCAGGCTGCGTAAGGGACAGGCAAGCTTCTCCTTTCTTCTGTTCCGATACGGTCATTCAGCGAGAAACTGACAATATTTCATTCAGAATGTCTTAATCCACTCCGCGTGCGGCGGCATTGGTAGTGCTGCTATTCAAATCTGCCAGATGATAGGTGCAACAGTGAGCTACTTCAGATCCACCTCGTTTGCCAACATCAACTGACATGCCTCAGATTTACGCAACGGTGGGAACCGAAGAAAAGACGCAATACCTTGTGGATACATACGGCATCCCTCAAAGTCACATATTCAACTCTCGTAATGCGACCTTTCTTCCCAACGTTCTTCAAGCCACCAACGGACGCGGCGTTGACCTTGTGATCAACTCGCTTTCGGGCGAACTACTACACGCATCTTGGAAGTGCGTTGCAGCATACGGATCAATGGTGGAGATTGGCAAGCGTGATTTCATCGGCCGTGGCAGGCTGAACATGGACAGCTTCGAAGCAAACCGAGCCTTCTTCGGCGTTGACTTTGCCCAGATCTGTGCCGAGAGACCCGATATTGCCGAAGAGTGAGTGACTTACAAGCTCGTCAAACTCGCTGCATTCTAACTGACAGCACTGCAGCATCTTGGGAGAATGTGTTCAATACTACATCGCCGGATCCATTCGCCCTATCACCCCAGTGACGTACTTTCCTGCTGACAGAATCCAAGAGGCGTTCCGCTTCATGCAGAAAGGGTCTCACATTGGCAAGATTGTCATTACTATGCCCGAGGACTCAAATTCTTTGTCCACATTAGGGAGGCAGGAAAAACTGGCTTTGCGACCAGATGCTTCTTACCTACTCGTTGGCGGCCTGGGTGGTCTCGGTCGTGCCGTATCCACCTGGCTAGTTGAGAACGGTGCCAAGAACCTGGTCTATTTGTCGCGCTCTGCTGGTCAATCCATTCAAGACAGGCAGTTCTTTCTGGAGCTTCAAGACCAGGGCTGCTCTGTTCAGGCATTCCCGGGTGATGTCTCCGTTCTTGGTGACGTCGAGCGCACGATTCAGGGTGCGCGATTGCCAGTCGCAGGGATTCTTCAGATGTCGATGGTGTTGAAGGTAAGAGATAACCTAACCTTGCATACTCCCAGCGCCGTGGAAGGAGACTAAGTACGTGACGCCCAGGACAAAAAACTGGACCAGATGTGCCTCAGTGACTGGGGGGCCGCCATCAAGCTTAAAGTCGACGGAACCTGGAATCTTCACGAAGCGACCAAGTCGAGTCCATTGGACTTCATGGTACTGTTCAGTTCATTCTCTGGTATAATGGGCCAACGTGGGCAAGCCAATTACGCTTCAGCAAACACTTTCCTAGATGCTTTCGTGCAATATCGCCATGCTAATGGCTTGCCAGCATCGGTCCTGGACATTGGTCCAATCGAAGATGTGAGCACTTCGTTGTATATAAGTCTTCTTAGTTCCCAACCTTCCGCTAATGAAAGATATCCTACTCTAGATTGGCTATGTCAGTGCAAATAAAAAGGTCCTCGATCAGTTCAAGGCCACAAATATCCATGTTCTGCGAGAAATCGATCTCCTTGAATCTCTGCACCTAGCCATTCTCTCGTCCTCACCAGTCTCCTGTGAGGATGGCTTCGTCAATAAAAGCCAAATCGCCATCGGCCTTCGAATGACTGTACCATCACAAGCGCCAAACAACCGGTAAGCACCTCTTCAGTCCGAGATACACACTACTCCTCACCTTCAAGCTAATCATGAGCCGCGAAAAAGATGCATTTGGAAACGTGATCGACGTACAGCAATCTACCGCAACATCGAACAGGTCGAAGAATCGACAGACTCCGGCTCAGCAGATGGAGGACTGCGTCAATTCCTCGCCGACGCGGCAGCCAATCCGGCCATCCTCAACGAACCCAACAGTGCCCTGTTTCTCACGAAAGAACTGGGGAAGACGCTGTACGGATTTCTGCAGATCTCAGAGGAGGAAATCGACGTCTCCCGGTCCATCTCCAGCATGGGTGTGGACTCGCTTGTGGCCATCGAGCTACGTAACTGGTGCCGACACAAAATGGGACTGGAGATTACGGTGCTGGAGATTCTCGACTTGCCGAATCTAGGGGCCTTCGGGCGTTCTGCTGCGCAGCGTCTCTACTCGAAGTACGGAGGCGGCGAAGGGCATGTCCGTGATTCATTCCTGACTATGAAAGCACCATGAAGCCCTCAGCTCGGTGTTGTCCGGGCAAATCTTGGAACTGTAGCTAGCCATCATGACAATTTCCTGCGCTTTGTCTATCGTGAATATGGATATCAATCTATTTCCCGACTCATCCCTACTATGTAATGTCATGTCATCCATGGATGTGGGTTCGTGAATTGGTTGCCATACTACCTACGATGTGTGTTTTATTAGTATATATTTCACCTTTCAAAGTAGTTTAGCACATACGACCATAGGGTGTGGAGAACAGGGCTTCCCGTCCGCTCAGCCGTACTTAAGCCACACGCCGGCCAGTTAGTAGTATGGTGGGTGACCACATGCGAATCCTGGCTGTTGTATGTTTTTCCTTGCTTTTTTGCAAGGCAAAAAATAAAGAGCATTGCTACTTTGAGCGTAGGGCTGGTGTGGCTTCGTCTTCTTGGTGAATGCCCCTCGTGATCAGAAGGCCACGGTTTTCAACGTCATTTTTTTCCACGTATTTTTGCATGCATCCATACTTGTCCAATCATCACACCCTACGCCATACTTTGCTTCACAACTCGGTATGCATATAATTGGCTGAGCCTAGGACATACGTGTGTACCTTTCCGGTGCCTTATCAAAACTACATGTTCGACTTCTATGTTACCACTTAATGTACGATTCACTTTTCGCGCTTGTTTCGTTTCAGGGCTATAGCGTGCGACAGCGCGCGTCACCAGTGTTAATGGTGCTTCCCGGGAAAGCTGCTTCGGAGGAGGGGCATGGAGGTGTTAGGTGTATTGAATTTACACGTGAATACATGCGTGAAATTACTATAAAACTTACGTACGAAGAAATACAGACGCAACTTCTGGAAGAACTCCCAATATAGACTAGTGTGTCTTGGCGTAAGGGACGGGAAAGTTAATCGAAGAGTGAAGTCGTTGCACCGGTTTCGGGACGTACTGTATATGAAACTGACCTCATGATCGGGAACTGCTAGAACGATTGCAAGATATCTTATCCACCTCTCCCTTGTCACACCGCGCATTAAGTCTTCGAATACGCCCTTTAATGATCGCATGTTTCCACTAATAAGAGACCAAGCCTAATAAGGAAACTATTCTAATTCCAATTGTACTACGTAAATAGCCGAATCTCCCTCTAATAATGTAGCTTAATCACCTGTATTATATCCGCCGGGGATACTTACGTTTACCTATTCATCTTCTCCTACTTTTACCCTTGTCCCTACTGGTTACCGTCCTATTAATTTAGCAGTTGATTTGGGAGTTGACCCTGCATCTCCGCTAGTGACGAATTTTGCTACAAACCCACTACCTCGAATAGCCAGGAAGGCCAGATTTAACCTACGCGGATATGCCCATATAGCGAATAAGCAGTGTAGTAGGAGAGAGGTACGTAGTAGTAGAAATGAAATCATGCAATCGTCAAAGGGGGTAGGCGGGTATAAGATGATAGTAATACAATTACGACGCTTAACTAATTTATGGGGCGGGTGGTATTTAGAAATTGGGGTCTCGTTTTAGCAATTCCCGAACTGGTCCCCATAGATTTTGTCATCTGCGGCGCGTCTCATTCGTTGCCAGTATCGAATCTAATCTGGCTCATCCCGCAAGCTAACATGGACTTTTCAAGGATCTTGATTACTTTTTAGGATGAGCCCATATCACATCGATGATGAATCTCAATCTATCGAACATGAAACGTGGAACACAACTCGGATTACGTGCCAGCCCCTACGCCGCACGGTCTGCCCTGAATCCATCCCCGTCCAGTGTAGGTGACCTCCTGTATGTGTCCATCCCTGTACACGGCAATATAGTATTCCAGTATACACGATTAGGACTAGTGGCTTTCAATTATTGAGAGCCACCGTTTCAATTCGCGAGCTCAACTATTTCCTGCCGAAAATTCCTCATCCATCACCCCACGCGTTCTCCAAGATTATCCAAGAGATTTCAAACGACGAGCAAGCTTATTGGCCTTGTTCATGTACTCTCTGGAGTTAAGTGTATCTTCATGATCATTGCCTAGCACCATCCATTGCCCATGCTTCAATCGGCATGGCTCTGACATATACAGTCCCATTATTTTTTCAAGTTTTCGTACCTTGCGAGGAGGGTGGTCCCATTTTCATCCTCGAAGTTCACTCCGCTGATAGTGTAATCGTAGATGCCATAGAAACTTTTGACCGTGATGACGATAGAGTCTGTGGTGTCATGAGGGTATATTTGAACACGCATTGGAAAGCGTGCTCGGGCCTTTACTTTCTCATCCAGGAGAAGCTCAAATGTGATGTTCTTGGGCATGCCTAGCACCCTCTTTTGCCCCTGAAGAGCTTGTGGGAACATATTCTCTGCCTCTTTGTCCAGTTTCTGGCGATAAATAGAGTGATCGGCCTGATACTGGATTTTGAGCTCTGTGGGGTTAAGCTCAAGTCTTCTGGCTTGATCCTGCATAACATGTGGTACTGTATTCTCTAGAGATGAAGATACCTCCTTTCCCGACGCCACAATGGCCTTTCCTTGGGCAGCGTATACCGGATCCGATGAGGCAGATGAGCTAGCCATGTCATGAATGATATTCTCAGGGCTTCCTAAGAAAGGTTTTGTAGTCCATGACGCAAACTCTTCAGTTAAAATTGCAACTGGAGAGGGGATCCGTGGCTCGACTTGAATAATTTTCGTGGATTCGGGGTCTGGGGTATCAGCGATTGTATCCACACGTTCGACATAGCAGATGCAGCCGTCATTCGTTCATTGGGATAAGGACACATAAGTGAAAGCACAAAGCCGACACCAAGTTAACTAATACTAGCATCGGTAAGGTTAGTGACTGAGAAGTGTTGCTTGGTTTGTAGCTTGTAATCTGGAGGATTTCAACCACCCGTGACTCGGTTGGTGAAGATAGCGATTGTTTACCACCACCAGAGAAGTGCATAGCCAGCCTGTATTCTTTTCCAAGATTCGTCCAGATCGATGGACCCCATTCTGGAGGCCCAGGTCATGTAGTGATCCACGGTTGCTAGAGCCATCGCTGTGTGCCCAGAATCGGAATTGTCGATTGATACATGCAAAGCAAAGTAGTATCCTGATATTCTGACCTGAGGCAATTCCTTCGATGCTTTCAATGTCCCCAAAGTGATCAACTCGTAATGTAAATTGAACCCGAGCATTTCAGGGAGGAATTCGTTAGGGGACAACGAGATCAGCAATTGCGCCGTGGCTGATTTCCAAATTTCCACATTGTGAATACCGTTTTTTTGATCAATGAATTCGGCTGTATGGCTGGTCGGGAGTTTAAGTCCAATGCTTTCGAGAAGTGTTCGATACAGATAGACATGATTCCTTCCAGCTCGCCATCTCCTAACTCCTCTGACAGAACCTGCCAAGCGTTTTTCGTTACCTCGCGAAGCGCGAATGGAGTGCTGATGTTGTGGACAATAACCTAACCACGCCCCATCGACGTACTTGAGAGGAGCGATTTGCTTCAGCCATTCCCTCGCTGTCTCTTGATCCTGAAACAGCTCTGTGGGTTACCCTGAGGCTCGTCGTTGATTATCCTCCTCCCATTGGCCGTATACTTCCTCTTGATATTCGAACATAAATGCTTCCAAAGTGGCGCGGTCATATTTTTCTAAGTCAAGAATACTCCGTTTTCCCTGCTGGCCTCGCTCAAAAGTAAACCTTCATACAACAATGACACCAAAATTTCGTAGGCAACTGGCAAAACATCGGGGAATATTTCAAGATTGTGCAGTTTGTGGTATAAATCCACGTAAGTCTGACCAAGTTGCTGAGTCGTGGGAGAGGATGCTCCCGAAGCTAGGCTGGGTGTAGCGGTATTGTTGAAGGTTGAATTGTGTGACTTTTCCTTCTTTTTAGTAATTTCCGAGTTCCCCTGTTTGGGTATGGCCAAGATATACCAAAGACATAGCACTAAGGCCAGAATGACGAGAAGTGCGATCATGGAGCGCTATGGTCTGATCGTTGTGCGTGGTGTAATAATTGGCACGAAGATGTGATTGCAACTTTCAGTGATCCGCGGGAACGTGATGCCTCTCCATTGTCAGAAATTATAATATATCTATCCCTCCATCTTATATTATCAGGGGTTCTCCACAGTAAGCGTAACACTGATCTTGTTGTCGTGTATAATATGTTTCTCTACACAGCGTGGTTGGCTAGAGACTGTAGGCCCTAACTAACCGTGTTGAGATAGCAACTTAGTAAGACACTGTTTTATTGGCGCTAGAAAGGCGGAGCCGTGTCAGCCGTAGACCTGGGGGTTTCCGTCTGGGCTGACCGAAATAGAAGCCGATTCCCTCATTATAGGACGCGCACCGGAATTTATTTGCATGAGGGAGTCAAAAAATTAACGAGAAAAAAAAAATGAATTCCAAGTAAATTTAAATTGCATCAAATTCTATGGTGCCAAACCTCCGATTCCGAGTATACCTACAACATCAAGTTCATTCATGCCATTTATGAAAACTCCTCGCCCTTCCAATGATGGCGTCGACGTCGAAACTAGCAGCGCAGCGCGGGATATAAGCGAGGCAGTTATTTACCCTGGTTTATCGAGAACACGAAGTGTGCTTCTGATTTCTACTGTGGCCAGCGCAGGATTTCTTACTGTTTGTCAAGAAGATTCATCTTCCGCCATGATTAAGTTGCTGATGTACATTCAAAGGTCCTTTGTGTCCAATCCGTGGTTATCATCCTTCCATCAATAAGCGAGGCTTTGAACATCCCATCTAGCCGTCAGGGCATCATCGTTTCCACGTATAACATTTCCCTCGCCTGTCTGATGCTTTTCTGGGGCCGAGCGGCGGATGTCTATGGCCATCGCCCGGTATATCTTTTTGGATTTCTTTTGTTTACGGTCTCAACCCTCTGTCTCCCATTTTGTAGCAGTGATATCCCGTTCTATCTTCTTCGTCTCATACAAGGAGTTGGTGGCGCTGCTATCATCCCAGCGGGACTGGGTATCGTAGGTACTACATATCCACCAGGTGCGACCCGAAAGAGAGCCTACGCCGTCATTATTGGATTTGCATCTCTCGGTTCTGTGATGGGGAGTCTACTGGGCGGCATAATTGGGGGCTGTCTGGGATGGAAATGGGTATTCTGGATTCCCGCTTTACTATCGGCACTGGCAACATGTGTGGCTGCATTGTCAACGTCTTCTTTCCCTCTATGGAAAAGCCATACTAATAGTAACAGCGTCGACTGGCTCGGGGCAGTACTGATCTCTACAGGCCTTCTTCTCTTGCTGATTGCCATTTCCGAAGGCCCTGAGGTTGGTTGGAAAACCTCTTGGGTCATAGTGCTCTTAGTGCTTTCTGCAGTCTTTATTGCTTCCTTCATAGTCTGGCAAAGTCACCTGGAGAAAGGATGTAGCCAAGTGCCACTTCTCAGGGTTTCCATGTTCCAGCGTGGGCAATTTTCGGCCCTATTCTTACTCGTCGGATGCTTCTATGGATCATTCAACGGTTTTCTCGTATTTGCAACGGACTTGTGGGTTTCTTTCCAGCTCAAGTCTATCCGTTGGCATCAAAATTAACGTTTATATTTCAGCTATCAGGACTACCTTAAGCTGAGTGAATTACATACCGCATACCGTTTCGTTCCAGCCGGCGTCTCAGGTCGTGAGTTACCATGCTCATATTCGCCTATCTGTACCGTGTGTGCTTCACTGGTTTCTAACTTATTGTTCAATTCAATCATGCAGTTCTAGTTTCCCTCGTGATCTCCCCAGTACTGAAGCGTATACGGGGATTCTACGTCCTTCTTTTCGGACTGACGTGCGGAACAATTTCTCCGTTCCTGTTCGCGATTCCCTTCATCCCCCCTGAGACAACATATTGGGCTTTTGGCTTTCCAGCCATGGTACTGTGTTGTAGTGTTGAGATTGTCTGGCCAGTGATCGGCCTGCTGGTAGCTGAGGCACTGCCTCCAGAGGATCAGGCACTTGGTGGTGGATTATTACAAACAGCAAATAATCTCGGGCGAGCTTTGGGGCTGGCGATTGCAACAGTCGTCCAAACGGCAACCGCAAAGGGCGAAGCCTTGCGAGGACTCAGAGCTGCGCAATGGATGAATGTTGGAATGGTTGGGATTTCCTTTGCGATAGGGCTGGTATATTTCAGGAAACTAGGGAAACGATAGAAACTTACATATAAATGCTTTCACTGTGCTAAAGGGTGTGTGTGTGTGTGTGCGTGTGTGTGTGTGTGCAGCTAAGGTGTGCCGAGGCATCTCTTCACTGCTTGAACAGACAAAAGACCATGATTTTCCTTATCAGAGAACCATAGCCTTTGGCGTGTTGAGCAATACATAGGCGCTAAGACGGCGCGTAGTTCAGACTCCACGAGACGTTAATAGTATTCGACTGTAGCGCCGAAAGTAGATATGTAGAGAGCAACACCGGAAAACGGCTTCTGTGCTTAACTGGAGAGATTTAACTAGAACTGCAACACGACATACATTTCTTGCCCTGTAAACGGGAAGCATCTAATAAATCCTGCGATTGGTGCTCGGTAGATAGGACACTTCTCCGTTGTTCTAAGACTTCCTGCGTATAACCTACAGACTATATGCCCGTATAGAATAAATACCTAGGGATCCGGCTATATATAGTAGATCTTGTACTCTAAAATACGCTTTTCTCTTTGTTAGGAAAGTTCCTCTTCCGTCTTTTAGCGCCTCTTCCTCCCCTAGCGAAGTTTATCTCGAAGTATACGATTTTTCTCTTATGGCCGTTATATTTTATAGTAAACTATCTTTGGGAGCTCCTTAAAGGCGTTATCCTAGGTTTGAAACAATAAAGGATTTACTCCGAAGTATTAAATATTGCGTAAGTAGTTCTCAAAGGGCTTTTAGAGTGGTCAGATTCAAGTCCTTCTATTCTATCCACAAGAGTAGCAACTTTCTCAGATTGACCGGTACCGATCCCTTTGACTAATCTCAACCCCCTACGATGGATCTTCCGAAAACATTTTCGATGCGAGTACCAAGGGGTAAGACTGTTTTAGTACCTTCAGTGGGGTTTGGTACCTGGGCAGCAGGTAGGACTAATAGATTCAAAAAATGTTTCTTTGGTGAAATGATGCCGAACTGGATTTCACAGACGACCCCAGCTGGTGCACTCAAGCTGTCGTGAATGCTCTCCAGGCTGGCTATCGCCATTTGGACTGCGCTTGGGAATACGGAGTAAGAACACTAATTATCCCTGCACTGGCCTGGCCAGCTTGCTAATCAAAATCCACAGGTTGATTCCGAAGTAGGGAAAGGAATTCGGTTATCAGGCGTACCCAGAGAGGATATATTCATTATCACCAAGTTCTAGCCGCATTTTGCTGCACCCGAAAACGTGTGTTTTTGCCTAGATCAAGTTCTCAACAGCATGGGCCTCGATTATGTTGATCTCCTCCTTATTCATTTCCCTGAGGCCCTGAAGCCGCAAGGAGATCTCTCCCAGGCGAAAAACTTCGTTGGTGCAACAGCCGCCGATCAGAAAGCAGCAGTTGATACCGACGGTAATTATATCCCAGACGTCTTACATGGCCCAACGGCCATGGTAAAATTAAATGGCGGCGAGGGGAGCTTTATGCAACTGCGGGGGCCGTGGTGCGGTCCTAGATACTATCAAAAAAGCCTAAAGACCGGACTCCAAGGAATCGCTGCTTTCTCGGGGACTCGGTGATATTGACACCGAACCCTATGCTACCCCGCTCTAGTAGCTGGAGCTCCGTTTTCTATAAAGATACAACCATCTGCTTTAGAAAAAGAAACCGAATTATATGTGGAAAATGGTCATCTGTCTTCGCGAAGTCAGATACAATGGTCACAATGCCCGATGCCAACCTCAAGCTTGACTATGAAGAGAATGGCGTGGTCAAGATTCCTGGGGTTCTGGAGATTGCCGAGATCGACGCGATTCGTGAGGCATTTATGGCCCAGGTCGAGGTGGACAGTGCAAGTCTCGCTCACAACGATCATGTCCCAGCGGATGACATCCTAGCGCGCTATCCCCGCTTTGTCCACCCACATCGTCATCCCGAGTTGGAGGTAGGGCGGTTGGCTCGCAAGTACATGTTGGATCGTCGCATCCTCGACCCGGTCGAGGCGACGATTGGCCCAGTCAATGGCGCGCAATCCATGTTTTACTTCAAACCGCCGAAAGCTCGCGGCCAGGCACTGCACCAGGACAATCTATTCCTGCAGTCACATCCTGACACGTGCATAGCAGTGTGGATCGCAATAGATCCAGTTGACGAGGTTAACGGTGGGCTGCAGATGGTGCCTGGTTCCCATAAATACGAGCTAGTCTGCCCCGGCGATGCAAATTCAGAAACCTCGTTCAGCCGTCAGGCGATTCACCTACCCGATGGAATGACGGCCGAGCAGACGGTGATGGCTCCTGGGGACGCTCTATTGTTCCATGGCAGCATGGTGCATGGATCAGGACCAAATCGGTCAGCCGACCGGTTCCGTCGGTCGCTCATTTTCCACTATGTGCCGCAGTCCAGTACCAAGATAGCGAAATTCTACCTCCCATTAACTAGCCCCACTGGGGAGGAGATTCTCGTGTCCGAGTCTCGTGAGGGCGGTGTGTGCGGCGACGCCTGGGTACCGTCTAGTCCACATTGAGATTCTCTTAAAGGGCATGAGTTGCCCACTTTTCTTTGCGTTTGGTATCTAGTGTAGAGTACAAGGGGGGCTGATGAATGCGGAGCCCGTTCCCAGCGAGTGTCAATAGCTAATAGAATGATGCGATCTATAAACATTTTGCACTGGGTTGGGTGTCCTCCTCGGCCTCGGTCTTCTTCTCAAAGCCAGCGTCCTCGTCCTGTCCAACATACTTGTGCACCTTGGGTTCGGCCCACGTAGGCATGTGAGCCCACTCAGGCTCCTGCCACGGGCCTATTTCAGAGAATTCGCAGCCCCCCTCGCACTGGAAGGTGCCACCGAACTCGACGGGCAGGTTCTCAGGAAGCACCTAGCCCAGCAATTCCTGTTGATAGTTACTGCCGAGGATGTAAATCTTGTTAACAGTGACGGGATCGAGGAAGCTCTTGACGACGTTGAATACACTGCTGAAGCCCCAGGGAGCATTGATGAGGTACAGTTTGCCTAGAGGCTCGGGATAGTAGTTCTGCAAGATTTCCGAAGCCTGGCGCAGGTAACCGTACACGGAGGGGATGCTGGTGACGCCCACGCCCCTTAGGTCCATAATTGTGCAGCAAGTCTCTAGCAGCTGGCCTGCCTTCCAGGAGCATGCGGGAAACCGGCCGTCATACAGCTTCTCGTATTCCGTGACAAGATTCTGCAACATGCGCTCGCTGGTGGTGATCTTGTACATGGCATTGAGGTCAATTTTGCCCAGTTTCTCGATGTAGACGGGACGGCCATCCTGGCAAAAGTAGGGGGATTAGTTTCTCTCTGCGGATTCATGTGGTGAGAGATTACAGCAACTTACCTTATCCGTCTAGTGGTAGTACTGCGGGTAATATTTAAAAACCTCCGGCTTCTCGTGGTAGTCGAAGGTGCGAGGAAGATCGTCTGTGCCAAATTTCTTTCTCCACTTCTCACAATCAACAAACCTAGACAGCCACGTTAGATCAGAAGGGCCAAGCCTCCAAAGTAGCCTTCAACAACTGTCGGAATTAGGAACCATACATAGCCTTGGAAGCCTCGACATCAAACTTGCGGGCGCGGAGGAAGCGCAGTATAGTCAAGGTATCCAGACGTTCTGTGTATCCATCCTGCACTAGCATTGTGCGCAGCCGGTGGACTTTTGCATCCTGTTCCGGCGTGGTGTGGCCCAGATGGCCGGTCTGAGGCTCCAGTGCGGTGGTAGGGAAGTCGTACTGGTCGTATCTGGGGTCGATAGGCAATGACTTCTCAGCAGTGGCTGCCATTGTGATAAGTGGGCGTGGAAGTTGGCGTGAGGGGCTACCCGAGTATTAAAACGGGACTGGTATTGGCTGCGTTGGTAAACCACAGCACGGAGACTTGTAAGTTACGAAGTGTCGGAACAATAAATGACCATATAGACTACGAATGTAGCCCATGGAGCATTTTTTGGTCTAGCGGTAACATGCCCTATATTTGTGTGACAGTTATGAGCCCGACTGTCGTTTCGCGCTATGCTTGCAGAGGAGTTCACAGGTTCGAACCCAGCCACGGTCAGGGGTATTGCAAGAGAGCTAAGCCACGTTATGATGTATCCGCGATGAGAACCATAGACGATTGGTCTTATTGAATCCACCCTTAAAGGCTCCCTCAAAGGCGGTGTGATGTGGCACTTTCAAGTTATGCAAAACGAAATCTGGTGGGGAATTGCATTACCGAGTGAAGTCTTCCCGCGCGAAAAATCTGCCTCCATCTGCTTTCGTACTTGAACTACGGAGTAGTTTGCAGATGAAGGCTAATTCAATCGATCTAATTTGAAAGAACTCCATCGAATACAAGTCTAATAGATATCACGCATATTCGAAGGTACGATAAAGGCACCAACACCTAAATACATAAAAGGGATGAACGACTAGCCGGGATACAAAATTCGGGTCTCGGCAGTAGTGGATTCCGGAGTTAGGTGGAGATTAGGGGAATTCACCTGGGGAATAAGATGAATTAAGCATAAAGAATTGTGCGTGCCGATACCCGGTACCTCTTTATGTATATATGGCTTAGTCGCAATGCCACGTTTTTCGCATCCCCCAACGTGAATTTTTGAAGAATCAACATGGCGGACATCGAAAAAGGGGTCATCCCTAAAGATGCTCAAGAAGCGCCCAAGGACCCCAATCTCGTTGATTTCGACGGCCCTGATGATCCCGAGAATCCGTTCAACTGGCCCAAATGGAAAATGGGACGTCAGCTGATTCTGATGGCCTTTAACACATTTATTACGTGAGTTAATGTAAGTTTCCAGGTCTAAGCAACGCTAACCGACATAGTCCACTGGCCTCGTCAATGTTTGCCCCTGGAGTCAGCGAAGTCATGAAGGAATTCAATGTTACAAGTAGCATGATAGGCTCTTTCGTCGTCTCTGTCTACATTCTGGGCTACTGCTTCGGTCCCTTTTTGATCGCCCCACTATCTGAGATCTACGGCCGTGTGCCGCTATACCACGCCTGCAACCTGCTCTTCCTCATCTTCACTATCGCCTGCGCTGTCGCCCAAACCATGCCGCAGTTAATTGTCTTCCGCTTGCTGGCCGGTATGGCAGGTGTCTGTCCCCTGACAATTGGATCCGGCACCGTCGCGGATATGGTTCCCAAGGAGAAACGAGCTGGTATCATGGCCATCTGGGCGATGGGACCCATTCTTGGACCCGTCGTTGGTCCAGTCGCAGGTGGCTTTTTGGCGGAAGCGGAGGGTTGGCGCTGGGTGTTCTGGGTGATTGCCATTGCCGTACGCACCCCGTTCTATTTTTGGAGAGATCGAAGCTAAACAAGACATAGACTGGTGTCATGATGATCTTCACTATTATCTGGTATTGCGAATCCTACGCTCCTATCGTGCTCCAACGCAAAGCCGCCCGTCTGCGCAAGGAAACTGGAAACCCCGACCTTCGCTCGATCCGCGACACGAGCAAACCCAGCCCGCGACTATTCCTGTCCGCGTTGGCCCGTCCGTTGAAGCTGCTCTTCACTTCCCCGATCGTCTTCATGATGGCATTGTACGCCGCTGTCACCTACGGCTATATGTATCTTATGTTCACCACCATCACCTCCATCTTCGAGAACAACTATGGCTTCGGTCCCGGTATCGCTGGTCTCGCATACCTGGGTTTCGGTGTCGGCTGTATGATCGGACTGACCATCACCGGCAGGGTGGCTAACCGTATCGCCAAAAGTCATATTAAAAAGGGCTGCTTCGCGCCGGAGTCTCGTCTACTACCTATGATGGTGGGCTGCTGGTTCATGCCCGTTGGTTTATTCTGGTATGGCTGGTCGGCCCAGGAGCATACCCACTGGATTGTGCCTATTATCGGCACTGGAGTGTTCGCCGCTGGCTTGATGAGCGTGTTCTCGTCTGCTAGCACTTATCTGGTTGACTCATACTTGCGCTACGCGGCGTCGGTCACGGCGGCGAACACGGCGCTGCGTTCACTCGTCGGAGCTCTGCTGCCATTGGCTGGGCCATCGATGTATGCTGCTCTGGGACTGGGATGGGGAAACTCGCTACTGGCGTTTATTGCGCTAGCGATGTGTGCAGTGCCGTTCGTGTTCTGGAAGTTCGGAAAACGGATTCGTACCAGCCCACGATACCAGGTGAATCTGTAGGGATGGAAAACAAAAAAAGGCGTTTGGGTTTGCAATTAAATTTGAATAGCGGCATTGGGTTTGGAATACATGCATATAAAATATAGAATAGAGTAATGTTTCTGGCAATAATTCATGAAGAGTTTCATGACGATCACAATCCCTGCCTAAGGCTTCCGAATGCAAGCTACAGTCGTCTTGGTGACCCATGATGACCCTTGAGGGCAAAGCTTTTGAAAGATGTGAACCGCCCCTGGATCTGAGGGATTATTGAATACTCTTTTAAAATGCTCAAAAGAGCCTGATAATAACTCTGGAATAATAAACCTCGATAAATTTGAAGATCGGTTACGAACAGTGTATAGTAGAGATACAGGTTCGGGAGTAATGATCCACCTAGGCATGGAAGTTGTTGGACTTCCATGTTTGGTCCTTCCAAACTTCTATCTTTGAGATTAAATCTTGAAGATTGCTTTCACTCACAACTATATATCATCTTCACTACCTAAACTAGCCACTTCTTCACAGCTCTAGGTATATTCTCAATACTGCTCTTTTCAAATAGAGCTGCTGAGACTAATGACCCGGAGATCAATATCATGTAGAATTTTGCCATGTCTAAAATGCCCAACGTCTTTATTATACAAGGAACTTAGATGGGAGAAACTGACTCGGCATTTTCTTCAAACTTCTCTTCCATCAAGGCTTGGAATCATAAACAGAGGGGTTGCCCTAGGCTTACGGAGGATCACGAACAAACTTTTAGCACGAAACTATCTAACTTTTCATATATAGCTTGCTTGGTACCATCCTCGGCCCAGAATATATCCCCAGCATTTCTCGCCAACTGAACCATCTCAGTCTTACTGAATCCACCGTAGATATACACCTTTTGCATGTTGCCATCGATCCAAACATCATATATCAGGGTAGGATCATCGGTATTTATGCAAAATTTCACTCCCCTATCCCACAACTTCCGAATCCTTGGGAATAAAACACCCGTTACAGTTCTGCGGTGGTACGCATGGGGACATAAAGTCAGATCAATATTTCTATCCACAGGGCCTTTCCATAGCTTCTCCTTGTCTTCACCATCCAGCCCGTGATCGATCCGCTCTACACCCTCACCATCGCATACCTGGAATATCGCCTCAGCCATGTAAGAATGCATATCCTTTTGTCCAAAGTCAGAGTGTATCGTAACATGCAGGCCATCTGCACGAGCGAGGGCAAATCCAGCAATTTTCCATTGAATCTCCCTTCATCTTCACGTATGAAGAAGGCATCAATTTGGGCGTAAGAAACTGGGGGCCATCACGAATGCTGCAAAACTCTAATGTAGCCAACAGAGTAACATTGGTTTATGCTTTGTCGTAAGCTGATGGCCAAAAACACGTGCATTCGCGGGGTCATCTCGTATGAGGATCTCTGCCTAACATGGTCGGTTCTACTTAACAGTCTACTCCTTCTTTCTATCTCGACTCGAGATCACTGCACTTGAGGAAAGACCTGTTACCTCCCAGTCCGTCAAGTGGTAGTCATTTACCACAAAGATGGCCGCTGCCAATGCAAATCCACCTGCCCAATATTTTACCTCGCTCGCCCGCAACTATGGTCGCCAAACTGGCAACTCAACTCGTGCCTTATTTTCCTCAATTTATGGGCGCATCAAACCGACGATAACCTCATCGTCAGTAGTTCACGACAATGCAGGTGGTGTCGGTACTGCCACATCAGTCATTCTCGACAATCTCGCCCCCACGTCTCGGGACGACATTCCAGAGATCCTGATTACTGACAATAACCCTGGGATGATTGCAGCAGCAAAGGAGGCTTTCAGGGAGATGAACGCCAAAACCACTGCCATCGAAGCGGATTCACAGGATCTAAGCACTATCCCCAACGGGAAATTTACCCACTCGATTCTCAACTTCTCGGTGTTTCTTTTCCCAGATGCGCTTGGAGCATTGCGCGAGATCCATCGTACTCTCCAGCCGGATGGGGTCGCAGTGCTTCTTACATGGAAGCGATTCGGATTTGGGGCAACTATCCATGCCGCACAGAGACTTGTTCGCCCTGATCTACCGCAGATGCCAATTCCCGGTTCACACTTCATGAATGAGGGTGTGTTGGTCGAACTGGTCATCAAAGCTGGATTCAGCGCGGTAAAGGTGCAAGTGGAGCGAGATGAAACCGTCAGAAAAGCCGGGGACCTTGAGGGAATGAAAGAGTTCATGTTAGCCGATTTCTCGAAGATGGCGACGAGAGGCTGGACCGATGAAGATATGGGAAGATGGCCCGCGGCTGTTGATGAGGCCATTCAAAGAGAGGTTGAAGAATATGGGGGTATTCGATTCGAAGCTTGGACTGTGATTGCTCATAAGTAGGCTAAGGAAGCCTCGGATTGGACTTTCTAGAAGCCTAGCTACATGTCCTACCAAATGAAATGTGGTATCTTTACTTTCTTTGAAACTTGTATCCCCAATTGCTTGTCAGTATTACCAGCCGATAATACAGCTTTGTATCTCGAGAGAATCCTTTTCCTCGAGGTCTTTCCGTGGGTATGTATCTGTCTGATAGTGCTCTATCCGATTTTTCTTCTCTCATGGGTATTAGAAGCTTCAATCCTTCAAAGGCAAGCACTCTGTTCTATAAAGGCACCGTCTAAAGAATTGGCGAAGGTTTCATTTTCACCGTATCTTAAAGTTGCGTATGATGCATGATCATCGTTGGTCGCCTGGTCATGTTGGTAGCATAGGACTATCTTTTTCGTCAAAGCATATTGCACCTCGCGGTCTCTCCGCTAATCACGCTGTAGGGATATCCGAGCCATCTTCATCCAGTCAAGCAGCTTCGGCGCCTACTGATAGCTCGTCAAAGACGAGTATAAATCGCTACCTTTCAGGGTGGCTGAAGGCAGTGGAAATTTCATCCGACGGGAAATACAGGGTGAAACCGAGAGTTATAGGGTCATGCTGGAGACCTGTATAAGTGCGAAACCTGTACAAATGATTGGTATTTGGCCATCTTTGGACTAACTGGTCAATCCAAACACCCCTTTCAAATCAACAACAAATCTTGGTATCACGCAGCCCTCATGCAGATCGGCCCGACGAGTAGCAGGTAACTGTCATCGATTGGAGCAGACTTGCCACCACAGCCAGCCCGCCAGCCAGCCACCACCTGCATCGGCAACACGGTCCGCTTTGATCATGCTGCATACTTGTGTCTATCGTTGGCGTGTTAATCTAGGGCTTACGACTCCTATTCTCAAGAACTAGGTACTTACCATTGTACGGTTGTTGATTGTTAGTATGTATTTCAATCTGAGGCCCCCCACTCAGTCAGGAATTGTTCGCACTATGTCATAACCATACTTGCTAGCTTCAGACCATGGAAACGTCACTTCTGGCAGTTGAAATCTATCAATGTGGATTCAACCTAGGCATAGAGAAAATTGGAAGAATCAAAAAAAACCCGAAGCACCTCGCAATCCGGCTAAATTGCAGAGAATGTCAAAATCCACTAATAGATATAGAGACATATGAATATGTAAGGAGAGAGAAAGAGACAGCAGTATATAGAATGTCGAGTCTCCAACGAAAAAGGCTAAATGGAAAGAGTGATAAGGAACAGGTAAGGGATATCAATCATAAAGAAACATCAAAGAGAACATAAGATGAAGACAAAAAAAATAAGCAGACAGAAAGTAAAAAGGAGAACAGTCAAGGAAAGTGGAGGTATTTTAACCTCTTCGATCTCAGATCCAGGTTATGTCTTTTCCGTTCCAGTCATCTGCACATCCTCCTGGGGCGCTGACTCGGTAACAATAGGCTGCTTGATATCCGCGCCGTACATCTGGGCATCTGGCGGGGAGGGCATGTGGTTTTGTTTCTCCGCATCCGGTGCGGCTTTATTTTCGGGGCGCTTGCGTCCCAAGCGTTCACACCAGTGCTCAGCACTGACGAGAGTGTCGTTTACGACGCCACTGACTTGGCCCAGGATATCCAGGCCTTCGTTGGCGAGGACCAAGATGCGGTGGGCGCCGACGGTTGCCTCCGAGGAGGCCTCTGGCGAGTCGGGAGGTGGCTGCGATGTGCTTGCCATCTGGAATCGGTGGGGAAGGGATGTGAGGTGTCGGCGAACCAGGTGTCTGGCATTCTCTGGCAAGGCACCTCCAGCGTACTTGGACACAACGTCGACAACCTGCTTCAACGTAGACAGGACGTCGGCCCTGACGGCTTGAATGCGCTGAGTCAAGAGAGAGGCGCTCTCCGCACGCTGCCCACTTTCGAGATCAGTTTGGGATTGTTGCTTATGCTTCTCCCATTCCGTCATAGCATTCTGAAGGGCCACAATGGCTCGTCCTAGACGTCCATTCGCCCAGCGGAGCCAGGTCAAACAGTACTGCAAGCTTCGCAGCGACTCCTCGCTCATTGCAACTCCTAATCCCGATGTTGAAATAACTAGTCGACTTTGCCATGTAGGATTCTGTCGACCAGGTTTTTCCTCGTAGCGGGGTGACCGCATCTCGTCGTATGGCGGGAGTGTCTCCGCCATAGACAGATCAGACGAACTGCGAGTGCGCGCCGGCGTCATCGTGTTCTCCGGTACCTTCTCCTCGTCTACTGTGTGCGCCGCTGCCTCCCCGCTCACCTTGCGACGTTTACTAGAGTGTTTCGAGTCGGAGCCGGATTCTCGCCGTTGCAATGCCCAGCGCAGACCACTCTCCACACCTGTCTTGCGACCGACCGTTCCAACGGTATTTGCGACTGGCGAACCAATGTTGCGCTCGATAAACTCGGCTCCGGACTTGAATCGTGCCGAGTACGACTTGGAGGTAGTGTATGCGGAGACGGACCCGTTGATAGCGGAGGAGATTAGCGGGTGGGAAGAAGTGAGTAGCGACAAGAGCGGCTCTGGCTGCGGCGGGTCTGGCGACGCTGCTGGCAGTGTCTGTCGCGGTACTCGAGGGGATTGACCAAATTCTAGAGGGTGAAGGATTAGCCGAGATGTTTGGTCTAGCGCCGAGGTTATCCCTGCGCCTGCAGCGACGAGGGCCACGAAGTCGTAGTTTTACAGCTTTTCTTGCTGCGTTGCACAAGATTGAAGAGAGACGGTAAGCATACCAGACCGAAGACCTTCGAGAGCTTGGGCAGCCTCGAGGTCATCCATAGAAATCACGCTGGTGGCCCGACGAGAACGATCGTCCGTAGTAGTAGTATCGAGATCCATCACGGCGGGATGGGCATTATGTAGGGCTTGCGGGTGTGGTGGATGTAGAGGTGGAGGAGGAGGAGTAGCAGCAGCAGCGACAGTGCCTCCGATGGGGGTTGCCAGATAAGAGGGAGCGGCAGGTTTATTCGAATTCGAGGAAACCGGTGAGAGCGAGTCTGTGGCGATGGGGCCAGAAGGTTTGTCGGCCTCCATAGCTGCGGGTCTTTAGAGTCCAGCAGCGAACAGGTCCAGGTTCCCAATTCCTGAAGGGACGACTGACTGGACAGTTGATTTACGCCTTGCACGTGAAAAACAGCAGGATGAGCTTAGGTAAGCCGGCCAAAGTGGCGCCTTCACATGTCGTCCCAACGAAAAACTGACTTCACGTCCGGCCGAATCTGTGCTTTTCATTCGATCCATCCCCGTTTCGGTGGTGGGAGTGCCCATTTGGGAGTGGCCATTTGGGAGTACTACTTTCTTACTGGATTCGGTCCCGCCTATCCCTACTCGTCCGAGTATGCTGGACGTCGCCGCACTGCATACTTATACAGGAAACCATACTATCGGTAGTCTGAGTCTTATGCATGATTTCCCCTCCTGATACTGTATACTGCTGCACCCCGTACCTGAGCGTGCTTCACATCATTATGCTCTGTTTTGAATATCTCTTTCCCGTGGAGAACAAGAAAGAAGAAGATCGCATCTGAACATCCCCTACGGGCGGGTTAGACCAGCTTATCCTTTGCCCGGACGAGTCTGCCCCGTTGCGTCACATGTCAGCGCCAGCAAACGGAGGATATCCGACCAGTCCAGTGCAGACTTAGACCTGTACGTATTTCATCGAGCGTGGAGGAGCCATCTGCCGCAGTCCCTTGCCGATGATTATCGACCTCCCTATTCCAGGTAGATTTGACTCGATCGCAGAGATACTCTAGTACGCCCAGTCTCGCTGCTGACGACCGAGAACCCACCACCGGGGTTCGTACTCGTAAACCCGTCGGCATTTCAATGCAGTACTGTAGTCTTGGACGGAGTAATCAATACTCAATTGCTCATAGGCGCTGAGCGCCCCACACGTTGGGGTGCCAGGAAGCCCATTAGTAGTACAGTACCCAAAAACCCAAGAGCGTGACAGTCACCAAATGGGTGCGGGGATTGATAGCCACTACCGACCGGCATGTGAAGTGGGGGGTTTCGTCTTAGCAGTGGCCTTTTAGGGCCTAGCGACTGTCCGTTCCACAGCTATTTCTTAACGCCGAGTGTCCGTACAGTACTTGTTCAGCGACTAGTGGCGTGCAGAGATGCGGAGATCCTATCGTAGGAAACTGTTGGAGTAGCTAGTAGCATTTAGCCAAAAGAACACTTTAGTCTTCCCCAACGTCTACTGTAACTCAGTCTGTTTTATCCTCATTGGTGGATCAATACGATCATCTATGGTTCCAATATGTGTGACTTATGCCCTGTTCGCTTCGAGGCTCAAGCACATGCGATACTCGCCAAACCGTAGAATGTAAATCCCAAATCCTGTGCCGATCAATGGCTAGGGCTGAGATGCTAAAATTCTAAATTAGGGAGGTGGTAACCATAGCCTATCACTACAGTATGTACTATCCTCTATTGATGTGCATCTCTAGCTAAAGTCGCATGTGTAGACATGTCCAATCTTCACAAGTCGCTCTTCAGCATCCACTCCATATAGGCCCAAGTGCAAGAACATGACACAAAATAATGCAAGGGTATCATTTGCCAGCATAACCCAAAAAAAAAAAGCCAAAGACATAATTGATGATCTTCATCCTTATTCCACCGACATCCCATCATCCAATTCATCATAGTATTTCACATCCTGGCTCAACAAAATCGCCTCCAGAATGGCATCTTCCCCTTCATACTGACTATCCTCAACCTCGGCATTATGCACAAGTAATTCACCCGCCACGAGGCGAGAAGCCATCTTCTGATTGATTCGCAAACAGGCCACAACTTCATTGGCAATAGTCCGTGACGGCACAGTGGAAGACTTCAATTGACACAGCGCGTCGCCAAAGGCACGGAACGGGAAGAACGAGTTTCGGTATCTTCGGTACGCACATGAAGCAAGCAGACGGCGCCATTCATACGCGCTGTTGCGCCATGTGTGTGCGAGAGGATGCGATCCGGCTTCCGGGGGTGATAAGGCTCGGGCACTTTCGGCGGTTTGCCGAATGCGAATGGTATAAGGCATCTCGTTGCTTTTCATGGCGATCCAGTCTTTGTGTAGCTTTTCGATGGATTGGGTGACTTTGTCCAGGTCGAGTCTGAGATCGCCGCCAGACTCTTGGTCTACTTTGGCTGCTTCTGAGGCGTCGTTCCACGGACGGGCGAGATCGTCGTCTATCTCATCTGAGGATTCCGATTCGGGGAATCGGCTCTCCAGTTCGGCCAGAATTTTGTATCGCTCCTTTGAGGCAACTTGGAACTTCAGATAATCAATGATATTGCTCATCTTTGGCTTTTCGTCGGAATCTCGGTACGCTGGAGGCGGCCGTCCGCGTGGACTGATTTTCTTGCGAAATGCTTGCCATGCCTGCTCCGAGAGATGAACACCGCCTTTTCGTCCATCGACCAAATGACTGAGCAGGCAGGCAAGCTCTTTAGCTTGCGGACAATCAAGTGATTGATGATACGCAATCCTCTCATGCTCGACGGTGCAACGTCCGAGATTTGATACGGTAAGGTTGAACTCAAAGGCACCATGCAAAAACTCCTCGGTAGAATGCACCTCGGACATTGGAATCGAATACTTTGTCAGACCAAAGTGATCAAAAGGTAAAGATTCCGTAGGCATGTTGGAATTCCGGAAACTTTTCACAATCCTCGGGTCCCAGCAGACCCAAGGCGTATCGCCATCGTAGTCACCGCCGGAAAGCATATCAGCAAGAGGCTGGTCTCCTTTCGTCGGAAACACAATCACATCTTTGAAATGGCGAAGCTCGCTTTTCCAAACCGCCCGCCGCCGCTGAATATCAGACGGAACGTGAGCGGGGAGTCGACCGACAAGAACGTCCATACCCTCCAATAGGTTATCTTCAAACTGTCCATCGGGATCCTTCCAATTTTTCGAGAATCCAAAATGAATCTCATCCGGCTCGAGAACCTCGTACGGATCAGCGATGCAAAACGCATACGTCGAAAGTGGCACCTGGATATGAAGGTCTTCCGTATAGCGATCAAGAAGATTACTTAGGAAATACTGGATACGCTTGCGAAGGGGATGGAATGTCCGCGGAGCAAATCCTGCCTCACATAAACGCATGATAAACTCAGCATCGTTGGCCGCCCATCGATCCAGCTGCCGAGCCTTGTTGGCTACATTCTCACCCGAGGATCTGAGCTCCTGCAGCAAAGCCCGGCAAGCAACGTTGCTGTTGCGATCGAGCACATCAGCTAGTTTCTCGAAGGGCTCTCGGATACTCTTTCGAGTTAATTCGGCAATGTAATTACGACAGTTTCCACCGTGGGCGAGAATAGTCAAGAGCTGGATGTTTAGATCGACGGGGTTCAGGGGTTTGGACCACTTGACAACCTCGAATGTCAATTGCTCGGGATCAAACGATTCGCTCCAATCTTGAGGATGTGGGTGAATCTTGAGCTGGGTATCGGATATTTGGATCCAGATATCGCTGCCAGCGCCCTCACCAAAGCTGCGAAGTGAAGATTCATGTCTGTCCACCATCCAGAGTCCCTTGGCCCCAGCAATACGACCTTGGAATGCGCTGGGCGTGGCGCCGGTGATACCCAGCTTATCACAGATAGCATTCGCCAAACCTCTAGACATCAGGGCGCAGCCATCATTCATTTGAAGCTTTCGCGAAGGGTCATCTCTCAAGCGGACAACCTGAGAAGGTCTTAGAGTCACAGAGGCGAACGTCTTGGACAAACCTAGGGAAATTCGTTGGAACAGTTTACAGTTGCTCTGACCAGTGTTTTCTGCAGAGGACATGTGCCACTCAAGCAAGTTATCCACGCTCATTGGAGTACGCGTATTGCTCTTTTGATGCGGTGGTGCAATGGGAAACATATGAAGAGGATTGTGATTGAAATCCATTCCATCCACAGCGAAAAAGTCAATGCGAAAGTAGGGATCCTTCCTCTCTTTACCCTTGGATTTCCCTTGTTCGACAAAGAACGGTCGCCACGTTCGTCCCAAGCATTTGTGATCATGTCGCGTCAGCCAAAAAGCAATGCTTTGGCGAAGCACGCTTGGATGGTCGAGGAATTGGAGATACTTCGGTGGCCGAGCCGGGGCTGGCAAGGTAAGTGTCATGAATCTATCCGATCCAAATCTCCGGTGAAACCGACACGTCTTGTCCGTCTTCAGTGGGCCAAAGTTCAATTTAAGGATGCCAGGCTCGGACTCTGAGCACCACTCGAGATTGCCAGACATGATGACCACTTCTGAAGCTTTCTCTGTCTTGAAATCGTCCACAGCTGCATCCCAAGCCTTGGATGGGGATCGTTCCGGGACTGGTCGTGCACAACGCTGGGTATGATTGAGTGTGATCCACTCCCAAAAAGAATCCTGACTCGCAAAGGGGGCTTTATCACCCTTCAGCATGTTCTTCAGTGGCACATTCCATGCTCGTCCAATCCGTTCCAACTCATAGCGAAACCTCAAGGGGATCTTCTCGTTAAGTGTTTGCTCAAATGAGAATGGCCCGTGCCGAAGTAAACTATCGACTAGTTGATCTCGAATGGCACTCTTTTCGTCCATCGGCTCGACCATATCAGTCATGGTTCGCTCCATCCAACCCACCACAGAATCCGTGTAGCTCGACTGCGTCGCAAGTGGCTCTGTAATGTCTGTGTCAAAAGACCGATTCAAACGAGATGTAAACACTGAAGACACCGAGGTCGTCGTCATAAAGCTTGTGGTCAATTCTTCGCTTGCAGGTGGAACTGCATCGTAGCCTTTGCTAGGATCTGTGCGGAGAGCAGGCTGATATGCAGTCAATCTTTCTACAAAGCTGGAGGGTGGTCTCATCGTCCCCAATCGCCCATCAGGAGCAGCTAATCCAGACCCATCCGAGTCATTCGCACCATCCTGAACCGCCAATTCAAGCTTCGCCAAGTCAATCCCAGGCGATCGGACTGGCCTGGCAGATCTTGTCGGCGAATTAGGCGCAGTATGAAACTCGTCGTCCCCCTCATCCTCCGCTTCAAATAATCTCCGCTTCTTAGGTGACCCAGACTGCGTGGACCGATCCGTGGAACTTTCCGAGACGTGTTTCACTCTCAACGTCCCACCATCCGCTTCCCAGATCTCATCTTCAATTAACCTGTGCAGATATTCCAGTCGCTTATTTCTCTCCTCGTCGTTCAAAATCGTCGGCTCTTCGCTGCGTTTGCGTCTGGTCCGGGTCGCGTGCACGTTCCCTGAACGGGTCCGGGGTAAATTCTGCCCATCCACCCATTCGTCGAAGCCATGGATCAACCGATCCAGGCCCGGTTTGCGCTGGTAGTAGAGCCGTTTAAGACCCTTGTACACTCGCCACCGAAGCGAAGTTTGCGTTTCAAGAGCTGACGGGGAAGAAATTTTGGGGTTTGGAATTTCAAGACCGTATAGGTGATTCAAATTATCGATGAAAGGGCCGACATTCTGGCGCGGATGCTGTGGGGTGATTGGCATGATCTCGGTCAGGAAAGCAGAATGCTGACGGTGGGGACCGTGAGCCCAGTCAGGAGGCTTGGGGTCAAAAACAGTCCAGGAGTCGAGAATGGTATTCAAGCCTGAAATGAGAAGAAATGTTCGAGTCAATGGGCAATCCAGCGCGCATCCCTTATCAGTTTCAATTCGAGTGTCGAACAGAGCCAGCGTGGGGTGTAAACAAATGAACCAATCTGGACTTTTCCAAGGCCCTGCGCATGGCCTAATTTAAGGGCCACTCGAGTCGGGCAAAGCGAAATGAGTACTTCCGGCTGCAGAAAAAGCAAATCTGACAGCCTCTGCCCGCTGTCAATTTCCCCGCGCGCAGGGGTACAAGGACTGGTCAAAGAGATGAAATTGATACAGCATGGCCGGGCTGCCCGTGGGACGGCGTTGCTTAGCGCCCGCAGACCCACCGAGCTGCGAGTTTGATCACTCGCGATTGCGGGCACAAACAAGGATGGTCAGATTAGACCAGTCAAGGGAGGAGAGAGAGAATGACGAATACGAGCAATAGAAACAAATAACTTTAGTTCCTCGGATGAGGCTAACGATCATGCATTGACACGATATTGAAAGGTACCGCATTCTCTATGTTATACAATGAACCAGCACGGATGTATTCCACAGGAGTGAAGGCTAACCCCGGGTGAGACACAACTCCTTTCTTCCGCTTTCACAACTGTTACAGTTCAATCGCCGGCCCACGGTCAGGTTGTTTGTCGGACCAGAAATCAGCATCCTTGGGGTCAATATGCTTGCTTTTCAAGGCAATCTTGTGCCCGACATACAACATCACGTAGATGGGAACCCCGACATACCCGGCCAAGAATTTGGTCGGGTCAAACTTGATCTGCGACCTCTGAATGGAAAGAGAATTGAAAATCATAGTCGATGAAATGAACACACAGAGCACCAGCCCCAGCCAGGTTCCCGGGAGACCGAAGCGAGCCTTGAATACCAGCATGTCGTCGGATATCCCCTGTGCCTTGCGAGCTCGCACAAAGCAGATATGAGTGATAAGGATGGATATCCAAGTCAGAAGGCCAAGCATTGTGACCAAGTCCACCAGGTAAGCAAAGACGGCCCTCGAGTCTTTCGAGACGTTCAGGTAGGCCCAGGTGGACATGCATGTGGATACGACTAGTGCGTTGACGGGGACCCCGTTGCTGTTGACCCGGGACAGGAAAATGGGGGCTCGATGTCTGAGGGCCAAGTCGGAGAGTGCTTTGGTAGCCAAGTACAGATCGTAGGTTGCAATTGAGAGAACGAAGAATAGGATACATGCATTCAAGATGTGAGGAAGAGCGGCGATCCCAGCAGCAAGTAATGCCGCCACAAAGGGAGAGGCGGCTAGCCTCTTCTTCCCCTTTCCAAGTGTATGAAAGGACAGGTCGACCGTATCATATGGAAGGACCATGCCGAGAAGAGTAATTCCTAGAAGATGGAAGACCAGAATCCGATAGAAGGTATGTTTGATGGCACGATTCATGACCTGAGGTACATTCGGCGACCGGGCCAGGATACCAGATCGTTCGCTGCCAATATACGCAAAGGTAGCGGAGGACATGGCTCCACAAGTTGAGAAGAAGACTGTCATCATACCGCCACCGCCATCCTCGAAGACACCTGGGTATTTCCAGTATAGAAAGCCCCTGACGTGGGGAAGGTGATCTGGTCCTCCTCCAAGAACGAGCACAAGAGACAAGATCATGAGGCCGCTCATAACAACGAGTTTCAATGCCGACACGTAGAATTCGATCTGACTCGGCAAGGTATGGTGGATATAATTGAGAGCCATGATGATAGAAATGAAGAGGGTGATCCATACTCCAGGGTTAACCCGATCAGCATCCACCCACAACTCCATCACGAGGGTAGCAGCTGTCAACTGATTCGGGGTGATGACAGCATATTTGAGCCAGTATCTAGAGGATAACTTGTTAGTCGATTGAGTATGCGCAGGTACAGGAAGGACTGTACTCACATCCAACCCAGTGCAAAGCCCAGCGCCGGGTCACAGAAGCGAAAAGCCTGGTCCGCCACGGTGGATGGTTTCGGCAGCCACGCACCAACTTCTCCCAGTGCAGAGAGAACGAGAAATACTGTGAATCCGACAAGGGTATATGAGACCATCATCGCCGCTGGCTATACTCATGATGTCAGCATTCCCATTCTATTCGGAGATCAAGGGCTCACCCACGCCGCCCCTAGGTCAATGTCAGCACATGCAGTCTGCGGCAACAATGAAGATCAACGTACATGGCTAAAGTTCTCCCACTGCCCACTATCAGTCCCGTACCAATGGCTGACCCAATACCTGTCAATCAGCATTAGCCGACCCGTTCGAGGGAACAGGGAGGGCATCGAACGAACTGATGATCCCCGCTCGGCGAGGTGACAACGCTCCATAGATGTCCGTGAATCCCGTCGCAACGTCCTTCGGCTTTTCCGATGAATTATCTGGTGGTGTCGTCGAATTGGGACTAGTGATCTGCCCTTGGGAGCCATTCGAAGAATGTGTCCGACGCCGGGGGTGCTGTGAGTCTTCCATTTGCAAGGAATTGTGAGCATGGTACAAGAGTATGTCAAGCGATAGATCACGCTAGAAAGGTTAGACGACAGATCAGTGGCGGCAGTAGCTGGCAGTTGAAACGGAAAGAGCGAGTACGAGGAAGGCGCCAACTCAGACGCAACAAGCTGCAAATCGGAAGTATGTGTGAATCGGTATTTCTTTCTTTCTTCTATATGCAAGGACGATCCGCTCCGTAGAGACGGGCCAAAACTCAAAGTGCGTATAAAACAGTACAACCCAAAATAGCAAAACCAAGTCCGGTTGAATGCCGGCAAATCTATCATTGCCACGCAAAGCATGTCGTCCCCAATGGACGATGCACCGTGGCCAACGTGTTATGGTTCAAGTCACCGTCAGTTCCGTGGATACCGTATGATCACAAACGCCCAAAAATCGGTAGGCCAAATAAAAAGCATTCAAGACGCCCAAAATGAGAACCAGCAGGGAGCCAGCCCCCATTCCTTTCTGTTTCGGAACCCGTAGGTAGGCTCAATTGGTGAGAGGGGATGTGTATATCATGAAAATAAGCATTCTTGCGAAAACACGAGAAAAAAATGTTGCCCTGGTAGGAAGTGTTGCCGAGAGCGGTCGGTAGTCGTCACATGGACCAGTTCGAACAGCAGCCCGGGGTCAAAAGAAGACGCAAAGATGGTGCATCATCCGTTCATCGCGACATAAGCGAGTCGCTCGACTCCGTCCGAGGGAAGATACGGGTGTAGAGCGAGTCGCTGGATTCCGTGCGCGGGAAGTGGCGCTGGTGCTTGCGCGAGATGATTCGGTCCTGGTAAACACCCTTCGCGGTGCCGCGCACCACAGACTCGAGGTACTCGCGGAAGTCGGTCGGCTTGAAATCCGGGTACAGCTCGGGGGTCAGGTGATAACCAAGATACCTGGCATACTCGGGGTTGTTGTCACCGCGGATGCCCCAGGAGTATTGGTATTCGGCGAGGTAGCGCGGGATGAACTTGATCGGATCGAAGGGATAGGTTTCGCTGGCCTGACGAGCTGCGAGAACGCGGCTGCAGATAGTCTCTTCGGAAACCTGTACATAAAGAAAATCAAAGATGAGTATACGTAGAACCAGAAGAGGGGCGTTCATTGTCGCGCAAAACATACGTAGTTTCGGTCGACCTTCTCCTCACTGATCTCCTCCATCAGGCTGTAGATCTGATTTTGCGTAGAGACCAGGTTGTAGGCGAGAATCTTCTTGTTCAAGGTGCGGGGGTCATTGAGGATGAGAGCCATGTAGCGACCGATGTCGCGTAGATCGGTGAGCGCCGTGGGCATGTTTCCATCGCCAATGATCTCATCGTTACCAGAGGTCATCGCATAGTCAACGCGGCCGGAGACAAGGCGAGGGTAGGAAAGCTGGTACCACCAGCCAACATCAACGATAGTGTAAGGGAGCCAGAGCTGGCGGATCTGGTTGTAGACAATTTCTTTCTGGAGCGAGAGAAAAGCAAAAGTCAGCTAGAGCTCGGGACAGCCATGTCGCACTCACGCCAGAAGGGCATTCTCATACCTCGTCACGTAGCCACATTACACCACCAGGCGGAGACACGGTGATGAAACCACAGGGAATGAATCGCTTGACGCCGCACTTCTTTGCGGCCTTGGCGAGCGGAATCTGGTCTTGCTGCTCTGCAGGGCCGACACAGCTGATGACGACATCGATCTCGGCCAGGACTTCGATGAGCTGCTCCTCGGGGGCCTTCAAGTCACCCTTGCGGATTTTGATTCCTCGTTCCTGGAGCTTCTGAATGGCGGGCTTGTGTACGGAGATGGGGCGGACGAGGGCGTAAACGTCCTATGAAAGGATCAAATGTATAGTTAGTGACCGCTGGGCTGCCTTGGAAGGGGCTTTGAGGATTGGAGATCGTACAAAGGAGCCATCTTCAATGAGGCCGTTGGCAATGGAACCTCCGGTTTCACCCGCTGCGCCAACCAACAGAACCTGAGTCTTGGCCATGTTGGATAGGCGTTATCAAACGGACAGATATCAGTGGAAGTCGTAGACGGTCGCTGGGATTGGTATTTGGTGGGATGAGCGAGATGGGGGATGGGAAATGGTGGTGTTGATTGGGAGGGTGAAGTGAATCAAAGGGAAAGAGGAAGAACGGGGACGGCGGAACAGGAAATAATCAGGCGTGGGCGAGGTGATTAAATTCCCAGTTCCAGCGAGAGCCCACCGCAATCCACCCAAGGATGGTTTGGCTACCCACTTTGTCTCCCATCCGGACGGTGGGTCGAAGAGTGGATGTGAGTTCCCCTCGTTTTGAGGGGGGAATTCTTTTTCAGTCGGGCACCGGACGTCATGGTTCTGTCTACGGTGGTCGAGATGGCATTGTCCATCGCGTCTCTTATATGGAATGACGATACGTAGCCCATTCGTCGCAATGGCTCACTGATGTTCTACAGTTTCTCCGGCGTGTTTCAACCCTTTCGGCAAGTACAAAAAGTTTTTTGGCCTCTTTACGGGCCGGTGGCTCGGGACAAGAACCCTAACCAGAGTCGGGGTCGCCTTTACGTCATACGGCTTCCCGGAGGCTTGAAGATGACGGTCATGCTGGATACAAGACATTGATGGTCTTGGAGAAGGAGGGGGCATAGGTCTCTCCTTGGACAGAGATCTATCGAGATGGCATACATTCACAAGTCTCCTCAAACCGATAATCAGCTCTCTGCGCTGGCGAGAGTTTAGCTGCACCGATAATCACTCCAGAAATAATGGGGGCCTTAGGGCTCGCCTCATACCTGCGCATTTAACAGTGGCATCTTCATCGGTCACAAGTTCTCGACCATCACCCCCACGTCAGCGATCTTCATATCAGCATCGCGGTCTTGGAAAAAGAAGTCAAGTTCTGTCCAGTGGCACGGTGTGGACTGTGACGAAATTGCGGCCAACCACGATTAGTCAATGGACAGGCCCCAAGCGCTCATTGGCGGATCGCGCCTCAAAAAACGGAGACGCCCGTCCACGGTCGACCGAGCTCCGGTTACCATGCGGCTGCCCATGGGAGAGTATTATTGAGGAGGAATTCGAGGGGCTGTGACTTGACCAGTTAGCCTTTGCCTGGATCGGTTAGGGTCCGAGAGGGTTGCGCAAATCATTCGGGGATCCAATATGATCCCATATCCAGAACCTTACCAGGATGGAAAGGACCAGCGGAGGGATTGCCCAGCCACAGCCGCCGCGAGCGCGGGAGATCGGTGCCTGGGCGTTGGACCAGTCATTTCTTAGCTGAACAGATCCTGGCGACCTCGAAAATACTGTATGTCTGTCATAACTCTTCCATGTCTGCACCTGCACTGGGAGGTGACCCCGTTCATCGTCCCGGATTTTCACAAGCGTGCTTCCCCCAGCATTGTTTGAGGGGGTAAGTGGGGTTTCCTTTTGGTCACTTGGCCGCGAAAACTGGAAGGGCCCCTCGATTGAGTAAGCAGAGATGACGATCTCGGAAAACCCACCCAAGAATCGCATTTGACAAAGGCACGAGTCCTGAATGTGAAATCGGCGGTCGCACGGTGATTCATTTCAAGGCTAGTAGATGACAGGCTGGAGTTATCTGGGGCATGTGTTCTCCACAAGTCGTACATCAGGGTGGTTTCCCTCGAGTGGACGGTGAGTTGGCAACGACCCGGTAAATATGTAGCAGATCTAAGCGAAGGTCGAATTGTAGCCAAGATCTGCCTTGGAATCTGAATATCTCTGAGTCAGCAGCAACGATATAAACCTAGTTTCCACCTTGGCCTTCAAGTTCTTGAGGGAGCACGGGGGATGCCGAGGAGGAAAAGGCTTGAGTGTTGACTTTGGCGGTCGACGTTGTCAGAGGCTTTGGCAGGTGACTTTGCAGCTGATCTCCATTCTGCACCACCCGATCCAAAGAATTTACAATGTAGCCAATCTTGATATTCAATGAGCAGCTTTGACTTGAATACAAACGACATGCATTCTCAAATTCCTTGCATAGATTAAGTGTTCATTCACAGTGCATAAGTAGCCATCATTTGATTCAACCACCAAAGCTCGTCGTCGAGCCTGACAGAAACATCTGCTACAAACTAATCAACCAATACTTCCCAAGGTTAGATACGTCCTCATGACACCTCTGCTGTTCAATCTGAAGTTGCCCAGCCGTCTCTGGAAAACCGTGAAGACCGCGAAGTATCTCAGCGGCTGCAGTACTGGAGATAACAGCCCTTCTCGGTATCAGCAAGCAGCTCATCAAGACGTATGTCTAAAAAAGCAAGGGAACACTCACATATCGACATTCTCGGCCTTGATGGTGGTCCCAGCATCTCTAGAGATATGGGTTAGTTTACTATCTTCGTAGATGGTGCCATACGGTTCTCTCATACAGCTATGCATTCATCGTATCCTCGTCGGCAACGATCCTCCCCCGGCGGGATAACGGGCTCATTAGCTTCAACTGGTTCGTTATGTTCCTCCACGGGGGAGGCAATGGCCAGGGTAGCAAAGACCAGAGCGAGGATGGCTAGCGGACGCATTGTGTGATGTGCGAATAGCGGAGTTGATGGTGCTGAGACAGCTAGTTAGGGCCAAAGGTGGAACTGGCAAGACTGGCTCCTTATGGGTATCCTTGAGATGATCGATTTCGTTGGGCAATTTATATCTGACAAGAAGGATGCCCATTGTGTGTAATATGACTTGCACGTACCATAAGGTAACACCGGACAAGCTTGAAGCCAACTGGATAGACCGGTACCACGAGGGAGTTGAAAGATTTCCAAGTGTCACGAATAAGACCGTAAAGGGCGACTCTACCTATCATTAGTGAGCTTCGGCTGTTTCACGAAGGAGTTTACTCCATGGGGATTGCGCAGGGTAACCCGACTCCTGCAGCTTGAGCGAGTCTCTTGGTAGAAGACATGCTATATCCGACCTCTTTACCGCCACTCGACGTGACGATTCTGTTAAGCACGTACTGTAAAGACATTATTCTACACTTGAAGAGAAAAGATGAGGAATCGATAACACAAGTACAATCGTTGGAGTCATGATGCTTGATTGACCATTCAAACTCCGCTCATCGAGGATAATATAGTTGATAGATAATGGTTGAGAAACTTATATTCCGTTGGTCTCAAGACTAAGGATATGATGGACGATCACAAAATCAAGATCCCATATACCCTCCGACCAGTCCAGCTGGCCAAAGGTCAAAGGAAAACCCCGAGCAGACCTGTCCAGCCAGGGTGAACAAAATCCTGGGGTACATCTTGTACAGCATTGACACAACAAAATCAGGACAAAACAGCGAGTGGAATGCTAACATATGTTCAATATTTCATTCCGAACTGCCTCCATATGCGTGTAAGATTCAAAAAGCCACCTCCCCACGGGGAAACTCGATCCTAACTCCGCGTGCCACATCTGAACCCAAAATAGCCGCCCATACATGTGAAGAAACAAAGAACAATGGCCCCGACCCAAATTCCGAGCAACACCAAAGAATGAATGGGATATCATAACGTAAGACAAATCCGCAACGCCCAAAACTCCCTCCAAAATGAAACATCGTCTCAAAATCCAGAGCTCTGCAAAATCCTCCCCGGTCGAAGCGTCGGCTCAGAATGTGTGATCCTCTTGAGCTCCCTTACATCCATCAACTTTCCCCGACAGTAAAGCCGTACCGTGATAGTAGCCCTCTGCTTGAGCAATAACATCTCCCGCTGCTTCCGTCGCTCTTCCATGATAATCGCCCATCGAGCCCGGACTTCAGCCACCCGCTTGCGTCGCGCGGGCCAGGCACGCTTCCACATGAGTGTTTGGTGCATCATTTCGAGGTTCTTGTCATTCGGCCAGGCGGCGTGCCTGCACCCCTGTGGCCAGACAGTGTCCAGGTTGACGCTTCTCATGTTGTCAATGTCGTCCATTTTCCATTGCCAGTGGCGGAGTTGTTGCATGTCGTCTGCATTACGGCAGAATGTGAGCACCCCGCGGTGTGCGAGGTAGTGCTGGCGGATGTGGAAGTCGATTTGATAGTGGGCGAAGAGCATGGCGACTTCGGGGTCGATGTCTTTTGTTTCATCGAGGAGGTGGTTGAGGGCTTGTTCGACTAGTTCGTAGTAGCGCTCGCGCTGGGAAATGGAGATGTGTTTCCAGAAAGATGGCTCCCCGGTGAGTTCTTGGGTGTTATCGGGGGAGATGTTGTCGTCTCGGGTGTTGTTGTTCAGGAAGAATGGTGGGTAGTGGGAGGTGATGTATGCGCCCTTGTGGATATCATCTGCCATGCTCGCTTGGGTAATAGCGATCTGGCACGTTGTGCAGTGCAGTGCCTCTTCTAGTCCTTGGAGCTATAGATCGGTAAAGGTTAGTACAAATTCTTCTTCCGGGAAGCAAGATCGTTGACGTACCAGCTCCATGTCTGCATTTCTCTCGTCTTGAGCTTCAGCGGTCTCCATAGTCACGGAGGCGAGCGCAATTCGAATTGTAATTGTGTGATGTATCTTTCAATACGGTGACTCTCGAATGTATTGATAAGTTTGTACGTGGTGAACGAGAAGATTCGCAACATTCTTCTTATATCGTGTCCAGATGAGAGCGCCTGCGACTGAAAGACTGAGCTACCGACACAATAAACTTCATTGGGGCTATTGTATGAAAGAACTGAATGTGTTGGAAATAAAGTTCCGATGACCGTTGGGGGAACCGCGCTCCGGAGGTTGAAGCAAAACAAAGATCCTTCAAAAGCCGATCCAGAATCTAGATTGCAGGGCAACAAAGACCTCACGCAGAGTAAGTCAGAAATCAGTCCGCCAGCTGAAGGCCCCCGTCCAGCCCCGCGATTATAAACAAAATAGCTACGGTCGCAACGCCATTCTCCGGTGGTCCGCGATCAAATCACGGGTCTTCCGATCTGAGCGCGGTGCGCGGTCATCTGTTGATAAACGCGGTGAAGGTGTGGGGGGCGTGACGGGGTCAGACGGAGGTCACTGGGTTTCATTCGATCCTCGTCCTTCACCGCGATTTGGCCTGCTTAATTCCCCCACACACGCGTTCAGCCGATAGATCCCGATGACTACAATCTCGAGGCTAAATCAAGATACATTCTTAACGCTGAGGGGGCCTTGGACCAATAGTTAACGTGCGATACCTGCCTACTGCCCAGCTTGAAGCGGTAAACCTGCTCGGGGCCAGAATATAGATCATTTATCTTGCTGAGCGGAGCAGATGAGCTTTGGATATAGCAGTGCTGCTGATCTCAAATTATTGCTTTGGTTGTTTAGTGAGGAGGCCTTGTTCGATATCTCATTTGCTTAATCTCAACCCTTGCAAGTAGTAAGGCCTAGCTAGCTGTATACTATTGTCCGTGGACGATACTCGGCTGACCCCACAACAGAATTTACCAAGCCTAGCCTCATGTTTGGTAAGAACAGCATCAATCTAGGGTCTAATTTCCAAGTTGAAAGTTCTTCTGACTCCTTTGTAATTCCATTGCAATAACTATGCCCTGCAAGAACCTATCTTCCCGTGAAAGGGTGATCCCTACAAAGATGTTAACTCTTCTGGCTTCAATCCGCGACATCCAGCATTAGATGCGAACGCTGCATTGCAGGAACTTCCATACTGGGCAACACTTCTCCATATAGAGTGTCAATCGTCATTGTTTTGACAAAGGTAAATGTGTCTAGTGCGGCCTAATTCCCCTGTAATCGAAAAGACGGTCCCAGTTAGCAGCACAAAGAGAAAAGTTCATAGATAGGCACTCCACTTTCTTGAAGTCACCAAGGCGCGCCTGAAGCTTAACATCCCTTGTCGGGTATCAAGTGGATAGATTGACTGTTTTAGACTAGAATAGCAATTAAAGATAGAGGACTAGAAATTACCTTGATTCCGATATTATTTAAGTCTAACCAAGGGATGCATCTAGGAATTCACTTTATGTAGTTCTGACCTCTCTCTCTCTCTGTGCTACACTGGGATACGTCAATGTGGTAATGGTCTGCCCAAGACTTTATTTCTTTGTTACTGTAGCTACTAAGCCTGGGAGAGGTCCGAGGGATAGCTGAACCGCAATCACCCCCGATGACTCGATTCCGGCTTTCTTTGTTTGAGAACCAGGCATCGCCCAGCACTTCGCTTTGTTTAAGTTTCTGGTGCTTTCTATGAGCCCTCGCCGTCTTCGATCTTATCCGAGCACTCACCCTCCCCCCAACTTCCTTTTCTACAGATCCAACTTTCCTTCGCTACAGAGTGCATGCCAAGTTTCCTTCTGCACGTACCTCACTTCATCATGACTGGCATTCTGAACCTTTCACCAGAAGTCTTGGTGATGCTGGCAGAGAAGTTCGAATACCCATCGGACTTAGATAATCTCGCGCAAACATGTCGTCCACTTCATGGTATTGCAACTCACATGCTTTACAAACACTTTGCCCCGAGTCTCCGTTTGGAACACCGATCTTGCATTTCAATAAATGGGAACATCCCCGCTTTGGCCAAGCTTCTCTCCTATGCAATTGATCTGGATTATACACTGTGGGGGTAGTACTCCGTTGGCTCACTAGCTGCTCGCCACGGGCAGATCGAATTTCTAGAACGACTGATTGAGAGTTACGGTCCATCTTGGGTGACCAAGGTTTTCGAGAGGGATGTCGAAGGTTGGGTTTTCGGACTGAAGGTTGCAATGTGGCCAGGGTCGCCTAAAAACCGCTCTGTCGCTGATCAAGCACGGTGTAGCCGCTAGTAGTAAAGAGCCAACTCGCCTCATCAGGCTGATCGTCCAGGAAGCAGCTGCTAAAGGGTTCTTGGGTGAAATATTTAGCGAGCGACGCTCGTTGTGACCGCGCTTCCTGCAATGAGGATGAACGCTTTTTCCCTATTTATAAATCGTCTAAAGGAGGCCACTTAGAGATAGTTCGGTTCCTAGTGGAGGTTGGTTTTGATCCGACTCGCAGAGCTTTCAACAATGAGTCCTATGCTCCCATATATGTCGCAGTCCGCATGGGGCGCGGAGATGTGGTGGGATATCTGCTAGAACTCGAGGCGTATGCAGAAAGCCCATATCGTCCAGAGCTGCTTGAGGCTCTTGCGGAAGCCGCAGCATCACAAAAGCAGTTGACAGTGGCGCTTATCCTGAGCAAGGTCCACCTCGATACGTTGATTAAGAGCTGCAGTAGTCTGGAGCGCACACATCTGCTTTTTTGCGCGATAGCATTGAATGATGAAAAACTTGTTCAGAGACTGTTGGCCAGGGGTTGTTGGCCTTTCTATCGATTCGAAGGAGCGGAGTCAGCCTTGAATATCGCTACCATGTTTGGCAACGAGAAAGTTCTAGAAATGGCGCTCGAGGACTTAACACGAATTGGATTGGACTCGGTGAGCAACTACCTCCATGGCAGATCGGAATGATCCGGTCATCTCCATAGAGATATGCTTGCTCAGGTAGTCGCTTGCAAGCGGAAGCCATTCATCGAATTGATTCTACCATATGTCAAAGATGCAAATGACATCAGGCACTTCGGATTGCCTACGCTCCTCGGGAGAGACGATCCTTCCGCTATTAGTGACGTCCTGCTGGGACATCTCTGGCAACTTTCAAGCAAGAAAGGCCAAGATTGTGAGGAAATCATTTTTTGGGGACTTCTATATTATTCTGTTGCGATTGTTAAGCGGATGGTTCGCAAGCGAAGGCTCCGCCCATTTGATATCATTGGTCCTGAGAGAGGGAATCCCGTCAGGGACGTGTACATGCCATCAGACAATTGTGCACTGCTGGAAAGTGCAGCAATATTGGGTTCTGCGAAGTCATTCACCATGATCCTCAGCCGGAGTGCCGTCCTGACCCCAAGTGTTACCTGTCACCTAGTCCTGGGTTATGCTGCTGCGAATTTGCAGCCAGAAATCTTCTTAGACTCTTCTTGGACAAGGGCTTTGACATAAATGTTACAACGACCATCGCTGAGTCGTCAAAGAGTCCCTTACTCGTTTTGGCTGTAAATGCCCGTGTCAGAACAGGTTATCATTCATCTGGAGAATCTTGGGGATCCCGGCGACTTACCACGATCAAACTCATGATTGACAGTGGCGCAGATATGAATGCAGTGGATGAGGAAGGTGCTACTGCACTACATTACGCCACGTTGGATAACTACAACTCGGTCGTGACTGAGCTCCTTCGTAGTGGGGCCAACCCTCTGGCTGGAAGGGAAATCTCCATGTCAGCACTATATGCTGCTGTTCAGAGACAAAACTCTGAGCTTCTCACGAAGCTCTTGGCAGTCATAGAGCCTCAGAGCAAGACTCTTCGGGATTTCAAAAAGATGATGAAGATCTTTGCAGGTTTTGAAGACTATTCACGTATCTTAAAGCAGGTCAAAAATCATTACTGGCGCATGCGTTATCCTGTTCCGGCGAGTGAGTCTTTCATTCTTTCAAGTTATATGATAAGTATTTCGTTTCCTACCCAGAATGATATTATTTTTACCTCCATATGGAGTTCCAAATACATAGCAAATAGATTCACGAACCTAGAAAACGTAGTTCAAAGCTGGTTGCATCACTACATCGCCCGTCACCAGCAAACATTGGACGCTCGCGAGTTGTCTCAGATCTGGTTCCCGCACCGTCAAGATCAGCAACAACAACCCGTATCCTAATCAGCCTACCTGACCAGGCTCATAATGACCGAAAATAAAAAGGCCTCCCTGCCCTTTCCAGCAACATGCATCCTCGTCTCTTTCGCGTTTACCTCTTACCTCCATCGCACCTGGATCTCACAGCAAATTCGAGCATTCAAGCGCCTCATCCGACACACCGCGAGCAAGACCAAGCGTCCAGTCCGCCGACAGCCACAGCAAATTACAGATACCTGGTGCAATGTAACCGCATCGAGAAGCTACAACATCCTCGCTCCATCTACTCGAACCGGTACAGCCAACGAGGTGCTCACGACCTACTCAACCAACGAGCACTCACCATGGGACTCTGACAACACCAGCACAGACACTGCATCCAATCTAGACACGGAGAACGACTCAGATACCAGCAGCAGCACCGAAGATTCAACCACTCCCCTTCGCCTCCATCCCGACCAACCTGGATCCTCAATTCCACCGGCCGATACGTACTGAACCGCGCCCCCGGACCACTTCCGAGCGTACAATGGGAAATCGAGCTCGACGAGAGTATTCGCAATGGCCGTGGCCCGGGTGCTTGGCTGGACAGAATGATTGACAGGGTTGTTCGCCTTGTCGTTGGGGATTTCGACGCCGAGATGCGTGCTCAGATTGAATTGTCTGCTGTTAGCCGCCGAGGAATGGTCATACCTGGAGGGTTTCCAGAGATCTAGTGTTGCGTTTGGGCGTTTCGAATCATGCAGCCTGATGTTGGACATTCGCGTTATTGGCCCGCTAGACGGTAGCGGAGATGAGAGCGGGTTGCTTAGTGGAGATCCCGGGGATGAGGGGCTTTCATATGCATGGTCTAGGGTGTTGTTAGCTCGGGAATCGGAGTTTTGTCTGTGTGTGTTGGAAAACTGGGGGATGATTGACTGTGGCACTCAAAAAACAGGGAGTTGACTTGGATTGTAGAACGATCAATGAGAAGGCCCAGCTCTATGACCAGCATTTCTGAATTCAATGCTCCAAAGATTCTTTTGTATCAATCCTCTAACTTGTGTATACTTCAAACATAGTCCCGTAAATGGAAAAGATTCGCTCAATACAAAAAGGGGCATTCTATCACCTATCACGACCAGTTTATGGGGCGCAGTAACCACCGTCGACGATGATATCGGTGCCGGTGGTATAAGTGGAAGCATCCGAGGCGAGGTACAGATAAGCACCCTTCAACTCGTGCGCCTCACCCGCGCGACCCATAGGGATCTTGTCCCGCCAGAGTCTCTTGAACTCCTCGGGGGCGAATTTGGAGATTTCTGTGAGGATATAGCCGGGGGAGACGGTGTTAGCGCGGGCAAAACGGACCCATTCGACGGAGAGAGATTTGCCTGAACTGTGATTAGAGAAAATATCATAATCAAAATACCCTAGTGGAAAACGTACAGAGATGAACAACGCCACTCTTGGCGGCGTTGTAGGCAGCCTGCAACTGGGGGATGTTGACAATGTGACCGCTCATGGAAGCAGTAGCAACGAAGCTGCCGTATGTGAAGTTGGTGAGCTTGTTGCCATTGATATCAGTGCCTTCCTCCTTCTGGCGGCGCCAGTGTGAAGCAGCAGCCCTAGCGCAGTAGTAGGTGCCGTCAAGATCAACGTTTATGACGTCGCGATAGTGCTCAATGGATCCATCCAGCATGGGGCCTTGGATCCAGGGAATACCAGCGTTGGCAATAAAAACGTCTAATCGGCCATTGAACTCTTTCACCACGGTATCAGTAGCCTCTTGTACAGCCTTGTAGTCGGTGACCTGGACCTGGTAGGCCTTGGCTGTACAAATTAACTCAATTGTCAGCCCCCGTGAACATGACCGAACGTACAGAATCCATCAGGCTGCAGCTACTTACCCTGGACACCATACTTCTGGGCAATCTCTGCCGCACGCTCGGCGGCCTGTCCGTTGGAATTGTACCACAGAGCAACGTTAGCACCGGCTTCAGCCAGGCCGTGCGCAACGGCCAGTCCAATACCGGCACCGGCACCCGTCACGATGGCAGTCTTACCCTTCAGGGAGAACATGCTCATTAAGCTAGGGTGCTCGGGGGCGACGGTGTTGTCGTGGAGGAAAAGTCCATTCTGAATTGGGCTGGCAGCCATGGTTGATCAATGACAATCGGAGTGAGAAGGTGAGCGATGTAAAAGACGCACCAAGACGGGAGATGCCCTTAAATATAGCTCTTGAGGGGCAACCATCTCCGGTAAAAACCGAACATCCCCTAACAGGTCGCGACACAAGACGGTGACTATTGCCCGGGCCTTCTGCGAAAAGAGAACTGGTACAGTTGCTGTGGGGCGTGTACTGTACAGTTGCTCTGCCCACTAGGAGTTGTCCTCCAGTGATAGCTCGTTGTTTCTGTGGGTATGACGCTAGGCGCCATCCAGAACAGGCGAGGAGCGGGTCCTCGAGGGAAAGGTGGGATAGACACCGATCACAGCGCCATTGGCTAGGAGTCGAGCTGGTTAAGGCGCTATAAGCTCTGGAGACGCGAAAATTGCATCAATTTAGATCCCGATGGACTCTACTGTCCGATCCCTGCGACGTCTTGATTCCTTGGATGGTTGGATATTGAGGGTTGCTCTCCGAGTAGAACCCCGCGGATGCCCCATTTCTGCCTGAACCATCTGGTGTCGATTCCGTTCTTCGCTTGGGCTTGATCGCTTCCCCATTTCCATGTCGTGCGACTGGTTCGAGGGTGAGTTGGATAGATACTGGTATCCTATCACGATGAACCAATGAATCGAAGCTGTTGCTCTTTTCTGCTCCACTGATTTCCATCCCACGTGATGACCCGCCGTTGTGAGGATACTGTACAGTGTGCTCCAAAGAAGGGGGTGAGCAACAGCTGGAGCAGCGACCCTTTGCCCTGGAATGAACCCAGACGGCTTGGGCAACATCTCGAATGCCAGCTCCAGTGCTACCCCATGGTTCATGAAACTGGGGCTGTCAGTGGCTTGTTTTGTGGCTTGTTTTTGCCATTGACTCGGGGTTTTATTGACACTTACAGTGTGACTGTAGAACCGCTAGTAGTCAACTACTAACCCTGCACAGCAGCTTCGGATCATCACCTTCAATACGACAAGCCAGCGGCCCATGAACAATACTACCCTTATAGCTAACAAGAGTGAATACTCACTTCCATGCAGACACTATAAACCGGCTGGTCATTCTTCTCCGAAGTCACCTTGCCAGGTTAATCGCTACTACATACAGTACAGCCAACATGGTTCCAGGATGCCATCTCCATTCCAACCAGCTTCAAAGGATTTTCATGAACCTGCCATTTGAACACTGAGGTTATCCACTACTGCTGATTTTGGCGACATGTCATTGGCAGCTGGCAGGGCCGGAAGCAAAATGTGGCCGCCAACATTCTTCGCGGCGTCTCGGTGATGTGTGCACATTCCAGGGGACTGGTCAAAATGTTCACATAACAAACCAGCTGCCCCGGACGGGAATGCTCGCGCTTTTCGCACCTGATTCCGTTTTTTGTCTCTTCCAGGTTGTCGTGTTCGTGTTTCTAGTGGTTGCAAGGTCTGTTGGCTTTCTCCAGGCTCTCTTCACCAAGCCCTGGTGCCGCATATCGCATCAAGAGGATCTCCAAGTACACCTTTAGACCTCGCAGCACGATATCAACAACGGATGAACGACTGAGCAAGGTCCTCCCCGCGGATCACGCGTCCTCTGATCCAATTTCAACTCGCAGGTTCATCTCGTCAATCGGGCTGCCGCCATGCTGACCCTAAATGCCGTGGTCGCCATCGCCGCGTCCGCTGCGGCCTTTTTTGTCGTTCTTGGAGTCGTGGTGGTTGTGGTTTGGGTTCGAGTCCGGAAAGAACGACATGCGATGAGAATGCTTGGTCTCAAAGAGGGAGACAATCCTCGCAGCGTCAAAACTTATAATGCGGACACCTTGACTGAGCTCTCTCATCAAGAGGGAAGTGTGTTGAGGGCTCATGGACAGCTGCCATACGGAAAACCGTCCGAATGGGGTAAATTGGAATCACGGGAGACTCTTTTACGCCCAAACCGCGAACCTGAATCCTCCTGGCCTCTCATGGAGAGGGCAAGATCGCTTCGTAATTCGATTCGCAGGGCCAGATCGAAACGCTTCACCAAGGGTGGGCTTCGGCGCATGGGATCAATGGCTACCGTTAGCGAGATGATGCCCAGCCCAACGAGGAGGTCGAAAGACGATATCCCTCTATCTGCTGTTGAGGGAATCTTGGAGCTACCAGCAGAGCGAACCCCGCGACAAACGCCAGAAATTCCCAGAGAAGAACAGGGTTTCCATCTAGGAATGCGGCCCATGTCTCCTGCGTCTGCTTGGCCTCCTCCAGCCCAGCAACAGCGCGTATTCCCTGTATTGGACAACATTATCTCGCAAGATCTGTTTGACCCACCTCCAATGATCTTCGAGGAGTCGCCCACTCGAATTCGCCGCGGGAGTATCGTCAGTCAAACTGCAGGACATGTCCCAGACCAGTCTATTCCTCCTCCGCCACCTCCAGCCGCGTTTCCCCAGGAGCGGTTCAGCTACTTGCGAAACGACTCGTTTATGCGTCTGTCTTCAATGAGTCTTGACACAACCAACAGCTCAATTCTGGATGATGGTAGAAATGGGCCACGGTCTGCTGACACCGACCTCACCTCGCCCACCTTTCCATCAGGTGGCACATTTGTCCCTTTTAGCGCCAATGATGTTGGTGTTAAAAATGGCCGCCGGAGTTTCATCGCTGCCAACACCTCAATGCCACCCAATTTCCTCACGCGCTCCTCGTCGAGCGCTGATGGTCAAAGGAAGACGTCGGGAGAAGCTATGTCGCCCCGTCGCAGCATGACTACAGCGTCTCGAAACCCAAGCAATGCAAGCAATCGTTCTAACGCTCTGCCTCGCCGCAGTGAATCTCTGTCATCAACCGCTCCGCAGAGGAACTCGTCACTTCGTGTTGGAGCCCCAGGGTCAATGGCAGCATATCAGAATGGCAACAGGACCTCTTGGCGATCACCTACCCCAAATTTGGCGCATGCACCACACCTCGGCCAATTCCAGCAGCCACCCCCGGGCTACGAGAGTGAGCAATTCGACAATGATCCATTCTATGGAGGCTCCCCAGCTTCCAATGGCACGCTATTCTCTGTCGGTTCTCCCAGTCAGCCACCTACTTACATGCCGCAAAGTCCGATGCAACGCTCATCGCTTTCCATCAAGGGACCACTCCCATCAGCGCTCAAAGGTTCCAATTCGCAGCGGAAGAGCAAGGGACACAGACGCCAGAACTGCGTTCGTATCTCAATTCATCCGCCCATGACTTTCGGAGGCCCGGCCTTCGTTCCTACTGTGGAGGAGGAACCTGAAGATCTGGATGCCATGGAAGAACTAGATCTGCGTGAAAGTGCCATCAATGGCACATCAAAATCGCAGCCCTCCATATCTACGAATTCGCCATCTCCCCTGCCCCTTTCGAAACGTGGAAGTGGTAGTCGTCGTACAAAACCAGTGATTTCAGCACCAAGCTCACTCGGTCCTTTGGCTGAAGAGCCGCAACCTACATTGCATACTCGAACTCCGTCTAAAAAACGAAAGAAGGCTCCCACCGACAACCCAGATGATACGCCCGTCCTCGCCCCCAAAAGTCACGCTTTACCTGGTATCTTCACCTCTCTCCCTCCCGCCCGTGAGGTAAATCTTTCTCATACACCTTCACCTGATCGAGAACCGACAGCCTGGGCAGTTTGCGAAGTTCCATCCCCAACAACCCTCGAGAACTCATCCGGGATCAGCACTGGAAGCCCTCGACGCCCACCTCTCAAAGGACCGCGCACGCAACCAGGCAAGCCAAGCCGCAGGAACTCGACACAAGCTCCACACCCGAAGACTACTGAGCCATTGATGGGACCTACCTCATCTGCAGGTCTCCCACTAATCACCGGCACCCAGGGCAGCGACTGGCGAAAGGCAACAGAGTCACCGCGTCGCACAGAAACAGACACAATCAACGGGTCATTCCGGAGGAACCGCGACTCACAAGGCTCCCTAGACAGCGGCCTCGATTCATCAATGCGTCCTATCTCACCCGTCTACGGCTCCAAATGCTCCACCGTACGCGACAAGGTGACTATCTGGGAAGATGCCAATCGCAGCGCATCACCGCCCAAGCTCGCCGCGACGCAATTCGGAGCAGGATATACCTTCCAACTCGATACCAATCTCTCGCCTACGCATGCCAAAAGTAGTGTCCCGCGGTCACTTTCTAAGAGTGGATATCAATCGCCTGTCCGCATTTCTGGGCGTGCGCCACCAACCCCGACATCTGCGCGGCGTGGTATGACGACTCCTAATGGAAAGGGACTTGGGATTGGGGTTACCTGTGCGACGCCGGTCAGTCTTTATGATGGCGATGGGTTCTTGAAGGAGTAGCTTGGTTCGGTTTGGTTTGGTGGTAATTGCACGGCGGTTGTCTGCTAATATTTTGGCGCAGGTGTTTCCTGGGATTTTATAATTTTTCGTTGATTCTTGTATTCAAAAGCCTTATACCTTCCTTTTTCTGTCTTATTGGCCTGGAGCATTTGGTTTCGATTCTACTTTCTTTCGTCTTATGCATTCCCCTATGTACCTTTTCATGTGTCACGTTCTGCGTTGATATCCACCTAAGTAGTCGTAATTAAATGCTAATCGATTATAATGCCTTCGAATCACTGCGTAGAAAATCAATATTTTATGATAATTCTTAATCTCTTCTGACTTTGCACAATCCCAAGCTAACTATCTATATTCATGACCTAGGATACAATCAATCCGTCCTCCGCCACTTGGTCTCCTCACCCTCTTCCTCCTCCCCATCCCGTCCCTCTCCCTCCCCATCTTCCTCCTCCCTTGCCCTCACAGTCCCAGCACCAGGACCCAACCCAGGGAACGAAGGCGGCTCACCGTCCCCAATCCAATTCCCCTCCTCATCAAAGAACTCATGCATATTATCCGCCGTAATCCACCCAGAACTGCCATCCACAGGCGGCGGCAAATCCCCATCCAACGAGCCCATCCCCTCCTGCCCAAACTGGAAGAACGAAGGCTTCGACTCCTCATCCTCGTCATCCTCATCGCCCGGTTCCACAGGGTCAGGGTGCAGGTTTGAGCATGCGGAGACAGCGTTGTACAGCGTCTGCATGGGGGTTTCTGTCGGCTCGCCGCTTGATTCTTGCTCTGTGCGCTGTTCGGCGGTGAGTTCTGGTGGGACGAGTGTCATTGTGATGCATTGTTCTTCGTCGTCTTCGGAGGTGGGCGCGGTAGGCGTTGCGATTTGCATGTATAGGCCTTGGACTTCGGTGTCGGTCGCACCGGGGACACGGAGCCGTTGGATTGCATGGAGTGAGATTGATGGGTAGGGGATTGAAATGCCCGTTGAGGCGGAAGGGGAGTACAGGAGGAATTTCCTAGGAAGGGATACGTTAGCTTCGTCCTGGACATGCAGCGACAAGGACCGGAGACTGTTCAAGCTATGCTTGATACAGCTTGGTTCGCAAAGGTTTGGTAGAACTTACTCAGATGTGACCCAAGTATCCACGCCCTCAATGGCAATCTCAGGACCCTCGTCGTCACCCTCTTCCTGCGCCGCGTTCGAAGCACTGGCCCCATTGGTAGAGGCGCTCTCTCCGCGCAGCGCATTCAGAGCCGGTGTAGCGAGCAGATCACGCTCCAGGATTACGACTTTGCATCGCTCGCGGTGGTAGTAGAGAACGGGCGGTCCGCTGTGGAACGAGCTCGGAGTTCGCGACTGGTGCTCGGCGATGGTGACGAAGCTGGATGCTTCTGGGGATGTTTGGAGGACCTCCATAGTGATTCTGTAGACTCAATTCCTTTTCGTTGGAGAAAATCTTGGGTTTCTTGAGGGGCTGAAGGTGTGGTGGTGCAGGTGGTGTGTTGCGGAAAAAGCTGGGAGGAGCTGTCGGCGGAGGGGCAGTTTTGCTTCCGTGGTTCCGCTCGTTGGCCGCTATTAGCTTAGCTCAAGTACTACCTACAGCTCTTGTTTGGAGGTAATAGAAGTTAGACATATATAGACTCTCCAGTGAAAGAACTTACAACTTACAATATGTGCCGGGACTTTATGTTTATATTTGGATTAACTGTTTCTCTTCTACCTTTTGGTATCCCTCGTGTGTAGGTCGAGGTCGCGGATATATATACTGTCAAGTTGTCCCAGCATCCGCGGTGTAATCCAGCGGATGAAAACGTTGGAAGTCTACCTTAACCTTAAATTTCATAAAATCTAGGTAGCGGTTTAGAATGAATGGAGCCAGGTAATTTAGTATTGGTTGAGTCAAAGAGAATGAAATTTCTCTACGCAATTTGTGACCACGGCCTGTCTAATTTGTCTAACAGTTTCAAAGCACACAGGCTGGCAGGAGGCACGATGTACGGCTGGAATGTAGGAGTGGCGGATGCTTTGGAGCTCCCAAGTGGGTCCTGGCGACGAACACACATGCGGGCGAAATTCAACCCAGGACTATGTCCAATGAGAAGGCTACCATCGAGTCAAGATGCCTGGCCATGATGTAACAGCCATCTATTGACCAGCGAAGTACATCTCAATGTGCGCCAATCTTGAGCTCGCACGTGACGGTATACTTCGTGTCCAACCGAAGTGATCCTTTTCTAGGCGATCCAATATAGTCCTGCCAGATAGGAAGTGCGTTCTCGTGGTGTTTCATCGAGGCCTTGGTGATGGCATTGACGTGATGCCGTCTTGTTGCAGAAGATATGCCGATGCAGCATTATCTCGATGCTCATTTCACGCCCAGTCCACCAAATGCTCGATCCAATTCCTCGCCTTCGTCTCGAGGCACCATAGCGGGCAGAGTCGAGGACCCTTGATCAGCGGAAATGCTATCCAACAGGCTCCCACCCTGATCGGCCGTGGACGCAGCAGACCCTCCAGCTCTGCTCGGCTGCAGCAATTTCTCGTCTCGATCTAGCCAACCCGGTGCAACCCGGCGCTTTTCAGCGAGTTCCCGCTGTCGAATGGCTTCCTCCCAAACTTTGATTGCAGTCTCCGCCTCAGATCGGGTCTTCTTCAAGTGTTGTTCGAGAGACTGGCAGGAAGCGAGGATCTCGTCTGGGTGGGCTGCATGTTCACCGCTGGAGGAGAACACATATCGGGCTTTGGAGTCTGGGTTGCTTGGATCGACCAGTACTGATTGTGGGAGAGTTGAGGGAACTGATTTGTAGGTATAGGGTAGGGTGACTGAGGCGGGGAGATTGATGAAGGGCGAAACGGTTAGAGGGACCTGGGCTAGGAGGAGGTGGGGACCTATAAGCGTTGGGGATGAGTACGGGACGAGCAATGATAAAGAAGCAGGGATCAATGAAGGGTCACCTACGGTATGAGTCGTACATGACGAGAGATTTGGATCGTTGTCACTATGCTAGTGAGGCAAGGGACCTAGGCGTTGACAATGCGGAGAGCAATCGCAATGACGCCGTTCACCGCCCCCACCTCAGATCCCGCTTTCCACTTTCCCCCCCCAATCCCCGATACTCTTAAACAGAAAGACGACCTGGACTGACTAAGATCTGTTTAGTGCTTTCAACCATGCTAATCACATTTGAATGCAGCCACCTTACTGCCACCTTGGTGGATATTACCTGACTCGATGCATGTTCTTTGTTGAATTCTCGCACGAGACAGACGCCTTGTTGCTTTCCCAGGGACTAGACGTGCAAGGGCATGCAACAGGCCCGTTTCTACCAATGTGACGGCAGCTCCAAACCAGCGAGATCCGATCGGCTCCATGAGCCATTTTTGGATATCACACACATTCACGCAAGGTCGTTCGACGAACTCTTCTTACTCGCTCGCTCTATTTCGAAAGGGACTTAAGTGGATGCGTATTCCGTTTTAAGGATTCTACAGCAGAATAACGGTATAATCATCATGTTCAACTTAGACTGTCGTTATGTACTATAGCATTTCGATCAATCAGTGCCTCATCCGTGAGCTAAGCGCAGAACCTGGTCAGGTTCCGAGACTCCTGTCTATTCAAGTTTAGCTACTGTAGATTCCGAGTCCCACTACAAGACGAAGCACTTTCATTCGTCTCTTTCTAATCCCTGTTCCATGATGCCTGCCCTCCAGCCGTGATTCAGTGTGGGTTTCTGCGTTGGTCTGCGTTAGAGAAGAGTCCCTTTCATTCGCCGTACGTCGCGGATCCGCCACCAACAGTTAACGCTGCCCTTTGGTGGATCTGATTTTCGATTAGGTAGACGGGTTCCTTGCCCCGCAGGCTTAGCCTCGAATAACACACATGAGTTATTCGTCGTCACAATTTTCTTTGTTCATGTGGTTGGATCATGGATCTTTCTTGACCCCTGCTACAATTACTCTCACCTTCTTATGCTCGAGAGCTGCCCTCCATGAGAAAAGACATTATCGCTCCTGTTCGTAGGGCTAGTGACCAGTGGCTAGTGGTGCTTGCTAACCATGTCTTTTTCTTTCGTCTCTGAGCAGGACACAGATCTGCATTTCGCCAAAGATAATCACAATCCCGATGATTGGAAATCGTATGCTATTCCAGCGAGTTGTACATTTACTCGATTACTAACAAAAGGCTATAGAGAAACAACGTCTCTTGCATCGGCCATCTGCAAAGGGGTGGTGGAGAATGGTCGAAGGTAAGGCAGTCGCACTCCTACTATCAAAACAGGGGATTGCTCACCAGAAGCATAGATATCAAACACTAAGGGACAGGGGCTCCCAGTAGGTGAAAAGAGACTATTTGATGTATTGCTATGAGAACTACCTAATGATGAAATTTTGCAGTGTGCCATCCGACGAGCAGATGTTCGAGACCTACGAAGCTTCGTACGGTTCTCTCGAGCCTAAAGATGGAAGAATTTCTCCAAACTAATTTTGCTAGGCATCTTCTTGCATTCATAATAGATTCGCATGCAGAGAACCCGCTTTTTCAGGCGCCAGTGACAAAACCAAAGGTTTGTAGTAACGAACCCCGGCTCATCGAACCCCGCTCTGAAAACCAATACTAACAATACCAAGCATATCCTGGATATTGGAACAGGGAAGGGCTCATGGGCCGTGTTAGTGTTCTACACAATCTGCATATAAGAATGACGACTGAAAGCAATCCAGAGACGTCGCCGATCTGTTTCCTGAAGGTAGAGCCTGCGACCACTACCCGATACTCTCCTCTCTCTAACGATCGACTCCCAAATAGTAACTGTCCGCGGTGTAGACCTTTTCCCGCCCCCTGTCAATTGGATACCACCGAATTGTATCCTTGAAGTCGACGATATTCTCCAGCCATGGACGTGGCGTGATCCATTTGACTTGGTGCATCTGAGATTACTTGATGCCGCGTTTACTCTCGAAGAGACTGATCAATTATACCAACAATGCTACAGGTAAGAGCCTGATCTGAGCCACTATTGAGATTCTTAGCCCATACTGATATGCCCTATAGCCACCTCCAACCGGGTGGATGGATCGAACAGCTCGAGATGAGCTCCTTCATCGAATGCGATGATGGCAGTGCCCCCGAGGACAGCATCCTATTCGACTGGGGAACCAGATTAACGAAGGCAGCCGACAAAGAAAACCGACCCCTCGGAATCATGCGAACTTTCGGAGAGTCAATCGAAAAGGCAGGATTTGTGGATACTAAAACGAAGGATTATAAATGGCCCATTGGCCCGTGGCCAAAGGACAAGACTCTCAAAGAAGCGGGTGCTGTCAACTATCAGCACTGGCTGATTGGGATGGAAGGGTATAGTATGTGGCTGTTGACTAAATATGGGGATCCAGTACCATGGACGAAGGAGGAGGTGCAGGTTTATGTGGCACAGATGCGGAAGGAGTTGTCTAATCCTCGGATTCATGTTTACCATAGGGCGTAAGTTTGCTCTGTTCTTGCTGTCGGCTTAGCTGGGTTGGGTTCATTTTTGAGTTAACAATGTGATAGGAGGAGAATTTGGGCTAGAAAGCCCACGGATGATGAGTGGGTTAAAGTGGAATCTATCCCTTAAGATCGCCTTTTCTGCTCTTCTGTTTAGAGCTTGAACCGCAATACGTGAACAGCGAATCCTTGAATGACGAAGTCATGGTTGTTGCATAGTCGAGTCTCCATGTCGATAGTAGCCTGCCCACTTAGTGTCTACATAGGCAGCATAGTTGGGCAACGATCCATAGAAGTACCAAAGATTAGCTGTCAACTGCACAGTATCCAGGTCTCACCTTACAAGGCTGGAGATTCCCGATAGGCGCTAATTCTTCGTGGATTATTAGCATCTAGCACCGATCGGGCCTAGTTCGCGACATCCACAAAAGGGGCATAACAAGACTAGTAAGATGATGCCTAAAAGCTCGTCATTTCGAAGATGCAAGGTATATTGTAAGTTCCGTAGCTTTATGAAGGGTAAACTATGGTCGGTGGAGTGTTTCAAAGCGGCTGCCGGGGCATCTTCAGGGATTGACTGGTTCGTTTCTGGGGAAGCTTTCCAGTCTTGGGCCCTTCAGGGACTAGTCTCTGCCTGAGGCCACGGGTGCCCTTCTTACGTGATAACCAACTTGAGCTTCTCACGAAGGTGAAATGACAGTCATACTGTAGCAGACATGGATAAGGCGATGCTCAACTGGTTCTCATTTGATCACCTCGTTGATCATTTGCCCAGTTGATCTTCCCCTCAGGTTCATCAACCGGGGCCGGGGTTGATCAGGATCGTGGCCCACTCAGTCCAGAGTTTGGCCACCAGTTCACCAGTTCACCAGTCCACTTGGTGGGAGTTGGCCTACCCCCCAAGCGGCTGAGCCCAGCCCGCTTATCCAATTTGTTTCTCTTTTTCCCATTTCTTAACTTCACCTTTCCCCATCCCACGCGACTCTTTCCCCCAAACACCGACCTTGTCTATCTGCGGGACCGATTCACCCCTCTCTGAACTCTCTGGGCGTCTTGAATTGCTCTCATCTCTTTCTTCCCTCACGGGGACTCTATCCCGCCCAGTGACAAACCCCGCCACGTCTCCCGCGGTCCTATCTCCCCCCCCCGCCTCCCTCTTCTCCTTCGTTGACCCTCCCCCTCCCCCTCCCCCCCTTACCTCCGATTCCCGAGACTCTCAAGGTCCTAAATACCATTAACCGCCCAAGATGGATCGGAACCTCGCGCGCGCGGTGACCGAGAAGAAGCCGGTCCCCGAGATCGATTTCACATTGCACACCATGGAGGATGGCACGCAGGTCTCTACGATGGAGCGGGTAGTCAAAGGTAAAGGCTTCATACGTCTCGATTACTTCCGCTGTATCGTAATCCGATCGCTAACGCGGAGTTTGAGGAATTAGAGGTCCAAGCGCCGGCCCTGAGCACTCCTCCGGATGACATGTTTTGGTCCCCCGAAGACCCATCCAAGCCCAACCTCCAGTACCTTAAGCAGCATCTCTATCGCGAAGGTCGTCTCACCGAGGAGCAGGCACTATGGATTATCCACGCTGGTACCGAGGTTCTGCGGTCGGAGCCCAATCTTTTGGAGATGGATGCTCCAATTACCGTCTGTGGTGATGTTCACGGTCAATACTATGATTTGATGAAGCTGTTCGAGGTTGGCGGCGACCCCTCGGAGACGCGCTATCTATTTTTGGGTGATTACGTCGACCGCGGTTACTTCAGTATTGAGGTATGTTCCCCCAAGTATGGGCAATTGTCGGAGATTTGCGTGGCGCCCAGGAGGCTAATAGTTGGTGATGGTTGATTGCAGTGCGTTCTGTACCTTTGGGCGCTAAAGATCTGGTATCCCGACTCGCTTTGGCTGCTGCGGGGTAATCACGAGTGTCGCCACTTGACAGACTACTTCACATTCAAGCTCGAGTGTAAACACAAGTATAGCGAGCGGATCTATGAGGCTTGCATCGAATCCTTCTGTTCTCTGCCGCTGGCGGCGGTCATGAACAAGCAATTCCTCTGCATCCACGGTGGTCTCAGCCCGGAGCTGCACACCCTCGAGGATATCAAGGCCGTAAGTTAATGGCGGTGGTCCAGCTGATATAGCGCGATGTTGATACTAACACTGGCCACGCACAGATCGATCGTTTCCGCGAACCCCCTACCCACGGTTTGATGTGTGACATTCTCTGGGCTGATCCTCTGGAGGAATTCGGCCAGGAAAAGACTGGCGATTTCTTCATTCACAACAGTGTTCGCGGCTGCTCTTATTTCTTCTCTTACCCCGCCGCATGCGCTTTCCTGGAGAAGAACAACCTGCTTTCGATCATTCGCGCTCACGAGGCTCAGGATGCCGGTTACCGTATGTATAGGAAGACACGGACAACCGGCTTCCCGAGTGTGATGACTATCTTCAGCGCTCCCAACTACCTCGATGTGTACAACAACAAAGCCGCCGTGCTAAAGTACGAGAATAACGTCATGAACATTCGGCAATTCAATTGCACCCCGCATCCCTACTGGCTGCCGAACTTCATGGATGTCTTTACCTGGTCTCTGCCATTCGTTGGTGAGAAGATTACCGATATGCTGATCGCCATTCTCAACACTTGCTCGAAGGAAGAATTGGAAGAGGACGACACCCCGGTGACCACTTCGCCGACTGGCCCATCGTCCCCTCCCTTGCCCATGGACACCGAGTCCAGCGAGTTCAAGCGCCGGGCCATCAAGAACAAGATTCTTGCTATCGGTCGTCTGTCGCGTGTCTTCCAGGTTCTCCGTGAACAGTCCGAGAGTGTCAGTGAACTGAAGACCGCAGCCGGCGGCCGTCTCCCGGCAGGTACCCTTATGCTGGGTGCCGAGGGTATCAAGCAGGCCATCCACAACTTCGAAGATGCCCGAAAGGTTGATCTGCAGAACGAGCGTCTGCCTCCTAGCCAGGAGGAAGTTTACCAGAAGAGCGAGGCCGAGCACAAGGCAGCCATGCAGCGCGCTCAGCACGAGGCAGACAATGACGCCGGGCTAGCGACCATCGCCAGGCGGATTTCCATGTAAGAAGTCACAGAACACATCCTGACCAGCACTAAGACACAGACTAACCGAGTTACTAGGACCGCCGGCGCCGGTCGTAATCGCCGCCAGCGCGATTCACGCGATTCCAACAAGGAGGCCTGAGATTTGGCCATGGGATTAGTTTGACCTGATATAACGACACGATCTACGCATTTCCCCTCCCCCTTGCCCCTCTCCAGCGCATGTCCTTCCCTCCCTCCCTTCTGCCACGACATGATCGAGATGATACCCTGATCTATCTACTTGGTCCTTCCACTTCGCCAGGCTATTTCAACATGTGTGGGTGTGCCATAATACACGGTGCTCTCAGCATGGCTCCCGAACAAGCTGTGTGATTACTTGTCTTGGGTCTGTTTTGTTTCAGAGACCGAGTAGATCTCCATTTTGTAGCCAGGCGCAATGCTGGTCTCGGATCCAAGGCGCGAAAAAAGAATATCATGTAATGATGGCCTAATTTAGCACAATTTGTTCAATTCGTACATAACTGTTCCAGATCTTATTTATGGTGTAGCACACCTTCCCTCTGTAGATCCGCCATTAAACAGGTCTGTGGTGGCCGGTGGAGCACCGCCAAGCCCGAATGGCCTGCCTTCACTTCCCGACCTCATCCTCTCCATCCACCGGCCCAGGCTAATCTCTCCGCGGACGCTCCCAGCACCCTCACATAGCGCCGCAATGCCCGCGAAACTGCGCAATGCGCTCCAACGGAGCCTATCGCGCCCTCTAGACAGCACCGGTGTCTTCTACTGCCCTTCCTGCTCAACCTGGCGCCGAGCGCTCTCAACGCGTGCCGCCAGCAACGCCAAAATCGAGACTACGCGCCGAAACCCTCACCTCCTACATACTGTGCCGAACAGTCGCACTCGGCCTTTCACAACGTCACCTGCTATCTCTGCGGGCAAGACAGTTCCACCGCGGTTCAAGGAGTTGTATGATGCTTTGAGTGGAGTCAAAGATGCGGCTATCGAGCAGGTTAGCGTGAGTCGGTTGTCGCTTGCACTGCGTGGGTTGGAGTCGGAGGAGCCTTTGATTCGCGTTGCTGGTAAGTAATTTTATGTTTGGGGAGCTCTGAGCCTAATTGGTCCCTTACCTTGGCTCGTCTCTTGTCATTGAACCTGGCAGCTGATTCTTGCTTTTGTGTTTAGTACTCGGTTTGGATAATGCAGATGCTGCGCGCAAGTTGGTTCGGCTGCTTCTGGCTGACCCCTTGGGCCCACGGGAGAGCTGGGAAGATATACTGGAGGGCTACGACTCTGACCCTGCGCGGGGACTGCTCATTCGGTACGTTGCAGCTTGTTACTCTGGTTTTTGCAACTCACTAACCACACTTGATTGCACAGCTACGGCGAGGTCTCCGAGTCTATCCCAAATGATCTCCTGCCTACCATCGCGGTCCGTTCGCCTATCCTGAAAAAGGGTAATCTTGAAATTCTCGTTAGCTCTATTGGCTCTGAGCCAGACACATCCAGTGCAGCTCTATCTGCCGAGTCGTTCCTCGTGCCGAACGTCACCATTCAAACATCACACTCTGGGCGGCAAAATGTCGTACGATATCCGGTGCATCGCAGTATCATTTGCGGCACTGGTGTCGATGGCATGCTTGCTTTTAGTACATTGATGGGTCGGTCAAATCTGCAGAATGAGGTAGCATCCGTACGCGGTGCCATCGAGCTTTCCGTGGCAGATCAAAAACGTGGCAGTGATCGTCTGTCCTTTGTTGATCTTGAACGTGCGACTACGGCCTTGAACAAAATTCGTGAGTCCGTTCAAAATGCCTCTGCATACGAGCGCGGATGGAATGGTAGCGGCGTGCAGCCTGTCATCGATTGGCTTTCAACAACTTCTCAAGCAGCGAGCAAAGAAGCTCTGAACCCTGCACTCGCTCCCCTCGTTGAGTCATTACTTGATGCTGCTGAGCAGGGAGTCGTTATTAGGGACGCCGAGGCGCTTCACAACCAGTCAGCAGGTGTCACTCCTCCCGAGGTCCGCTCTCAGCTTGAGAACGGAATCAGTACGTGGGCGGAGCAAGCACACTCTGAGTTACGCAGCTCGCTGGAAGCAGGCTTTGCCAGTCCACGCTGGCGCGGCCTAGCATGGTGGAAGCTCTTTTGGCGCGTCGACGACGTGAGTATGATCACGTCCGAGATCCTGGATAAGCGATTCCTGCACCGCGCAGAGCGCGAAGTCATCTGGACGTCTGGCAAGTACCAGCAGGCTGGCCTGCTGGAGGAAGCCTCTGCTTCTGCCGGATCCGAGTCCACCTCCGAGACTGTCCCTGCCAAGTCGACTCCGCCTCCCTGGCCAACCCAGATCCCCGAAATGCGCCACAAGCTTCTCACTACCACCGTCCCCTCCCTCCAGGCCCTCGCACAGAGCCTCGTCCTCTTCAGCATCTCCACCACGACGCTGACCTCCCTCCTCTCCGCTCTTACATATGTCTCCGTACCGTCCGCCTCGGTCTACGAATCTTGTACCCTGGCTACGATCGGTCTTATCTACTCGCTGCGCCGCCAGCAGAAGAAGTGGGATGTCGCGCGAGACTTCTGGGAGGAAGAAGTTCGCGATGAAGGCCGCACGGCACTGCTGGAGACAGAGGCGCTTTTGCGTAAGATTGCGCGTGAGGGTGGTAAGGATCTTGAAGACTTGTCTGATCACCGGACGCGGGAGTTGATTGCGCGTGCCAGAAAGGCTCTGGAAAGTGTTAGAGCTTGAATGGGTCCTGGGATGGAGAGATGTGATCCCTAACTATGTATATTTAACCGTGATTTTAGATAGACGTCGTTCTAGATGTACAATCTACTCTGCTATGTGCTATGGCCGGGGTTCTAGTAGATTCGTGGAAGTCCCTATCACTAGTGATAAATTCCCGGTTGTATCACGTACTTACATCGATAAATGTCTTACATTAGCCCTAGTGACCCCTCCGGCTGCAGGGTCCAGACAGCCCGTCAGCGCCATCTTAAGGATGTATCAGTAGCATCCTTTTGTTATATACCCACTAAAGAAGTGCAGTCCCTGATTCCTAGATTACTATTCCGCAGGAAGTCCCACCACGCCTTCCCTTTTCCGAAGCGGAGCAACTTTCGCTAAACTATGCAGAGTGCTATGTGCAGTCAGCAGCAGTATGTACTAGTTGATCCCGGCAATGCCAAGAGAAGACACATAGTCGTGATGTCGCCACGATTCAGAGTTAAAGAAAGTCCGGGGATTTTGGATCGAGATGGTCCGCCTAGCCTAGATAGATTTAGAGTCCGGGCCATGCTTAGGATGCCTTGACTGACCTGTTTTAAATGATAGCTCTTATTATTACTACCTAGATGTTCACCCACTATCATAAACAACGGGTCTAATGCAGATTTACTTTCGGAGATTTTTATATGTGTGATTGTAGATTGCGGAGAAAATCGCATATGATTGTGTCCTCGAGCTCGCACATATTCTATTTGGTAGTACCTCGTAAACGATTTCTGGGTGATTGCTTACATTTGGTCTTATTGTTCGCTCTCACGGGCATTCGTCCGTGCTCTTTTAGTTCTCTCCGATGGTTCGTTCGGGGTCGGTACAGTTAGGTCATGCACGTCGTCACAAAAGAAAATATTCTAGTACTTGGACTCTAGGGGTTTTGAAATATGACATAGCTGAAGATGAATGTAGAGCAAGTCAGAGAATTCAGAGTTATTCTATCTGTGAAGCTATGACTAGAGGATCATTAAGCTGCTAGCAAGGCCGAGACTATAATTAGCTCGAGGTTCCAAATTCGGGTAGACTAAGGCCAGCCATACCCCCGCAGACAAGACATGTGGCTTCCAGAAAACTTTCCAGGCAGCAAAGCTTCAGCACCAGACGGATTATGGAGGGATCCATAGAGTGTACCAAATAATATCTATTTCTGGTCCTTTCCATTGGCCCACTCTCGAAGCTTTCGCAGAAACTTCCTGAATCTGAGATAGCCTTCTTCTATCACGTCCCGAACGATGACTGGCTCTACGCCAAAAAGCCAAGTGACCCCATAGCTGCCATCATCATGTTTGGCCCGACCTGAGACACTGTCTGAGGTAACATGGGGGCTCTCGCAAGTACAGTACTACTGGGGCTAGAAATGACAATCAAAAAGGACATCCGCTGCATCCGCTTCTTAGATCTTGGGGTTTGAAAGCTCACTAGCTTGTCGCCTGTGTGTGTGCAAGATGTGGTCATCGACAAAACGGCCGTGGCCGGTGGCCGCTTTCATCTTCACGGTATTTGGCTTGGTTATGATCTGGATGGGATCTTATCGGCCCAGTTTGTTGCCTCAGCGGCCCAACTTGGGATTGAGTGTGAACACCGCCGGTAATTCAACGCTAGGATTTCAAAAGATCTTTTTCATCAGTTTGCCACAGTTTGTCCATCCAGTCCCTTCATGTTACTACATTAGCTCTGACAATCGAATCTCAGTCGCCTGGACCGGCACGATGCAATTTCACTCATCAGCTCAATGACTGGAGTAACGCCAACACTCGAGCCCGGAGTAAAGCGCCCTACCCATTCAAACTGTAATTTATCGTGGAATACAGACTAACATTGCTTTCGTGACTCTTCATAGGTTAATGGCAGTCTACTACATGAGAAGGCCTTGCCAGAAGATAGCGGAATTCTTCGACCCGAGCAGTTGGGATGTTGGCGAGCACATGCGAACGTTTGGAAACGAATATTAGACGAAGATATCGAGACAGCAATGATTATTGAGGATGATGTGGATTGGGATATTCACGTCCGCGACATTTTCACCGAGATGAGCAACAATCTTGCTCAACAGACTTTGTTTCCAAGTTTGACGCCTCGTTCGAAGCCAACATCCGCTCCATATGGTAAGAAAATTTAACTAACAAAGATGTGAATAATTATTATACTAACTCCATATCGACTGTAGGCCTTGACTGGGATATATTATACGTTGGCTCTGCCTGGGACATTCCAAATGAAGATGATCGTCCACCTCATCTTCTCTATCACGACCCGTTCGCGCCCAATCGAGATGAAACCGGCGGCTCCTATGTCAACGAACTCGAGGGATGGGGAGCGACAGTAACGAACACTACTCGCCATCGCTTGATTGCTCCTTCCTGGTACCCTGTCTCCACAATCGGGTATGCAGTCACCAAGAAAGGTGCTCAGAAGCTTCTGTACAACCTTGGTGGGTACAAGGGACTTGGGTCGCCAATCGATTTGGCTATGATAGATCTTATCCACAAAGGAATCGTGGACTCTTACACCATCATTCCTCCGATAGTGACACGGTTCCGAACGGGAGGAGCGCGGGATAGTGATATTGATGAAGTTAAACCAGAAGACGCTGAGGTTGAGCCGGGGTCGGAAAATCTGAGTATGAGCGCGAGGAAGGCCTTGGAAAGGCTTGAAGAACAAGTACATTGAATGACATATTTAGATCTTCTTGATATTTGATAATTTAATGAATCCAAATACCCCTTGCAAAAATACCTACTGTAGCACAGTCGACATCAATATCTCAAAGCTAAACCCTCGCGCTCTCGATGTATACGCAAACGCAGCCAATAGAGGCAGTAGCTTTGAGATTAATCAAATGCCGGCCCTCAGTGAAGCAGCGGCAGCTGCAGGGTCTGCAACGCTCAGATGCCTACTGTGGCGTACAGCGGCCTCTAATATCTCTTGGCTGACGAAGTTCAAGGTGAAACGGCGCTTGACTACCAAGCTTTCATTCACAAGTTGTGCTTCACCTGGTCAATTGGGCTTCATCCTTTCAGCAGAAGAAATATGGAATAACTAAGAGGAACAAAAGCTGAAACCAGTTAAGACGTTTTATCACCAGTTCTATGATTCTGTGGCTATAGGGGTTGAATGAGAAACGAAAACCCGATAGATAATTAGACTGTATTCATTTAGATATGATTATTTTCTCGGACCGCGTACTATAACACCCGGCTGAAGGCCTATGTCTCCTTTCCTGATCCGACTAGTTCAGCAGACCGTCCAGGGCATACAATTCCACATGTCAACACTACTATAAAGCGGAAATTAGCTTCGCGGCTCAAGAGAGGACTGAGCGCTTCGTATGTGCCAAAGCTAGATGGGGCTTCCACTGTAGCATTCGGGACGAAAGAGTCCTTAGAGGGATCAATATCCACCTCAAATAGCATTTAAATGGACTTCACCTCTATGCAGCGGAGGTGGGAATATTCCATGCACTGTCTATAGTGTGCGATTTATCACTTGATATGAGAAGCTTGAAGTCACCCTAACTGTATGTCTGCCTCTAGCATCACTGATCTCGCTTCCAGCACAAAATAACTGCAAAAGGTGCACGAGCTTTAGAGTGCACCCACGATAATATAGTGCCCGGTAATGAGGACATATACCAGCCAAACCGAGGCGTCCACAACAGATTAGCCAATTTCCGAGAGACCGTACCAATCGACTTCTACGTCCTCAGTCACCCGATAAGCATATTGATCTTCTAATCTTCCTTTGCCGAAATCTCAAACACCTCCCCTCGTTGGTCCATTAGCGGTTTCATGATGCGCCCAGCCACCCAATCCGCGGGCGTAGCGTGGGGCTCCCGAGACGGCGGAGGCCCAACCAGCAGGTTATTATGATTAGCTCAGGAACAGGACGGTTCGTTTCAACGTCTCACCAGCACAAACGGTGGAACAATCACTGTTTAGCACGGAGTTCTGATTTCTCAGTTGTCAGAGCCTGATGTTTCTCGTCATCGAGTCCCGTTAGCGAAGTCCACTCTTAGTGCCCGCTTTTTCCCCTAGTGTCCACGCTGGAGGGCACGTACTTTCCCCTTGAAGCATGGAGAGAGCTCTTTCTGCGCTGCTATTGCATGCGATGGCACGTTTTAAGGACTGTTGATCAAATCATGAGATCCGCTGGATCGTCCCCAGGGTGTGCGACTCATTTCCACCCACGCATACTCCGGCTGAGTGGGCGTCGTGAAGGGTCATGGAGGGGGCGGAGGGGAGTTAATATCTGATTATCAAGGGGATTGGCCAAGTCATTTCAACCCGCAAAGCACTATGCGATGAAGGAGAGCGGGGGCTTATTCTGAGGCCCCTGGTTTGAATCTCAGAATACGGAGTACTTGATTCCCTTCTCGCCTCTTTCTAGTTTGGCTTTTCTCTTTGGTCTTTTGCTGTCGACTCTGTGGTGCCACATTCTCTTCTTTAGCCCTATCTTTGGGCGTAACTCTCGTTCATTCACTGCCTACTAGGCTTTTCAGTCTCTCTTTTATTTATCGAATTCTCCTTCCACTCCTTCAAGGCTGAGCCTGGGTCTTATCTCTCTGAAAATCGAGGTAGGTGATTGCTGTGGAAATGTGTAGAAGAGGGAATATCTTTCTTATCCCAAGCACCTCCTGTATAGATCGGATAAGGGTTGTTTGCTGCCTACCACTGCCACCACCACCAGGCTCCTTGTTTATTTTGTCTACGTCACAGAGAACGCATTTGGAGATCAAACGGTAAGTCGCATGCCATGAGGAGCTTATCCCACAATTGCCCCTTCCCTCGTGTGTCCAGTGCCGTGCCTAGCGTTGGCAGTCCCGACGCAAGGAGAACATTCCCGCTCCTTTTCAAGGAGAGCCTCTGCCCGAGGCTCTCATACTCGTCAACAATATACTCAGATCTTGAGATGATGATCGACGATCATCGCGGAGTTTCCCTCTTGCCACATCACTCGTTCGCCCACAGATGCTGCTGTCTACAAAACAACGCTTGGCGAGTCCGTCAAACTGACCTACTCTCAGATTTCCATCGCTGCGCAGACACTCCTGGCCTTGAATTCTCTGATCGCGCTCGCCGTCTCAGACCGGTTGATTCGGTCCTCCTGGAGAGTTCCTGCCAGTCATTCGTTTCCTCTCTAAATCGTCATTCGCTTCTATTAACTCCCCCCATCGTGGACGAGGCTCGATTGTCATCGCCACAATGCAGGACTTGTGCTTGACAGCGGCGTTGGTCGCCTGTCTTACCCTATTCCCAGCCTTTACCTCTGCGTTTTGGCGTCTCCCTTGCCGTGGGCGAACTGGTGTCGCCCGGTTGGATCCCCTCGTTGACCCCGGGCAGATCTCTTCCCATGTGCATTCAATTCATGGAGGAGGAAGTATGTTTACAAAAACCCTCATTCGGAAGATAACTTGCTGATTTTTGCATGCAGGATTCAGCATGAATTCGAATACGCAGTCTCTGCGCAAGTCTAGCTGCACGTCCTGCGCTGTGACGCAGGACATGTCTGCATACTGGACCCCTGCGCTTTATTTCATGCACACCAACGGCAGTGCTGAAATTGTCGAGGAAGTCGGAGGCATGCTTGCGTATGTTTTGTTGGATAGCTCATTTTACTCATGGGTCTTGAACTAACACCCTTGGAACCTCCAGGTACTACCTCCTTTACGGAGACAATGTTACCGCGTTCCCTAGCGGCTTCCGCATGCTGGCCGGAAATCCTTTGCAGCGAAACTTCACCTGGCCAGTTCCTGACCCTCCTAAGTCCTCTTGGTCCGGCGCGCAGGTCTCACAGAAGGCTCTTCGCCAGAAGGCCCTGGGTTTCAACTGTCTGAACTACGCCGGCACCGCCGAAGCCTCGCTCTATCGTCACTTCATGCCGAATAAGACCTTCCTCGACGCGAATTGCCCCGATGGACTCCGCCTGGAGCTGATGTTCCCTTCGTGTTGGAATGGAAATGATGTTGATTCGGCAGACCACAAGTCCCACGTTGCCTACCCCGACCTCGTTATGACGGGTACTTGCCCTGAGGGCTTTGAGACCCGCCTGGTGTCGCTGTTCTACGAGACTATCTGGAACACTTACGCCTTCAAGGGTGTGGATGGATACTTTGCCCTGGCCAATGGTGATCCTACTGGATATGGATACCATGGTGACTTTATGGAAGCCTGGGATGATGGCGTGCTGCAGGAGGCCGTTGACACTTGCACAAATGCCTCGGGCGAGGTCAGTGCTTGCGGAATTTTCGATCTTCAAAGTGAGGATACGCAGCGCCAGTGTTTTCTGGAATTGCCTGATGCGCTGAAGAATGAGGATGTCGAGATGCATGCTGATGGTCTGCCGGGTCCCATGGCCATCCAGTGGGGACCAGCCTACGCCACTATGGGAATGGCATCTTTCTCTTCTTCCACGACAGCCCCGGCTGTCTCTGTCGGCGTGACATTTGACGTTGGAAGCGTGCTCGGCCATGCCGATGCTATCAACACTGCTGAAATCACCACTTCTTCAACCAGCTCTACCTCATCGCCTACCCCTACTCCCACCACCTCGATTCAAGTCGACCAATACACCGAAGAGATAGTCTATCTGCAGCAGGACGTCATTGTCATGCTTGGCGATGGTGGCATCCCATATGCCACAAGCACTGGCACTCGGCGCACCCTCTCCACCGCCATTACGACTGCTACTCAGACTTCTACCGTCGTATCCTATGTTGAGAAGCGAGACAGTGCGCCAGCGGAACCCGAGAAACGGGATCTCGTCGCCGAACAGGTACTCCGACGTGCTCATAACCATCATCGTCACTCGCACAAGAGACACGGACACTAACGGCATGTAAACGTGGCCCGGGGAGGGACCACTATGCTGTGCGTGGTGTTCCTTTCCGTGAATCGGACTTGTTCTCCAGTGCGGTTGCAGTTTCATCGACTCAATTGCAGCGTTGGACCAAGGTTCGGGCCTTTTTTTCCATTCATGTACATGTTTTGCTCTTCTCTGCTATGGATGCGCCCCTGTCAGCGGGGGTGGTGGTAAATTCAATATCGATATTGCCAGGTATCTCAAAATGAAACTGTCGTGAACATAAGCAAATAGCGGCTTCCTCGTCAATTGTTTAATCTGTGTAATTGTGTAAATAAAATTTACGTGTAATCTTCGGCATCAATCGAACCTTCTTCCAAGCATAAAGTAACGTGGTAACGTGGGGGCTATAAATGGCTCTGTCGGACTGCAGTATGTTGTCTCAAATAATGTGATATACAGACCCAGCATTGTAGCTAAGCTGACTGAGACCAGATAGGTTTCATGACACCCCTCATCATAGAAAATGTCTTGGTCTTAGGTGAAAATAAGGTGTGACTAGGGAGATGTTATCACTATTGTGTGACCTCTTCGCCGGACAGTTGAAACCTAAAGTAGCCTCCATCATGCGGTGCACTGGTCTCGATCTTTGACGCCTGGCATTATCAGCTAACATGGGTATTGTTGTGACCAATGGCCAGCTGCTATTCAATCACGCCATCTCGCTTCTAGATTGGCCGCGTGTATTTGGGTAACTACTTAGTTGAAATCGATTTAGAAACAAACGCCTTTCAACCTCTTCAGGGCTGCCGTTGATATACAGGTAACACACGCAGCGGACACGTTTGACGGCAACCTTATTCTAGCCCAATTCCGTTATTTCTGGGCCGGTTGACGATAATCTTGTCATACCTGAGGCAGGGGTATCGTGGGAAAAGCTGCGTCCTGATCGCTGTGCAGAAGATTTACAGCTAGTAAAGCCCGGTTAGGAATCTCCTCATCAAAGAGATGTTCAGCGACTTGCTGCATGTTGACAGTTCGAATTGTGTATCGAAACCCGGGATCGTATGCTCTAGACTTTTGTGTCAGCCCTCCTGTGGAATGGTTGCAAAAGACCTTGCAGATCAGGTAGTAGGAGCTACAACCTGGTAGATCTCTATAGCTCAGCCAGAGCTCTCAGGAACGTCCCGATGCAGAGTGGTGATGGATTGATGACTGTCACCCCTATTTAGTGATAACAATAACTCTAGAGCTGTGATTCAAATATATAAGACCTCACTAACTCACTTCAAATGAATCATCGGCCACTGCAGGATTTCACGAGAATCCATATATTCCAGTACTGCTTGAACTTGCAACTTCTTTCCTCCAAAATGGAGAGATCTTACTTGATATTAATCATTCAACTCACTTTCTCTATCACCGCCTTGGCCTTCCCTCGCGAGACAGGAATCCACAAGCAAGTGCAGCCTACCAATGTCGTGACGGCTGAACCACCAGGTATCACCGAGGAAGGATCCCTGCGGTGCTTCGATGGAGCCACCATCCTGCATACAACAGACTGTACGATGGGAACCCCAGTCTCATTCTGTTACAAGCCTCAGCCACCGATCACCTGCGACGAAGGCTCCTTCCCTTCAGTGTGGCATCCTGATCATTGTATGGAGGTGTCGACTTGCTTCCCCACAGATGCAGACTGGATCACCACTGAATGCTCCAACGGTGCCGTGCCGATATCGACTGAAACACTATACAGTGGAACATTGGCGGGAGAAGATAATGCCCTGATAACTTGTCAGTTGAGAACCCAAGACTTGTTTTGAGATGAGAACTAATGTTCAACATCAGCTCTTGCTTGCGCTTGCCCGTCCGATCAATGGTATAGCGTTACCACCGTAGAGGGAGCTTCCAGCTTTGAGACGTACTGCATGCCCACCCGGTCATGTCCGCCTGGGATGACAATGTCAATGAGTATCAATGAATACTGCGCGACTGCCTCGGCAAGGATTTGCTCAGATCTACCTGCCCAGGCGGACCGTTGTGAATGCGCAGGCCAGGATATAACTCCTGTATACCCTGATGGTCCTGGTGCAATTGCAACCGGGTGTGAATAGGGGCCCTCCGAATCGCGCATCATTTAGTAGCTGGTTTCGGGACGAATTCGTTTGCAATGGTTTTTCATGTGTTTTTGTAATCGCTGGAGGGAAGTCCATATTGATCATTATTATTGATCTAAATGTTAATCAGTAATCCCCAGATAATGCTTGATTCCTTGCTGAACGGGTACGAAAATGAAATATCTGCCAATATTTTAATCTAAACGAAGAATGCAAGTATCAGTGAAATCATTCCCAGGGGACTGGTTGACCGAGTCGTACTCCAAAATGTTAGGACTCTGACGTCCCAGGTAAGTGTCGAATCAATAGACTTGTCACGATCGCATCTCCTTCGCTTACAAGGAATTACCATCAAAGCATATAGTCCTAAGGCTCAGTTGCCACCTAGAGGTCGTAATCTCCTTCATGCAGACTAGTTAACCAATTCGTGGTAGGAGATGTGCTCTTTCCGTATGCACGATCTGTCCAACCAACTTCATGAAGCCACTCTTGACAAAACCGATCTGGACCTCAAATGGGCCTCCCTATGAACCAATTCATTGCAATGGAAAAACAAGTGGCTGAGACCCTTCACATTCTTATTCTTATTATTATTGGACGCTTGTCTGTCAAAATTGCACCCAATTGCACCTCATCTTCTGCGCTTGTGGTCATCGAAAATGCAGATCGAACAGCCTGAGAGTCAACCCGCTTCTATGCGTTTCGATTACAATTACTAATTAGCCTAAACGCCGTTTCCCCGAAGCCACCACCCTCTGAACCTTGAATCGGCGTCCCAACTAGGAAAATAAAACTACCATCCCGTTCGGACTTGCCCCGTGTTAAGTCCATCTGTGCCCCTCGTTTGTATGTTGCTGGCATATTACGACACATTATGGTACCCCGCATCTGTTTATTCGGCCCGTGGTTGGAGCTGCTACAGAACGCAGCTCCTGTACGTCAGGTTCCTAATTCCCCGGTGGGATTCCGGATTTTTACTTTAAATTGCATCATCCCTGCTATATCAGCCCGTAAATAAATCACCGATCCTCCTTTTCCTTCCCACACTCCATCCAATTCGCCCCATTTCAACATCAGTTCCATTTCATCAAAATGTCTGAGGGTCTTCCTGAAATGCAGTACCGGAATCTTGGCCGGACCGGTCTGAAGGTGTCCGTCATCTCACTTGGAAGCTGGCTGACCTACGGTGGCCACGTGGGAAATGGTAAAGATCACTCATTACTCCCAATTCGTCTTGAACGGCTGTTAACCTCGCCAAAGAAACTTCCTTCGATTGTTTAAAGGCCGCCCACGAGGCCGGTGTGAACTTCTTCGACACCGCCGAGGGCTACTCTGCTGGACAAGGGGAGATTGTGCTTGGTGAAGCTATCAAGAAGTTCGGCTGGAAGCAAAATGACTTGGTCATTTCTACCAAGGTAAGCACACTCCGCCTATCTTGAGCTTATATGGCCCGCCTGTTAAAGCTAATTCCTTCGACTCGACTAGGTCTACTGGGGTGCGGCCAACAGCGCCAACCCTGATAAGCCCCTCAACAACGTCGGCCTCTCAAGAAAGCACATCATCGAGGGCCTGAACTTGTCTCTTAAGCGTCTGGACCTTCCTTATGTGGATATCCTCTATGCCCACCGTCCGGACCGTGATACGCCTATGGAAGAGACTGTGCGCGCTTTCAACTACCTCATTGACACTGGTAAAATCTTCTACTGGGGCACCTCCGAGTGGACTGCCAGCGAAATCTCCGATGCTTGGCGCATTGCCGACAAACTGGGTCTCATTGGCCCTGCAGTTGAACAGCCCCAGTACAACTTGCTTGCGCGCGAGCGCGTGGAGAAGGAATACCGCTGGCTGTACGAGGCCCACGGCCTGGGTCTCACCGTTTTCTCGCCTCTCAAGGGTGGCGTGTTGACCGGAAAATACAACGACACTACTACGCTACCTGCTGGCTCGCGCTTGGCCAAGTCCGAAGATGGGTACATTCAGGGTCTTCGCAAGACTGTTGGCGATGATGTATGGACGAAGCAATTGCAGCAGGTTGCTGCCTTGAAGCCTATTGCGGAGGAGTTGGGTATCTCGACTGCCCAGCTGTCTTTGGCTTGGATTCTGAAGAACCCCAACATCTCTTCTATGATCACGGGTGCCTCTCGTGCTGAGCAGGTGTATGAGAACGTGCGTGCCCTGGCCGTGGCGGATAAATTGACGGATGAGGTCATTGAGAAAATCGAATCTGCGATCAACAACAAGCCTGTTACGGAGGCCAGACGGTTTTAAGTTTAAAGTGCTCGATAGCTTAGTAAAAGAATCCAATAATCGCTAGATTCAATCTTATGAGCCTTTGTGAATCGTTCAAACATATCACTACGAGATCTTCAGTTTATGCTGTGACTGTCCGACTCGTTAATTATCAATGAGATTATGGGATTCTTCGCAAGTGTGAGAGTCTCGGCACAGAGAGGCGCTCTTTTCGCGCTATGATACTGTCTGACGATTCTATGTGCCTTTTTTGTTATACTTTTTTCTCTGACTGGAGTGGACTCTACATTGTGTAATCCAACGGGACGAATAGGACGCCAATAAGTTACTAGTCAGCAAGGCTCTTGCAAGATCCCCAAGGCTTGTCCAAATTTCATGAAACCAACGCGTAAGAGAATTCTCGAGGCACTGCTTGAGGCAGTTTAAATGAATAGAATTCTTAAGAGAAGTAAGGCAACCTAGGGAGAAAATCATTCAAGCCTTTCCTTAGATCGGGCCATCTCTACATCATATCAATTATCACTCAATCGGTATTTTATTTAGAAATTATTAAATCCCAATGTAACTATCAGCCGAAAGATGAAATTGGAAGTGGCGAGCTACTCGAGGACAACGCTTGCTTGACTCGATGAGTGGCTTGGTGAGATAAGGATTCAACTTGCAAGATGGCTGGCTGAAGTTACCCCTGCCCAACACCCCCTGACGAGCTGATGCACCTGGCCCTGCGATGCCTTTTTATTCTCAAATTTTCAACGTAACATCAAGTCAGCGGTCGCCTTGTGAGTGCCTCGACATGGATTCTAATAGAAAATACAGCGGCAGCTTCGGGAGCTCCGGAGCAAATATAAGATTTCTTAGAGACTTATTTATCGGCCGCTCCGCTTGGAAGGGCATTAGCTTAGATCCTACGTCAATCTGAACACTTTCATCATCAGTTCTCTATCCAGCTTCCTACCCGACCTTGGAGGCAACACCCTGTACGTCCTCCATGGCAAGTACTGGACTGTTCCATCTGGGGTTGCTGCCTCGTAAGAGCCTCCAATTTCCTCCCAAAACATCGAAATTCCGCTAATGCGCGGACATTTTTCAAAGGAACTACGCTAAATATGTATGCTGCATGCATATGAACCTAGATCTCTGCATCTACTCAACATCATGCTCGGTTTCGGGTAGCCTCGTCCAGTGATAAAATGCCTCATGCATAGCGGCATGATGATTGCTATACCTTTGTTAGGTTACTATCAGTTGATCATAGGTATCGAGTAGCCTCTGTGAAACATACATGAGCAATGAGGTTAGAGAAACTACCACACGCCAAATACAAGGAGTCTTTCTCTACCTGTATATTTTCTAAGATTTCTCTTAATGTTCATACTTTTTCGGCGCGATGTCCTATGATGTATACTTGAAATTTACAGAAGACGATTCAAAGCTGGATATAAATAGGCTATCAACAACTAGTTGGACTCTCTAGATAACATCTCAGTTCTTCGTAGGTAAATCGATGATCTATACTTCGCACAGAGCACAGAGTACATCGCCGTAGCTCATCTGATCTTGAGGGCTTATCAGCAGCAATTCTAACCGACGGGGAGATAACATCATGCAACTGAAAAGGATCTGAGTTGAAGATCCCCGCACTTTCAGCTTACGTCGTTACAGGGATGCGATGCAGGAGCGTGGGCTGGCACAACCCTTGGCCGCACCGATCGCCAGCCTCGCCTTTCAATCACGAACACGTTTGACCGCAGAGTGATCGTCGGTGCGGGAGGGGTTGCAGAGGTTCGTATGAGATGCATAACAGTTGATGGAATTGGAGCGTTTCCAGCCGAACCCGTCAAGGGCCTTTACCACTATGAGATTAGCGATGGCGCCAAAGTGTGACGCCAAGGGCAGCCAGACCTGTCAGGCTTGACTGGCTGCAGATGCCCCTGGATGCTGCGCCAGCCACTGTATACGCATACGATGTAGTGGGCAAACCATCGTTCATGAGAACGGATGGGTCTAGCTTCTGCAAGTTAGCCCTCGGTTTGCCCGAGTCCTTCATATGTACTTTGCCAAGGACACCAAGGAGGTCGATACAGAGCTAATGTAACTTGTTTTGTAATGGCAGACAATACCAAAGTAAAATATGAGAACTTATGCTCTTGACCAGGCGGTTTCTATATTGAACTTGCGCTTAATCTATACCGCCATGTAGACGCAGGTAACCCTGTAAGATTTAGGTATAGTGAGATGAATGAATATAACTCAGGATACGCATCATTTTACATCTTAACAGTTCCATGTTGTCTTCCCAAAAGCTCCAATTTTCCACTTGCAGCATTTTCGACCCTTGAAGTCCGCTTAGGCAGCCCGTTTGGTAATCAAAATACCGTGCAGTAGCTTTGGGTCTTAGATTTTTAGTGATTATTGACGTACGCTTAACGCTTTGTTCACAAAGTTCAGCAAGCCATGGCTGATCAAATAAGGATCTGAACTTTCAAGCGCAGCTTCGACTTAAAGACTATTTTTACAAAAATAGCGCTGCATAGATGTCGATTGCCGGTCGGTTAGAAGCACAGATAGAAATATAAAAGGAATCGAGTATCACTCTCAATATCTCAACCCAATCCCCTCAAATCTCCCGTATCCACTCCCTCCTCTCGATAAAATGATGCGCGGTCTTTCTCTAGTCAGCTTGACTCTTTTCCTCCATTCCCAACTCGCGTACGCCGAGAAGGTCCCAGTGAAAGAAATCGGCGACAATTTCACCGTCGATGGCGACAAAGTGACATGGCCCGATGGACCCTTCACAGGAAGCTTGACCTGCGCCGGTCCCGACAAGGTTCTTAGTCTGAGTGCTGACAAGAAGTACGGCACTTGCTGCCCACCTGGTGCTAGTCTCAAGGGATCTGTTGAAACTGAATGGCACTGCTGTGGCAAGGGCCATGATGTTACGGGATCCAACAATATTGGCTTTGAGTGCTGCCTGGAAGGGTCTATCTTCGATGGCAAGATATGTAAAAGGGGGGATACGTGCCCTAATGGCAAGCAGATGATCAATGGAAAATGCCAGTGTCCTGATGGACAGGAAGAGGCAGCAGACGACACTTGCAAACCTGCAAAGTGTGACTCCGGCATTAAAACCGGTATGTAAAAACGCACTCTTACTCTTGGCTTGTTGACCTGTGAGGCAACGTGACTGATGGCACGTAGGAAAATGCTACTTCTTCAAGGGAAGATCGGGCAATTATTTGACCTTCAATGCGAATCAATACTCCGAGACCGCTCTAAGCAAATACATCAGACCTGGCAAGTTCCAATTCTGTAAAGACGAAAAATGCACTCCTGGCCTACCTGTCAATCCTAGCGATGAGGTCAACATCAAAGACCTCCACGGCACGCTGCCAGCGGCAACCGATGCCGGACAGTGGCTTGACGGTAAACAGAATGGTGGGCACATCGGAAAGACACCCGACTATTCCAAGGCCGGAAATTTCTCAATCACCAAATGGCCTTGCGGAAAGTACTGTCTTACCGGCTTCGTCGATGGGATTACGCAGGCTTGTCCAGATGTCAGCCCTGGCATCAGTTTGGATACCCGTGCAACAGACTCTTGCATTGAGTATGACCTTCTGGAGGTGCCCTGTGACCTCAGAGATGATGCCAATAACTGCATTTGGAAGAACGGCGATCAATGCTGTAATAAAGTTGATTGCTGCGGTAAGACTGATTGTGCTATCAACCCCCAGCATCAGGATACTAAGTGACGCCATGTCGGCCGCGATTCAGGGCAAAGAGAACACTTCTTTTCTTTGAACATATGGATTTATGGCGCCCTTGCCTTGATGTTTTTGGGGTCTATCAAATTCTTCTCCTTTCTTGAGTCTCATGTTCGGGTTTCGTCAGAAACTCCGTCTTTGCGACCTACTGAGAAAACTTCGACGCTTGATGAGAATAAGGTGCTTGACGAGAACAAGGTGCTTGATGAGAACGTGGTGCTTGATGAGAACGTGTTGCTTGATGAGAACGCCGTGCTTGATGAGAACGCCGTGCTTGATGAGAACGTGGTGCTTGATGAGAACGCCGTGCTTGATGAGAACGTGGTGCTTGATGAGAGCATGGTACTTTATGAGAACATGGCTGTCAACGAGAATACTGTCAAGGAAGAAACCACATTTTACCAAAGTGGCAGCTATACGGTGGATCATGTTTCGCATCAGGAATATCATTCCTCGCTCTAGCCAGTCTGTTTTGCCAATTGAAGATTTCCATTTGTAACCTCTAAACCCGTATACGTAGAAGTCTAACCCTTCTTCAATAATTCAGAATATCTAGTAAGGTCGTTTGGATCGAAAGACCATAAAATTCTAGACGGAAGAGATCAATTCAATCCCACAGATCGTCGTCGAGATCCAAGAATGGGGCAGAAGTCTGACTCGAGGAAGGTGGTGGGCTCAATGAAACCACCTATGATGATAATTGCGCCCGTTGTCATAGACGGACATATGTTAATATCAGCGCTTAGATACACTTTCCACCATCAATAACCATCTCAGTACCATTAATGAAGCGGCCCTCTTCACTGCCAAGGTAGAGACAGATGTTGGCAATATCATCCGCCTCCGTCAAGCGGCCCAAGGGTACATTTCCAATGAACTTTTGTCTATTCTCGGGAGTATCTTCCATGCCGGTAAACATGGAGAAGAGACCGGTACCGGACAAGAGGGGAGCGACGCTGTTGACTCGAATGTTGTGAGGACCATACTCAGCGGCGAGGCCCTTGGTAGCCTACGATAGTCAGTGAGTAAATTTGTTCAGTCTCAAAGGTACAGGTGACCTACGTTTGTGACAGCGCCCTTGGAGGCGTTATACCACACCAGGCCTGGTCGGGGACGACTAGCACCAGTCGAAGAGATATTGATCATGGAACCACCCTGGCCTTGCTCGATGAATTTGGGCATCACGACGCTGGCAGACCAGTAGATGCTCTTGACATTAACATTAAACACTCGCTCCCACTCATCCTCGGTCACCTCTGCGGTAGGCTGTCACCGAGTTAGTCGGTTTTGCAAAACCATGTCCGAAGAAGAGACTGTGTACCTTGTTCCGATAGCTAGTTCCGGCATTATTCACCACAATATCCAGTCTTCCGAACTCAGAGAAAGCCAAATCAACAATAGCTGTCCACTCGGATTTTTGTGTAACGTCCATGCGCTGGAACTTGAGGTTGCCGGGGTTCTGAGCAGCGACCTGTTCGCCTCCCTGAACATTGATATCTGCGACCAGCACCTTGGCACCTTCTTCACCGAATCGGCGGGCGATAGCGGCACCAAAGCCGGAGCCTCCTCCTGTAATTTTAAAGGATATGAGGTTAATTTAGGTCAATGCAGGAAGTCAATGACTTGACAAGTGCCTCACCGGTAACAATGGCAACCTTTCCTTGCAATCTGGAGCCTTGGGCGGACATTTTTGCAGATGTGGAGATGAATTATGTGTGAGAAAACAAAGTTCAGACAGGAGAAATCGCAAGTTTAAAAGAACACGAGCAATGAGGGGCAATCGGATGTTCGGCGTGAAATCCGTGGTTTCCCCGCATTGCGCCGAGCCCAACACGCCGTCACGGCTATATGCTGCTCAAAGTACCGTGGACTTCTCCACTACTTGAAACTAAGTTTCAATAATGTGAATTGCATGGAGATGTCCTATAAGAAGGTGGGATAGCCCTGTCATTCCTGGCGCTCCTGCGGTCGAGCAGATAGTAGCGCACGGGAAAGCCAATCCCGCTAATGCAGCGTTAGCTTCAGGGACGGGGTTCGCCCGAAAGGTTGATGAAAGGGCATTTTTTCAGGGAATCATAGGGTTATAACATTCAAAGAGTCTTGAGATGAAACCTGAAAAGATTATTGTGTCAGAATACTTGTTAGCAAGTAGCTAACCCATGAATATCTGATGGTTTTGCCTGTCTCCGAAATACATGGATGCCGAGGAGCGATCTACAGATGTTTAGGACCCACCTCGAAGGACCGGATTCCGTCCAGAGAATTCAAATATCCACCGTGTTAAAAGGGTTTGTCGAATTAGATTGGCAGAAGGCCATAGCGACTGGCTATGTTCCTTACACTATTCCTACACAATGTGATCTGACCAGGGTATTTCCAGTTCCCCAACTGGTTGACCGAACCGAAGCTTAAAGCGTCCTGATGGAGCCTTCTAGCTTGGAACAATTCTCCAAAACAGGTACCCAAGAATCTATCGAGACAATAATTGAATATAATTCTCGAGAAAAACAAGTGTAAGGGCGTGCTAGGCTAAAATTAGCCTCCGCCCCTCCTAAGCCCTCAATTCCTGTACCTCAAATCTATAAAATTGCATGCCATAGATGTACGAAGTCAACAAATAAACAGCCCTGGGACTTCCATCGAAACGTCATGTCAAAAGGGCAAGCAAAACGCGGGTCCACAGGTACATAGTGACCCCTCCGCTACTTAGCTCAAGATCTATAAGAGTCTCCCAATACCTGGAATATTCTCTGCTCAGCTCAATACATCAAGGGAATCTGCTAGAAAAGCCTTACCTCAATTTGCCTCGGCTCCATAAAAAGCCCTCTAGCCTCCGCAATCAAAGTCGTCTCTTGGCCGTCAACGGAAAGAGTCTCAATCTGACTGTGCCCCCAAGCTTTCCGACCCTGCAATTCTGTCGTCTCCGCAGACAAGGCGATATATGAATTGGCCATCAACGGCTGGTGATGCTCAATGTTGAGATTGGCAGTGACGCCGACTTTGTGGGGTAGAGCTGCAAAGCAACACCTTGCCAGTCCTTCGTCGAAAAGGGCTGCAATTAGCCCGTTATGGACGATTCCTGGATAATCACACAAGTCTTCTCCAAGGTGCATAAGCATCACCATTTTCTCGCCGTTCTCTTTGCTGAAAACATATGGTGGCACGGAGATTTTTCGAGGCCCCGTAAGTGCACCCGTCATGAAATTTTGGGCGCGAATGCGCTCTGCTACCTTCAAGTGTGGTCGCACTTCGGTGTACTCTGGATCGTTTCGTAGAGAGATCGCGACCGGATGGTTCTGGATGAACGTATCAATCTGATCCGATGACTGGGTGGCGTCTTCTAAGGCTCCCGGTGCGATCGACCCCATTTTGACTATGTGAAAAATCGGGTTTATTGTGATAATGGCACAGCTTTCAAGATGTTGGAATATGCAGTATAGTAGGGATATGAAGGAGTCTCGGTGATCTGCGGGCTGAGGCGGATTACCTCGGGAACCCATCAAACTTCCGTGCCCCCGAACCAGTGGTGTCTCGGCATGCCTGTCTATCCCCATAGACAGAGGTCATCATATCGAGGTAAGTTCGGAGTTTATTTCTTAGCCTTACCGTGTTTCATTGAACTTGATTGAGCTTCAAGCCTAGTCGATAGGTGTATATTTGTTCTCTCCCACTTGAAAATGTGACAAGAGGGTAAGCAAAGCCCCTTCGCCTGTCGACTCTGTTCGCAGTCACTCTCTAAATACTCCGTAAACCCATTTCACAAAAGCTTTCTACATTAGTAAACCAGGACCCGGTTTGATCTAAAACATATCACTCGATATATGTACTTGAGATGTTCTTGGTGGGTCCAAAGGCAGACACCCGCAGATCTATGAACAAGCTAATACAGTAGTAGCCTCCTGGGATTGAAAGTGCATGATTTGGAGACTAGCTCGCAGATCCGAGGCTCCAAATTACAATTTGCAACACCAAGTACTGTACATAATGATTAAGTATCAGATGATGCAAATTGGCTGATCATAGTTCATCCCCCTGTACCTCTGTGACCTCGTTCCAAACCAGGTGGAAGTAATAGATGCATCAACACGGATCTAGACGACTTTGAGTTGACCTAATAAGCTGGCTAGCTCTACATTGAGTTCACTATAGACTTCTTAGCTCAGTCTGATCGGAAGTACTCCGTATAGTTAGTTAATTACCGCCTCAAGCATCGGCTTAATAACAGAGTTTCCAGTCGGGCAACGCGGGGGAGAAGATGCCTCCGAAAGTAGAAAACAGTGCAGCCAAACACCAGCGGAGGAGAGATGCTCAGATAAGGAGGTACTCATTCTATATGGTTCTATATGCACAGTATTTCATAGTCCATTTCTCGAGATTCTCAGATTGTGATATATTGTTCGTCTTTCTGTCTCGACTTCTTACTGGACCGTGTCTTTGCAGCCCCTGGCGGAGGAGTCCACTGCCCCTCCTCCACCTACGCCCAACGCCCTAATTTCGCCCGTTGACGCTACTTTCTCAGCCTCGTCGCGTTTTCATTCTCTGCATATTACAATTGCCCCTCATTTGTACTCTTTGATACTATGTTCTCCTTCTCGTCCACGATGCATTAATCTCTCCTTCGCATACGTCTTCATGTCTCCACCCCACGCCTCGCTCCCCTCTCCACACCCCCCATGGAAGTTCGCAATGCGGGCGCTCCATTAAAGGCCGAATCGTCGCCAGACTCACGATCGCCCTCACAGTCCCAGTCATCCGACTCACAATCTCCATCGCAGCCCCCGTCGCGCACGAAACGACCCTCATCCGAGCCTGTCCCGCCTCGAAAACGCGTCCGCCGCTGGCACCATCGCGGATTTACGGGGTGCTCGACCTGTCGCCGTCGGCATGTTCGCTGCGACGAGGCGTCTCCGACGTGCAAGAACTGCACGCGCCTGGGGCTCGAGTGCGATGGCACGCAGGGTCGGATGACCTTTAAAGTCTATGGGCCATCACAGGCGCAGGATGCAGGCCAGGCACCCAGGCAGCAGAAGAAGGGCAGTAGCAGCCCCGAATCCCTGGGCGAGTCGTGCTTCACAAGTACTTTCTCTGTGAAGCTCGAAGGCGAGAAGGAGGGGGACTGCGAAGCCCTGGTGGTATCACCGACGACAGTGCCGCAATGGTCGGGCCAGACTCAATTCCGTTTCCAACAACCGCTTTTCCAGACAGACCTCCGATCATTGACGATTCAATGTACCGACGAGCATTACTTTTCCCATTTTGTCAATCAGGTGTCGAGCCTGTTGATCATATACGATACCCACATCAATATCAATCCATATCGCAGCTATTTCCCGGAATTCGCGCGGTCGTCTCCCTCGATGGTTGGCGCGATGCAGGCACTAGGCGCATTGCATCTGGCAAACACTTCGGTCGGCGCCAAGCGTAATCAACATTTCCAGCAGGCAATGGGGAAGTATGGGCAGGTTGTGAAGATGTTCCGGGATCGGTACGCTCTTCCTGGCGGACAACTTGGAATGAGGGACTTTGCGACCTGTTTGTTGTTGTGTCTATTTGAGGTGGGTGCCGCTCATGGCTCACATACGTGGGTGGAAGAATACCTGATTGACGTGACTATAGATGATGGACTCGCAACACCAAAACTGGGACGTCCACCTCAAGGGCGCGCGGGAAATCTACAACCTCCTCTTCTACCCGCATCCCGGCAGCGCTGCCCGCGAAGCACAACGACTCGTCGAGATCAACCACCCTCTCCGGCCCTTCCTCGTCTCGTTGCTCTCATATCTAGATGTGGCTGGTGCATGTGCGCGACCAGGTGGCACAGTGGTGACGGGAAGTTACTGGAAGACACTCGGAGGTGGATGGGAGTATAATCTCGGGATCCCGAGTCTGTCTACCTCGCCTCTTCCGGATGATCCACGCCTGCTGGAGTTACGACAAGCCTGGTCAAGTATGATGGAAGTTCAGACTGCGATCAGCACGTTTGCCCGCGATAAAGAGTGGATGTCCCCGGATCACCAGGATATGGTGTACAAGAAGATATTCCACCAGCTGGTAGCTTGGCGCGCTAGCACGCCGATCAGCCTACAATTGCTTGGAGATATGGATTTGGACGATGAGACTTTGCAAGGATTCCCGTATCCCGATATGTTGGAATACGTTGGGTGCGTGGAGGCCTATGAAAAGGCGACTTTCGTGCGCCTGCATCAGGTAGCTGGAGCCGGTCGGCCAAATTGGATCTCCGACCGCGCCTATCTAGACATGCTTATCACGCGAATTCTGACGCTGATCCGCAAACTTTCCAAGGACGTGGGTCAGTTGGCTGTCTTGTGGCCTCTTTTCATCGCCGGCCAGGAAACCCGCAAGGAAGCAGAGCAGCGGTATGTTCAGCAAACCATGCACGAGCTTAAGCGATTCGGCTTCAGGAATGTTGACAAGGCGCTGGAGCTCCTCGAAGGCGTTTGGTTTAAGCGGCGTGCGTTCCCTGAAGGCTGGACGGAGACACTAGAGGAGATCCAAACCAATATCCTCTTGCCCTGATCGGATATCCTGCGTTCTTTTTCTCAACACCTGAATCTTCTGGCGGCATGCCAAGGGAAGGCATATCCCAATGCTTTCTCATCGCCGAGATCTTCTCGGTCACGTCTCATACGACCCACAGAGCGTTGTCTATCTCTATACCCTCATTTCTCATCTGCTGGACTACTGTAACTCCGGCATATTCATACATAGCATCTTTCATGATAGAACATGGACTGCCTTGCCACGAACTTGGAACGACCGCGCTCATATATTTCGGAGTCTGGCTCATTGTTTATACCCACATGCATAGCTTCTGAACACGTCTTGTATTTTGAACATTTTAATGTGAATGATCAATGGTCGATCATGGTTTCGTGTCAAGCGAATCTCAATTCCTCATTCCAGCTCCTGTTCAATGACATTTTTGTTCTTCGTTCATGTCTAGACCGGCTACCCATGGGGTCAAAGGAAGGATTCGCAGATTTGACTTTGCCCATTCCATCAAAGCAAAGGCTCTCAACATCAAGCCAAGTGGAGCTGCCCGTAATCGGCCAAGCATTATCCAGTTTGGGCCATCAGAATCCGCGAATCACAAAGCTCGCTGCCATTAGTTGGTGAACTTCCCAGGCAATGCTTTACACATTACGCATATCCCGCCTTGCATTTGGCATCTGAATGGCCTTGTTTTTAACGCTTCGAACCACGGATGCTCTTTTAGATCCTCTGGGCTTCGCGAACCCCCCGGCCCGATGGGTCCATCCGCGCTGTTCTATGGTGCAGACTCCTGGAACCAGCTTAGTTGGTTAGTTAGCGGGTCCTCAACGGAGACTAGAGCGAAGCACTGAAAACGAGAAAAGACGAGTGGAAAATTCCCACTCCAAGTAGTTCCATCTCTAAAAGTCTTACTCCACGGACCAGACAGCTCCGGGTCTTCAACTGGTGGACTTGGACCTTTCCTATTATCAATCGTCACTTTTAATTCTTTCGCGCGGATCGAGCCTGCAACATTAAAAATCCCATTGCTTACTTCTGAATACCCGCGGTCGCTTCTTAGAATCCAGATCTTGAAGAACCCCAAACTCACGCCATCCCTGTCTATAAAGCCCTATCTGGACATTTTCCACTATTTGATTTACATTCAGGCGATCAGGGACCCCCACCATATCCCGCCAGCTTCAGATCTCGCCATCGCCTTGCCCGGATAGGTTACCCGCGTGGGCCGCGTTAAGCCAGCGCCCTCTTCCCTAAACTTCCCGCACGGTGGGGTTGGAACTTGGCAGGTTCCTGGTGTCTGGTCTGACCGAGGGCACGAAACGGCGCATCCAGAGCCAAGGGCCAAAAAGCCTTATCAACCAATTTTTTTGTTCTTGGATGTGTGCTTGATTCTCTTCGCGTGAGCTCTACGTATCAAGTGACTTTGTCGCATAACTCGGTGGGCAGGTGCTTCTACAGTATCTCTTGCGAGTGAAGAATCTGGTTTCCCGGTTTTTTCTTTTCCCGAGTAGACGTTCTTGGTTGAAGGGTGGATTTGCTCCGATTTCCGTCGACTGCTACCGCCATGGCGCTTGAACAGGATACCCTCGTGGTCGGTCGCGATGACCTGATCGCTGACGGAGAGGGTGATCGCAGCTCGATTGAGGCTAAGGATGATGCTGCTCTGTTGGTATGTGATTGCAATTGCGATGCGCTTCCATGTTTCCCGAGGGGCTTTTTTGCTGACTGCTTGTTGTAGCGGACGATGGGATATCAGCCGGTAGGTCTTGGTTTTGATATCTGATCTCGGAGATCGGCAACTGATACCTGCCTGGGAATAGGTGCTGCACCGGACGTACACGTTCTTTGAGAACTTTGCTACTACTTTCGGTATGTTCGGTATCGGAACCTGTGGTATGTGTGCTAGATGGCTGACGATATCTCTAGCTGCGCTTTACTTTGTCGGTGGAGTGCGCGTTACGTTTAGCACTGGTATTGCTGCTGGTGGAAACTTGGCTTACTGGACTAGCTACTTGGTTACTATGGTCTTCACTTTCATCACTGCGGCCGTCATTGCGGAAGTGTGCTCGGCGTCGCCGTCTGCTGGTTCGATCTACATCTGGGCTGCCGAGGCCGGTGGTCCCCGTTTTGGACGGCTTCTTGGTTTCGTGGTGGCTTGGTGGAGTACTACAGCCTGGACGACTTTCTGCGCAAGTACGATACTGACCTTCTTCCCGATTGGAATAAATATGGTGCTAAACTCAATGCTAGGCAACACCCAAGCGGCTGTCAACTACATGCTCGCTGTACGTCTCAGAAAGCACGCCTACTTCAGCAACCGTTCTAACACCATTACTAGGAACTCACGGTGTTCAATGTCGACTTTCCACAGGACACTGACAGTGTCAAATTCCGTGCCGTGCAGTGGATCTGCACAGAGGTCCTCCTCGCCCTGGCGGCTCTTTTGAACTTCCTTCCTCGTATGCCAGAACATACCCGCAATCCGTGATCCTTATTCATTATCACTAACCCCTATCGATAGCTCGATACTTCAAGTATGTCTTCTGGGTCTCTGCCGGATTCGTCATGCTCGATTTCTTCTTGAACCTCATCTGGCTTCCTATCGGCACTGCCCAGACCTGGGGATTCCGCTCGACTCATGAAGCCTTCATGACCACTTACAACGGCACCGGTGCCCCCGCGGGCTGGAACTGGTGCTTGTCTTACCTCGCTACTGCCGGTATCCTGATTGGATTCGATGCTTCGGGCCACGTCGCCGAGGAGACCAAGAACGCGTCTATCACTGCTGCGCGCGGTATCTTTTGGAGTACGGTTGTCAGTGGTTTTGGTGGCTTGGCTACCATCATCTTGTTCTTGTTCTGCGCTGTGAGTCTACTTGCCTAGTATTCTTGTTTTGATGTACTAACCTTACATTCTAGCCCACGGCGGATCAATTGATGGAGTTTGGCTCCCCTCAGCCGTTCGTTCCTCTCTACGCTGTTGTTCTCGGCCAGGGTGGTCACATCTTTATGAACATCATCTGCATTGTCGCTCTATGGCTAGTAAGACATCTTACCCATTCCTCTATGAAATCCTCTCCCTAATCTCATCCAGAACACCGCCATCGCCATCATCGCCGCCTCCCGCCTCGTCTTTGCCGTCGCCCGTGACGGTGTCCTCCCCTTCTCAAGCTGGGTTTCCAAGGTCGACGGCGGCCAACCACGCAACGCCGTCATCGTCGTTTGGGGCGTCGCCGCTCTGGTGACCTGCACCATCCTTCCCTCCAACGTGGCCTTTACCTCCCTCGTCTCCGCAGCCGGTGTGCCCAGCGCCGCCGCCTATGGCCTGATCTGTCTGGGCCGTCTCTTCTGCACACCAAACCGGTTCCCCAAGCCACAGTGGAGTCTGGGACGGTGGAGCAAGCCGTTCCAGTTCATTGGCGTGTTCTGGAATGGATGGGTTGTTGCTATCCTGTTCTCCCCGTATGAGTGGCCAGTTACTGGGCAGACTTTGAACTGTAAGTTAACCCGCTTTTCCCTTCCCTTCGTAGTCGAGAGGAAGTGCTCACATTCCTTTCTTCTAGACGCCCCTATTATCATGGGTGGTGTTACCATCCTGGCGCTGGTTTCGTACTTTGTCATGCCGGAGAGCGCGTGGCTTCCTCGGAACCGGATCACTCATTTCATTGATAGCAAGGGTGCTGGCACTGTCACTGAAACGGTGGAGGAAGTTAGTCCTTCGGCTCAGAATGATATGGCTCAGAGATCATGATGGATCTTTGGGGACGTGATCAGAAAATAAAAGTGTTTGATGGTGGGCCTTTTGGGGACACCTTGAGAAAGGGAAGTGGAAGCTTCCACGTTGGTATATACTGCTTTTGGCTTGGTGTATATGATTCATGAGGGGTTGGTACATAATTCTTGGTCATTTTGATTTGAGGGCTGTCTGGAATAATGAATGTTGCCTAGTTATGCCGTCTTTTCTAGATGTTGGTGGTTCCTTAGACTGGGTTTCCTCGTGGCACACAGTCCGTCCTATATAGTTCAGCAAGGTTAACTCCTTCCGCTCTACCTAGTTAGGTACCTGCTAAGGATGAGGTGTAAAATAGTTGAGATACTGCAAGCAGAAGTGGTGGTCTTTTTCTTTCCAGTCTGTCTTCGTCTTTTCTCTCCTCTTGTTTTCTCCTTTCTTTTGCTGTCGTCATGCTCACTATCGAAGCAGCCCGTGCTAGCTCCTTATCTAATCTGCATGGGTAGTTGGGTTAAACTCGGCAGCTACCTAATGTTCAAACCACCTTTTGAAGTACCTTTACACCTCCTATAAAAGGTTCAGACAGCAGAAAAAGAACAGTCTTGCAGTTCAGCCCAGCTACCCTCGTCTAATACATTCTCGAACACGCCCAGAAGCAAAAAAACGTGGATTGCGCATTGATCGCTTCAACTTGGCACCCCCGCATTGCCCGGCCGCGTGCCGGAGGATTCCCTCCTTTTGAATGGCTTCGGCGCAACTGGCGGAGCTCGCAGAAGCTCGCCATTCCTCCGATCCCCGGATAAATCGGGCCACTTGACCCCTGCAGTTGGATGCATCAGCTGCGGGGAAATCTCCAGGCACTCGAACCCAAAGATCAGACGCCCGGTTACCGGCGGATGGCTGGTATGACCTGAAAGGAGAGTACTCGGTGATTTATGAGGGTATCACGAGAAAATAGGATAGATGGATGAGATGCAAGAAGCTGTATCTTATATCCTGCTCCATGCATGCAACTTAGTAAAGCTCCATATCACTCTATCCTTTATATTTTATCGTCTTCAATCTCTGAAAACGTCACGGTGGGGAACCCCCGGACGATCCGCTCCGCCCCCCGCGGGGGGAATGGAGACGGTGGCGCCGCAGTTTGGGTGAGCCGGGAATTTGACGGCTCAATTGCGCAAGTGCCAGTGGAATAATCACAATACTGTCTTGGAAGTTCTTGGATTGGTGACTCTTGGATCCGGAGAACAGACCCCATCATGCCCCCAAGGCGCGTACCGTTTCATCGCAGCGTGTCCAAGTGTCCAGTCAGGCCTGGTCCTCTCCACATCCCTTCCCTCTCTTCCCTTCCTGCCCCCCCTCCTCCTCCGCCTCTTCTTCTCCTCTTCTCTTTCTTTCTTTCTTCTCTACTCTCCTCTCTACCGCCGGCACCTCCTCTCCCTCCGATGTGCCTCCTCTCCGCCTGATCCTCCCCTGCGAGACTGTCAGCCATGAGTGTCCCGCTACCCTTGCGGGCTGCACTGGGACCGTGTCTCGCGGTTCCCAGTGCGCGCGCGGGGAAATCATTCCTGCTGACCCAGTCCGGTACGTTTTATTTCTTTGGTGTCTCTGTATACCGTACACACATGATCACGCGAGCCGTCCGCTAATCCTCTTCTCCTGGAACAGTCTCTCAAATTCGCCGGTTTGCTTTCCTGACCTCGTCGCAGAAGAGACGTCCTCTTCCCCAGCCCCAATGGCCTCGCATCTCCAAACGTACTGCTACGACTACACCTCCGGCCTCGGAGCCTGTCTCGGAGCCTGTCTCGGAGCCTGTCTCGGTGACGCCCTACTCTGCGCTGACTGTGGGTGTGCCTCGCGAGATCGCCCCGAATGAGCGCCGTGTGGCCATCACCCCGCAGAATGTGACCATGCTTCTGAAGAAGGGCTTCTCCCGCGTACTCATCGAACGGGGCGCCGGCGAGGGGGCCCAATTACGCGACCATGTCTATGAAAAAGCCGGTGCGACGATCGTCGACCGGGACACGATCTATTCCGAGAGTGACATTGTCCTCAAAGTCCGAGGCCCGCAAGTGGACGGCCCATTCAATGAGGTCCAGGCTCTTCGCAAAGGCTCCACGGTAATCTCGTTTTTGTATCCGGCTCAGAATAAATCCGTCGTGGATGCGCTGGCGGCGCGCGGCGTGTCCGCGTTTGCGATGGACCGCATTCCGCGAATTTCTCGTGCCCAGGTTTTTGACGCCCTGAGTTCCATGGCCAACATTGCGGGATACAAGGCTGTGCTGGAAGCATCGAATCATTTTGGTCGGTTCCTGACGGGCCAGGTCACTGCTGCTGGGAAGATTCCTCCGAGTAAAGTTCTCGTCATCGGAGCGGGCGTCGCCGGTTTGAGTGCCATAGCCTCGGCCCGGCGAATGGGCGCGATTGTCCGTGGCTTCGATACTCGTCCCGCCGTCCGTGAACAGGTTCAATCGCTCGGTGCTGAGTTTGTCGAGGTCGATTTTCAGGAGGATGGCGCTGGCCAGGGCGGTTACGCCAAGGAAATGTCCAAGGAGTTTATCGAGGCCGAGATGAAGTTGTTCATGGAGCAGGCTCGCGAGGTCGATATTATTATCACCACGGCATTGATTCCCGGAAGGCCTGCTCCGAAGCTGATTACCAAAGAAATGGTGGCGGCGATGAAGCCCGGCTCGGTCATTGTGGATCTTGCGGCTGAAGCTGGTGGAAACTGTGAGGCGACTATTCCCGGCGAGCTGGCTAGCTACAAGGATGTCACGATCATTGGCTACACTGATCTGCCGTCCCGCTTGCCCACTCAGTCATCGACACTATACTCGAACAATATCGTCAAGCTGCTACTGTCTATGGCCCCCAAGGACAAGTCCTTTGGCATTGATTTCAATGACGAGGTAGTCCGGGGGTCCATCGTGACTCTTGATGGTGAAATCGTTCCTCCGGCTGCACCACCCACTCCACCTCCAACTCCAAAGCCCGAAGCCCAGGCGGCCGCTGCTAAGAAGGAAGAAGAGCTTGCTCTGACCCCCTGGCAGAAGGTCACTCGGGATGTCGCTCTGGTCACCGGTGCCATGGGCACCACGCTCGCCCTCGGCAAGGCCACCGGTCCTATCTTCATGAGCAACATGATGACCTTTGGTCTGGCCGGCCTGGTTGGATACCGCGCTGTCTGGGGTGTTGCCCCGTCTCTTCACTCGCCTCTGATGAGTGTCACCAATGCGATTTCAGGTATGGTCGGTATCGGCGGTCTGTTCATTATGGGCGGAGGTTATACCCCAACCACTCTTCCGGAGTACCTCGGCGCTGCTTCCGTGCTTTTGGCCTTCGTCAACGTGTCTGGTGGTTTCGTGGTGACGAAGCGTATGCTGGATATGTTCAAGCGGCCAACTGATCCTCCCGAGTACCCTTGGCTGTACGCCATTCCTGGCGTCCTGTTTGGTGGCGGTTTCCTTGCTGCTGTGAGCACGGGAATGTCTGGTCTCGTTCAGGCTGGATACCTTGTTAGCACGATCCTGTGTATGAGCTCGATATCGGGTCTTGCCTCGCAGACTACTGCCCGACGTGGAAACATCTTTGGTATCCTGGGTGTGGTTTCTGGTATTCTGGCTTCGCTGGCCGCCGTGGGCTTTGATACCGAGACACTCACTCAGTTTGCTGTCGTAGCGGGCACTGGTGCACTGGTCGGAGGATTGATTGGTCGTCGCATTACCCCTACTGGTCTTCCTCAGACCGTTGCCGCGCTGCACTCAGTCGTCGGTCTCGCAGCCGTCCTAACTAGCATTGGTAGTGTCATGGTTGACATTGCCGACATCTCGACTCTTCATCTGGTGACCGCTTATATGGGTGTCCTTATCGGCGGTGTCACCTTTACCGGGTCTATCGTCGCGTTCATGAAGCTTTCCGGCCGCATGTCTTCCACTCCAAAGATCCTCCCTGGTCGACATGTCATCAATTCGACGCTGCTGGGTAGTAATATCGCTACCATGGGAGCGTTTGTTACGATGGCACCTGCAAACCCAGGAATCGCAGCGGCCTGTCTGGGTGCAAACACTGTTCTTAGTTTCTTGAAGGGTTATACCACCACCTCAGCCATCGGTGGTGCTGATATGCCCGTCGTGATCACCGTGCTGAATGCCTACTCGGGCTTCGCACTCGTGGCCGAGGGACTGATGCTCAACAACCCGCTTCTCACCAGCGTCGGCTCCCTGATCGGTGTTAGTGGTTCCATCCTATCGTATATCATGTGTGTAGCCATGAACCGGTCTCTCACCAACGTTCTCTTCGGTGGTCTTTCGGCGCCCGCCCAGACCCAGAAGAAGATCGAAGGCGAAGTTACGCAGACCAGCATCGATGATACCGTAGAAGCCCTCTCCAGCGCGGAGAGTGTCATCATCATCGTTGGCTACGGCATGGCCGTCGCAAAGGCTCAATATGCCCTTGCCGAAATTGTCGCCATGCTCCGCGCCCGCGGTGTCACCGTTCGTTTCGCAATCCACCCCGTCGCTGGCCGTATGCCCGGCCAGTGCAACGTTCTCTTGGCCGAAGCGTCCGTGCCGTATGACAGTAAGTTTCCTGCACTCCACACAACTCCTCCTTCATACTTAGTGCAAAACCATACTAACACGCGGGCAGTCGTTCTGGAAATGGATGAGATCAACGACGACTTCGCCGATACAGATGTCACCCTCGTGATTGGCGCCAATGACACGGTCAACCCCATCGCTATGGAGCCCGACTCCGCGATTTCTGGCATGCCCGTTCTGCACGCGTGGAAGAGCAAGGAAGTGATTGTTATGAAGCGGGGCATGTCAAGTGGATACGGTACGTGGCCCTTCATTTGGCCACTCTATTAATTGCTTAATTTGTCCCTTGTATACACACGGCTTGGATATGACTAACACTAACCCTGTCTTCCAACCACAGCGGACGTGCCAAACCCCATGTTCTACATGCCCGGTACACGGATGTTATTCGGCGACGCGAAGACTTCTTGCGACGGTAAGTGGAGATCCCCCACTTTTTGACACCTCGATAGGGTTGTCCTTGGTTTTTTTTTGTTGAGAAAGCTAATTTGTCCCTTCCCGCAGCTATCAAAGCCGCCCTGGAGGCGCGCAAGTAGGCGTAGGGCGTCGGTTACGGTTTTCCCTCCGTGCTCCGACCACGGCGTGATACAGTACTCTATTCCATATTCCATTCTTCCTGTCTATCGAGTTGATTTCCCCGTCGTCGGTTATTGACTTTGTTTCCTTTCCTTTTTTTTTCCTTTCTCTCGTTCTGTGCCATGTAGTGATGGCCAGTGTTGTCACTTGTGATTACATACTGCATTATACCATGCGTTAACTACGGTGCGTTTCTAGATCTCTAGATTCTAGAATGAGCCGAGGGCGCTCACGCTCAGTTTGAATGGATTTATTGTACTTGAGATTCGTGTATACCTACCTATAACGGAACATCGTGTGAACGAACGCCTTCGCCTGTGTTTCTAGTCTCGGCATTAAAGTAGCCACCGCAGGACATGACTACGTAGAGTTGTATGAGAAGAGTGTCCTTTTCCTCATTAGTCTCGGCATTAAGAAGCCACCGCAAGACATGGCTATGTATGTAGTGGGCACATATTCAAAATAGGTGAGACCGATTCATTCGAGGTACAGTAGCCTAACTAGAGAACCAATCCAAATCCCACCAAACACAACACCGTCTGTCCCAAAGTATCAGGCGCATTCAAGCAACGCCGCGTGAGTTGGCTAAACCCGGTAGTTCACGCTCTCTCGCATTCATCCCAACGAAAATCAGGTAACCCTTCCAAGCAACTCGACACAAAAACCAGCCAAAATAATCAAAAACAAGGGACGATGTATCCATGGATTCGGCTCCGCAACGAGGATCCACCGGAACACAGCCCAGAAACCGTAGAGAAGGTTCAATTAGATAGACATTATCCAGCCGGGACTTTGAGTGACGGTGTTTTCCGGTGTTTGATCCAGTATTGAGTCCAATCAGGAGCCATCACCACTGGGCTCGAGAGTAGAAGTAGAAAGCAGAAGAAAGGGAAAACACCAACGCCATGAACCTGAACCAATCGGGAGAGCAATAAACATCCGGAACAAAAATAGAAAATGAATCAGATGGCCACCGGATATAACCACCGAACGAAAAGAATATGAAAATCAAGCATGAGGTAGAAAAACGAAAAAAAGCCTCCGTTGCAAGAGAAAAGACACAACATCCACCCATAAAAAAAGACATTACCGAATTAGAGATACCTCGTACCCCAAATAAGAAAAAATAGTTAATCAAAAAGTAGAAATTATGCCTTCGTAAAAGACTTTTTCCCCAACTTCAATCCCATAAACTTGCGTCCGCCAGGAGCAGCACTATTATGCCGCGCATGGCGGCGTTGGCTCGGTTTCCGGACCACATGGGAATCATAGTTGACCGCCATCAAGGGGGTCTGGGTTCCCGATACTGAGATGTGAACCGTCGAGCTATTGCTCATGCTGCTGGTGGAGGCGATGCTGGAAGTGGCGGAGTGTTCGCGGGTCATGCGGCGCATCATTGGGGATCGTTGGGCGAGGATGTTGGAGACGCTGTGCTTTGAGGGGGTGTGGCCGCGTTTGAGGGGCTGGGATTGGGGCTGGTAGGAGGGTGGTGGGGAGGAGGCGAAGGAGACGGGGCTGGAGGTGCGGGAGAGGAGGGATCCCGCCTCACTGTAGTGATCTGGGATGTAACCCAGGTCTGATGAGAAGGGGGAGGTTGGGCGGGAGGCGTAGGAGGGGACGCTGCTGTTGCTGTTGCTGCGGATGGAGGCTGGACGGCGGCCTGGGCCTGGTTCTGTGGGACGGCGTGGTCGTGCGTTGGGCATGGCTGGGATGGGCTTTTCTGCGCCAGAGGTGCGTGGGCGAGGGCGGTACATTGATTGCGGCCTGATGTGTGGTGATGGAGGGAAAAACGGGACCACTGGGATCTCGGAGACGCAGTTGATATTCGCGCTTTGGAGAGGACGGGGCGTGTCGTCGTCTGTAGGGGGCATTGCGGGCGTCGTGCTCGTCGATTCATCCGAGCTTGACTCGGGGTGCTCCGTGTCCTTTGATGCTGAAGTCTTCATCCCGGCCAGCCGTGGAACCTCGAGCCCGTTTTCGAATCTTCCATCGAATATACGAGACTCGCGGTCTCGAGGGTTTCCCCGTGTGCGAGACCGGCTAGGTCGAGATCTAGCGTTCTTCGAGCGTGAGCCTAGAGAGTTGATGAAGACCAACGTCGGCCGGGTTGACGGTTCCATCAAAGTGATCTTCTTGGCAATCTGGATCTCAGCGTTCTCCACTGAGAAGATAGACGATGGAGAGGATGAGCGAGACCGAATATTGGTAGTCGGGGGAGTGTTAGGCGAGACATAGATGGCGGGCTGCAGGAAGAGACTCGATGCAAGCGGAGCAGGACTGTCTAGTGAAGGCAGTTCCAGCACTATGTCCTCTTCAGGGTCGAAGACGTATGCATCTTCCACGAAACTGACATCGCTGCTTCGTTTCACAGTGTCCATGGAGACGGGACGTTGCCGCTTGGCTTCTCGATACGGTGCCAGCAGCTCATCCTCCCGGTCCGAATCCGGGTCAACATGGGAGTTCTCGTCGGCACTGATATCAGAGTCAAAGGCCCCGGCTCGCTGGGAGCCTGTCGGGGATGGAACAAAGTCGTGACCGCCAGCATCTGATTCGGAGACATCTTCTTCATCTGATTCATAGCGCTTATGGAGACTTTGCCGGCTCAAGCGGTGCAAAGACAGCGCGGTGGTAGGCTCGTACATGTTGGGGAGAATTGATCAACCCCAGGGTTCGATCACAGTATGGCTCGTGCAAAAAGATCACACTGTTCCAGACAGGGCAGAAGGTTGTAAGAAGCGAATGAATAGATCAGATCAGGGTTAAGAGGAGAAACCAGCCTGCAACGAAGGAACAGAACAAGCAAGTAGCGACAGAAAATGTGACAGGACTCCTTTATCAAGGTTAGATGAACGTAAACCAGACAGTTTCCTTGGGCAGTGTCAAAAGCAGCCCACGAGTAGAGGACTGGGAAAGCAGAACCAGTTCTTACTCCTGTAACCGGCCAAGGGTCAGGTCTTTAATATCAAGTGGACCCCGTCCAGGGTTGAGCAGGCACTAGAATGATGAACAGGGGAACCGCCCTCGGTTCCTGTCAAGGTCGCCAGGAACAGGAAGTATGAAGAAATGTTGAAAAGGTCCCACCCTGTCAAGAATCCACTTGGAGTCTTGGTTACAGAGAACAGTAGTGAGCAAGAAGAGGGGAAGGGCTTTTTTTAGGGCCCAAGGGACGGTGTAAGTAATCCCTGTCCACGTGTGCCAAAAAGATAAGTCGGGGCTGGCAAAGTACTGCTTAGTGCCTAGCATAATCAATCATTGCGTCCGTTTATTTTATTTTTGATTTTTTTGGAAGGTGGAGGGGGCGCGGGCATTTTTCTCCTTCTTTTCTTCTTCCTCGAGAAGTATGTACAGTAATGGCTAGCAGTACATCTGCAGGACCGACGTGTAATCAGGCCCTGGATTGGTTGGAGGCTTCCAACTAGCGGAATCATCCCAGGATCGGTAAAAAGCAGTGTGCTGGAGTTCACCCTTGCATTCGGAACCACCAGGGACAGCCAGGACGAGCGAGGGTCGTTTCACCATTCGGCGACGCGCACTCTCCCGCACGTCGTGGCGGGCGCGCCACGCTGGGAGTAGAAAGCTAAAGCGTGGATGCTGTAAGCCTGTAACGCCGGAAAAAATCTGATAGATCAACGTGAGCTGTCGTTGGCTGTGGCCCATGCGCCTAACGCTGGGACTGCAGCTGGTGTGGATGGAGATTGGCCATGGTGTCCACTCGCCGCAGGGACTGGCGGCGGCAGCTAGATTGGATGGGCTCCATGCACGGTTCAAGGGGAAATCAGCAGAGGAGGAATAATCCGGAGGTTTCACCGACTGTTACATGCAGCGTACGAACTGGGAGATTGAAGCATTGCGCCGGGGATCGTGCCGCTCAGGGTGGGATGCTTGTACACAGTGCGAGGTCCATTACTTCAGCTCTTGCTCGCGTAGAACCGACGGGGTCAATATTTCGTCCGGATGAAGACGGCGGCGTCGTTTAGCGCAGAAAAAGTCCCACTGGCCATCGAGGTTCGAAACGAAGCGCCCGTGGTGGAGAGACACGATGGTTCGTTGGGAATAACCATCATGGAGTATGTAGTCAGTCGTGACGCCGTCGTTGGTCAGTTAGTGCCTTTCGGTCCATTCGGGCATTCTCTAGAGTATTGCCAAGTTAGCCGCCGCTCCAGAAAGGTGGGGCGTGGGTATAACTCAAACACGCTACCACGAACACTTGGGGCCCTTGTCTGACCTCGAAACCAGTGTCGATCGGTCGTGAGTGGAGCTCGGTATCTTGATGCCGAGAAATCACACTAAAATTTATGCACAACGCGCGGTCTTTGTGAGGGTGAGTGTTGGGTTTAGCGTTGCTGGGGATGATGCCAGGGGGAAGAGGAGGCAGGAGGAAAGTTGGCGAGGTCAACTGGTTGAACGACTGGCAACGTGAACTGGATGATGCTCCGACCCCCTCCCCCTTAGATCCTGAACCCTAAAATGGATCAAGATATGGATTGAAGGGCAATTATCTTACTGTATACATGACTAAGTGGAGCTTAGTGCATTGTGAAATGCAGAAGGCACATCAGGGGTAAAGGATGATTAGCCTGCAATCGCCCTTACAAAGTATACTCTAGAATCATCCAACGTGGATTGGATTATAGGATGACAGGGTTGATCACTGCTCTCCTACAGGGAGCATTCGCTTGTCTTTAGCCAGAAAGTAGGAGGAACTATGGAATACTCAAGGGAGAAGGAGTATCAAATACAGTTAGAACAGGAGTATACCTGGGGAGAGGAATGCTCCTCCTTTCGCAGAACATGACTATGGATGCACTTGCATCCATTCTGATGCACAGTTCAAGTATACCACAGTACTGTACGCTTGTACCTGCCTCCAGAAGTCAATAATATCCTGATAACCCTCCCACCACCTCGATAAACCAGCCAAGACCCCCATCCTCCCTTACATGCGACGATCACTACGAATCGGCGAATTCTCCCTCCCCAAAGGATCGCCCACTCGGTCCAAGCTCCGGCCACTCCTCTGCGAGTCGGCGCTTCGGCGCTATCGTTTTATTTTATTTATAGGCACCCAGCACCGAGGACGGATGTCGAAGTACATAAAAAAGGAATAGTAGCCCACGCCCATGACATCTATCACCTGCACCTATACCAATCCAGCAGACGATAATCGCAACGCCGTTCAACGCTCGACGCCATGACCAAGCCATTTTTACACCATTCCCCCGTTGCAGATACCCACTTCAGGCAAGGAACTCCGGTGCTAATACGAATCCTATTCTCATTGCTGGAATTGGGAACTTGTTAACACTCTGGTCAGAACGGTTGAAACGTCTACGGATCATGTCTTGTCTGCTTAGGACATAGTGCCCATAGTGGCTTGATAAAGTCCACGAACTAACTTACCTAAACTCGACGGTCGAAACACACCACCCCCAACAAGTTCCAACAAGGAACTAGATGCCCAAGTTCTGCTTCTGACAGCGGCGTGGTTCCCCACTTCATGATTCGTGGCTTATCTTGGCTCGCCAAGTTGGCTCGAAAGGCATGGGGTGATGGGAGTTCTACCGTAGTCTCTAGTTCAACGCACTTCCACTCAAACACCGGTCATCAAGCCCATACAGTCCAGTTGATCTGGCGTATTTCCGGCCGGTATTAATTAGCAACCAAGCTCCGTGAATAGATAAGCGTGCTGTTCCAGATAGAAAGGATGCGGACAGAATCACGGCGAGACGCTGCCTCGCTGACCATGTTTTTTTATCGGCCTTCTTTTGAAATTCGGCCGGTTGGTATAGAAAGAGGTTTGCGCCGGGCATTTGGACCACGCCAGGCGCCACGCTTCTACGTCGTTCACTTGGCAATTCGCTTGCACCTGGCATGCTGGTGATTTTCTTTTCTCCTTGGTTTGATTGTTTTCCGGGTTATCTCTGCTTTTGCTGGGGATGCTCTAGGGCCTGCATGTGAACTCTGAACTCCTGTTCTTTCGATGGCATGGCTTGTACGACGCGCAAGGCGTTCGTCCAGCCTCTGGATGAGCAGTGGGTGGTAAGTCGTCAAGAACCAGCCTCGTACAGCTACTTGGTGCCTGGCAGTTTATTGACTATTGACTGACTGCGGGCGATAATTGTTGGCCTTGGAGGTGGATTATTGAACTTCTCCCAGCCACCTTTTACGCAATGCCAGATGGCTGGTGGGAAGGGATCTAGGGATCGACCTGTCAATGCTGCAATCTACTCTCCACATTGTCAGGTCAGGTCCACAGCTCCCAGCTTCCAGTGGCAGGACACGCAATCATTATTGTTCACGCCGTTCGCCAGGTAATGATCTCCTCTCGAACCAAGCCACCAGTCATCTCGCAAATACGGAGGTATGTACCGCGAACTACGTTCAGAATGAATTTCTGTCATGCAAGACCTTTCACCTAACTCTGCGCTCTTCTCTATGTAGTACATACTGTCCAGGCTAGGGCCCCGGTTAATAACGATCGACCTCGGTGACTTGCCATCTCACGACCTGTCAGTTCTGCGGCGTTGGTCGTGCCCCGTTACACAAGCCATGTATCTGCACAGATCGACGGCCACAGTTAGTACCTGCATGGCCTCGGGATCCACCAGTGTGATGCTGCACATTCGAGCATGAACAGCACACCTGGTTGTCCCCTCAACGTCGGCCTGTTTGTTGTGGTGCTGTTGGATGAACATCTCTCCGAGAAGACGCGAGTGCTATTCCTCTTGCCAGATCGGGTCAATTGCTTTCCATCCGACGTGCGTTGAAAAGTGCTGGATTTGACGTGTCGAGCATCTGGGGTCGAAGCTCCTGATAGTAGCTGCAGGGGATGAAATTGCATGCAAGTCGACTGTGGTAAGAGCTTTCCCTCATATCAAACTGACTAGAGCCATGCAACGAGCTTGTCCTTGCTTTTTTGCACTTATGAACGAGGCCATTGCCTCTCGCTGGAAAATACTAATTACAACGGGTTCTACACCAAAAACTGACTCGCATAACAGATTACATCTAGCATGATATGTGAACCTAGCATCTATAAGTACTTTAATGACACATCAGAACGGAAGAAAGCAATTGCAAAGGCCTGCCGCCAGCAGACTGCACGGGTGATAATGACAAACATGAACAGAAGAAGAAAAAAGAAAGGACATTATAGAATACAGCCAGGAACAGGGACTGTCCGACATTCTCTCTTCCCAGATGAAATGAAAAAAAGCCAAGGATGAAAGGGGGAAATACCCTTCATCCGCTGCTGGCATCGCCAATGCGACTCCACAAACCCGGGCCCTAAACCATCAGGCCTAGCCTCATGAAAAGGTCATTCATTAAAACAAGTATAAATTGAATCACCAGCAAGCAACCACGCCATTTCTGCTTTTCTCCTCTTTGCTTGCTCTTCCTCTTCAAGTTGCAAATATGTTCGAGGAATTTTATTCGAAAACTCGTCATGTGTGAGAGGAACGTTTTCATTCGTCTGACAAGACTTCAAAATTCTGGATGAAACTCATCCTCATACACGACTCCACAATCTCACTCATACGCGTACTTCGGGAGCACATTGGATGCTTCCCTTCCAGCGCGAGAGCTCGTTTAAGCCTTGCGGGAGCGAGTGACGGGGCCGTTGGAGCGGCCAGTAGAGCTGGCAGAACCGTTGGAGGCATGGGCGCTGCCATTGGGGTGGGTGCCGGCGGGAGAGGGAACCTCAAAGTTCTTCATGTCGATGAGGGACTTCCTGCCGGTGTTGCTGCGAGGGCGGCCGACCTTGGCAGCCTTGTTGTAGGTAGCAATGTAGAAGGAGATGAACAGCAGCAGATAGGAGGTGATGATGCCAATACCAGCGAAGGCAGCGAACTCCTCACCGGCGCACTGGCCCATGTTGGGAGCCCAGGGGAAGTAGACGGAGGAGAAGTAGCTGTAAGAGGCGAAGTAGATGAAACCTAGAAGTGGCGAAAATTAGCCTTATTGTCGTGTACAAAGCTCATTGTTTCCAAAGCTTACCAAGGTCAATGACGAACTGCACGATCTGCAGCATGGTAATATACTTCTTCCACCAGATGCGGATACCACGGGCACTCTGGAAGTAGTACCAGTACATGACAACGTGGACCAACAGGTTGATGGTGATGGGCACCCATTGCACAGCAGTCAGTCCAATCAACTGAGTGTAGCAAAGCAGGGCAGTAGCACCGTGGTGGTAGGTGTGGAGGAAGGTCAAGGGCTTCTTCTTGAGGACAAGGAAGACGGTGTCCAGGAGCTCGATGTATTTGTTGATGTAGTTCAGCTATGCATGGAGAAAGCAGTTAGTCGCGCCAATTCTTCGATCGTTTTGCGCATCTCGATGCGACACTTACGTAGTACAGGATGATCAGAGGCTGAGTCCATCCACCGCGGTGGTCACAAATTGAGTAGAAGACACCGTGGCGGACAATGGTGGGCAGGAGCTGCTCAACAAACAGTGCCAGGAGGATGGCGCTGATAGCGGTCAAAAGGAAGTTGTGAATCATGAACAGAGTGTTCAGCTTGAAGGCGGGGAAGTTCTTCATGACCTCACGGCCACCGAAGATGATGATGTAGTAGGTGACCAGCATGGTCGCGGTCTCCTTGAATGTGGACATAGGGGTCGAGCCCGCGACGAAGTTGAACTCGCTGGCAGGGTAGCCCATGACCTGCTCATAGGCCTTGTCGAAGATGGGCCATAGGTGGACGCCAAAAGGCCGGTCCAGGGTCGGGATGGGCACTTTCTGAAGGAAGTCGGCCATTGTGTCTGGTGGAGGAGGCAAGGGTATCCGAAACAAGCCCGGGAGGAGCAACTAAGGTCGCGTGAAGCAGAGAAAGAAGAAGAAATGCCAAAGGGCAGAAGACACGAATCTCAGGCCACGAGTCGCAGGATGCAGAACAGGCACAGAGCCAAGAGAAGAGGGATAAAGAATGGAAGGACTGACGATTGAAGGAGAAGGGAAAAGGGAGGGAGCGAGAGAACAGCGTAACTTTTTGCGTCCGGCGCGTCCGTGGAGCGCCCGATCGGGACTAGCGCAGCCATTAAAAGGGGGAAACATCCACCTGCCGAAGACTCCGGAGGGTTTAGGTCCCTAGAAATGATTTTCATGATTGACGATCAGGTTCAATGGGTGTATATTTAAAAGAATCAGATTTGCTATGGTCTAATCTATTGAGTTCTAATTTTTTTTTTTTTTTTTTCCGAAATATTCGAGGTGATCGTTGTTGGAGAATCAGTTTTCAGCCTTTGCAAAAAAAAACTTTCACATGCTCTGCACATAACCAATGCCTCGCTAGCCGCCCAAGGACCAACGAGAAGTAAGTACAGCATGGCCGCTTCAGCCCTGAGCCTATTTGTGAGAGTGGCTACTTGAAGGGAATACCAGGTTGGTCGCGACTAAATTTGCAATCTCAGCAAAAGATTCCACTCCTTTACGGAGAGTAAAGTGTGTCAAGATCGAGTTGAAAATCCACCGGTTCACAGTGATGATGCTACATTAATCATACTCCTATTGCAGAGTGTTCCACCCACCAGCAACAATCGAGAGGCCGAGGCTGTACTGTACTACCCTCGTCCTCGCTGAACAATGAACGGGGGCTGCACTAGAGACGATCCAGGGTGGCATACTTCATAGTCTTGAGATTGATCTCCACCAGTCATGCCCAGACTGGCTAGCTTTCCTTAGTTGAGTGTCGGTCTATCGAAAGCCGGATCAGCCACCCCCATATGTTGTTACATACAGCAATTTGGTCTTTTTGGCCTGCCTCGGGGGTTTAAAGGCCACTCTTGAAAGGGCAGACAAGTGACATGTTACTGGTACGACCATGCTGTACAACTGTTACCGATGAAAATCCATTCTATCGGACCAAACATCGGACGGGAATAGGTAGTATTCGTTCAAATGCGATGGATCTACTACTCCGTACAGGCTGCAATTATTCACATCTAGGCTCCATCGGAAAACCATCCAATTACATACTGTAGGTCGGGAATCTGATGCCTAAGGCTGCAAGTCATAGCGACCGCAGTCATTGATCTCCAATCTCGGCAACAATAGACAGGTACCGATTGGATTGGGTACTTTCTATAGCTATACTTTGATGTAGTACTTGCCAATTCATATCTAGAGGGAAATTCTGAATGTACTCCGTAAGGTAGTGAGGTATAGCCGTACCGGCACTACATGTATATCTGCGCCCAGCTCAGTCGAGGATAACAGATTCCGAGTACACTGCCAAAACCGATACACCCATTTCAGAGCACTCCAATATTGCCCCGACCTAATTAGCGCACAAATTGAATAGTCTATAGCAATTGAATTAGACCCTGTTTATTTAGTCATTTATCATCTCCTACATTCGTTCTATATAACTAACTCGTTAACTGCTCTCATCCTTGATGACCACTCTCGGGATGACGGGACCCTCTCAACCAATCACAAACCCAACAATCCAAACCGCCCCGTGACTAAACCTTTTCTTCCTGCCTCAGGCCGCCAATACCACACCACCCGCAAAATCCAGCCGCAGCCAACACGACTCTCTTCGTCCTCCTCCCTTCCCCCGTCTCCAATCCACTCTCTTCTCCACCACTCGTCCATTGACTCGGTCCAGCACCTCCGCTCCCGACATGTCGTCTCTGTCTATCTTCCGCATCGCGACGCGCGCCGTCCGCCCTGCCAGCTTCGTCCGAGCTCCGATCGTCCGCTCCCGGGTGCAGACCCCAGTCACTCTGGCTGCTGCCCGCACTGCCAACTTCGGTAGCAGCCGTATGCTCCGCTCTGGCCACGAGGATGAGACCTATGAGGAGTTCTCTGCCAGGTACGATCAATCTTGCGACCCATTGGCCTTTGGCGGGAACCGAGGGATGAGGGGGGAATGAATGAAGGACGGGGCTTTGCGCTGCTAGGCGCTGGCCGGGTCCTGCATTGGTGCTTTCAGAGGTCTTGGGGGAACTGGATATGCTGACTGTGTATGTCAATTGCAGATTCGAGAAGGAATTCGACGGTGTCCAGGATGTCTTCGAGCTCCAGGTAAGATCCGCCTGCTTTGGGTCATGTCCCGGGAGATGACGGAGGGCCCCCCTCCTCATGCGATATCAAATATCATTCGACTCTCAATTCAGCCTCACATTCACCTATCCAAATGGAAACACAGCTAACCCGTCACTTCTTCTCTAGCGTAACCTGAACAACTGCTTCGCCTACGATCTCGTCCCCTCCGTTGAGGTCCTCAGCGCTGCCCTGAAGGCTGCCCGCCGTGTCAACGACTTCCCCACTGCCGTCCGTGTCTTCGAGGGTATGCGCAAATCCACCAGATGTCAACATGTCAATTGAGACCAATCACTAATACGTCATATACAGGCATCAAGGCCAAGGTCGAGAACCAGGAGCAGTACAAGCAATACCTCGAGCAGCTCGAGGGTCTGCGCCAGGAGCTGGGCGTTGCTCTCCGGGAAGAGCTGTACCCCCAGGAGGAGTAAATTAGCGTCGCTCATGTTGTTCTTCCCCTACCTCATTTTCCCACCTCACGTCAATTTTCTCTCTCTCCTTCAGTTGTTTACCCACCACCCCAACCCTCATGTCGGACACCTATTGGTCGATTCGCGCAGTCTCCTGTCTGGCCAGGGTGCTCAGATCGGGTAGAAGAGAAAGCTGTATACATATTTTAGAGATCTCTTGTGTTGCTAGTGTTGCTGTTGTTTGGAAAAGGTTCTGTGGTGCCTTGACTGGTGCTTAATTTATCTTCCATCTCCGGTTCCCGGCTGCTTACGCGGCAAGTACAGTATGATATCTCCACATAACGATTGGACATGCAATCTTTTTGCTGAGTCCTCCTGTTGGCTGCGGTGAGAAGAGTATGGACCTTGAATGCTTTGTTTTGTATGTTCTATTTTTGAGGCAAAATTTCTTCATACAATATCATATAATGTAGGCCAAATCTAGCAAGACACGGTAGAGAAATATGGTAAAATTGAAAGTAAAATAAAACAACCAAGACATTTGGCCATGTGCAATCAAATATAGGTACAGAGAAGACCAGACCCGCCAAAGCTCATTTTATCGAAGACAAGCCCCACGGCCAGGAACGTATTTTGTAGAAATGGGGACGATCCCCCGAAAAGGAAGAAAAGAAGACCACAGAAATATCATCAATAGGTATGAGTCCGCTCAAACGCCAGGTACCAAGTCACATCGAAAGGGTCGGGAATATACTTCATCGGGTATGCAGGAAAGGTGATGCAAAAGGGAGGGGGGAGTCGAGGTTTTTCATAAAATAGCAGCACGAGGATATGGATGCTCTGCCACGGTCTATCAATCTAGTGGGTGCCGACGTACTTGAAGTACGTTGGCCGACAGTCTTCCTTGGCGAGGAAGTCTGCGCCAGAGTAGAATTGACCGGGCGTGCAGCCAGAACACTTGGGCGAGTTGGGGCAGTTATAGTAGGGGATGTGGTTGTATCCGATGTCGCGGAACCTAGGAAGGAATGGTGAGTAAGACAAGAGTTCGATGGTATAGCGACGCCGGGAGAATTGGGATTAAACTTACCAGTGCACGTCCGCGGCGTTCGCGAAGAGACCAACACCGAGCGAGTGGACCGGCGCATCACCCCAGCGCTCGTAGAAGAAGCCACCGGCACGATCCAGGTGCTGGAAGTACGATTCGTACTTCTCACCCCGGAAGAAGTCCAGGTCACCAATCTCAAAGTTGGACCAGAAGTGGCAGGTAGAGTAGCCATTGGCGCCCTGGTTATGCTCGGGACGGGCCTGGTCGTCCGTAATCCACTCCCACATGTTGTTCTCACTCAGATACGACGGGTTCGCCGCCAGGAACTTGCGGGTCTCGGGCCAAAGGGTCTTGATCGTCTGCGGGGCGTCGTACAGGTTGATGGTGAAACCATAGGTCTTGTTGTTATCCTCCATGTAGCGGAAGACGTCATAGTCGACGTTACAGAAGAATTGGACCTTGGGCTCGATGCGCCAGTAGTAGCGGTACTTCTCGAGGGCGGGGTGCTTGTAAAACATGCCGCTGTTCCAGCGGCACATTTGGTGGTAGGAAAGCTTGGAGGCGTATTGGATGTTTTCCTCCTCTAGGATCTTAGCGGACTCGAGGAAGAGATCCTCGTTGATCCAGCTGGGCATATCCCAGTGTTCCTTGGGGACCAACTCTGCAGTACACACGATTGTTAGCATTGTACATTCCCTTCTTTTCTCCTCGTGAGTCGAGAATGACCCATCGTGAGATTGTGATCTCGTGATTAAGCAAACCTGGGCAACCGTACCATATTGAATCTTGGCCTTGGTGACGGCCTGCGTCTTCTGCTTAAACTCCTCGGAGAAGGGTTTGTCATTGAAAAAGATATAGGGATAGTTGAACTTGTTGTTCCAGGTGCGCTCGAGATCGCGCATCGTACTGATCAACTCGTAGAGTTCCTCGTTACGGACGAGGGAGATGAGGGCGGCATTGGTGCGGGCGGACTTTTCGCTCTCGGGGGAGTAATCGTGATCTTCGGCGCGCCATAGTTCACCGGCTGGTTCTCCGGTGGCTGTTAACTGCGTCAGTATGTTGCGCTTACGAGGAGGGGGACTGATCTTGAATCTTGAAGAATTGCGGGAGTGGCAACGAACGATCTAGTAGGGGATCCCGGCTCATGCCGTGGACCAACTTGGAGGAGGTCTTGTCAGAGCTTTGGTGGAGCTGGAAGACCAGGAAAAGAGTGAGTAGAATGCATGCTGCACCCAGCATGCGAATCGGACGTGCGATCGCCATGTTGTGCTGTTGAAGAGGAGATTGAAGTGAAAGGGGGCAAAGTTGTTCAGAAGGGCCAGAAGCGCCTTCACTTCAGCCCGCGCCGCCTTTGCCCCTTGAGGATTAGCGCCCGCACCACCGCGCGTCCAGTTGGCTTCCCCCGTCATTGGAGTCTGGATATTCTAAGACAGACCGCGTCGATCATATCGGATCAGATACATTAGACCAGCCATTGACGCTCGCCATGGCACTGGTGGCCTTGGGCTCACTGATAGATAAGCTCATCACCACAGTTGCCAAAATTGACCCTGAGCAAAAGGTACCAAAACCCGCTCTTGGTTGTGGTTGTTACACAAGTATTGACCGCGTTGTCTAGGACTCTCCGCGCGTTCAGATCCTTAAGCGCCGCGTAGAAGCTGCACTGCGCCCCGGAACCCATGGACGGATTAATCAATTCGCCGTGGCACGCCAACTAGAGGGACTGGAGGAGAAATTCCAGGTCTTGAATCGAGACGACCTGGCAGCAACTCTCCGTAGTCGCCTGGCTGAGCTACAGGGTTACTCAAATGCATGGCACCCGGAGATCCTGAGCTTGCTGGTACAACTCTCAGATCGTCCGGCCCAGCTAGCCAAAATCGATCAATGGGCGTCGCCCTTCGAAGCAAGTCCGGTCGCTGAGCAGCCGCTGTCATGGGCTGACCTCGATCCCCGAGGGGCCGCCTTTAGCAACGAAGACATCTGGGAAGAAGTTGACTTTGGCCCCGGCTCTTCAGATGATGACTTTGTTTCTGTTACCAGCGAGGTATCTCTTACCCGGGGACCACCTCGAACGCCCCCTGCACCAGAACAGGAATATGTGATCCCGGGCGAGGTGTTTGTCTCGGGCGAAGATGAAGAGCTCATAGCCTCTATGGAGAAGGCCCAATTCTGGAAACCCGAGAATAGACCAAAGATTTCTCGAGGAAAAGAAGAAGCGTCCTGTCCCATCACAGAATTGCAACTAGCAAGAGAAGCAATCTTTATGCTGCAAGGCTTACCGACGTCGATCTTCTGGCGTCTCGATAATGACATCGAGGTGGACCGCAGCTACACGCTTGCACACTCGTCCAATACTGCTCTTTTATCGCTGTTGAAGCTATTCACCGAGACCGGCGCAAAGATTGATGCTCTAAGGCGATTCGCCGAATCCCCGCAATCCATCGCCTACATGCAGACGTTCTGCCGGGGCATCGAAGACCGTCTGCGAGAGTTTGATGGATTTCTCTCCAACATCCAATGCAACTATCTATCTGCTGGATCTATAGTCAGTCTTCTTCAACTGAGTGACGATGTTCGTCAGTCATCTCATCAATTGCTTCTTCTATCCGACCTAGTCTCAAAGTTGGAGCACTCCGCAGACCAACCAATGCGTTGTCTCGACCTGCTTTACAACTTGGTGTGCATGACAGAAGCTCTGGGAGACGAAGAGACCTCAAGAGCACTCTCAATCTTATTCTTCTTGTGCTTCAAAACTTATACAGGCTCAATTCAACTCTGGATGGAATCTGGGCAAGTCGATCCCCTTGACACTGCCTTTTTCGTCAAACTGAAAAGCGACAATGGTGATCTGCGGAACCTGTGGCATGACTGGTACGAGATTGATGAGGGCTTTGGTCGACAGAATATCCCCCAATTCTTGGAACCCAGTCTCTACAAAGTGTTTACTACTGGTAAGAGCATGGTATTCTTGCGCCACTTGAATGCGCTTCCAGACCGTTCAGAGTCTGCCGCAAAAGCAGAAACGATATTTGACGATGTTCGTTCCGAATCGACATATGCGGCTCTTCCGTTTTCTGCACTAGTCGAGTCTGCATTCGACCGTTTGGTAGATCTCAACAACTCGGCCAGTGCGGGCCTTCTGAGAACCGAACTCGACGAACAGTGTGGTCTTTGGGCATCGTTTGACGCACTGCAGCATGCCTATCTCGCCCAGGACCTGAGCATTCTCGGCATGATAGACGCCAAAATCTTCGAGCTAATGGACCGTGGCCGATCCTGGGATGACAAATTCCTCCTTACCGAGGTGACAAGATCTGCTTTTAGCGCAATGCCTAGTATGGACTTGTCAAGACTGGTCGTACGATCGGATGGCTCTTCCTCTCGTGATCCTCAAAACCTTACCAGAACCGTCAAAATTCTCGAAACCATCTCGATCGATTATGTACTTCCATGGCCCGTTGCAAACATCGTCCCGCAGGACGCTATCCACACTTACCAACGAGTCTCGACCTTCCTCATGCAAATTCGTCGCGCAAAGTATGCCCTTGTCAAGCAGCGCTTGCGAGATGGACGTGTTGTTGCAGCAGACGTCCAAGACGGAACTCTGGTACACTCTCTCCATCACAATTTACTCTGGTTTCTCGATACCCTCTACGCACACCTTACCTACCTAGTCATATCAACCGCAAATCAATCCTTACACCAGGCCCTAGCCGACGCTGAGGATGTGGACGCCATGGTCGCCGCACACGACTCCTACATCTCCTCGTTGGAGAATCAATGTCTCCTATCCGACAATCTCTCTCCAATATACGAGGCTATCATCAACCTCCTGGATCTTTCGATCAACTTTGCAGATCTACAGACCGTCCATGCAGCCGAAGAAGGAATGTTTGATCAAGGCGATGCCAGCATGTTGAAAACACTACGGCGAAAGCGGAGTGACGAAGATGACTCGGACTCGGGCTCGGACCAAGAAAATGAATTCGAGCATGAGCACACATTGACCATTTCATTCCGTGATTCGCCGTATGAGCTCCAGATGCGAAATGTGAAGCGTCAGTTTGACCACTTGATTAGCTTTGTGGCAGATGGGCTAAAAGGAGTTGCTCGCGCTGATGGTTTGCCTAGCTGGAATATTCTGGCGGAGCGTTTGGAATGGAGGAAAGGCTGACTGCGAGCTGGGCATTGGGGCGAGGGGGGTTAGCTTCAGAGACTGGTTGCATCCGCTGGATGGGGATAATGTTCTTGACGATTTTTTGATACCCTTATGATCTATCTACCATAACTAAAATTTGGAGAACCTATGAGCTTTAAATAAACTTGAATATTTGCTTTGATTTTGGTATATCTAATATCTCATAAAAGCACTGACACTGGCTCTGAAGCCATGACAATCTTTCAGTTTCGTAAATGCTTTTTAACGCACTAGTTTTAGCTTCAAACCCTTACCATTCCATAGAACCAGACCAAAAGATAGGAAAATATAAACAAAAGAAAATTGAACAAAAAGCCCCTAAGATCGGGTAACCCGAACGTTTAACCAACCCAGCGTCTGGCGCTGAAGAAGATGCGGCCCCAAGGACCGATCTCACCCCACTCCTCGGCGTTGGGAGGCAGGTAGCTGGCAATGCCGTTCATGACGGTACGCTCAGGGTGAGGCATGATGGCCAAGACACGGCCGTCGGGACTGCGCACACCGGCGATACCCTCGGGACTGCCGTTGGGGTTGAAAGGGTAGCGCATGGTCGGCTTGAGGGTGGCGTTGTCGACGTAGCGAACAGGAGCGAGACCCTCACGGACAAAGTCGGCAGCAGTTTGGCCGGGAGTACCGGCGAACGAGGCACGACCTTCGCCGTGGGCAACAGCGATGGGGAAGGATGAGCCGTCCATGCCGTGGAAGAAGACGCTGGGGCGCGAGGGATCGGAGTCCGAGATGCGAACCATGGCGACACGGCCCTCGTACTGCTCGCTGGTGTTGCGCTCAAAGCTGGGCCAGTTACGAGCACCGGGGATGAGTTCCTTGACACGCGACAGGAACTGGCAACCGTTGCAGACACCAAGAGCAAAGGTATCGGGGCGCTCGAAGAAGGCCTGGAACTCCTTGCGGGTGTTGTCGTGCAGCAAGACGGACTTGGCCCAGCCCTGACCGGCACCCAAGACATCACCGTAGGAGAAACCACCGCAGGCGGCGAGACCGGCGAAGCTGGCCAGCGAGACACGACCGGAGATGATGTCGGTCATGTGAACATCAACAGCGGAGAAGCCGGCGGTGTTGAAGGCGAAAGCCATCTCAGCTTGGCTGTTCACACCCTGCTCACGCAGAATGGCAACACGGGGCTTGTTGGTGAAAGGAGAGTACTGGGACAGGCTGGTCATGATGGGCAGGCCGCGGTCCTTGGGGTCGAAAGTAGGGTTCCACGACAGACCGGGGTTAGTATCGTCGAGGATGTTCTTGAACTCCTGGTCTGCACACTCGGGGTTGTCACGCATTTTCTGCATGTGGTAAGAGGTTTTGGACCAGGTCTGCTGGAGGTTGGAGCGAGGCTCGCGGTAGACCAGGGAGGCCTTGTGATAGATGGTCAGGTTTTGCTTCTGCTTCTCCGAGACACGACCGATCTTGTGAATCAGGCCAGGAGGAGGACCGCAAGTGGCGAAGCAAGAGCGGAACTGGATTTCGTGCTCCTTGCGGACCTGGAAGACAGCACCCAGCTCCTCGTTGAAGAGGGTCTCAACAACGTCCTGGGTCTGGAAAGAGGAGCAGATGTTGTCGAGCATGATCTCCACACCGCAGCGACCAGCGAACATCATCTCGGCGAGGGTAGTCAAAAGACCACCATCGGAACGGTCGTGGTAGGCCAGGACAATACCAGCCTCCTGCAGCTGCTGAGTAGCGTCGAAGAAGTCACGGAGGATCTCGACGTCATGGACATCGGGGCACTCGGTGCCGACCTCGTTGAAGACCTGAGCAAGAGCGGAGCCACCGAGGGTCTTGCGACCGAAGGATAGGTCGACAAACATAAGAACAGTCTCACCGACATCCTCCAGACTGCGGAGAGCGGGGGTCCAGGTCTTGCGATAGTCACCAACTGGGGCGAAGGCCGAGATAACACACGACATGGGTGCGGTGACCTCCTTGGCCTCGTTGGTGGCCTCGTCCTTCCACTTCATCTTCATGGACATGGAGTCCTTACCAACAGGAATGCTGATACCAAGCTTGGGGCACAGGTCAAGACCAATAGCCTCAACAGCCTCATAGATTGCAGCACCCTCACCAGGGTGGCTGCTAGCAGACATCCAGTTGGCTGATAGCTTGACACGGGTAAGGCGGTCGACAAGGTCAGAAGCAGCGATGTTCATGAGAGACTCGGCGACAGCCATACGAGCCGAAGCACCTGGAGAAATAAGGGCCAAAAGAGGCTTCTCACCCATGGCCATAGCCTCACCAGTTTTGACGCCCTGAAGCAGAGAGGTAGCGGTTACGGAGACGTCGGAGACGGGGGTCTGCCACTTTCCGACCATCTGGTCACGAGCAGTAAGACCACCAACAGTACGGTCGCCAATGGTGATCAGGAAAGATTTCGAGCCAACGGCCGGAAGAGACAAGACGCGGTTGACGGCCTCGCTGACCAGCTCCACCTTCGACGAGAGCGAAGGGAGATACTTGGTGAGGCTGGAGTCGACAGCAGGCAAAGTCAGCTTGCGCGAGTCGACAGTGCGGGTCATGCGTGGCGGCTTGCCGAACAGGACGGAGAGGGGGAGATCGATAGGGGAAGGATAGTCCTTGGACTCGCGGTCAAGAAGAATGAGTCGTTTCTCCTCCTCGGAGGTACCGCCACCTCGACCGACCACCGAGAAGCCACATCGTTCACGCTGAGCAATAGCGGTGAACTTGTTGATGCTGTCCTCGCCAACAGCCAGGACGTATCGCTCCTGTGCTTCGCAGCACCAGATTTGCATGGGGCTCATACTGCGGTCAGCGCTGTCCACCTCGCGCAGCTCGAACTTGGCTCCCAGGCCGGAATCGTGGATCAGCTCAGGAAGGGCGTTGGAGAGACCACCGGCACCCACGTCGTGAATGAACTTTATGGGGTTGTCATTGCCCATGGAAACACAGGCATTGATGACCTCTTGAGCTCTGCGCTGAACTTCAGCATTGCCTCTCTGGACACTGGCGAAATCAAGATCAGCGGATCCCTCGCCAGAGGTGATACTAGAAGCAGCACCACCACCAAGACCGATCAACATGGCTGGGCCACCAAGTACGACGAGATAAGAGCCAGGCTTGACCACGTCGGGGTTCTTTAGAGCGTGCTGGGGGCGAACAGTGCCAACACCACCAGCAATCATGATGGGCTTGTGATATCCACGAATTTCCTTCTGGCCGTTGCCAACGTCAATCTCAGTGAGAAGGGTGCGGAAATAACCACCAGTGCAAGGACGACCAAATTCGTTGTTGTAAGCAGCACTGCCAATCGGGGCTTCCAGCATGATGTCCAAGCTGCTCGCAATGTGGTTCGGCTTACCAACCTCGAGCTCCCAGGGCTGTCGCAGGCCGGGAATCAAGAGATCGGAGACACAGTAACCGGACAGACCGGCCTTGGGGCGGGAACCGCGACCAACTGCACCCTCATCACGGATCTCACCGCCGGAGCCAGTGGCGGCACCGGGGTAAGGGGAGACAGCAGTGGGGTGGTTGTGAGTCTCGACCTTGGCCAGGAAGTGAACGACTTCTTTGGTATGGGTCCACTCCCCAGTGGTAGGGTCGGGGGCCCAGAATGCAGCAGGGCCACCTTCAAGTACAGCAGCATTGTCGCTGTAAGCACTAACAGTGTATTCAGGGTGCTTCTTGTGTGTGTTGCGGATCATGGCAAAAAGGCTGTTGGGCATGGGCTTGCCATCAATCACCCATGAGGCATTGAATTGCTTGTGACGGCAGTGCTCCGAGTTTACCTGGGCAAACATGAAAAGCTCAACATCGGTAGGATCACGAGCAATGGCGCCGTTGGGGCCATATGCCTCAGCCAAGTAGTCGATCTCCGACTCATCCAAAGCAAGACCCAATTCCTTGTTCGCCTCCTGGAGAACTTCCTTAGGAGACTTGTCACCTCCTTGAAGGGAGACTGTCTTTAGAGGAAGACGGTCATGCTCAGAGAACATGAGCTTCAGATCGGGCTCGTCCTTGCCAATAATCTGAGTCATGCGATCGTGAAGAAGATCCAGGTAGCCATCCTTATAGTCCTCTCCTTCCTTGCGGAGGCATGAGACCATCATACCCCGCTCAATACGCTTGACAGACTGACGCAGGCCGCAGACTTGGGCAATACCGGTAGCTTGAGAGCTCCAAGGTGAGATAGTTCCGGTTCGTGGGAAGACGTAGAAGGTATCGAATTGACCGTCATTGGAGGTGAAGGAAGGAGGGATGTCGGTAATGTCGCCATACGTGAGCAATTGCTCGAGGACCGCACGCTGAGATTGGTCCAATGGCTGGGAAGTATGCACATAGTGAATCCATTGAGCGCGGACATCTTTAACACCCATGCTCTCCGCGATGGCATGTCCCCGCGAACGAGAGAACGCCACCGAGCCGGGGATGGCAAGAAAGGAGTCGGTGGAAGCCATCGTAGGAGAATCGATGGACAGAGGTGAAGTCAATTAAAACCAAGCCTCCCTTGAAACAAAGGAGGAGGAAGGGCTGTGATGCCACTCAAGTATGACTTGAACAAAGGATTCCCCGCGATGACTCCGTCAACTTTTTCTGAAAAAAATGAGTGGCCCCGCCCTATGCCGATTGCGGTGGGCTTATCGGACAGGTCACGTGGTGATTACTCGATCAATTTTCTAATCGGAGATGGGACTCTCATAACACGTGACTGGTTTGAGTGGTCGATGACTAATTTTTGGTCAAATCACGTGATACACGCATGAGAACACATGCGCACCACGTGACTCAATTCTACTTCAGGCGCCCTCCCATTGGCGAGTTCCATAAGGGGTCGAGATCTTCGACCCCACCCCAACCCGAACCCGCGTGCGGGTTCGGGTCGGGTTCCCGCAAAAACCCCATTTTTGCATCATAAAACCGAGGTCTTGGCATACATACTTTAGCTGAATCATCAGATTAATTTAACTTAGGTTATGTTACATGGTTTCTTTCATCGTTTTGGTTCAAACTCAGATTTTCATCTGAATCTATTAGATTCTATTTCGAAATTCTGTGTCATGGGATAGTATCCCAGGATTGACCTATTGAATCTTCGAAAAATTTCTAATTTTTACTACTTCCATATAGGTTGACACGGTTGTAAGGTTGGTGTTGAAGGACTGAATATTATCGCAAATGATATTGGAGAAATATATTTCTGCTATTATGTAAGATAGTAAAGTTTTCGGACCAAACCGTACGACCCCATTTGCCTGTAATCCACATTATAATATAGTAATTCTATTTGTTTTAGCTTTCTAACCTAGTATAAAAAGGGCTATAGCAGAATTGATTCAACGAAGCTAGTCTAATGTTTATAACAATTATAAGGAATAGTCCCTCCAGCTGAGAATCAGTCTTGTCTCCAGTTTTTGTTACGCGGCGCCCTCACAAATAACTAAGGAAATGGCCTATAGGGAGTTACAGGTCTTCTACGACTATGAATGTGATATGCTCGACCACATCACCTTGTAGTCCCCCTTTTTTGTGATACGAGATGCATCCAGATGCATATGCCTTGTGTTGATCCTTCAGCTGATGTGTTGTTCTCGTATTTGATTTCAAATCAATGATGGAAGGACCTGACGGGACTTGGAGGATTCTTCTGCGAAACCGTATGATAAATAGAGCACTGCGTGACGGATTCTTGAGGGTTCCTCAAGAATCAGTCTTGTCCTGAATCTGACCCTACTGTTCCCTCTTCAACCACATCTGCTTCTTCTTACCTAGTTGATGGACCCTTGTCAAGTATACTGCCCTTTACAGTTTTGGTCGGTAGATGACAGAAACCGACGGACCAATCATAAGTATTTATTCTAATCTCGCTAGCCGCTGGAGAAATGAAAACAAACTACTTACGACGACATCCAGGACTAAGACAAGAGGGGTTCTTGCGCGTTCTTGCGGGTTATCATTGGGCCATTGCGGGTTATTGCTAGGCTCTCGAGGTCACAGAAAATAACCAAAATTCAACCTCGCCCCACCTTCGAAAATCATCACACTTAGGTATTAAAGTTATCGACAATCAATCATAAGTAGTCCCACCAGAATGGCAGGAGCTTTTTGGTCCTATGGCCCAACCAGTCTAGAACCACGTGAGGGCGAAGCGACTCACATCTTAATAGCCAATGATGTGCATGAGGCCAAGATAGGATTCACAATCTCAACTCGCCCCTCGCTTCATTTGGCCGAGATACGATCATAGTGATGTAAACACGGATAAAGATGATGTCAGGAAACCTCAAGACGTCTCGCTGTCCGGTGAGATATATATATCCCTCCGTTATGCTATTTGTCATGAAAGTGTCCGGCTGAAAACGAATTGATCAAAACGAAGATAAACCATTACATTCGAAAATCAACTCGGCCACTAATTTTCGGTAGATATAAACCATGTCTACTTCGATCACCACAGATGTCAGCAACTATGAGGCTCGGGGACACGGTGACCTAAGCCATACGATGAAAGCCTTGACCTGGCAAGGAAAGAATTCGGTTAAAATCGGTCAGTCATTCTGCCTATCACGACCTTCACTTCACTTTGACAATCTCAAAATAAATTCGATTTTCTTGCTTATACGGTTTGCTATAGTGGAGACAGCTCGCCCGAAGATCATCGATGAAGGTGATGTCATACTTAAGGTGACGGGCAGCACCATTTGTGGGAGTGACTTGCACCTGTTCCACAGTATGTCGGGGCTCTATAACAGTTAATGAAGAGTTAGTGAATCTGCTGATGCGGTATCTGTTACCGATTTGTAGAGGCTATCCCAGATCTTCAGAAAGGTGATATCCTCGGCCACGAGTTCTGCGGTCTTATCGCAAGCGTGGGGCCGGCAGTCAAGAAGGTTAAAGTAGGTGACCGCGTTGTGGCGACCTTCCAAATTGCCTGCGGGGAGTGTTATTATTGCAAGAAGAAGCTGTCCTCGATGTGTGAGCGGTCGAATTCGAACGAGAAGGCCTCTCAGCTGTATGGGCGTCGAACAGCCGGTATGTCGCCTCTTTGAATGGCTATGCTAATGTTAGCGGTGCTATCATACTAAGCCCCGCCTCAGGCATGTTTGGATACTCCCACTTCACGGGGGGCTTTGCCGGTGGGCAAGCGGAATATGTTCGCGTCCCTTTCGGCGACGTGAACCTCCTTCAGCTGCCTGACGATGTCCCCGACGAAAAAGGTCTTTACCTTTCCGATGTGCTGGGAACATCTTGGAACGCCGTTGTTGACACTGGAGTTGAGAAGGGCGACACTGTGGCAATCTGGGGAGCTGGCCCAGTTGGACAAATGGCAGCTGAATTCAGCTTCTTCAATGGTGCTGATAGGGTCATTCTTATTGACGGCGGCCGTGGAAAATGGCGACTAGACTTTGTCAAGAAAATTCTACCCAAGCTCGAGACTATTGAGTATACGAATCTCCCGAAGGGCGAGTCTGTTGCCTCAACTCTGAAGAAAATGTGCGACGGCCGCGGACCTGATGTGGCGATTGAGTGCGCCGCTGGTGAGTATACGAAAGGGTGGGCTCATTACTATGAGAGATTACTGGGCATGGAAACTGACACGTCTGAACTCCTCAACGAGATGATTACCTCTGTTCGTGGGTTCGGGCGTTGTGGTGTCACGGGCGTATATACCGGTTATGTGTGTGATCCATTTCCTATGGCAAAAGAATTCCGCTGACATGACAACGCAGTGCAATCACTTCAACATCGGTTCCTTGATGGAGACCGGGATCCATCTCGCTGGCAATGGACAAGCCCCCGTGCAAAAGTACTGGAATGACCTCTTAAAGCTTATTCAGCACGGGCAGATTCACCCCTTGCATATGGTTACCCACCGGTTCAAGCTCGAGGATCTGGAGACGGTCTATGATTTATTCAATAAGCGTGAACCGTCTATTCAGAAGGTTTTCGTCCAGACAAAGTTTTCCGCACCTCCAGCACCAGGAGCTCCTACGTTAACAGTTCTCTGAGCTTCACTGTGCTGGATAAAAGTTTTTCGAATTTGTGTCTGACATGGGCTTCATATCTGAAATGTCATTTTTCGGCTCTCAAAAATAAAATTGTTGTCACCCTCCAAGCTGGTCAGGTGTCCAGATAAACACGCTCGTACTCTTTGACCTGTTCGCAACACTAAGCCTCATGCAGAGACAGATTCAAGTCCTGACCGACGACCTTTCCACCTTCCAGTCGCACCTGCTCGATAGGCTGAAACACGAAAAAGACACGTAAAACACCAGAATTGTCATTCTTTTCAGTCATATTCCGCCAAGCATGAGCTGTACCTCGTTGAACAAATACATCACCCTTTGACATTAACTTTTTCTCACCAGAATCAAGGACTAATTCTGTAGTGCCATCAATTATGACACCATAGTCGAGGGTCGCTGTTCGGTGCATTGGGACCTCTGAACCTGGAGGCACCTCAATAATTGTGCAGGAGGTGCCGTTCGACGGATTCAAAGGCGATGGGTTCGAAAGCTGGGAGTGGTAGTGCTTAATGTCGAGGTTGGCTTTGGACTCCGGGATTGCAGAAGTTGGAGGGGAAAGCCCTTGTACAGGAAATGTACTTGTGTTATAGGCCAGAGCATAGTCTGACGTCGTGGGTTTACCGGGGGGAACCGGGAAACCAGTAAACGATACCTGCTCCCCAACCGCGTCGCTAAAGATAGCCCGCCCGCTTGCAGCATCATGAGTTGTTATGATCCGACGAAGCGGCTCGGGCTGTTTTCGTCCGACTGACATATTGAGGTCAATGTCAAGAAAGAGAGGGCGGAATACTTAGAGTATAATGCGAATTTTGTAGAGAGACTGAGGAATATTCCAAATACTATCCCAGCAACGCTCGATATTTATTATATTATCAACTCCATGATATGACTCAAATGCTAGATCATCGTAAAATGAATGAGTTAATGATGAATCCATGTTCTCGTCATAGGATGAAGGTGTCATTGTGACTTTCAATTCCCCATTGATCGCTTTACCAAGGTCTGGAGACCCAACGAATGCTTTTCCCCTTATGTAGACATGTTCTTACTGAAAGGACTGACAGTCATTTTGTTATCTTAGGATCATCGTGGCATCATTCGAACTATTTAATTTATGGGCACATCATGGATGAAAGTGAGTATTGCACAGCATTGGGATTGCATGGGAGTTCGTACGTTCAGCAAAGTCGTGGAGACAGCTTTACCGTACTGTGTCACTTGGACATGGGGTGGGCAAAGAAAAGTAACACCTTGCTAGATTCTCGAGGCCCTTCCAGGCTCTGGAGTTTGGCTTTTTTGCATTACTATTAGAATTCTAGTTCCTTGGTTTGCTTATCCGTTACGACACATAGGTTTTGCTGCAGAATGCTCTACGAACGGCGACTATGGTTGTCTCCCGACCAGTACTGTGCATCCAATATTAAGCTACAATGGGTGTACTCCTATTACTCCCGAGGCTTGTACTGCCTGCCCAGGCGGGCCGCCGTAAGCATCGCAGCCCAGGACGCGAACAAATCGCTCAGTTTCTCGAGGGCTTTGACTCTTGAGTACGACTTCACCTACACCCACGTCGACGTCATCCTACTAACATCCTTTGGATGACATCCCCTTTGAGAACCCCGAAACCATGTTGTATCTCTCTTGGATCGGGATGGAACAGCTGTGGTTTGCTGTCCGAGGTTCCTCAAGTGTTGTCCCTGGGGCATGTGAAACTTAAAAGGAGAGAAACTAACATAGCTTAGCTCTATAATTGCGTACGCAGGATGGGGGTGCTACTCGATGATCTCCGATTACGATACCACGACTGGTTGTTAACTGTATCGATCTACCTTCATCTGACTACACCATGTCGACCAAGACCTACAATGTGGACGGTAGCACCACCGAGGTAATAGTGCCAAAGATAACGGGCACCGGTCTGCTTACGAGCATCTTCTCAACAATGCGGAAGCGAAATCCATGTTGGCTGCCGTCTCAGGCATGACAATGGTAACCCTCGTGCACAGACCATCGGATATTAAGGTGGCTGCAACGAGTTACTCCACACCGAGTTTCATGTCAGTGGATCATGCCCTACAAAATATCCCCAAGCAGGTAGCCATTCTTTAGGGTAGTCGGGGAGCCTTTCGTCTTGTTGTGGATCACAGAGCATATAACGAAGTCATGATAGTCGCTGTATTGTCGGTCATTGATGTAGTTCAGATTCACGTTGGTGGTGATAGGAAAAGGTCTTGCCCATAGGCACTGGGCATGTGATACGTGCTGAGTCACATGACCACCATAACTAACTAACTTAGTGGGCATAATAATGACTAATACTGGCGGATCTATAGTATCTCCTTTCTCCGGGTATCCACCACTACTGCTGCTCCGTCAACTAGTTAGTTACCTGACTACGCAGTCCTTCAACTTCTCGGACTCAACTTGCCGCTTCTCTTTTACACTTGATAACGACCTTGAGATAATCAAGTGCAAATGCTTGTAAGGTCCACGAAGGCTTGACGAGCTTCTGTCCTATCCTTCGGTCTTGGATCCCACCGCGATTCTCCTGCTCGGACACGTCATCGGCATCCAGTGGACCTCGGCGTCAAGCGGCATGCGACTTGCCAAAGCTCCACGCCTTGGCACAAAAACCATACTCTAATCCACTTGAAATGATTTGATGAGTGAATGTCGCACATACCGCGAAAGCTTCAGCGCGTCTCCAAGGCCTGTAGGTCCCCCAACCTTCGATTTGATTGATTCCTGGAGTTCTCCCTCTTTCGCTTGACGACCTTAAACCCCGGGGATATGAGGCCAGCATTCGCTGACGTATGCGACCCAATACAGGCGACTTTTGCAACAGACGCGGCATCAAATGTGGCCAAAGCGAGGACCCGCTAGGTCGCTGTAAGAATTGTGCGGACTTCGATGTGCCATGCACCTTTGATCGCCCTGCAAAACGCCGGGGCGTCAAGGCTGGCTCTCGGGCGAGTGGTCGCGATACTGAGTTTGTGAGAGTATCGGGCGATCATGGAATTCCTGCGCCGGTAGCGACTGCAAGTGGTGGAACAGCTTCTGGCTCTTCGACTTCTCGCAGTTCATACCGTCCATCGATCTCCGGCGATCCCTGGTCTACCTTTGCTCATGGCTGGTCAGAAGCTGAGGGTGATAACGATAACGTGGCGCTGCACAATTCTTGGAAAGCGTTTGCTATTGCCTGTGACCGGCAAATAAAAGCTCTAGTCCAGGTTTATTTCGAGATCGTCTATCCAATGTACGATGCATTCCTAATCTTTCTGGCTGACTTCTTTGACTTAATATATCATCTCTAGATTTCCCTTATTTCATATGCCGTCGTTCATAGAGCAGGTCAACAGCAAGGAGTACCTCCGCAATCAAGGGCTCTTTGCATCCACGATGGCTGTTTGCTCTTTGGCCTCCGGTCGTGCGCGTGACGGTGCGTTGTACTCTAATCGGTGGCACCGAGAAGAGCTCATAGATCCGCCCTCCGAGGCTTTTTTTGCAGCTGCTAGGGACTCGATTCCTCGGGACCTTATCGAAGCCAAAGGTATTCACTATATGCGCGCGTGTGCCATACTTGCTATCGCAAGCATCCAAAACGGCCAGATCAAAAATATGCAGAAGTATTCCGGCTTGTATCACACTTTGATTTCGATGGATTGCCTTTATGACGAAAAACTCTGGCCAAAGGACTTGAGTCCGATTGAGACGGAGGAGCGGCGGCGACTTGTACGGAATATGCTCTTCATCTGTTACCGACTTACTGACCACATTTTCAGTTCTGGTCTATCTACACGTTGGATATATATTCGACTATTGTGTGGGGAGGCGTTATTCGATATCGCGAGGCCCATTCCTCGGTGCGCTATCCGACCGAGGTAGATGATGAGTTTATCACAAACCACGGCTATGGTGTGCCGTCTGTATCACCGGAATCGAATCCGCTTTCGGCCAGCAACGTGACCGTCGTCTCCCGCCAGCCTGTTCCCTGGCTGCGTGGTTGGAACTTCACCACAGACCTTTACCGTATTCTTGAGCACGTGGTCGATGGCAATAAACGCCGCTTCTCTTCAGCTAACGGGACGACAGAAGTGTGGTCACTGTTCAATCCGTTATCTATGTCAGAGCTGGCGGTCATGGATCAAGTCCTTACTCTGTACTCCGCACTCCCATCGCAGTTTCGGGAGACGCCGCCCGTTACAGGAGACATGTCTAAGGACTTATTCGGGTTCCAGTCAGCCAACATTCAGGCGACGCTACAACTCCTTCGGATGGTGCTCTTGTCTGCGGAGGAAATTGGGGTGGAGCGAAAATGCGATGTCGCGGGTGAACTACTCAGCGTGTTTTCAAATGTACCCATCGAGTACTTGAAAGCGATCAGCTCCCCTTTGGTATGTGCAGTCTCCATGCCTCTCTGGGTACATGTACTAATTAATCCTAGCTCCATCACCTTGGCGGAATTGGCTACATTCTTGGCTCTGTCATAGAAGGGAATTTGTCTGAAGCATCCTACGCGAGAGTTCGCATATTACTGTACGTTTAGCCCGACTTAGCGGAAGCCATAGGATACCGTGAGTTATAGCTGACATTTTTGCATATAGTCTTGAAATGGCAGATCTCTTACAACGTCTCGAAAAGGGCCTACATCGGGCCTCCGGTGCCGGCGAACGACTGCGGACCCAGGTTGATCGAATAGACGGCTACATGCGTACCTTACTTCTGCTAGATATTTCTGCACCAAGTAACGCGATGCCAGCCGTCAACGGGAACCCCGAAACTGCTATCCCGTCAGCGTATACACGGAGCCCCCCGCGGTCGGAACCACACCTCGTGCTGGGCTGGACCAGATGTTACAGTTTCAGCTGCCACCAGAACTGCTCACAGATTGGCCATGGCCGTTGGATTCTTACAATACCGAGGGATTTTTGCCTTCGGCGTTCGAATAGTTTCATTGTTGGGTGGTGAGGGCGACTGGCATTTAACTAGGCACATCATAAAAGCGCGTGTATTTGATTATTTTCCATGCAATACTTGCTGCTACAAGTACGATTGTACCCTGGGCTTGGCTACAGACGCAGTCCGTCCCAGATCGTTTTCCCCTTTGTCTTTGTAACCTTCAGTGAATCCGGCGGGATCATAGTTCGATTGATCACATCCCAGGAACGAGGTAAGAAACACCCAGAAATTCTGGTACGAACCGCCGGATCCCTGGTCCGGTGGTACTCTTGAATAACTCTTGTGGAACATAAGGAGGAAGGGATTGATATACAAGGCGGGCAGCGTCATGGGGTGCGCCAGGGCCAAGCTCCGCCATCTTCGAGGAAGGCAATATCCCGGAAGGGCTCAGGTTCGACATTGTCTACTGTTCTCAGGTTGCCAACCACGGCTGATGGCAAAAAGAGCCTGCGCAAATTGATTAGGGTAAATAGTGCTTGGAATTATAAATGCCATAAATCTCATTGGGAGGAGTCTACGAGACTTAAAATCATTCCATGCGTCGTGTATTCATCAATATTATATGTAGACCATAAACACTCTAAGTATTATTTATCGAACTCATTCCGTGCAAGGAAACTGCAGTAAATTTAGGTAATTTTAATTCCTAAGAGATCACTATTTACCACTTGTTGTTGAAAACCTTGCCGTCGACATAGTTGACCAGCTCTTTCACCGGGGGGAGATGATCGCGACCAGCACCGAAAAGTATACCTTGGCGCATAACCTTGCGGTAGTTCTTGCCAGGAGACACCTTCCCAAGCACATATTCTTGACTATTCTCGACACGTGTGGGGATAGGAATGGAGCGGCCCACCACGGCCTCCATACCCTGCCAGGCGAAGGTGATAGCCTCCTTGGCGCCAGCGGGAATACCGGCATCATCCAGCATCATAATGCGCGCGCTAGGATAGTGCTTCTGGATAAATGACGTGATGTTAGGGTTATACGCGCCGCCGCCGCACATAAAGATCTCCGCAATCTCGAGGTCTTTCGGGGCATAGCGACGGTAGTGATCCACAATAGCCTGGGCCGTGACACGGGTAATAGTGGCAACGACGTCGTCAGGACTAAGACCCTTAGCCTCAGCCTTAGTGATAAGTTCATGTGCGAGTGTGTCCCGAAAAACCTCGCGGCCCGTAGTTTTAGGCGGATCTAGGGCAAAGTACGGGTGGCGTAAAAAGTCGTCGACGAGCTCCTGGTCAACTATACCACGGGCGCCCATCTCGCCATCTTTGTCATACTCGCGCTCCCCGTTAGTGTAATAGCGCACCGCGGCATCGATAAACACATTGCCTGGGCCGGTATCAAAGTCGTAACATTCGTTCACGCCGCCGTAGTTATCTGGGGGGATAAAGCACACGTTAGCGATACCGCCGATGTTCTGGCAGGCACGCAACTTGGTCGGGTGGTGCAGTAGTAGCGCGTCAAAAAAGGCAATCAGTGGAGCGCCCTGGCGCCCAGCAGCTTGGTCGCTTACGCGGAAGTCTGTCACTGAGGTAATACCAGTGCGTGAGGCCAGGAATGATCCCTCGGCCATCGTCAATGCGCTCCGAGTCTCGCCTGGCTGGGGCATAGAGAGCAGCCAGATCGTCTGGCCGTGGGAGCCTAACACATCAATCGAGTCAATGTCGATATGGTAGTCCTTGCAGAATTGGTACACTGCCGACGCAAACGTCTCGCCCAGGATTACGTTGACTTCTGACAACTCAGACGGCGAGGTTTGGTTGTGCAGGATCATGTTCATCACCCGTTTCTTGATCACCGGCTCTAGCGGGATCTCTCCATACTGCATCCAGCGTCAGTTGTGTTTTGTGAGAATGATGAGAAGATCTACCTTCAGCAGCTCAAAGTGCATCGGCGACTCGGGAGTCTCCTGGCGGAAGCGGCAAAGGGCACAGTCGATGCCATCCTTCACCCACTGTGAGTTTCATCTTCCTATGATAACCGGGCTAGAGCACTCACCATCGACGTCCCGCTGTTCAGACCAAGGACGGTCAGATCCAAGGCATAGCCGGCAGCGCCGTTGACCACGGTCGAGCCCATGATTTTGACCTACACAGGAGCGTCCAATGACTCTAACGAAATTATATGCAGACAGTCGCGAGCGAGGAGTAGGCCCTATTTAACGAAAGCCGAAGTCACCATCGCTGGCCGAATTGTGATCGTATACCCCCGCGATATATATCCGATCTCTAATTAGCCTTAACGGCAAAAATGCTAAATGGTTGTTGCATCTGCTACATGTAAAACGGCAAAACGCTTATTAACCCTATCGTCATTGCCACCTGCCACCCGAGTACGGAATATCGTATGGAGAAACAAGCTCAAACTTTAGCATATGCTGCTAAACGGCTACGCGTCTAAATGAGAGCCAAATATTCTTCCCCCACTTCTCCGTGAAAAGCTCCATCCCGATCGACCGGAGATAGCCCTAGGGATGGATGTTCCACCTTATAAGGATTCGTGAGCCCCCGATGATTCCAATGTATGAACTAGGATAGAGTAATAACGGACAAAGATGGGCTATACGACGCTCTGGAGGCGGCTCTCACCGCGGCAGCTGAATGTCACTATCCAATTTTTCTCGCTCATCTCCATCTTCTTCGAAGGCTATGATCAGGGCGTCATGGGCGGCGTCAATGCCTCGCCCAAGTACGTGACTGAGGTCGGCATTGGGAAGCCGGATGGCACCGTGATAAATACCACGCACCAGGGCGGAATTGTTAGCGTCTACTACTTGGGTGCTATCCTCGGCTGCTTTGCTGGAGGGTGGATGGCTGACCGAGTTGGTCGAATCAATGGCCTGTTAATGGGCGCCTTATTTGCCTTGGTCGGCGGCGCATTACAGTCCGCAGCTCAGAATTCGGACTTCATGATTTGTGCTCGAGTGATAACAGGCATTGGTACCGGAGGTGGGTTCTTTATATGGTAGCCGATTGTTCAAACTTGTTCTAACTTATGATGATGCAGCCTTAACCGGCATCACCCCTGTCCTAGTGTCGGAAACCTCTTCTGCGGATCACCGTGGTGGGTTTCTGGGTTACGTATTCATTGCGAACTGTAGCAGACCCCTGAAGCTTTTCTTTTTGAGTGTCTTGCTAACTAGTATCTTCTAGATCTCGGGATATCAGTCGCATATTGGATATCGTTCGGTCTCGCATTCATCAATAATGGGTACTCGGACGTGCGATGGCGGTTCTTACTCGCCTTCCAATGTTTCCCAGCTCTGATTCTCGTCTGCTGCATCAAGATGCTGCCAGATAGTCCCCGGTATCTCGCTTCCGTTGGTCGGAAAGAAGAGGCACGTGAGCTATTAGAGCGCATTCGTAAGCACAGGGCTAGCCCAGAGGAGATTGATCGGGAATACTTGGAGATTGTTACTTTGGCAGAGGAAAGCCAGCTTAGCTCTCCAGTCCAATTTGCAAAAATCTTGCTCGGGAAGGGTGGAAAGCGTCATCCGAACTTAGGCAGGCGAGCTTGGCTGTGTGTCTGGCTCCAGATCATGGCCTCCTGGACAGGCATTACGGTAGGAGCATCCCGTTAGCATTCCTTTATAACTATTTCTAACTTGGCCGAATATAGGCTGTCACGGCGTATTCTCCAGTTCTCCTGCACCAGGCCGGATACAGCACCATCAACCAGAACGGTCTAGCCGGAGGGATCAACACGGTTGGCATCATCGGTACTATAATAAGCGCTCAGATTGTCGACCGCTTAGGTCGCCGTGTCTGTCTTATAGGGGGTTCAGCAATGCTATTTGCTGTAAACCTAATTGTACGTCTCTTCTCCTACGGCGATTACGATGTGTATCTCTAACTATATGCCAGGCTGGAGCCGTCTACGAGGGTTCATTACGTAATCCCAGCAAGGCTGCTCAATATGCTCCAGGGGCTATTACCATGTTGTTTATGTTTAATATTGCGTAAGTCGACCACGTTCGACTTCAGTTGTCCTTCTATACTAACCTGATACCTTCTCTCAGTTACGCTGCAACCTGGGGTACTGTCGCATTCCTGGTGCCTACGGAGATATTCCCTAGCGAGTTGCGAGCCCAGGGTAATGGGTTCGGTATTACTGGGTGGGCTATCGGTGTGGGAATGACCACTCTGGTCAATCCTATTATGTTCAAGACCATGACGGTAAGCTTCACAAGTGATCCTGTTGTAGATGAAGCTGACCGCTATTACACAGAGCCGCACGTACTTCCTCTTCGCCGGTCTCAATTTGATTTGGATCCCCATCATTTATCTCTGTACGTTCTTGCTGCGACTGTGGTTATTAATAGACCAGAACTAATCCTCCTCCTAGTCTACCCCGAAACCCGTAACCGCTCCCTGGAATCTATCGAAGCACTATTTTCCACCCCGAGTCCCTTCTACTGGAAGATGGAGCAGGCGTATAAACTGCATGGTAATGTCTTGGTGGAACACGGAGTCAGCAAGAATGATGGCCTTGATGCAGGCCAGAATGAGTCGACATCGTACGAAAAACCAGAGGCGCAGATGATCGCCTAAAGCTTTGGATTTCTTGTACGATTTTGGGATTGAATGTGATTGTTTCAGCAGTCACTTTCACGTGGGTCAGATCTTACTAGGCTAAAATCCAGCAATAAGAGACCCCAATGTGACATGTTCGTTCAGACTTTTCTCGTGTAGCTGTGCTAAGATGTCGCAGCCCAGGGTATAGTGGATATTTGGGCTCAACTAATAAAATCATCAAAACGTCTGAATTACTATATACCCCGTATCAGGAAGTTTATTTAACTAACGTAATTCACAAAGCAAGTGGCCCACCCTACCCGAAAACGCGTCTCTGCCCATACCGTTCTGATTCAACTTGTGAAGGGCTGAAGCAGAATTGATTCAATTGTGCTAGTCCAACATGCAGTTTACGACAATCTTGAAGAAAGGAAATGGAAAGGGAAGGGAATCAGTCCCATCTCTTAAGTACATCAGTCTCGTCTCTGGCTGCTCTGTAGGTTCCACCTGGGCAGAGGACTCCAGCCAGACAGAGGATTCCAGCGGGAGACAGGACCACTGTACAGTGGGGCGTCCAACCTGTGACCTGTCGGTCCTTGAAGCATTCGCGCTTAGCTAGACTCGCAAACTTGTAGCGCATAGAGGAGAAAGACAATGCTTTATATTGCTGGGGTCCTTCACGAGTTACCATCCTAGAAAAAGGAAAATCCTTCGTATTCTCGTTCCATTCAAGGGTATATGATTCTCTCCCCTTCGGAGGTCTCACGGCGAGAACGTCGGTCACCGTACTGAGCCCCTTGAAAGCACCGTCAGCATCGCTATACACTATCACCCAAAAAACAAAGCTCATTCCGAGCATTGGATGTTCTCTGAGCCAGTTCTTTGGTCTTTTATCCTTCGAATCAGCATTTAAACTTCTTTGTGGCTTATCTACAGACTCACAAGTCTTTATCGTTACGATTACGCTATCCTTTCAAGAACTCAGGACTAATCGTCACCCAGCGTTTTAATTGACTATTAGTGCTCCGTTTTATATTGAAAGAAAGATACTGTCGATCTCTAATTAGCTTAACCGGTTACTAGGACGGGAAGGTAGGGAGATTTAGGATAAAACCAACTATATAATATAGATATTCGTTAGAATAACGATAAGCGCTAGACTCCACTATAGCACCTACCCTAGCACCCTAGCTAGCAAATAGTGCAAAAGCGCTCCCTATTTATATATATACTCTCTCGTGCTTATAATCGTGCTAATCATCGCCGAAAAGGCCGCGCAGAAGGTAGTCGATATACTTTGCTATGACTATAAAGCGCTCTCGTGGCTTCGTCGGTAGTTGATATTTAACTATCAGATCCTGCCTAATATACTTCAACTTATTAGAAGAAATAATACCGAGGAGATCTAGGTAGACTTATATTCAGAACATTATCCTCACGTGCTTTAGCAGAGATCGATAAGTCTCTCGCTCCCATCTCGAAGTAAAGTTAATAAAATTCTAATATACAGTCTTCTACGAGGGTAAATTTTTCTTGTTGCAATATAGTCTTCAGCAAGAGATTTCAGAAGCTATAGGGTAGGATTAGGTTTATTTTTAGAAAAATTAGTGTTGGATTTTAGGTAGTGATCATAAAATCCGATTGCACACAAAAGGATATGTGTGTCATAAGCAGGTGAAGAAAGACTATCATGAGAGAAATAGAGGTCGGCTAATTAGACCAAAAGAAGAGTATGATCAGGTATGCCAAAGAAATCTACTCATGAATCAAAAGAGATGTCAAACTTATTCAATTTAGCTAGGAAAGCAAACAGAATTTATAACACGAGGTACATAGTAAATATCACATGAAGAAATCAAGAATATCCGAGGTTATCTTGGAGTGTTGAGTAGTCTCCGGCCAATATAGGCAGTTCAATGCGAGATCGTTGAGGATCAATATAAATCAATGTAGTGGTCATGAAGGTGATCTTCCGGGGAAAAGATGGTGGCGGCTTAGTCATCTGCGGGAAGACCCCACATAAGTTGACAATTAGCATCAGTCGCTTCTTACGGGAAAGTCTCCATCTACTAAAATAAGTGTCCCAACCTATACCTGTCAATAGCATCACTTACAATACCCAATTTATTGCTATATCCTCATATTTTTTCAGAGTAGCCGGAGCGAGCTGTTTAAGGCATAGAGTTATCTTCGTGTTCCCACTTATTCTGATATTTACGGGTGAAGCCACGTGACGCAGCACGTGCAATTCTTTCAAGTTTCTTTTAGATGTCCTTCGGGAGCATCTTCATCGAATGGCTGAGCGTTAAGAAAAATAAGAATCGTAGATCATATATGCGCCCTGGGGCTCATATTTATGGCTTAGAGTCAAGTGAAAGTAGGAGAGTGGGTGCTCCGGGTGATCTGGGTGAGAATCCTCGCCCTGTTCTCACCTCTATCACCCACACTCACCCTAAGATCAAATCCGACGCCATTTTAGAGCTTAGGGCGCATTGAGAATTGGCCCCGTACTATAATGGGCTTAAGTACGGCTGAGCGGACAGGAAGCCCTGTTCTCCACACCCTATGGTCGTATGTATTGAGATAGGCCTTAAAACAGTATATATGGGTTAAGCTTAGTATACTCGATTTTTGAATTAGCCTATACCCATATCACATACTAGATAAATAGGAATTTAGATGTATTGCGAATGCAGTTGTCCATTATTTGATAAACGGTTACCATGGTTGTCTCTAAAGTCTTTCTTCTTTCTCGATATTTCCCTTAAACACTATTGATACTTATTTTCAAACTTTCCCCCTCAAGATTGTTCCCTGTTCCTCGATTGTTGCTTGCAAAGCCTTGAACTCTTTCGGGACTCTATTTCGCAAGTAGATTAATATGGGTCGGGCCGAGCCGCGCTAGTACTCACCTCTATTGGCCGAGCGCGTCTCCTCTAAGCCACTTCCCCCCACCTGCTTCATCCCGAGGAAGCCCTATTTTTTCATTTCTCCAAGACCGTGAGTGTAGTACCTACATCTCCTGCTTTCATTTTCGCCTACGCATGATCTTATCTTATCCGTCGGTGTGAGAGATAATTCTCTACTTACATAACTAACATATGAGATAAAACACAGATCCTTGAATCTCAAACACCTTTTATCCTGAATCCTATCCGAGAGTAAGTATCCAATATTCCTTTAGTCACTTTAATGACTATTGCCACACTATATCCTCAGTCATATAGCTAATATATCCAGGAAACCCTTACCTATAATGGCTTTTTCTAACAAGGACGACGATCTATTCAGTAAGACGATCAAGTATACCTATACAGAGATCAGTAAGATACAGGACTGGCGAAGGTTGCGGACGATGGCGACAATGATGAGAATGGTGAGATGGATATTTCTTCACTGGCACACCCAGAGGGTGTCCAAGCCTGTCAGGCACTGCAGGAGTTGTATTCTACGTGGGCCCAGGTTTGTGTTCTCCCGCGTCAATTTGACGCGGTCCCTTATGAGCTTCTAGACCCCAAGATGCTAGTTCGGCTCGGAAAAAAGAACATCAGCACCATTGTCGGCAGCTATAACTGTTTTCCATTTTTGTTCCGTGCGTCAATTATGATGAGGTCGATGGGGGACGTGATAGAAGGGCTTGATGGGCAGGACATCATCATCGGCGCCGAGATTCCTCCTCTCCGAGTGATGACCGTGGAGGTTCGCTACAATGCTCGGGATCAAGAAGCCCATGACCAGGTTTATGAATCTCGGGTGCGACTCCTCCACAGGAGTAATTCGGACGATGATGATGATTCGGCGCACATAAATCGAGGCGCAGATCATGGTCGCCAGCATATGGGTATACTTCGCGAGCTTTGCTTGCTCGGGTTTAGCCCTAGACTGCATGACTTCCTTCGTATCCTAGGATCTGAAAAGACCCTTAGTGACAGGATTGCGGAGTATGTGGCCGCTGCGGACCATGGGTTTACGGCTTTTTGGCTAGCTACATGTCGGGATGACGCTATGGCTCGCCCTAGCGACGCAATCGCTCAGGTTCACTACCTGGTTGCAAAATGCCCACGGTTAAAAAAATGCTCCGAATTATAAATAAGGAGGGCGCATTTAAGGAACCTGACCAAGGCGGGACTAGGCCTCGGTTCATAATCATTTCCCATTGGCCGATCGTCTGTTGGATGGTCGAGATGGTGCTCCGCAGAGTTGGACTTCACTCAGTAGCCATTACTGCCGCAAAGAGCCCTGTGGAATGGGCGGCAGCTGCTACAGAGTTTAACGACCCAAGCTCTAGATGTCAAGTCCTAAACACTACTTACAGCTGTGGCGGGACAGGGCTGAACCTACACGACCGCTGTAATATCGTCATCCTCATAGAACCCGCCTTCAACTTCAACTCGGAGACTCATGCAATCGGCAGAGTCCACCGTCTTGGCCAGACCCAGCCTCAAAAGGCATACCGGTTGTTTCAGGACCACACTATCAACCGATACATTGTGGGCCGAAACATTTCCAAGATGCTTCCTCAGCTTGCTGCCCAATACCAGGGGGCGTGGACCGAGGGGCTCGATCAAGCGGTGGCGGATCAGATGGTGGATGAGGATGATGAGATGCGAGCACAGATTCTGATGGGAATTTGCGAAGACCACCTTCATGATCTCATGGGAGTCACAACAGACTTCCCATATCATGTGGACCTTTCGGGAAAGGGAGAGCTGGGGATTTCAAAGGTTGCCAACGGGGGTGTCTCCAACAGAAAGGGCTTCATGGACAGGGGCAAAGACCACCCCACTATTGACACGCCGGAGAGGCCACCTTCTCGCTCTAGGTGCACAGAAAAGGGCAAGTGTCGCTCGCACAGAGCAGAGTCAGGCGCCGAAGAGTCGTCTTGGCCTTAGAAGCGGCGAAAGATTGGTAGCAAGTAAGTCCACGTTCAGATCAGTAACAGATGGAGAGTTCAATCCCAGGCTAGTAGCGAACTTTAATTTCTGGTTGACTCGATTTGGCTGACGGGTTACCATTAGCTCACATGATCATCCTGATGTACCAGTGTTGGATGCTCCAGGGGCAGAGGGAGAGAATTCAGATGAAGGCTATTTCGAGGTTCTCACCAGTATCTTTATTCGACGAGTGCGAGGTGGATGCCAAATCTCATAATGAGGACAACTTGGAAGGTATGTTCGGAGGCGAGGATAACCCTTAGCCGTAAATTGCTAATGACGAGTTACAGGATGATCTCCAAAATCATACCTGGGCTATCAAGAAAGGATGTTCGATCAAAAAGAGCTTTTAAAAAAAAGTGTACCAAAGTAATTCGAATTGGACTTGTACTCTAGTCTCAGAATTTAGACATCTAAACTACTACTATCGTATCATGCAGGTAGATGAAAGCACTGCAGTCCGAGTACAATTTATGGCCGACCTCGTCCGTCTTAATTTTAGCATCTTCAGGTACAGACTGATAACATCCAAAACATATCATTATGGATTTTTCTCGGGTAAAAGTGAATTTGCTTCAATTCCGAGGCTTATTCCGTACATTTCTGCGCGCCGAGTGGTCGTCTAGAACCTCATCGTATTATTCTCTTATCCCCCGTCTTGGCTAAAATTTCCCAATAGAGTAATTAAAAATTTGCCAGTCCTAAAGCGGCAGTATGCTCCGACCGGCCCATAAGGCACACGCAGATTCTATGTTGAATAACACTTGACGACGAAATTTCCATAGGGCTAGTAGAAAGGAAAACTGCGGCGTAGGTCAAACTTTACCTGATTCAAGCATCCGAAGAGTCCTGAATCATGCGCCGGGCTCACCATGTGGCTCGCCCCCGTCCGCAAGCCCCTGAAGCAAATCCGGCTATTGGCAATGTACTGTACACTTCGTCACCAAAATTCATAATGCATTCTAGAGTACCAGATGGTCAAAGCAGCCTGCGCGTATCAGATGGAATCTATTTTGAAGATTTGCTTTGGAAACATGGACCTTATCTCAAAGGTGTATAGCTAGTCCACAGCTGGCACCGGTCACATCGTACTTTGAGACTTGGCCGAATCACTCTGTAGATACAAATCGATTCCTCTCATCACGAAAGTAACCAAGCCTTCAATTACTGACGGGGAGCGATGCCATCATCTGAGAAAAATGCGCCTTTCGATGCCGAATTGATCTATAAACTTCAGGTCACGTGCAAACTCGTCGGTCATGCCCAAGCTTTAGGTAGCAGTAAACTGAAGTACAGATGATTGAGAATTATTCATTTCTAACTATGCAATCAGGAGCTATACAGGCTAGATTCTTGGGATTTCCAGATCCATCCTGAAACCACAAACTCTTCAAGATTGCTCTCCAAGCTTGAGCCAAGATAACAGGATGTCAGACTTGTGGGTCCAGCTCCTTGCGTAGCATATTCCCTGTTTGGGCTAGCGCCACAGCTCCCGTTCAGGCAATTCAGCATCGAGTGGGGCCAAGCGCCCCGGAATCGAATCCGCGAGGACTATAGACTTTCCCCTGTAACACCATGCCGCATATGCCCTTCCCGGACGAACCAAATTTTCAGAATCGGGTGGCTGAGAAGATGGGAATGTGGTATAAGAACGTGGTATATCTCCCTCGGGGAGGAGTCTTCCTCAGTCAAGAGTCACCATACCTTCGATCATCCATCCTGTTGGGCCACACCAGCAGAGTATCCCCTATATACTAACAGGATCGATACGACGCAACAATATGGAGACCCCCTACTCAACACAGACCAACACCGCTGCCACCAGTCGAACAGTATCTGTTGGGTCTGGTCTTGGGCAAACCGATTATCTCGACCTCCCCGTCCGTGAGCTGCACGATGGCGCCGACCTTCGCGAATACACAACCGAGACTCGAGCTGGTGAAATCATCAAGCCAGTTAAGTCAAATGTCACCGGTCAATTGGAAGATTGGAAACTGGTCACTTTCACCATCGATGACCCCGAGAACCCAAAGAACTGGTCGAAGGCGTACAAATGGTACTGCACCATGGTCGTCGCTTTCACCTGTTTCGTCGTTGCATTCTGCAGCAGTGTTATCACTGCCAACCTGGAAGGACCAATGAAAGACTTTGGCGTGGCTCGAGAAGTTAGTCTTCTCACGATTACTGTGTTTGTTATTGGATTTGGTGTCGGTATGTCACTCTGAGAGCACGTTGAGATCATTGCCACGTTGAGATCATTGCCACGTTACTAACTCTAGACAGGACCTATGGTTTTTGCTCCACTATCTGAAATGGTTGGACGACGACCGGTCTATGCCGTTACGTTACTCCTAGCCGTCATCTTTGTCATCCCATGCGCTGTTTCCAAAAACATCGGAACTTTGATCGTCTGCCGCCTTATCGATGGTATTGCATTCAGTGCCCCGATGACCCTGGTCGGAGGCACACTGGCAGACCTTTGGAAGAATGAAGAGCGTGGTGTTCCAATGGCTGCCTTTAGTGCCGCTCCCTTTATTGGTCCTGCAATTGGTCCTTTGGCCGGTGGTTTCCTCGGCGACAACTGCGGCTGGCGCTGGCTTTACTGGCTGCAGCTGATTCTGTCCTTTGTTGCCTGGGTATTGATCACATTCACCGTTCCCGAGACCTACGCACCAATCTTGCTGAAGAGAAGAGCTGCGAAACTGCGCAAGTCTCAGAACGACCCTAAGTACACTACCGAAACCGAGCTTGATCCTCGTCCTCTAGGTCAGAAACTTCGCATCTTTCTCTTCCGACCTTTCCAGCTCCTCTTCTTGGAGCCCATCGTCTTGTTCATCTCCCTTTACATGTCGGTGCTGTACGGTCTGCTCTACATGTTCTTCGTTGCCTATCCCATCGTGTACCAGGCCGGTAAGGGCTGGAGCGCCTCAATGACTGGTCTCATGTTCATTCCTCTGGCTATCGGTGTGCTCATGAGCGCTGCTTGTGCCCCTTTCGTCAACAAGCACTACCTCAAGGTTTCCGCGCAATGCGGTGGAAAGCCTCCAGCTGAAAAGCGTCTGATTCCCATGATGTGGTCTTGCTGGCTCATTCCTGTTGGCCTTTTCATTTTCGCCTGGACCTCGTACCCTACGATCCACTGGTTCGGTCCCGCAATCGGCGGATGGCCTGTCGGATTTGGCTTTATCTTCTTGTACAATTCCGCGAACAATTACCTTGGTAAGCAAAATATCTCCTGAATTGAACTGAACCCGACCACTGACTTTGAAATCAGTTGATACATATCAGCACCAAGCTGCTTCTGCCCTGGCAGCAAAGACCTTCCTCCGCTCAATGTGGGGTGCCTCTACGGTCTTGTTCACTGAGCAGATGTATAACCGCCTCGGCTACCAGTGGGCCAGCTCTCTTCTCGCCTTTATTGCTTTGGCTTGCTGTGCTATCCCTTACGCGTTCTACTTTAAGGGCGCGTCCATTCGTCGTTTCTCCCGATTCGCTTTCAGCGATGACGAGGAGCAGCAAGGCGTGAAGGCTTAATTGAACGATAAGCCTGATCACACAAGTTATAATTTGGGAAGTGGTGGATGATACTAAGACTAATGATGCACCCGAGGCTCTCCTATTTTGGCAACACTTGCCAGTCGTCCTTTCTTCACCCTCATAATTGTTTGGAAGGGGGGAACAGCGTGTTGGAACTGGCATCTACGGCGTTGATGGTTTTTCCTTGAGATGGACATGCATTTACAAACATAGACCTAGATTCGCATAAAGTACAGATAGTGACTAAAACATAATTTTCTTTCCTATTTCAGCTTCGTTACCAGGGATAGAACCTTCCAACGGCTCAAATAATCGGTGACGTCGAATACACATTCTGCATTTGGTCACCCCACGTCACGTGCATCGGCAGATAAGGAACCGTGGGCGATGATGCCCTGCAGCTTTCATCTCCAAAGTCGACTGCAATTCCTTGCCCACAATGCGATCATAAACAGATGTATGGAATGATCCATATACCAGTATTAACTCTCTTTGGCACAGATCAGCCTTTAACTTCACTCCATACGTGTTGAACCTCCTGTCTCGCCCTGAGCCATCCACGGTCGCAACTGACGCCGACATCGACGGGCGCACGATAATCTCGAAAAAGTTATACCGATTATAGGAGGAATAACAGGAAAACAATGACATCGCCATATCTACAATCGAATTCATTCTCGCCGTCGGATATGGCCGCCGCATCTGCAGCCTCAAACAGGTCTGTTTCCGACTTGCCGCAAGCTCAGGTGGATGCTATCATCCGCACGAAGCGCAAGGCGCGCGAGCCCAAAGCATGCTACCCCTGTCATGCGCGGAAAGTAAAATGCGATCGGAATCTTCCTTGCGATGGATGTGTCAAACGCGACCATGCGGACCTGTGCTCCTACGAACGTCCCTCGAAGAAGCGCTCGCAAGCCTTCCATGAAAGCCCTATCGGTGGCGCTTCAGCCGGGTCCTCGGCAGAGCAGCATGCCTCGTATGGGTATGACGATAGTGAGGTGCAGATGAAGCCCGACCCTATTCAGCACCTTCCGACTCGAATTAACGGTACTCAAACGGGTGGACGCGTGTCAATTGCTAGGGAGGAATGGGATAATGTCCGCAACCGACTACGAGAAATGGAGTCTACCATCTCCTCACTACGCGTGGGCCTTGAACGCGCTGAGGAAGCGCCCTCCGTGGCAACGGATGGCGGGACCGGGAGCGTACAGAGCGGAGATGCAAATTCTCGGGCTAAGGGTGCGTCGCCGGAACGCGAGGGCATTCATACCACCAACACCCTGGGCAAAGGCACCGTCCACTTGGGATCGCGCTCGGTCCTGGCTTATATCCTGAACAACAAGTCGGGGTCCGACCAGCTACAAACACTATTGGAGGACGGAATACTGCCTAAGCTTGGACTTGACAACGAGTCGGCGACTTACCCATTTGTGGATTTATGGTCGTCGGATATGTCAACCTTCGACATTAGCGCCGTCTGTAGCGCGCTTCCAAGTGATCAACAATGTAGAGAGTAAGTTGATATTCCCTCTGGACGTTATTCGGAATTGTGCACCTAACTGCAGTCCCTGATATAGGTTTTTCTACTACTACAAAGATATTGCCGGCGCAATTTATCCTGTTCTTGAAGACGTTCAGCAATTCCAAAACACCCTTGAGCTTCTTATGCAGAACAGAACAGCTTCAGGCGGGGTCTATCGAGAGGATGTCGATGAAGCACAGAGTCCTTTCGGCGTGAGCATCGCATACCTGGGCCTATTATTCGCTGTCCTTGCTTCCGGTTGCCAGTCGTCCGACCTTGGAAGCAAAGAGAGAGAACTAACATCTCAAGTCTATGGTATGTTGGATAGATATTCATTCGTATTGCCATTGACTGACGCTTCGTATAGTGTGCTGCTCTTACCAATGTCTTCGCATGACCAATTTCTTGTCTCAGCCCACCATTGAAGCAATTCAGACCCTCCTGGTCATTGGAAATGTATTGTCGTACAACATGAATCCAGGAATTTCTTACGTGCTGCTAGGCATGACACTTCGCATGGGCTTGGCCCTTGGCTTGCATGTTGAGTCGAGTAGGTTCTCGTCGCTCGAGCGGTATCGCCGCCGACATGTTTGGTAAGACTTGGCAATGATCCCTACCTTCCAGTTAACTGTATCTAACTATATTGATAGGTGGTCCATGGCATGGCAAGACAGTCACTTTTCTCTCTCTTATGACCGCCCCTCTACAACCGCAGTCAGTCAGCCTGATATAGCATATCGCGAGGGCTCCAAACCGGGTGATCTGTCTTACTTTGAGACTTTATGCCGAGTGATTTCTTTGGCCTTGGAAGTTGTTCGTATTCGGATGCTTAGTCCGCATACCCAGATAAGCTTTGAAAACATCCAGAGCTACAAGGAACGAATCCAGAAGATCATGATTGAAGCAAAACCGCATTTGCGAGATGCACAGTGGTGTACGACTTCACCCGAGCATCTAGAACGAGTCGTTCTGAAACTACACTCATCATATTTCTCATCTGAGCTTTGTCGACCATCGCTGAAACCGACCGTCGATGCCAACGACGCGGATACTGCTAGTATGCGGCGGGACTGCATTACAAATTTGATGACGACCGTGGAGGCCTATATCGAAATGTATAACATCAGCTCCCATGCAGCCCGATCTTGGATTGCGCTCCAGCGAGCAATCAGCTCCGCATTCCTCCTTGCTGTTATTGAAGAGGCCAAGCAAGAGCCAAAAGTCTGGAGCCTCCTACACCATCTAGAGTCCATCATAGCCCAGCGTGCCAGCAACGAACGTGCCTACGATACCGCTGATGTTGCTGGTACAGGGAGCAGCATCACCTCGCCAGCCCAGGGCGTCCCCACCTACGACCCCATCACCGGTGTGACTAACCCTCCGGGTTCCGTTCAGCCAATTCTGGATCCCACTTCACCCGCTGCAATCAATCCCGACAATCAAACCCAATGGGCCAAGTCGTTAGCCAAAACGCATCGCGCTTTGCAAAAGCTTCTTACGGCCTTTGGAAACCAGCAAGCTCGCGGCGGGACTGGACGTAGCCCCGCATTCCCTCAATCAAATCTTAACGCGACTGCTGCCTCAATGGGTAGCTTCGCGCCTCCTGTGTCGGCAAGCATGACCCCCAGTATGGGATCTCTTCCGCCCCCGACCCCAGAAAGCTCTGGCAGTGGCGAATGGACAATTCCCAACATCTTGGACCGCGCCTCAGAGTATATTCATCCACCGCTCTGGAGCTAAATTGACAATGGACCTGGGCTTCCAAATTTGACATTTTTCCTCATTTCAGCGTGGTCTGGTGCATTTCCTGGCGTTTATTCGTTTTGACCAGTACTAGCGGCGTTATTCGGTTTTTTGAACCTTGTTGGGTGGACTTCTTGATTTTCATTCCAAAAGAATTTCTTCGTTGCTTGTAACTGGTTGCTCGTCAATTACTTTGTACGCAGTGACTGATAGGCAGCATAGCACTATTTCAAGAGATTCAAACGCTCCTGACCGGCTTGTCTATATGTTCCATTCTAATGTACCGCTATTCTAGTTGATAAGATTGCAATGCTTATTGTCTTAAAGTCTCATCGTGGGCTGCAATTCACCAATACATTCACCGAACCCAACCCCAGAATCAAGTCCACCCGCCACAGCTGTCATGCGAACTACATCTCCATCTAACAAGAAGCGCCTAAGCGACCCATTGACTAAGTTGATCGGCTCTTTTCCAGCTTTGGTAATTTCAAGCAGACAACCATAGCTGCCATCGACCGGACCGCTGACTGTTCCCGTGCCAATAATATCTCCGGTCTGAAGGTCGGCGCCAGTGCTAGCAAGATGGGCAGCCATTTGACGTCCGCTCCAGTGCAGGTCCTGTGCCTTTGACTCTGTGACCGTCGTTGCCTGAGACCCGACGAGAATTTCCACTTTCATATCAATAGCATAGCTGGACTCGGCAATGTCTTCGAGATGACTTGCTAACACAGCCTCAGGCTTCGGACCTGGGGCCTTGAATGGCTCCAGGGCATCCAATGTCACAATCCAGGGTGAGATGCTTGTCCCAAATGACTTGCCATTCAGCGGTCCCAGTGGAACCATTTCGCATCCCTGGATGTCGCGTGCTAAAGGCAAGGTTCAGTCAGTGTCAACTAACTTCGTGTCACCTTCCTTTTATGAGTCGAGAATACTCACCGCTCCAGTCATTCAGAATGACGAAGCCAAAGATGTGCTCGTCTGCATCTTTCGCATTCAATCCCTGCAGACGTGAGACGCCCTTGCCAACGATGACGCCAATCTCCAGCTCGTAGTCCAAGGCTTGCGATGGGCCATACACAATGGGTTTCTTTTCCGTTGACGCAGAACGATCATAGAAATGGCCCTGTGGCCGGATGACCGGAGTACCCGAGACAAAAATGGTACTTGCTCGGCCATTGTATCCGATTGGGAAGTTGAAGAAGCCGGGAGGAGGGGATTCATCATTGAGGATAGCTCGGCCTGCGTTCCGAATGTGGTGCAGGCTGCACGAGAAGTCTATTGAATATCAGACCGCGTTGCCCATCAATAATCAAAAAGCACACTGTCAGCATACCTGTAAATCCTCCTACGGAGACAGGCATATGAAGGGTCACTGCACTAATGTCTTCGGTGAACCCCGTTGGTAGGGATTTGGCCAGTGCTTCTTGTACCAGCTTGCGGACCTCGCGCTGAGTGACCTTTGGCAACGCCGCGTACTCATTGAGGCTCGGCTTGTCGAAGACACCCTCTGGTAGGCTCGCAATCTCAGAAAGCAAACCCGCCCGCTGCAACTCGGCTAGAAATATGACGTTATTTTCAAGTCGAGTTACACATTGAGGCTTTGGATGACTATCGGATGAGGCAACCCCGAATGGGATATTCGCGATAGAAAAATGGCTTTGATAATCGGGAGAGGTCATGTTGAAGTCGTCAGTGTTGGAACGGGATTTTTACAATCACTCAAAATATTCAAAGAAATCAAAAATTGCGCGTAGCTACATTCTTATCGCGCAGGGTCGCTGCATCCCCCACCATCCGAAGAGGAGAATTTGCGGGGATTCGGTTGGAGCCCACATCCCGACTCGAAGAACAAACTATGGAATAATATCCTCACAGCCTGCTTGATAAGCCCCACAAAATCAAAAAAGCGCCTCGGTTTCTGGAAACTCATAGTATAACTGAATGGCTGTACTCCCTTATGCCACAATTCGTATTGTGTTGGCCATGAGGCGTAGGCCAGAGGACTCTAGGAACCCTTGCTGAACCAGGGTTGATCGTCCACACCGCTACTGTTCGTCCTCCTTCCAACCGGGTATACCATGAACAATGACTGGATTTTAAGTCATGCAGTTTCAGTTACATCCGCGAATCGGCACCATCGGAGGCTGCATGGTTGTACAGCATCGGCCTATTATCTCCTAGACTGGGCAACGGTCCTGATATCCACCGTAGAGGTAAAATCTACCTCAAGGCCCTCGTCTGCCCAAGTCGCTAAAAGTGAGCCAAGAGACCTTACTCAATTTTTCTTGATTTGTCAAAACTCCCGCTGTCTGGCAGCGTTCACCCACCGTGAACCTGCTGCTGCTACGGCGTCAGATGAAGTCGCGTCACATTCCCTGAGATCTCAGTCTGACCCTTAGGCTTGTGAACAATATGTCTACCATGCCTGGAAAACAATACTACAATGTAGGAGTCCTACTCTTCCAGGGTGCAGATATACTCGACTTTGCGGGTCCCATGGAAGTCCTCTCCCATGTCTTGCATAACGGCAACCCAGACGACCCTGATCGAATGTTCGCCATTCAGACCATTGCACGACGCAAGATTATTCGCGCTGCGAATGCATTGAGTGTGCAGGTGGACAGACTTCTCGTCCACGCGCTGGAGAATATCTCCGAGTACGACATTCTGGTCGTGCCAGGAGGACCGCCATCTGTACTACTGCCTATGGCTGATGCCAATGTGCCCGAGGTAGAGCTCATTCGAAAGTTTGCGTGTTTACCCCGGACTGCTCCACACAGGCCGCGTCTGTTATTCTCGGTTTGCACCGGTGCGTTTTTGCTCGGTGCCACAGGTGTTTTATCGGGCCTGACTATCACTACTCATCATCGAGCCCTTGATACTCTCCGAGATATATGTCTCAAGTCTGCAAATAAGGCTGAGCCGCCAACGAGTGTAGTGCATAAGCGCTATGTTGATGGGGGATTCCTTAAAGGCGATGCTATGCGAGTAATAACGGCGGGGGTGTTAGTTCGGGCCTCGACGCGACCTTCCACGTTGTCAACCTGCTAACGACACCGGAGATGGCTTCTTTTGTGTCTCGGCTAATGGAGTACGATTGGACTAAGATAGACAAGTAATCCTAGGCATAGACATTCTAAATTGTTGATGAAGGTCTTTCTACCCTAGTCTCTAGCTTGTATTTAAGACACTGTGATAAGGGACTGAAACATTCATCTCATTGTGAACTACTGCGTCATCTGAGCAACACCGCTTTATGGGTTTATCGTATAGCAAGATTGTTCCTCGGAAATAATGTTTACCATATTCCTGATCAGCAGCGCGTCATATTTCATGTGTCTAGCGGCAACTTAGTGTCAGATTCACCGATTCTCAAGCCACATGTAGACTGGAAACATAATTGCATGGACCTAGATACATTAAAAGCTAATAGACTGCAAAATGAGTTTTATTATATGCACCGACCCTCGGCAACATATGTTGAGTGACATACAATAACACCTCGTAAGCGTAACCATGATTTGATGAAATATTTCCGTCCCTAAATATTGAATAATAGCTGTCTAGGGTGCTTGCTGGTTTGGATATAATCATCTCAAGTCCACTGGAGGTATGGCCCAAAGTAGTTTATCCATTGTCGGCCCCCTGTCCGTCAATGGTGGTACGCAACTGCAAGTGCTGTCACCAGCAGGTAAAGGTATATGTTTAGAACTATGTCAGGGACGTCCTTTATCCTCCGTCGCCGCCTGACCGTATACGAGTGTTGCTGACACATTTTAGACCGCATCCAGTCCATTCCAGGTTCATCGTGTGTTCGCTGTTATTGACATATCCAGAAGCACATGGATGGAAAGACTGACACTTTTCCCAATCAGAAATTTCTTCCTGGTTCTATTCTCAGACCATCTCGTACTTTAGACTTTTCCCAGAAAAATAGAGTGAGATCTACACCACACGAGTTGTACAGGCTGAACAAACTAGCGGTCTATTATCTTTTACGTTCAGCTCTCAACCCCGGATCTGAGTCTGCAATAGTGAGAAAAGGGTCATACGGCTGAGTTTTCTCTAGTGGCGCTGTCAGTGCTCGAGGAATCTTACCTCGACCCAGGCCGGGTATATAGCACCAAGTCGATCTGCAGCGACAAGCGATTGAGTTGCCTTGGCCATCTGGATTTGACAGATCAAGGCAGGCAATTTGAGTCTTCTTCTGCTTTCCAAAAACGTCAGAGTTCTCATAATTCATCTCTGTTGCAAGGTCACGATACTCCGGTGTGACACCGTTTAACTTGCGCCACCATGATTGCCCCAGTACCCGTTGCGGACACGGTCTCGGCCCTATTCCCGCAGAGTCCCACCAAGAATGGTATTTTCCATTCCGATGAGACCATTGCTACAGATCACATTCCGATTGAAGTCTCCACTGACCGCATGGCAACCCCTTCCGAATCTGACAGTGCCGATCACAATCTGATTACCGCAAACGGCAATGACTCGACACAACACTTGCAAAACGCTCTCAACGGCCAAACTCCAGTTGATTCTCCCAAAGACGATCACAAAATGGCAGTTGATATTCTGAAGATTATTGAGAGTTACGGCGTTGATTATGAGAAGAATGGCGGCTCCTGGAAGGGGTTGGACTCGTTCGTCCCTATAGTAGTCGAACAAGTTCGACGTCAGGAACCGATTCGTATGATTCTTCCAGCTTTTCCGTTCAAATCACCAAACTCGCGAGACAAAGTCCTGGGTACGATGCCCGATTTTGGAGAAGAATTGGCGCTTTCCCATCTGAACGGACTATGCGAGAACATCGCTCAAGTTTACGAGCCCGGGGCCAATGTATACATCAGCTCAGACGGCCTTGTATACAATGGTGAGTTGACTCACACCTCAATTTTTTTTTCACTCCTTCTAATACTAGCTATCAGATATTCTTGGAGTTCCAGACGAAACTGTCTGGGATTATGGCGAGACGCTGCGGAAGATGGCCGTGGAGAAAGGCCTCCGTCATGTGAAGTTCATCCGATTGTTTGAGCTCCTTGAGCATCCTTGGTTCCAGAGCAATAGCTCAGAAGCTGCAAAGGCTTTTTATCTAGCGCATGCTAGCTGTCTGCGACGCGAGCTGATGTTCGTCTTCGGAGACCCAACCTTTAACGCCGACGAGGCTATCAAGACTGACAATGATACTTGTCTAACATACCGAGGGTACATCAAGTTTCTCACCAAGGATCTTGCACATCAAGAAGAAACTCAGGCCCTTTCTAAACGTGCGAGACAGACTCAGATCTCTCAGATCGCGCGGCAGATGATTATTCGCGGGAAGATGTTTGCTGCCGCCATCAAGGCAAATCGAGGTAACTATGTTCGATTATCTATTCACGAGTCTGCTGGTGAGAAGAAACTTTCAGTTTCTCTCATTCCTCAGATTCGTGGAGCGCTTGGGTTTACGCCTTGGCATGCTTCTGTGGCCATCGGGTTGGACGGCTCATACCGCACGGTTCATGCCGAGGACGTGCGGGAGACGCACGACTTGATTTATAAGAATGGACAGCCATACTTCTTCCGGGAAAAGTCTGAGGTTTTCGACTGGTCCAAGGACGGCCTATCCGTGAAATTTGAGCACTTATATCCATGTGGAGTTATTATTCGCCCTGCCGATATCGACAATCTGAACCCGCGACCGTCGATCAGCGCAATCCCCATGCACAAAGTCAGGAAGATCTCAAACACTATGTCACCCGTTATTCTACGTGGATTTACAGAGACACTCAACGAAGACTTATATATTAAAGCTGGATCTGAGCTGGGCACTATCCTCCCGTGGAGCTTTGGTGTCATTCAGAAAGTTCGCGATGCCGGTCGTTCGGATAAGATGGGGAACAACGTCACCTCGAACGAAGCCATGCCAATGCATTTCGATGGCATGTTTAAGTTCGAAGAGATTACAGATCCAGCGACGGGGGAAACAAAGAAGGTCCAACGCCCACCATGTTACCAGTTCTTCACCTGTCCGGCGACCGCTCCGAAGGGGAGCGGGTATACCCTGTTTGCCAGCTCACGGCTGTTTTTCAGATATTTGCCACAGCCCTGGAATGCAGAGCGCCTGCAGAACGTCACTTGGGCCATGGATAATGATGGCTTCTGGGATGCGAAAATGAAGAATCTCCCGCTGCTCGTGAAACATCCTGTCTCGGGACTGCCTTGCCTGAGATGGCATCAGCCGTGGGACTCCACGAAGACCAAGTTCTCCACTTGTGATGTGAAGGTGGAAAATGAAGATCCGAGCCTAGTTCAAATTATTGATCACGGTACATATGATCAAAGAGTGTGCCTTCGCTTCGAGTGGGAGAAAGGTGATCTTCTCATCAGTGATAACACGGCCATGCTTCACACTCGTACGGGGTATATAAGTGACTGTGATCGTGAGTTGTGGCGCATTCATTTTGATTAAAGATTGAAGGCATGTGTGTGTGGGATTACTTGTGGGTTTGTGTTGGCATTGATATTGCAGTCGATCGCTTCTTGAAATTTCACAGAATGTATCCAGCGTGTGGATTCATGAATTGCTAGGATATGACTCTCTTTAGATAGATAAGCTAAGAATATCAACTTTGGATAAAATAGGGGAGCATGTAGTAATCCCACAGGCAGGTTCAACGTTCGTCCAGGACATCGATGATACCTCGATCAAACACCGAGGCTGGATCACCGACTTTGGGAGAGGGGTTATTATGTTTGACTTTTTGCATGCTCGAGTGGACATGAAAAATGCGTGCGTCCTGCCCTTGTATTATGCAATCTCTGATTCCCATCCAGCTCTACCCCTTTCTCTCTTTCTCCCTTTATCATCTTTATGTCGTAAGGGTCCACTCATTTGCTGCAGCCTTTGTTTTTCTCCGCCAGACACCTCCCTCATAAGACACCCTCATTAGATGGGGCCTCAGCTCGCTTGCTCAACACTACCTAACCCCCATCGCAATCTAAACGAGGATTTCCCTCCACTTGCTAGCCACTTACACTATCATGCTCGGATCAGCCTTGCGAAGGAGGGATACGTGCGTGCTTAGGAATCTAAAGGGTTCCCATGGGCTGACCATTGCAGAGGCTTATTGTTATTAGCTTGTCTCCCAGTTGCTATGGCTTAAATTTTAAGTGTTATTCCCATAGGCCATCAGTTTATAAAGGGATTTGCTTTTATGTTTCTCCATGAATCATTTTTCAGCTCCGCTGAGCCGGAGTCTGAGATTGGAGAGCCTGGCAGGATTTCACAACGCAGGGCTTACTCTGCCGGCTCCCTAGCTTGTCAATTAGCTCTTAGATAGTCCTTCACGGACCATTAGTGTGAAATCTCGTTTACCCTATACATCAGCAGTCCTCAAGTTAATCTTTTCTCAGATAAAAGTTTCCGGATCAAGTTAAATAATATTCTGTCACTTGACGTTATCGAAAAGTAACTCATGGATGTAACATTATAATCAGCAATTCAGAATTGTCACATCCGACACAAAGTCTTTTATAGTTTGCGTCTATAGCAAGGCCCTGTCTACTGGATGGGTTATATATCGAGTCTAAAATAAGATAAAACACCCCCTAAATGCTGTTTAGTCCTACCAAACAAGTTTATACTCGGATTTATACTCAAAATTGAGAATCAACTCACTGGCTATATCTGATTTTATATCGGACGGCTTAGGTTCACCCCTCTTGTCCGCAACACTGACACCTAAATGGGCCACCACTGCATCCCCAACGATCATCCCCAGAAAAACCGGAGGATATGCAAAATCTACTTGAACCACGAGACCAGCGGCTGCAACCGGATTCATCACCCACATTGCTAGATAGAAGACTGTATCTAGACTAGCCATCGTGTTTGTGATACTGTTTCATCAAACCCGGCTGATTATTGGCTGCATCTATTGCTAGAATTAGGATGGTAGGCTTGAATGAGGCCATTGCATGAACATATTCCTGGCAAAGGTTCCCCTGTAAGAAGGAATGGTACCTTTTAATCGCGTTGCACAAACAAATACGCTGAGCCAGCACTTGGCCAGGTCATGGTTTCCCTCACCATGTGTTCTTCTTTCTTTGCACCTTCACGGTCAGTCCTTCACCACTTTTCTGTTCCTCTTCTCTCATTCAAACTCATCGCAAAGTTCTTCTGTCTTCATTTTGACCTTCCTTCATCAGGCGTGACGCGTTGTATCTCATCCACCGAGTCCCCTCCCTGCTCTCTCACCGTGGAAGAGCTCACCGTTGTCGACAACCAAAACAAGAACACCGCAGAGGTAAATACCAACGAGGATGTGGACCGCGTTCAGGAAGACCTGCAGTCCAAGGTATCCAAGCCACTGGTAAGTCTCCATCTTCTTGTTCCGTGCCTCGACGCGTCTCTACAGGCATATCACTGACCGCAGGTTCACGCTCTCGCCGGTGACAGTGGATGCTGATCGTCCTCACCATCCTATCGTCGACCTTCCTCTTTGTCCTCGACAATACCATCGTGGCCGACGTGCAGTCCCCCTTGTACAGCAGTTTGGAGAGGTGGAGAAGCTCAGTTGGATTGGCGTGGCCTTTGTGCTTTCCGGGTCGGCGACCATCATTACCTGGTACGTGTTGAATGAGATCAGGAAGTCTGTAGCTCGTCCATTGACCGTTGAGCTCAACTACAGGGGAAAGCTCTACGCTATATTCAGTGCCAAATGGCTGTATCTATCCTCGGTTGTCCTCTTTGAGACTGGAAGTGCGCTTTGTGGAGCGGCTCTGACCATGAATGTGTTTATTGTGGGCCGTGCTATTGCTGGGCTGGGGGTGGGTTCCATCTGTCTCAGTCTCCTCGCTTTCTTGCTTTGATTACTGACTTTTACACCATCGGCTAGGGCTCGGGCATGTACCTCGGGTGCTTGAATTTGTTGTCGGTTACCACATCTATCCAGCAACGGCCGCAATATATCGCATTGACTGGGATTAGTATGTGATCAAGACCACCACGTTCTTTGCTGAAGATGATGGCCCTGCATACTAACCTTCATCAGCATGGGGCTCGAGAACAGTCCTAGGACCAGTGTAAGTATAATTTGAGGGTACTCTTTCTGAGACCGAATCTGATGATGATCGATTAGGGTTGGAGGCGCTTTTGCGCAAAGCACCCACGCCACCTGGCGCTGGGCCTTTTACATCAACCTTTGCATCGGAGTCGCATTTCTCCCAATCTACATCGCCTACCTTCCGGAGATGTGACGACGTAATTCAAACATCAGAGGATACAGTGATAGATAGGATGTTTCGGGAGCGTGTAAGAAGAAGAAAAGTTAGAAACGGAAATATCGAAAACCGAGGTAGTAATCACCACGTAACCGCACGAGAAGCCCGCTGCCGAAGGAGTTACGAGGATACCCTCCGAAAAGCTAAAGCTAAACCAACAGTCGATACACTACATTTCAAGTACAGTTCAGGTAGCTATAGGTCTCTATTAATCTAATGCTCTATCCATGGACAGAATACTCCAAAATTGAGGCTCCACAGTTGAGGAAGATACTTCTTGAACTCGCAAGATCGGATTTCTCGGTTGTAATATAGTAATAATAATAAGTGAGGACGGGGGGTCTTTCTATCCAGTCTATGTAACTGCGCCTCCAAAATAATAACAAGAAACGTAAAAAAAAACATCGACGTTGTCGTGGTATCACAAATCGCACTGCAAAACGCCGCTTCCAAGCTTCCACATCGCCTTCCCTTGGTCTCATCGATCTCACTTCTGGGTCGAGTCATGTCAACCGGGAAGAGTCACGGACGCAGAGGAAAAAAGGATGCAAGCAATGTCCACATCTCGGGGAGTAATCACAATTATGCAATATGTAAAGAGAACGGAAGAAGAAAGGGTGTATCAAAAAGGCAAAAGCCACACTCAGGGTCGTAGCGTTCTATGGTATAAGGCTGTATGAAGGATGAAAAAGACGAGCATGCAAAAGGTGGGAAAACCAGATCAGGCGTATCCAGACATGGCTGCGTCCGCGGTAAACTCGAACATCTTCGGGCTCTCCAGCAAGACGAATGACTCGTAGCGCAGACCGCGCTCCTTGCCCGTGCGGTCGGACCAGGGGTTCACGCTGCTATTCCAGACGCTGCCGTAGCCGTCGAAGAGAGCTCGCCAATAGCATGCCTCCGCGGCGGCGGTCAGGTACCGCTCTCGGAAGGTCTTGACGCTATTCGTGGCGATGCGGTGCGCGGCGTCGGCATCTGCGACGAGTGGCTCGATCTTCTTGGTGAGATCGCTAAAGTCGCGTTCGACTTCGACATAGTTTTGGTTTGGTCCACTGGCGACCAGGAGATAATGGTGGTGTTGGATGTATTGAAGTTTATGGGCGACGATGACGGAATGGCAAGCTTGGCGGTATTTCAGGGATGCAGAGTAGGACCGACCTGGGGAGGAAAGAGAGGGTAAGTAAATATACTTCGACGAAAGAATAGCGATACCCCGGGAGAGGTCCTGCAATAGTGTCTCACCTTCAACGTGGGCAATAAACATATACCGACAGTGATCTTCCATGCGGAGCACATTGGAGCCCGTATCCCAATCAACCTGTTTGACATCACCCCAGGGTTTATCACGCGCCGCTTCAATCAATGCACGGCGTAGCTTGGGCGCAAAACTCGGCTTGCCGCGCCAGACAAGTTGCGGCCTCTTCTCATCCCAAGGCACATCAATGTGCTTGATACGATCCACCACCTGATCGAACGGACCTATATAGTTCTGTGGATTGTCCCAAGCCCAAAAGCTAAAGTCAGGCATGAGCCAGACTCCCTCTTCGGTCGGGGTACGTGCAAAGACCCAAACCGGGTGATGAGCATTCGTCACGTCTTCTACCTTGTCCTCGACGGAAAATACAAATTCGATATCACGTCTTGACGCGCGATCTCGGTCTGCGGCCAGCGCACGGTGAATGGAACTCAAGACACCCAGAATTTTCCGCCGGTGGTCCTCGCCTTTGGCTCGCGCGGTGACCACATGCAAATGGCCCTGGGAGATGAATGCGCGCACCATGCCCGGGTGAATGGTGATATCGTCGAGATCCTCGGTGACGAGGCCCCCATCGTGAGCGCGCCAATAGCGCTCACCACGCGCAATGTCTTCGAATAGACCTTGAAAGGCGGCCTGGCATTGGGTCTGGTCGAGGGCCTCGTTCCGGGCGTCGCGAGGGTATTGGAATTTCCAGCTGGGGGAGGCGGACAGCTGGAGAGTTGAGGAATCGGAGCAGGAGAGACACGTGGAGCATTGGAAGGTGGTGGAGGTTTGACAGGCGCAATGGCCCGCGGGGAGGAGCTGAGTGAGGATTGGGTGGATGTAATCGCGGTCAGAGTTCATGCCATACCAGATGGCGAGAATGGCGAAGCAAGAGATGCTGGCAATGGCGCAGAGGAATGGTAGGCCACGGCGCCGTGGCCGCATCCAGGGGTATTTCGCGTTCATGACGGAGGGAGAAAGGTGGATAGCATTGCTGGAGAAGTTGGAGAAGGGTGGAGAAGAGTGAGGAGTATGGAGGAGGAGGGGCAAGGTCGAGAGAAGGAATGAAGAAGGGAAATATGAAAGAAGGAAGAGGATGACGAAGCAGTCGTTCGCGGCGGCCGGGCGTCCGAGCATTTGAAGGCCATGGGCCATGAATAATAAGTCTTATGATTTGATTATTTGATTGAATCTTTGGTTGCAGCCCCAAAAAACCAGCGGAGAAAGGGAGGCCCAGGTTGAAACGCGACTCCCAAAAAGGCAGTCGATTGACAAGCTTCTGCGAGATCGGCGTCCTGCAACGCCCTCGATTGGCCAGCCACAGAGCCGCAGCCCACTGTCGGTGGAGCCGTTTGGCGTCATTGTCAGGCACAGAGAACGGTCCGAGTGAAAGGAGGAAATAGAGTCATCATTTTCTGGTGATTGGGTCGTAGTGACCTGTTTTAAGAGCTCTTGGAAAAGCGAGGATGGAAGTATGGACGTATCACCATATACATACCTTCCTGGCAAGAGGTCAGAAAAAGGGACCGGGGATTATCCTGGTTGGTCCATTGAATATACTTCCATCTCATTACAGTACAGTACCAGGTACCGTATTCGGTCGATACTCGACAACTACTTCCATATAAAGTAGACTCCAACACGAGAAAGTCCGATAATACTTCTGTTTTCTGATACTCGGTACATCTCTTTGTCTGTACTGCGTCGGTACACTGAACGTACGTATTCTCCATACGTATGCCAAGGATCCACTTTGCGTCTAATTTTGTAGACAGCTCCACGTTGGAATATTACAGCTGATTTACATTACATTCATCTTGATACTCCTACTGTAATAAAATAATTAAAGCCATCACACTAAACATTTCAACCCCTCCAATCAAACACCCTAATCATAATTCCCCCGGGAATAAGCATAGGTCAACCTGTCCAGCCGCCACACTTGTGGCTCCGGTCCTTCTCCACAATTCAGAGTCCAGCATGAGGCGGGTGGCGGGCTTAGTCGCTGAGACGCTAACTCTAGTCCCCGCCCCATCCTCAACTCAAAAACGCCTAATGCCTTGGCAGATCGCCCGCACGGTGCCTCCTCGTGTTTGATTCAACCTTCCAAGGCTAAGCGAAATGAAAAATCACCCAACTTATATGAACAAGTGAACAATCACCACCAAAAGTCCCTTGGCACAGCCCTCATCATGTCATCATCTGTCCAGTGCGAGCGAGCTCGGTGCCTTTTCTTAACACTCTCAGTATTTTGGAATGGGAATAAAGTGTACCCTAAATACGGCGTGATGAGAATAAGAAAACACATGGTTCGGAACTATCCAAGGCAACAAGAGATTCCAGGCGCAGAACATGAGAATGGTAATCTAGTAATAGGTGGTAGCTATACATACACTCGCAACTGGACTGTTCTGTAGTGATAGTACAATCTTGGCCCGCACGCCCTGCCACGCCATCTACGCCGAGACAAATATAGCGTTCGACCCCGGGTCAGCCTTGTCCGGCCCCCAAACCACTGTAGGGTCCAGATGGAGACACTCTTTCCTGTTCCTGACCCTGCTCATAGCCTCACGGCGTTCCATACTTGGCCAGCACGGACCCATACTGAATGGGCACTACCGTAACGGGCCCTTAGATTGGCATAGACTTACAGTAGGCCCTTACCGCTTTACATTAGCACTCAAGAAGGATGAAAATATGGTATGCTCTATTTTCTGTAGAAAACGCTGGATGATGCAACCCAACCGCCATGGATGCCCACCTTTCATTAGAATACTAGTAGCAAAAGGCAGAGGACCAGCTGGCGGACCATGAGATATCCAGACCGGTCGCCCTCCAACAAAACACCAAAACGCCCATTTCGATGCATCCAATTTTGAAAGACAACGCCTTCAAAACACACCCCATCAAGGCCTATTCGTTATTGCCGTGATTGACTTCGCTGGGCTCTTTCTCGGCGAGTACTTTGCGCGGGCGTATCACCCTCGATAACGGGACTGGCCGGCCGAGGCGTGCGGCGCTGTCGGCCAGGCCGAACCCGACCCAATGCGCGCCCAAGAATACTATCCGCCTTATCATCAAGATCCATCTCGGCCCGCTCTTCCATCGTCCCCGACCCGGTGGTCTCGGGCGTGGCAGAATGCGTGACTTCGTCCGTCCATTCCTCGGCATATCCTGCGTGTCGGATTCGACGACGGTTACTCTCATTCGTCCCGGGCCGCTCCCGAGGTTTGCGGTTCGCCGAACGACCGTGAGACGGTCGGGCACTCTCTTCCATCGCTTGTTGATCTCGCTCACGACCTTCCAAGGACCAGAGCTCGAGGGCTCGGTTGAGTAAGGTCCCAGCCACCCCTGCACCACCAGCAGCGTCTCCACCACCAGTGGCCCCAAGCACGCGAACAGCTTCGTGCAGCGCTGTCACAGCCTCGCCCGTGCGTCCGAGCTCCAGTAACAAGATGCCACATGAAGTATGCAATGATCCGACCAGCCCACGGTCCTCATAGCCTCCTACCCCGGACGCGGTCCCCACCGCCGCAGAGCCCCCTGCTCCACCTCCCAAAAACGGGGAGTATCCCAGGCTGGTGCCTCCAGCACCTACCCGAAGGCACTCCTGGAATTCTCGCAGTGCCTCGGGTAGACGGCCGAGACGACGAAAGGCATGACCCATGTTGGCACGAGTAGCAACCCAGGCACCCGGTTCACTGTGGAGTGACGCGGCCAACGCTAGGGCTTGTCGGAACATTTCTACCGCAGCAGGAAGATTGTTCTGATGATAAAAGACCACACCGAGCTCATTGAGCACCAGAGGATCGCCTCCAAGAGGCATCTCTGAAGAGGTGGGGGGAAGCTCAGGGGTGGAGCCTGGTGCGGCTCCGGTTGACATGGCATATGCTGCAGAGAGATACTCATGAGCCAGCGCCATGTTGTTCAAAGCGAGGTGTTGCATTCCCAGGAAGAGCTGTGGTAGGTGACTGCCTTGGAAAAGTCGCGCGGCCGTGCTGTAGGCCGCGATGGCCTGATCATGTTCGCCTTCAGCCGCAAAGGTATGAGCAAATCCGATCCAAGCTGGGGCCGAATGAGGGTCTAGCAGAGATGCTTTAGAAAAGAATCGACGAGCCTCGGCGACCTTTGATACTGCTAAATAGTATACACCGATGGCGAGATAAGTGTAGGGCTCCTCGGGCGCATGGTCCGCAAGCATATGCGAGAGCAAGAACAAGGCGTTTGTAGCTCCCGTTTCGTAAAGACACGCCAGATGAAGAGGATAGACTGCTGGTGTGTGGCCCAGATTGTGATGTGCAGGACCTCCCGGCCCGTTGGATGATGTCAAATCAGTCGCCTGGGAGGTAGAAAGTATGGAAGAGGTCAGCTCGAGGGCTTCGGCAAATCGGCATTGGGTGTACAGCGCCTCGGCACGAGAGAGCAAGATGTCGGGGTTTTTGGAAAGGTTGTAATGTGTGGAAAGAGTTTCGGTAGCGTCGGATAAGATACTCGGTGCCGAGTACTTGGACAGGCGGGTAGTATAAAGCATTTTGGTGAAGTGAGCCGCCTCTTGAGCGATGGCGGGGTCAGGTGAGGATACCGAGTCAAAGTCCAGCGATTCAAGGAACTCCAGCTCCTCGGTGGGCGACATCAAGGAGTTCTTCATGAGCTGGTCGAACGCTTCGAAGCACTGCACATCAATTCGAACGGCATCCTTGTAGCAGTCGCGTGCGCGATCAAAGGCATTCTGCTTGGCAAAGCAGAGCCCCCTCAGATAGCACATGGCGGCCTCAAACCTCACGCTACTCTCATCATCCCTTTCTCGACCCTCGCCTCGTTCCCCGCGCGTCGTAGTGTTTTTCCCGTTCCGTAGTGTGACATGACTCTGGCCATTAAGGTGTTGGATCTTCCGCCGGCTGTTGTTACTCCGGATCAAATCGGTTGGGTTTTGATCGCCAAGGATTGACAAGGCTTGTTCGAACTGGTTCTGTTTGATGTAGCAATGGGCGGCCAGGTAGCGACAGGCGCTGCTTCTCGTGATAAGGTCTCTGCGGGATAGAAGGGCCAAGGCGCGCGTGAAATTGTTGTTGGAGAAGTGGACTTGGGCTAGCCAAAAAGCATCTGAATCGCTGTCTTTTTCTCAGTCATTAGCCATGGGTTGGTAGAAACGGGATGAGACACAGGAAAGGGCGACGAGGGACTCACTGGTGAGCGCAAGAACCTTGTCGCCAATGTAGACCGCGGCGTCATGCTGGCCGCGATTTAGCGCATCCTGCCGCCAGGAGCGCAGATACTTCTCCATTGCAGGTCTGACACGTCTGGCCGAGGAGTATTGGGGTTGAGAAAGGCGACAGTCATGGACCTCAGCAATTGCCCGCGGGGAATTTGATTCTCGAGTGCCGCGGTGCTGCTGCTCGCATGAGCGGGTCGCGGAGGGTCAACAAACAGTGGCCCGTGCGCAACTGCCTAAAGAGTCGGGGATGCGATCAGTTGCAGAAACAAGTGATGCAGCAAGAGTGTATTTGGCGTACTTGATGTCGCCGTCTCAGCAAAAGAGCCTTTGTAATAAATCAAGAAATAGCCGAACCTTACAAGCTGGAGCTTCTATTTGTGCATCAACATTCAGTATCACGTGATCATCTTATCCTAATATCACGTGCTGCTGTCTCGATAAGTCCGCAAAGTCCAGCGCCACTTCTCTTCGTCAAGCAGCCTTATCTTCCTCAACTCCTCATCACCTGTCACTGAACCACCGCCAAGATGTCCGAGCGAAAGGTCTTGACCAAGTACTACCCTCCCGACTTCGATCCGTCGGCGATCGGGCGCACCCCCAAGCATCTGCGCCAGAAGGGTCCCAAGGTCATCACGGTCCGACTGATGGCCCCGTTTCCCATGAAATGTACCAACTGCGGCGAATACATCTATCGTGGGCGCAAGTTCAATGCTCGCAAGCAGACACTTGAAGAGAAATATCTCAACATCCCGATCTATCGGTTCTTCATCCGCTGCACGCGATGCAGCGGTGAGATCACCTTCCGTACAGACCCAAAGAGTAAGTGTTGGACACTCCACGTTTGACAGGGGCAATCATTCTAACTACGAAATAGACATGGACTATGAATGCGAGAAAGGAGCTAAGCGAAACTTCGAGCCGTGGCGAGACGGCAAGGATGGAAAATACAACGAGACCGAGGAGGAAACGCTCGATCGACTCGAGCGTGAGGAAAATGAGCAAGAGGAACAGCTGGAACGGGATAAGATGGCTGAGTTGGAGGAGAAGATGCAAGACTCGAAGCGGGAGATGGCGATTGCAGATGCGCTCGATGAGATTCGAACGAGGAATGCGCGTATCGCACGAAACCAGGGTTTGGAGGACGAGGTTGCTCTGGATCTCATCCACAACGAGGTCGATGAGGCGAAGTTGCGGGAAGAGAAGGAGGATGAGGAAGCAGCGCGGAGGGCTTTCATGACTGCTTCCGGCGAGAGAGTCAAGCGTATTGTGCACGAGGAGGAACTGGCCGCACCAGGACCCTCACAGACGAAGACTGCCCAGGCCCAGATGCCTCCACCTTCAACATCTTTCGCCCGAGTCAAGAAGGCTAAGAAGCCCGGTGTGAACGGCTTGGGTATTAAGAAGAAGCCATCCCTGGTCTAATGTGCTTTGTTATTTCTGCTTTCTTTCGGCATTGCAAGCGCTGGCGTTTTTGTTGCGACACGACAGGATTATACCATGATTAATAACAAGTCGATTTCACCAGTCTACAATTCAACTACAAATAAAAGATCGTTCTTGGATAAAGCAAAGTAGATTAAGAGCTATTGTTTGAAGTTGATAAAACATACAACAGGAAGGATCATACAGGAAGAAAGGTATCAAATATCATCAGAAAAGGGAGAGAATGATCAGTCTCTCCTACCAAAAGCGCCACGCTCAAAAAAACACACCCATGAAGCAACCCACCCAATAAAAACCCATTTTAGCTATGCAAACAGCAATCCACCCATGACAAGACTAGCGAAAACAGAAACAGTGTCAGAGCAGAACGCTGCCGCTCAGAGGTACGGCATCCACAATGCATCGCACGAGGCCAAGTGCTGGGGGTTGACGGCCCGAGAAACCAAGTCAATCGTTGTCTGGTTGGCAGGCAGATTGCCTTCCGGTGGACTGGCGAGGCTGACAGCGCGGTTGACGATGATCTCGCTGTTGTTATAAACCAGTTCGCGCAGCTGCGGCACGGCCAGGTTGCCACGATGCTGGGCAGTCGCCCAGAACATCATCTCATCGCGTACAAATACGCTGAGCTGCTGCTCAAGCTCGTGTCGAGGCTCGGTCAAACAACGGGCAATCGCCATCATAGCACAGGCAAACAGACCTTCCGTGGCAATAGGACCCAGCAGGGTTTGAATGTTGGGAGTGAAACGGAACGGCACCTGCTCCGGGTTGTAGAAGATTGCCTTGGCAGGGTTGATGGTCGGGATCAACTCCGCACCCCAGATGTCCCCCGTCGAGCGCGACACCAGAATCTTGTTGGGGTACCGGTTGCCAATGTGCATAATGTAGGTCATAAAGGCCACCGCAGCGTACTGGTAAGCGAATTGACGCCGGAACAGCCAGAAGTCGGCGAAGTTGGGATAGGTGTTCTGGAAGTACTCCAAGACCACGGTGCTTGGGACCCATTTGTCTTGAATGGCGGTCAAAATCTCGGTACGAAGAACCTGCTGCTGATCGGCCGTGCGCTTTGAAGTGTTAGCGTCGTCGAGGAAGTAAAGAGCGGCCGTAGAACTTACATTCTGCTTTGTCTCTGCTAGAGAGCGCATACGATCCATTGTGAAAAGAACGGGCTCATCCTTGTTCATACCGACTCGTCGGCAATAGTCCTCATAAATACCTTGCATGGAGATATACGAGGAGTCATCCCGGACCAAACGGATGTGCGGTGCCAGCGGTACCATCAGGGGAAGATGGAAGTACAGATTGCGGCGTCGGCTTTCCTTGCGCTTAGCTAGCAGCCCGTTGAAGATGCGGAACAGCTGAAGAATGCGTTCTTCGCGACGGCAGTGGCGTGCTGCAGGGTGCTGGACAGCAAAGGCTTGGATGCTACCGTCGTGACCCCGGATCTTGAGGCGACGGTGACAGACACCGATACCGCGGACCAGATCCACATCAGGCAGGAAACGATCGATGCGAACAAAGTCCTGATTCTTATCCTTGTGCAGGAGGTATTGTCCGGGAACTTCAACTTCATCAAACTTGAGGAAGCGGAACTCACTGAGATGCGGCGAGTAGCTCTCGAGGAATCCTGACTGTGGTCGACGGTCGAGCTTCTCCTCAAACTTGTCACGCCAGCGACGCAGCTTCTGGATGTACTCGTGCATTGTTGGCTTTTTGACTACGAAGTCAGCCTCAAACGACTTGCGGATGTGCGCTGGCAGAATAGTCTCCGCAAACCGGGTGATATTGGCCTCGGTCGCAGGAGGAAGCTTGAAATCCTGTGCATATGATCCAGGCATCCGTCCCACGTAAGCCAGCCCGTCGTTCAAAAGAGCAACGATGAGACGATAGGCATCCTCATCAGGCGGGCACTTGAAGTTCTTGTGAATCTGATCGACCATTGTCTCCATTGAGAGGGCCAGCAATGGGAATGCAGTCTTCAAGCCAGACATGATCTCGTCAGAGTACTCCCAAGGCTTTCTGAGAGGCTCCTTTTCAGTAGACTCCCCGGGAGCGGCACCTTGGTTCTGCGGTGTAGGTCCAGCCTGACCAGGTACTTGTAGGTGGCCTTGCGGTTGCTGTCCCTGGGCTTGCGGCTGACCTTGCGGCTGACCTTGCTTGGGACTCTGTCCTTGACCCTGACGTGGAGAGGCCTGAACCTGCGCGTTCGGTGGCTGGGCAGGAGACTGGCTTTGCGTCGGCTGGGCGGGAGATTGAGTTGTCGGCAGGTTCGCTGCTTGGCCGGCGGGAGAAGCACTCGGGCCAGGAGCACTGCCTGGGGGCCTCTGTGCAGGAGATGATGTCTCCCCACTCGCGGGAGCCTTTAGGTTTGGCGAAGATCTCTGCTGTTGCTGTTGCTGAGCTTGTCTGACCTTGTTCAGCTTTTCTTGCTTCTGGTCATGCTGCTTTTTGATGCTCAGCATGTCCTCCCGATTCGTGCGAAGGAGGAAGAATAGAGCCTGTGGGTAGAGCTTGGCAATCTTCACCAATACAGCCTTGCAAAGACGAGCCTCGCGATGAGACAGACTAGTAAGAAGTTGAGGGATAAAGGTAATCCAATACCAAACAGGAGTGTCTCCCTTGAAGTTTTCAAAGGCGCCGGCAATCTGTCCTTCGTCGTTATCCAGGCTGAGAAGCCAAAGGATACGGCTGAGCAGCTTCCGCGACTTGGCGCTCTTGTAGAGGCCAGCCGCTTCCAGATAACAGCTGACGGCATTGCTCGCCAACTCGTAGTCGGACGGGTCAGACTTGAACCGTTGATCGCTGTACTGTCCCCATTCAGACCAGGCCTTGGCAAGTCGGAGGTCGTAATAAAGAGCAACTCCGAAAGCCTCGTTGGCCTCATTGACATGGTCGAGCTTGGCAAGGAACATGCCCTTGAGAGTGTAGAACTCGGCCTTCTGCTGGGGTCCGAAGTAGTTGAGGTTGGTATTGTTGATCACATCCAATCCACTGTTGAGTTCCTTGGGGTTCTGGTAGTGGCACTTAGCCTGCTCCCGAAGCTTGAGGAACGCCTCTTGGATCTCGATGTTGGGCAGCGTGTAGATACGGCTGAGCTGGTTGATGCAGACCTCGGGCATTTGGTGCTTCCGAGCAACATGGGCGAAGCGATTGATGATCCAGGCAGTCTCGTGGTAGCCGCGATAGGCGTAGGAGTTGCTGGCCACGTTGTTAGTCTGTGGCGGAAGTAGACTCAGGTATGTCTGGTTGATGAGCTGGAAGATATGCTGTCGCCAGGTGACAAGGTCCTGCCACGTGTTGATGTCGTCCCAGAGGTTAGGCAACCGGTCGCGCCAGGTTCCAAGAAGAAGCTTCAACTCCGCAGACTTGGTGTCCAGGTTTCGCTCGTTGGTCTGAGACAAGCTACCGCAAATGTGGCTGGCATCATGCAGCTCAACCAGGAGTTGGAAGTGCTGCAAAATGGGGATATGGGCGTTGGTGATGCGCTTAGGCAGTTGCAACCATTTGCGGATGGAAAGTTGAATGGACTCGTCGCAGACACTGTTGAAATCTTGCATGTTCTCCTTCTTCATGTGGTACTGAAGAAGGGCCATGAATGCCTGGAAGAAGGTGCGTCGTGGAGTCGGAGCATCGGAAACGGACTTGATCAAGGACTCGAGTTGCTCGCGAGTGCCCTCACTCTGCCAATTCTCAATGTTCCTCCAAGCAGCCTCCAGCAGGAGATCATTCAAGTTCTCGTGCTTAGCGAAATCACTCAAGATCTCCCACTGCTGAAGCTTTTGGGCGCAGATCAGCCAGTGATCTTCCCAGACAAAGTATTCACCCTGCGAGAAAGGCATCGCACCGGAGCGTGCCTTGATTTGTGCGTTCTCGTAGAGCTGCTGAGATTTATCCCACATGCCCTGTTGCTCGTAGGAGAGGGCTGCATTGGTTTCCACAAACTTGCAGCGGCGGCGCCATGTGCCATAGAAGAAGTCATCTTCCTGAAGACCAGCATAGACTTCAACCAGAGCATCCAGATTACTCTCGCGAACGGTAGGGGTATCAATGATCGGCTTGATGGCGCTCTCCTCCAGGTAGGTTGCGGCGGTATACCAAGCATCGTATGTACGGCTGAGGTACTTCATGACATGAGGAGGAACCTTGAACCGAGGGCTGGCACGCACAACACCTTCGAGAAGAGCTTGAACAACGTTTGGTCTCTTGTCCAATTGGCGTTGGTGATATTCTCGGGTGAGCAGAGTAACCATACCCTTTTCGAGATCGATGCGATCATCCTTGGACAAGGTGGACCAGTAGATAGGGAACAGAGTGGTCCACAGCTTGTAAGCCACCTGCGAGTCGGTATGCTGGAGCTGAGAAAGTGGCTCAATCAAGTCGCGAACCCGGACATCACCAATATCGGACATGAAACGTTTGCGTTCGGCGACGAAATTCTCCAACTGACTGTCTACCATGATATCTGCCTTCCTCGAGTCCTTGTCACCACCAGCGAAAAGGAATGACAGGGGATACACCGTGAAGTCGTCTTGGTGCAGTCGAGCCGTGGTGTTCATGTCAACACAGCCAAGGATGAGGTGAGATGCTTGGGCCAGCCAGAAGGAATCAGCAAGGGTATCCCAATTCTGGCAAGTCAGCACATAGCTCAACCGGGAGCTCGCAAGACGAGTCAAACTCTTATCGAAGATGCTCATGAATCGGTTCCGCATCTCCACATCTTGAGCTCGAGTACCGATCAAAAAGGCATGCTCTAGCCGGACAGTCAACTCGGTGCGTGTGATCTTGGAGTCTTCATAGATGCGAATAACAAGATCAAGGAACTTCTTCAGCATGGTCTGATCCTGGCGAGACTCAAAGAGCAACATCTTGTGCAACACCGCCGTTTTCTCCTTGAGCGTGGGCCATGACTCGGTTGAGTGGAAGATCCACTCTTCAGCCATGCCCAAGACCTTGCTACACAACTTGATGTTCTGGGATCGCTCAACGATCGAAGCTAGCACGCTGAGGAACGGGCGACGCTGGTCACCGAGGTGAGACATCCGGACTGAGATGAGTTCAATGGTCTTGAAAATGAGGTCAACTCCTAGCTCGAATTCTTGCTGGTCAGGAACTCCCTCCGCGGGCTTCTGACCCTGGGGAGGCTGCTGTCCATTCTGATTGGTAGAGGCCGCAACGTGTTCCTTGGCCAGCTTCTGCGAGAAGGCCTTCATGACAGCAGGGATATGCGTGTCGATCTCGGCAGGTTTGAGCTTGGAGAGTGTCCACAGTGTGTTCAAAGCAGCAGTGTAGTTGCTAGCTGACAGCGTCTCGGTGGCAATGGCGGACAGGTATGTAGCAAACTCTGACGGCGTGCTCTCAGCATCCATAGCATCTTCTTCGTCAGGCTGGTCATCTGGAATAGCCTCGAGAACACGGCGAACTGGGGCTGGCAGTTTGGGAGAGATGTCCATTTCATCTTCGAGTCCATGCAGACAGTCTTGAATCTCCGGGTTGTCGGACTTCAGAGGTTTCTCAAGGAGCTTCTGGATAGTTGCCAAACGAGCCGTAATCCACTCATCGGGCTTTGCCGCGATGAGCACACGCAAGACCTGCAAAGCGTTGACCATGGGAGTGATCTGCTTCTCATCGGGTTTGTCGGCCTTCTCTCCAGCCAGAATAGGCTCTGTCACCTTTTGATAGAGATCGATGTCGAGATCTCCCCAGTACTCCTTGGAAAGCAGGTTCCGAAGAAGGCTGACTGCCTTGTTGATCATCTCACCGCTTGGGACTGGTGGTGGAGGCGGCTGCTTATTGGTGGGCAATTGGCGAATGTGTGCAGCAGGGACCAAAAAGCGCTCGGAGATGGTGGTGATGAAGGTAATCAAATACTTGATCAGAGCAGCACGTAGTTCGGGAGGGACCGTGTAGTCTAAGCGCTCTCGGCTGGGTGGAGGCCCAAGTGATGGAGATGCGGAGGCCGCTTCTTGTGTTTCCTCGAGCTTGCGCTTCTTCGCGTTCGGCGACTCAAGGGCTCCATTGAGTACGGTAGGGCTTGTCCCAATCGCCTGCACACGTTTCGCTTCCCAGCGCCAGATGAGGTCAATCAGGTTGAGTGCCAGTTTCTTGCTGTCATTGGAGGTGTTGGGTGGGCCAGCAATCTTGATCAGGAGGGGACAATGAGAGGAACAAAGTGCTCTCGCGACTCGTAGAAGAGGTCAGGCTGTCGGACCAAGAATTGGAAAATACTCATCACCTGCTGCAGGTTGGCGGTCTCCTCGGCTAAGATACGTCGTGGCCACTTAGCCCAAAGCGGGTATCGTGCCTCCGGGCCTTGGTTACCAGCAGTTCGGGTTGGTAGGACTGGGGCCAGAACATCCAGAGCTTGCGTGACGAGAGCACGGCCTTCATTTTGATGCGCTCTCAACAAAGCAACGTAGACCTGAATCACAATCTTGAAAGGCGTCTCGTAATGGGCAATGAAGTAACTGATCAGCACATAGGCACCATACTTGTTGATAATGTCTTCGAGACGGATGTAGTTCCAGGCGAACTTGATGATATCCTTGCGAGAGTCCTGCACCGTCTGATGATGGTACTTGATCAATAAAGCAGACAACTGAAGCAATTCCATGCGGGAATGATCGACTCCAGCTTGACTCGACTCCTCGCTCAAATCGGCCAGCTGAGGCTTCCACAGGCGGCTCTGGATGGACTCGGTCATGCTCTTGTCCATCAGCTTCGGAGTGTTCGCGGGGCTGTTCCATGTAGTCTGAACATCCATAGCGAAGATGGGGTTGACCAGGTGTCGGAAGGCATAAGTCTTGGTTTTCTGGGAGCAGGCACGCTGGCCGTAGAGGTCGAGACAGCGCATGATGACAGAGCGTCGGTAGTCAATGGATTCGTTCACGATGATGTGATTATAAATGAATTTGGGAAGAGCCAGCGTCCGCTTGAACTCATCGGCTGACAATCCGTCGATGACTTCAAATAGGAAGTCCAAGTCATGCGATGCTTCCGTCAAATAAACCGTGAAGATGTCCATCAACTGGTCTTCGGCCTGTTCGACTCGAAGGCGCTCATCAGGGGGCAAGGTATCGCCCCGCAACTTCCGCTCCAGCTCTCGACCTGAGGTGAGGAGCTTGGTCCGCAGATCCGCGTGGGAAACCAGCCAACGCTTGGTGGAGCCATATGAGCAAATTGAGTGTGCGATGTAAATGCCATTAATCGCTGCAGTGTTTCGCTTCTCATCCGTGGCCTCCAGCCCAAATGCGGTTGAGGTGAAGTTCTCGGTATCGGCCACCACGGCATTGCGAAGAGCATCGCTCTCAGGATCGGCCAGTATCTGCCCGAAGAAACGTCCATAGCCCTCTTCCTTGAAGCGGGCCAGGAAGAATGCCAAACTTTCCTTGGGATAACGGTTGAGATACTTGACGAGAGGCTTGCGGAATGGGCTGTGGGAGGTTCTCCGCAACTTCTTCTCAAGGTCAAGAACTTTGTCGATCAGGTTCTCCATGAAAGACGTGGCAGCCGGAGGAAGGAGGTGGAAAATATTAAAGATCGCGGCCACAATCTTCATGGCGGGATTCTGCTCAACCAAGCTAAAGGACACTTTTTGCAAAGTCATATCGTCGGCAATGACCTTCATATGATCTAGAAGACGAGCACCAATCTCAACCTTGAAATAGTTGGTAAGGAGCGTCAAGAGGCGAGCAAGACCGTCCAAACCAGCCACACTCAGACGCTTGGGATCCTGCAGATTCATGAGGATGGGGCGAAGACCATTCTGAAGCAAGTCCTTTGGCAGCTTATTAGTCTGCGTCAGCACATCCTTAAGACCAGCGTTCGCAGCCTCGATGACCTCGGGGGCCCGTGAGTAAAGCGACTTGAAGAAGACGGAGATGATTCGCGCGCGGCTTGTGTTCTGTGGAGTGTTGGCGAAATCAGGGAAGTTCATCGCCATAGACAGGAGGCGCAAGCAAGCCACACGCAGGTTCACAATCATGTCGGCGTTCTTGAACTCGTTAGGCTTCGACGCGAGCGAGTCGTCATCGGCGTCGGCAAGGGCTAGGGACTCCAGCATCAATCGATTTAGCGGCTCATTGAAGCTCACAATCTCATTCTGCAAGCTCAGGCAATAAGTGATGGCATCAATGAAACCAATTTGCGTAGCAAAAGGCAAAGCGCGCAGAGGTTTGTTGAAGATTGACTGAAGAAGACGATCCCTAACAGGGAGAATAAGCTCGTGTACCTCGCAGCCCAGTTCCTCCTTGAGGGTAGCAAAGCAAAGCTTTGATGTCTCGCGAACATGCTTGTTCATATGGCCAAGCTCGTAGACAAAGAGGCCGCACAGTGAGAACAAACGGCTCTTCTCGTTCTTGAGATCATCCTTGGGAATCAGCTTGCCGCAGCGCTTAAGGATCAAAGTCATGGTCTCCTGTGACTGTATCCGCGTGGAGGCAGGAAGGTCTGCAGGCGTGTCTTTGATGACGTAGAGGAGCGCACGAGAAAATTCAACGTGTCGCTCATACAACCATGAGTCTCCAAGGTCCATCTTGGAAGCCAAAAGCTTGATGCCCAAACTTCCTCCGGCCTTGGTGAACCACTCCTCGCTGTGGCAGCTGTGGCAGAAGACGCGGCCCAAATGTTGGAAGAATGGGAGTTTGGCAGCCTTCTCCGGGGCACCAAACATGACACCAGCGGCTTCTTTGACAACAAGCATTGCCTGCTCCGCGGCCTCGCGAACGGGAGCGCTGTCAGACGAGAGACACTCAACGATCGCTTCAGCTAAAACCCGGGAGTCGATGTAGACAGGACCTTCACCGTTTGCCACGTCGAAAGGCTTGCGATTATGACGGGCTTGGGCGAGAGCTCGACCGACCTCAACGATGGCAAAGTGCTTACAGACATCGGCGACGAAAGCAGAGGCAGCGGGCTCGAGTTCGGAAACAGTAGCAGCAAAGATACAGGCCTTGAGAAGCTTCTTCACGGTGGCTTCCTGCGCCACCTTCTTCGGGATCGATGCTGATCTCTCGGACTTCTCGAGGATGTCAACCATGGCACTGGCTTTACCCTCGAACAGATCGTTGGCATGAAGACGGATTAATGAGGCCAGGTCATCAGGCAGATTCTCAAATCCAATTTGAAGTTTGAGGTGCGAGCTCAGCATCCTATAAGCCTGCTGCTTGTAGTAGATATCCGAGGACTTGGTAGTTGGAGACTTGGGGACCTCCATGAGTTTACCGATAGCCAGATCAATACCGATATCCACAGGGAAAGGTCGCTTCTCGCTTGGACCAATGAGTCGGATGTCGAAACTAGGGTTGTCATCGGAGTACTGCTGGAAGGAGAGCTCGGGCGGGTGATTCAAGAACTTGCGGTTTCGACCACCCAGCTTGCCAAGAATGCGCATGGTAGTGTGCGCGTGGAAGTGATTGTATGGATGAGGTCGGAGATGATCCCAAAGCGCAGTCATCAGTTCGTCCATGATGGGAGCCATGATGGGGTCGAGATAGTCAGCCGTCAAGTTATCCACGCAAAGCTCAAGTGTGCGGAGACCTTGTCCGACAAGATCAGAATCAGCACGCAAGGCCACCACAATTGGTCGCATTAGGTAGCTCAGGTGAGGCAGAAGATGACTCAATCGTGCAGGAACTGTCAAGGTCAACTCGACGTAGAGGTCGCGCTCCTGGGGCTTGCGGGCAGCGAGGAGCAGATTGTTGAACGTTTCCAAGAGCATTTCTAGAAGGGGAAGGATTTCCTTATATAGAAGCTCAAAGCGTCCACCGCCAATACTACGGAACAGTGAACGCAAAAGGAGGAAGTAGTTCATCGGCTCCTCGGCCGTGACTGACAGTTCGATGCACTTGGTGACAATCTTGGTCACATGGGGATGTAGGACCTGCTCATTCTGCACGGAGAACAAGGTAACAGCCATGAATGACAGCTTGAACATCCTGAGGAGAATTTTCGCCTTGGTCATATCCGAAGTTCCAACTTCATGAATACGCTCCATGAGGTACTGCAACACCATTCCTGAGAATGCGGGCGAGGTTGCTTCACTGGCGAGGAAGAATTGTGGCAAGTGAAGCAGAGCACCGTGCTCGAACATCAGTTCATGCAGATATGGGATTTCCGAATGGAAGACCTCGTGGAACGTCGCCGTATCAATACAGTGGAAGACAGTGCCAAAGCTCTCCAGGAGCTCCTTCTCTTCTCGCGTCATAGGGGCGGTATATTGGCTGGCGAGGAAATCGAATGGAGACGAATAGTTCATCTCAGGAGGGGCTTGGTCCACGCCGTAATAACGGAACACACGGGCACCCTCATGGAAAAGCTTCTTGATCACACGAACCTCCTCAGCATTGTATCCGTAGGAGACCTCAGACCAGTTGATGGGAACGCTGTTCGGATCAATCTGGATGTCGTCTGGATTACAGTTCTTCAGTTGGTGGAAAATGTTCTTCAGACCGTTAATCAAATTCCTGAATAAGAAGATGTTATCAGAGACGGGATCACCGCCACGGTCACGAGGGCTTGTGGTCTTGATCGGCGAGGCAGAAAAGATGTCGATTTCATCCCAGTCGGGCGGCTGGTCCTTCTCCGCAAGGTAATTCTCAGTGGTCGGTTCTGTGTCCTTTCGGGAGTCCTTGTACGCCTTGGAAACCTTCACTGCATTGTTGAACTGATGGTTCATGGAGGCAAATTTATCACCAATCGCGTCCAGGATCATGATCAAGAAGTAGCGTGCTTCGCGCTTGTCCTCAAGTCTGGAAATCTTCTCGGCCATGTTCAAAAGCAGCTTCGCACTCATGGTCTGGAAACTTGTGCCGGGGAAATCATCGTGAAGATTCTTGGTATACACTTCAACCGTGCGACGGATTTGATCACGGCTGAGATACTCTCGAACATGGTGGATAAGATCAGCAAGCATACTATACGCCAAGGGACGCATGGTCTCGTAGACAGTGAGTCCATCACCAATAAGAGTGCGCTCGTCGAGAAGTTCGTCAATCTTTTCAAGGAAGATCTTCCGGTAGTTGAAGTTGATGATGTGTCTAATGGCGACAAGGAGCTCCTTTCGTGCACCAGATTTCTCTCGAGGGCAGTCTTGGAGAAGACGGACAACAACAGATGGCAGCGTGGGGAGGAAGTCTTGGAGCTGGTGAGCATAAAGGCGAAGCAGATATGCCAAGAAACTCATCGTCTTGACTTGGGCTGTAATGAACTCGCCAAATGCCGCACGGTTCTTAATCTCCTTGCAAACTCCAGTGAAGATTGTGCCTTGGCTAGCGGCATCTGCATGTGCCTTTTCTTGCGGCTTGGCTTGCAAAAGCAAGATTGACTTTATAAGCGGCACGAAAAGTTTCACGTTCTGGGCGACCGAAGCGCGATGGGTTTGGAAGATTGAAACCACGATGATAGGACATTCGGCCAGAACCTTGAATGACTGCATGCCCTTCAAGATCACATTGCTTGCCTGCTGGTCAGGTCCCAGGTCTGACACAGAGGTAGCAGGAGAGCTTGGCCGTGGGGATTGAAAGTTTTGTGCACTTGTATTCGGTGTTGAAGGCATTCCTGATGGTGTTGCTTGATTAGGAGTGTCAAATGTGTCCCGTACCACTTGGTCCATGGTCTGGAACATCTCTTGGATAAGCTCCAGGAAAGGCTGCACCCGTGCCGCGGTAGCCTTTGCCTGATTCCGTTCCAGGTCCATAATGGTTTTCATGCAGAGAACCGCATTTTCTTCGTTCTCGATCCGGGCGAGTTCCATTAACACATCCACCATGTCCGCGGCATACGGTTCGACATCTGGTGAAGCTGTAGGTAAACGATGAAGTGTCTCGAGGATGCAGTTTCGAAGTTTCTAGATCGCGTAAGGGTTAATGGATGTTTCCTTGTAAACGGGATCATCGAGAGCGGATGCGCTCTCGGTCCGCTCGGCAGATTATCTCACCTGCTCGTACGACATGCTGAAGAAGACCGGCTCTCCCTTCAGGATTGTCTTGAAGACAGGCCATAGCTTTGCCAGGAACACGGGGTAGCTTGCGCCCTGGCAGAGCGGCTCAATGCTGTCTCGCAATTCGGTTGCGACATTTGCTCTTACTTTCACATCTGCGGGGAGGTAAAGATGGTCAATAACGTCACAAAGTGAGAGTACTCCACACTTCATCAAGTCCATTGTAACATACCCAGCTTCTCGTCCCCCAGCTTGCTGGCGTAAATGTCGATATTGCGCTCCATGGCGGCTTTCAAGCCCCCTCGGAAGGGCCAGTCAAGAGAAGAGGACTGTAATCACTGCCAGGCCCGGTGGCCGGCTGAGTTATCTCCAGCCCACGCAGTGGTGTCGGATCAAAATCGGTAGGTCATAAGCGAGGAACGAGGTCAAAAATCGACGCTTGGTGAGGGTCGTGCAGATAGGCCCGAAAGGATCGATCGAAGATGGATAGGCGAGTGAGGCTGGGGTATCGTCAAGTCATTGAATTTCGGAGAGAGCCTTGCCTAGTCCTTTTTGAATGAGAGACTGGACGGCAAAGCTCGAGAGTGGAAGAAACCCCGGGGGTGAAAGTGTGGGAGAGCTAAGAGAATGAGGAGGACTGGAGATCGAAGCGCGCGACCTGGCCCCGAACAGAAAGCGCTGAAGGGACGCGGGCAATCGCAGAGACCCCGAACGAAACACTAGTCCGTTTTGGGCAATACGGCACGGGTTGTTCCGTTCCGTAGTACGCGCGCTTAATAAGCGATTAGACGCGCGGGTACCCCAGGGGTTTCTGTGGCAGTATCAGCCACCACGAGGAAAGATGATCAGGGAAAGTTAATGTACCTGTCAAATTGTGCTGTTGTTCAAGATGCTAGACTAATGCTTGGATCTCTAATTGCAGCGTTATTCTAGCTCACAGTCAAAAATTCCTCGACATCCCAGACAAAAAAACTATCCCCGATCACTTTTCTGTATATTCATTTACTACCAATCAAAAAGCAATTTTACCGAAGGCGATATCATGTCTCAGTACTGGTCTAAACGAAAAACTGGCAACGCATAGAAAAGAAGCCGCCGACACGCGGCAGTCAATAGATAGAAACGCCATTTGCACCCATTTTCCATAACCCGAACACGGTTCTAAGACAGAATCCAGCTCAGAGGTCCGCTCAGTGATCAAGGCCCAACGCAAACGAGGAGCCCATCACAGGAAGGGAAATATCAGAGAAACCATGTACACAGATAAAGTAGAGGGATTTGGGGAGAAGAAAAAAAGAGAAGAAAATGGATGCGGCAAGAAAAAAAAAAGGCACGGAGTCGAATGGGCATCAATCCGGTAAACAGGCCGGTAATCAAGACACAAAGAAGAAAAACATTCGTCGCAGCCCGTGTTCGCTATGTCATGGGAAGGTTTTGCATAAAATCAAGGGAAAGACACATGTCCATGAGCATACGCCCCATCACTGTCCAAGGCATTATTTGGTCGAGTTGCTGCGATGCAAGATCTGTACATTGGTGGCACTGGTACCACTACCAACCGACCGGCGTCGCGGGCGAATTTCGCTACCGCTACCACTCCGTCGCCTCCGGGAACTGCTGCCACCACGAACGGAGCCACGGCGTCGTGTCTGGAGCAAAATGGACGTTTCCACATTAGAATCACGCTGGCTGTAAATGGGTGGAAGATGGCCTCTTAGCAAAAGACAAATACAAGGGAGGATCGCGCGCCAAAGGTACGAGAATCAAAAAGGCAGATAACCCAGTGATAGGGATGCAAGCGTCTGAAACAGGCATGACAGCAAGGTTGATCAGAGATGCTCGGGACTCACCGAAGTTGGGGTTCCTTCGCGAGCAGGCCGCTCCTTAGGTGCCTCGGCTTCTTCCTGGATCTTGAGAGTGTTCAACCGCTTTTGGCTTTCGTTGGTCATGGCCTCAACTTCATCGATGGGCTCAGGCACGTTGAGCGCAGGCGCAGGTGGGGGAGGAGCGCCATTCTTCCTCATAGTCGCTTGTTGTTCGATCATGTCCCACCGATCTTGGCGGGTCTTTTCCCGTTGGTCGGCGCCGTTCTGGTGTTCGGTGTATTCATGAGAGCACTCATCGAAGAGCTGTGGGTTAATCTCCATGAACATCTTCATGGCGTTATACACCATGCTATGGATAGTTCTGTGAAGTTAAGCGAGTCAGACAGGCTCTCGAACGAATGGGACGAAAACAGCAAGCGGTTACTCACCGGTTCCAGTGTCCCTTGGAGTTCTCGTAAAGAGGGGCAAACATGATCGGGAGGATGGTTTCCACATTATCGCTAACAAGGTTACAGAAGTATTCGTTGTTCCAGAAGTAAAGAGCACGCTCGGCGACCTATCGAGTGAAAGTCAAGTGGTTAGGAGATTGGCCTTCTAGTGACCGCCGTTGAATGATATGCATACCTGGAAATGTGGGCTGGCAACCGACTTGGCCAGCTGGTGGAAAAGGGGTTCCTGAACTTTGGCGAACTCTCCGGGGTCCATAACCTCAAAGATATCCTCGACTTCGTTGAGGTACATGACCTCCTTGGTGCTGTTGGTCTTCGGCCAGTAGCGCAGCAACCCAAGAACGACCTGAAAAGGCAATAAATTAGCATATTGCGGAGAGCAACCTGACGTGAGAAAACAGAAAAAGGGTGCACAGCTTACGTCTTCAGTCAGGCTTGAATCCTTCTCCAGGAACTGAACAATACAGTATGCCAGTTGGGGGTGATACATGCTCAGGCTCTTGACTTTGTGCATAGGTAACAATACCCGAGTCAAAAACAGCTTGTGCTCCTCCTTAAGGGGCAGCGCAAATCCGTTGATTATGGAACCCAGGATTTCCAGCAGCTCGGCGATACCATTATGTCTCTCCGTCTCATACATGAACTGGAAGAAGACATTGTTGATAGATCGCCGAATGTATGACCGCAGGTTTAAAAACTTGCCGTAAATCCGGTGCAGAGTAGTCTTCAAGAAATCGCGCTCGCGGGGGTCTTCGGAGTCAAAAAGATCCAGCAACTATATTCTTGTTAGCAACGATAGCCATTGATGAGGGTACGGGGCCTTCCAAGCTCATACCTGAAGCACGAATTGATGATCAATGTATGCCTTGGCAATGTTTGTGTTGAAATCCTGGCTCTCAATGAATCGCAAGAAGAACTCATAGACAACCTGGATATGCGGCCAAGCCACTTCGAGGACGGGCTCATCCTCCTCCGGGTCAAACGCCTCCCCTTGGGGTGTCATAGGCGGAGGGATCGGGCGGAATAGGTTCTTGGCGAACATCTCCACGACGCGAGGGTACATGGGCTCCGTAATGACAGACCGATTGTTGGCGACGTAATCCAAGAGTTCATGGAGAGCCAGTCTCTTGATCTCTTTGGACTTCATGTCGGCCGTGGGGTCATTGAAATCGAAAATGATGTTGCACTGATCAATCTTCTGCATGAACAGGTCCTGGCGCCGGTTGGGGGCCACCTCATGGAAACCCGGTAGCTTCTCCAGCTCTCGCTGGCGCTGATCGGAGATGTCGAATCGCGAGGAGTGTTGGCGCTTCGGGGTCCGAATTCCTTCGGACAAATCTTTCGGGGTTGTCTGAAGGCGATCGAAGACGTGCGATTTTCTCGGCGGCGCCAGGTCGCCAGGCATGGTTTCGGCAGCGCCGGGGGGAGCCTACGTATGCGCAGGGCAGTTTAGTGTCAAGTCCGAAAGGGTTCTATATCGCCACGGTGGTGCACTTACAGGTCCGCTAGGGCTTATGATCACACTAGGCGCAACTGGCTGACCCTGCCTTGTTGGGGTACCCGGGCCATTGCTGATGGGCTGGCCTGCGATGGTCGCTCCTTGAGGTATATAGTGCTGGGCAGGCGTGACGCCTGCGGACGGGGTGACTGCTGGTGAGGCATTCTCCGGCGACTTGCCCCGCGCATCATTCAAGGAAGTTGTAGACGACGTAGGGGTGCCTTGGCCTGGTGATGCCGACTGATGTGTTTGGGAAATGCCGAGGGAAGCTTGGCTTTGGGATGAGTTGGAGGCGTCCTTCTTTTTGAAGATTTGTTGGCGTCCTTTGCCCGCGACAACTGCTCGTGCTAAATTAGAGAGCAGGAAAATGTCAGCTTTAGTGCGAGTCGAGCAAGGGGGGGGTTCACCATCCATTGCATGGTGGGGGAGGGGATGATAGGCGGAAGTCATCGTGCGGTGAAGCAAGAAAACCATTGCCGAGGGTGACGACTTACCACTCTCTGTCTGAAACCCTTCATTTTCACGCCGGTATGGACAGCCACATGTACTCCGCTGGTATTCTCGGTGCTAGTGCAGGCGGGCGCTGCACTCTAGCCAGGGTTACTCGGACGGCAGGCGAACGGGAGAGGGGGCGGGAGGAATTGTTTGAATCGACCTAGTAACGTGTGAGCTGTCAGTATTGCGTGTCAGGGTAGCACATGAGGCATCCATAGTTCTGTTGATGGATCTCTAGTGATCTATGTTGGTTTTTCCACCAGTAGATGGGAGGAAGAGTCTGAATGACCGTCGCTTCAAAGCGGGTGATGTAGCAGCATGCGCACGGGGCAAGGCGCATCAATGTTGAGGATCAAGGACCGAGGGAGGCGAAACGGTGATGGAGAGCGGGCAGTACGTACCTCTATGGGCTGAAATAGGACAATTGGCGTTTGAGGTGCAAAAACAACTGGGCTGAGCAGCGTGGAGGTCGGTATAGGGCGAGCGTAGTCGGACCGCTCTAAAGGATCTCCGTGTCGCTTAGTCGCAGGCTGGGGCGGGGGATTCGAAAGCGCCAGAGCCACCCGATTGTACTCGCAACCAAGGCGAAATCAACGGCTTTTCAGATGAAGCTGGCACGGGCCAGACAATGCAACGGGTCAAACTCAGCGATGTTGGCGGGTGGGTGGGGAGGGAGGAGGAGGTCAAGGAGGTGTTGTTGAGGTAAAGGGAAAGGCGGGTTCTCCTGGCTGTGATGGTGATGGGGGGGAGGGGCTGCTTCGACTCCCAACTTCAGTACACACAACGAGGGTGAGCAAGGTTCATCCACAGGCGCAGAAACTTTCCAGTATCTTACTTCTTCTTCTGTATCTACTTTATTCTACTTGGGCTTTATTATCATTACAATCTATTGCGTTAGTCCCGTGTCCAACTATTTTGAATGCACTTCTTTCGCGGCTTATGTCACCTGGGTCACGTGGCCCTCTCCAGGGGGAATCCGAACTCTGTCCAGCACAGCAATGCGTCGAAAATGACTTTAAGCAATTAACTAGCTGGAGTTGCCGTATAGCCGATAGGTAGTCTTCTATTCCCTTCTCTGGATTTGCTTTGACTATATTTGTTCTTGAAGTGTACAAATGCTTTCAAATGTGACTTGTTGCCGCACTTGGAAATATATTGTTTCCAGGCTGTACGTATTCGTAACTAGTAGACCTTGACCTCAACCTCGATCTTTCAAGTTTGTTAGCACATTAGATATACGTCCGTTTGACTGTAATCATATTTGGAAGAATGGAACAAAGCCATTATCATAGACGAATACAGGGGTTTGGTCAGATTACTCCATTTTACATCATGCCACATTGATTTTCCATAAGTCGAACCGTGGTCGCGCTGCCCGACTTTCCGGCATCAAGCTTAGTCATCATGCCGCTGGATGGATTCACTTCGATCTCGAGAAATGAGAGACTCTTCTGCTTCAGAGGAAGAAGATATGCATAATTCACCCGGAAAGTGGGAGAATAACCGGGCAGAAGACACCATACTGATTATTTCCATCTCGATGATTGGATAGTGACCCATTGCTCGTATCTATTCGCCATTTTGTTTTCGAGTTGGCATCAAGCTGTTTTAATCTCTACTCAACCGCAGACCCGCAGCCCTGCCAGGAGCGTTGATATATCTCATTCTCCTTCACACCCTTCAGCGCTTCCAACCGTTAAACACTCATATCACCATGGAGAAACAGCGCGAGTCACGAACTGCCTCCTTCTACAAAATCCCTCCCCTGCACCTGGTCAGCGTGGAGCACCCTGCGGTGATCCGCAACCTTGATAAAGCCGTCGCGACCCTGCAGGGCAACACCGGCATCGAGAAAGTGAGTCGACATCCTTCATCTTGATTGGAAACCAGAACCTGAAAGTTCTCTAACCATATACAGATGCTGAATCCTCCCAAGGCTGATGCCTCGATCAATTTGATGCTGAGGCCGGAAGATGCCCTGTCACGACCACTTCAGTCAATAAGCTGTCCATCAAATAATGTCCTGCTTAAAGTCACCGTGCCCAAGCGGACGGGACGGAAGCGTAAGCGCGGCTCGGATGAGCCCTTTGTGGATGCTACGCCTGAGTCTACGGGGGAGCCTCTGCGGCGGCGCCCTGCGAAGGAGATCATGCGCAGTCTAAGCGATAACCCATCAAAGTACAGGGTTGAAGCAATGGGAAAGATTGAAAGGACTCATGTGTTTCGAGGTTTGTGCCCATGCTCAGCTAGTGTAGTCCCAAGGATCTGACATATGGTTATTCCAGGTATGCCTGACTTTGTCTACTCGACCATGAATAGCGCCTTCTCCAACCGGTTCCGACAGCAGATTCTCCCATATGAGTGTGAGTTCATATTTTCATCAAAAGCCTAGCGAGAATCAGTCATCGGCTAATGCCCAAGCAGTGGAGAAGATCAAGCAGTTCGATCTTGATATGAGCAAAGGAGCCACCCTGAACGTGGACCTCATTCCCCCACCTTCCTTCAGTCAAGGTGAAGTGCCGTTCCAGTACATGTACGTCCAGTGAAACCCTGAATTATCCAAAGTACATATAAACCCACGGAACTTACTAACACACCTGCCTACCAGCTATCGCCAAAACCCCATGGTGAAAAAGGCTGTCGACCAATCCGGCGAGATGACAACCGTGAACACGCAACAAGTAGCCAGAGTGCGCACTCACCTCGTCGCCTACGACATCCCCCAAGTCCCACACCAACCCCAAGAAGATCTCCGCCCAATCGAGGAACTCGAGAACAGCCTACGCGCAACCATCCAACTTCTCGAGGAACTCTTCGAGAAGCGACCCGCATGGACTCGCCGCGCAATCCGCAATCATCTCACAACCGACGAACAGCGCAACAACCTGCGCCACGCCGTGCCCTACGTCGGCTACATCTTCCGGTCCGGACCCTGGCGAGACGCCATTATCAAACTTGGCCACGACCCGCGCACTTCCCCGGCCTACCGTGATTACCAGACTTTCATGTTCCGCATCTTACCTCGCGAGGCAGAACTCGCCCGTGACGGCGGGACCGGCCGTCGCCATAATATCTCCCGTGTAATCGGCGACGAGATCAATCAAAGCCCCGACATGACAGACACGCACATCTTCACCGGGCAATTGCCTCTCCCGCGCGACGGACGCATCTGGATGGCCTGCGACATTGTCGACCCCTTACTCAAGAACATCCTCTACCCGCCGAACCCGCCAGAGGACTTCCTCCGACCTAGCTGCGAGATCATCACGGACGGGTGGTTCGGCAACGGCACGCTCGCGAAAGTGAAAACGATCATGCGGTCTAAAATCCAGACACTCATCGAAGACCGCAAACCGCATGACTCGGACTTTTGGCGCATTGTGGCGTTCCCGGATCATGCGTATACGGAGGCTGATTTGGGGTTGTTTACGGTTCCGTTGGAGGGGACGATTAGTCGGGAGGTTGCGATGGCTACGGAGGTGCGGGCTTCGATTAAGGGAGCGCCGTTGTGGCGGAAGATGCATGATCGGGGACATGCGGATTTGGATGGGGAGAAGGTCGGGGTGTTGAAGAGGGCGAGGGGGAAAGGGAAGAAAGGGAAGAAGGGGAAGGATGTGGTGTTTGAGGTTGAAAGGGAAGATGAGGAGGTCGATGAAGGTGGAGAGGAAGATGAGGTGGAGGTGGAGGTTGAGGATGTGGGTGGTGGTAATGGGGACGAGAGTGAGGGTGAAGAAGAGGAGATGGAGCGAGTGGAGATGTGGCATGAGCAGGCTGTTGCTGCGGTGCAGGCTCGAGAGGCTGCACTGGCAGAGGAGGATGAGGACGAGAATGATGAGGGTGATGATATGGATGGTGACGAGTAAGGTCGAGTAGAATCAAGTGCCTTATGCAAATTTCCCAATCATACAGTACCGACCAAGTTTACTCAAGCTACTGTTACTATTTGATCCAAGCCCTGCAATAAAGCACCAGACATCAAACCAGACAATCCGTTAATTAGAAGGAAACTACAGCAAAAACAATATGTAACTTTGAAACCAACAAAATCCTGAACGTCAAATCCCAAACCAAGAAATAGCAAAGGGTATTCAAAAGATCAAACAAGCAGAAGCATCATCAATAACATCAAGACATCAAATCAACTCCAACACCCCAAAGAATCATTATCATAAAACTCCATGCAGATACCCAGACACACCAAGACAAGGCCAAAGACGCCGAGACCAGATGCAAATGCAATCATCATAAATTTTAGAAACATCGCAAACGACACACTAGTCCAGCGCAGCATCAGCGGAGGAAGTAGATGTTGCATCGACCCCGTCACGCGCATTAGCAGTCTCGGACGTCTTCTCAGCCGGAACGACCGCCTCCAACACCGAAGCAATAGAAGTAGTAATAACAGGCGACAAGCAAAAAGCCTGAGAAGGCGAACCCGAAGGCGGAGAGATCTTCTTCGAAACAACCCCATTCTCACCCTCATCCTCCTCGTCATAAACAACCGCAAACGAAAACGCATTGCAATCCTCCGGATAATAATCCGCAGCATTCAGCTCGCCGAGGGGCGCACGATCCTCGTCCATTTTACTCGCCTTGAGCGCTGCGGCTGCGGCGACGAGGGCTGTCACCTCCCGCGGACGGGGCAGGTCAATGCCCAGTTCGGCGGGGGGCACGTTCTCCTTGCCGCGGTCATCGGCGGTGGAAGTCTTGGACTCGTCGTCGCTGATGTCGAGGACGCCTGTGGAGTGCTGCATCAGGTTGGTCATCTCCTCCTGCTCTGAGTCGACGTGGATATCGAAGAACCATGATGTCGGGCCCTTGGGTTTGGCAGGGGTAGAAGTAGTGGTAGTAGTGACAGCCTTGGCTTTGCCGTGGGACAGGGCTGTAGCTAGCGAGAAAGGACGGGCGACGCCGCCGCGCTTGCTGGGTTCGGGACGAGCTTTGGTGATTGTTGATCGGCGGGAGGAGGAGATGGACTTGGGAGGGGGTGAACGGCCGGCTGGTTTGAGGACTGGTGCGGATTTGGGGGTTGAGAGGGAGAGCTTGGAGGGTGTAGCGAGGCGTGGGGAGAAGTTGATATCGCGGACTGAGAGGGCCATGCGTGAGGTTTTGAGGGGTTTGGCTGCGCTCTTGGTGACATCGTCGTCTTCTTCGAGGGTACGCTTGCGCTTGCCGGAGAGACTGAGGGTGTTTGGGTCGATGTTCTCTGCATTGTCCATGAAGATGGAGTTTTTGGCTGAGAGAGTCATGCCTGGATGGGGAGGGTTTATGATTAGGATTCTATGTATGGAGAGGGTAACCATGGAAGGGGTAGGTAGATCCAGGCTTACCATTTTGTTGGTTCTGGCGGTTCAATTTAGACCGCATTAGGGGACGCATTGTGGGGGTATCCAGACTCGCAAAGGGTTGGCGGGTGGGAGGTGTCATGGTGAGGGTGGCCATGACGAAGAATCTGAGGCTGACTGGAGTGTCTGGTCTGTGCTGGTGGTTTGTTTTGGCGTTCTGGCGTCGCGGCGCTAAGTGGGGGAGCGATTGGCGGTCTACGCTAAGAGAGTCGATCGCGAGATCGAGCCGAAGATAGAGTTGGTAGATGGACTGATCCGATGAAGGAGGATATAAACGTCTGAATGTGTTCAGATGATACGTGCTTTTAGGCTGAATGATTGTACTGGTCGGGAGGGTTGAGTGGTCGTGATAAGGAAGGGATGGGTAGGGCAGACCAACGAGTCCACGACTAGCACCGGAGTAATAATAGAAGGAGAGGATGGCAGTGCGGGGCGGGTGTACTTCGTAGGAATGATGGAGAATATAAGATTCGAGGACCGAAAGGGAGGGTGGCAAGAGGATATATAGGTTATATTGGTACGAAATACTGGGTAGTCAGTAGTAGTAGTGCAACTCTCAAGCCTCGAGGGAGATGGGGAGGAGTAAGGAGGGATTCTTTCTGGGCTGGCGAGGGCCGCGCTGGAACTATTTCAAGGCCAGCATCGCGGGCGCGTCGTGCTCGCGTTGGGATGCAAGGCGCCCTCGACTTGGGGCGATTGGACCATGCCAGCCCAGCGGTGGCGTTCATGCAGGTGGGCACAATTCGATTCTCCAATCGAAGAGAGACGGGGTTATGGTCCCTGCTCGTGGGCACTTGGACCGAGTATGTACCGCTGTATGTACAGACGGGATGTCTGGCAGGCATGGCCTGTGGAATGTCGATCGCGACGGGCATTCACGGTATGACTATGGATCGAGTATGTTACAGGATGATAGATGGGGTAGTTGACCATGAATAGAGCTATATACAGAGCAGCCGATTCTAATAGTAGATTGCTCCGTAGAGATAGTACTAGTAGAACAATCGCCTAACCTTACCCCAATTATTTAATATCCAAACCATGGACGAACTTGAGCTAATGCCGACGGAACCGACTGCGCGTATCCCTTTGACGCGTCCCAGTCGCAAGGACAAGTACAAGTACTGGAACCTTCAAACCAGCCAGTTTACTCAAGACATTCAACTATGAACAACCTACGCAATGTAATAAAAAAAAACCATTCCTCCCAGCCCTATAACCCCCAATAACCCCCAATAATTCCCAATAATCCACCCGCCCCCAAATGTATTGACCATGTCACTCCCCCCGCCCTCCTTCGTACTTACAGTACTCCGTAGACTTCGTACTTATACATCCGACGCGCGACACGCCTCGCGTCCAAAACCCCTCCCTTACACCGCGACCCCGTTCAACCGCGCCCGTTCCTAATCTCGTTTCCCCTGCTGCACTGCATATCCACGAACTCACGACTGTCTCTCTTATAGGCTATACCGCTCCCCAATCTCGTCCGGTGCGAAACTCTGTCGCGGGACATGCATCGCTAATGCTGCCAACTCATCTCGTCCTTGCGCCATTGGATCCGGTCTTACCTCGAGATGGATCGTTTATGAAACTGCTGCATGCATTGGTGAACCGAGTAGGTGGGAAGAGATGGGGCTGCTGGATTCGAGTAACGAGGCGAGGGCGTAGAGTACCTGGTAACCGAGAATGTAGGACTACTACAGTAGCTGATGGATGGTCCTACAAATAACGTGTCCCGACTACTGCACACCTCCTTAATGGTCCTATCCCCTCCTTCTTCAGGTCTCGTAGATTTTTCCAGGTGCTGGAAGATGCTGTAAGATGGTCAGACGTGGAGAATTTGCCACTGACCGCGTGACCCTGTCATTCTCTACCATTCCTTCGTTCTTAAGTTCCCGAGTGAACCTCCTATCTCCTTAATTCCGGACACCTTCCATGCCTCTCGTGGCCCTCCGACGCCATCCCCGTCATTGCACATCTGACTCGTCGCATTTCGCAACCAGATCAGTTATAGGGTTTGTAGGTTGACTCGAAGGAGTAATTCAAGGGCTGATCGATCAATGGCCTTCTCTTCCATAGTGGGAGAAGAAAAAAGTGGAAACATACTGTAAATTTCACACCCTCTACTCCATTGCCAATGATTCATGATCTAATGATAATGTACATGATTGCCACTCTATACTCTTCTTTACTCCATCCAAGTCACTGGCAGAGTGGAGCCTGTAGGACCAACTTAGAGTTCATTCTCAAACGGAATGCTGTCCATCGCACCCTGTCGCTCCACGGCGCGAGCAGACGCACGCGCAGCCAACCGCATGCCCTCGTCCATCACCGTCTGGTACCGATGCGGCTTCTCAGCCTCAACCAGGTCCAGCCCGGCCTTGCCGTCCACACGACGCTGCTCGCGCCATCGCGCAACCTTGACCGCATACGCGCCCACGAACGTATCGCCCGCCGCCGTCGTATCCAACACCTGCGACACTGGCGCCGCGGGGATCTCGTTCGTGAAGCGCCTTACTCCATCACTCGGACCCGTAGTGCCTCCATCCGTAGCACTGTACCAGACGCCCTTGGCCCCAAGGGTAATCAAGACGTAGCTCACCCCCAGCTTGTGGAAATACCGCGCAACTTTCTCATTACCGTCCAGTCCCGCTGCATCCGGGACCACACGGAGCAATTGCTCGTCGGGAGGGCTCATCAGCTCTGCCTCCGTCTCGTTCAGGATCAAATGGTCAACGGCTGCGTAGACATCTTCGGGCAAACCACCCGGCGGTGCCGGCGCCGGGTTTAGCATAACGTCCGGTCCGCACTCGATGCCGCACTTTCCCGCAGCGCGGTTCTTCGCCTTGAAAGATGCAATCTCACGGAGAATCCCAACCACCGTGTCCACGGGGATCTCGCCCTGCATCACAATCACGTCCGGCACAGGCGCAGCCAGCGCTGAACCTAGCACGTCGGGCGTGGGCTGCATACCAGTGTAGTTAGCGCCAGGCGAGAACAGGATGCGATTCTCGCCGCCAGCAGACGAGTCCACGATAATGACTGCTACACCGGTGTATGCATTCTCAATAACTCGCACGCGCGACGTGTCCACGCCCGATTTCTCAAGCGTCGGGCGAAGCAGGGCGGAGAAGTGGCCGTCCAGTGCGCCCACGGCGCCAACCATCTCGACTGCCACGTCGCTCTGTGTGTTGAGGCCGGCGGTTGTAGGTTTGGGTCGAGATAGTCGGCCACAGGCCACAGCTTGGTTGGCGCCTTTGCCGCCGGCGCTGGTGAAGTAGGAGGAGGATGTGATGGTTTCGCCTGGGTCTGGGAAGCGTGGGGTCACGGAGACCATGTCGGCATTGAGGGAGCCGATGACGCGGATGAGAGGGGCCATTGTTATAGTTGAGTGGGATAGATAGGGGGAGGGAGCTTTCGAGGTATGGGGAGCTAGTTGGAGAGCTTCGAAAGCTGAGGTGTCGGCGCGGCGGGGTATAGGCGTACCGGGTTAGACACTCAATTGGAAAACAAAGGCTGTAAGGGGATTGGCGGGAGGTGACGGAAGCTTGTTCAGCAAATACAAGAGTAATTCCCTCTCGATCTCTGTAACAGGGCGTTGGAAACTTCGTGACGTGGAGAGGAATGCGGGGAGGTGAAGACGACTAGTCGGGGGAAGTGACGTGAGGTGGGGGGAGTCTGGGGTGGTCCGCACTTAGCCGGGTGGTGGGTAAACCACCAGCAGGACAGGAGACAATTTTATATTGCAAGATTTGGCTGATTTAGGGGGCATTATGTATAGACAAACTAAATTGAGGCAATTTTCGTTCCTATACTATTTATTTTCAAACTATGAAGATCAGCCTAGCTAGTATTTTTTATACTCAATAGGCCTATAGAAGTATATAGCCATCGTAGTTGCAAAACTATAAGTCTACGGAAAACCGGAGTATACTATACCTCCTTTTGCTCAACAGTGGCTCATGCATAATCAAAGCTCAGTCTATATGATAGTATGAATATGCTGTACGTTCTCATGTCATCGCTCAATTAATGTAATCAGTGTTTATGAAATTCATCCCTACTTGTTTTGAGAGCCTACGTTAATATCAATAAGGATACAATCAAACATTTATGCCTTGTCCTACATCTAGAGTATTCTGGATAAAGAACTCAGAGCACAGAATAATTGTTTGGTTAGTTCCCTAGTTGACTGCCTGTGTTCTGGGTCTATACACTTTGGGTTTCCCCGTGATTCTGGAGTGATTGTCAAAAAGGGACAGTACAGTCTACAGTCCTGCATCGCGCCTTCCTTGTCTAACTTCTGATTGTGATTGTCATTGTCTACGCTACCACCCACAGACTCACGCCGCGTCCTTGTTTTCTTCTTTCCTTCTCACACGAATGGTTTTGTTTTGATCCGTGTTCATCTACCCTCTCTGCACTCCACTCCTCTGATCAGCTTCCTCTACTCTTCCATCTCTTACCTATTCAAAACCACGCTCGCTGCCACGATGTCTGACGCAGTCAGACATCCTGTGGCGGCACCTTCCCAGGAATTGCATCAGCTCTCGGATGCAATGTCCACGAATGGCCCACCAACTCACTCCGGCGACTCCCAAGAAGCCATCACGCCTAGTGTCTCTCTATCCTCCTATGGCGTTGAAGACATGACAGAGGAAGATAGAAAAAGATACAAGCGCTCCGCTTCTCTGTCGCCAAATGATTTGAGGAAACCCCAGAACTACGGTGCCTCGACCAAGGAGTCCAAGTATCCAGTGGTACCCCCCTTCAGACTTCCTTCGGAGCGGTCGACAGATCAGAAGAAGCCAACAGATCAGAACGTCCTGACAGACCTAGAGGATCAGACCGAAAGCACGAGCACAGTCTCTCTCAAGCGAAAGAGATCACTCGTGCTGGATGCGGATTTGTTGGATTCTTCGCAGCCCAAAAAACTTGGACCTACAGAATATGGCAGGTTCCGGGGTGTTATTGGATATAGAAGGGCCGAGGAGGCGAAACAATTTGCTGAAGCGATGGAAAACTGTGTGCTGAGAACTCGAACTATTCATCGCCATATCTTTTGGACTGATGGTTCAATTGTCTTCCGTTACTGTGCAGCGGGAGCGGTGGCTTGGAAACAACTCCCGTCACTGCAGTGGGTGTCAGAAGGCTTTCCTTATCCTTCTTACACACAGAGTACGGAAGTTGTGGAGATGTTTGCCATCGCTCACGCTTTGAAGCGTGCGATTCATGACATCAGGCAGTCGCTTGATGGTGATGCAATGGAACGCTATCACTTCCAGGTTACTCACGAGGTTTTTGTCTTTACAGATTCCGTCGGTGCACTCACGGCTGTTGAAAGCGACGCTTGGGGGAGGCATACTTCTGGGAACTGCAAACAGGCCCACGAGATCATTGAATACAGCATTAAGCTCCACAACCTTGGAGCTAAGCTGGGGCTACACTTGGTACCCGGGCACCAAGGTGTGCCCGGGAATATGGAAGCTCACAGAGCTGCCTACCAAGCCGCTAAGCGTGCAGCAGCAAAAGCTGGGATTCAGTCGAAAGAGCAGGCAAGAGGTTTGTACCAGGCTCAAACTGATGCCGCTATTGCTGCTGCTGAAGAAAGCTTTTTAGCCCAAGCTAAAAATGCCAAAGCTACGCCTGTCCCGGCTAGCTCCGTCAGAAAGGTTCCAAAAAGACTTTGTTCATTGTCCACACTGAACCCTGGCAACGACTCGGGCCCAGGAAAGCTACGGAAGACACCATATGAGAATCCCGTTCCACTTCCTGGTACATTTGTTCGCCGAGATCGAACCCCGGAACCAGACCTTGTCCCAGGTCCTACGTTTACTCCTATCAATGCAGGTTCGACCTCGTCAATGGGATTTACTCCCGTTAATGCAAGCTTGGTCTTGTCAACAGGAGGCCCAGTCAAGGCATCATCAGCACAGGGTCTTTGTCCAGCTGTCGATTCCCTTTTCATGTTCGCGCCAGCCGATGTCAGAGCGACCATGTCAAAGGCGGGATATTCCTGTTCCTTGTCTGATATCACACAGACATCTCCGCCAGCCAAGAAACAGAAGATGGAGAAGACAAGAAAGACGGACGTGTTGAATTCCAGCGCTGATAGCAAGCCGAGCCTTGAGCTCCCTGCCCCAGTCGGAACTCCAGGTTTTCTGTCATTGTTCCTGAGTCCCGAGTTCTGGTTTGAACGAAAGGACAAGGGGCTACCTGTTTTCGGAGAAACCTCGTTATCCGATTCCCCTTCTCAAAGTACCCAACCTGTTGCCGGGACGGGAGCTCTTGCAACGGCATCGCCTTCTCTTGGTCCCTCCCAAAGGACTGCCAGTCCAGAGCCAATGCAGAGCTCTATCCAGTCTCCTACAGATGTACCTCAGTCAACAAACACATTCCACTGTTTACCACGTCCTCTAACAGTGAACTCCCCCAAGCTCGGTGAAGATGCTATTCCCCAACGTCCTCCATCGCTTCTCAGTACCTCTGCTTCAATGGTCACAATGGGAAAGATGAGATCCTTTGCTTCTCCCGGGGAACCTCAAGATGGACTGATTCTGGCGTCAACCCCATCATCTTGCGAGGATAAGCTGAAGGACTATGGTGGTGCGGCACTTCCCCCGCGTCCCCCATCGGTGCTTCCCACGCTAAAGTCTTCTACTCCGCTACTTACAACAGCAAAGATGGGTTCTTTTGCTTCTACTGATGAGCCAAAAGATGAAGCCGTGGCGTCGATTCTATCGTCCGGTGAGGCGAAGTTGAAGGACCCGAAAGATGTGACTCTTCCTCCGCGTCCTTCATCAGTGTTTTCCACTCTCATGGCTTCTACTTCGATGCTCACAAACGCAAAGATGAGATCTTTTGCTTCTCCCAAAAAACCAAAAGATGGAGTTACTCTGGCACCTGTTTCGTCATTTTCTGATGTTAAGCTGAGGTTCTGTGAAGATACGGCTTTGCCTCCGCTTCCTCAGTCGACACATCAGGCGCTCAAGCCCGATCAGGTGATTGTGACAACGGCGAAGATGAAATCGTTTGCTTCTCTTGGAGAGCCGTCCTTTGGACTTATCTTGTCACCAGCCTCATCATTCTACAATGATACGATGGTGCACGATGAGGATGCTGATGATGCTGCCTTGCCCTCGCTTTCTGCGTCAATGTTTGTGGTACCCAAGACGTCTCCTTCCATTGTGACAACCTCAAAGATGAGGTCTTTTGCATCCCCTGAAGAACCTAGGGATGCGCTCACATTGGCCCCTATCGCAGCACTCAGTGGAACTGACTCGGGGGCTTTGATTTCGGCTGCGGCGAGACGGCCTTCAGTGTTTAGTCATGCCCCAACACTCTCGGCTGATGTAGCCAAATGCCAGTCAGCAGAATCGTCACCGGATGATCATAACTCAGCGCCAACGGTGGCATCTCAGCCCTCATCAGGCTCTTCATTCACTCCAATCGATGCAGAAATCTTATCGACAGTAAGAACAGATCTTTCGCCTGCACAGTCATCCGATAGCTTTACTGGTGTGTATACCCCCCATCATTTCCACATATCTTCATTTTCCCATCCAATCATCACAGCTATTGAAGTCTTGATCAATTATTCACATCCTGACCCAAATGTGCCCAGAATAGAGGGTTTGGCGCGCTCACCTTGGTCGATTGGAAATTTCGATCATGTCGATGAACGATGAATGACGACCACCTTTCGACCCGAGTTCAATGGTGAGATATGGACTGCAAGGAGTTTGTCCGTGTGTTGAGTTGAAATGTTTGTATGATATTACTGATGTATTGTTATTGATTGAAAACTTGTTTGATTATCTGCTCCCCCAACCTAAATCTCAACCTGTTCCTTGAAGTTTCTACACATGGTCCCTCATTATACGCGAATCTTTCCTTCAAGAATCCTCGGAAAAGCCTCCGTGGGCAGAATGAAGGAAGGAAGGAATACGAGAGTGGCAGCTTGGTAACTTGAGTAGAAGAGGGGGACCAATGGGGGAGTTGCGAGATTATAACATTCGATTGATCAATTGCCCTGCTGCGTCAAGGCCGACTGACGCATTCAGTACAAGAAAGCTAATTGAACCTCAGATGGCCATCCTCGTTGGTGATCCGCTCAGCCAAGTTGATGTCTGCAGACACATTCTCTCCATCCAGGTTGCCCAAACTGGCTCGGAGAACGGGAATTGCCTCGCCATCATCTCTGTCCTCGCTGCAGATCTCAATGTCCTCAGCGCTATCTTGGAAGTTCTCGCCTCCCCATTCAAATGATCCTAGACCATACGTTAACACTGTCCAGGAATATGCACAAGAAAGAGTGACATACCGTTGTTGTTACCGATGATTTCATTCAGGTCCAGCACTGACTCGACTTCCTCGCCCTCGCCGTTGTAGAGAGTGGCTTTGAGGATGTGGCCATCTTCTAGCTCGATGTTTGTAGCAGAGGCGTGGAAACTCATCATGAAGATGTTGAAATTAAAAAGGGGATATCTCAAAGTGAGGATTGCTTTGGATGATGGAACGCTTTCGAAAACCCTCCACGAGGACGAGGGATGGCTTTATTTATAGTCATCTCATCAACCTCCACCTCCTCATATCCTGTATCCAGGCTTCTTCTTGACCGAAAACCTTGCAGCAGCCCGATTTCTTGTCCGACACATGTCCCCGACTCATTTGCTATTCATTCCAAAGTGGGCTGGCTAGGTGCAGATGCCACCGGCGGGGGTATCTCGACCAACGCAGTCATGAGAGCGATGGTGGAGCCATGGTATACCATGTCAATGAGTCTAAGACCCCCACTGCACAAATCTGACCCAATCCGCTGATGCAAATGCCCCAGCAGTTACACGCATGCGACCAAAGTACGTCATGTACGGAGTATATCCATATGCCAACGCTGACATCTCCTAGTTCGAAACATTTATGACATATGAGTGCTAGAAAGATGACATCCAGCACCAGGAAATTGAACCCTGTCTATGCGCCATTATCGTGGCGCATGATGCAGCCCTACATTTCAGCCACAGGCGTCTCGAGGATGACGGCCGCTGATGTTGCAGTGAACATGCAGGCCAAGAACTATTTGCCTGCCCTACTGTTCCTCCCGGACAAGACGCTTCGCGGAGAAATACTGGTGCCTAGAGAGGATTGCTTGGCTGGGCGGGAATTGAATGGCATCTCCACTTGGAGGATATGCAGCCTCATCCTGGAGGTTCTTGGCGGTTAGGTTCGCGAATGAGATGTTTCTTGGGCCAGTGGGTTGCTTGGCTCTGTGGCTGGTTGAGTATGTACAGATCGTGTCATGACTGTATGAGGATTTTTGTAACTCGGACGATGGAGGCTAAAGTGCTTGAACCCTGTGAAGTTCCAATTGAGGTAGATGAAATGTATCGAATATGCATTCATGCCTGCAGAGACAGAAAACTAAGCTAAAGTATATCCCCCAAGAACCAATATCACACACGCTCCAAACTCCCATGCCCTGCGAGCCGAATTGATGCACAAACCGAAGAAACGACCGTCACCCATTGCACGTACACGGTATAGAAAAACAAACAAGAACAACATGTCAGAATCATGATACAGCTGGTGCTGGAATTAGGGCCTGTTGCGGTAGATCTGCGAGCCGCCGGAACGGATCTGCACCGTTTCCCGCCGCTGCAGGACGATCAGTGCCCGGTTGAGCGCTTGCTCAGTGTACCCCTTGCCATCGACGAACTCGCGGCGCAGAGTTGCCAGGCTAGTACTCCAGCCCAGCGGCAGGCGGCGCTTCAGCTCGTCCTCGATCTTGGTCGCTTCCTCCATGAGTTCCTTGCTCCCTTGGCCCTCGCCTTGGGTGACGGCGTCCATGGTGGATGCCAGGAAGAGGCGGATGGCCTCGTCGACGTGGGCCTCTGTGGCGATGGGGGAGAGTGAGAGTTTGGCTAGAGACTCGGTGATACGGACGATAGCCTCAAGCTGACGGACAGTGATGGGGATGGAAGAGCGGGTATTGGACTCCAACTCAGCACGGTGGACTTGCTTGCGGATGGACACGAAGTGCGAGGACAGCTTCTCAGCGGCTTCGGGGGAGAGACGAGGAGCGCAGCGGCTAGAGATAAGATGTTAGCATGATTGTAACGGAATAAAGCAGGTGCGTGCAAAACTTACCTGCGGCAGTAGCTGATGTAACGCTTCATCTGTTCAAGGGGAATCTCCGCCTCAACTTGCTCCTCAATACCGCGGCCACCCATATGCACACCCATGACGTGGCGGGCAATTCTCTCATCCCGGCCACGCTCGTGGTCATCACGAACAATGAAGATCATATCGAAACGAGAAAGAATGGTCGTCTGGAAATCGATGTTCTCACCGGGGGTCTTGAGATCATCGTAGCGGCCAAAGATAGGGTTGGCCGCGGCAAGAACTGACGTTCGAGAGTTCAAAATCGTCGTGATACCGGCCTTGGCAATAGAGATGGTCTGTTGCTCCATGGCTTCGTGGATAGCCACTCGGTCCTCGTCGCGCATCTTGTCGAACTCATCGATACACACCACACCGCCATCTGCAAGAACCATCGCACCACCTTCCAGGTAGAACTCACGGGTGGTGTGATCTCGCTGGACTGAGGCCGTCAAACCGGCTGCCGAGGAACCCTTTCCGGAAGTGTAGATGGCGATAGGCGCGGCTTTTTCAACGAACTTCAACAACTGGGACTTGGCAGTACCAGGGTCACCAAGCATGAGAACGTTGATGTCACCACGGAGCTTCATGCCATCGGGGAGAATCTTTTTAGAACCACCCATAAGCAGGCAAACGATGGCCTTTTTCATGTCGACGTTGCCGTAGATAGACGGTGCGATACTCCGGGAAAGGGCATCGTAGAGATCTGGTCGGCGGCTGAGCTCCAAGAACTCTTGCTCCTCCTCTTCACTAAATACAGCATTGCCCTTGGCAGTTGAATCCACGTCGCTGTTGATGCCCACAGCTCGCAAGTAAGGGTTGCGGATAGCCACTGCAGCCTCCTTCTTAGCACCCTTGGCCTGGTAGATAGAGAAAATACCCATCACTGTGCATCGAGAACCAGGGACCACGCGGTTGGCAAGGTATCGGTCGGCAGAGATCAGGACATGACGGGGCAGTTCACCAACCGGCACCTGATCGGGGGCTTCCTGGAGCTTGAGAACCTGCTGGTCCACAAATTGGCACTTCTCGTGGTGAACCACGTACGGGTCGAGCGGACATTTCTCATCCGGTTGGTCGCCTGGAATCTTTGCGCGACCGCACTGTCTGGGAAGGGACAGCCCGGAGAAGCCGCCGTCAACGGTGATATTTTCACTGTGGTCACAGTTCTTGCAGCGAATGTGCACCGTGGTCGCCTTTGATGAGATAGTCGAGGCACCGATCACGATACCGGGGATTCGGACGAGGTGAGACACGTTGATCGCATTGAGGTCACGGATAGAAATGTGGGTCGCGGAGGAGTGAAGAAGCAATTGGTGGGAGGGGAGAGTGATGTCGTGTTGACCAGGGAAGACGATCCGCTTGGTGCATTCCTGCAATGCCGCTTCGAACTGATCGAGTATTAGCTTGGGCTCAGCTGAGCGGGTCAGCGATAGTTGCGCTGCATTGTACCTACCAGAGGAATAATATCCGCAGGCTCAGATGTAAGCTTGTGTGCCAAATCCTCGTTGTAGGAAATGAGATGGGCAATATCGATGTCGCAATAGTAGTTCTTGCCTAGGACATTGTGTCGTAATTGGTCACTGGTACCATTGGTCAGGTCAGTCGTCTCTGAGAGCAAGCAAAAAACAGCCTTCGAGGAGAATGATGAATGTGGGCTGCGTACCGGTAAATGAATGCGTTGTCCAACTGGAATTGCAAGACAAAATCGCGCAGACGAGCCTGAGTGAAGGAGCGCGAGTCCTCGGCACCATTGGTGCTGGACTCGAGAACGCTCAAGGTGTAGGGGGTGCGTCTATCCATGGTGCTTGTGGACGGTGGTGATGGAGAGGGACAGGAAGGGAGAACTTTTGGATTTGGGCGGGAACACCAACGCGTCGCGTCGAGGGCAGTGGGACGCGTTAAGTGGTTCTGCCTGATATCGAAGGCACTAAAGTTTGGTCAAGCCGACCGGAAGATCAGTTATTCCGGATTCCCGTCGGACAGGTTAGCGCCTTTCCCGATTGGGCGGAAATGCACATGGCACCTGGGTAACAAAGCCACCTCGACAACTCTGCTTGGCACTCCCTTCAGAATCGTGTGAACTCGAGAGATTGTCCTCGGATTGAAGCTGTTGACCTGTCATCATTGACTGGAAGGTATTCGCAGCGGTACTGGTCCCGACTGGCGCATTGCAGAGGCCCTATCTGTCATGATCAGATAACTCCGAGCTTCCCCAAACGATCGACCCCAGGTGGTTGTCGCATCCGCCTGGTGGACGTGGGCAAGATGGCGCCATCCAGTCCACGCAAGTCAATTGACAGCCTTGCATCAGGTGCATCGACACCGCCAGTATCGCATTATTCTACTTCCCAGCTGGAATCTCCCCGGGTGCGCCCTCAGCGATACCCCCTGAGGAGGGGATCCACGGCGAGCTCAATCGTAAGCATTGGAGGAATCCTGGATACATCGCAACACCATGGCTCCATAGCCGAATCTGGGCAGAATGGTTCGTATATCAGAATTGAAGCTCAAACCTGCCACGACAACTAATCAGCCCGCCGATCCGCAGCTATCTCTACCCTTCTCCAACCTCCGATAGTCCGCACTGGCTTGACGCCGCATACCGCCGTATCTACGACCGGATATAAACCCCCCTCATCCCGCGATATTCCACCCGTAACTCTGACAAATATTCCCCATGTGGACGGAAAAGCATTTCAACCATATCTGTCGCAAGTGGGCTCCTTGTACGATGTATTTCAACAGTCGAAAGAAGGTGCTGGGGAGGACACCCAAACCCCGTCTGGCTTCAAGTCCCCGAAACCGGATGATATGGAATCGTTGATGCCGTGGAGTCCCGAGCGGAGATCCTCGGTGATGTCTATCAATTCACGACCAACCTCTCCTTATGATCCTCGCGGCCGACGTCCGTCAGGCGCCCGCGGCCGTGGGCCTGCTGTGACTCCCCTGTCTACAATCCCACCGGTATATTTTGAGGAAGATTTCCACTTGGAAAACCCCCGCACATTTGATGTCATCTCGGAAAAGTCCGAGGTGGTTAAACCCCCGCGACCACCAACCAAGGACGACAAGCACGCCAATGGCGGAGCTCCCGAACCAGTTCACACTGGCAGGAAAGCACTAGCGACCAATGCGATTTTGCAGGAGAAGCTTTCCTGGTACATGGACACCGTGGAGATCCACCTCATCTCCTCTATTTCCACTGCGTCAAAGTCATTTTTCACCGCTTTGGGTTCGCTTCGAGAACTGCATGCTGAAGCAGCAGACTCTGTGAAACGGATTCAGGTTCTTCGCAAGGATCTGCAGAAAATCGACAAGGAAATGGCTCTTGGTGGTTTGAAGATTGTGAATTTACGCCGACGGAGAGAAAACGTGCGGATGCTGGCGGCTGCTGTGGCTCAATTACGTGACGTTGTAGAGTCAGTGTCGCGATGTGAGGATTTAGTCGAGCAAGGGGATATTGAAGATGCTGCCGATGAACTAGAGGAAGTGGAAAAGCTCATGGCAGGGGAGAAGGCGTCTGATCGCCCAGTTGATGACGATGAGAAAGATCTTCCACGGAGGCCAATTGACCTTCGGGGCCTGAAAGCCCTAGATGGAGCTTCCGATGATCTCGCCATGTTAAGACAGCGCATTGGCATGGGATATGAAACCCGCTTTTTGAATGACCTATTAGGTGATTTACGAGCTCATGTCGACAATGTGTCCTCTGCTGTGACCTTGCAGCGATGGGGTGCCTCCTTCTTGCGACAACGTGGTGGCCAGCGTCCTGTTTCGACAGTTTCACCTGCATATATGACCATTAATAATGAGCTACGGTCCCGGTTGAACACCCAGCTCACTGGACTCGCTCGAGCCCACTACACAACTGCTGCTGCCACATCGTTCAAAACTGCTGTCCTACGAGAGATGAAAGGTCTCATTCGGAAATACCTCCCCAGTTCGAGTGATGATGACAATGAGTCTATGATTTCGGTGTCTACTCATAGCGATCGGCAACGGAGTCAGCAGGAGAAGTCCTCTATCCTCTCACGGAACTTGCGCGCCCTTGATCCAGACGATGCTTATGGCATGCTCGTGGCAGTCTATACCGGCATCAGTGAATGCTTGCGTCGGCTGAGCACTCAAGTCAAGATCCTTTTGGATATTGCTAGTGGATTAGGAAGTTCTCCGGCGGCTGGTATTTGGTCGCCCACTCGGAGTCCCAATCCGCAGAGCCCAGACCAGACCAATAGGTCCCCTGATCATGGGTCTTCGGCTTCGGCTTCGGCCATGGCCCAAGATGAGATCTTGCAAGTCTTGGATATGTCAAGCCTTCTTGGTCAAGCAGTAGATATCGCCCAGTCTCAAATCACCAAGGTGCTGAAGGTTCGCTCTGAGCAGACTGCTCAGCTTTCGAAGGAGGAATTCTTGAAGTACTTCACGCTTAACCGCCTCTTTGCTGACGAGTGCGAGGCGATTTCGGGGCGTGGTGGTACCGCCTTGAAGACCCTCGTTGGCAACCAGATTCGTGAATTCATTGCTAGATTTGGTGAATCGCAACGTCACCGTATCGTTAATGTTATGGATTCTGACCGGTGGGACGCACGAGACTTTGGTGATTCCGAGGTCACTGTTCTCACTCGCATTCTAGATGCCAGTACTAAGGACATCGAGGCTTGGGTCGATGTTTCTAAAATCTGGGTTCCAGACAGTGCAGCCCCTCAGAACAATGCATCCGAATCAAGCGAGGGTGCTAATGGAACGGCGAAGGAGAAGGTGCGCAGTGCAGTTGTCGATGAACAAAAATACATCCTGCCTGATTGCGCAGTGGCAATAATGCGCAGCATCGAGGAATTTGAATTCCTTATGGCGAACATTCCGAGCATGATTCAAGACATTGCCCCGCAACTGCTGGAGATATTGAAGCTCTTCAATTCACGCTCTTCTCAACTGATCCTCGGCGCGGGTGCTACGCGGAGTGCAGGCTTGAAGAACATCACGACTAAACATCTTGCCCTTTCGTCGCAGGCCTTGAGCTTTGTCATTGCTCTTGTTCCGTACGTACGAGAGTTTGTTCGGCGTCATGGACAGACCAACCAGGTTATGGCCGAATTCGACAAGGTCAAGCGACTGTTCCAGGAGCATCAAAGTGGCATCCATGAGAAGCTAGTCGATATCGTGAGCTCGCGATCCTCTATCCGTGTCACTGCTATGAAAAAGATTGATTGGGACAATGATACCTCGACCGGTGTTCATCCCTACATGGAGACGCTGGCCAAGGAGACCGGAACTCTATATCGGGTCCTTAGTAAACACCTTCCAGACATGACTGTGGACATGATCATGATACCTGTGTTCAACAACTACCGTGACCACTGGACCAAGGCCTTTGAAGAAGCTAGCGTTGAGACAGAGGCCGGAAAGAAGAGGTAAGATTCAGCCGTAATGGTGATAACCCTCATATTGGAGACAGACAAAACTAATAGTGTAATGCAGGATGCAAACTGATATCGTGTACCTCCAGTCAAAGCTGGCGAAAATCGAGGGTGCCAGCAGCTTAGGTGACAAGCTGCTTGAACTCGTCAATGCAAAGTATATTGCCGAACCTGCTGTTGAATCCGAGGCACCGGAGAAGACCGAATCTGCGAGTGACAAGCAAGACTCGGAAAAGGAGGCAGAGTCCTCCAGCTCGCAATGATCCCCCGTTAATAATTTCTTACACCTCCCATGCATTCATGGCCGGTTATGTCTAGTCATTCTATACACTATAGTTCTTACAGCCGTCGCGTTCCATTTCTAGAAACTGTACAGAAGCGATTTTCATGTTTCATATTTCTCTATGAGATGCTATTTTCTTGATCCGTGCCTAACCAATTAATAGTAGATGGCCTCTTCGTGGGCCTGGTAATTAGAAGGTACTACTGGAATCGGGCCTTCTCTTCTGGCCACGTTCTTCGCTCCTCCGTCATCGGGTGATCGGCCGAAGTCTAGATAAAGTCTCTAGTAGGTACGAGAATGTGCAAGCTACATGTGTAGAAAGGTTTCTGATCACTGATATTCATACATGACGTTATGCTCTCCAGTGAATAATGTCCACCGAACTCCACTTCCCACCACCCGAAGCACGCAATAATACAAGAAATGTGAAGGGTATTTCAAGTCAAGGATATATCTGAAGTATCCTCAATCATGACAATAACCTAAACTATGGGCTCAAAGAAATAGAATCATAAGGCAACCAGCACCTTATTTCATACCCTTAGCGCCACGGCCTTTGTTCTCGCCGAGAGTCTTGGGCTCATGGCCACCCTTTCCACTGTTCGAGCCAGCACTGCCGGCGCCGCTGTAAACCTCGCGTTGAGAGCCAGTCTCTTCGGGCATGGGGGCGACCTTGTTGACGCGCTCGATGGGGGCGTCCTGTATGGTGATAATGTTAGTATTTTGTGCATTCAGTGTAGTAAAGTTGGGATCGTTGCAACGTACAGTAGCACCAGTACCGTGTGCCTTGGTAGCGCCTGCCTCAATGGCGTTGTCGCTCTGGGGGACTCCGTTGTCGTACTCAGCGCCGCGAACCATTGTGAATGATGTCGGAGAGATTGAAGATGTGGATGTTGATCTACGTCAGTTTGGTTAGAGAGATGTCTCCGAATTTAACGTTGACCTGTCAATGCGTACCTTGATGATTGGAAGTCTGTTGATGGGCAATTGTCGAATGAAGTTTGTCGTCGTTCAGTTCTTCTTTATATATACCCTGTCTTGTAGATTCTTGATCGATGTGACACCATTATGAAGTCATTGTGGGGAAATGACTTCACTGACAACTTGGAAGGCATCTCTGCCATGAACTGGCATCCAAGCCTGGTGGATGGTCTAGGTGGAGCCAATAGTGTCATACATAGGCAGACTGCTGAATCCACTTGATCACCTCGTGGAAAATTCGCATCTGGTGCGCGATTTGCATGTTGGAACCATCCATGTCACGTGATGCCCGTGGATCTCCCAAAGAGGAAACACTTAGGGCTAGTCTATAGAGTGCATACTTCTTGAATTAATTTGCATATTCTAATTAAAATACGAATATTCAACAACAACCATTACCATTGTCACATTAATAAATTGAGGCTTTTCCCGCAATGAACAAGGGTATCGAATGGGCGAAAGGCATCGTAACCAAAAAACAGAAGCAGAGCCATTTGAGGGAGTGGGTTCCCCCCAAACAAAGTATCAGACAAGAGGCCCAAGGGATTTTTATGAAACAGCGCCTTTAGAACTGGCTAGTCCGATTCCACGGTAAATCTCCATCAGCAAAGGGCGAACCGGCTCGAAAATATAAGGATGGAATTCGAGGAGGAAGATTTGATATTCGATATCTGGTAGGCCTCAGAGTGCGGATGGGCGCAATGACGCTAGGGTGGAATTCTGAAGAAAAATGACTTCCCTTTGGTGACTGTGAATACATGGCTGATGAAGGAGGGAGTGAAGCAGGTGGCGCACACACTTGATCTTGATTTGAGGATGGGACCGAAGGGCTTCTTGCAGTTTCCGCTGAGGTCGGAGTGAACCAGAGTTCGTCTATATGCTGCCACTTTTGAGCACTCCCCACAGATAAAGACCAATCTTGACTCTCAGTCTCAGCAGTAGTCGACTCCAGTATGGGTTCTTGGATGGATTCTTCTGGGATATCCTCCAGGGGCCAATTGGTCCGACTGGGACGAGAAGAAATTTTGAACAAATGAGAAGAAGGTAACTTCCTCCTGGCTCTTTTGAGGGTGATGTTAGACCTTGTAGACAGGTCGTCTGCCGTGACGGGACTCGTTGGCGGGTCAGGGTTGGTCACATAGAGCCTCGTCAGAGGATTAATCTGCGACATGCTCTCATAGGATCTGTTGCCTTCTTGATGACGGTAAAGCTTCACAGTCTTTGACCCTTTTGTCATATGATGGGATGAGGTATCTGGAGCCTTGTAATCGCATAGTGCCGGTGATGAAGTCCCTCGTCTATCAGGGCATGGAGGTACATGCACAAACGATGGGGTTCGATGTCTTTTACGTGTCTGGCGCTCTCGAGCCTTTTGCTTGATCTTTTTCACAAGCCTGGTGAAGCCTCTTCCCGATGCTTTGCCGGCTTGTTGGATGAAACTGGACACTGGGTTGGCATAGACGTGTTCGTCCGGATCAGGATCTCGGGTGAACACCATGAGAGGATACTCGAGATAGGAAATAGCGATTCAAGAAGTATCATCGCGGGGCGAGTTTTCTCTGGTATTTATATCTCTTCTTCAGTCTCACCTCCGGAAAGTCCATCTTGTGCGCCTTTAATGTCATTGTTTTAGACCTTGTGTAGTCGACTGGGACTTGCCGGCTCGAAATCCGCAGAGACGGTTATTCGATATCGCAACGATGCCATGGGTCTCAGGAACAATGGTATTGGAAGATTCGCAACTGATGTATGACTTGGTAACCTCTTCTCTTTTGGATCAGAGCTGCGACGTGATTCCGGGGCTCTTTGTTGACTGAGTGTTTGCTCGGAACAATTGCAGATAAGATCTTTTTGAATGATATAATTTTGCCCGGGACTTACCGGGTCACTCATCAGGAATGAAAACTTTTGGCCCTTTAATCGGCCATAATACTGTAGGTATAGATGCAATCTCCTTCTTCTCCCACATGGCCGGAGTGGGTCTGACCACCTCGGGACAGCTAAGTTAGCATCTATTGCTTATGTTTATGACTAGACAGCATTTTGACCTATCCTTTCGATTATTTAGCCTTGATTGAGTATGTGATGTCTCGGTTAATTTGGTATCTTCGAGTCTAGTTTTATTTTCAAGTTGTCAAATCTGACTTCACAAAATCCTGAAAGGAGAGTGATCTTGAGTGTAAAACCTAGCTCAGAACAAATTTGATTTGATGGTCTGCTGTTCTGTAAAATACATCTTCTCTAACTGAATATATGTCTTTGCGGATACGACTCTTTTTCGTTAATTATATCTTTGCGTGTTGAAAGAGCTGATCCAACCCCCTAGAGCTGGGGATATGGGCAGCGAGAGTGTATACGAAATACCTTCGAGATCTGTCGCCCCTGTTATATTAGCCACGATGTTAGAATAAGTGGAGCAATATGTCCGACTAGATATTGATATTACTTAAAGTATAACATCGATATCCAAAACTTCCTGGTTGCCACAAATGAAAATCAGATTAGGTCGTTGAGTCAGGCTGTTACTCAGAACAGGTTGAAGGTGGGGTTCTCTTACGTCCCTGCTGTTACTTATGAATCAATTTTACCAAATTTTGAGGGATCAGCTTTCAGTTAATTATAGAGCCTGGTTGATCACATGAAAAACAACGGTATCACGCCTAGGGGACTCGGCTCTACTTGGAAGTTCAAAGTAATTTATTCATTGGATGCAGGCGTTTCCTGGAATTTCGACATACTAAACACTGCCACATCAGCGGAACGAGACCATTTCGCGAGGCGTTACGTGTCGCAACAACCCCTTTATCTCGTTTGTGGCGATCTCATCCAAAGAATAAGCGCCGGGAGGCCAACAGGAAAATGCCTCGGCGGTTCCGTGGCCAAGCGCCAACTACGGCGACTTGAGATGGTATATCTATAGTGACAAGGCTGACAAGGCTTACAGGTAAATTCATATATATTTAGAGACAAATAATGGACCACAGGACAGAACAAGGTCAGACGTGAAAGGACACCAAACACTGAAGATGGAACCCACACCCCAAAACCTCCATTTTGTTCCTCGATTCATCTTGAGAAAATTCGCAGCGAAAGATCAACCACCGGCAGGCCCACGCAATGATTACCATGGAAGGAAGAAAAGATCCAGAAATCGCCGGGACTTGCTTGTAAACAAGGTTGATCTTGAAATGTCTACTTTAACCCAGCGGCCTGTTTCGACCGAATTTGCCCTTGTGGACATGTATCGGGATCCTGGTTTCGACCAGAACCCCTATCATCTGGAGAAAAAGCTTTCCAAACTTGAGAGCGATACGAGTAAAATTATTCTTCGTGCATACAGCCAGTTTGCCCAAGGCTTGATTCTTGAACTCGAGCGGATTGAAGTGGACAAACTGCGAGGATTCCTTTTCCTTATGAAATATCGGAATTCAGGAATGTTCGCTCGGTATAATCATGATCACATTGATGATTACAACGCGGATGACCGAGAGCGCATGGCGGAATATATGAGGTCAAGGGGCTTTTCTAAACCACGCGATGTCTGGTTCGACAACTTGCGAGAATTCCTGGACCTCGAAATGGACCCCGCCAAGGCTTGGATCGAAACCCTCAAAACTCGGATATATCCTGACGATGCTATGATGATGATACTGCATCTCACACATAGCTTCCTTGCCTTTTGCGAACCGATGTCCTCGGACGATGAATTTCTTCTTACTGAGAATGCGTACGCCGTGTTTGAAGGCCCGTCGACCGAGACGTTAAACCCTCTGACCCAAGAATCCAATCACATATACAATGAGTACCATAACTTCGCTCCTTTATCCCCAAGGCTGATGATTGTCTTGCGAAGCCATCTGCTTGGCTCACAAGACCAGGTGACTGGATCTATATTAGAACCACTGTTAGAGGCAGCTCGATCTCAACATCTCTACCCTGATAAAGCGGGATCAATTTTGCAAGACCTTCCTATCCGCAAATGCGACACGGTCTATGTTCAGAAGAACATTACTTCAATTGCCTCCTTAAGACCCAACGACCGATTTTGTTTCCAATGCTTCAAGATTTCGTCGCGCCATATAACTCTTATTAACAACATCCTTCTGGAAGAAGCGTACACCACCTCCTCAATCGTGTTTCATTCAAAGTCATCGCTCAAGGTCAACATAGAGAGATACCTCGAAGATGACACCCTCGGGATGAAGAACACTATGAGCAGCCCATTCGATGAGCGTCGTCTGTATTTGACCACCCTTGAAAGGATTATGCGTCAACTTGGGGGATCTACCGTTTGCAAAACCCGCCATTTCCGCCCTGGTGTCCGTTCTCCCCAACTGCACATGTCACTTTCTGTCGCCGCAAGACTTGCCATAGAGTTGTTGCAAAGCGAGGAAACTGAATCCTCTATTCCTCCAGTTTATTCTCTTCTAAAACCAGGTAAGGCAGCCGCCGTGTTCATTGCATTCCCATCATATCTAAAAATCGATATGCAGGAGCAAGCCGGAAGACCTTTTGGAACGATGTCCATCAAGCGAGTCTCATGTTATTATTAAGGATCAAGGTCGATGTGATCCTCAAAGACTCCAGTCTAAATAACCTGGACAAGGACTACGTTCGATTCTCTCGGCAAAGGTTCTTCATGGAATTCCCCGTTGAACGATTATGGTTGTACTTTAAAATCGCACGCAATATGGGGAAGTTTGATCTTGGTGACTTCAACAAGCAGATTGCGGATCTTGAAATTACTGGAGTAGAAGATAAATTCGGCAAATGTGAGTAGTTTTTGTCTTTCAATACGCGTTTGAGTTGATATCTGCTCACACTTCTGTTAGTTCTTGCTTATTTCCCTGAGAAACGAGAGTATCTCGTGCAAATGATGTACTTTCAAGCTCTGACTTGAGAGAGAATTAGGATGTGGCGAGATAGGATAAACTTTGCTATTGTAATAATCAATACTAAGATACCAATCGCGAACAATTGGCCATCGGATGTATTGTTGGAGTGGATTGCCAAGGATGTATACGATATCCTATCCATTGTTATGTATCATCGTTACTCGACAAGTAGTGAATACCCAGTCTATTCCCCTTCATTACTCGGGTGATTGCACCTATCGGTGCATAACCTGAACATTACTATAAGATCTCAGATATAGTAACTAACACATGCAATGCTTGGACCTACCTATCCTGTACCTGGCCCGATCGAAGGGACCCAAGGTACACGATTACGTAATTGATCCGCGGCGGGGGGATCATCCGATGACATCATCGATGCCAGCTTTCCCCAGACGGGCGGGAGCAAATTGGCAGTCGCCCACGGTAGACGGAGGTACCGTCGCTCAAACTACGTTTCAATTGGTGGCGTGTTCATCCCGATAACTGGAATTGACCGGAGAAATTGAGGATCGCCGAGTCATCTGATTTGCCTCCTTCTGGTCGACAGGTCGGAGAAGAGCTCCTTTTTAAACTTAACAACAACTCGTTGGGGGGCAGAGCTGGTTGGGTCGTATTCCTGCACCAGACCCGACTAGCGTGTCCGTTGGAAATGATTTCATCACGTGTGAGGTACTCCGTCCACTCTGACCGGGAGCCTGTTTTAGGCCAATTGGCAGTCTTCCATACTGTAGTTTTCGTAGTTGACGTTCTTTTTCTCATTGCTGCATTACCTATTAAGTAGCTAAGAGCTTGGAGCTTGGAGCCTCTGGTCCAATTGCGAATTGTCTCCAGGACGACTCTAAGCCAAGGCACAGACCTTCTCTGGTGGTCCCGCGTTGAGATGGCCCACCTTGTGCCAGGCCTGGACCGGGACCTGGACCTGTTTGGTGCTGCCCCTTATATGACCTCGTTTCTCGTCCATCTCTTCTCCTCATATTACGGAAAAAGGGTGTCCCACAATTCCAAGCTTCACCGGAGTCTGGTCTCGTTCTGTGTCTCCGCTTCCCCCAGCTTCCCACGGGGTAATTGGTACAAACCTCAAGGCTAAACTGAAATCCAAATCGCAAGATCCCGAAACCCCCGCACAGACCGAGTCCGGAGGCCCATCCCCCGTACACCCTCGCCCCAACCCCGAAAAAGCTAACTGCCATTGCGACTGCTGCTGCTGCGACTGCTCCTCCTCTTGATTTTCCCCTCATTTTTGCTTTTGAGCTTTCCCCCCCCCCCTCTCCTTCTCCTCTCCTTCTCCTCTCCTCCTCCACCAGAGACCACCCCCGGCAACTCCTAACTCTCTCCCCCCGCCATGGCCGACGAAAACGGCGCTGAGCCCATCAAGCGCGATGTGCGTAACCATATGCTCTTCGAGATCGCCACCGAAGTGGCCAACCGAGTCGGCGGTATCTACTCTGTCCTCAAGTCCAAAGCTCCTGTCACCACCGCCGAGTATGGCGACCGCTACACCCTGATCGGTCCGCTGAACAAGGCCTCGGCCGCCGTCGAGGTCGAGGAGCTCACGCCCTCCAGCCCAGCCATGCGCGACACCATTAGCTCCATGCAGGAGCGCGGCGTGGAGATTGTCTACGGTCGCTGGTTGATCGAGGGTGCTCCCCGCGTGCTGCTCATCAATACGGGCACCGGCTATCGCTGGCTGGACGAGTGGAAGGGCGATCTGTGGAACACCTCCGGCATCCCGTCCCCGTCGACCGATCATGAGACCAATGAGGCCATCGTCTTTGGATACATGGTCGCCTGGTTCTTGGGCGAGGTATGTACTGACTTTCGATGTAAGGACACCTCGGAGAAAATAAAGCTAATTACCTTTCTCTTCCTTTCTTTGCGTAGTACATTGCCCACGAGCGCCGCCGCGCGGTCGTTGCCCATTTCCACGAATGGCTGGCCGGTGTGGCTCTGCCCTTGACCAAGAAGCGACACATGGACCTGACCACCATCTTCACGACGCACGCTACTCTGCTGGGTCGCTATCTCTGCGCCGGTTCGGTCGATTTCTACAACAACCTGCAGTTCTTTGACGTGGACGCCGAGGCTGGGAAGCGCGGGATTTACCACCGCTACTGCATCGAGCGCGCCGCTGCTCACAGCGCTGACGTCTTCACCACGGTCTCGCATATCACTGCCTTTGAGAGTGAGCATCTGCTGAAGCGCAAGCCGGACGGGGTCCTGCCCAATGGTCTCAATGTCAAGAAGTTCTCTGCCATGCACGAGTTCCAGAACCTGCACTCGCAGGCCAAGGAGAAAATCAATGACTTTGTTCGGGGTCATTTCTATGGCCATAATGACTTTGACCTGGATAATACCCTCTATCTCTTCACCGCTGGTCGGTATGAGTACCGTAATAAGGGTGTCGACATGTTCATCGAGGGTCTGGCTCGACTTAACCACCGCCTGAAGGCGAGCGGGTCGACTACCACCGTGGTAGCCTTTATCATCATGCCTGCGCAGACTTCCTCCCTCACGGTAGAGTCGCTGAAGGGTCAGGCGGTGGTCAAGTCTCTGCGGGACACGATCGAGAACATCGAAAAGGGCATTGGCAAGCGCATGTACGAACGGTGTCTCGAGTGGAAGGAAGGTGACAACATGCCGGACGAAAAGGACCTCATCACCAGTCAAGATCGAGTCCTCCTGCGCCGTCGTCTATTCGCGATGAAGCGACACGGTCTCCCTCCCATCGTCACACACAACATGGTCAACGACCACGAGGATCCCATTCTGAACCAATTGCGTCGGGTGGAACTCTTCAACAACTCGTCCGATCGCGTCAAGATTGTCTTCCACCCCGAGTTCCTTAACTCGTCCAACCCCGTGCTCCCCCTGGACTATGACGATTTCGTCCGCGGCACTCACTTGGGAGTGTTCCCGTCCTACTACGAGCCCTGGGGTTACACCCCGGCCGAGTGTACGGTGATGGGTGTGCCCAGTATCACCACCAATCTGTCTGGGTTTGGTTGCTACATGGAGGAACTGATTGAAAACTCCTCCGACTACGGCATCTATATCATGGACCGTCGCGCCAAGGGCGTGGATGACTCGGTGAATCAGCTGACCGATTTCATGTATAACTTTACCTTGAAGAGCCGGCGTCAGCGGATTAACCAGCGTAACCGTACCGAGCGCCTGAGTGATCTGTTGGACTGGAAGCGGATGGGCTTGGAATATGTCAAGGCTCGCCAGCTAGCTCTGCGGAGAGGTAAGACCAAGCCTTCTGTTGGATACTAAGTCGTACGCTCTGAATGTTGGCTAACTGCGCAATCATAGCTTATCCTTCTTCATTCGATGGCACCGAGGACTACTTCGACATCATCGGCGGCACTGACCAGAAGGTCTCTCGCCCGTTGTCCGTTCCCGGATCGCCACGGGACCGCACCGGTATGATGACCCCTGGTGACTTTGCGTCTCTCCAGGAGGGTCGTGAGGGACTGAGCACGGAGGATTACATCGCATGGAAGCTCCCGTAAGTCGGAGAAACTCAACCCCCAGAGACTTCGGAAGTGAACCGAAAGGAACTAACCGGATGCACACACAGTGAGGAGGAAGAACCCGATGACCACTTCTACCCGCTCACGCTACGCACCCGCAAGAACAACGACCGTCCCCAGTCTCCGTTGGACAGCATCTCTATCAATGGAGGTCGTGCTCCCGAGGGCAGTCCGAAGCAGGAATAAACTGTAGCTGGTGCCCCCAGCTTGCCTCGCTGTCTCCCAGCAAAACGGAACTGAGTACGGGATGAACCTATTCACAGGCTCGCAATGAGTGCCTTGTTCTTTTAGTTTCTTCTGTTGATCTGCTCGTCTTCTGATCTTTCATCTGCATTTGGTGTCTTGTTTTTCTTCTCTCGTTTGCTGGTCTCTTTCAAATCCCTCAAACCCCTCCTTACCCTGTACCCTGACGTCAGTCACCCTGTACTTTTTTGTTCCTCTCGTCTCGTCTCCCGCTGCATCGTTGCATTTTGAAGCCTGTTCTAACTGAATTTGAAACCCACCTGAATGCATTGACTACGAGTATAATCATTGTCTTTTCTTCCTGTCTACCAGTATCTACTTTACCCTGTAGAACTTCATATCAACCCCTAGGTGTGTTTGTTGACTCATTAACGTTCTCCCCTCGGGCCACCATCGGCTCACTCGGTTGGTGCCGGACGCAAGACGGTGGACTCGAGTGGGATTGACTTTGGAACAAAACCCAATCAGGAGGAGACAACATTTTCGTGTCCGGTGAACGTTTTGCGTGGTACGGTCATCATGAGCAAAATAATTTGCTGGCAGCGAGTCAAAAGAGGGTCCAGAGCTCCAGTTACACGGGGCTCTCCACTCCGAAGTAGGAGGAGTAAGAAGGTATTTAGCTTCTACCCCTCCACGATTTTTTGTTCATTCTTCTCTTCTTTTTTTTTTTTTCTTCTTCTCTAAACTTGTTTCATCTCGATATTCGTTTCAATTCAACTCTTCCCAACCTCTATCCGTCTACCATCGGTACGACTCCCATGGAGCCGCGCACGTCCTGAAGCTCGCCATGCGGCTTTTCCCCGCTGCGGTTGTGGCGGGGAAGGTCCCGAGCTTTTTCTATGGACAGGGTCCTCCTCGCTAGGAGTGTTCATCGTCGGTCAAGGTATTGTACTTGGTATAACGGTCACTGCACACGCATGACAGGTGTTCGACTCAGTCTGTCCTTCGATGTTCGATTGCTTTTGCATATTATATGCATGGCGAGAGAACTCGATGAACGGACTGGGTCGTTCTGAGATTATACTGTCAAAACTTGATCTAGATAATACTAGCGAAAGGACATGCGTGACTTTTGATTGTTTCCCCCCTTTGCTTTGGTATTTGTCTTTTCTATTTCTATTCTTGATTTATGGATTTATCAATCTGATTGATGGTCTATGGATTGAAGATGGAAATGGATGGAAAATACCCTGGTCATTGGCATACTGACTCTTCCCCCCAAGTACTCGATAGCTGAACTTGCACCTCGTCAAAATGGCTACGGACAAGATCACTTTCCTGACCAACTGGTACGGCTAACACTGATAGTTTCTGGCTATTTACCTGCATTATTGCATTGTGTTTTCCATCCAAAGATTCCAGGCTAAGTCTTCTCAAGGCACGCCACCCCGTACCATGCCCCGCTGTACCTCGCCCAGGCCCGCGGCTACTTCAAGGATGAAGGCCTCAAGGTCGCTCTCCTCGAGCCCAATGACCCCTCTGATGTCACCGAGATCATCGGCAGCGGCAAGGTCGACATGGGCTTCAAGGCTATGATCCACACTCTGGCTGTACGTGACCCTTCCACCTGGGCATCAATAGTCCCACCCCGGAAGCTACGTGCTAACTCCCATCCAGGCCAAAGCCCGCAACTTCCCCGTGACTTCCATCGGCTCTCTCCTCGACGAGCCCTTCACGGGCGTCGTCTACCTCAAGTCCTCCGGCATCACCACGGACTTCCGCTCCCTCAAGGGCAAGCGCATCGGCTACGTCGGCGAGTTCGGCAAGATCCAGATCGACGAGCTGACCAAGTACTACGGCATGACCGCCGACGACTACACCGCCGTGCGCTGCGGCATGAACGTCACCAAGGCGATTATCCGCGGCGACATCGACGCCGGCATCGGTCTTGAGAACGTGCAGATGGTCGAGTTGGAGGAGTGGCTCGCCACCCAGAACCGGCCCCGCGATGACGTCCAGATGCTGCGCATCGACCAGCTCGCCGAGCTGGGCTGCTGCTGCTTCTGCTCTATCCTGTACATCGCCAACGACGCATTCTTGGCCGCCAACGCGGAGAAAGTGGGCAAGTTCATGCGTGCCGTTAAGCGCGCTACGGATGCCGTTATTGCCGATCCTGCGGGTACGTATGAGGAATACGTTGATATGAAGCCTATCATGGACACGCCCGTGAACCGCAAGATCTTCGAGCGCTCGTACGCGTACTTCAGCCGTGATCTGAAGAATGTCTCTCGTGACTGGGAGAAGGTTACCCGCTACGGAAAGCGTCTCGGTATCCTGGAGGAGAACTTTGAGTCTAACTATACCAACGAGTTCCTCTCGTGGGCGCTCGATGGGGACTCGACTGATCCGACTGGTGACCAGAAACGCATGGCCGAGCTGCAGAAGGAGGTTGCTGCCAAGGGTGGCTTCAAGCGTCTGGAGGTTTCGGCTTCTGCTTGAGCTACGCTGGCTGTAGCTGGCTGGAACTGCGAGCTACTTCCTGGCTTATATGCTAGGCTCTTTTTGCTACTTTTGAGATTTCTTTGCTGGTCATCCGGGTTTCACTCTTTGACCTGGTGATACTATGATCAATGGAATAAGAGCTTTTGCTTGGATCATTGACTGTATAGTTGTAAACCGCGAATGAAGTAGAATGTAATTGCTAAATGCATCAGAACGCCCCGCTATGATAATGTATGACACGGCTAAGTGAATCCAAATCGATCTGGCCCCCACCTATCCTCCAGGGCGTTTCAATAAAGAGTCACTCGCATGATCTCCCGACTCCACATCACTGAAGCCTTCCAGTTCATCCAATTCCTCCTCTGCATACACCCGTTGCCAGACACCTCCGTTCTTCTCACGGGTAAACATGTTCTTCAAAGAGCCGCTATTTGCAATCTTGCACAACAGCCATACACAGAATCCGAGTACCGCCACAGTGATTAATCCAATTCCAATTGTCCAAAGGGACGTTGTGTCAGATGTTTCCTCGGTATCCGCATCTTGTTCATTCGGTTGCTCCTCGCCACTATACACGGCGACTTCCTTGTTCATTTCCTCTGGTTCCCAGTCCAATTCTGCCGTCGCACCCAGGGTATCACCCTTCTTGCCCAGGGCGATGATCCGCAACTTGCTATACGGTGTATCGCGTGGCAAGTAGATGATAGTCTCAAATCCCGACTTTGGAGCCGCGGAGATGAACTCAAATTCGAGATCGAGGTCCTCGCTGTCCGCGAGTTGTCGAGCAGCCACAACACCGACATTCTCACCCTGCTCTCCCCTGGAAAAAGCCCCCTGCAAAACCCAAGTCACCACTTCAGTAGCTCCATTCCAGCTCACAGCGGCCTGGGTACCGGATAATGCGACAGAGGGACTCGTCAACGGCAACCCAAGCCACTCCTGCTTGAAAACACGATACGAAACGATCTGCCCTCGGTGAAATTGAGTCTGTGGTCCGAAATGGACTTCGCAGAGTGCCTCGCCCTCTGCGGTGAATTCCGTCCATGCAGCGCTGTACCCGTAGCCCAAGACAACATTTCCGTTGTCGAGGACCTGCATTGAGCCCTGCGATTGGCTACTGATGGGCGTTGGGTTCCAGTACTCTTGCACCACGGCGACAGTCATGTCCTCTTCGTTGATTTCGATGATTAATCCGCGACTCGTGTTTTCGGGTGCGCCTTCGCCGCGAGACGCGTTATCGAAGAGGGATATCATTCGTGTGGAGTTCGTGTCGTATGGTACATGGAATCGAGCATGATGTTGCCAGCTGATATTCGTTGCTGCGCCGCCACTCAGGTCCTGGAATGAATTCTGCTTTCCGCCTAATTTCCAGATAATATCGCCCGTTCGGCCGTCGATGTACGCTAATGAACTCATATACCGCGAGGAAATCAGGTAATTCCCCCGCCAATCCTTGTCGATGCTATTGATATGGAAGAAGTCCCAAGGGTTATCCTCGGTTTCGCCGTCACCTTCTTCGCGATCTCGCTCAGCTTCTTGGAGCGGGAAGTGTTCGGATGCTCGCCATTGGAAGAGGATCTCGTTTGTTTCGACGTCGACTTCTTGGAAGAGGCCGTCGTAGATCCAGCCGACTTTTGGTCCGTTCACTTCGCGGAGATCTGTGGGGAGTATTTCGTAGACGGCGAAGAGAGCTGTGTCGTCGCGGGTGATTTGGAATTCGTGAAGGTCGCCGTACAGGCCATTGGCACCGTGGATTTTGTATACTTCCTCGTAGTGGGAGTTTAGCTGTGCTTAGTTAGACCCGATAAGACCAATGCCTCCATTTGGAGCGTGAAAGAAGACGCCATCCAAGGGCTGCGCATTCCAACTTACCATATAATACGTCCCTTCCCCATGCCCTCTGACAGAATCATCTCCCGCCCAGAACGTCAAATACCTCTCCCCCTTGTAATCATGCACATTGGCGTTATAAGTGGTCTTGTACTGCTTAAACCACACCAAATGCCCCTGCTGATCCACAATCATCGGCCCCGATTGCCGCACCGAGTCTCCCCGCGGCGTCAGAATAGTATATAGCCCATCCTGACAGGCTACACTGCGATGCCAGTAGTTCAATATCGGGCCTGATACATCAGCAGAGCCGTATCGCTGTAGTGGATATGGCCCCTCGAAGCCCTTGGCGTATTTCTGCGAGCGGAACCGCGGCTCTTGATCTGCTGATGCAATCGCCGCGATGCAGAGCGTGAATAGCGCGTAGATGGCTATGTCAACGAGCAGCAGGCCAGCCATCATGCGATAGCAGAAGCAAATCGTATAGCCATCGACATGGTCGCGGGAAAAGAAAATGACGACAGAATCGCGCTCATCGCAGTGGGGTTGGGGTCTTTCTTAACGCCCGGCAGCGTGGGGGGTGGTGCTTGTGCATTTTTAATCGGAATTGGGGATATGTCTACGCGGTCAGAGTCAATGGTCTTGCTTTGCTTTTGCCCGTTCCAATCGGAAATTGGATTCTAGACTGCTGATTTGACCAGTTGAGTGGCTAGTCGAGCTTGTGTGCGCCACCAAAGGGGCCACTGTGGAGCCTGCCGCGACGACTTTTGAGTCGGTATTTTCAGCTTTCGATAAAGATAGAATGACAGGGACTGCTGTGCTTTCAGCGCCAAAAGCACTGAGAAGAGTCTTGGAACTAATTATAGTCGTAATCTAAGGGAATTTCGAATGGGGCAGGCAAGGTTGAATGAATAGCTTCATCGAGGTGGTCAACGCGATAGCTGCGTATGTAGCATCGAACTGGACCCGGTTCCAGCTTCTTTCTGCAATCCGCACGGGAGCGAACAACATTGTATACCCATTGACAATTGCCTCTAGTTATGGGATGCTGTTCTTGATGGAACCGGTTAATAGATCACTGATTTACAAGTTAAGCGTTGGCATGCTTACGAGTCTTCTGGAGACCTTCGTTAACCCAGCCCTGGAGGTCTAACCTCTTCGTCCACCCCAGGTGAATAATGTCCAACGATACTATGTTTCAATCACATTTATTGAGATTCGCCCTCTATGCCAACGAGATCATTTGTAAATGTGTTTCATTTGAGCAGTAATCGGCTATGCAGACAATGTGTTCTCTAGTGTCCTTTATGAAGTAAGGATAATCAGCGTAGGCCATAAACCGCAGCAAACTATATAGCTTGATCCAACTATACCAGAAGCGTAGCAAATTGACTGCTCATGCAACATACGAAACACAAGCGTTGATGAATTTGCCTGGCAGGTCGACAAGTCTCTGATCCTTTCCAGCTACTCTCATTATCTGCTCGGCCTTCTGACAGTACGTGGTTGTAAATGCATCCCATAGCTCCCGCTCGGTATCTCCTTCGCGCCGTGGTCGCGGGTAATATGGATCATTGTCAAAGAAGGCTTTGACGAGATGGGAGATCAAGGCGTCGGGCTCGTTCAAGCCAATTTCCTCGGGCCAGACATGCAGAGGTTAAAGTCGAGAACCCATACACGTGTAGTACGTTGCTTGAACTTTGTTCTCATTTGAGTGTCCAGATCTTCATGGGAAGACATGGCAAGGACTGATTCCGGAGTCAAGTCCAGGGAGACAGAGATATCCTCGCTATATCCAGTGCCCGTGTCCCCCTCACTACCAAGCACGAATTCAATATCGTAGCCGTCAACATGTGCTGCCCAATGGATGATGGCGAGCGCTTCGCCCATAGCCCTGGCGAACAAGACCACGGGCAGTTCCAGCTCTAGCATCTGATCAAGATGTAGGTTGAAATTGCGGAGGGTGAAATTAGGCGATAGAAGATCTGGCCTCTGACGTCGAGATCCAAGATATAGCCGTGCGAGACAGTCTCGGTTGGTCGGATCAGCTCTGACTGAGGCCTGAAACTCTGGCGGGCAGTATCTCTCAATCAGTGCCTGTCGAGCTATCCTTGGGAGGGGAAGAATATGCTCCGTAATCAATGCCGGCGTTGGAAGAGGCAATACACCAGAAATTTCTGGGAATAAGAGACGATTCTTATCCCACCACTCGGTATTAGTTTCTGGAACCCACGAAAACAGCTTGGGTACACGACACTTGGCGTTGGTGTTGGCCTCTTGTTGGAATGCTTCTCGGACCATGAAGTGAGATTGAAAATCAGCCCAGAGACCGGTTTTGTACGCGGGCCGAGCAAGTTTGATCACATAGCCCCTTCCTGGCCTTTCGCAGATGATACCACATTGTCCGAAGCCAATACGGCGATAGCCAACTGCTGGATTTTGCTGTCTCGGACGGAAGATGGCAGATGAAGAGGCGGTAATTATCAAGCTTGGTGACAAAATTTTTGTTTCGGATGACTGTGTCTCGATCACAAAGCTGGCAGAGGGGAGATTTAACAAAGTTTTCCGACTCTAGATGAATGATGGGGAAACGATTTTGGCCCGTATTCCTAACCCAAATGCTAGGACCGCCTTCTATACAACAGCCTCTGAAGTTGCTACTATAGAGTTCGTGAGTTCCTCCCCCCCCCGGCCCAACAGATATAAGACACTAGATGACTTATGTGGTTGTGAGGCTCGAGATATTCTCTAGATACCGGTCCCTCGAATACTAGGATAGAGTGCTATCTCCCAAAACCTAGTAGGGTCAGAATATATCTTTATGGAAGAAGCAGCTAGAAAACAACAGTAACGTAGTAGGATGAATTAACTCCTGATTCAAAGCTAGCTATTATGAGAGAGATCGTGGCTATAGAGATAAAGTTGTTATCGGTATCGTTTTCGCAGTATGTGTCTATTGCGGTTGCCGTTGTTTCTTTATATACTTACTTTCTGATTCCTAGCTACGGGAGCATATATTTCTCGAGTAACGAGGTAGCTAGGGCGGTACTAGCTCAAATCACAAGCTATGCCCCTACAGATTAAAAAAGCTGGTCTCTAAGAAATTCACTATCGGCCCTACTATCGAGCGAGATTTCTGGAAAAAGGAGCGTGCTATAATAGATATCTGACGAAGTCCTTACAAGTAGTATTTCCCTACTGTTGTTACACTCAGGCATGAGGATATCGAATCAACATGGTAGCATTCAACGAAGCAACTAAATCTAGAGAGAAGAAAAGAAGAAGAAGTTCCATCTGCTCGGAGATCGCCCTTTTCGCCCTTTTCATGCACGTTCCGAAACCCCCATCTCGCAAGCTCCATCAAACACCCAAACACTCATTGACCAGTTGCCTTGCTATCCCTCCAGCTCGTCACAACTATGAAGATTCGGGCGTCTAATTTCTTTAAGGGTTAAGTGCTAAGGAGTACGCATCGAGTGTTAGTCGGCGCGAAGTTGATTAGATAACAAAGTACGCCGTTCTAAAGCTATCCGACGATATCATATTGCGCCCTACAGCCCAAAATGACCTACGTGCGCATCTTAATCTGCTAGAGAAATACCTAAGCGTTGCCCCTGGCCTTATAGACATTGATCCCCTCCTAAGTCTCCCTACTCTATAGTACGGCGATCTTCACTCGTCCAACTTTTTCGTTGACAACAATCGTATTACTACAGTTATTAATAAGCAAGGCTCGTGGGCCGGTCCACTTCTACTTCAAGCACAGCCATCTCCGCTGGTGGATTATCAAGGTACTATCCTACTTAATCGTCTAGATAATTTCGACGACCTTGGTTCCGAGCAAAAAATTCAAATAAATCGACAAATCTTTAAATCAATACTTTTCTAGCTTTACTTAATAGAGACAGAAAGAAGGAACCCTTTGCTGGCAAGAACATTGTATCTGAACTATGGAAAAACAAGACGTCTTGGCGTCGAATTGGCGGGGAATACTTAGGATGATGAAATTGTGTCTTTCCGGGAGGCACTCATTAATATTGAAAAGTATGACTTGGTAAATCTTATAATACCGACGGGGGCTGACTATACAAATAGGCACTGGGAAGAGATAGGAATCCAGGGTAATTGCCCGTATCACTTCATGGAGGAAGAGTTAAAAAGCCATGCCGTAGATGCAGAGGGTTGGAACGAGGTTCAGGAATTTTTTGATAGGATTGACGGCCTTGTAAAGAGGGATGGCTGGACCCATCCCGAAACGTTCGACGCTGCCTTCAATTTCTTCTCCGACCTCCGGAAATTAGGTCTCAGGCACATGAACGGCCATGAAAGAGAGATCTTCGACAAACAGACCAGCTGGGTGAGAAGTGAAAGCTGAGACTGGACCGACCAGGCTTGTTCATGCCTAATAGAACGGCTTGAAAGCCACATGTTTGTGTTCAACGCTATCCTGAATACGTAGTCCAGGTGACCGTAAAAACGCAGCCCTGAGAGGTGATCGACTCCCAGAGCAGAGGATGAGTTAATCACCCCGCCTGATCGCTCACGCCAATGCTCAGGCTGGTCAGCCCAGTTGATCTCATTTTGCCTTCGCATTCTACAAGGTCCTCCAACGATAACTGTACTGCTTACTGCCTGGTGTGTTCCTGAGTGCATGCTATCCAATGAGTTTACCAGCGAGCAATCGGGCTGATAACTATCAGAACTAGCTGATACAGTATATACATATTGGCGAATGCGATTAAGCAGAATCAGCATCGGATGAATAAGATTTAATGTCATCACTTTTGCCATGACCGTTCAGGGCGTGTCAGTCTTCGTGCCACTATGACAAAATTCCCAGACAATGTCAAGATGTCTAGGAGGTTCCGCCTCCATGCTGAAAGATCAACCTGTACTCCGTAGATGAGAGTAACTTGTATTATTTGCCTTCCTTACAGCACGTATTTATGTGTACATTGTTCAGTGTCCGGTAGCCTCCACTAGATTCGTGCCGATCATAACTTCATCGGGTTAGCGAGACCAAAGGCGCCGGAACATAAATTCCTATTCGGGGCGGCTTGATGAGTCCTTGACAGACCAGAGCTCGGGATCAGATGTTCTGGTTCACTAATCTTACAAAGCCCCAGCCTATGAGAAGATTCCCCAAGACTTCTTGGAAAGATATTCTGTTGGTTTCATGTGAACGTGAACGCACGGCGCAGATCTGAGAAAGCGATAGCTAGACAAAGTCTCGTACTGGAATAATAATGCGTTGTCATACAATCCAATGAAATAGTGACGTCAAAGTTGGCATAATATTGATGCTTTCAATCAGTAGAAGCAGTATGAAAACCAAGCCAGCCAACCAACTAAGTGGCGTGGTGGAATGGGGAATGTAAATGGATCTGCGATGAACCCTAACGAGCGGGTACCCACACCTCGGCTTCAGGTGGTCAAGATCAGTACGAGGACCGTGAAATACTTATAGATGGAGATCTGCCTGGCTTTCCCAGACTTTCATCTCCCACCTCACCCCCTTACAAAAATGGCTGCTCCTATCCGAAATCCAAAAGACTCCATGAACTCCACCTGGCGGACATGGGAAAAGTCGCAGTGGAAGTTCGGCCACTGGCTGTTGGAAGTCTTGGATGTGCATCATCTGAACCTAGGTCAGGATGTTCCCGTTCATGACAAGTCCGAGAAAGTGCCATACGCCCCCGAAATGCAATTCCATCGTTGGGTTCTCATTCATGCTTTCATACCACTCGTTCTGCATCAAGTCTACATCAACTACTTCGGTCTACCGCCGGCGTGGGCTGTTTTCATCTTCTACAGCCTGTGCCTCGAATTCAATGCTATACATGAAGTACGGGTCCTCCGCCGTGTCGGACACAAAATTGGATTCTTCGACGGTGACAAGCATTCTCGCGATGGCGTGCCTGATGTAGGAGTGAGCAAGACGGTGCAAACCTTGCTATCGGTCATCATATTCCGGCCAATGGTGACAGTTTTCCTCGCATACCGTGCTGATGAGACTCCTGCTTCGATCCGTTGGGGATGGCTCATCTTTGAGACCGGAATGTACGCCCTCGTCCTCGACTTCTGGTATTATCTCTTCCATCGTTCCGCTCACGAGTCGGAGCACCTATGGAAATTCCACCGCACCCACCACTTAACAAAACACCCCAACCCTCTCCTGACTGCTTATGCAGACAAGGTGCAAGAGTTCATCGATGTTATCGGAACCCCCGTTATTACCTACGGCACGATGAAACTGATGGGGTTCCCCATGGGATTCTATGAATGGTGGGTTTGCCAACAATATGTGGTGTTCACAGAGATTTTGGGCCACAGTGGTTTACGTATGATCGCCACCGCGGTGAACCCATGGACTTCGCTACTAAGAGTGTTTGATATGGAACTCCTGCTAGAAGACCATGATCTTCATCACCGCAAAGGCTGGAAGAACAGCCATAACTATGGCAAGCAAACCCGAGTTTGGGATCGTCTGTTCAACACATCGATTCCTCGGGTCGAGGGCCACGCAGATAACATTGACTACGTCAACACGGCTGAAATCCCTCTGTGGTAATGACGAGTCAATTGAGGACATGCATATTATTTATCGAGGGGCTCAATTTTGGTCATTGAAACGAAATCTAGGGAAGCACGTCCTTGGTATAGAGACTCTAGAAAAGCTAGACCACATCCAATGCAATGAATATCATGATCAAAATTTTTGATTTAAGCTTTCAAAATTTCTAAGGTTTGGCAACCATTTGACACCAAAGAGCAGTATATGATGATGGCTGAGATTCTGATAAGAGGACGCTTACAATGGCGTCAAGAATAGTCATTTTCGGTGCCCAAAGGTTTACCGTTGCCTAGAGTTGCGGTGTGAATTAAAGAGACTCTGTGAAGCAACTCTCTCGCCTTGTCTAAAATATTTCATGTACAAAGGGTTCTACGAATCTTTATATCATTACAGGTTGATTACAATACGTGCTTAGAAGAGGTATAGTCATAACAACCATAGTTCTGCTCAACTAATAGAGCGGTGACCCTAAATAGGATTAGCTGACGGTCAAAAAGACGTTTCAAAGGACGAGTGCTTGATCAGGCTGGCAACATTTTCTGTGGTGCATAGATGCTGCCTGATCATTTCCTAAACGCTTGGCGCGGGTTGTATCCGCACTTGTCTAGCAATGGAAGTTGCATTGCCATGTGCTTAAAATATACACTTACTGAGTTGGGACTTGGGACCTCGGAAACAAACAGATACAGAATCTATTATATTCAATTCAATTATTCCAAAGCGCTGGGAATGCCCTGCATCACATATAGTCAAGAATCCGAAACAATCGCTGGGTCGCTTTTAGTATCTCCAACGCCCCAATGGTATCTAGTTCATCTATTTGGTGCGCTTGTAGATCTTGGCCAGGAACGACTCAAAGACCTCCTTCTTCAGGCCAGTGGTCTCGTCCACAGCGGCAATCTTGGCGCGCAGCTCTCCGACAACCTTCTCCTCATAGTCCTTGTACAGCTTCTCCAACTCAAGCTCGTCGAAGATCTTCTTGACCTTGGCCTCCTGCTCCTTGTCCTTGCGGCCGTAGGCGGAGTCCAGCACCGCACGCTGCTCGGGGGTGGCACGAGCAATGGCCTGGTTGACCAACCAGGAGCACTTGTTGTCCTGAATGTCGGTGCCGATCTTGCCAATGACCGCGGGGTCACCGAAGTTGTCCAGGTAGTCATCCTGGATCTGGAAGTACTGGCCCAGAGGGATCAGGATATCGTGAGCCTGCTTCAGGGTCTCTGGGGTAGCGACCTGCAGATACAGCAGGGCAAGGGCGACGGGCAGGTAGAAGCTGTAGTAGGCCGTCTTGTAGGTGACAATGAACATGTACTTCTCCATGGAGAAGTTGTTGAGGTTGACATTGTCCTCGGGGGCGGTGATCAGATCGCAAAGCTGACCCAGCTCGGTCTGCCAAGTGGTCTCGTGGAAGAGCTCGACGAGGTCGATGTAGGCGGGGTGGGACTTGAAGCGCTGCTTGAGGATGAGGTAGATGGCCGACTCGAGCATGAAAGCGTCGTTGATGGCAATGAGGCCGACACCCTCCTGGCGGTACCAGCAGGGCTGGCCACGGCGAGTGATCGAGCTGTCCATAATATCATCGCTAACGAGGAAGAAAGCCTGGAGCAGCTCGGTGAGCCAGCCCAGGATGCTGAGGTGCTCGAATTGCTCCTCGGTCAGGGGCTTCTGCAGGAGGGCGAGACCGGTGTCGGGGACCGAGAGACCGCGGTTGAGCTTGCCACCGGGGGTGTTCGCGAACAACGACTATTAGATTTATCAGTTTCAATTGTCCTTTTCCATTGAGTGATAGCACTTTTTAGAGCATAGAATATGAGATGGGCCAATGGCTCACCTTCTCGAACCACTCAAGGGCGTTGGCGGGGAGGTTGTACCGCTTCGCATGCTCGAGAATATCCTTGGCCAGGGCAGGGAAAACCGCCTCAAAGTCGGCGCGCTTAGTAGTAGAAGCCATGATAAGACGATTGGGCAATGAGGAAGTCAGCGAGAGAGGGGGAACTGAGCCAAACAATCCACAATCGGGCTTTCCTCCGCGGGGAGGGGTCTGTTTGCTTTGTTTGGCTAGTTTGTGCAGTTTGGCGGCCGTCAGGTGCAGCTGCTGCACGATGAGAGCAGCTCGTCTGGTTACTCGATCGGACACATATTCTCATGAGACTTGCGACAGAATATTCCATGCTTGAATTGATTGTATCCCAATCGAATTTATCAACAATCTTGCCACCGCCGTCCTGAGTTGAAGCTCACCTCCCGACCGCGTCAACAACGCGCGCCAAGCCCGCGATAGTTATTTGTTGCGGCAGCTCCAGACTCGACTCTCAATTGCGATTACCCCACGACTGGCTCAAAATTAAAGGGAGGACGCGGTTGACTGTCAGATAACCACCCAGATTGAAGGGAAATCACAAGACTGCTGTCTGGTTGTCGATGTTCATGGGATTGTGACTGCCGCATTTTCTCGAATATCTGCGTCTTGCGCGCTCGGGAAAGAGGCATCATGGAGTTCACAGAGGATGACATACGAGAGCTGAAGTACAGATTCGAAGATGCCACGATCAAGTGCTCAGAACGGTGCTTATATCAATCAGCAAAATGGTAAGCTCCATCGCGACAATTCTTCCCTTACGCATGACGGTTGACAAGAATCGCGCATGCAGGGCAGCGGAAATGCTCGATTCGATCGTACAACTTGATCACGCAGATACTGATGCTGAGTCTACAATGGATATCATTGAACCGGTCACACCACCGATCAACCCATACCTGCGCACGTCAGACCCGATAGAAGCCGCCTTGGAAGCCCAGGAAGCCCACAAATACCTACTTGCCAAATCCTATTTTGACACCCGAGAGTACGATCGCTGTGCCGCCGTGTTTCTCCCTCCAACAACACCTCCCGTTCCTCTATCCCTGACCTCGCCCAATGCTAAACCCAAACAAGTGCGAAGCACCCCTCTCAAGGGCAAAGACAAAGCCTCGCCCTTCCAAGGCTCCAAAGGCCACAGCCAAGTTCCGCAAAACCCATACCCTAAACTCAGCCAAAAATCCCTCTTCCTTGCATTGTATGCAAAGTACTTAGCTGGAGAGAAGCGGAAAGATGAAGAAACGGAGATGGTATTGGGGCCAGCAGATGTCGGGACGGCGGTCAACCGCGAATTGCCAGACCTCGCTCGAGGACTGGAAGGCTGGCTGGCAGAGCGGAGCGCAAATGGCTTAAATGAACTTGGACAAGGTTGGCTCGAATATCTCTATGGAGTCATTCTGCTGAAGGGACGGAATGAGGAGGCAGCGAAGACTTGGCTCATTCGCAGTGTGCATCAAAACCCGTTCCATTGGGGTGCATGGCAGGAGCTCAATGACTTGCTGGGCAGCATTGAAGATGTAAGGATTAGGATCAAGATCAGTCCACATAGCAATCGCTTGATTCAGGGAACACTAACATCGTCGGCAGTTGAAACAAATCAAAGACCTTCTGCCGGAGCACCTCATGACCCTCATATTCTATGTTTACTGCAGCCAAGAGCTTTACCAGGCTACAGATGACACATACGCAACGTTGGATGAACTGCAAACCATGTTCCCTACCAGCGCCTTTCTACAGACTCAGCATGCCCTACTCTTTTACCATAATAAAGGTAATCCCGTATCAAATCATTTCTTATTCCAGTCCGATGCTAAGTGCCACCAGACTTTGAGCGAGCGTCAAATATCTTCAACGAAATCTTGGCTACATCACCACATCGCCTAGACAGCCTGGACCATTATTCCAATATCTTGTATGTTATGAACGAGCGGCCTCGGCTTGCCTTTGTGGCTCAAATTGCAACTGCCACCGACAAATTTCGACCCGAAACATGCTGCGTCGTGGGCAACTACTACTCCTTGAAATCCGAGCATGAGAAGGCTGTCATGTATTTCCGACGTGCTCTGACACTCGACCGCAATTTCCTGTCCGCCTGGACTCTCATGGGTCATGAATACATCGAAATGAAAAACACTCACACCGCCATCGAGTCGTATCGACGAGCGGTTGATGTCAATCGCAAAGACTATCGCGCATGGTATGGTCTTGGCCAGGCCTACGAAGTTCTGGATATGTCCTTCTACGCTCTCTTTTACTATCAACGTGCGGCGGCTCTTCGCCCGTATGACCCGAAGATGTGGCAGGCTGTGGGATCATGCTATGCGAAAATGGGCCGTGTCGAGCAGAGTATTCAAGCCTTGAAACGTGCCCTGGTGGCTGGCTCTTACTACGCAGACGACAATCCAGGCGCCGGTGCTCGGAAAGTCCTGGACCCCGAAACACTGCACCAAATTGCAACCCTGTATGAGCGTCTCGGCGAAGAAGACGAAGCAGCAGCATACATGGAGCTTACCCTGCAGCAAGAAACTGGTGGGGCACCCGTCGGTGAAGCAAACGAGTCTGACGAGGAAGAGTACTCGTCTTCCTCGGAGCATGCCGCACATAGCGATGGCGAGGGCGAATATTCTGGGGATGATGATGAAGGACGACAAGCCCGTTCTCGCCGTCGTCGCCGCAAGCCTCGTCCCAGAACCTCGTCAATCAGCATGCAGCAGGATGACTCTACAGCCGGAGAGATGTGGCACCATCCCACAGCCACGACGTCCAAGGCACGGCTCTGGCTTGCGCAGCATGCATTGCGTAATGGGGATCTTGATCGGGCAGATCAATTAGCAGGTGAGCTTTGTCAAGACGGGATGGAAGTAGAAGAGGCAAAGGCTTTGATGAGAGATGTTCGTGCGCGACGAGAGGACGTTGGTTAGGCCTGTGGCCTGCCCATAGGGGTCGTATCGTGGACATATTTCTGTTTTAAATCCATGATAGCGCGGCGTTAGTGTTCACGGTTGATAGTATTCTACTCAATTTGCATCATTCCGGCGGGAATATGTGTTCTATTCATTAGAGATTAAGCTATTGGTACATCATAGGGTCGTAGGGTCGGTCAACCCGTCCAGAGAGGTGTACTCGCCCAGAGCGAAGATTTCTTCTTCATCGAAACTGACAAATAGAAAGGGCGAGAGTTCATCGCTGACAGCCCCGTGATTGCAATGTTGGTGTGTGGTTTGCATTTCGCGCTCAACAACTGCGTGATCATTCCCCTTGACGAAATTCCAACGCAGACAAGCATAGTAATATTTCAGGCCAAGGTTACGCCATGTCTGGCGCAGGCAAAACCCAGGATCTTCAGGTTTGATATTTTCTGTCAAAATGACACCATCTAAAAAGAAGATTCTTCCGCTAGTAGGAAGGGTTGGCTCGTGATTTTGAAAAGACCGAGACAGGCCCTTTGCAATTTTGTGAATCAGTTGTCCAAGTGGCAATTCGCCGGGGTTGACGAGGGCTATCCCGAAAACAGCCCCATGACTAGCGGCTTCAGGATTCGAGCGTCTAAAGAGAGACTTTGTCTCATCGGAGCCGAGGGCCTGCAAGAATTGCGAGAGACTGGAGGAGTCTTGCGGTTCGGGGGAGGTGTCACCTTCAGACGGGCTTCCGGACATGTACACGGGGATTGTCTTGAGGGGGGATATTGGGGCCCCTTTCAGCTTGTTGGAGATCTGCAGACTTGGGGAATGCATTGTTTGAGTAGAGCTGACTGGCTCCTCGGTCCTTGATGCATCCTTTCGATGCAAGGAGGTGCGATTGGTGACTCGATGACCAGGTGAAGTTGTAGGTGCTCCACTAGGTTGCGAGGTTTCAGCGACGGCTTTGGACATATGGTCATTGTTTTGATCGGCAATTCCGAAACCGCCATCTCTGGATGTTCGGCGATTAGATGAGTTCTGATTCTCGGCTAGGACATGCCTGTCATGGGGTAGATCACTGGCCATTGGAGAAAGCCCGGAGTTGTCGACATAGACGGTTGTGGTATTCTCCATACTGCCAAGGGTCTGGCAATGATTTCCATCCGGTGATGAAGTATTTTGGGCTGGTTTCTCCATTGAAATTGACTGCAGACCGTCTTCGTGATCACCCATTGTAGTATCAGAGCGGCCGGGTGCATCTGACCCTGTGCTTGAAGTACTACCTGTCGACAGGCTGCGTGATCTCCGGACAATGTAGTCTTTCAGCCCGTTCCCGACCTTCAACCGCTTGCGCCATTGTTCTTCTTCTTGTGAGAGCTCATCCATAGGCACAGACCGAGCATCTTCTGCTAGAAGCTGTAGCTCCCTAAAAGAAGCAGCATCCTCGGGGTTCCTCTCAGTGTGGATTTTCAAAACCCGTGGAAAGCGAAGAGTGAAATACCGGGCACTTGACGGCTTCTCGAACCCACTGCCCATCATTTCCACGATGAATGGTTTTTTGAAAATGACCGAGGCTGCTGGTAGGCCTGTACGTCCATACTCGATTTCAAATCCCTCGAACTCTTCAGGATCGCTGGCATGAAATTCACCAAGCTGATTTAGAAGTTGCAACAACTTCCAGTGCATACAGTGGCGATTAACAACGTCAACTATGCGGTAATGGGGCTTGGTATCGGTTTGCACCATAGCATCTTTGTTCAGGAGACAACCGACTAGGAAGTGTGTCCACCGCAGGTTTTTGAGAGACGAAACAGCAGCAGCATCTTGAGCATTGTAACATGCGCCGACTAATATAAGGTCAACGGTATCACCAAGACCAGGAATATAGTCTTTCTTGAGCTTAATCCACCGGCCGAAGGAGTTATTCACTCCTGCTGCGTAGATCGGAAAATAAGGCTCGTCGGAAGCTTTCAGCACATATCCTTCCCATCTTTTTGCAATAGCCTTTGCAAAGCTGGCCTCTAGTCGATATTGGCTATCGACCCGGCCAAAGTCCAATATTTCTTGCTCGGCAATATCGGCACGTCCTGGGATTTTTTGCACTAGTTCTTGCAGAAGTAAACGTCTCTGTCGATGGGGAGCTCTTAGACAAACGACATCATCCAGAAGAAGCATGTCAAAGAAGACAACCATCAAGTGCTCATATGGCTGCGGTCTGTTTTCATTAGAATGTGCTCCATTTCAAGGGACATTGCGGTACTTACGGCGAGTCGTGGTCAATCCCGATGAAAGTCCCAGCACGAGGAAGGAATTTTCGCAGCTTGTGAAAATCTGCTATTCCACCAAGCTTGTCACTCCACACAAGCAGCTCTCCCTCTAGGATGCAATATTTTGTAAATTTACATCCTTTTAGCCCAATTCGGAGACTTTCCTTCAAGACTGAGAGGATAGTCGATCTGTCTGCAGTGGAGTCTTTGCCACTTTTGGAGAAAATCTGGATGGGCGTTTGCTTGTTCGTGAGGTCCACATGAATTTGACAGTACTCTCCATCGTATTTCCGCTCTATGCTCATACGGCGGCCTTTTGCCATCTGATGGCAATGCTTGATGCTCCTAGCCTTGAAGTATTCGGGCCGGCCGATTTTGATACCCGTTCGTGGCCGCAGATAGTCAAGGGCCACGGAACATAAGTTGGCAGCCAATTTTGGATCTGGTCGAGGGGGAAATCTATTGATTGGTTCTGAAGAAAGCATATCCAAGGCGCCCTCGAATGTATTTTGGAATTGAAGGAAGTGTGGCAGCAAGAAGTGGAATCGTTCTAAAGTGTATTTCTCGGGGAGTGTCACCGGGGAATAGCTCTTCAGAATCATCCGCGTAAGCCATTTGGCATCACGACTGCTCAGACTGCGGTACAATGGTGCAAGCGCACTTTCCACATCGACGGCCGTCTGCTGGCGGCGTACTTGGGGACCTGAGAAACGACATCGAGATGCAATCATATCTAGTGCTTGGTCAATCTCCTCCACTGAGACCTCCCGATCAGGATGGGTTTGATTCTCAGCTTGACGCATCACATTTTCCACGCATTGGCCGAGATCCGGGCCACCGGGTTTGCGCCATTGATCCATCTCCGACAGTCTGGAAGATCCCAAGCCCAAGCAACGACCGATCACGCGTGCGAGCGAGGTGGCTTGGAGCCAGTATACCCGATCTGGGCGTTTCTCTGGGAACATGCATGACAGTAGGGCAAGCCGATCTGTTTCTGGGTGATGGACGTGCCTATCATGGCGACGAAACCATTGAGAGATTGACCGAATATCCGGAGTGTCTTTGTTGGGAGCGACGACCTTGGCTATCTGATTGTCCTCGAGACCTGAGAGCAAGTCACATAGGAAGGAGAATTTGAACCCCATCGGGCACTGAGGTATGTGTCATGTCAAAATGACCACGTCAGACCGTAGAGACTTTCATACTTGCTTCATTGTCATTATCATGAGGAGGAAGACCGAGTGGGACGCGAAAATTCGCGGCGGCACACACCCATGGAACGCGAAAGCACGTGACTACGACCTATACAGAACGTCACCAAAGAGATTACATGTGAAGCATGGAGGAAATGATAATGGGTATTATTCGTGAACAAATCGGCTCATCAGCCGCCCAGTTTGAAGCCACTATAAGCCGTCCATGGTATTCGCCAAACTCCAACCCCCTTTTGTATGATGATAACACGCACCCCGAGGGGTTATAACACATTGAAGCGAAAGGTGATAAAGCCACTCGCTGTTTAGAGAATGCCCTGTTTTTGAAGACTACAAAAAAAGGAGGTTAGCATGTGCACAACAGTAGATTAAAGGGGGTGCAACTTACTCAAGGTAGATCCTCTCCGGCATGACATTGCCCTCAGCATCCTCCATCTGCACGACGTTGTCGCGGGAATCGCGCTCCTTCTTGCGATCTTGCTCAAGTTTCTCCCAAAGTCGCACAGCATCATCAATGCGAGTAATCTCACGGAACAGGTTAGTGTTAGATGTGACACCTAAACACTTCAGTCCATAGATGTGCAGAGCTTCGGAGAAATGCTTGTCAAAAGCCCGACGACCCATGTAGACAAAGTTACCGCAAATTTCGCACGGATATTCAGTACCGAGGCCATGCAACTTGTACAGCCAGTATGGAATGGGCTTGCCATCCCAGGCCAGCGGCAGCTTCAAGGGATTGTAAAGCCTGTCCGCATCCTCATCATCCGACTGATCTCCATCGCCACCCTGCATATATTCCTCCGGATCAGCCATCATAGCTTCGTTATCAGCTTGTCGCTCCTTGTCTGTCATAGCCTGTCTGCGTTCAACGTTGTCCCGAGTTGCTTTCCGATTTGACTCGAGCTCCTTCGACAGGCATCGAATACGGTGCTCGCGCTCGGCGACTGCTCGCTCTTTGAAGCTGAAGGAAGATCCCAGACTCATGGGTGCTGTAGACTGCTCGCCTGATGCACCAGCAGCCTTCTTCGCCTCGGCAGCCCGAATGTGCTTCTTGCCAGTCAAGTGATTCCGGTAGACGTTCTCGTTCGTGAATTCCTTTTCACAGTCCGCACACCAGATTCCGGCTCCCGTTCCCTGTGTTTGTGGGCCAGTGGCACCGTTCTCTGCCTTCTCGCTCTCCCATCCCGGGACCTCCTTCGCAGACCATTGCTTCTCGAACTCTTCGTCAAAAGACCCAAATAACTTATCGAGATCCTGCAAGGGACGAATCCGTTTGATGAACCCTTCAAGATAGCTGGCAAGTTCGCCGACGTACCGGAAGTACTTGTCGGAAACCTTATCTTTTCGTTTAATGTTCATGGTAGGTGGCGTGAAGACGTCGAAGACGCCGAGGTATTGGGTGTACGCCAGTCGCTTCACACCCGGAAGATTCAGGTATTGTTCGTGAATCATAGTAAGATCTAGGAATTGTCCAAATGCTTCCTCGCCGGTAAACATAGTATCCACGTCAACGCGAGGCGCCTCTACCTCACCGGGTTGACGTCGTTTGTATACGCGCTCGAGGTTCTCAATTGGTTCGTTCGGGTACCGCTTGTGGAAGTCCTTGATTCCATCCAGCTGCTTGTAAAACTCTTCGAATTGATCTCCGGTCGAAATTGCCTGTGCTTCCTTTTCGAGCAGTTTATCCGTATCGTTATAAATCTCCGAGAGGCGCTGGGACTGCTCCTCGATTCTCGCTAGGAATTTAGCAACTTCATGATCGCGGGCAAGACGTTGTCGAATCTGGAGAAACAATGATATATTAATACAAAGAGTGATCACTGAATTAGCGAGCAAGTTGCACTCACATTTGAGGGATTCTCGGCCACGCGATCGGTGACGGCCTGCTCTAGCCTCTCCAAATCCTCATGAATGAACCGCAAGTCTTCAAACAACATTTTGCGAAAGCGACCGTGGCACGATTTCTTCTCTTTGCAGAAGCGCAAGAAGTGTGGTCGAAGTCTGCGGTGATTGTTGGAGAAGCAGCGGCGGCGTCGAAGCTGGAGCTTTGCGGTAGGTCACGTGAGAGGCCACATCCATCGCAAAAAGTCATTCTGGACTCTGGCTGCAGACGGCGATTTCTGATACCCCTCAAGAGTACCCAGACCTGATCTATCCAGCCAGTTGAACTCTTCAAAACAGTCAATATGGCAGAGGGAATTGACAGACGCGCTGACGGTATGTATTCCGCGAGACTGTGTTGAAATTCATCATCTCTAACGGCTACCCCCAGAGCGGATGGAGTTCAGCACCTCCAAGGAGGTCACAGTGGCTCCGACCTTTGAGGATATGCAACTGAAGGAAAGCCTCCTTCGCGGTATCTACGCCTATGGTTATGAATCCCCATCTGCAGTCCAGTCGCGTGCCATCGTCCAGATCTGCAAAGGTCGCGATACCATTGCGCAGGCCCAGTCTGGTACTGGTAAGACGGCAACTTTCTCGATTAGTACTCTGCAGGTAATCGACACTGTTGTGCGCGAGACTCAAGGTATGCAGATCCTGGAATTTCTGGCTCGAATGAGCCGTCGCTAACGTGCTGTTCAATTTGCGCGATAGCCCTTGTCCTCTCTCCGACTCGCGAACTTGCGACCCAGATTCAATCCGTCATTATGGCCCTCGGCGATTATATGAACGTGCAATGCCACGCATGTATTGGTGGAACCAATATTGGCGAGGATATTCGCAAGCTGGACTACGGTCAACACGTTGTCTCTGGAACCCCCGGCCGTGTCGCGGATATGATCCGCCGCCGACACCTGCGCACACGCCACATTAAGATGCTCATCCTCGACGAGGCAGACGAGCTCTTGAATCGTGGTTTCCGTGAACAGATCTATGACGTCTACCGTTATCTACCTCCAGCGACGCAGGTTGTTGTTGTTTCGGCTACTCTGCCCTACGATGTGTTGGACATGACCACCAAGTTCATGACCGACCCCGTCCGCGTCCTCGTGAAGCGTGACGAGTTGACCTTGGAAGGAATCAAGCAATACTTCATTGCCGTTGAGAAAGAGGAGTGGAAATTCGACACACTGTGCGATCTTTATGATACCTTGACGATTACACAAGCGGTCATTTTCTGCAACACCCGCCGCAAGGTCGACTGGTTGACCGATAAGATGCGCGAGGCCAACTTCACCGTGTCCAGCATGCACGGTGAGATGCCCCAGAAGGAGCGTGACAGTATTATGCAAGATTTCCGCCAGGGCAACTCCCGTGTCCTGATCTCCACTGATGTCTGGGCCCGTGGTATCGATGTTCAACAGGTGTCGCTTGTCATCAATTACGACCTGCCTACCAATCGTGAGAACTACATTCACCGTATTGGTCGCAGCGGTCGTTTCGGCCGCAAGGGTGTGGCTATCAACTTTGTCACTAGCGATGACGTCCGCATCCTCCGGGATATTGAGTTGTACTACTCGACTCAAATTGATGAAATGCCTATGAATGGTAAGTCATCTTATGCCACGCAGGTTATGGATCGTATTAAAATGCTAATCTCAATACTTTACAGTCGCGGATCTGCTCTCATAATCGCCATGCAAAATTCATGCATCGGCTATCCTTCAATAAAGGAGCCGAGAAACAAGAAAATCCATAAGCACCGGTCTTGCCACCCTTTCTTTAATCAAGGACATCGCCAAATGTACATAATGGCGTCTATTCGGGGTTCAATGTGTAGCCGGTTCTCGCGTGGAGGAAAGGGAAAACAAAACGTTTCAGTGAGATGACGCTGTCGCAGATTGACCATAATGCCCTGCCCGCTAACACTTTTGGCATCGCCAGTTTCAGAATGCCCAAGAAGGTGTACGCCAACTATTGGTACACTGATGAATATTCCTTTTGAAGTTTTGGGATTTGGAGGCACAATCTGCTTCAATTTTGCTACTTAGTTTATCCAGGATGGTTCGTTTAGGAGTTACAAGTGATGGATTCGAATGCATTACATTTTATTTCTTGTCTCCGGTATCCGTGGCCTTGACTTTCATTGATCAAGTCTACCCTGAACAATCATGACAGACATAAAAAGGGCCCCATGCTAGGGAGCCCGTCCCAAAAGCATTCAAGTTTCTGAACCGCAGTCTAGGACTCCTGAATCTCCTGCCTTGCTTCGACTTCGATTTCTTTGCCTCTTTCTCGACTGTCATAGGGCAAATATCTCCGGATTTAGCAACATTGACAAACAATCCTTCAAGAACAGCTCCCAGGCTAGGCAAAAACAGCGCACAAACTACGTAATGAACTCGTGTATGTAGGTACTCACCGCCCCTTTTGCCCAAGGCTCAGATGCATTCGTTGACGTTTTGCCCAGGAACAGAAAGTCGTGGGTTGAGTTGTTTTCCTAATCGGGTCGGATCCAGCGCTCCTGTTTGGGGGCCAAAACAAGGTTCGCCACCAAGCTTAGGACCCATTTTCTGGAGAGCTATGACATGAAGGGGGAACATGGCTGAGGCTGATTGGAGTCTCCAATTTTCATGTATGATCGTGCTCCGAGGGCGTATACAGCGCTCCGACTCGTCACATTTGGTTAGTGTGGAGGCTTGGCTTACGTCTGGAATTGCTGTATAAATCCTCCAATTCATCAATGCAGAAGTTCACAGCCACAAGAGATTCAACATATAAGATCTAGAGCTAAGTTGCCTGGTCAATTGCAATTTCAATCAAGCATAAACACCCTTCTCATATATGTTTCTTATTTGTTACAATGCTCTTTGATAAAGTCTTCCTTGCGTCCCTATTAGGATTCGCAGCAAGCTCCACAGCTACCATTGTAGCCACGGATGAAGTGCCTCTGATCGGCCCAGTCTTCATTTCCAATTTCGACCCATCAAATTCAAGTGCCATACAGAATGCAAAATCCAAGTATCCTCGCGTGGTTGAGAACCTCTTTTCCACGGGAACCCTGAATCGCACAGACTTGGTTTTTTCTATCGACGTGTTTTCCGCAGCAACCAACAGCTCTATCTATACCTATTCCCACGTCGGGAAAGACGCCAATCGCACTTTGACTGCTGGAGTTCTCAATGACAAGACGATAGCGCGCATAGGAAGCGTCACAAAGCTCTTCACGGCTTATGCTATTCTCGCCAAGGGAGGCACGGAAGTGTTCACCCAGCCAGTGACCAAGTTTCTCCCTGAACTCGCTGGAAACTACTCTGAAGATCCATTGTTGCGGATCAGGTGGGAAGATATCACCGTCGGGGCTCTGCTGGCTCAGCAGGCCGGTTCTGGAGGACCAGGTGGTTGGTACATACACAAGCATCACACGAATCGAGGCTGATTTCTCTACTAGATTTTCTGTCAAAATATTTCAAACCCGATGATCCATTGAACTACACTACTAAAGGTAATGAAATGCCTTGCCATTAGTTAGCATGGAATTAGAAAGTAACCAATGCACCCATTTTCTCCAGACTTCTTAACTTTCATGCGCGACGACAAACGGCCTGTGATCTCCCCGTTCCGCAATGCCGTCTACTCCGACGCCGGGTATTCTGTCTTAGGACAAGTGCTAGCTCGTCTAGCAGGCAAGAAGACATACAGCGAAGCGATCCACCAAGTCCTTTTCGAGCCATTGGGACTGCATAACATGTCGACAAAGGCCCCCACGGGTGCTGATTTGAATGCTATCAATCGCTCAATAATCGACAAAAGTTCAGCATGGGGTATTGACATTGAGGTTGTGGCATCGTATGTACCCTCAATGGCTTTGTTCCAGTTCTCTCGATAGTGTCATATAATAACCACCACATATCCAGATCCGGTGGTATATACGCGAGTGGAGCAGACCTTCGGGCGGCCGGTCTTTCAATCCTCCACTCCGAACTGCTCTCGCCCACCAATACTTCCGAGTGGATGAAACCTCACAGCGGAACAGGCACACTGGTTGAGCTTGTCGGAGCACCCTGGGAGATCTCTCGCCTAGAGATTCCTGTTTCCCCGGCCTCGAATCGGACCCGAATCTCGGATCTCTATACCAAGGCCGGTGGTAATGGAGACTACACCACCATTTTCGCCCTTTCTCCAGATCATGGTATTGGCTATACAATTCTCGTCGCTGGATCCACCGCCACGCCTGCCCGTTGGCCTCTTCGTGATACCGTTGGCGAAATCTTTATCCCCGCTGCTGAGCACGCAGCCTGGGAGAATGCCAAGCGCAATCTTGCGGGCACTTTTGTCGACAAGGCTTTACCTGGTACCAACTTGACGTTGACTGTCGACAAGGACCGCCCTGGTCTTGGATTGGGAGCTTTCTGGATCAATGGGCAGAATGGTCGTGACAATCCCCATTGGCGCGTCTATCCGACCGGACTGAATTCCATCTCACGATCGTTGTCAGCTCTTTATAAGAGCAAAGGTAAGATGCGTGTGGCACATCGTATGGCAGAGCCAGAGCCTCCGATGAAGCCTCGTGCTGCTGTGGAAGGGGGCAAGGGAGGGTTATTCGATAACTCTTTTACCTGGATGAACCTTGACTTTTCGGGCCCTGTTGATGAGTTCATTTTCAATCTTGTCGATGGGCGACTCGTTAGTGTTGAGCTGCCGGTGACTGGCTTGGTCCTTGATCGGGTTTAGCAGGCGCGTTGTCGGGGGATTGGAAGGGGACTCGAGAATACACTCAAATAGTCCATTTTGATATTAACGACAGGTAGAACATGGGAACCTATACACATTTTTGATTATTTTTCATGAATTTTACTCAACATGGCTCTGCTCTATCTTCGAGCATGAATCTTCGATATATTATAACAAATATCATAAGAACGCATACCTAAATTTTCCCTATTCACTAGGTACACTGTCCCTTCTTGTGAAACCCTTCCAGTCTCGTGTCACAAGAAACCTTTATCCGCCCAAAAGTGGGTCAGTCACCTGACTGATGTACGTGCAAGAACTTCCAGTCAAACGTAGAATTATCTAGACCTAGGTAATATGAGTTTAGAATAAGGTAAATATAGCCAATCCGAAGATCTATAATTACCCAAAGGTGGTTTGGAACCATTGACTTTTACCAACTGAAGAAACTCTAATCGTACACAATGGAAACAAGACTTTAAACTAATGTACATCGTGCCAGTTCATTCCTCTCACAGTGATTCTTTTGGTGGCACTTCATCCTGCGCTAACCAAGGCTTGGGGACTTATCTGCCGGTCCTGGTTCGAGTGCACAAGGGTCATGGAGGAGGGAGGGATTTGGGAGAGTGGAGTTTGGGGTTTCGAAATCTGCGTGGTCTGAGGAGTACCGATATTTCTCTCTAATATCCGAGTCATTTAACCGTTAATACCAACAATCAATCCGCTTCAGAACCATTGCCCATATCTTTTGACTATATTGTCATAGACAGAGTGAAGTCAGATTCCACCGCATATCACCCAGAACGACGGCTTTCCAAGATGGCCTGAACACCATTCGCGAACAGAGCTCTAGCATAAAGAGCATGGAACCACTTCCCTATCTCCGGGACAGGTGGTTTATTCGTTGATGGATTACAAGTAAATCCTTCCAGACTGATTCTTATTTGAGATTTTGACTGCTCCGTTTCGGATGTCGAATCTGGAGTAGCTTGATGCCTTGTGACGCTGAAGCGGTGGCATCCCGCAAAGGAGTAGTTGTCCGAGCCAAAGCCATAGTCGACGTAGCTCATTTCGGAACCAGACGGTTCAGAGATATGTTTGTTGAGGAGTTGGAAAGTACCGAATAGCTTTGTGCCAACGTCGCAAAGCTCATTGTCGGGCACCTCTGAGCTTCTCCATATCTCAGGTAAATGTGCGTCTTGTGTAAAGTCTAGAGTCACCGTTATTCACCAAGTTCCAAATTGAGGCAATAAGCAATGCAAATAGGAGAGTGGGATCATACTTGTAAAATGAACAGGCAGTACTCTCCAAGCTCCAGCATTCAACAAAATACCCTCCATACCAAACACAAATCCCCCGAAGAATCCCGACGTAAACTTGGACAAGATCTTCGAATCGCTCATACCCGCCAACGTCTCGGCATCAAAGTCTTGCCAGACAGTATCTGAAATCACCATGTGATGGTGTGGATTGACGAATTCGGCAGATTGAGACGTTAGAAAGCCATCTCTAGCATAATTGACAGAATTGCAGTTGTAGAAGGAGTCGAGGAATGACTTCCTCGGGAGCATCCGTAACCAGGGTTTCGTGGACATTGAATGGATGATGGGTAATTTCAAGTTTTATTATCAGCGATTGACTGAATGCAACTCACGTAGAATTAGAGACAATTATACTATTTATACTGATATTTGGGGTCCAATGACGATTTTATTCGGAAGATGTCGGCGGTCTTGAACTGAGTCATTTGACAAGGCTGGCACCCGAATAAGTAATGAGTGCGGGTCTCAAAAGTACGGGTATCTAACATCAGAGCACCTGTCACTAATTGTGCAGGAATTATGATACAATACAGGCTAATTGTGTGTGGATTCTATGCAGCTATTGGTAGCAGAGTGGGCTGTGATTCTTCTCCTAAAGTGACAGACACCTAAAACCTATAACACCAAGCATCGAGAAAGAATTACCAAAACCGCAGTAAAGAGCAATACTACGCCGTACAAATGGCTGAAAGACGCGATATTCCCATTGAAAAGCTAGCGCCGTCCCTGTATTGACTGAAAGAGATGTGTGCAAAGAAATTTGCTAACTTGGATTCAGGGGGAATCGGGTAGCAGCGGGCAGTGAAACTTGTCCTGTGTATGCAACAGAGCGAAGGGGAGGAAGGCAACAAGTGCCAGTGAGGAGAGATGGAGGATATTTGGAATATGATTGTCAGTCGAAACCGGGGCAGGTGCAAGTGTAAAAAGAAAGTGAGAGCCGCACGAAACTGCAATCAAAATGGGGAAGGGTGAGGATGGCAGAAATGAAAAGCACGGTTTATCGTCTTTGAATCCAGATGCTCCAGATATGATTTCCCCCGGCCGTGGTGAAAGGTTTGCTGGCCAAATCGTTGAGAAGTCAATGAAAAACGCCCTCGCGGGATGGTAGTCACGCAAACACTCTTTGCTTGTGCAATGAGAGGTATTAAAATGCCGAAGTAGTCCGTAATGCGCTTGTCTGTGGGAACCCAGTCGATGATATTCCTCGTCTTTGACTCGTTCCAGCAATTGGGCGATGTCGTTCCGGGTCTTTGGACCAGCTGTAGGGTTTTGTCAGGAACCTGAAGATAGTATCAAAATGAGAGAGCGGAGATCTCTGCTTACATGCGTACGGCTTTGTCGTCTCCGGCCGAGACGAACATGCCTGGGTTTGTAGGACTCCAGGATATTGAGTTCACACAACCCTTGGTATGAGCTTCCAAGGTTTCCACGAGGGTGCCGTTCTCCTTGTGCCAGATATAAATTCGGGAATCTGGGAAGATGGTGAACACGATGAATGACGGCTCTTTTGAATCAACAAGGAGAATAAAACTCACCTTCACTGCCACTAACGACGAAATTCTCCGCTGCGCCACCAAAAGTGCTGCGAATCACATAACTGCCCTGCTTGTATCCCCGGAACCGTCGGACCACCGCAGTAGTTTCCATATCGATCAATTGGATTTCCCCCTCAGTCAAATTGACCAGCATATGCTTGGAGTCCCGGCTGATAGCAACGGATGTCGGTTTGCTCGGGAGAGATAGGCAGTAGTCCTCTTCGTAGGTGCGGAAATCGAATACGTGAAGCTTGGAATCAGTATCTGCTGCCACGACTCGTCGACCGTCGGGGCTGATGGCGCAATCTTGGGTACGGAATCCTCCCTTCCACGTATGTAGAGGCGTTCCCCGCATACTCCAATGGCACAGGCCCGAGCTCGCATCAAATGACGACGTCACAAATGATTCACTGTCAGGGGCCCAGCCGGCAGCGGTCACTGGATAGCAGTGATGATCGATAGTCAAAAGACAGCGGCCAGTCTGAGATGTTCATTTCGAGTCAGTTGAAGGTCTTTCATTTCTCAGAGCAGTTGGGGTTTCTTACCTCTGCATTCCACACACGGGCCGTCCTGTCTTGTGAACAAGTGATAAGCTTGGAATCATCGGGACTCCAGCTGGCAAAGGCAACTCCGTCCGAGTGTCCATTCAATCGATGGATTACCGTGAAAGTGCTTGTGTCATATATCAACACCGTTCGATCCTGGCCTGCAGTAACCAATTTGGATCCGTCGTGGGAAAACCCGCAGTGCCAAACCTCGTCGATGTGCTGATTGAGGTTGGCCGTGACATCCAGAGGGAAGTCGCTTCGGTCGCACATGTGATCGGAATAGAGTGATGGCGCTTCAGCGGTATTATGATAGAGACAGTTGCTGATCTGACCCTGTTTCACATAATCTAATAGGATTGCAAGACGATGCTGGGGGATCATGACCGAGGGCGAGATGGATTCTATAATTTTATCAGCAATGAGTCAGGGGTGTGGGGTGTAGTCTAGCTTGAGACTGTGTTTCTTACTTGACAAGTCGGCCAGCAGTCGTTCTCGGGAGGAGCTGATTGGGCCATCCCATCCTGCCTGCTCGTGAAGCAGCTCCGTCGGGCACATTAGGAGACTGCAGAGGTTGATCGAATTTAGTGACCAACCGTCAAACCCCAGAGAGAAAGACTGAGTAGTAAATGACCAACCTTGAAAGCGCATGGAGCCGGTCCACGTCGTAGTTCAACGGCGTAAGTTCTTGCCGAAGCACTAGGAGCGCTGAGCCTAACTCGCGTGCTTCGAGGAGTTCCAAGAATTTCTGTTGGCGAAGGTAGAACAGCATTTCACTCCTGTCCGCGTCCTCTGCCAATACCAGTGTTCCTTCGGAAGCACCTTTCTGGCCATTCTTCAGACCCATGTTTCGGAAAGACTGAATGAGGATCTTTTCTGCCTCGGACCACCTTCCATCGAGTATCGCGCTCCGGAATGTTGCAACACCGGGTGTCTCCAGCTGATAGCCGCTCTCAGAGCTCAAAGCCGACGCTGCGGTGCTGTAACCCAACTCATACAGGCTCTGGATCAAGATCCGCGTCACCTCCTCCCGGTTGTGGCCAAAGTAAGAGCTCGTCAAAGGTTTCCCGGCCCCATTTGACTGCGACTCTCCATTTGCTGACGCAGTGTGTTGGCCATTCAGGCTGGCCTTTCTCGAGGTTTGCCCGTAGGACGCCTGGGAAAAGCCATTCGTGCTTGAAATCCCATCTGGCCGCATGGTTGCTAGGCGCCTGCGCTTGCGGGATGGAGACCGGCCGTCAGCTCGGCCGGGCGTGAGAGTTGAATCGTCCTGGGACACAGCTTCGCGTGCCCCGGTGGCGTCTGCGTGAATACCAGTGCCCGCCGTCCTCGTGACTAGAGACTCGTCGGAGCTGCTGCTCGATCGGAGGCGGCGGCGGAGGGAGTTGGGCGGTCGGGGGGTTGGACCGGCGGTGGAGGGTAGTTGTGAAGTAGAAGTTACGCTTCGATGCTCCGAAGTAGGCGGGAGATGTCCAGGGCTGTCGGCGGCGTCGGCGGCGGCGGCGGAGGAGGAGATGGCGGCAAGGTTGGGGGGAAGAGGAAGATCGGGGTGGTCGGAGGCGGAGGGAGGGTAAGGATTGTCGGCCAGGTCGACAAATGATCAGGATCTGCCCGATTCCCTGGCTCTTTGAAAGAACCAGGTGAGCAGACCTCTACAGGTGGTAGTGGCGGGTGGATCAGTCCTCGCCGGGGGCAGCAGGAAGCTCCAAATGGAGTCTGAGTGGGGAGTAGCTCTTGCAGGAGACACCAGAATTCAAGGCTAGACCGTTAATAATGTTGAAAGGAGGGGGTGCACGGATAGCAAGAATGAATCCAAAGGGATAATAGGTGTCGTAGGGACTTTGTATCCCTTTGGGTTGTCGGTGGTGATGGTGATGATGGTGGGTTGGGGTTAGGTCGGGCGGAGAAGTTGCTTATCGGCGGAGGAGAGCCTTTTGGGAACAGACCAGTTAACTGCACAGGCAGTTTGGGGGACTTTTAGTTAGTTCTGCTAGGCGGACCAACCCAGCCAGGAAGCTGCTGAGCAGGCGATTGGCGGAAGTGGGACCTCCCGCAAGTCACAAGTCTCCTTTGGCCCATCACAAGATGATGACGATGGAGGTGGTCGAGACTCGAAAGGCGTCTGTGTCTGCGTTTCACTGGTGCTGCACTCGATTTTCTCAGCTGATTAGACAAAGCAGTCGTCCTGCCTTTCAAGGATAGCAAGGATAAGCTGAGAAGGTCCTGTGGGTGCGGTACTTAAAGGGCCATCGAGTTGGGCTAGTGCGCTGCTGCTTGCCGATCCCCGCTCGGGGCCGACAGGGACGAGCTATGCCTGCAGTTGAACAAAAGCCCTGGAGAGTACTGTACCCGTCTGTGCTTAGAGGATGATGGAGAATATACAAAAGTGGAATGGGTGCTTGAAAGTATTTTCATTCATTTCTATAGTCAATATATAGTACTTGCAAGTCAAATTTACTTATCTCTGCTTGAAGAGATCTAGCGAAAGCTCAGATCGCACGGATTATATACATCTACAGCCAGAGTAAACAGGTTAGATTCTATATCCGGTCTGTTTCAACTTACCATAACTCTGCTATGTTCAATGGAATCTTGAATCTTGAATCTTTAATCTGTCTTTGGACCCACCCGTCTTCGACGCATTCCATTTGCTGCGGTTCGCCCTCCCCCACTGACGACATCATGATGCCGATGGTCCTACTTCCGCAAACCCTTCCGAATATAAGGACCTCAAGCACCACCCACCTAAATCCTACCTAACAAGAAACTTCACTCATCCCACTTTTAAGCCTCCATATCTCTATACCTACTATTTTCAACCACTTTATTCACTCCACAATAATCCACCATGGGCTGCGACTGCGGATCAACTTGCACTTGTTCGGGTGCTCAGGGCTGCACTTGCGACAACACTTGTGTCTGCAAGGGATGCGGAGTATGTGAGCCATGTTTTTGGCCCCCCCCCCCCCTCTGCTGAAAAAAGCTGGTGTGAGCTATAATAAGAAATTGAGATCGAGGCTGACCTGTACGTCGTGCTTTATAGAAGTAAGAGGCGTTCCTGACTTGATGGGGAAACCAGGTACTCGATAGCTGCACTCGCTGCCCCAAGAACCTTGGAGAATATGTCTCCCTGTCTAGGGAACAATTTTAATGTGACATTACTATTGCTTCGTTCTTTACCAGTAATTCGGAATTATATCCTCACAGTTGCTCCAACCTGGATATCTGTTGTATAAGTTGATCTTCCTCGTGATAGATATGTAGACGTCATCAAGACCTTTCCTTCAACACCGCCTCGGAAGCCTTGAGTGCGCCCGTGATCGTAAAACATATGAACGGCGACAGCGCATACATTACCTAATATCATTAGCAGGTATACGACTCCTTCTTTGGTGTGATCCTTACTGTCAATGTCTTCGCAATAGCCATCTTCTCCGTTTCCGATGCCTGCGCTACCTCCGCCAGCCCAGAAATCACCAGCGCCGGCGGCCCGGCCGGCATCAGCATCATGCTGAACCAAAGAATAGGATCGTCTCCGAGAAGCTTCGTATGCTTCGCCAGCCCATATATCAATGGAATACTGACTGCCGGCCAGGCCACCAACCGTACTACGAAAATTGTCGTCATGGCCCTGATAGGAATGCGACTCGAGTCGTCGCCCGCCTCGCTCCTGGCCATCATCCGCTCAAAGGTTACCCCGAGTTTACACCCAACCAGGAAGATCTGAAGCGTCGTGAAGAGCCGGCCAATATTGCGCACGCTCGTCGTCAGCCATGCCTGGAGATACCCGCCATCCTCGTCGCGGAAGAAAAATGCCCGGTGCAGTGCGGGGACTAGGCCCAATAACGCACCGACGAGAGTGCAGCAGATCGCTACGCCGGCGAATGGATGCTCAAAGGGTGCCATGAGCTCTTCTCGCACACGGTGTGGGAAGACTGAGACAAGCCACTTGGTCCACGAGCGGACGCGCCTTCCAACTGCCTGCTTGGCATTCTGTGCGCGCTGGGGGAGCAGGGAGGTGGTTTCGGTCAAGCATTCGTCTTCGCAGGCGGGCTGATGCTGTTCTTCAGTACTAGCTAGATGATCTTCTGCGTTCTCGCCATCGTGGAGCATCCGTGGACCGACGACGTAGGCGATGGTTTTGCTAACGACTGCGCAGATGAGGAAGTAGCTCTGTGCTCGTTCGATTGCCTCGGCTGTGCTTTCGTCGCCGCGGAGGATGAGGCGTAGAGAGCCTACGCTGTCGAGGGATTGGAGGAGTAAGAGGGGGAGGGAGGAGGTGTTGTTGAATGTCGATGCTGGAGCGACCCATTGGGGTAGTCGGAAAAGCCGAGCTAATACATGAGACAGGCCGATGGATGCGATGGTATAAATGAATGACCACGCTGAATCGTTGGCAATGGTGAGCAACGAGCAATTGTTAACCGAATGCCGAGATAGATCCGAGGCACCTACCTAGGACTGGAATATAATTCAATGCCGTCCCGATGTGAAGCTCGCTACCTAGATTTACAACAATAAGAGCCGGCAAGAAGAGCTTGACACCTAACGCGGACATATCGTTGATGGTGGCATCGTGTATCAGACTTAGTCTTCGCGCGGCAACTCCATAGCACATGGTCAGTAGTACCGAGACGCACGCCTGGAGAGCCCCCAGGAACGGGGGTAGTAGGCCATCATCTGGGCGCATGATGGCGGCCTTGCAATTGCAATTAAACAGGAATATTAGGTACATGTAGACACTTGAAAGATTTCAATGGAACGTATATTATTTGATGGCGTCATAGTGACGAAAATAAAGAGCAATTTACATTTTTCCAAATACTAATACGGGAGCGGAGTATAAACGACAGCGCCTAACTTGAACCTTCACTTATACACGCATGGCGTGCAAAAGCTGGTCGGACGGGATCAGTTTTGCAGCGAAGGCTAGTGCTATGCCTAGAGTGACTACTGCGCCGAAAGCTGTCATCAGCCCTAGGTGTCCTAGACTCTCGAGTCCGGGGCTTTCAAATTTGGTCGTGCGTCGTTGCCCCAGGCGCGTTGTGCGTGTGAGTGTGGGCATATATTTGAACTCGAAGCGGCTTTCGCCTCCAAGACCGAGCTTTTCATTCATAAGCATCTTGTAGAAATATTTGCGTCGCATCTGGAACATGTTAGTTTGATAGAACGAACAAGCAGCTCAGGGATAAGGAAGATACGAGTTGCTTACGTTGATCATGAACCGATCCATAAAGTAGATTCTGGGTATGATGGTTGATACCAGTCTCACCCAGAAGCAATAACCCCATAGGATGATCCGGTAGTATAAGCTGGATCGCGGGATGTCGAGTTCATCCGCAAGCTGATCGCCATTGAGGAGGCGGCTCATCGCTTCGAGGAACTCCTTCGAGGCATAAGATGGCGCGGTATTTTCCAAACCGATGATGATGTTCTTAGCCAGAATCTTCCCAACATCGGTGGGATCAATTTCGGAAATCAATAGCGACTCCATCATTGCTCGGGCTTTGGCTGTACTTTCGAACGGCTCCGTTGGTGTCCCCATGTAGTAAGCGACGAGGCGCCAGAGTGAGATATAATCTTCAATCTCCTGCTGACTGAGATAGATTCCCTGACGAGGTAGCCCGAGCCAAACTACCGAGCAGCAGAAAGTGTTGATGGTTCCGATGCAATCGAGGTCATTGACCGGCGTACCGTATTTGGCGACGTCGTAGTAGTCTGGCTTTTGTTCTACCAGACTCAAGATCCTCAACCGCACGGATGCGTGAAGCAGTCGTACACGGACTGAGGAGACGTTGCCCTCGCCGCCTGGTTTCATTCCCTCTGCTGAACTGTTGACCTGAAGAACATGTTGAAGGGTTTCGAGAAGTCGTCGTCGGACGACTTTGGCGCCGAAACCACCAGTCCGGGCGAGGGTTTCTACAACTCGCATGGCGCCCCTATTGAATGATTAGTCCAAGTTGTATGAAAGAGGCAGGGAGACAGTTTCTTACATTCCACCAAGTAGACTCTCAAACCCAAGCTGATAAAGGAGTCAACAAAGATAACCTTGATGGGAGACCAACAGATACAGTACTCACCACATTCAAGATAGGAACACCATAGCGAAAGAAAACATCCTGCCCTCTTTGGATCTGCTCCCAATCCACCCATTCAGGAACCGTATTGACTTCATCCCACAACTGTTTGAGTTTGGGATCCTCCTCGGCATGCCCCTTCAACAGCCCATATAAATCCTTCTTGTACGGCTTATCTTCACCATCGCTGGTAGGAATCTTATTCAGGATTTGCACACAGTCATCCGCCAGTTTATCGAATGTCTGGATCATCGGATGCAACTCCTCTGCCGATCGATGGAGGTCCGTCCAGTGAAAGGAATAGCCCCAGTAGTGGCACTCGGTGGTATTCCCTCGTCGGGGGCTCTTCAGCGCCATCGTGGTTGGTCAGTGTCAAGTATAACAGCAATGAGAAATAGAGTCTATTCGCGAAAGGGGCATTCTCGAAGACCCCATGAGGCTCGTTTCTTATGTATATTGTGTACAGATGACCCGATGTTGAGGTTAGGTTGCCCCTCTCTTTCCATCCATGACCAACGTGGCTCCTGACTCTACCGTGGTCCGTGGTCCGGGGTAAAAACATGAGAGGGGGTTTGCATGTGAATCCACCCCATTTTCCGCTGATGATCGACACTCGCTTGAGCGTATTAGGCTTATTCATAGGCGTATGGTTCATTATTGGGCTTATTCATGTCTATTTTATACATTGATGGTTTTTGGATGATTGGTTCATTGGCACCTGTCACGAGCCGAACTTCCTGTATACTGTTTTAGGGACTTGGGAAGACAATGGATGACACATTTCACGTGCCGTTTAATTCAAGACAAGGAATTTATTGCTCTGTAGAATTCCAAGAGTCATCGTAAATGTTGTGATCTTGAAGACATTATGCATTTCCATGTGAAGCGTATGTATAGCGTAGCGCGTGTTTTGTTTGGGGCCCGAGAGGAGGAACTATACCAGTAGACTCCACAGAACCTTGGAGACAGTGACATTCAGAAACTGTACCTAGAGGAAGGAAGTGTAAAATGTCATTCGTTATATCGGAGGATCCCAGTCATCCAAAAGGGCATTCGTAAGATTAACAGTCGGGTATATGTACAGAACAGTAATTGTAAGCATGCGGAGTAGGTAGAACGGGGTGTCAACTATAAAGACAAGGTCTAAATAGCATAGCACCCTCTTAAGCAGATCTTCAGCAGGATGCAGTGCAGGAACCCAACTTCCTACTTTGTAAGAGCCACTGTTCCATGATGGTTGCCTTTGTATTCAGATGATGAGCGACCGGGCGCCAATCCCTCGGCGGGCAGAGCGAGGCCTGGATTGGATAACAGCTTAGGGGGGGACTCCACGATGCAAGCACCCTAGTCCATTGGCTGCCACATCTACTACACATCAAGAACACCCGATCTCTGCCATCCCAGCAGAGCGAATGTTAGGATTGGGAAGACCTCGAATTAAAGCACGGCCGTCACTGCTGGATCTGATTAGCAGACGCGAGGAGCAGCCGAGTACTACTCCTGCACCGTTGATAACTGCTGTTGCGGACCAGTCGTCACCACCACCACCGTCACCGCCCGAGCTCCCACCGCCTCCAGACTCGCCCACCTCAACCAGCTCGACTACCTCCACCACCTGCCCTGTGTCTACTCCGTCCACTCAAACCTCCTCCACGATGGCACCGGCAAAGGATGACAGCCATGCTCATGGCTCGGTCTTCTCAGTCTCCGGCCCTGTCGTTGTCGCTGAGCACATGATTGGCTGTGCTATGTACGAGCTGGTAGGCCTCCCAGCATTCCTCCCCGGGGAAGCTCATCTGAGCTTTGTCCCGGAAAGGGTATTGCCGTACTAATACCATTCGTCCTTCCAGTGCCATGTTGGTAAGGATCTCCTCGTTGGTGAAGTCATTCGACTTGATGGCGACAAGGCTACTATTCAGGTCTACGAAGAAACCGGTACGTCTGCTCCCTCTTCCCGGCCACGTATGCTCCGCACGACGGCCACCTCCCCGCATCTCGACAGTGACTAATTGTTACGCTTTTGGTGTGAAACGCAGATGGTCTGACTATCGGCGATCCTGTTGCGCGCACTGGCAAGCCCCTGTCCGTCGAGCTGGGCCCCGGTTTGATGGAGACGATCTACGACGGTATCCAGCGACCCCTCCGTGCTATCTCCGACAAGTCCAAGAGTATCTACATCCCCCGCGGTATTCGCGTCAATGCGCTCGACCGTGAGAAGAAGTGGGATTTCACGCCAGTCAACTTCAAGGTTGGCGACCACATTACGGGAGGTGACATTTGGGGTACCGTGTTCGAGAACAGCTTGGTGAACGACCACAAGATCCTTCTCCCCCCTCGTGCCCGCGGTACCATCACCCGCATCTCCCCCGCCGGTAGCTATACCGTGGAGGAGAAGCTGTTGGAGATCGAGTTCGAGGGCAAGAAGTCCGAGTTCGGTATGATGCAGACCTGGCCCGTCCGTGTGCCCCGTCCCGTCAGCGACAGGCAGTCTGCCGATAAGCCCTTCATTGTCGGTCAGAGAGTGCTGGATGCTCTCTTCCCCAGTGTCCAGGGTGGAACGGTGTGCATTCCCGGTGCCTTCGGATGTGGCAAGACTGTCATTTCCCAGAGTGTGTCCAAGTTCTCGAACAGTGATATCATCGTCTACGTCGGCTGCGGTGAGCGCGGTAACGAGATGGCTGAGGTGTTGATGGATTTCCCCGAGGTAGGCTTTTTTTGATTTAAGATGATCTGCGACGCCGCGGAGAGACATTCCTTGCTAACACTCGTTCTTCCCGCAGCTCTCCATCGATGTCGGCGGCCGTAAGGAACCTATTATGAAGCGTACCTGCCTGATCGCCAACACCTCGAACATGCCCGTCGCTGCCCGTGAGGCTTCCATCTACACCGGTATCACCATCGCTGAGTACTGGCGTGACCAGGGAAAGAACGTGGCCATGATGGCCGACTCGAGTTCTCGCTGGGCCGAGGCTCTGCGCGAGCTTTCGGGTCGTCTGGGTGAGATGCCTGCTGATCAGGGTTTCCCCGCCTACCTGGGTGCTAAGCTGGCCTCTTTCTACGAGCGTGCCGGCAAGAGCAGCGCTCTCGGTAGCCCCGAGCGTGTCGGCAGTGTCAGCATTGTCGGTGCCGTCAGCCCGCCCGGTGGTGACTTCTCCGACCCCGTCACCTCCAGTACCTTGGGTATCGTGCAGGTCTTCTGGGGTCTCGATAAGAAGCTGGCCCAGCGCAAGCACTTCCCCTCCGTCAACACCTCCATGTCTTACAGTAAATACACCACGGTTCTGGACAAGTACTACGAGAAGCACAACCCGGACTTCCCTCGTCTGCGTGACCAAGTCCGTGAGCTCCTGTCCAAGTCGGAGGATCTCGACCAGGTCGTGCAGCTGGTTGGTAAGGCGTCGCTTGGTGACTCGGACAAGATTACTTTGGATGTCGCCGCCATGGTCAAGGACGACTTCCTGCAACAGAACGGATATAGTGACTATGATCAGTTCTGCCCCTTGTGGAAGACTGAGTACATGATGAAGGCCTTCATGGGCTTCCATGATGAGGCTCAGAAGGCGGTCGCCCAGGGTCAGAACTGGAACAAGGTCCGTGACGCCACTGCTGATCTCCAGAGTGCTCTGCGCAGCATGAAGTTCGAGATCCCGGATAACCAGGAGGAGGTGTCGGCCAAGTACGAGAAGCTTCTCCAGTCCATGACTGAGCGGTTCGCTTCAGTTTCGGATGAATAGATGTAGATTGGGCCCGATGGGTGTATCTTGTTTCTCTTTTTGCTACCTCTTGCATCATCTCTTTCCTGGTTGTTATACTGTCTAGCACACATTACCCTGTAGTTATTCTTGAACCAATTTTCTTCCTTGAGGGTGGATACCTTTCTCGTATAGTAGACTCTGTCGTATGTACACGATAGTACCGATCAGGCGACAGTGAAAGACTCGACCAAAAGGGGCAGGTGACCCACGTAATAACCCACTTGATGGCCGATGAAGAGGTCCAGTTTTAAGTGGATGCCTACGGTCAGGTACTCACCGCAGTCCGGTACCAAAGTAACTCCCTGACCAACTGGCTAATCACAGCGGAGCAGTCCAACTGGAAGACTCTCCGTGCACGGCCACTGGGCTGGACCGCCACCCTCATCACCGCCTTCGTAGGCCTCCCCGACCAACAAACAATCGAACAATCTTCTGCTTCTCTTCACGACTCCTGCCTTCTGCTCTCTCTCTCCACACATCTCACTTCTTTTTCTTCCTTGCAAATCCTCCAAGTCCCCGAAGGCAGACCCTCCCAACCTCGCCAGCCATGGCAAGCCCAACCACTGGCTACTCGTGCGTAACCCCCCTGCACCCCCCCCTCCACTCCGAGATGCGGCCTCAAGCTAACTTGTGCGCAGCATAAATGTCAACGATCCCAGCTTGATCTCCTTGGTCAACAAGTTGCAAGATGTCTTCTCTACTGTTGGCGTGAGTATATTCCAATATCTGCGCCTATGGCAACCGTAGTCTTGACCATTCGCACTGACGCCGCTGCTTTGATTTAGGTACACAACCCTATCGACCTGCCCCAGATTGTCGTCGTCGGATCGCAGTCCAGTGGAAAGAGTTCAGTGCTAGAGAACATTGTCGGCCGTGATTTGTATGCACTTCCCCGATCCCATCGTGCTGTTCTTTTGCCCCCCGGAACCTTCTGCGCAACCCACGTGGTGGCGGGGGATCCCTCCCGGCGGTGTCGTTATCAGCCATTGTTAACCACTTTCTGTTCTGTACTATCTAGCCTGCCTCGTGGCTCTGGAATCGTGACTCGGAGACCTCTGATTTTGCAACTGATCAACAAGACCCCTGCGCCGCAAACGAATGGAGATAACAAGATCCAGACGACAGATGCCGAGTCCAACGTCGACGAGTATGGCGAGTTCCTGCATATCCCTGGCCAGAAGTTCTTCGACTTCAACAAGATTCGGGAGGAGATTGTCCGTGAGACGGAGACCAAGGTCGGCCGCAACGCTGGTATCTCACCTTCCCCGATCAACCTGCGCATCTACTCGCCCAATGTCCTCACCCTGACCCTGGTCGATTTGCCCGGTCTGACCAAGGTGCCCGTCGGAGATCAGCCCAAGGATATCGAGCGCCAGATCCGGGACATGGTTCTAAAGTACATCAGCAAGCCCAACGCCATCATCCTGGCCGTCACCGCGGCCAACCAGGATTTGGCCAACTCGGATGGTCTGAAGCTGGCTCGTGAGGTGGATCCTGAAGGTCAGCGCACCATCGGTGTGTTGAGTAAGGTGGATCTGATGGACGAGGGCACTGATGTCGTGGATATTCTCGCTGGACGAATTATCCCCTTGCGCCTGGGTTACGTCCCCGTGGTGAACCGTGGTCAGCGTGACATTGAGAACAAGCGTCCCATCGCCTACGCTCTGGAGAACGAGAAGAACTTCTTCGAAAACCACAAGGCCTACCGGAATAAGGCTTCATACTGCGGGACTCCGTACTTGGCCCGCAAGTTGAACCTGGTAAGTAGCTGCTCCAGTTTGGGGACAGACGCGTGGCAACCTGACGACTAATCTGCGACCTTTGTAGATCCTGATGATGCACATCAAGCAAACTCTCCCCGATATCAAGGCTCGCATTTCCTCCTCCCTGCAGAAGTACACTTCGGAGCTTGCGCAACTTGGCGATTCCATGCTTGGCAACAGCGCCAACATCATTCTCAACATCATCACCGAGTTCAGCAATGAGTACCGCACTGTTTTGGAGGGTAACAACCAGGAGCTGTCCAGCGTCGAGTTGTCGGGTGGTGCTCGTATCAGCTTCGTTTTCCACGAGCTCTACTCCAACGGTGTCAAAGCCGTGGATCCCTTCGACCAGGTGAAGGACATTGACATTCGTACCATCCTGTACAACTCCTCCGGTTCTTCCCCGGCTCTATTCGTCGGAACCACTGCCTTCGAGTTGATCGTCAAGCAGCAGATCAAGCGTCTGGAAGATCCCAGCAACAAGTGTATTTCTCTGGTCTACGACGAGCTGGTGCGCATTCTTGGTCAGCTCCTGAACAAGCAGTTGTTCCGCCGGTATCCCCAGCTGAAGGAGAAGTTCCACGCTGTTGCCATTGCTTTCTTCAAAAAGTGCATGGATCCTACCAGCAAGCTGGTCAGGGACCTGATCGCCATGGAGGCCACCTATATCAACACTGGCCACCCTGACTTCCTCAACGGACACCGCGTAAGTAAAATTTGACTACATAACATTGGATGAGAGAAATGGCGCTAACTTTATACAGGCTATGGCCATCATTAATGAGCGCCAGCAGGCCGCCAAGCCCACCCAGGTTGACCCCAAGACTGGCAAGCCCCTTCCCGCCCGTGCCCAGAGCCCGTCTCTCGACACTACCGGCGAGGCTCAAAACGGCAGCGGATTCTTCGGCAGCTTCTGGGCTTCGAAGAACAAGAAGAAGATGGCGGCTATGGAGGCTCCTCCTCCAATGCTCAAAGCTTCCGCTAGTCTGTCTGAGCGTGAGACCTCCGAGGTCGAGGTTATCAGTAAGTGCTTGCTCCGCCGCTGCTTTTAGTGTTTTGATACTAATCCCACCTCTCAGAGTTGTTGATCACCTCATACTTCAACATTGTCAAGCGTACGATGATTGACATGGTCCCCAAGGCTATCATGTACACCCTGGTTCAGTACGTATCTTCGTAAAGTTTTCAGCTTCGCCACCTTCATATGCTAATTTTCGAATCAGGTTCACCAAGGATGAGATGCAGCGCGAGCTTTTGGAGAACATGTACCGCAACAACGAGCTGGATGATCTGCTCAAGGAGAGCGACTACACCATCCGTCGGAGGAAGGAATGCCAACAGATGGTCGAGAGTCTCGGTCGTGCCAGCGAGATTGTCAGCCAAGTCCAGTAGACGTCTGCTGGTGGAAACACGGCAGGTTTTATTACGGTTCATTGAGGGAGGGAACGATCAAGTCGTCGGGGCCGACTGTATGATTGAAATGATTTCGCGCTGGCGGGAGTTGGAAATGCCTCTACATCTCTCATCTTTTCTTTGTGACTTTGCACCGGGTTCGAAATCTTGACTATACTCGTATTCTTTGCCATCGCTCGTGCCCCATCTTGCCTTCTTCTGATGAAGAAGCCGGTCCTTGCATACCAGCGATCAGGTTTGGCCAACTCTAGAGCTGTTGATTCTCTTCTTTGTTCGATGGAGCTGTGGTTACCTCTCGAGGGAAAGAGGAGTTGGATTTGCCGGAGGTGCTCTGGTGCTTCTCAGCTGTGCCCTCCCCTCCCCCCCCCCCCTTTTTTTTCTTGTCTCTTACCCCCGAATTTGAAAGCCTTATACCGTTTCCCTTTTTTGTTGTTTCCTCTTTGTTGATCCGTTGTCTGCTGTCTGCTTGTTTTGAGACCCATGAGCCTGCTTCCAGATGACGCCTGTATCAACTAATGATTTTTCTGTTTTTGCACTATGGTTTTGCTCTAGAATTTTGATCAATTCATGTGAAGTCTTGCCTTCTATAGGCTGTGCTAAGATGTTAGTATATGCTCGAGTAATGTACTTGACAAAATTACCACCTAATATTGAACTTCGTGGATCTTGTACAATCATTAGTGCACATCATGTGAGGAGAGGCAGCCCTAGATGTTTAGACAGGTTGAAATGCACTCATCATGAGAGCTTTTCTACGGACTAAGCCTTCGATTTATTGAGCAAATATGACGCATAGCAACACGCTGCTTCCCAGGATTGTGAAATCTCTGAATAGCAGCGCTAGCGGGGTTTTGAAAGACGCCGCTGTCGATTGAAAGGTTGTGGTTCTTGAGTTTTTTCGTTCTTCTCTATACTTCGTTCTACAACATACTCAGTCAATAATCCAGCCTAAACTCGAGGTCCTAAATCTTGTCTCATCTCGAGCATAAACAAGCATTTGCAAGTAAATCCATTCTCAGGTTCGATATCCTAGTTGGAGTGTCTGTATGCTTGTACATTGTTAAAAAAACGCACGAATCCCTCAGCTTACTTGACAGCCAATCAATACAGACTCATAGCCATAAACTAACACCGTGTCACTCTGTCTTATCTTAACACAGTTGATATTGTGCTCTCTTCCATGCTGGTTGATGCTGGCCTGCTCTGGCAACTGATGCGTTTCTCGAAGTGAGGAAGGCACCTCCCATCTCGATTCATTATTAGCCCCCTCTCTTGCCTCCTCCTTCCTCTTCATCTTTCCCCAGTCGTACCATTTTCCATACCTCCAATCACATCAACCATACCCTTCTCAGTTTCAACTCAGTCTCCAATAATATCTCCATGCCGCGCGCCATCAACCACGCGGAACTGAGAACTCAGTTCCGCACATCCGTCTGCCGTCTACTCAACCGTCTGCGAACCTTTGCCCAATACGTCCTCAAGGTGGATGACTTGCTTGGTCTTGGAGTCTACATTTCCGAGTTTGACCCCTTCGATCTCAACGAGGCCATCATCTTCCAGCCCTTTTCGGAACAAGAGCTCCATGACTATGGCATCGACGAGGTCCTGGTGCAGAATGAGGAGATCTTGAAGAAGCTTGACCTCCCGGACTGGACTCCTCCTGAACCTGCAAATGAAAAAGGAGTGATCTCTCGTCGTGAAGAGGAACTTGATGCTATGAAGGCTGGTGAGCGCGTTTTTGAATATCTGGAGGCCATGTATTCCTGCTTGTCGAAGCTCTATGATGATATGAGTCCTCTCTCCATGGCTCGCAACTGGACTGATATTCCGTGAGTGATATGTACACGACTCTTATGGTTGTCAGCTTTTGGTCACTGACTTGTATGAAAACAGGATCCCCCATCCCGAATACTCTTGGCCTCCCGAGCTTGGCCACAACAGCTGGACCCGCGAATACGGCCTTTTGAATCATGGACCCACCCCAGAACATGTCGGATGGCAATACCAGTCGGCGAGTGAGTGGAAAGACCGCCCAAAACGTGGAGATCCCCGAGCCCAACCACACGTACGTCTTGTCGTCGTTCATGGCGCCACTGGTGACCCCAATGGAGTTCTTCTGGGCGAGCTGGGAGCTATCGCACAGGTAATCTACAACCGTCTGAACCAGCCAAGCTTTGAGAACGAGTCTTACTTCCCGGTATGTTTCAGCCTTGAAGCAGGTCTACGGATATGAAGCTGATGAGGATAGGTACTGATGATCTCGCTTTTTGGTCCTCGCCATGGACGGATTCTACAGGCCGTGTACAGACGGGCTGGGTATCTTGAGCTTCGTGTCACTCGCATTCATGATTTCACCAAACCGGATGAGGCCCCCTTTGACCTGTTCCTGCGGTATCTTGCAAGTTATCCCCGACGTGATGACTACTAAGAATAGCGTGTGGGATGGCTTACTTGAGCGGGGATGCCTTGACCTTCTCGGAGTACATGGTCTCCTTCGTGGGCGTTACTAGCTAGATTGGTGAAACGCAATTCTAACATGATATTTTACGCATCTCATACTTACGACCCGTATTAGATGTGCCAGAGAAGTTGAGAACATGCAATCGAAGTCGACTGACCGAAACCAAGATTCTAGAAAAAAGACCGAGATACGAACATGTATACTATACATCTATCATACTTGAGCAAGACGGAACCACGGAAGGCTGTATCCAATTACGACTACTTTTCATAACGCAAAGCATAATCGGTAGAATGCATTGCCAAGCGATGAAAAATTGTAATATGAAAACCATTTGTGACAATCCAATACTGCCTTATCCATTCCAGGAGTTATGCCTTTGTCGGGATATACCACCAACTATGTGCCTGCAAGAAATGAACTCTATCCCAACGATAAATAAGAGCTGTGGGTTCGTCGCCATTTCGCTGTACGCCCGCACACATAGTTTTTCAACGGGACAACGAGTTATACTGAACCCAGAATTGCAGTTCTGAGAGAAGGCTGCGCTGGAAGTGGTTCATAGAGGATATCAAGGATCTCTAGACACGGCAGCTTCACCGTTCGGCATATATTTGATGGTCTACCTGGTTCGTGGTTCCTTTCTTCCTTTTAGGAAGGAGGTTGCATCATGTTATCCACGGCTCTCGGTTGAGGCGACTCGTTTCCGAGATGTAGAGCTTTCTGGATATGTCTCATCCATTGTATCTTTCCGGTCTCCTTTCATTCGGTCACAAGTGCTTAATGTTGATCTTCGCGCTGCAGAGGAACCGGACAGAACAGCTTACTAAAATGTGCTTGGTGGGGTATTCCCAATTGTGTACCGAAACATCTCTAGAATCGCTGAAGTCAGATCTCATAGCAGTATGCTTGAGATATGCGAGCGACATACCTGTGTACCGTTCCATGTATGCTCCAGGGACACACTGGCATATATTACCAGATTACGCACAAGATATCGGTTCACCATTCGCTGCAGAACTCTCGAAATCCACATGAAGAAACAAAAAGCTGTCCCTCTTTCGCTCAGAATTCATATCCCATTTGTGCAGTGGCTTCTGATGGCGATTGCCAACAAAGTGGCTCAACTCCATCTCGTACGCCAACTGCCAAACGTTTCCGTGGCCTTGATCATCATCTAGAGGCCATGAGTGCAACATAATTAAGGTCTCTTTCCGGGTCCATTTCATGCAGATAAATGCCAAGAATGGTGGGATCATCCAGCATCGCCCGCACGCGGCCCAGATATACCCTTCCATGGCATTTTCGTCAAGGAAGGGCTTACCCCATCCGGGTAAGATGTCTAGGCAGGATTCAAAGGTCCTTCAAGGCATGATTCATTAGTACTCAGACCGTGTGTCAAATCTAATGGACGGGCCAAACTTACTCAAGCGCTGACATTCCATATTCAAAGGTCATTGAAGCTTTGCTCGGACATGGGTTTAGGGTGAGTTCGATATGCTTGCTGGCATTCTCAAATCCTACTCTGAAGGCATGTCTCCATTTTTCGACTTGAATAGCTATCAATCCTTCTCTCGGACACATGTTGGCGAATTCTTGGATATCCTGTCTGCCTGCGCCAGGCCACAAACTCTGGCCGTGTCCATATAAGCTCAACGCCATCGTTTCAAAAGACAGATAAGGAGCTGTAATAAGGCCCCAGAAATAATATATCATAGCTGCGCTATTATGGGAGGGTCACAGCGTGCTCAAGCCTATTGAGCCGCAGTTGATGGCTTCTTTGGAGAGTTTCAGACTCCTCAAGCTTCAGTTCGAGGTCTTCAAGATCTTTAGAAGTACTCTCGAAGAATTCTGGACTCGTTGTAGGCTTCTACACCCTCGACATGCAAAATTTCCAGTGCTAGTAGCGCTGAAGTATCAGGTAGTTCAGCCAGTCTCAAAGGGGGTCACAACGGTGCTCTTCTTGGCCGGAGGGTGGGAAACGGGGGCGGGAGTGGGAGTGGGCGATTTTGCCAGACCAGTGCGCTTGCGCTTGGCAACAGGCGAGAGGGGGTGTCCACTACGCTTTCTGGGAGCTTTCGTCAACGAAAAGTCAACTTGACCAGGGAAATGTTTACTTACGGTGCTGAGAGTTCCACCACGGACGAGCGAGTGGTTGGGATTATGGGCCTTGAGGATCTTCTTCACCCAAGGAGCCAGTTCGTCTGAACGTCTCACATTGGTGATCCACATCACTCTCCATGATGTTCATGGCATCACTCCAGCAGTCGAATCGTTTTATAACTGAGCGTTCGTTAAACGAATTCGATTTGATGACTCTGCCAGGTAGTCAGGCGTCGAGGGGAAAGCTGTTGGGGAAAGGGTGGATCGATTCAGCAATAATTTCACAGCAAGGTAAAGAAAATTAAGACTACCCAGAGTGCTGTACCTTTGCTTATTGTGCTTGTAGCAGTCTCAATTCCTCAAAGAGCTCCTGTCAAATGTGTTTGAAAATCGGGAGGCAGCATCGCATGAGACAGCGCCCGCGTGTCCTGAGTTCAGCGGTAAAATCGCGATTGGATCTCTCTGCCCATGAGACTTCTTATAACTGGATGGTCCAAAAGGTTCTAAATCCAACGACGGTGTCTGTGTTGACCACTTTCCAGGTCCACAGAAAAGTGCGGCAAGAGGGGGACCGCTCCGACGGAGCAGTATAGTATTCTAGTTATGGGTTCTGTTTCTTTGTCTATATATAGTGAGTATTGTCAGTAAACGAGCATGAAACAAAGTTGTAGACGAGGAAAAGTGGTGACTCACTATAATGAATGATGTAAGGAGATTGCATTTCATGGAGGACATATCCGTGTCGTGTTTGAAAGAAGCCAAGCCAACGGACAAAGGATAGTAACAATGCTAGATAGGGGACTTCCCTGGAGTCTACACTAGTTTAGTATAGGAGAAAAAGAAAACTCCGGTCACTCCGATATAAGAAATGCTAGAGGCTAAGAGCTCGGAGTTTGACGAGAAGGAGTTCAAAGCGGGAGAAGGACAGTATTCATACCATGGCGTGGGTCCTAGATTTCAACGATAATACCCGTATATACATACTACTAAGACTATTCCGGAGGACAAATGCATTTAACTCATTGAATCTTTCTGACCAGGAGATGTACTATTTACATAATCACTTCTCGGCGGTGATCGAAGGGCAACTCGGGAAAATCCCGGGACAATCTGTATACCGCGGGGAATGGTTCTTCCGCGCCGAACTATACTGGTATACCTGCCTTTTTACCATTTCTTCACAACGAAGACTATACCTCAATGGGATGCATGTTCAGTTGATTAAAGAGCTTTTAGAGACTTAATTATTAGTAACATATGTATATTGTTTTAAGAGATACATTGATATCTGCAGCATCAAATGAAATCCACGAAAAATGACAGTACTATGAGATTGTATGTTGTGAGGGTGGTTGGCTAATTAGGATTCAAAGGGCACAGAACTGATGTGTTTTGAAGGGTTCATGATTAGTAGTTGCCTTCCAAGAGTGTTATTCGTGACTGTGAACCTCTTACCACGCTTGTCTTTTTCTTCCCCTCCTTGCAATCCCCATCCTCTTTCTTCCTCCATCACTATCACAAAAACATCACCATCATCATCACTATCCTTCCTCCTTTCATCTCTACCACATAACCACCATCATGTGCTTCCTGGAGGTCTTCGCAGTGATCCCAGAGGGATGCTTGGCTGAGCCCAAGCATACCCATCTGGCGACCGATGGCTACCCGTGCCTCGAGACCTTTTATCTCCAGATAGCCAAGCATGCCGAGGCAGGTGGCACTCCACAAGGCCTGACCCTCACCCTCTGCGAATACAAAGACTGGGTGAAAATCGACTGCTTCCACCGCGAGTTGGAAGTCCGGGCTCTCCAATTTGAGAACCCCTACTGCCCCATCTGCTCGGGTGAAAAGACTCTCGCCCAGGCCATGACCCCAGCGGTAAGATATTCCTCCCACCAGAGAAGGGGAGAAACAGATCCGTATCAGATGAAATCAGTTCTAACGGTGATATCATTTACTGGACTACAGGAAAATGAGAGCACCAACTTCGCCGTCCTCCTAGATGGCAGCAAACTCAATAACCTCGACAATCCCATCACCCTACCGACCTATGCCGAGAAGCGAGACTGGTTCACCCGGAAGAAAACCAGCTTCGACCCCATCCATGTCAAGACCAAAGTGGGGGACAAGTTGCTCTTCCTTCTGCCCAACAATAAGCGCGGTCGCTACACTGACCCGGATGATGATGCAAAGTTTAAGACTAATCTGAAGATTCTTCTGAAACTTTGTTACATGGAGGATGAGGAGTTTGAGGCCCCTCCGGATATGGACCTTGCCTGGCTGGAGTCTACGCTTGGCGGAGACTGATTTGTGGACTGAACGTACGATTGTTTTTTTTTTCTTCCTTCTATGGGATCTTCTTGCCTTTTCTATGGTCGTTTGTGGTTTGTGATTGCGGCGAATGGGATCAATTGTCTAGGCTATTTCTTTTTCTTCGTGTTGTTTCGTGGCTTTCAGAATGTTTCTCGCATGTAAAATAGGGACCTGCGATTTACTATATCTGGCTACTTTTGCCGTTGGGTCCGGCTGTCATACCCGTAGAACTAGAGTTGCATCAGTTTGGTAGGCACGACTGTTATCTCTTTATTCAAATTATTTCCCCAACACATAATAGGCCTATCCACTGGCCCTGGTAGGCGTTACCTCGAGATAGTAGCCCGTTATTAGGAACTTGAGACAACTCCGACGAGGATCATACTCCGCCCGAAGTCATAATTACTTGTGCGCGTGCCTTCTTATTACCCTTCCAGATTTTCTGGGAAGTTAGCGCCCTGAAGCTGGGCCTGGCCCCGAAGCTATTATGCGCAATGAATGAAAAGCGATGATGATAAAGAAGAAAATACAATGCTACGCTACTCCTATATCTTTCGGTTAATAAAGTATATACAATATGTAGAGTACACTTAAAACATACCGGAAAGGAGACGGAAAGTGATAGAATAGTGACCGTACTTAAAGGTAGTATGGCAGATATTATGTAGGGTGCCTAGTGTTATAGAGTAGAGGATTTCGTCATACGCCTTTATTTATATTATCCGATTATAGCCGTTAATTATAAAGTAGTGTGATCCAAAGGGTAGATGGGGCATGCCCTTCTAAGTATGGTGAAAAGAGAGACTATATACAAATAGGCGGCCTGACAGTGGCCGCACGTGACCTTACGTGACAAGAAGTGGGCCGGAAGGAGATAGTGGCCCTTCAAAAACTAATTGTCTCAGCCTAACCCTCGAGGGTTAAGACCATTCTACGTGTCTATATTACAATTGTTTTTGATATCTGTTATCGAAGCGGATGAAAATACCAAAAAATCCCGACCGAAATCTCTGATATAGACAATCTGACCTACTTTGAGCTGGTAGTCCCTTCTTCGCCAAGTATTCATTTGGCCGTGTCCGCCCCCCACCCTTGACATCCCCGAAGATACTTAGGAATAGTACCCAACGACCACTTAGCTAGAAAAGCAGGCTGCAAAATACCTCTCCAAGACTCTCTAGCTACTACGAAACTCGTAGCAACCAAATCGGTTCCCTTCAGGATCACGGAAGTTCATAAACCACCCATGAGAACTCTCAGTTGTCTTGCCGAGACAGGTACTACCACCACGTTCGTGAATTCTCTTCTCCATCTGATATAATCAGCCTGCCAATCTTCTGGAAAATGTACGCATTTCCTGGAGTATTTGGGCACCAGGACTGACCATGTCAAGGGAATCGACCGAGTAGTACACGGTCATCCCACTGCCCATAATCTGCTCTGTGGGAGCGCAACCCTCCGGCATCTGGACTATCCCTCCCGCGAATCCTAGACGAAAACCCCATTCAGTGATTTTGATGGGCTGTGCATCACTGTTGGCTTACCCTTCGGTTCAGCGAAACTATATTGCTGCACTTTGCTTTGGCCTGGAGCCGATTGAGCTGGTCTCCATTCCCAGGACGGAAAGATGGCACCATAAAATGCCTTCCCAGAGAAAATAGTCAGTAGGATCCAGTACCTTGCTACCACAACAGACAAAAATCATCAGAGTCGCCGTATGACCGCGAACCAACCTTTAGTCCTTCGGTGTCCCGTGCAGGGATCTCCACCCAACATGGGGAGCCTTCTTGGGGAGGCTTCCATTCCTGCTGGACCTTAGCTGCGTTGGTGGTTTCGGTAGACATTGTAGGCTGTTAGAGCCAGAATAAGTTGAGCGCCAGACAAAAGGTTCGGACAGGGGGATGAAGGAGCATACTAAAGTTACTCCCTCTTATACTGCCCACAGGAAGCAGTGAGAATTAAGAATGGTACGTGTACGTCATCGACAACATTATCATGGAGAGCGGGCGGCCTAGACTTCAAGTAGAGTCCCAATTAGGGACCCAGATCGATGCAGCCACTTCGTATACATATCATGAAATCATGAATATTGGATCAAGGAGAGTTCTACAACGAATGAGTGCCACCTGACGCCAACAGAGAACGCCGCGATTTGAGTTTCGGATACGAGGAATTTCCCAACATCGCGTCTCGACCGCGTCACACTGATGCGAATTTCCTTTTTCGTCGTTACACGTGATATAAACCTTGTCTGCTGATTGGCTCCTACCTATATATCGCCTTTTTTTTCTAAAGAATAGACCTGTTTTCTTTCAAAACGCGTGAGACAGAGTATTTTTATTATCACAAAACTCGTATGATTTGGACATGCGTTGAGCCTTGGCCAGGTGCACTCTTTTTCGTATCACAACTTGCAACAATAGACAGCCAGGTATGCTTCTCTCGCAAATATCTCGTGAATTTCCCTCACCACTCCTAGAAAAATATAGTCAGCCCCGAAGAGTACCAGGCTGCTCGATCTTGCCTTCTTCAGCAGGAGAAAGCGGCAACCCGCCTGCTACAGGAGCTCGCCGTGTCGCGCCGTCAGTTGCCTATAGTGCGCATCGACGACTCAGCTAGGTTCCGAACACACCTGACGGAACGAAGAGCCTGTTAGACCTATTTAATAGGCGCAAACAGCTAATCCTTTACTATTTTATGCTAGGACCCTATAAGACTCAGGGCTACGTGGGTTGCTCATTCTGTATAGACTATATCCCCGATCTCCGCTACCTCTAGAGCAGGAATACTTCGTTCGTCGCCGTGGCTACCGCACCCTTGTCTGAAGTCACCGTCTACAGGAATCGGATAGGCTAGAAATTTCGTCTTTATAGTTCTGCGAAAATGTACAAAACGTAGGCTGAAGTCGACGGACAGGGAGAAGTTATCACCTAGAAGCCCACGAACGGCTACTTCGGACTATGTTCGTTCTTCCGGGAAGGTGACGAGGTATTTCACACCTATGATACCTCGTCTCGTGGCTTGGCGATTATCCTGTCCACGTATCACCTGCTGGATATGACCCTGATGGGTCGGCAGGAGGTGGGAAATGGAATTAACAATTTCCGCCGCCATTATGAGTACTAAACTGGTAAGAAATCGCAACGACTCTTCAAATTGCCCTTTAAGGCCTTCTCTTTTTCCTTTTTATGCCCACTTCTGCTTTCCCCCCCCATCCTCTCTCTCTCTTTCTTTCAACCTCTCTCTTTCTATAGCGATAACTATCCACTGCAGATTTCCTCTCTGCTTGCGTCCACTGTGTAGGAACGTAGACGTTGTTCTGCATCAAGCCCAACCCTACGATGGGGATCCTATAACTAACGGTCCAATTGGCCCAGTGCCGTATGCCAATACATGTGTTAGCACCACTCGGGACTCACTCACCAGACCGCCTAGATTGGTAATCTAGCACGGCTTTTCATAAACACATGCCCAAAAGCCTTTGGGTAAGGGGGTTTGGCAACAAGCAGAGTATTATGTAGTGAAAAATGTCATCCTCGAGGTGTATGGCTAGGCGAGTTCAGTGACACGCTACGTGACACTCTGTGATTCTGTCTCTGCCGAGAATAGTTATTTTCCGCCTTAAACATTGCTCGAGGTTCACGTTGATGCCTTGGACCTCCTGATCATGGAAGGTATATTTGCTTCATTTGTCTCCACTATCTCTCTCTCGGCGTTGACAATCTCCGCCCCTAGGATTTTATCTTTCCCCATTCCAAAATGGCTCGTAAAGCTCCTGTACCCTCCAAAAGTCGACAATCCAATAAACCCCACCGTCGCAACGAGGCCAAGAGGCGTGACGAGACCTTCCACTGCCAGAGCCCGTGAAATCTGCGGATTAGTAGCGCATCCGCCAATGACGGCTGGCTTTGCTTGCCCAGAGCGATTTTCACAGAGCGTAGCACAGTCTCGCGGACAGGCCGCGCATGGTAGTAGCCCCTTCACTCGTTCCTCCTTTCAGGGCATACTTGAACTGGTAAACACCAGCCTTGCGCGGAAAAAAAGGGCGGTGTCTGTGCTATAAAGAACCGCTTCAGTACAGTAGCGATGCCATAAGACCATATAACTTAGTCTCACGTTTAAATGTTCGAGCTGCGCTCGAAGGCATATACCGCCACATCTAGAGGGATTATGATGGAAAGACCAAAACTACAATAAAGTGTCTAACCTTCACATCCAAGAAGGGGTCAAAGCGAGGTATTATGTTAGCTATTATTCAGGCTACAGCACAACTAGGTAAAGGTTGCTTGGAAAGGAAATCTGGTGATGCAAGGACCTGTCCATCCCCCGCATCTCCGATGCAGGTAAAGTTGACAACCACAGTTTTCCTACCTTCCCCCACAACTCGGCTTCCGGGCCGACTCCTTGCTACGTCCCGATTCCTGAATACACGGCTCCTCACCACCCATCAATGCTCAATAACCATACCCTGAAGTACGTACTCCTGGCTGACATTGAACAATTTTACGTCTTAACATGACTGTTTAACACTGAGCAGCTTCAAAATAATCATCATTGGAGATATTTATTTATACTTTAAAAGTTTAATGGCTTAATCTTGCTTTACTGTTTGACCTACAAGTCTATCAGTATTTTATTTAACACCCTATAAAACTATACCCTTAACATTTTATTAATAAAATATATGAAATTTTAAAAATAAAATTTAAAAATAATAAATTTTCGGCCTTGCTGGTTATCTGCTAGGTAATGGCCTGCTTCAATATGGTCTCGACTTCGTCTTCTACGAGTCTGATCCCGTGGACACAAACGAGAAGGGTTTCCGATCCGGCTATGTGCCCCTGCGCAAGAGGGCTTCGAGGTTTGCAGGACAGATGAGCAGCTCAGCAAAGTTAGTCAACATTTAAAATATTTTATTCATCGTTAAGGACTTTCAAGTTCGATGTTGTTTTCTCTTTCTCCCAAATCCAGTGCCTTAGCGCAGACCACCGTACGGCAATTTGCCTATAATTAATTCATCTATAATCCATCATAATCCATCAAATGCTTAGTGTCAGCCGGCAAAAGTTCAGGGAGATGGTAAAACCTTACGGTCCTGTAGCGGTTGGATTAGTAACGCTGATATTGGCTTGTACACTTTTGTGCAATAGATGTTGTGGCGCTTGAAGTTCAGAAACCCCTTCGTAAATATTCGTAGCTAACCGTTGGTTATGACTCGTTCGTTGCCAGCCGTCCTTGCTAACTTTCTGATACTGACCGGTTTGACTTAAACGTTTATAACCCGTTTATTGCTACCTGTTACGATAGGTCAGGAGGCAATTGGCTAGTTCTGAGTTATTTACTTTTTGTGAATAGCTTCGGAAGTTTCCGTCTTGGAAGGGAAAATGTTGCCAGAAAGATGACGCATACAAAAGGGCCTAGCTCACACTACCGTAGCTTTGTTTTTCTTCCTTCTTTCCTAGAATTGATTCATTCATTGAATACTTCGAATTTAGTCATCCATATTCACATTTGATTGGCTGTAACAATACCCGTCTATTGCTACCCGTTTCTCGTTGATCGTTCTCCGTTCTCGATTCATCACCTTGTTTCATGGCTAGTATAGCTAGGTCTAGGAACTTAAGGGTATGTCATTATGGTAGTGAATCTATTGTCTGTAATCATCTCCGAAGGTCAGCTTAGGCTACCAAGAAAAAGCAAAAATAGGGCACAAGAGCAGGAGCAGGAAGGAGGGTAGGAGAGAGGGAGAGTTTAGCCGAGGGACTCCGCCTTGCTTTAGGGGGCCTTCGGGGTATTCGAGTGAGAATAGAAGGGCTTTCGTTCTAACGAGTCTTGAAAAAATAAACCAAAATAAAAACATACAACAGCCAGGATTCGCATGTGGTCACCCACCATACTACTAACTGGCCGGCGTGTGGCTTAAGAACGGCTGAGCGGACGGGAAGCCCTGTTCTCCACACCCTATGGTCGTATGTACGAATTTCTACCGAGAATTAGCCTATACGGCAATCGCATACTCCATACATCTTCAAAAATACTTGCAGAGAGGGTATGTCTTAGGTGATGACACTGAACTTGAGGTTAAGCCTCACCTATGCTTCACGTAGATGTCAAAGTACGTGAATCATGGCCCCCGCGTCTGCGTTATAGTAGGCTAGTAGGCTTTGGTAATTACAAATATTATTCTAGGTAGTTAGTTGCAGGGTTCCGCTCTAGGAACGGAGTGTCCGTTTGTGTACCGTAGGTATATTCAGAGCGAATATCAGCAGGGAGACTGAGTCCTGATGCTATCAAATGAACCATTCGACTGGCTGATCTGCTAATAGCGAAATTCGGGTTTAGGGAGTCATTCCACATATTTTCCAGCCTCACACTGCATATGATTTCTGTTTTCCGAAGGCGAAACGATTTAAGTGGCCCATAAAATTCAAATACAGATTGAGAATTCTGGCCTCATTTAGATCTGGCGCGACCGTGTCTTTTGCTTACGGACTCGATCAATTCATGGTAGAGCTCAAACCTACATTTGCCACCCAGACGCCGCATCCAACCACAATATTCGCTTATTCAGAAATTCTCAACCTGACTACGTATGCAGCATCAGCATAGGCCAATTTAGTTAATTGTGTATCTGTTCCATCTTTCTTAGACAATACGGAGCGAGAATCTAATGAATTGTTCGATTTGGCAGCCTGACTACGAAGCGACGTCTATTGGTCAGTCGCCTGGGCAACCTTCGAAATTTGACGTTGTGGGAACCATGGATTGCCGAGAAAGTGGTCTCAAGTAATATTCTCATCGCATGATAGTTTGCAGACAAAATGTCAACCTTAGCAATCAGGTCTCCTCGTGGCTCCATATCGAGACCGAACCCCTCCACAGACATAGAGTGGATCGACCAACCAACGTCCTGGGTACGTCCCAGGGGAGGCTTCTGAGATCATCATTTTCTACTTTATCCCGAATACGGTATGTAGCTAAGGGTCACCTTATGGATCTGGACTTGACTGTAGGTGATCGTGTCGCGGATCGTTGCTCATGTAGGAGGGCTTCCCTGTGAGATAAATTTGAGAGAAAAGAGTTCCTAGAGGCCTACGTTGCCAGAATCTTCTAGTCGCGGAGATGTCGCGGTATTCGACAACCAGAAGTTGGACAAGAACAAGGTAAGTCATCTCCTAATTCTCTGTTTCGGTTTTTCTAATCTTAGCAGCCACTGGTGGGGAGGAGCCTTGACTGGCTTCCCTGTCCTTGCGGTATGCCAAATATGCAATATCAACCTACCTTGACATGTCACTGAAGAATAGGAAGGGATCCCTCTCTGTTTTAGCTCTGATTTTTAATATCTGCGCGCTGGTTAAGGGATGGCTACAGAGTGTTTCAGCGGATGGGTCAATATTCGAGTTACCCACACCTAGCTGGTAAGAGTATCTCACTCCTCTTTCTTCCGTTTTTACTCAGAGAATAACGTAATTTAGGAATATTGGACTCAAATCAACTTCTTTGGCTCTATCTGCCGCTTCTTATCTAGCCTACCTTGTCACAATGATTCTTCACATTGACTCTACTAAGGGATTTATGGTGACGGTGATCGGTTGGCTTGCCTCGGCTATTATCCTGTTCAGCCTCATCGGCATCGACGTTCGACAGCACCAGCAAGCTCAACCCCACAAAGCTCTTATATATACTCAAAACTTCTTTGCCGGAGTCATATCCGCCAGTCTCTACGTTCTGGTAGCGACTATGCTCTCCATTTACGCGATTAGCTTTCCGCTCAGTCCGGCAGATAGGAGAAAGATTGAGTGTACGAGTATTATACTCCGGGTCAACTTCTTTGCTATTTTGCTTCTCGGCGGGGCCGCAGTATACAGCAACATTGAAGACTGGTCGTTGATGGATTCTCTCTACTTTACCGACTACACCCTCCTAACCATCGGCCTTGGAAATCTTGCCCCCCAGACTCACCTAGGGCGCAGCTTGCTATTTCCTTACGCCACCTTGGGGATCATTAGCTTGGGTCTGTTGATCACCTCTGTGGCGTCTTTCACTGATCAGATGAGGGAATTTAAACTTAAGCGCAAGATCGAAGAAACTCGAAGAGAGGTCCATAACACAGACTCGAAGAAAACAACCGATGATATATCAAGAGTTGAGGGCGTCGAGTCTCGATACCCTTTTTTCAGAAGTCGTATCCCAAGATGCGAAGAGATCATCAAAGTACGCAGTGCTAGATCCGCATTCTATCGAAAGGCGATATGGGTCGATCTAGCGTTATTTCTAGCCGCATGGTTCGTTCTGTGGCTCGTCAGTGCGGGTGTTTTTCACTGGTCCGAGAAGGAAGCCGGTTGGTCCTATTTTGTGGCTCTGTATTTCACCTACACATCCCTCACCACGATCGGGTATGGGGATTATTTCCCCACAAGCAATTTCGGGAAGGTTTTCTTCGTCTTATGGTCTTTACTGGCCATTCCGATCTTAACAAATTTGGTTACGGTAATCGGCAACGTTTTCCACATGTGGCTGGTCTTTTGCTCGAGTTGGATCAGGCGACACGTATTCCGCAGAGGTGGCAGGAGTGAGCACGACCATGAGTACATGCGTCGTTCCTGGGGGGCATCGGGCTTTATTGCGTCGAACGAACCTCTAAAGCCGGAGTTACGAGATCCTGGGATTGATATTCAGTGGCGGGCCCAGGGTAATTCGAACGGCGGGCAAGGCTCACCAGCTGCGCATATGGGTTTTGAACCAAGCCACTCGATTCAAGACGAGCAACACCGAATTATGTCTAGAACGGCTTCGACGCACTATCGGCTGTTGCTTTTAGAAGAAATCGAAGATCTCATTTCCATGACAAGGGACGATTCACTTGAACCTCAGGAAGAGCTCTGTTGTAGATGGTCGAGAACCATCCCTCTGCTTCAGGCCAAGGGCGATACTAGCCGCCTCTCTGAGCTCCTGCCACTGTTCTTGTCCGCAGAGTCTGAAAGAACGACGGTGCAGATGCGCAAGGACCGCAAGAAGGAACTATTCGAGAGAAATGTCGAGATCTTATGGATGGTAACCTTGATAGTGGAAAAGCTTTCTTCGGACTTACAGCAGGAACTTGTTGAGACGATTTGATGAATACTCAGTTATGATCTAGGTTAAGGCCTTGAATTGAATCTTGATGAGACACACTGATTCACGGATCCGGACCCTCTACTATCCATTATGCGGACCCTAGGATCCCTGTAGCCGAAGCGAAATGGTAGCGCGCTACCGACTTTGTCAAAGTAACGGTAGGGTGTGCAGTTCAGAGTCTTGTCCGCCAATGGCGGTACTCTGAGGGTCATCAATGCATTCCCTCATGGGATTTTGACGATGAAACAACCAAGTGCGGATGTCACTGCCCATGCTTGACTAACTAGACATTTTGTCGCGGTGTGAGAATGACAAGAACGAGGTTATGAAGGGTCACGACGTTTGTATGGATACCGGACGTCAATGTTGTCAAATTCAGCTAACAGTCATCTAAAGAGGTAACTTAGTATGGTGTTTTGGGGTGGCCAGGACGGCCGGGAATTAACGTAGTTCCCGGCCACCCTAGCCACCTGCCACTATGAAAAATCAAAAATCGATTATCTTAACCAACACCCATTAATTTAACTAAATATAGCGATTTTTATATATATTAGTCCTATGGCTAATCTCCCTACACTCACTACACCTAGGTGGAGCCTTAGTAGCCGGCCTATCTACCTGATTAGGCAATTCGCCCTACGTATGCGATTCTACTATAGGCGCTTCTGGTAGTAAATCTAGCTACGAAAATAGGCCCTCTTTAATGGTTAAGCCCTCTTCGCAGGGTATCTACTTATGTAACCGATTGCGCTTCTTGACTATCTTCTTATTAGCTACGCGTAGATTCGTATTATCCTACGCGAGTAATATAGCGTTAAGTAGCGATAGTAGTACCCTTAATAATCTAATCTAGTATAGTTTTTAATATGCTCGGAGGGCTTTATGACTGCTAGTGTAGTAGATCTATTAGTATTAAAAATTACTTTTGTAGCTAAACGATAGTTCTAAGCGTTTTTAGTGTAGATTAGCTAGATCTACTACTTAGCTGGCTACTTAGTAGTAACGGAGTTCGTAGAGAGATATTAAGCTTCGGGGGTACTCTTTCTATATCGATTAGTACTAAGCTACTAGCTATGGAGCTATTTTAAATAGTGCTTAATTAGTAGGCTTCCTACCGCACGCGTTAGAACATACCCTACCCAGAGGTCGCTCTCCCCATAGTTAGCTTACTAGGAAGCATCCGAGACGGAGGGGGCTAGTTGAATAATGGGTCTAATCTATTACATTACGATCCTGAGACGAATATCTGTGACGTCTCCAACAAGGCGTTTGTGACATTTACGGTTTCTATTTACTTCAGAAAGGAGTGCAAATGCACTCAGGCCCTCCATAGGTCGGTTGCTCATCTTTGCAACACGAAAGTACATCGTTCGTTCCGAGACCGCGAGTGCTGAACTGCTGAGGCAATCCAACACAATTCATCTCAGAATGTCAGGCACCAAGGTGCTAGTGTTAAAGACCGTCTTTGTCGCAGTTTTCTGGGAGTGGCGGACCATGAAGCGGCCGCGAGGAACTGCTCAGATAACTGATAACTCAACACGCGCCGAGCCTCGCTTTTCCAAAATAGTTAGCTTCGACTTTCAGCTATAACTAACGCAAGTGCAAAGAAAGAGAAAGAGCGAGAGTGTTTATTACCCATGGTACAATGGCCATCAGTGAAATAGCCGTTCACATAACAATCACCCACACCCCCCGGGTTTATTTGATGGTCCCACGTACTGCGTCTTGGTTAGGCCCTTGTTTTCGAGAATTACTTTTACCTTAACAATCAAAAAAAGCTATGGGTAAATATCATACCAGTTATCTTCATAGCAGTCTCCCCGCTCGTAACACGCAAAATACAAATCTTCACCCGGGCTTAAGGTGCGAACCACCTTGGAATTGAGGTGCGGCCCTGCCCGACAATTTACTTTCACATCAGAATTAACTATCTGACACCACTGAGCAGTGCCTGCAAGGGCTCCAAGTGGCAGGCTTAAGAGAGCAGGAAAAATAAACTTCATATTGGCGAAAGCGACGTTGGAACCAACACAAAATGCGAGGAGAGAAGAAGTTAAAGGCGGCAGGAAGGGAGAAGGCAGTTGACTGTCAGGTCTTCTTTTTATAGCATTACTGAGCGTTTTTGAGACGAGTATTCCCTTTGAAGGGACTGCACACCAGGCCGAGGATATTCGCGGTATGTTCCTAGACTGAGCGTCGCCCTGTCTACCACCTCGTGTTCCCTAGCCTTGGTGGGCCCTCGAGAGGCATTGGGACTAGCCTCTTGTTTCCCCTTGTCATTTCCGAACCAACTTGGGCCAAGTCTTCGGGCGCTTCCCGTCACAAAGCTTCAATTGGCTGGACAAATAGCTAAATTACCGTCTTCCTTAGGATTTGCCGTCTAAGCCATTGGCTCTGCGACGAGTTTCGTGACCAATCTCCCTTGCCCTGAAAATGAGCCTTAGGCCGAATTCAAGCAGGAAAAATTGCTAGAACCGAACGTAGAAAAGCTAGCTAATTCCTTCATTGGATAGACTGGCACGCTCAGTAACAAGTTAGGTCAAAATTTGATCAGCTCGGTTGTTTTCTGAAGCAAAAATGCGCCAGGATACGAGTATCGCTTGCTCCTTGTGGCGCACTGATTGTGGAGGGGAAAGGCTACTAAACTTTAAAGCTCGTATACTTCGGATTCGAGGCTTCCTAGCTTGGTTTTAAGTTTTATGTTTTTAAAATTACGACTCGATTTTGATGCGATTCAGCACACGCCGCCCTAAATATCGAAGCAAAATCCGTAATCCCTCTCCATCTGGCCCTGATATCCAGTTAGGCCCTGCTTCCCTTTTTTCGACTTCCTCGCTCGCAATCTCCCACTTGCCAAGGATTTCATCCACTTTGGTCTCGCACATTTTTCCACCTACGGTTTCTTGGTCTCCTTTCTAATTTCTCGTGACCGGATGATAATATCCACGTTCTGGAGAAGAGAGAGGACCGATATACGGAATACGAATCTGGCGTTTGGATTGTGGGGCTCTGGCATGCTCTTAATTTGCATTAATGCGAGCTATCAACCCTGGGCATGACTAAGGTCTTTCTTTCATTGTGCTCTCTTTCGTTCTCAAATTATGTTCGTATTCAAGTTGGTTTGCAAAGGTTTCTATGTGTAATCGATCCTCAACCATCCGTAGCCATCCGTAGCCCCACCCACCTGCGGGGAACTACTTCCCCTGGCGTGGCGCCCAAATGCGTTCATCATGTCTTTTGTTTATTCTCTTAATCGGACTCAAATCCTTCTGAAAAAGACAGGGAAGTCTGTGGAATTATGCTTAGCCGACTTTCCAAACATGACAAATCGGCTTACTGGTCTTCGGCTTTTCAAGTCCATCCTTGCTGGATTTTTAAGCTTTACTATTACCTTGCTGATCTTATTCAACGTTAACGCAATCATCTCCCCCAGTGGATCTTATCCGACATCACTGAAAACAATACCGTCGGTATCATCCACCATTTCTACAACCTTGGAATTGCCCTTAGCCACCGAGCGTTGCCGTCAACTTCTGGGAGCCGAGGATGTCCTGGTGATTGTCAAGACAGGAGCAACTGCGTTGCGTGAGAGACTGCCGGTGCATTTTCAGACTACTCTGCAATGTATCCAACACTACGTGGTTTTCTCCGACTTGGAGGAAGAATTCGAGGGCCATTGCATCCATGATGTGCTGTCTGGAGTCAGTGCAGAGATGCAGAAATCCGCGCCTGAATTCAAGTTCTATCGCGATTTGCACGAGAATCAAGATCGAGTGACCGAATTCATGGCGGAGAATGTAGCTGTGCAAAGAAACGCATGGAATCTCGATAAATGGAAATTTCTCCCCGTTGTGGAAAGAGCTCTGCAGGCTAAACCGGACGCAAAGTGGTTCATGTTCATCGAGGCAGACGCTTTTTTGGTTTGGTCTAACCTCCTCAAATGGTTGGCAAAGCTAGACTGGAGGGAAGATTACTTCTTAGGACAACCAGTGACCATGGAGGGCCAACGTTTTGCATACGGAGGGGCAGGATGGCTGCTATCACGACCAGCTATACAGCGAATCACACATCACATCGCTTCCCAGAATGATGATTATGAATATTTCACAAATAAAACCTCATTTGGGGACCTGATTCTTGGTTATGTAATAGAACAGGCCGGCCTTGGACTCACTGGGGCGTGGCCTCTCATCCAACGAGAAACACCAAGCACGATGGAATACACCAAAGATTTATGGTGTTATCCTGTTGTCACTTTCCACCACATCGATGCTCTTGATATTAAATCAATCTGGGATCTCGAGCAGGAATGGATAGCAGATGTGCAAGCCCCGCTACTCCACTTTGACATCTTCAACCGCCTTATATACCCTCTCCTCGCTACAAAAATTGATGACTGGGATAACTTCTCTAATGGCGAGGAGAAAGTGCTTACTCCTAATGAAGGATTTGAGGATTGCAAGCTACACTGTGAGGAAGATGTGCAATGCATGCAGTTCCGTTTCACACCAAAGAAATGTACCCTATCTCATTCAATTACCCTTGGATGGAAGGCAGATCGTTCGTTAAACAGCATCTCGGGCTGGATGATGGAAAGGATCACCCAGGACAAAGCAAGCGTTCGATGTGAAGGGGGAAAGTGGGATATAAATATGTGAAATTTCCAGTAAAACCGCCGTCTTGGCAAGTCTCCGCCTTAGGAAAGTTAAGAGAGCCTGATAGTATGGGTCAGAAGATATGCTAAATTTGTCTGCAGCTGCCACAAGGGCATACTTCACTAGGCTTCGGCAGTATCGAACATATCGTCGGATATCAGATTATCGTATCCGCAATGATACGACGAAGACATCTAAATGAAAACCTTGAATATCTGTTGATACTGTCACAGCAAGCGATGTGGGTGGGTTTGCCACAGGCAGTATAAACAAAGAAAACACGACAGAAATGAAACTAAACTATTTCGGGTGTATTTTACTACCCCACTTTCTTTGACAATAAGGCTGATTCCTCAGCATAAGTGCTCTAAAAAATAAGCCGAGTTCCGCAGAAATACTGTCCTATATATACTATTAAAGTGAGGAATTACGGCATAAGATAGTATGCAGAATACGAATGAGAACTACCGGAATCAGGCAAAAGATTGATTGATAAGACCAAAGAATCAAAAGAAGAGGAGAGCTGAATAGGCGGCAGGTTGAGCTGTCCCTTGCCTTACCAATTCGTATCATATAAGCCTTCGATTCTTAGGGCCCTTAGAGCTATATCCAATAAAGTTACTTTTCGGGTACCAACCTTCGTCCCTTTTTACTTGTCGTTTCAGGGGTTCGGCGTGCGAAACTTGTGGAACGCGCGTCACCAGTTCTTCTGCTACGATCACACTGAGCTTATTGTCGCAGCAGCAGGAGAGGCGGATAACCGGAGAACGCAGATACTGTACATCCGCCAAGAATAGTCATGTAGATGGCTCATCCAAATTGCTAGCTAGGGGCCGTATCGCAATTTAGACCTATTGTGATTTCTATTAGTGCGCTGGCATGGCCCACTCACATGTGTTATGAACTGTCCCCTGAAGGGGACAAGCTGCCCCGCTCTTACGGGCATTTCTCTGAATTTCCCGAATCCCACCAAAGAACCGCAGGGAACAAAATCACTGCACGAGTATGGCCCTTTCCCCCGAGCTGACTGGCCTTATCGTGTCATATATCACTGCTCCTCCTTTGAATCCCCGTGATCAGCGACGAGCCCAATCTTACCTTTCACAATATGCCACGGTGAACTGTGTCTGGCAAGAGATCATTGAGAAGCGTACCTTCTCTACACTTTGCCTTGGTACCGCCAAGCGGCTAGATGAATTCCGACGATTGAATTTAGACTCGCGGAGGAAGTCTTATATCCAGAGAATCGATCTAATCGTGGAACTAGAGCTCTATGACGTGGATGCGCGTTCTAGGTTCGAGACGGATCAGGAGCATCAGAGAAATAACATGCTCTTCACTCAAGCCATCCAATCTTTACTCCAAGTTCTATCATTATGGCCAAACAACACACGGGGTATTGAATTGTCCATCACAGCCCAGTCACCTAGCGATATGAGCGCTATCCCAGATCAGAGAGAACGTCGAATGCGAATAAAAGCAGCCCGTTTTGATCGCACAGAGGACCTCCTGAATCGAAGATTCGAAAAATCTTATCTCCAATTGGATGAGAGTTTTAAAAGTTTGAGCGTCCCTCTTATCAGTTCTCTTAATGTCGACGGATTGTCTTGGAACGGTCGTGTAATACAACCGGCCTCGTGTGCTCGTCTTGCATCAAATTTGCCTTGTTTGCGTTCAGTTACTCTTGCTCTGAGCGATGTCTGCAAACGAGATAAACCTTTACGGAAACGCAACCGTAATGGTATGTCTTATTACGCTCCCCCGGTTCCGTAAAACAAATCCTAATCATGATTAATAGGCTTTGCAACTCTTTTTCACTTGTGGCCACCCACAGTACAAGAATTCTATCTAGGTTTCAACTATAGAGAGCATTCGAACCACAGCTTCTTTCCTGAAAATGTTACGGAAAACAACTCGGATCTTCTTTCATCGCATATACGCGAATTCTCCCAACAGCTAACGCATATCACTATCGACCATGCTGTTATAGGGAAAGAAGTGTTCTGGCCCTTATATCCGGAGGGTAAAGATGTTAAGCTCCCTTTCTGACGACATCTAGTCTCCTTTTCCGCGGAATTCAGGCCAGTCACACCGTCCGGAGACTGGCTTTTTGAACGGGACCCTAACGAGCTAAACTCTGATAAAATCGATTCGGAAGACTCTGATCCAGAAGGAGAGTCACCGGACTACGTGAGAACAGCCCCCGAGGACCGTTCTGGTGGCCATATTCGGTCCAAAATTATACCAGCATTCTTCAACGAACTTTACCGTTCTGCTGGTCAGGCGGCGCTAAGAATGCCCCGTCTAAAGTACATGAGTCTGCAGACCACCAGATGCGGTTTTGGAGGCCACCGGTTCCGATACGAAATTAAGAATGGGGTCGCGAAGGTCACTTGGGCCGATGTGCATGTGTTCCACCCGGAGGATAATATCTTGCAAATCTGGAAGGATGTTGCTTCTCGACATACTGGAAATGATCTTGAGGTTAAGATCGCAGACCTATCGTGATATCTAATGTGTATCTTAGTTTGCTTTATGCTAGATAGCATCCAATTGCCACTCATAGCCTCGAAAACATAAGAGCAATCAGAAAAATCATTACCGTATTATTGGTGGTATAATGGTGCAGGACACCTTCTCTCCGCTGACATATGCGGTCACAAGAACCTCGATCTTGTCAAGGTGGCACTGCATATCGCTGTAGACATGCACTAAAGGCCGTTTAGTCGCAGCAAAAGGATTTAACAATAGTAGAACTTACGTGTGCATTCGTAGTCAAAGCCTCGACGCTCACAGATTGGATATCCGATACCTAATAATACAATACAACCACATCCCACTTCCTACAACCCTCATCCCTGCAAAGACGAATGCCTATAAACATAATGCCACCCCTCCTTCCCAATATCCTGCCTAACCTTGTAATTCTTCTCCGCAATATCCAAAAGGCCCAGATCCATATCCACAACAGACACGCCCTCCTCATTACCCATCTTCGACACCGGGCCCACAATAGGAAGTGTCACCTGCGACATGCCGAGGAAGCTCTCCTTTGGACCGGCGGCGTTGGCGAAGATGATGCCGCAGGTGTTTTCGAAACAGCGGGATGTGAGGGTTGAAGAGAGGAAGAGGGCTTCCGAGTCGGGGTTGTGGTGGAGGGCTTGGGGGGACGTGTCATTGGGTGTCCCTGTTACGATTAGTATGGAAAGGAAAGGTAGATGGGAGGAGAAAGGGGGAGATATACAGAAGGTAGGGATAATCACGATATCAGCTCCGTCGGCAATTAACTCGCGGAATGCCTCTGGGAACGCGAGATCCCAGCAGATCAACAATCCCACCCGTCCAATAGGGGTATCAATTGCGTCGTGGCGCTCCTGCCCAGAGGACGTCAAGTGCGGTCTCTCGGGGTGCCAGATGTTCTTCTTGCGATAGGAGCCCAAGATAGTACCATCGTTGGAGATAAAGTATGCCGCGTTGTAGAACAGGATTTCCTCGTTGGGACCTGCGTGCTTCTCGATGATGGTTCCTGGGACGAGGCAGATCTTCAGCTCTTTCGCTAGAGATTGGTAGTTGGCGAGGTATTTGGCGGCCTCGCCGGCTTGAATACCCCAGCGGGGGTCATCAGGGACCCAGCCGCTTAAGTGGTATCTAGAGAGGAAGCGTGAGCGCTGAGAAGGAACAACGGGGTTGTGGTATACTTACTCAGGGAGGACAGCTAGCTCTGCACCATCGGCGGCAGCTTGGCGGATGTATTTGCAGGCTGTGTCGTGGTTCTCCTCGATGGCGAGTTCCTGGGACTCCAAATTAGCTGCAATTCACGACTTGCGTCATTGACAGGCTGCTGGAGATGGATTGGATCGGACCTTGATATGCCACTGGATAGTGGCAACACGACGTATCGGAGCCATACTGGAAGAAAGAGACAAACTACAAGGGTAAATGAATTCTATGTTAGACGAGGAAAAGAAGTGATCGAGATACAATTTATAAATTGAAGACGTCCGACCCCAGAGGACTACCCCATTGACCCCAAAAGAGTTGGAGAAGGTGGGGGCCGCCGTTTCCGCCCGCGAATCAAAACGGTCCAAACGATTCACCCCGCGCCGAGCGTCTATTGCCAATTGCCATTACGCGCGAAATGCTACAGAAAGGGTATTAGTGATGGGTCATTTCTTGCGAAATCGACACTATACATGATTATCAAACGAAAAAAAAAAAAAAAAGAAAACAGCAACATGGGAACATTAAGGTCGAGACATATATTATGCAGAAATCGTGCAGATTGGGGAACCACGCATTAAAGGAAATCCTCTAAACGCCGGGGAGACAAAGACCGTCTCTCCATGCAGAGAGCCGTTTATGCCAGGCCCGCTGCATCTTGGGTGAAGGTTGGCTTCTTGCTGACGCGGTAGACTAGCCGGTCTGTCCAGAAGTGCGCAAAGACGGCATGCAGGGTGGGCACGGCGCCGAAGAGGGTACCCGCGACGGGGAAGCAGACTCGGTCCAGCAGGTACTTTGGTTGGTACCAGATGCGCTGGGAGCAGCCGGTGTCGGGTAGGTTAGCCTCGCGCATGTCCTGCATCCGAGTGTTGAGGCAGAGTGCGTGCCAGCGCTCGTATAGACTCAGACAGATGTTCATTCCGATGAAAGACAGCGCGCGGAGGAGGTCGGTGAAGGAGAAGGCCCAGGCCAGCGAGGGGTGTAGCTGTGATGTTGGCACCCAATTGGAGTATATCACAGAGAATAACATGATGATGGTGAGATGGCAGGGCATAAAGTGCGCTTCCCAGAGAAGCTCGAGGAGGGCAAAGTGCCGAGGGCGCAGGAAGAGACACCGCTGGTTGAAGCGGAGGTAGCTCACTGTGCGGCGCGCTGCGAAACCCGAGTCCAGAGCTCCCCACATGTGTCGCAGGGCCTGACGGTACCGGGCGAAAAGAGTATCGACTGTACGGCGCCAGCCATGACCGCCGTCGGCGGAGACATTGCACTGGCTGGCAGGGACGTGGATCACGCGGGAGATGACATTGCCTGCTGTCTCGAAATAGCACTTGAGTAGCATGTGCATGTCCTCGCCGATAGCAGTTGGATCAGCGTCCCATCCGCCGACCTTCTCGGCCATGGAGAGTGGGAGGGAGTACACGGAGGTGGGGATGGAGATCCACGTGCCCGGGTACATGGTGGACAAGCCAGCGAAGCCCCAGAGCAGATCGGCGCATCGGACGAGAGCCGGGCTCTCGTGAGAGTTGCGGTCGAAGATGATGGGGCAGCAGTAGAGAGACCGGTCAGCCTCGGTGATGTGCGAGTAGTGCAGACGGCGGATTTCGGTAAAGTAATCGCGCGAGAGGTGAGTGTCCGCTGGAGAGAGATGCGTTAGAATTGCGTCCATTCTTGGGCATGATGCACAAACTCACCATCCATGACTGTAACTACGACATTGCAGCAGTCCATCTTTAGCTCTGGGCGATGAAAATCGATAATTGAGCGCGCGGCGCAGGCCACATTGGAGCTCTTGCCCGCAATTTCGCCCGGGATACCGGTTGGGTGGAAGGTGGATCGAATGTGCAGGAACGACTTTTCGAACAGGGACACCAAATGGGATGCTTTGTCGGTGGCGGAGGCCTCCTTCTGCTCCATGGCTAGGTAGATCTACTTCAGGTTAGAATCGGGGTTCACATACTGCCCGGGTCATGTCCCGGCTCATCTCCAAGGTATGGAAAACCTACCTCATAGTGTCTTTGGGCCCGTGGGTGGCTAGCCAATACCTTGAGGGTGGTCTCCAGAGTGTGTAGATCCTCACAGTAATTGGGAATAATAATCGCGTGAATCAGCTCCTCCTCCTGGAACTCGTTCACGGTTATATTGACATCGTCAAACTTTTTGGAGATGGACGAATCGGAGGCGAGCGAGATTGGGGACAGAGGCTGCTCACTCAGCTCCTCGCCAGTCATCTGGGGTGACTGGATAGGGCTACGCCAGATGCGCCGGTTAAAGGCCTGCTTTGCGTTGGTAGTTGCGCTGAAGATAGACCAACCCAGGCGCAGCGTAAAGCCGAGCATGTGGCAGTGGATGAGCACTGCATAGATGATGAAAATGGCCTGGGCCAGGTTGAGCCCACTCCAGAACCCATCTTGTGGCGAGGGTTTGCTAGGATGAACTGGATTTGAGGGTAAGAAGCTCTTCCATAGGGAGGACTTGCAAATATCGGAGAAAGCACACAGCAACAGGATTGCCAGGCCAATGATGCTAAACCCGGGCAGGCAGCGCGTCAGCCATACCAGCATCATGACTTGAGGGCGAGGGTGTGCGATGAAGACAATATATCGACAGCCACCACAGATAGGACCACAAGCAAGATACCAGAAGAAAGAGAACCAGAAGAGCAAGAAGAAAAAGGAGAGATTCAACAATCGGTAATTTGCCGCAAGAAAGAAAAAAGGTTATCGGGAGAGGCCCCTGGGTCGAGATTGAATAATCACGGGTCCGTAGCTTACCAACTGGAGAACTCTAAGGTCCCTCTGGGTGGGCTTACGCCTCGCAATGCCCACTTTGGTCATGCTCCGCAGCAGCATCCATGAAGAAGGTGGACGATGGGATGATCGACCCCGTTCAGCGAGTCGAGTTAGTCCCTGAGCCCCACGAGCGAGGCAGGAGGGACGAATGAGAATGGCGGACGGAGGAGGATGGGAGCGGGTGCACCAGGGACTCGCTGTCGACCCCAAACGGGTAACCATCGGCTGGGAAGATGAGATACAATATTATTGCCATCTGCAGGCTGATTATCAGTTCGTATACTTTGGACAGATCGGATCCAGAGAGACTAATACTGAGTGATTGTGAGTCCTCCATACTTGGTGGAAAGTGCTGGACCCTCAGTCTTCCCGGAGTAAGTCCCTGACCATTTCCAGCTCCGATCCAGTCTCTCGTCCGTCTGTGTTCTGTTTTTCTGCTTCTTCTGGGCGAGTATCAAAACGGCAGAAGGACCCCGGGGTGGGTCTGACACACCAAACTGGTAAAAGCTTGGCTCAACGTGGTCTGGTGATTGGTGGATAACATGCTGAGGTAAGCCAATCCGTGCACGCTCCTCCAGGCATGAATTAGCGACAGCCAATCAGCATCAGCCGAACTGAGGCGTGCGACAAACAAAGTATGGGCGAGGAGCCAAAAAAGTGAGAAAAAGTAGGAACATCGCAAAACGTGAGCATCTCATCATTTCCACATTTCCGATTGCCTGCTGCCTGCTCTGCTCCGCTCAGCTCAGCTCAGCTAAGGTTATTATTCCACACCCTCAATCAACCCGAGGCGTTGCAAATCGTTCAGCCGATAGTCCCTCCGGACACTGGCCCAATCCCAGCCATCCCCAACCAGCCCATAACTCTCCCACTCCCCCGTGGCCTTGCGAGCATTCAGCGCCCAATACCCCCAACTGGCATCCACCCCGCGCAGATATCGCATCAGATGACCCCAGTAGTTCTGGTCACCCCCACTGGGCATATCGGGAGTGCCAAACTCGCCCACCCACACCGGGGCGACCTCCTCCATCAACAAATACCCCCAGTTCTTCCACATCGTCGCCGCAAAATCCTCATAACTCCGGGATGAAAACGGCTTCAGACTACCCCAGCCAGACCACTTATACACATGCGCAGAGTACACCACTCGCCCCGGCATGCTGAGCTGCACAGGACGAGTCCGCACGCCGGACAGATCGTTCGCCGACGAGATCCCCTCCACGAACATGAGCCAGTCCGGGTTCATCGCTAACAACCGCTCAGAAGCCCGTTCAGCGGCATCCGCCCATTCGTCCCAGTGCATCGTACCCCAAAGCCCGCGCACCTCGTTGCGTAGATCCGCCCCGAGCACCAGCGGGTTCGACACCAGCGGCGCCATCACCGTCTCCCAGTTGCGTATCCAGCGCTCTTCGCTCTGCGATACCGTGCACAGAAGGGCCCCCCGAACCAGTCGTTCTTCCAGCTCAGATCGCATGGGTTGATCCCGCAACACCAGGTCGCCTGCGTGATGTGATTGTTGACAATCACCAACAGACCCGCCGCCGTGAGGCTTTCGACCACGGCATGGAACACATCGAGGGCACGGACCGGCGCATCACATACACCCGCGGGATCGAAGAGATCTAGATTTGCGGCGATGACATCCCGCCCGATCACGGGGTTCTTGACGACGATCTCGTCGGCGTACGGCAGTCGCACACTGTTAAAGCCTAGACCCCGGATTAACGCCGCGATCGTGTCCCGATGCTGCACCTCCAGTCCACCGGGGACATAGTCGGTGTCACTGGCGCCGTACCAGTTGAGACTGGCGAGTTTGAGGGGGATACCCTCGGCGTCGAGGATATGCCGGCCTTGCGTGTGGAAGGGCGGAGTGAAGTTGAGTGTTGCGGGAGTGCTGGGGATAACCGTGGTTGCTGTGATGGTCGGCACGGTATCCATCTCGTCTCCACTCTTCCATGGTGTCGCTTGCAGGAGTATCACGATTATGATGGTCAGCACTAAGGATGCCCGACGGTTCCGTCGGGTCCAGTGGATGAGTGCGTGCATTATGGTATCGTGGTACTCATCTAGGTTACCGCGTTGAAGGGGGTAGACTGTCTGTAGATGATGTGGGTATTTTCCACTAAAGATTGTAGATGGGATTAAGTTATGAGTGAATTATTCGAGGGAATGACGATGAATTTTGTAGGACCTTTTGCCTTGAGGCACGCATCCGGCTGGCCCGAGCTGACTTGTGCGATTCCCGTTCGGGCATTCAGCCAATGATGCAGCCGAAGGGCTCGGCGGAGTCTCTTCCAATTGGCATGGCGATGGCGACGTGTCTTGTTTAAAGAGAGACACTTGGCTAAATATCTTGTAATTGAGTAGCCTGGACAGCTATCCTGGTGAATCCGACGTTTTGAAGACTCTAGTATAGGTCGAGGTTTTCCTCGATGGATGTGCCCCCAGGTCGTCAAGAACCCGCATCGGTATTGTTTCAGCCGGTTAGCGTTAAAAAAGCATACTTCCTCTTATGAACCCATACGATGTGTTGTATCTACTTCATGTCTGCCTAAATGTCGAGCCTACCTTAATAGATGATACAAATGACAGTTTGTCAAATGGCTTCACTGCAAAGCCAATGTAGGTATACGATTCTCAGACCACGCAGCCATCCAGGTCTGAACCCCGCGAGTACTGTATTAATGAAATTTACACTACCATATTTGCCAGGGAATTTCTAGAGACTGATCTTCATCTAGGAGACACCAGCTCGCTTTAAAATGATGTAGAGGAACAGCTGAAGGGGATAACTAGATGCAAGTCAAAATATGAGGGAGTTATTCTTGTTATGAAGGAAATCACCTGTGATCTGAGAATATTATTTTCTTGGTTTGGGTCTAGCCTTTGATACGTATCTAGGATCTATAGTGTCGAGGGCTAGTTCAGCTTCCCCGAGCTTTCAAATATTGACAACTTCCATACATAGCACAGCCAATTGAAAGGACAGGAGACGAGAGGATTAGACAAAGTAGGAAAGAACCTGTGCTGAGTAAATTCGACCAGACATGAGCGGACTGGCTGGTTAAGACCAAAGACTTATACTTCCAATTAATACCAGATCCAGATAGAAATGTCATCCACCTTCCTTTTCGCGACAATGTAGGGTCCAACGTAGACCCTAAGCTCCATGAATATCTGCAGAAGTTCAAATATTTGCTCTACTCAATGATTTGTGCCTCTAGCGTGGACCCCCCGAATCGGGTGTCGGGGCAATGGACTACTGACTTCGACATGCCCATCATGATATCAGTATCGCGTCTATCACTTGAATCTAAGAAATCTTTTCTCTCGTATCATCATTTCTATATAAAATCTCCTATTTTGAGAATTAGCTTCTTGAATCTCGTTGGATTACCAAGTCTTAGCCATTTAGACCTATCAAAGGGCTTTACAGGACAAGATTCGCTTTGAACTAACTACAAAGATCTATCCAACTCTATTGCAAATCACGATGAAGCAGCGATCTTCACCCCGCTGGTCTCTATGCAAGGCCACCGCTTCGCTAGAACTAGTTGCTAGTACAGTATTTCTAGCAGTGCTCTTCAATTTCATCCAAGGCGCCAAAGCACAATCATACCCCAACTACTCCCCCGTGAGATATCAGCTCCTCCATACTTACGAAGGTCCCTCATTCTTCGACCAATTCAACTACTACTCCGACGACGATCCAACCAAAGGCTTCGTAACGTATAACCCCCTCTCCATCTAATCTACCATCACCAACTAATACTACTACCTCTCCTAGATACGTCAACAAAAACACCGCCCATGCCCTCAACCTCACCTCCACAACCTCCACAACAGCCACCCTCCGCGTAGACGCATCAACCCCAAGCCCTTCCGGCGGCCGCAACTCCGTCCGCGTCGAGTCAAATAATACATACGACTCGGGCCTTTTCATCTTCGACATCGTCCACACACCCTACGGATGCGGGACATGGCCGGCACTCTGGTTAACGGATGGTGCTAATTGGCCGAAAAATGGGGAGATTGATGTCCTCGAGTCTCATAATCATGGCTCGCATGGTAATGAGATGTCCTTGCATACTACGCCCGGTTGTAGTATGGGTGGGGAGCGGAGGCAGGTCGGGTCTGCGGTGGAGAGTAATTGTGATGTTGGGGTTGGTGGGAATGCGGGCTGTGCTGTTATGGGGTATCGGTCGACTTATGGAGTTGGTTTTAACGCTGGGGGTGGTGGGGTAAGTCTAAGTTTACCTGGATGATCATGGTTTGAAATTATTTTGTTAAATGTTAAGTGCTGATCTCGGAGACTGCAGGTGTACTCGTTGGAAATTCGCGACGCAGGCATCCGGATATGGAACTTCCCGCGTTCCTCAATTCCAGCAGATATCCACAATGGATCTCCAGATCCTTCGACCTGGAACACACCGTTGGCCGATTTCCCCAGTACCAACTGCGATATCGCGTCGCATTTCCGCAACCTGAACATCGTTGCTAATATTGATCTCTGTGGGGAGTTTGCGGCCATGTCATCCCACTATACTCAGATGTATAGTTGTCCGGGATCGTGCTCGGATTTTGTGGCAAATAATCCGTCCAACTTTGCGGATGCTTATTGGGAGTTTGGGGGGATCAGGGTTTATAGGGCTTCTTAAGAGGTGAAGCTGAGTATTAGATTCGGTGGGAATTGGAGGAGGGCTAGTTGCTTGTTGCTGTACTTCTGCGGGCTTGCACGTTTGGCTATATCGCCCGATCTTCTTTTGGATCTGATTGTTAAAAGAGAGGTGGGACTCTCACGAATTGATTGAATACTCAGTAGTCAATGGGTATCTTAACATGTAACCATACGTTCAAAGCACAAGTTTGATCCTAGAAAGAGACTGCCTCGAGAGACACTCGTGCAGAACTACAGTGGACCCTGTGTGAAATTCCCTGGAGGCCATCAAATAGGCTCGCTGTCATCACCAAACACCAAGCCTCCAAAAGAAATCATATCGTCATTAAGGGTCATGTACTTACAGCTGCCGCAGCAGACTGCCTTCCACAAAGGGGTTGTCGACCGATATATCGAGCAGCGGACGGGTCGCATTGCGGTCACCCGTGGCAACACCATGTCCCCCAACTCCCCTGCTCTGCCCCTGGTGGCTGCTCATGTTGCGGCTCGACACCGCCAACAGACTATTCGCCACGAATGGATTATTCGGCGAGGTCGGGCTGGCCCCCGCGGAGCTAGCACCTGGGTACTGAACCGGCGGCGAGACCTGTCGCCCGCTCCGCATGGTATGCGAGCGGTAGCGAGTCTGCTGGGGAACTTCGCCAGGGGGTCGTCGCCAGGATGTGGCTGGGGGAACGTTCACCATGCCAGGGGCTAATTCAGGACCAGTGGCTGCATCGATCAGCTGCCGCCCTGGTTCAACGGTGACACCACGACCTTTGCGAGAGTGCTGCGGTGGCTCCACAAATACCGGCGTCAGGTCCACTAACGGCTTCTGGGTCTGATTGAGGGACAAGGTACGGCCCAGATGCGCAGCCGCATCAGCTTGAGTGAGTGTATTCGTCCGGCTGCTCGATTGAGCAGTTGGAGAATACACGGGACTTGTTGCAACTAGGCCCTGAGAAAATGGATCCTGGTTCGCTCGCTTCTCTCTCTCCTCTCGCTCACGCATCGCCTGCTGTCGCTGGGTATACATTCTACCCAAGAGGCCTGAAGAGGTAAAGACAGCGTCCGACGTGTCTTCAGTGGGGGACCAATCCTGGCGTGTACGTGTCTGATATTGACTCGTATTGGTGTCGATGGCGAGGTTCTTTGGGAACGAGCTTGGGGGTGGCCTATGCTCGCGAGTGGTCTTTCTCCGAGGGACGGACATTTCCTTTCGGGCATGTTCAACAGAGCGGCGCGTAGGCTCTGGCTCGCTGTTCTGGCGGTCCAACCGAGGTATATCAGAAGATATGCCTCGGGTTTGGGGGATTGTCCTCGTCACGGATTGCACCAGCGAAGCCTTGCGATCTGTCTCCTCGGCACCTTTCACTGGATTCGCAGCACCCACTTTGTTCACGAGATACCAGCTTCGCCAGCTCTGAACAACTTTGTACCACTTGTCTGCAACGGCGCGGTCATTGGTGCTGAAGAAGTGCACAAAGTTGTCCGTTGAGAGGAACATGGACGATTTTTGTTGACTTTTAATTGCGAGGCAGATCTTCTTAGGAGGTTTGATTTCCTTAGCAGATGATCGGGCGCTAGGGGAGTAAATGTCAAAGTCCGATAAGTGACAGATGTTCGTGGCATCTTTCGAGTTCTCCTTCTTGGAGATTGTCACCTGCCCATCAGGGCGAAGAGTAACGTATCGCTTATCCCACTTGCGAGGTCGATGGGAATAGTGGCAGTAGACTGTGGTCTCTGTAGGTTTCTCGGCAGGAACACTTTGCGCTTCAAGCTGGGCGATGGCCTCCATGCTTGAAGGCGGTACGATAATGAGACTGCCATCGGTATCTAGCGCCCAGGAGTTCATGACATCTCGGATACGCTCATACTGGCGCAGCGGCCGCTCCAGCCCGATCTGTTGGAAGAACTCGATCACAATGAAGGTATCGGGTTCGATGTCACGAGAAATCTTTGCAGCGGCAGATTGGAGCAGACTATGCACCTGAGTGAAAGGAGTCACAGGCAACTGTGCGCTGGCATCCCCATACTTCACAAGGACTAAACGCTCGCCTGCATTAACAGCAGAGACCGGCGCATCAATGCCCGGTACAATTCCACCACCTCCAATGCCGATGTAATTAGGCTTCGCTGATGCCGAGCTGGAAGTTTCCTTGAGGTGGTCTTGGGACGGTTTCGCTTTGGACAAGCCGACCTTTTGTAGAAGGGATTTGCGGTTGCTATCAGTGGAGGAGGGTGGGACATCCACCTTGGGTCGGCCTGACTGGATAGGCCGCGATGATGTCGTCGTGGGTTGATCTTTGTGATGCGCCTTCCCTGATGTAGCACCCCGCGCTTCCTTCTCAGTCCGCGATGAGGCTACTCGAACAGGAGCATCGCCTGTCAACTGCGCCATCGTATTTTTTCTGTGTTTTTCTCTTGCCCGCCCTTCCTCCGACCCCAGCGCTGGCTTGGCACTGCTTGGCAGGGCAGGTGCACACTGAGCTTTTACGTGGTCTGGCAACGCAGGCGTAGGAGGGGTCCCTGAAGCTGCCGACGCGTCGGTATGTGCAGAAGGTCGATTACGCCGGTATCGAGACATACTCCTGGCGATCGAGGGATTCTGCTGGTTTGCGCCATGTCCACCAGCGCTGGCGGAGTGCGCATTCATTTCAGTCTTGTCTTTGTCGTCGCGGTGTCGTTCCATCGTTCGATCTTGCGACGAATAATACGGGCGGCTTTTCGAGGACACCTGCTGCTCTGACGAATCCTCCGTGTACTTTGACATGTCTGTCGAGAAAAGCAAGGGAGTGAGATCGTATGTCGCATACAACCCAGGACTTGATTCACGATTCCAGACTCCAGGGTTAAATCCTTATCGCTTTGCGCTCTGCGATCGCAAGTCACATTCTGGGATAAGACTAAAGACTACTGGTGTCAGTGCGCACTCTCAGGAAAGATGCAACAATCACCACCCACTTGTGCGCAGTTCAGAAATGGAAATCAGAGGATTGAGCGACAGGGCGGGGGCCTGTCACTTTGTGCAAAGGAACAGCGAGGGAAAAGCAAAGGGAGAAGGAGTGGGTATGCGCAAGGGCGCCACGGTATGAGGCTGGAGTCGAATGCGACAGCTTCGACCACAGGACCACAGATCTCTGGCCAACGGACACCGTGGTGCGCAGCGGATATGTTCTTCCTTGGAGGAAAAATGCGCGTGCCGATCACACAAAAGCAGGCTGGGGTTGGGCTGGGTGTGGTAAACGGACGCGTGGGCGCGTCTGTGGCGCGAGATCCAACCAATTACACTTACCAAAGTACCAGTCGGAGTGCGTGGATGCGGAAATTGAGAGTGCGCAAGCTGAACGTGGGTGATTGGGCACAGTTTAAAGATTCGAAGGAGAAAATGAGCTGGCCCAGGAAGTGGTTTCCGAGGGACATTCTCCAGCAAGACGGCTGATCGGCGGAGACTATTGGCAATATTTACTTGCGCCCAACTTGCATTTTCTGAAACTCTACTCCGACGACGATAATCTTGGTCCCCTGAACCTAGGGACTAGGCAGGACTAGTGCTGTCGCACAAAGCCTTGGTTTTGAGAAACATTGGACGATACTCGACTTGATGGGGAAGATCTGGTCCCCCCAAGGGCTCCACTACAGCTGACTGATCCGCAGTGGACGCTCAGGAACCCGAGGTCCACTTCCATTGCAGGCTAGGGAATCAGGGATACGAGAATGAGCCTATCCTCGTCAATGGCCCGTCATGAGGAGCCCCCTCTCTGCTCCATCCAACGGGTGCGCCAAAATGAGACGATCTCTGAGCTCTCATTGTGCCTGCAAGTGTCGTGCAATGACCGCTTCGCTGGCTGCCAAGGGCTGCTCTGTCAAGCTCGTCACCTGGCCTTCTCCACTGTCACTGGTGCCATCTATCAATCAGTCAACAGAATTGATACAGCAGATTGACCATACGTTTGATCGCAGCCGTTGAACGCTGTCTGCAGAATTGCATATTTCAGGGCGAGATAGAAGTGTCAGCCCACGCCGACAGATTTAATGTAGGGAGACGTGTACCATCTTGCCTCAGAATGTCTCATGACGAGCCCAGAGGTTCTTGGACAGCGGAAACAATGCATACATGATATTGCTAGAGCGATCGGCCTCACGGTATTCAATTCTCGATCAAAGGATCAAAGCCTACCAATTCCCAATACACCAGCTTCCAGCGCGAGGAGTCCTGGAGTTGATGCCGATACGAGTGATTGACGGATTGGTAAAATCATAGACGGGATATATTCATCCTGGACAGACGGTATTCGATTTCTTGTTTTCTCTATTTGGATTGGGACCACAGGGTCCAGAACTAGATTCTACGTCTGTAGCTGCGAAGCTTGTATATCGCATGAACTCCGTCGCCCGAATTGATGATCTCCCTCAGACTTCAGTGTCTGAATGCGCCCAATTCCCTCCGCCTGAAACAAGCAAAAATTAGCATGGACCTTAAGAAAGAACGAGAGATATTCTAATCAATCATCCCACTCACCACCAGGCAATAAAGTCCATAGTCCGCACATCAATGCCCAAATCCACCAGTGCCTTGGTGGACAGATGTGTATCGTAGGGTCGCTGCACACCTCCCGGTTCATTACCCTGCTTGTTGCGAATCATTCCAGGCAGGGACCAGCCCTGCACCTCGGCCAGCTTCTCACAGATTTCATACTTGGTCATGCGGTCCTCGGAGCTGAATTGCAAAATGTGCGGTAACTCCTTGATTTGGTCCTTCTGCTTCAGGTACTTGATGACGATATCGCGGACGACGCGGGCCACATCTTCCGTGTTGGTGGGATAACGCTGTGCCCAATCGTCCATCTTCACGCCGGCATTCTCATCCTGCGCTTTCTTGATGGCGTCGAATAGGACGTTGATCGCACTTTCTGAGTTTTCCTTCGCGGTGCCGTACAGCACCGGTACGCGAAGCACCACGCCGAGTCCCGAGTCCTTGGTGGCTTCTAGGACGGCCAATTCGCCATCGCGCTTCAATTGGCCGTAGATATTTGGCGGCTCGGTTTTGGCGTCGGCTTCGTAGGGTGCTTCGCCCTCCTTTCCGGAGAAAACGTAGTCAGTGGAAATGTAGACGAGGAATGCCCCGCGAGTCTGGCATTCTTCAGCCAGAGCCCGAGTGGCCTCGACATTGACCTTGCGTGCTTGCTCGGGGTTCTTCTCGCACAAATCTGGGGATCGAATTGCTGCGCCTAGATATCTCCCGTATTAGTCTGAGCTTGGGAAGCGATGGATTGTGTGGTCTAGAGGGGGTCGGATGGGTAGCTCACTGTGAATGACAATCTGAGGCCTATAACGAGCAAATCACGATCAGCAAATGGAATTGTTCACTAGCGAGAAGCTTAGGCTCGGGTACTTACTTGACTTCATTCAGCAGAGCCTTGATATCCTCTGGCTTTTCCAAGTCCGCTTTGAGAATGGTTGGAGGGGCAGCACGAGTGAATCCCTGCCCAACTACCAGGACTCCCGAGCGCTGGAAGGTGGTAAATAGCTGGCGCCCAAGAAGGCCAGTGGCTCCAGTGACTAGAACCGTGGAAGTCATTTTTTTGGGAATGCGAAGAGAAGAGTGAAAGCTCTCTGGTGAGAATTTGAAGCTCCCCGCTTGTAAGGGCCTGGCGGGGCCTGGCATGACGTAACTGACTCTCGCGTGGTCAAGGTTTCCTGGTTCAACAGGGAGGAATTTTGTCTATTGATTAGATATTTACTCGGTTCCAGTTCTTATTGGAGTTAATCGAGCTAATTATGCGAATTCAAGCGTGACATGATCTCTCGTCTTTGGTGTTCCAAGAGAATGTGGTCTCACCCACGATATATTCTCACACCAACGATTAGCCTAATTTAAGGTTGAAAGCTCGACTACCAAGACCCAATCCGTCCCACTGGTTGTCCGTGAAGATCTCTAAGAAAACTGGAGAAATAAAGAGATTTGTCAATTGTTATTGTGCCTCTTTATTGATATCACCCTAGATAATCCAAATTGATGCAGACCTCTCTAGCTGCCTGAACGTTCGCCTGAAGACGGCGCAAGAATTGACCAAGGTTTGATCAGGGCGCCCACGAAGAAGTGAGTTTTCCTCATTTTAAGATACTAAAACCAGCTCGCTAGAATACAATTGGTACTCGATTAAGTCAATTACAAAGTGCTCGCAGGGGTTGGGAAACTGCGAATAATGATAGCGCCGAGAATCACCGAGGAGGCCATCGGAGAAAAATCCGAGTGCACGCAATGGCGCGATGGTCCTCCATCGGGGGGAGATCGGAGGGCGGGATCTCCACTCTTCAATTGACCGGTGTAATCCACCCCCAAAATTCATCTTTTTGCTCATTCTTGCTCATTCTAACACCTGTCTCCTCCCCCTCTCCTCTCCACGCCATGTCTGGTGCTCGGAATCTCTCAAATGCCCTGCGGCGGGCACGAGTGCCTCGCCCTCGCATCGTCGTCCGGCCAGCCCTCCTTCAATCTCCAGCTACGACTGCTATCCGCACCTTCACCGTGAGCTCCACCGCTCGTGCCGACAGGCAAATCAAGTATACTAGCGACGCATACCCCAATGTCAAGCGCGACCCCAATTTTGGAGAGCTCACCGCCGACGACGTGGCTTTCTTCAAGGAGCTCTTGGGCTCCCAGTCCGCCGTGGTGGATGGCGTGACCACCGATGCGACGGACGACATTGAGCCCTTCAACAGCGACTGGATGCGCAAGTACCGCGGTCACACACGTCTGGTCCTGAAGCCTCAGAGCACGGAGGAGGTCAGCAAGGTGCTGAAATACTGTAATGACCGGAAATTGGCGGTTGTACCCCAAGGTGGAAACACTGGTCTGGTTGGTGGCTCGGTTCCTGTCTTCGACGAGATCGTGATCAACACCTCGCGGATGAACCAAATCCGTTCCTTTGACGAGGCTTCCGGCGTGCTAGTCGCCGATGCCGGTGTGATTCTCGAGGTCGCAGACCAGTACCTTGCAGAGCGCAACCACTTGTTCCCTCTGGACCTGGGGGCCAAGGGATCTTGCCACATCGGAGGAAACGTCGCGACCAACGCCGGTGGCCTGCGACTGTTGCGCTATGGTTCTCTTCACGGAAACGTGCTGGGTCTTGAGGCAGTCCTGCCGGACGGGACTATCGTGGACTCGCTCTCTACTCTGCGGAAAAACAACACGGGTTACGACCTGAAGCAACTTTTCATCGGCGCTGAGGGAACTATTGGTCTGATTACCAAGGTCGCTATTATCTGTCCCCCGCGACCCAAGGCTGTGAACGTCGCCTACTTCGGATTGGAGAGCTTCGAACAGGTGCAGCGTGCCTACCGGGAGGCCAAGGGCCAACTTTCGGAGATTCTCTCCGCATTCGAGCTGATGGATGGCCGTAGCCAGCGCTTGGTACACGAGTCTACCGGTAACAAGTACCCCCTGGAGGGCGAGTACCCCTTCTACTGTCTGGTGGAGACCAGCGGTTCTAATGCGGAGCACGACATGGAGAAGCTCGAGTCGTTCCTCGAGCACGTTCTGGGTGAGGGAATTGTTGCAGATGGTGTCTTGGCTCAGGACGAGACGCAATTCCAGGCCATCTGGCGCTGGCGTGAGGGTATCACCGAGGCTCTGAGCCACCTGGGTGGCACCTATAAATACGATGTGTCGATTCCTCTGTCTGAGCTGTACCAGCTTGTGGAGGACTGCAAGCAGCGGCTGACCGAGAAGGGATTCGTGGGCGACGACGACTCCTTCCCCGTTCGCGCAGTTGTCGGCTACGGCCACATGGGTGACTCTAACCTGCACCTGAACGTGGCTGTGCGCCAGTATAACAAGGAGGTTGAGAAGGCCATTGAGCCTTGGGTGTACGAGTGGATTCAGAAGCGCCAGGGCAGTATCAGTGCTGAGCACGGTTTGGGTATTGCCAAGCGGGAGTTCATTGGATACAGCCAGAACGAGACTATGGTTAAGCTGATGAAGCAGCTGAAGGCGCTCTACGATCCGGTGAGTATTCTCCATCCCTTATTCAAGACTACGATATAAGAGCCTTGCTGATGTTCTATTAGAACGGCATTATGAACCCGTACAAGTACATCTAGGGATGACCCGATAGAGTTGCATGGGGGTTAACCGTGTATAAAAAATTATATCCTTTTCCATTTGCTCAGTTTATTGCGTATTATTTACCTCCCACTTGCATATCTCTCCATGTGACGCAGTTCCATCCCGTGACTGGGGGTTCCTTGCATTTAGACCATTCCCGATCTGGTTAGCCCTCTTCCCCACTTTCCTGCCTCAGGCACAACGGTTGCCATGCGAAACGAAGCTGTTGTTTGGACGATTATCGTTAGCTCAATTCGATGCTCCACCCCTTTACCTGCCCGACTCTTCCTCTCTTTTTGAACTCTCGTTGCCGCCGCGGAACTTCGAGCTTTCTTCCATACGGCTTATTGCTGACCCCAAAGCTCTCCAGTTTTCGCCTCCCCTGGATGAGCCCCGTCATATCTGTCCCAGCCCTGTTCGACCGGATTCGTTAGTTGGGTCCGATCATTTGCGCAACCATGGCGGACGATATGGCGAACCGTTACCAGGTGATGGAGGAATTGGGAAGTGAGTCGGAATTCTGACCCTGGACACACTGCACATGATGCGCTAACGGGATTGTCTCCTTTCTTTGTTCGCAGGTGGGAGTTTTGGCACCGTTTACAAGGCCATTGATAAACACACGGGCGAGATTGTCGCTGTCAAACATGTACGCTCCCGATTAGCCCGAAGTCGCCGATTGACCCCTCGATTGACCTGATACTACCCCTATAGATCGACCTCGAGTCCAGTGAAGATGATATCCAGGAAATCCAACAAGAGATTTCCGTCCTGGCCACCTGTGCCAGTGCCTTCGTTACACAATACAAAGCTAGCTTCTTGAAGGGGCATAAGCTTTGGATTGTGATGGAATATTTGGGCGGTGGATCATGCTTGGATTTGGTAAGTGGGATATCCCTGCTATGCGCTCGGCTGAACCTCAATTGCTAACAATCTCGCAGTTGAAACCAGGAGTCTTTAACGAGGCGCACGTCGCAATTGTCTGTCAGCAGCTACTGCAAGGCCTCGAGTATCTACATGCCGAAGGAAAGATTCACCGTGATGTCAAGGCCGCGAACGTCTTGCTGTCGAATACAGGAAAAGTGAAGCTGGCCGACTTCGGTGTCGCTGCGCAGCTGGTCAACATCAAGTCTCAACGCAACACCTTCGTAGGAACACCGTTCTGGATGGCGCCGGAAGTAATTCAGCAGGCTGGTTACGATTTCAAGGCGGATATCTGGTCTCTGGGTATTACCGCGATCGAGATGATCAATGGCGAGCCACCGCACGCCAGCACGCATCCCATGAAGGTCCTGTTCCTCATTCCCAAGCAGCCCGCGCCTCGCCTCGAGGGCAATGACTACAGCAATACCTTCAAGGACTTTGTTGCGCAATGCTTGACCAAAGACCCGGATCGCCGACCCAGCGCAAAGGAGTTGCTGCGACACAAGTTCATTCGCAATGCGGGAAAGACCGAGGCACTACAAGAATTGATTCAGCGCAAGCAAGAATGGGACGCTGGTCGAGGAGCCTCCAAAGACGTCAAATACTATGCGGAATCTCTGTAAGAAACCCAGCCCACACTCACACCGTGAAGTGACTAACAATTAATCTCTAGCAATACCCTCACCAAGCCACCTCCTCCCGAGGACGACGAGGACTGGGTGTTTGATACCGTGAAAGCGCCAACAATGTGGGTGCCCAAGGGCAAGGACTGGACTACGCTGGATGAGGAGGATGACGATTGTGATCCGGCCGAGCTGTTGCAAGATATGCATATTTCTCAACAACCCCCAGCACCTCCTAAGCACCAGGTCAATCCGGCTGTCCAAGCCAACTCGACTGTCCGACGTACGCCGAACGTCGAGCGATCTGCTGAGCGGTCCCCTTCCATCCGGCGTGCCAACACAAAGCGCCGGTCTAGTGGTGTGAAGCAGCCTCTGGGTCTGGATTTGAGCTTTGGCAATAGCCCTTCCACTGTTCGCCAATTCCGTCGGGTATCAGACAATGTCCCGAACGAATCCACGACTCCCAAGGTTCCACCCGGTTTCGATGAGAACGCCAGCCCCAAGCCTCTCTCCTCGTCTGAATCGACTAGCAAAGAGGCTCAATTGGGACGACGTGCATACAGCAGAGCCATCGGTATGTCCTGCCAGGAGGTCCTTGCTAATACTGGCGACGGCGAGAAGCGAGAGGCGATCTCCCGACTGGCCGAGGCCTGGAGCGATCTGGAGATGGTGGATCCAGAGGGTCTCTGCCACATCATCCGAACCATGAATGAGCGACTCCAAGCCGATCCCCGCCTCTCCTCCTTGATCCCCGCAGCCCCCGCCCAGCCTGACTCCCCATCCCGCCCTCGCCTGGTGCTCGCACAAAACAACCCACACCTCAAGAGCCACCGTCGCCGACAGTCGACGCATGGGGTTGACCCACTTCCCCAGTCTCCACCTCGCTCAAGCATGCCCGGTCAAAATGTACCTGGTATGGAACACACCAAACAACTTTCGGACGTCCTCTACCAGCGTTGGGCAGAGGGACTCCGCAACCGATGGGGAATCTGAAAACAAACCCTAGCTTTCTTTTCACAACGCACCTGTTCCACCCCTACCGTGTCTTTCACCTCCATTGCTCCGATGAGCCTTGTTTACATTCGTTGTATAGACCATTTTGGCGTTTTTGATCTGTTTGTATAACCCCCCTTGCGATCGTTTCTTTTTCCGAGCTTGCCGCTGGCTTTGCATCCTTGGTGTCCGTTCATTGCCCCTTTTGAATAACCCCCGCTTTTTTTTTTGATCTCTCAGCGGGATTGGCCTGGAGTTTTCTTGTATGACCATGATCTGGTGTAATATTGTCTTGAGTTTTATTGTCATGTTCGGTTATTCCTTGTTTACTTTTTTCTCTTCTTGCACTCCCGACGGAATTGTGTGCAGGGTCTGGTGCTTTACCAGGTACCCTTGTGTTTATTTTGCTCTTCTTCATATACATAGATCGCTCTCGCTTTCTGCGGTTGTCATTTACGTGTATTATTCTCGTTGGGTTTCGAGTTCCGCGCCCCCCTGCGTCTGTTGGTCTGTGTTCTGAGTAAGGGGTGCCTCGGCGAGTGATTTGTTTCTAAGATCTCTGTGAGAGTTTGTAGACCTTGCAATATATTATCCAAGTGGACTTTCTTCTACTATTGTTGAATCGAGGGATTTGATTGAGGTTGGCATAAGCTTTCTACGGCATGCTTTCTCTATGTACTCCTTGTCCATCGTTTATTTGGTGCAGTGCTAGAACTCTATCTACCGACTCCCAGTAAGGACGTGAACTGTTTCACTGTGGTATTTCACACTTCTATCATATGACAGACTTTCTTCTTCATGTTTACAATTGATTGTTTGTGTATAGACGCCCAGGAAATGCTCGGTCGACGGTGGTGTTCATCCATTGGAGGTTTATATTCGGAGCGACATAGTTACATCCAGATTCCAAATTGTAAGAAGTGGAAGTAGAAGGTATATCGATCAGACAAGATATTTGCTGTTCTCCCCAGGAAGGTCCCATGTGAGTGAAAGTGCGGTTAGATATGATTAGTGCATGTTTATCTCGCTCCTTCCCCACGGGCTATGTCGGGGGATATCATACAGCCCACGAGAATGATTTCCCAAAATTAAGACACACACAAAAACCCCTTCTATGACCATGAATCGAATCTTCGCCTCTCCTTCCCTATATAAACATCCCTCGCGACACCAAGATACTTCCCCTGGATACTCACACCCAACAATGCTCACATTTATATACTTACTAACACACTTAATACATCCCTTAAAAAGGCCTACAGTAAAGTCCCTGAAAAACATAAGGTAATCCTCCGCACGTTCTTGCTCTGCTCGACCGGGCTCCACCGATTGCTTCGTCACCCGCACCCGGCAGAACAGGCCTGCGTTTGTACATTTCTACCACTAGACCACTGGCGCGCCGGGCGGAGGATTACGAGGAACGACTGGAACTGGGTTATAAGCTGTGTTTGCCTTTGAACTTAGGACAGGAACTGCTTCATTATTGAGCTTCTGGAGACTTTGGAGGGGCCCATTCAAAATCTTCTTATCTGTTAGACGAAGGGTCCCTTGAAGAGATGTCGTAGTTTAAGGGGACTCATGCAGTATAATCCTTTACTTGGCATCTTGGTGGTTTCCTTGGGTCTTTCAGATCGTGAACTAGCGAGAGTCTCTACTACCTAGCATATGCCGTGCACTCTATACTTTGCAATCCCATTCAGGCGAGTTTATTATGCCTGACTATGCTGGTCTACCCGTCAAAGTGGATCTCCTACTTGGCGTCGAGTCCAGGCTTCCTTCCGACGACGATGATTAGCTGCCCACCGTCGAACGACCCACGCGGCTGGTGGGGGAAATGGACCAGACACGAATGTTATCACGGGAGCGAAGTGCTGGTGTTGATGTTGATGTTGATGTTCATGGGCTGTACTCGTCTGTGATATAGTTGACTGTCTATCTGGCGTGGTCGGAGATTAAACTGCTCGTAGGTGATTCGCGGCTGCGGTCACATGAGTACTGTACAAGTTGACGCAGGGACAGTCAGACGCCGATCACTACACCAGTCCGGGTCACCAAAGGACGAAGCTCCAGAAGGAATGGATCTGGACCGAACCGAGGGGGGAGAGTACTCCGTAAGACGGAGGATGGAGTAGGCAAATGACCAAGTACTCTAGCTGGAAGATATTCTTAGCTCTACGGAGTCTAGTATACGGAGTACAGTAAATGAGAATGGAGCCCCGGAGATTGACAATCCTCAGAATGGCCATAGTTAAGCACTTCGCCAAGTGGAACGAATGCCTCGGGCCCCTGAAACACTCGTGGCAACGATGCGCGGACGTGGAGACCCGCCAAATTAGGCCCGCGATCCACTTGACTGGCCAAGTCCGCTCTCCTCAGGAGAAAAAGGAACCCTCTCTCTCTCTCTCCTCCTCCACATCAACCTCTCTTCTCTCTTCTATTTTCCTTCTCTTCCCTCCAATTCCCTCCCAGTCTTGTACATTAATCTTTTTTTCTTCATGTTCGATCTTGTCTAGACTCTGTGAATACTCTCTCCCCTTTCTCTCGCTCTCGTTGGCTGGTCCACCATGGAGCTCTCCCCGGGAACGGGTGACACCCTCACCCACGGTCCTCATCCGCATGCGTCCCCAACTTCGATGGCCGCGACCACGGCGGCCACGGCCGTCGACTCTCCAACCCAACCGGATCCTTCCTCTCAGAAACCATCCCTCTCCCGATCAGCCTCTCTTTTGCAACAGAAGCGGTCATCGCTCCCACCTCGTGCTCACGCCGGAGCTCGCCACGCGAAACGCTTAACCCTAAACTTCCCCATCAACATCCCGCTGGACCAGCTTTCAGCTGCAACTACCGCAGAACCCACCGTCTCTTCCCCAGGATCCATGACCCCCGTGACACCGTCATCGACTCGGCTATCCCCCGCACTCCCCGCGGGGACTCCCATGCCCTTCGATGTCGAAGACGACGGCTACGATTTCCTCCGCGCCATTGCCTCGCAAGAACGGAAGGTATTGGAGCTTCGAGAGGAGCTGCACCGGGCCGAGACGGAATTGTCGACGTTGAAGAAACAGTGGGCACAATCGGAAAGGACCAGGAAACGGACTGAAATCAGCCTTCATGCTGAACCGCTACTACCGCTGCGGACTGCCGATCTCAACGCTCCCGATGCATCAAGTTCCCATCGTCGGGAGCAGAGCCTGAGTTCGGTGGCAAGCTCGTCAGTGTCACAAGAGCGAGTCAGTCGGGAGCTCGACAGACGCTCCAGTGTGCGTGTGGCGCCTGTGGCGCCTCCCAAGGGAAGCACTATTTCGGCCAACGGTCGGCGGGTGTTTCAGGGGTCTCACACCCGGACGCTCTCTCTGCTGTCCCCGATCACCGCACCCAGTCCGCCTAGCGGTGGAGCTAGCCCGTCTGATAGTGATCGTGTAGGTCGCACCCCTCGGTCAGCGACGTTGCCATCGGTGGAGCGTGGGAATGTGTCTAGTATTGGGGATCCCATGGATGAGAGCCAGGTCCCAGACCATGTACTGGCTCAGTGGCGAAAGAACATGCCTCCTCCATCAAGGGAGGCCCTGATGCGTACGGGCAAGCAGATGGCTTCGGATCTACGCGAAGGCTTGTGGACATTCTTTGAAGATATTCGACAGGCTACAGTCGGCGAGGAAGGTATCAACGCGACAGAGTCACGCACCACGTCTCAATCAAACGGTTCATTGGCGCCCTCCGCCGCACGCAAGCGAGACTCGTTGGCGAAATCACGGAGTCGAGAGCGACTATCCGCTACGGGAACTGTCTCACGATCGTCGTCGTCATCGTCGGCACGGGGCAGGGGGACAGCGGCCGAGAAAACATCTGGTAAAGACACCAAATCGGCAAACATTTCTACGTCTTTCTGGGATGAATTCGGGGTTGATTCACCAGCGCAGACGTCCCCCCGCCCCGGCGCTCATCGCAGCCCCTCCGACAACACCATCGCCGCCACGACCCCACGGGACAAGACCGACTCCGGGCCTCCCGATCACCGCTCCACCAGTCAAGTCGAAACGGATGATGATACCGTCGATAACTGGGATATGTGGGATACGCCGCTGCCCGCGTCCAAGATGACGCACACACCCTCGTCGAGCCGGTCAACGGTGGAATCCTCAAAACTTGATCAATCACCCAATACACAAGGCAGCAGCCCCCGAACGAGTGCTAGGTACCATTCGACCTTTTCTGATTTCATCTATGACAACCTCGTTATGCGCTGACGCCCGCTCCCCCTAGCTTTAGCGAGTGGAACCCGAGTTCTGCCGCGCCCGATCCCAGCGTCACCGAAGGCATTCCCTGGCCGACCATCACCAAGCTGGCCCCCTCGAAACTCCAGCGTACCGCCTCGAATCTCATGGCCGAGTGGGAACGTAGTCTTTCGCCATCCCCATCTCCCGAACGGAAGGACTCTTCCGGATACAATCGTGGCAAAAACGACAAAAAGGACTAAGAGATTCTCTTGTTCTTTCTCTATCTTTCTTCGTTGTATATACTTACCCCATTTTCCTTCTCCGGCTCTCCCATTGAGAGTCTCCGTTGGACGAATTGGCACGACACACATCCCCCCATCCACGGACTTATGCTGAGTTACGACTTGTTTTAACGCACGAGAGCGTTGGTTTTTTCTTTCAGTTGCTTATATTTGGGATATTTGGCAGTATTTCGGTTTCAGTTTCATCGCTTTGCACGCTTGGTTCGGGGATTTTTTCGATACTGGTATCTAGAATAACCCATAGCCGTGCCGAAACAAGACCAATGTAAGGAATACTTGATGTCTGTTTTCTTGGTTCTCTGCGCCGTAGAGTTGCGTCCTGTAGTGCCCAATACGAACCTGAATGATTTCCCATGCCTGTGGATTATCTAGAGCGGATCACGTGCAGAACTGCGTAACTGGTCTTCCTTGGCCACCGTAAAAATAAATTTGCGCGAGTCGCCGCCTCCGCAAGATCTCCGCGCCTCTCGGGACCAGACTTTTGTTCCAGTCGCATCCACGCAGAGGACCTCATACCCACATCTCTCTCTACTTTGTCTGCGCAGCATTCTTTTCAGACAGTCCTCCAATTTACTTTCTTTCCCCCTCCCTCGCCCGAATCCTCATTTAATCTTCACTACCATCCACGATGAGTATTCCTGGAATGTCCCAAGGCCTGGGGGCCCTCGGAAACAACCAAACGGCCGGCATGAGCGAGCAAGAACAGGCTATGGTTAAGATGGTATGCCCTCTCACCCCATTCTAGAGGTATATGATTTGATTAATTAACCCTCCTCCGCCAATAGATGCAAGCTGGTATGGAGTCATGCCCCGTCAAAACCGTCATCTCCGGTACAATGGGTTTCGCACTCGGTGGTGCCTTCGGTCTCTTCATGGCCAGTGTATGTCCAACCCTCGATTTCCTCCTCATCCAAACAACCATATCTCTAACCCTCCAATCCGACAGATGTCCTACGACTCCCCCCTGACCCCACAAGGCCGCGAAATCGCCGACCTCCCCTGGCGCGAACAAGTCCGCCGCGGCTTCAAAGACATGGGCAAACGCTCCTTCTCCTCCGCCAAGAACTTCGGTATCGTCGGCGCCCTCTACTCCGGAACAGAATGCTGTATCGAGGGTCTCCGCGCAAAGAACGACTTGACCAACAGTGTTGCTGCGGGGTGTTTGACTGGTGGTATTTTGGGCGCGAAGGCCGGTCCCCAGGCTGCTGCTTTTGGGTGTGCGGGCTTTGCGGCGTTTAGTGCTGCTATTGATGCTTATATGCGTATGCCTTCGGAGGAGTAGAGCTATCCTTGCTTTTCTCTGTGGGGATACTCTGGCTCATTGTGCTTTTTCTTTGGTTTGTATATTATCATGGCGCTTGGCGAATTTTGGGATAGATGGGAGCATAGAGGGCGTTTGATTTGTTTTTTCCCCTGGTTTTTAACCTGTATCATACTTACTCAAGGGACATGGGTTATGAAAACACATAGAGCTTTGAACAGACGCGGATAATCACTCTTCTCATTACTTGTTGGACATTTCTCTTGTTCTATGATAGAAGCCCAGCCAACGTGGCATATGGCAGGTGGCTAACTTGCGACTCCCAGTAATTTGGCTCTTGTATGGCAGAAATCTATGTCGGAATCTGTTCTGTATTCTCAAGATAGTTAGGGAAGGAAAGATACACGAATACCTTCTACTCCTCATACACACCCCGGGGAACTTTTAATCATTTTGAGAGTTGATATTAAGTTCTCCACAGATTTACTTATCATAAAGAACCACAAAAAAGCAGAAACAGAACGGTCAATAGCACTTCGTTGGTTTACTATAGACGGACCTGGCTCGTGGCAAAGATAGGATAAGTCAGCGCCCACGTGACCGCTTATCAAGGTTCCCCGTTTGGGCTGTTTGTTTACCGCCCGCCACTCCTCCTGGCTTTCATCTGTGGATGCGCGACTGCCATGCTTTTCGCCCTACACTAATTGCCTCTCGACAACCCCACGTCCACCATGCCTGGCAGAGTCGCCGCCCGTTCGACTTCAGCAGCGACCCGTAGGTCATCTGCACAACCGTCTACTGGACGCGCCCCCTCGGTGACTCCGTCCTTTGCGATTCCCGAAGAGCCCGCCCTCCCCTCATCATCGCCCAACCTCCGCCGAGATGTGTGTGCTATATTTGCAGATGCTCAACGATCAACCACTGGCCACCGCAAGCTCATGGTGCGCTTGCGCAAGCTACAGGAAATTTGCTGTGGCATTTATCAGAAGAACAAGAAGGGGACCGACCGAGAGCAGGAGGATATTGTGATACCCGAAGAGGCGACGGTCGCCGAGAAGGAATTCAATGTCGAGGTTGGCCGCTGTGTGCTGCGTATTCTTCCGATCAAAAAGTCAGAGCCTGTCGGTGAGCGCGTCCTGCGCTTCCTGGACACTTTTCTCGCCCATGCCTACGACAAGGATAATGAGCTTCTTCCATCCAAGAACGAGGAGGATGATGGAATGCAATCTGCGCCCGAGACCCCGACTTCACGCCTGACTTCGAGTCTCGTAGACTTGATTACGCCCGTTCTCGCCTCCAAGGACAAAGTGGTCCGATTCCGCGCGGCCCAGATTATCGCACACATCGTCAACACGCTCGAGTCAATCGACGATGAATTGTATCATACCATCCGACAGGGGATGCTGAAGCGAATTCGTGATAAGGAGTCATCAGTGCGCGTACAGGCTGTCATCGGCCTGGCACGGCTAACTGGAAACGAGGATGATGAGGACGGCCCCGACGACAACTCCACGGCACTACTGGAGAAATTGATCGAGATCATGCAAAATGATACAAGTGCGGACGTCCGCAAGAGCCTTCTATCGAATCTCCCGCTATCTCAAGTTACCCTTCCATACCTTTTGGAACGAGCCCGCGACCTCGACGCTGTAACACGACGAACATTATATTCGCGCCTTTTACCGACACTTGGTGATTTCCGTCATTTGTCCTTGGGCATGCGAGAGAAGCTGCTGCGCTGGGGCCTGCGTGACCGCGACGAAAGTGTTCGCAAAGCCACTGGCAAGTTGTTCTACGATCGCTGGGTCGAAGACTGTGCTGGTACCAACCAGGTCGAAAACGCGGGCCAACGATCTGCCCCCAATCAAAGCGCTCTCCTCGAACTGTTGGAGCGAATTGATGTCGTCAGCTCCGGTATTGAAAGCGGTATTGCCCACGAAGCAATGCGTAGCTTCTGGGAGGGCCGCCCCGACTATCGGGAAGCCGTTGTCTTCGATGAACCTTTCTGGGAGTCCTTGACCGGAGAGTCAGCATTCATGCTCCGTACATTCAACGAGTTCTGCCGTGTCTCGAACGAAGGAAAGTATGACGATCTCGCAGATGAGAAGATGCCCACAGTCACCGCACTGGCCTACTACCTCTCCAAGTACACCTCGGACTTGCTGCGGCGGAAGAAGCTTGGCAAGGGTACTGGTGATGCCAACGACGAAGACGCAACTGAGAACGAATTTATTGTGGAGCAGCTATTGTATATCGCAATTACTTTGGACTACAGTGATGAAGTGGGTCGTAGGAAGATGTTCTCCCTCCTGCGAGAGTCGCTTGCCGTCCCAGAACTGCCAGAAGAATGCACGAAACTTACAATCGAGGCTCTCCGATGCGTTTGCGGGCCAGACATTGCCGGCGAGAGCGAATTCTGCAGCGTGGTCCTCGAAGCTATCGCTGAAGTGCACGACACCATCAGCACCGAGGACAGCTTCGTGTCGGCCAAGTCGGAAATCAGTGACGATGCTAGCAGCCGCGCTCGATCTGAGACGCCTGCCACTGAAGATGAACGGCCGTTCAACAAGGAAGAAGCCAAGGCAAAGATTCTCCGGGAGATTGTGGTAAATATGAAGTGTCTCCACATTGCGCAGTGCATGCTTCAAAATGTTGAGGGTAACTTGCAACAAAACATGAACCTGCGTACCATGTTGAACAGCCTCGTCGTGCCCGCCGTGCGAAGCCACGAGGCTCCTATTCGGGAGCGAGGTCTATATTGCTTGGGTCTGTGCTGTCTCCTCGACAAGGTTTGTTTTATCTGACCTCTCTCCTTCTCGTAAATTTCGCCTGCTAATACGAAAAACTTTTAGAATGTCGCTGAGGACAACATGACTCTGTTCATCCATTGCTATAGCAAGGGCCACGAGGGCCTCCAGGTGACCGCCATTCACACCATCTGTGACATGATCACGACACATCCGTCGCTGCTCGCACCAGTCACGGAATCTGACGGAGAGACGGTGGCAACCCCCGCTATCCAGAAACCTATCTTGAAGGTGTTTTCTCGGGCTCTGAAGGCCAACTCTCCCGCTGCCGTGCAATCGGCCGCTGCTACTGCGCTTTCAAAGCTACTGCTCACAAACACCTTCACCCCGTCTGGACCGAACGTGCCGCCTGGTATCCAAGAATTCAATCAGAATGCCGTCGAGACACTCCTGCAGAGCCTCGTTGTTGCTTTCTTCCACCCACGCACTCGCGATAATCCTGCTCTTCGTCAGTCGCTCGCGTATTTCTTCCCTGTCTATTGCCATTCGCGACTGGAAAACACCCAGCATCTGCGACAGGTTGCTGTTCCAGTCGTCCGAGCAGTCATGAACGCCGCCGAGGAGTATTACTCGCTCGAGGCTGAAGAGGACAGTGACGGTGAGATTGACGAGAGTGTTGGCGAGCGTGAAGTCAAGGCCCTTATGACCGGCGTCATTGGCATGCTTGCTGAATGGACTGATGAACGCCGTGTGGTGGGACTGGGTGGCGAGCGTATTCTGGCTGGTGGTGCAGCTAGCTCCACCGCTTGCGGCTGGGTACACCTCGCACTGGTTAAGAACATTCTTGAACGAGTTCTGGGTGTGAGTGCTGGCACTAACCGTTGCTCCCGGGAAGAGCGCAAGCTCCTATTCTCTCTGCTCAGCAAGCTCTACATTGCGGCCCCCACGCTTCCCTCACGTGCTAGTTCTCGCGCTCCCGAGGGCGAAGATCAATTCCGCAGTAGTATTCGAAGCGCCACTGGTATCGAGATTGATCCCGACAATGTCCAATTGGCCCAAGAGGTCAAGGAATTGTTGGACCAGACCATTGACGAGGGCTTGGCTGGGGAAGCTTCCAGTCGCAATGCCCTGGTGAAAAGCAAGAACGCCATTCTCAAGATTCTTGCCGTTGCCCAGGACGCTCGCGCTGCCAGCGTTCGCCCGCGTGCTGGTACTGAGGATCTGGAAAGTGACGCTGGGAGCGTTCGATCCTTTAGTGTCCGTCGCTCTGTTGAGCCGAGCAGTCGCCGCCACATGTCTGTGGAACCTAGCATCATGGAGGAAGATGAAGGCGACAGCGGAATTCGCTCTGGTAGCGTGCGACCTACTGTTGAGGGCGGGTTTGCCACTCGGAATGTAGTCTCCATCGAGCCTAGCATCATGGAGGAAGATGAAGATGATGACCATGACACCAGCCGCGGCACCGTAATCAAGGAAGAGGTTGCCGATGAATGATGATTTTTCCTTTTTTTGGTCTAGGCTTTGTGGACTGGCTGGCGTTGGTCGTGTTTGAGGTTTGGAACTTGGAACATTTTGGCAGCCTGTGGGCTTCTTGATGAATTGGATTATCTGGCGCTTGCATAGGATGGGATGTTGATTCTTTCATTCTTCTTTTGAATATTATTCTTGAACATATGTTGTATAATCTTGGACCCTTGGAGTGTGCAGTCACATAGCTTTAGTAAGTTCTGGACAAGAGATGATTTGTGTCCATCAGAAGACCGTCTTCTCGTGGAAACTGGTCAGACAGAGGGATCCCCTCCTGCCTGATGATTTAGGTAACCATTCCTATTTGGCTTAGTTTACGGTAACTACTGTAGGAGTCTCGCTGGCCGTAAAAAAAGGTATACTAAATAATATAGGATACTCCTAACTTATACTACCCAACGCATCGAGAGACATTCCATTACATTCACAGATTTCAAGTAAATCAGCTTCTGGGACAGCACTCTGCCTTCGTCATTCCGCCCTAACCTCCTGCGTACGCAATTTGCCTTGCCAGCTGCTATTGCTTTCTTCATAACCGTAGATATAGGTTTTTGTGTTCTTTCGAGCTCTTTCGGAACCAAAGGGGTTCCGTGAATTTGAAGGATTAGATGAGAGCTTGAATGCGGAGCCTGAGAGGCTTCGTGAGTTGGCCACGTCGGAGGAACCCTTGGAAGACGTGAAGGCCTTGCGAAAAAAATGGACGGAGCGTAGGGATACAGGCGGTGACAAGGACAACAATTTGCTCGATACTAATGTAGAGGTTAGAGATTGTATAGCAGAAAAATAGGGAGGAGACTAATAGACCCCAGAGAACTAATGGTACTACATTTGCAGAATGACTATGGGCTTGCCATGCTTCCTACACCACGGACCGATATCAGTGTTGTCGGTATATCTGGGATTTGTGGAATTAATAAGGTTATTGCTGCTCATCTAATTCTCATTGGAACCTTTCAACCTATAACATGGTAGGTTTCTCATCTGAAGTCCTAGTATATATTTCCGATACACAACTTCGGTCCCGGAATCTGATTATGGTCAACTCATCTCAATCCACGGATAAATGGGACTCTTCTGAATTGACAAATCCAAGCATAGAAGACCCTCAGAAGAGACAACAGCAAATCCAGTGAACAGGGCGTATACAATAACTGGTAGCTGTATAGTTAGTTAATAGTTAATAGTTAACCCATGGATGGAACTCGCGATTCGATTACTCAGCAATATGTGACACGTGACTCCCCGGTGAGCATGGTTGACCAGGTGCAAGTCCGATGGATTCACTGGGACACCAGGTTTAACTGGGGATCAGGTATTCCTTTGACCTTTGACCTTTGAACTTTGAACTTTGTATCTATTCTCACCTACCTCGATGCATTGGCCCTCATCTAATCCAATGGACTGGCCTTGTTTCTCCTGCATTGAGGTTCCCCTCCTTCTACTCCTCCTCTAGGCAGCATCCCGCTTGGATTCTGACAGGGATCCACCCGCGTGGTACCTCTGCTAAGTTGTGCACAGGTTTCTCCGAGGCCAACAGAGTTGTCAAGTTCAACTTGGCCCATTTCAATTCCCTTGGCTTCGGATGATTAATTTAAGAGAGAGCGAGCATTCAGTATGAGTGAGACCGCCGCAGGGATCTGGCCCCGTTTGGGGTTGCACGGCGGAAGTCCGTGGATGGCCTCAGGGGAAGAAAAAGAATCAGAAAATCAGAAAATCATAGCGAGGAAATGGGCATTGCCAGAGGCGATCCTAAACGTAACCATCGAATTGATACTGGTGGAATAGAATCTTATCGTATCTATAGTACCCAAATTCCATCTTCCTTCGTGCAGTTCCATTCGGGGCAAGTCATCCTCTCCCGTCAACCCGAGACTTTTCTTTTCTCGCAACTCCACATCTTTTTCGCGCCAGTTGGGCTTCTTTTCTCCTCTTCTTCTTTCTCCTCCCCCCCCCTTTCTCTCTTCTCCCCCCGGGCTTCTCTTTTCCTTTCGTTTCTCCACGACATCACCGATCTCCCCCCCCGGTCTGTCGTGTTGAATTGTCTTCTGCATTTTTCCCGGCAGAGACATTCGCCCCCCCTCCCCCCCTTTACCCCCCTCCTCGTCCCCCGGGCTGCTCCCTCTGCCACTCCGGTTGGCAGCGACAACTCAGCGATGGCGGCCGTATCAGCACCCACTCCCAAGCTGGATCGCTACATCGTCATCCACGTTGCGACCACTTGCGACGAGCATGGCGTCTATGTTACCAAGGATTCCGCCGAGGTCATCGAATTGGGCTGGATCCTGCTGGATTCCAAGACCTGTGAGGAGGTACACACAATCCCCGAAACCCACTCATCCCCCAACGGTTTTTCCTATGCCGTGGATTCTTTCCACCCCTCCAGGATCCTCTCCCCAAATGGAACATATCAAATCCAACGAAACGATCAGCATGACTAACAATTCCTCGTTCCATCTCTATAGCTCCACCGTGAGAGCGTCCTCGTCAAGCCCGTCAACACCCCAATTACGCCGCTGTGCAGTAAGCTTGCCTCTTTGCCCCCCCTCCTCCTCGGGACAGATAACCGACTTGTATACCCAATACTCGCCGAAAACGATTCAACAGCTGACCCAATGTGATGACCACAGCGAGCTTGACTACCTTGACATGGGAGCACGTTCGCTCTGCAGGTACCTTCCGCGATGCCATTTCCCGATTCGATGCCTTTGCCCAGGAACACCTCACCAGCAAAAAACTCGAGTTTGCCTTTGTGACCTTGGATTCTTGGGATCTGCGTGTGCAGCTGCCCCGCGAGGCCCGTGATAAGGCCTTCGCGCTGCCTGCATACCTGCAGCACTCCCGCACTTTCGACCTGCGTACCGAATATCAACGCTGGCAAACCCATCACCCCGAGTCGCTGCCGTTTGGTCCCAGCTCCCTCTCCAACATCTGCGCCGCCCTCGAAGTTGAGCCCGTTCAGTCATCGGCTCCCATCAAGCACAATTTGCCTTTCCATCTGCAAGCATTGGCTCCTGCTTCGCCGCGCCGTGCCATGGAAGAGTCGATCACTCTGGCCCGCGTCCTCCGGGGTCTGATCCGCAAGTCTCAGCCCCCGCACGAGCACCCCGAGATCCTCACTCGCCCCATGGATGCCCACGCGGATGTTCGTGCCTTCTTGGCGGAGCGCAGCAAGGTCCTGCATCTGAGCGGTCTCCCCCACGATACCACGCAATCGGAGTTGGAGAGCTGGTTCACCCAATTCGGTGGCCGGCCTATTGCTTTCTGGACCCTGCGGACTCCAGACCAGCACAAGCCTACCGGCACCGGGTTTGCGGTCTTCTCGTCCCACGAGGAGGTATGTTTAACCTAGCTGAAGAGAGGTTGATCCAATCTCTGTTTTTTGCATCCTACCCACTATCATTACCCACTATCATCTTTTGCTAACCCCTCATCTAGGCTGCTGAAAGCCTGTGCATGAATGGCCGTGCCCTCAACGAAAAGGCCATCGAGGTGTCCCCCTCCTCCAGCCGTGTCCTCGACCGGGCTGCTGAGATTCTCACGCCGTTCCCGCCCTCTAAGAACCGCCCACGTCCCGGTGACTGGACTTGCCCGTCCTGCGGTTTCTCCAACTTCCAGCGCCGTACCGCCTGCTTCCGCTGCTCGTTCCCCGCTATGGCGGCGGCTCCGGACCCCATGGGCTACGGCTACGGCTATGGCCCGCCAAACATGATGCCTCCTCACATGGGCCACGGCCACGGAATGGGCGGTCACGGACGTGGTATGGGTGGAAACGGTGGCGTGGTTCCTTTCCGTGCTGGCGATTGGAAGTGCGGCTCTGAGGGGTGCGGATACCACAACTTTGCCAAGAACATCAACTGTCTTCGCTGCGGTGCTCCTCGCTCGGGTGCTGCCGTCGTGGCTGACTCGGCGTTCCCCTCGCCCATGGACCCTCCGTCGCAGTTCGGCATGGGCCCCAACTCGATGGCCAGCACTCCTGCTCCCGGTCCCTTTGCCTCCACTGCTGGGGGCTTCGGCAGCTTCGGTCAGCAGTTCAGTGGCCCGCCTAACAACTATACTCTCCCCTCTGGTGGCCTGAGCAACACCCCTGGTGGCTACCCACCTATGGGCCAGATGAACTCGGGATACGGCTCGTCGAACGCTTCCCACTCCGCCGCCTCCTTCGCCAATCCGGCTACTCAGGCTGCATTCACCGGTGCTGATCACGGTGTGCCGTCCACCAGCGCCTCCAACGGTGCCTTCTACGGTGGCTCCGAGGGTTCCAGCGACCCTTTCGCCTTCCTGTCCACCGGCCTCGGCGGCCTGACAGTCTCGGATGATGCACACTCTCGCCGCAATGGCGCTGGTGCTAACAAGTCGCCCGCTTAAACGAGCGGCCTGACTGTATCCATGTCATCTCAAAATGCCCGAACGAATCGGGCGGTCACACTTACGTTGTCCATATTGCAATCCTGCGCTGTGGCAGGTATATGCGCTGGTTGATACTCGTTGATACGCATTTGTATAAGGGATTCTGCGGTTCCGGTGCATCGGGTTGGAAGGAGCAGGCGGGTTAGCGTGTTGATGATTCCGAGTTTCTCTCTCACCCTCTCGCCGGCCTGGGATTTGTGTGGGATGTTTTCTTATATTTGTTGTCGTTTTTTCCCTCTATTTTCTCTCTCGTCATCTCTTTGGTTGTTGAGCGGCTCCGCTCCCCCTTGATTCCATCTTGAGCTATCTATGGTTTTTTGGTCTGTTTTTTATTTTGTTGATCTTGTTTTTATTTTACAAAGGATGGCGGCGACTGGAACCTTGGCCGGGGCGTGGGTTTTGTTTTTATATGAAACCGTTGTCTTGAGTCGGTTTCGGACGCGAACGCATTGTGAGCCTGGGTTGCGCACTCGACCTGCTTTGCATTTTAGATCTTTGGTCGTCCCTTTTCTGCGTTGGGTCATGGCAAGCGTCGGAGAATTTCACGGTATTGATCTCACGGATGGGATATACAAATGGCTCGGACTCCGTTGGGGGTGTTGGGGGATTTCCTTTTGCGAACTTGCGCTGGTGATGATGGATTGGAGGGCTCTCTTTTCTTTTTCTCGACCTCCGCCAGAGCATGCTGAATGCAACAAAAAAGATTGTTCTGTCTATATTTTCATTCTTGATCTTCTGTGTATTGCATCTATTTGTCTCTTCGTTGTATGTGTTTTTAAGGTGGCTCCGCATGGCTTGGTGCTGGAGCTTGACTATAAGGATATGAGGCAGAGTTGTATGGTGCCCTCGGTACATGTGTTGGGTATAATCGATGCGATTCGGTTTTGATTGGAGCTTTCATCTGAGTAGAGTCTTTGGTTCAATTTTACAAAGCCCTCGTACACGGCTGGGTGGGATGTGTATCAGTCTTATAGATCTGACTTTGTTGGACTCGGGCCCCTCGAGCAGGCAGTAGACTAACATAATTCCGTATCCCTATTCTAGCCATCAGACATGATTAAGCCAATTAAACAAAACCCACTCTCCGAGACCGCAAGTCTGTCCAAATTCTCCATTGAAACCTTGTCCTGGAATCAAATGTTGAGATTTACCCGCGCGGCTGCGCCAAGGCAACCGTCCGCTGTCGCGTCCACCGCCCGCTGGAACCCCGTCATGGCTGCTGCCGAACTCCATCACCGTCCTCTCTGTCCCAGCGCCCTTCTCCTCCAACCTCTTTCCCCCTCATTGATTCCCTTGGAAGGTTGTATCACACTTCTCTTCTGCACCTAATTCGTTTCATTGCTCCTGCGTCACCATGTCCGGCTACGACCGAGCTCTTTCAGGTAAGCCAGCTAGCTCTCCGAATGACCAGCTCCCTTGGCTCTCCTCTTTGACATGAGATCGACGATGCTAACTCATCCTAGTATTCAGGTATGAGTTAACCTTGCTGCTCTTCAGCTCCTTCGATAGGCTGACATATCCTCCAGCCCCGATGGGCACGTCTTCCAGGTCGAATATGCCATGGAGGCCGTGAAGCGAGGTAAGGCTACTCCCCTCCTGCGAGTCTAGCATCTTAGCTCCCAGACCTGTGACTCTTCGATAGGGTTACTCTTTGTTATGTTTTGGATAGGCTACTAATCTCTCTCTCGCGACAGGAACTTGCGCCGTCGGCGTCAAAGGCAAGGACATCGTCGTCCTCGGCTGCGAGAAGCGTTCCGCCCTCAAGCTCCAAGATACCCGTATCACGCCCTCCAAGATCGCCAACGTTGATGAACACGTCTGCCTCGCCTTCGCTGGACTGAACGCCGATGCCCGTATCCTGATCGACAAGGCCCGGTTAGAGGCCCAGTCACACCGTCTGACGGTCGAGGACCCCGTCACCATCGAATATATCACCAAATACGTTGCCGGTGTGCAACAGCGTTATACACAGAGTGGTGGTGTTCGTCCGTTCGGTATTAGCACGCTCGTTGTTGGCTTTGACAAGAATGACTCTACACCGCGCCTTTACCAGACCGAGCCCTCTGGTATCTACTCTGCCTGGTTAGTCTTTCCTTCCTTACCCATGCTCCTTTCTAGTTTACAGGGGTTTAACCACTTTGACTCCTACGTACAGGAAAGCCAATGCCATTGGCCGATCCAGCAAGACCGTTCGCGAGTTCCTTGAGCGTAACCACCAGGACGACATGGACCGCGAGCAGACAATTCAGTTGACTATCAAGTCATTGCTCGAAGTAGTGCAGACCGGTGCCAAGAACATTGAGGTGGCAATCATGGCCCCTGGCAAGCGTGTGGAGATGCTGCCCGACGACCAAATCGAGTCGTACGTTAAGAGCATCGAGACCGAGAAGCAAGAGGAGGCGGCCAAGAAGAAGACCGGTCGGGGCGGTGCTGGTACAGCTGCTATTCTGACCCGGTCTGGCGGTGGCGAGACGGCCGAATAAGAAGGATAGAGGAGGTGTCTGGTCACCCTGCGGGGGTGATCAGATCTGTGATTTGTGCCTATTTACTGTAGCGCTGGTCTCTTTACTTGATGAGAACTCAAAACCACGAAATTCCTACACAACTGACATTGCCATGCTTCACAAAGATATTCCCGTATAGAGTAAAAGTGGGTATTGATGCAATGCAGATCTGGCTCTATGGTCCCTGGACGAGGATATAGTATAACTTGACATGAACAGACACAAGTAGAAAATCGTTAAATTCATGAAGAGGAGAGCTACCGATTGACCCCATCTAGCCCATCCGGTCGGACACGTCGCGTATATTGAACAAGGATCGTTCTTGGTCGCCCCGAACCCGGTCGTCTTTGAGCATCCTACAAACATGTCAGCTCTTGTAGCGAAACTGGTATCTCCGCGGCCCTCGACATACCTGCTGTCCATGCGCGCATCATCACCTTCCACCTGAAGTGTTGGCTTGGGGGTCACAGCCTCGAGAACGAAGTGGTTATCGCAGTGTGGGCAGTACTCGTCACTAGAGCGAGACACAACGGCGTTAGTCCGTAATCCTCTTGGTTGACTGGGCGCGGGGTATCTATACCTCTCTTCGAATTCGGCGGCGTCCCTGCGGAAGCACTTCTTGCACTTTTTGCAGGCAAAGATCTATAGAGACAAAGAGAAGTTAGTCTGGATCTTGCAGGACTTTTCTGGGCTGAAACTATATCACCATACCATCTCCTGAGACTTTTGCAGCATATGTGACTCCTGCTCCTGGTGGCATTCGGCGCAATCAAACCATTTTCGGCCTTGTCGAGGGGTCAGTCAATTGCTCGTTCAGATCATAGGCTTCGGATTGGGCGTACAGCAAGGGGAGCGAATAGACACCTGCGCGTTAAGAATGTGTTTACTGCGACGTAGGATCATTAGTTTGTGATGCCCCCTAAGCAACGCAGAACCGGGTGTTCGAGGTTCGACAGAGCTGCCTCGAGAGCAGACGAGAACTCACCACATGGCTGAGAGTGGGACTGCCTGGTCTCCGGCAGTGTTCTTGTTGACAGACAAATCTCGAGGCACCCCGCGTCGGCGTCAGGAAAGGAAAACGCTGCACAGGAACGCAGTCGATCTGCCACTCCCGTGATCGTCCCTCCACTTTCCTCCCCGCCACTCCATTTCAACCCATTCCACTAAATCCTCCATTTCCCTTCTTCTCTCTCTCCTCCTATTTGTCTAGTTCTTCATTTCTCGGCTTCTTTCTGTTTCTTAAATGCCAGCCACGCCGCTTACACTCAGAACTATCCCCTGCGCTCCTCCCGCTTTCTTTCGGCATCCCTGTTGCCTTGTGGCATTTACCCCCACCTAAGTTCTACAACACTTTTCCCACGCCGTCACACAAAATTACATCTCTCCCAGGGACCGACAAAATCAAGCTTATGATCGAACCTGCCGGCTGGTTCTGGCGACGGATTCGTGGTTATGGCCATGGAGGGAAACGACAGGGAACAGGAGAATACTGATGACGCTCCCATTGTATGCTTGCGCCAGCTAATGTGAATATGGCACGCGGAATACACTAAGACTGACACTGCCCCAACAGAGACCTGTCTCCTCTTTGCTCTCGCACTTTGAGAATCTCTCGCATAATCAACCTCGAGCGTCGTCTGCATTTGGTACTAGCCCACACGACTCCTCTAGTCGCTTCCTCAGGACCCCCGAACCCGGCGACGAGCCCCGATCTAGTCGCGCCTCCTTGGACTTGCCTCGGCCATGCTCCCCATGGACTACGACAGGCGATGATAGACCAAGCCGTGAGAATGGACAGAACAATGGCGATCAGTTGCGCGCACGCGGATCCCCCGGAGGTCGATATGGCCGGCCCATTTCGATGAGCATCCACCACTCCTCGCCACAGCTGCCGCCTACCTTGACCGTGCACTCCCCCAAGTCGCCGCCGCGGAGCTTGGAGCGCGAACGTCGTTCACCTCCTCAGGATGATCGTCGTATATCTCGAAGCTCGATCTATCTCCCTCGGGAGTCGGTGTCGGCAGGGGTCTCGCCTGCGCCCAGGGCTCGTCCGGTGACGCCGCAGTTCGAATCGTCGGTGCCTGCAGGGGAGCCAATGGAGCGGCTGTCGCCGGGTATGACCACGGCGAATGGGCGTAGTAGCCCCGCAGACCGGAAGCTGAAGAGTGCATCATTGCCTCCACCAGCAAACCGGGCTGAGAAGCCGAAGATTCCTGCTAAGCCGGCGATGCTCTCGCACCAAGACGCTGGTAGTCTAGCTCCCCGGCAGGATAGACCGTCAGTGGATGATCATGTGTCGCCGTTTAGCACTCCCCCAGGTAGCCCGGAAAAGGCCCCGATCAAGCCGATGTCTACTGGAAAGCTTCCTCCTAAACCACCTGGCCGGCCTACGACGGAACCACCCAGCCGGCGCTCTTTCGATGAACGGCCGCCAGGATTATCAGCCCCTGCAAGGCAGGATCCTAGGGATCTCGGATTCTCCAGGAATCGACCAGCTCTTGAACCTTCTCGAGCTACCAAGCCCTTGTCGGTACAAATCCCGCCTTCATCCCCTGGCTTCATTGACCCTGCGTCAACGGCTCCGCCACTTTTTGCTCAGAGACTCCGAGCCAGTGACAGTTCTTATGACCCCCCAGGACTTCCTCCAAGATCAGCGTCTACGGCAATGCGTCGAAGTGGATTTTCCCCCGCTAGAGACTCTTCACAAACGGTGGACACGCCTGCTCAAATGACACCTCTCGGCCGGTCTGCTCCTTCCTTCCCGCCCATCAGTAAGGAAAGTCAGCCTTTGCGTCAGATTGCGCGACAACAATCACTACCACGCGAGTCGCGCATGCCATCGTACCCGGAGCGGCGTGTGGTTCGAACGGATACGGAAGAGGAGGAGTCAATGGCTGACGAGGGCCAAGTATCAAGGACGGACTATCCTGATGCATCGCAGGCAAATCGTCGACCTCCTCTCTTCAAAACAGGACCAAGCGAGATCCACACCAGGTACGACACTCGGCTGCTTGCCGTGTGTGGTAAGTATGTCTGTACGACTGGATATTTGACGCGCGTTTGGGATCTTACGACAGGAGAGCAAGTCATGAGTCTTAGTCATGGTGAGACGGTGAAAAGCTTGTCTCTAGCTTTTAAGCCAGGTACCGCCCTTGAAGATGAGGGACAGCGCATTTGGCTTGGGACCAGTGCAGGTGAACTTCACGAAGTTGATATTTTGACCAACGCGATTGTGGCTACTCGGTCGTATCCGTCTCGTCGTGAAGTCATCCAGATTCTGCGCCACAAGAAAGAAATTTGGACACTGGATGATGAAGGGCGGCTGCTAGTATGGCCGCCAGATGAGACTGGTACACCTAATATGCAGTATAGCTATTACAGCCCTCATGAGCGTGTTGCACGAGGTCACACATTCTCCATGGTCGTGGATGACAAGTTATGGCTTGCATCTGGCAAAGATGTCTACATATACCGTCCAAACTCCCGGGAAGATTCCGCATTCAAAGTTCTCAAGCGGCCACTGGGACAACAGCATTCCGGGGATGTGACGTCTGGCACTTATACCACCCAAGACGGGGGCCGTGTATACCTAGGACACGCGGACGGCAAAGTCACCGTATATTCCTCAACGGACTACTCCTGCTTGGCGGTGGTGAATGTGAGTGTTTACAAGATCAACTGTCTCGGCATGGTGGGAGACTACCTTTGGGCAGCGTATAAAACGGGCATGATCTACGTCTACGATGTTAAGACCAATCCTTGGACGGTGAAGAAAGATTGGCGTGCCCATGACAGTCCCGTTTGCGGCTTCGTGCTGGACACAAGTAGCGTGTGGACGATGAATCGGCTTCAGGTGACGTCTCTCGGAACGGATAATTGTATTCGGCTTTGGGATGGAATGCTGGAGGATGACTGGCTTGGTGAGTTTTTTAATCGCGAATTCTGATCTTGTTCTGTCTAATGCCGAGCAGAAAACCGGATGCAAACTAGAGATATTGAGTTCTGCAAGTTCCGTGAAATTCGGACAGTCATCGTTACTTGGAATGCTGGGGCTTCGACGCCTGGTAGTGTTCGCACGTCGGATTTCATCCGAGATGCTGTTCACCCAGAGGATCCGCCTGATATCATTGTTTTCGGGTTTCAAGAGTTGGTTGACCTTGAGAACAAGAAGATTACTGCCAGTAAGTGCTTGACTAGATGTTGGGTTCGTGTGTACGTTGACTAACTCTGGTGTACAGAGAGCTTGTTGCTTGGAAGCAAGAAGAAGGATAATGGTGAGAAGGAGCATATGAGTCGGCAGTATCGGGTTTGGATTGATCATCTCACCCGAACTCTTCACGAGTGCATGCCTCTTGAGGAATCCTACGTTCTTCTTCATACTTCCAACATGGTCGGGCTTTTCACTTGTGCCTTTGTGAAGCACAAGGAACGCCATAATATCAGTAATATCAGCGCATCGGAGATCAAGCGGGGAATGGGAGGATTGCATGGTAATAAGGTTTGTGACTGATTATATATGCCTCTCTACCATGGAAGTGTCTAACGAGGTTTTGCAGGGTGCCTTGATCTTCCGTTTCGTCCTCGATGATAGCTCGCTGTGCTTTGTCAACTGTCATCTTGCGGCGGGCCAGACTCAGACTGCCCATCGCAACAACGACATTGCGGCCATTCTCGAAGCAGAGACCTTACCGCCTGAAAGCAGCCTCACTACTCGCACCGCTCAGTTTGCTAGTGGCGGTGACGGTTCGATGATCATGGATCATGAGATCTGTATCTTGAACGGCGATTTGAATTACCGTATTGATGCCATCCCACGTAATGTCATCATCGACGCCGTCCGTCAGAACAACCTCCCCAAACTTCTCGAACGCGATCAACTGTTGGCTTCTCGACGGAAGAACCCAGGCTTCCGACTCCGCAGCTTCACCGAGGCGCCTATCACTTTTGCGCCGACGTATAAATATGATGTCGGCACCGACCAGTACGATACGAGCGAGAAGAAGCGCTCCCCCGCCTGGTGTGACCGCGTTCTCTACCGTGGCCTAGGCCGCGTCAAGCAGTTGGAGTATCGTCGACATGAAGTCCGTGCCTCCGATCATCGGCCGGTCAGTGCGACCTTCAAGGTTCGCGTTAAGACGGTTTTGCCGCAGGAACGCGCGGTGGCATGGGAGGCGTGCCAGCAGGACTTTCAAAATGAGAAGCGCCGGCTGGCTTCTGAGGCTAGGTAAGCTGATGATGCCTCCATTTCTTAGTATGTGCAGGTTTACTAACGATCATCTTCAGCATTGAGTATCTTATTACTGTCCTTGGCACCGATCCCCGCCAGGCTCGTGGGTTGATTCTTGGTCAGGGTCAATAGCCTGGCCTGGCTAATTCTGCATGCTCAACAAACAAGAGTTGAGCACAGGCATTGCAGCGGCGTGGAATATTCTTTTTTCTTATTCCGATTGACATGAGGACCACGGACGTATATTGTACGAGTAATGATTTCACGATAGACATGTATCATGACGGAGCTAGAGCTGCGTTCCCCTGCTACTGTGGGTTCTGGTTGCATTGCGTTTAGTTTGTACAGTCGTATTCAGCTCTGTCGATCTCAACCACCCCCTCTTCCCTCTAATTAACCGTTCTATCGGCTTTTTCTACGGACGCCACAGTGGAGAATCCCTCCGGTGGAGTGATGTCCGGGGTAGACCACTACGCAGTCAAGCTTTGCCTTTCCCTAATACATGCTTCTAATATTCCGGACCCCATTAGGCACTTAGGTTGTGATTTGCGTTCCAGATTGGTGCCTTGAGGTACCTCTACTACCCCTGTTTCACCCTGGCCCCGGTCCGAATCCGGATCCTGCTAGTGATGTGGGATGCCACCCCGCGCCACCCTAGGGATCGGCAGCATGTTTGTCTAGCTATGGACAGGAATTTCGCGATTAATTATCCGAAGTTGTAGATTTATTGGGATCTTCCCCGCTCGCTACGGGAATTTGGCACTATATAGGACGGTGTTTTTGGTCTGGAATCCCTAAGTTCTATAGGCTACTTCGTTGATCAATTGTCGAAGCATTGAATATGTTGACCTCACTCTCTCTGGCGGCACTGGCATTTGTGCCTTCGGCGAATGCTCTCGTTAGAAAAGATGGCGTGGTAGGTCAAAATTTCTCCCTAAAAAGACACCAGAATAGTCTACTGAAGCAAATGATAGGGTAGATTACCGGCCCTAGGATGGAATAGCTGGAATGCGTTCGGTTGTGACATCAATTCGACAAAGGTCATGACCGCCGCCAATGAGATGGTCAATCTTGGCCTGAAGGATCTTGGATATGAATACGTTAACAGTGAGATCATAAGAAGTATTAATTGATGGAGTTCAACAACTCTAACTGAACATTTTGTGTAGTCGATGATTGCTGGTCTGTCAAGAACACGCGGAATTCGACGACGCAACGTATCATCCCTGACACTCAGAAGTTTCCTAATGGAATTTCTGGGGTTGCTGATCAGGTTCACCAGTTGGGATTGAAAATTGGCATTTATAGCAGTGAGTGAGCCTGGGTATCCCCGGACCATCCAGGTTTATAACAATTTCCTTCAGGTGCCGGCGAGACAACTTGTGCGGGATACCCTGCTAGTCTGGGCAACGAGGAGGTTGATGCAGAAGCTTTTGCTGAGTGGGGAATTGACTGTGAGTATCCCATAGTCTCAATTATCTTCACGCACTCTACTGATACATCTATAGATTTGAAGTATGACAACTGCGGTGTCCCAAGTAACTGGACAGACCAGTATTCAGCCTGTGTTCCCGATGGCTCTAGCGAGTCGGGCAACGGTACTTGTCCAGATCTCTCTAACCCTGCACCAGCTGGGTATGACTGGACTCAATCCAAGACCTTCACTCGGTATACAAGAATGCGCGATGCTCTTTTGAATCAAAGCCGAACCATTCTATTCTCATTGTGTGACTGGGGCCAGGCCGATGTCAATACTTGGGGCAATCAGACTGGTAACTCGTGGCGCATGTCGGGTGATATCCAGGGTAAGTTATTACCGGCTATGAATTATAACAGAAGCTGACTCGATCTGAAAGCGAATTGGGCCCGCATCGCTCAAATCGCCAATGAAAACACTTTCAGGATGAACTATGTTGGATTCTGGGGCCATCCTGATCCTGACATGCTCGAGATTGGAAATGGAGACCTTACAGCGGAGGAGAATCGAGCTCACTTTGCGTTGTGGGCTATTATGAAGTCTCCCCTGATTATTGGTACTGCGGTATGTGTGCAACATGAATGTCAAGGATTAACTATTCATACTGATAATCCAACTAGCTCGACAGCATCAATGATGCCAACCTGGCGGTTCTAAAGAACAAGTACCTGCTTGAATTCAACCAGGACCCCATCATCGGCCGCTCAGCTCACCCATACAAATGGGGATACAATCCTGATTGGACATTTGACCCTGCCCACCCAGCCGAATACTGGTCCGGTCCTTCTTCGACTTTGAAGGGTACATTGGTACTAATGCTGAATTCGGAGAACTCTACTTCGACCCGTACTGCGGTGTGGAACGAGGTTCCGGAATTGAAGGGTCATAACGCGTACCGGGTCATTGATGCATGGAGTGGCAAGGATCATGGATGTGTTAAGAAGCAGTATAGTGCTTCGTTGGCGAGTCATGATGTTGCTGTGCTTGTGGTGAAGGAGGCCTGCTGAGAAGAGATTGAGCCATTATCGGCGTGGTATCCTGTGTATTGACTTGAGTAGCTGCTGATTATCTACGTGTTCTTGGCTGCATCTTTTGAGATCAGTGAAGATCCCCAGATGCTTATATGAAATTCATAGAATAGTTGGTCATGGTATTGTTTAGCACGCAAGAGTGATTATGGTAAGTGGCCCTATGGAATATCGCTATCGTGTGCCTCAAGACTCCACAACTTGGAGGATTTCCCCCATAAATAGGATATCGTGTCAATATGTGAAGCATAAAGCATGAAGACAAGTTGCGTAACAATTTTCCATTTCTGGGTATTCATGTGGTCCTTATACCAGTTGACGTAAGTACGGAGCTCACAATGCTAGCTTACCCTTTGCATACTTGAGTGCCTCACGCAAAAGTTCCAGCGAATTGCATTTTGGGCCCGCCATTGGAACACCTGGAGCGGCACGGTTGGCCCGGCGTATACCCGATTCGGATGGTACATTGCAAGCGGCCACAGATCTTCCAAGCGAGCCGACTGAGCTTCTAGGAACGCATATAAATCACCCCAGACCAGACTTCCAAGGATACGCATCTGGCCAATGTAGCCAGGTGACTCGTCCGGTCGGTCGACGCCTTCTTTCGGGTCAAAATGGGGATCGACGGCGAGGACAAAGCCGGCAAAGTCGCCTTGAAGAGATTCGGATACTGTGGCTTGGTAGGAGTCGGTGGTGTAAGATACAAAGGATGCGGAGTCGACAACGAGGAACGCATGTGACTGTAGTTTCAGAGGCAATGTACTTTCGTTGCTTTTACTTTTGCAGCTTTTGCCCTCGCCGTCGTTTTCATCTTCTTCGTCATTGTTCTTGGTTTTGTCATCCTTCTTCACCAACTCGTTGAAATGTCTGGATGGTTAGCTTGCGGCTTTGGGAATACGGATCTTGGGGACCATACTTTTTAGCAGCTTCAATGTCATTCTCGGCGAACCCGAGTTCCTTTCCATCTACCCAGTGAAGTTTCAAATGGGTTCTGAGGGTATCACTGCCAGCCTGGCCTTTACCCCAATCGGAGATGTGTGCTTCAAGTTTTTGAACAAATCCTGCCCACTCAGACTCCGATTGCTCGTGTGTGAGACGGTAGATAGCTAATCCACAGTCTTGTTGTTCATTCTTCTCTTTAGCACGGCGAATAGTACGCAAGGAGTAGACCATCCAAGGCTCATGTGCTATGGAACCACTAGAATTGCCACGAAGCTCCCGTCTCACCTGGTTCTGGGCTTCGAGTTGCTGCATTGCTGATTCATGATAGGATTCTCCAGAGGTTTGGTTACGTCTGCCACCGCCGCGCAAGATCCTCTGGTACATGATCTGGTGACTGAGTGACTTCAACCGCTTAGAGTAAACCTCACCACGCTTAGCATAGTCCGAGACATACATCTCCGCTGGACCGGGGCCATTCCTTGGGGCTTTATTATACCCCCGGTAACCTTCCATTGGAATCATGATTCCGGAGTCTGCACGCACGGAGATTTCCAATAACATATGCAGTCTGTCCATGAATTTCCACTGCGTTGCGTCTGGCTGCCCCATTCCTTCAGTCAAAGACTGATGGTCTAATAGACCCTGCAGTATGGGAGCTCTCAGAGCATCGATATGCTTCGTGACCCAATTATATGCATTCTGGGTCATGACTTTGTAGGATTTGTTCATGTATATGGTCCATAGTTTGGCCATACTGATAGAATCCGCACCGGTCTCGGCTCTTTTCTCATTGAGAACGGTATCCAGCGATTCCCAGTGCTCATAAATGAGGTTAAAGGTCCTGCGAAGATCATAGCGGACTTGCCCATTGTTGAGATACTCAAATACCGCGACCACGGCTGACAGATGCTGACAGGCTATATCGAAATTCTCTGAGAGATGGAGACCTCTCTCGTGCCATCGTTGGTCGCTCAGAGGCACGATGCCTTCCCAGAGACGGGACTTGAGGGAGTGAATGTTTTTGCCGACAAGACAGAGTCGGCTATTGTCTTCCACAGAGCCTATTCGGTTCATGACACGGTTCATAATAGACTCGCCATCAGATCCTGGAGGGTGGTTCTCTTGTGTAAAGCGGATCTCATCTGGGGTCATGGTCCCAATCGAATCGGGACGGGTACCGTCGGGAAGCGATCCCCCCAGAGCAAATTCCATGAAATGAGGAATTGTTTGTGGCTCTAGGACTCGATCGACTGATCGGCGGGACAGTTTGTCAGATTAGCTGACCTCTGGAAGGGAAACATGACCATGCGAACTCACCGATGGACAAATCCCGCTGCGCCTGGATGTGGACGGCAGTGACCGTGGATCCGGTAGCATCCAAGTGTACATACATCGCTCCTCTGTTATTATTGTTTTGATCTATTGAGAGAAGCAGATATACCTCCAGGTGAGTGTTGTGATGGAGAGGAAATCTCCTTTAAAATTTCTCCGCGGCGCCGAGGTTTCCGCCTCCAGGGGGAAGCCATTCAGAGCCGCATGAGTCCCTTAATGTGGGTGGTTGTATTTTAGCGTGGAATGGGGGTCGTAGATTGCCTCAAATAGGTTTGGCGTGGATCGTTGTCGCGCTTGGATTGTTGGCTGTCCATATTTTGGGGGCTATTTAAGCGATCCAGACCATGCCGTATCCAATCCGCCAATATCTAGAGACCTTGGCAAATCCCGAGGTCATGATTCAAATCCAGCAAAAGGCGAAAAACACACCAATTTAGTTTTGATAGGGTACTGGATGATGGGAAAATTAGCTCGAGTCTTTTGGCGATACCGGGAGGCGTTTTCCTCGCAAAGTTTACAGGAGTAGATTCGGACTACTGCCGACAATTATCGTAGTGTACGACTGCTGACTTGAATTGAGATATGATTATTTAGAGATGGAAAAGCCTAGCCGGGACATCTCTAGGTGCCATAAACTTGTTCAGCCTCTCGTCAGTGATCTGATAAAGAGCAGGGAGGCGACCTGTGACATCTTCGCCTGCAATCATGGCACCGAGTAATTCCCCAACAAGCCAGCACTTGTCCATTCCATAACCATTGAAGCCAACAGCCGCCCATTCACCATCACCTGGTCTTCCAGTTAACCTTTTGCCCAGTCTACCCACAAGGGGCATTCCATCAGGTGTAAAGCCCATGATACCAGACCAAATTCGGCGTGGGGTCGTTTTCATAGGCTCCCCCGTTGCAGACTTGAATGTTCCCTCCATCAAAGAGGTCAAATTCTGTGAAGGTAGTGTAGGTACCACGGTGTCATCGCTGATGAGGATTTCTTCTAGTCGCTGCTTCTCTCCACCAAAGAAGAAATCGCCCGTCTTTGCATTCTGGGTCATATAGTACAGTCCAAAAGTGAATGTGCCAGTGGCCGGATCAAATTTGGGCTCGTGGTAGATACTCCAGGAGTGGCGGGCCCCATGATTGGGGAGATTTGGAGAAATGGATTGCGTCGACATAGTGCCTCGGAATGGGAAGACCTTTCCTCGAAGTTGTGGAAGCAAGTGTGAAGTATATGCGTTCGTGCAGTAAACTACTTGATCGGCATGGACCACTCCGCGGGGAGTTTGCAATTTATGGCGGTAATTGGGCTTTTCTGCGTCGTATGTGACGCCAGTCACGGGCGTATTGGTGTCGATTGTGAATCGTGATGAGTTTTCTTTCAATAGCTTGGCGAAAAGCCCGGTGATGATGCGGTAGGGCCATACTGCTCCCGCGGGTTGCTCGCAAGCCCCAGCGGATTCGTTAAATTTGTATTTCTGGAATAATTAGTATTGGGACATTTTTCTGAACGGAGGGAGACACTCACAGCTTTGGCTTCATCTGCGGAGAGAATCTTGAACTGATCCGCTAATTCTGGACAAGCTGCTGAGAACTGACGAAGGGATTCTTTAAAGTGATTAAAAGTGGCCGCTTCAAGGAAGTTCATCACTTTCTGGACCTTGCGCACTTCCGACGCGTCTCGGAGATCCTCGTCTAGGGTAGACACAAATGCATGGAATCTCTCAAGATTGCGAAATGAGAATCGCGTCACCTCTGCGGCCTTCTCTGCTCCAAAAAGGCTTGCAACTGCCGCAAAGTCAACCGCTGCAGGAGAGACCAAGTGCCCGCCATTACGGCCAGTGGCCCCGCTCGTCAATGCACGGGCCTCGAAGAGAGCAATTCGCTTATTGCGGAGTTTGGGGTTGCTCAGGAGAGTTCGCGCAACACTGCAGCCAGTGATGCCGGAGCCAACGATGGCAATGTCAACTTTTGTTGGAAGTTGTGGTGATTGAATGTTGGAAATTGCATGAGTGGGCTCTTGCCAGAATGCAACGGATGGGCCCTTGCGTGGTAGGCCAGGGTCTTGGCTCACCAGAGACACAATCTTGTCGTGGACGGCGGCGCGCTTGTTATCCATGCCCATAATGAAAGTCGATAAAATGAAGTGTCTTTCTCGTGAAGGAATGCTGGGTGACGAGTCTTGAGCAAGTTTGTCTCGACATTGTGCATGAGGAATTGAGCCGATACTTATAGCCTCGCAATCGCATATTACCGCATTTAGTCTATATATGCGTTGACCAATCGGCTTGAGCATCTTCAAGATAAGTCTGATGTTAATCCCCAGGTTCGCGTAGATAGACCTCGATTAGGTATATCTATCGCAGCCCCGCACATTCCCCATGCTCTGCCGACGCGGTAATCCTTGGACTAAGCCTGCCTATTTTGGCATGTCCACCCGAGTTTGGTGGAGGCAGACTATCTCAAAATGCCCCTCGTGTTACCTTTTGATTTTTGAAGCGTAGAAAGAGTAGAATGACTTATCAGATTAGCAATACAGTTCGGACAATGACCATAAGCATGTAATCAGGTTATCCATTCGTGATAACCTGCGCTTTTCTTCTCATGGACGCGTCAACCTTCTCTTTACATGCATTCCCATCCGAGTCATTAAACAAGCTAATCAACGGGTAGCATCCTATCCGTGCCTTTCTGCCCACCCACCGCTTTCGCTTGTGGGTGCGCCCTAAATCCCCGTCATCCCGAAATCCCCGTCGCTTTTTGAAGAAATCGTCAAATTTATCAGCGAACTAGCTAGTTATCAATAAAAAATAGCTCTCCTGCCTCTCTAGCCTCTCTCTCGCGTATAATCGCCCGTTGAATACTATCCTCTGATCTCTGTGTGGGTTCGTAGCCATACATCTTCTTGAACTGCTTGGCTAGCTTCCTTTCCTCCTTCGCCATCTCTTCTTCCTTCCTGGCTACAATTGACCGATTTGCATCGCGAGTAGTCAATATACCAGTTGCACTAAGCAATTTGACCTGCCGCTTGGTGTATTTGCGTTTTATTAGCACCTGCGCGGCCCTGATTCGCCGAATTGTATCCTGCGTCATCGCCAGCTCCTCCTGCTTCTCCCGCTGGTGGGCGAAAATCTTGGTAAGATTCCGCTGCGCCCTATTAGATAGAGCACTAAGCTCCTTTATAATCTTCGCCTGGTTCTTCTCTAGTGCCTCAATAGATTTTGGAGGGCTATTTTCCACACTCGAAGACGAGAGATTTAGTGGTGGTGGTGATGGTATATGCGAGCCCCATGAGCGAAGATCTGGTGTATATAGATCAGGAATCTCTAGTTGATTCGCAAGATTCTCAACAATCTTACTACCGTCAACTGGATAGATACCACGATCTCTAAAGGATTCGCGAATAATTCGCTACGTAAAGGCCTTCTTGCGAATTGGCCCGATAATCGCGAGGAAATCCGATTTCCTATACGGCTTACCACCCTTGAAAGCTAGCTCATTATTCATCAACCGAAATTGCTGCTTATAATTCAGAAAGGGCTTTCCGTCAAGTAGCTAGCAGATATGCGTTGAATGCGGCATAAATGCAAAAGGGATAATCGAATTCTCTTCGCAAGTCTCCAGAAATTCGAGTGTAAGATGCGCGCTATAGCCGTCGAATATAAGATAGCGCTTTTCGCCCCGTTTCACGCGATGAGAGGTCAGACGAATAAAATAATGTAGCCAGGATAGGGCTAATGCATCAGAAATCCAGCCGTTCGGAGAAATAGCCGTCATCGTATTAGGTAGCAGATTTTCGCTACCGTAGAACCAGGCCTCTATAGGATTTTTGCTAGTTCCTTTGAAAATAAAGAGCGGATCTATATGCTAGCCGTCTGCAGCAATACACTCCAAAGCAGTGATATTTTCGCCTCTTTCGGTCTCTACGAGATCAGGGCAAGATGATTTAGACCCGATGACGTTTCTTGATCGCCCTTGACCAGGTTGAAAGCCGCATTCATCGAAGTTGTATACTAGCCGGGCGGGAACATTATAGAGGACAATTGCAAGCTAGTCGTACTAATGCTGAAGAAACCCTGCATCCTCCGCTTGGATTCGCTTCAGTTCCTTAGTCTTCTGCTTCACTAGGGCTAGCTCTAGGTGCTTTGGTAGGCGTGATATAAAGTAATATGCCCAATTCTTACCAACCTGCCTATCTGGCTGGCCCGTTCGCGACAAAGCGCGATTTGCCTACGCCTGGATAATCGCTGCGGTAGGTGGAAGATTCCAGCCATGCATTTGGGTAATCCAATTGATTAGGGCCTTCTCCTGATGTGGCTGTAGGGCGTTTTTCAACGATTTGGTAGGTTTCTTGCACGATCGGGCCTTTTTGACGCGATCGCTCAAGGTAGTGCGATTCACGTCGAATACACGCGCAATCTTTGCGATATTTGATTTTTTTTGGGATAAAACCGCTGTACAGGCTTCGCCCAATCGAGATTCATCAAAATCGCTAGATTTAGGCATATTGGGTGGTTGAATTGGCTAATAGTAGGCTACTGGTCAAAAAGCGACGGGGATTTCGGGATGACGGGGATTTAGGGCGCACCCACAAGCGAAAGCGGTGGGTGGGCAGAAAGGCACGGATAGCATCCTCTTATGATGTCTTCCGAAAAAGAGCGCTGCGTTGATCACGCACACTAAAATGTTGTCCCTGCGTCTAATAAGCACCCGATACACTCACTCCTGCTTCGAGTCGAGCGTTACGAGTTGAGAATTGTTTCGTATTGACCGATCGGCACGAGCGACCCACTCTCATCGCGAGCTCTCCCAAGCGCTCCCCCAGGAACGATCTTGGCACGAGGGAGTTAAACCATGACTTGATTTCTTGAATAATCATTATTTACGGCATAAACTCCGTTGAGCAGTAGAAGATAACCTTAATGCGATGGTTGAACTCCACTATCACCCCTTCCCAGCTTGCCTTCTCGCTCCCTACAGTCTAGATTAGACTTAGGTAGTTGGCTGCCCATAATACTCGCTATTTTCCACTGCTGTGAGTTTACCCATTATTCACCAATAGAAGCTAGAGGCAAGGCTGTTAGTATAGACCTCTAAATTTCGTTTTCCCTTGTCCTTGAGTGAGTCTACTTGGCTGGTTCCTTTATCTCGTCTTATCAGGGCAGATTCATCGATAAAGTGACTTCGTGTGCGATAAGCCCGAGAAAGGAAGAATGCACAATTGGCTGCTAACAGTTAAATTCCTCGGGCGCAGACTGTTGTCGACAATTATTAGAATGGAAATCCAGAGACTGCCAAAATCGGCATTTGACAAGAGGTAATGAACTTTTGTACGGATTTGGCCCAGCTGAGAGCTAACGAGGCGGGCGAGGTTTCATTCCGCAACCAGTCAGTTTAGGAGGGCGACTTTTAGTACTTCGCAGTCCCCTTTAAACCGTGACTGATCACCAGACCGATTGATCTTATAAATAACATTCAAAAGGAACTCGTTCGACCTGTATCTTGTTCTTATGTGTGCCACCCCTGTATTATTTGTAGCTAAAGACTCAAAGCACAGGCCATGGGGCTGAGTTTGGACGATCGACGCCTTTGGCCAGGCAGCCCCGTTTCCAGCAGATGCCGTCACCATCGAGTTAGCGCCGCATGCTGGCCAAGCGTTTCAACGACTATGACAGCGGGAACTCACAGAAATAATCCGTCAGAAGCTTAGCATTCCTTATCCAAGTTTTTAAGTAGGTTGAGTACTCCGTACTATAGACTATTTCGAAAAGTGTGAGCACACAGTACGGAGTATGTACAACAATCGTACAATAGCACGGACTTCCAGCTGATCTCGCGTGATTCTTTGCCAGTTATTCGACTAAAAAGACTGGAGACATCGTCCAAGTTGAAACAAGTTTGATATCCACCCGCCTCGCTCCCAATGACGCGGTGCCTCCCAGACTCGTGCTGCGTGCAGAAGTACCGTAGCCCATCGCGAATACTCCACCGAACATGGACTCCGGACTACCGCCACACTACTGATTGCGGTCGAAGCTGTGCATGAAACAATTGGGTCTTTTCCCTGTCGTTCTTGGGCTAGATTGGCCTATCTCGCCTCATATAGCTACTCTATCTTCCCCCCAAAATCCTGTTGGTGGTTCCATGGAAGTGCCGCCTGGTTCGATGGAGACTCGTTTACGTCAATTTAGACCACCCACTTAACTCGACGATTCAACACATATCTTAGTCTCTGTTTTCTAGTAAAGCATCGAGGCAGGCCCTCTCAACGGTCTCAAATTTCCAATTTACTTCGATTATTCATATCCACCATGAACGCCCCACGATGAACTGGCTTCCTCGCTTTCTATTTCCTGGCCGTCATTCCCGCGAAGCTGGCTCCACCACCGGTCGCGGGCGGCTCTTCGTGTATTTGGCGTTGACGGTCTTCGCGTTGCTACTTTCATATCAGCTGGTTCTGAATCGCGAGTCTTTGAGCGCTGTGTCGAAATGGGCTATCGGGAATGGCTTGACGCATGCTGCCGACCATGCAGCGCCTGGTATTCCGTCGCCACATCCGGAGGACGAGAAGTGGGAGGGTGAAACTGGATCACAGTTTGCGTCGCAGGAAATTCGTGAAAAGGAGCTTGTGTTGGCTGCTATGAGTTACAGTAATATGTCATGGGTGCACGAGAATGTGCCAAATTGGTATACTAATATCTATCGCGCGGACATACCTCCTGGCCAGGCGGATTTGACGGTGCCTCTGAATAAAGGCAATGAGGCTATGGTTTTCTTGACGTATGTCTGCATTTACCTTCATAGGGATGGATGGCCGAAAGCTGATATTGATTGCAGTTATATCATCGATCGCTATAAAAGTCTCCCCGATGTAGTTGTGTTCATCCATGGAGGCCGATACCAGTGGCACAATGATAACCCACTATATGGTATGTTCTCGCACCATATGTACCCTAATTCATATCCCCTTGCCATGAACGAACGTCTAACACTTCCAGACTCCGTCATCTCCATCAACGACCTCCAACTCGACTATGTCCGCGAAACCGGCTACGTCAACCTCCGCTGCTCCTGGCTCGTCGGATGTCCTGCCGAACTCGAACCAGCCCGCTACTTCCGTGAACGGCCAGAAGATAAAGGCCATCCCACCGCTGTCGAATTCCCAGACAGTTTCATGGAACTATTCCCCGGCGAGGAACTGCCCGAAGTCGTTGGCACGCCATGTTGCAGCCAATTCGCTGTATCGAGGGAGAAGATCCATGAACGGGGGATTGAGCATTATCAACGGGCTCGGCAGTTTTTGATTGATACGAAATTGGCGTCGCAGATTAGTGGGAGGATCTTTGAATATGCTTGGCATAGTAAGACTGTCCCCATCCTTCAAGGTTTAAAATGGCAAGAGGGCGACCAGTGCTGACCTGTCTTTTTTTGTGCAGTCATGTTTGGAAAGCCGCCGCAAAATTGCCTCGATGTTCGAGATTGTTATTGCAAAACATATGGATATTGCAACATGACCAATGAAGAGCTGCAGAAGCAGTGGGTGTGGCGAGGGTTGGTCTTACCTGAAGGGTGGCCGAATGTCGATCCGAATGCAGGATTACAGAAAAGGGACGAGATCCCCTCCATGGCATACTGGAGCAAATAAAGCAGCGGGAATACACAGGCAACGCTGGCTCGGATCGGAACCTCTTAGAAAACGATGACAGCCCCAGTTGGATATGCATGATTACAGATTGTTTCGTTATATCATATAGCACATCGCTCATACGCAGATAAATGCTGACCATGGCTAATTTGGTGACCGACTACCCACGCTTCCAATGACAGACTATGTTCATGTAGAAATTATCGCCACAAATCTTGTCGACTGGTGCGTTTGTATCCACTGCTGCTCTGTGGACGTTCCCCATCCTCTGCAGGTACGGCCAGGAACCCGCCGAAGCCGTTGCCCACAAGCACACTCTTCCGAGCATCACCACCCCAGGATCGACTGAGCTGTGCTTCTTGGAAGCTCACCGGCCGTGTCTTCGTACCACTACGTCCAAGTGCGGAATCTGGATCGTACGGCGTAAAGTTCCACTCTAGCTCGTCGAGGCCCTTGCTGTAGACGTTAAGTGGTTGCGCTAGACCACCACCCGCAAATTGTGGTCCATTTTCACCACCTCCGAATAGTCTTGGTGGCGGTGCGAGAAGCAAGGTGTCGGGGAATTGTGCATCGCGGACGTAGAGATCTCGTAGTGCAGGCAGTCCGTGGGACATTAGGGAGGAAATGAGATAGGTGTAGTATGACCCTGTAACGGGAGGGAGCCCATTGGTCTCGGCCTCGGATGTAATCTCGTAGTGGAGAAGTCGAAGTGACTTTGAAAGTAAGGGGGAATTTGCTCAGCGGGGAATGACCGAGTCACCTCCTGCACGATGGACAGGTTTGTAAGCTGCGGAGCCACCGGTAGTATACGGTGTAGAGTAGACGGCAGTACACCGGTTGATGCTAGAGTCAAGGACTGTAGTGCTTTTCGGTTATTTGGGACGGAGAGTAACGCGGCAAGCCCGCTTGCCGTGACATTTGGTGTATCCCGAAGGATGAGCTGCTTGAGTGCAGGGAAAGGGGGGAAATGAGCATTGATTGCGAACGCCGAATCGTCCAGCCAAGAAAGGTCATCCAACGTGAGATCGTGCAGGTGAGGGAACGAAGCGAGACCATTGCGCAAAGTCCCAGCCTCAACTCGCAATCCCGACAGCTCCAATTTCTCCAGATTGACCCAGAGTTGTGATCCTGGCAAGCGTGCAAAGCCTCCCTCAGCTCCATGGCGGTAATTCATGCGGCGAATATCGGGACAACGGGCCATCAATTCCTGCTTCAGCGCCGCACATGAAGGCTCATCGCTGAACAGACCCGATGGGAGGTCGACGAAGCGCAGGCGAGGGAGGACGGAGATGGTACGAGCGATATTGGCCTTGTTGGCTTCGCGGGTCATGTAGGGCATGCGAAGGGAGAGAACCATGTTACCCAGTCCTTGTGATTCGCGGACCGACCGCATGAAGAATTCGAGGCGGACCTGGGGCGCGTCGATAGGGTCGCCATTGCGATCGAAGAAAGACCGGCGTTTGCGTTTCGCGGCGAGCTCGACCTCAAGTTCGCAGTAGTGGACGGGGTCTATGCGGACGTTTGTATAGCTATGGAGAAGAGGAGTCAGTTGGAAGCCAGGGAATGACATGAGCAAGAGAGTTATAAGGTATCGTGGTCGCATACAGGAGAGCGCGTGCCTCTAGGAACCAGCGCTTGCAGACCTGGGCACAGTGCCCAAGATCGCGCATGTCACATAGCATGCAGCCATCGGTCATGGACTCCTCCGAGGTCTCATAGGAATTATCAACCGAGTGTGGACAGACATAGGCGAAGATGTAGGCGAGCACGGGACGAGGCAGCTTTCTGGTATAATCGCGGCCTGTTGTTTTGGCCGAGCGGGGCGGCGTCTGATGCTCGGTCGCAAGCCCCGCACTGCGCCGGGGCCGGGCCCGAAGCCGGTCCAAGAGGCCCATTCTGAGAGATCAGAAAGGGGATCAGGATGAGAAGAGTAGGATGGAGGGCATGTGGGAGAGGAAGAGAGGAAGAGAGGCAGAAAGAATGAAGTGAGCCGAGAAGAGGAAAGACAAAGGGAGGGCAGGACCCGGGGTGTTGGCTGTAATTTGATCGATTTGATGCAGGGCCCGCCCCCAAACCCGCCAACCAACGGCGAAGCAGAAGATCTAAGCTGAAACGCCCAAGGGAATAAGCAGCCGCTGAGGTCGCTTGTTTCATTTGATTCTATTTCCCATTTGGTGGAGATACTGAAGCTCCTGGCAACGCCCCGTGTGCAATTAAAGAACAGCCAATCCGGAAATTGGTCTTTCTTTGCCGTTTATTGGAGACTGTTAGCCACCTAGCACAACGAATAAGTTGGAGTATTACGCCCGTATGCTATTATTGGACTTCCAGGCCTATCACCATCGTAAATTGTGAGCGGACATCCTAGGAACAAGGGTCCTCAGGGACCAGGAACAAGCCTTGTCGATTGGCGGCAGGCTGGTAGCCGGAATGCTATTGGCCCATAAGGCATTGGTATTGAATAAAGACCATGATAGGTTCCATAGCAGAGATTCCATCATAAGTCTATTGTATTGAGTTGGATCTGTGGACCCAAGCAGGCCTACACCATCAGTATCATGACATCACTACGGGGGATACTAGACATGATGGACGAGATATCAAAGTGCAAAGGATGTTCAATGACCACAGTACTAAACAAAAATCAGCAATGCTCTCTAAAGCTGAGCCGATTCAATAGGTGTCTTTGTCATCTTCGGTTCTTCAGAGAAACCATCGAGGCTCGTCATTGTGGCGAAAGTAAATCTCAAAGTCAAGAACCAAGTACATGAACACCCTCTTATGTGGGTCCCTAAACTGACATCATTTCTCCTTGAGCAACCATATAAACTCGGGAAAGCTTTCTCAACTGTGCAAGTCTATCCAACAAGCACCCCGAAGCGCGACATCCAGCCTCTTCCTCGTCATAATGGCTGAAATTGGCGCCCTCAAGAAGGAGAATCCCCTGCCTAGCCCGGCATTCACCAATAATCATAATGAACACACACTAAAAGAAGAGTCCTGGAAGCATCGGGCTCCATATCAAATTCAACCCCCCGAGAAATTCGGACCAGTCAAGTGGCGCGCCAAATGCAAATGCGGCAAGATCTCATATAGCATAAGACAAGACAAACCATTGAATGCGAAGTTCTGTCACTGTCGTGGATGTCAGGTCATGCACGGTGCTCCCTTCCAATGGGCAGCTATTTTCCACAAGGAAGATGTGAACTTTGCCAAGGGGTGCAGCGGCCTGTCGTTTTATTCGTCCTCCGAGAATTCGCAAAAGTACCAGATGCCTACTAAGGTGTCGTGTTCTTTTTGTCATTCGCTTATCATGGATGAGGGGCGGACTGTTTGTTTGTTGTTTCCCCAATTGATTGAGTTTGAGGGCTCGCTAGATGAGCAAAGGAAGCAGATGGAGGCATTTAGACCAACGTATGATTCGCGCTTCTTGCTTGATGAGGATTGTACTAATTCATTGCCTCGCTCTGCAGATGCCATATCTTCTACGAACAGCGAATGATGGATTTCCCAGATGGATCACCCAAATGGTCAGAAATGGATCACAGTAGCCAGCTTCTAAATGACCGGGGTGTTCCCGTTGAGTAACAATGCACCGAGATATGACGACGATAGACGAGGTGATGCACAGCGTGAGGCGGCCGATTCAAGACTCTACGAGTGATACGAACAAAATAATTTCCTCAGATTAGCGGATTTGGTTACGCAAACGATCCAAGTACGTTTGAGAATTCTTCTTTACAACACCCAGCCCGAATGTATTAGTATCGAGACCCTCGTTGTTCCTGTCCCTAATCTTATGGCATTTAGATTCGGACTCATCACCATCGTTGTCAACATGAAAGCAAGTTAAAGCAGAGCACCCCGTATGATAAAATACTCGTATGATTATGAGATGTAGAGTCAAAGCTCTTGAACACGCTAGGGCTAACTCTTCGCTTCTAACTTGGGTCAGTCTCAGGCAGCAAAAATCCGCTGCTTGGATGCCTAATTCTATTCCCGGCCTCTACGAATAGATATCTGTACCTATCACCTACGACTACGACAGATTGAACTAGCATGATGTGTGGCCTGACTAAACACAGGTTTTACGCCTTGCTTGGTATTGAGTAGATAAAATATTTGAAAGTATCTATACGGCAGCTCGGTCTAAAGAAAGGGAGGATATCTATCGAGAGATCAATATCACCAGCCCCTCCTTTCTATCATGAGCATTTCAATCGGCATAATTCGCATGATCATTTTTGGGGTCGTGGAGTCCTCTTCTCCGAACTAGTCAGCGCTGGCGGCCGGCTGTAAGCCGGTTCCTGCGTTTGTAGCTTAGGCCGACCGAGTTGTAATGCCGAGGGAATGGATCCGAACCCCTCGCGGCTAAGGGCAATCAACACCAATATTTGAGTTCTCGAGCATGACATCGGTTTTCCGTTGAACAGAATACACTTTGAGCCTGCATCACACGAATCAAGATCCCTGGAAATAAGAAAACATCTCACGGTTGGGCAACATGACGACGCAGCCACTGGCACACTCCGCAGTGCCCGCGGCTGATATTTGGGAGTTCCTCTTCGAACGGCCATCTCTCCCTTTCCCTCAAGATCATGGTGAGATTTCCCCCCTCTTTTCTTCGTGCTTTTCCACTAAAACATCTTCAGTCATATTTCGCTCAGCGACCACCGATGATCAATGGACCTACCATGGACTTCGAGAACGCGCAGAGCAATTTGGCCGTGCGCTACAATCGAGCTGGCGATGGGCTAAAGATGATGTTCTCCTGGTGATGGCTCCGAATGACATCGACACCCCGCCTGTTATATGGGGATGTCACTACGCGGGCGGCATCGTGGCTCCCGTCAATCCAGCTCTATCAATTCAGGATCTTCATCAGCAGATCGAACGTAGCGAGGCGCGCGGACTGGTAGTTCATCCAGATTGCCTTCTTGTCGCTCTCAAGGCTGCTCGAATAGCTAATATCCCCACGGATCGCATCCTCGCTCTGCGCTTCGACCAACAACTTCCGACAAATGATGGTGTATCTACTGTGGAACAATTTATCGCTAATGCCAAGGTGGCTCCGGATATGATGCGTTACCGCCCGAAGATTGACCCACGAAGAGATACAGCTTTCCTGGTTTACTCGTCTGGGACAACAGGTCATCCGAAAGGAGTAATGGTATCGCATCGAAATGTGGTCGCAGATGTCTTCCTGCAATCGCTCGTCGAAAGTGCACATATAGATTGGCGCCGGGATAGGACGTTGGCTGTATTGCCTATCTACCATATATACGGTGAGTTTTGCAGAATATTACATGGTTGATATAGAATGACGCTAAGAAATAGGGTTGGTTTGTCTCGTCCATGCACCTCTCTATCTCGGGACAACCACGATCTATATGGACAAGTTCGAGCTTATCCGGTTTTGCCGCTCGATTCAAGACCATAGAATCACACACGCCTTTGTTGCGCCGCCGATTGTGCTTCATCTTACAAAAAGCGATAAAGTGAGTGAATACAATTTACGATCGCTTCGCATGATCACGTCTGGCGGTGCTCCTCTACCCGCGAATCTCATAACCGAACTCTACGAGCGACGAAAACTCCCGGTTCGGCAAGCCTATGGACTTTCAGAAACTACATCCATTACACACATTCAGGTAAGCCCTTCAAGTTTTGCTTCACTAGCCGATTCGAACACTGAGACTTACCTATTGAGCCAGCGCTGGGACGACTGGAAAAATGGCATTGGGTCCAACGGACCGCCACTTCCGGGAGTTGAAGCTAAATTTGTTGTTGGTGATACCCGAACAGCTGCTTTGGGAGAGGAAGGTGAATTATGGATTCGAGGTCCTGTTGTTTTCAACGGCTATCGTGGAGAGCCCGAGTTGACTGCAGGCTGCATGACGGCGGATGGATGGTTCAAGACAGGTGAGCTTTCACTAATGTTCTCTTTTCTTTCCTATCCTCGACCTGCTCGTCGCATCATCGCAATCTCCGCTCGGTCTTTGACTGATCATCTTAGGTGATATTGGACACGAAGATAAGCGTGGGAACATGTTCATCACGGATCGCTCCAAGGATTTGATCAAGTTCAAGGGCTATCAAGTACCACCTGCTGAGCTCGAAGACCTGATCATCAAGCATGAAGCAGTAGACGATGTTGCTGTGATTGGAATCATGAACGAAAGTCTTGCAAGTGAGGTGCCGTTGGCTTATATTGTGGTCAAGCCTGGTACACCGGAGGACGAATCGACAGCAAAGCTGCTCCTCGATCATGTCAAGAATCAGACAGTGAACTACAAACATCTCCGAGGAGGCATTATTTTCACGAAAGAAATCCCAAAGGGTTCATCTGGCAAGATTTTGAAGCGAGTGCTTCGGCAGCAAGCGACAGCCGAGGGGGTACATCGCGTTGGAGCAAAGGAGTATGGGAAATATGCACGGGAGGTGAAACTGTAACCCTTCAGTGTGTTTCATGCGCCCTCACATTGGCTTAGTCCATTACTAGAGCACGTCTCCAATGATATGTCCAAGAAACCAAAGATTATTGAGGTAGTCGTCACTCGCCTTCATCAGAATGTCTTGGAAGCTGGAGTTGACAGCATGCGAAAAAAGGCATTTGCAAGTTCTCACGCCAAGATCATCAACCCTGTTCCTAAACCGAGCATTTGGCGTAGAGACGTTGAATCTTCATATTTCAGAGGAGCCCAATCATGATCTGATAACCACAGCGTGCCGAACCTACTGCGCCTTGGCGATGTTGGTGGGGGCCAAAAATGGCCCGGCGCGGCGGCTGAATGGAGAAGAGCTTCCGTGACGATGTGACCCTCTTGCAGATACTTTCCTGAAAAGGGAATACGTCGGCCACGAATGTCTCATCCTGTGCGCTCAAGGTGTGTTCTTAAAGGTGCGCTCGTTCGTCATGGAGCCATGTATTCAGTGTTCGAATCATCTACAGCCTGTCCCTTGATACGATGTGGCTCAACTCGTGGATGCGTGCCGCCATTCTGGCAGGCCTGACTGGCTCAGTCGCCGCCGTGACGCAAATCACCGACGATGAAATGACATCTCTCCTCAACGCCGGTGGAGTCGAACTGGCAAACCGTTATGCACCTATGTGGTTCTTCGGTCAGTCCCAGAACCAACCGCCATGTTACCCGACCTGGGCTTTTGGTGGATCGCCCACTACGCCTGATATCTACGATGATGCTCATAAGACCCCCGCTGCCCCGCAGTGCCAATACCCTAATGTTGGCTGCAACTGCAGAAATCCCGATGTAGGTATTGGGAACCCGGGGCCTGCGTTTCCAGTGTACTACACCTATCAGCATTGCAGCGACACCGAAGTTCGTGTGGTGTACAACCTCTTTTACGAGAAGGATGGTGCTACCTTTGGTGCTATCCAAACTGGTCATGATTAGTAAGTCAATTTTTCGATATGAAGAAAATGGCATGTGCTAAAACGCTTTCAAGCGACTGGGAGCGGGTTATAGTCATCCACTCGCGTGATAGTAACAACATGTGGGCCCCATCGCGAGCGCTCCTGTCAGCTCACAGTGGCTACCACAACTTGGCCTGGGGCGATATTCAGAATACCCTCACGACGGACGAGATCAACGCCGGCGATGCGAAAGACCCCGACGGCGTGCAAAACAACGATCATCCGAAGGTGTACGTGGCGTGGTCCAAACATCCGAATTTCGATACTCGCAATACTGGGTTCAATGACCCGATTAGTCAATCCCTAGAAGATGCATTCCGCAGTCAGGATTGGTGGCACTTTGTTGAAACCCAGAACTATGTATGTTGCTCCTTTTTCACCTCTTCGTGGAGATACTTGAGAGCTCACAAAAGTCTAAGATTCGGGCCGACCTTAGCACCGCTGCTGGACAGGCTCTTGGTGCTGCGGACTGGGGAGAGGCCTCGAGTAATCCGCCCTCGGTGCATGCGACCGTCTGTAGTGCGTCGTAAACAAGGATTCGGAATGGAGGAGAGGAATTTATATTTGGATCATAACAAATCAACTAGTGCTCCAAATAACTAGTGTTCAACAAGCATATTTGCACATATATCGTTCATTTTCTAATCGTTGTGATACGTCCGATGTAAAATCCCACGCTGACTGTATCTGGCTGCGTGCTGATCCACCGATGAGCCCCGCATTGATTTGTTATCTGACCGTTCGTCAACGCCCTGCTCGATGGGATTCAACCAGAATTGACTCATTGTCACATACTTCCCACGGCTTCAGGATTCTTCTCAGACGCTGAACTCGCCTTTTGAACATTCAATTACCTGTATCATGGCTTCATCGGCCGAGATTCGAAAGCCCTTTCCCCAGCCGGCTGCGGGGTATACTCAATCTTTTTGGCGAACCCAACTCGATCCCCTGGATAGTCATCGGAGTACCCCGGATCTACCAATAGAGACAGACATCTTGATCATTGGCGGTGGCTATGCAGGGGCCTCGGCGGCTTATCACCTCTTTCCTGAGGATCAGCACGGGGCTACTCCGAACGTTGTTCTACTCGAAGCTCGTGAATTATGCTCCGGCGCTACTGGAAGAAACGGTTTGTAAGCCACCTTATTAGACTGCAAAATATGTTTGAGCTAATGGTAATTTGCATTTCCGAGTAGGTGGTCATCTTAGACCCGATCCATACTCGGCGACTGCGAAGTATACAGAGCGCTATGGAATTGAAGCCGCCGTAGAGGTTGTCAGATTTGAAATTGCTCATATGAAATTACTTGAAGAGCTCGTGCGAAAGGAGAAGATTGACTGTGATCTTACCTTCACCAGGTCTCTCGAGATCTACCTGGATGCAGATGAACTCGCAACCATGAAAGATTTTTATGATTCTCTCGTTGACCGAGGCCTAGATTTTATCGACGATGTCAAGTATCTTTCGCAAGAAGAGGCGCAAAAAGTGAGTAACTTCGTACCTGTAATCAATATACATAGTTTTGCTCATTTGATATTCTGGGCAGATAGCCAAGGTTCGAAATGCCCAGGGGGGCTTCAGCTTTTCGGCCGGCCACCTTTGGCCCTACAAATTGATAGCCGGGCTTATTCGCATTGCTATTGCTCGCGGCCTCAATCTTCAAACGAGCACAATGGTCACTGAGATTGGTCAAAATCGTACGCCAGAGGGGCTATGGCCCGTCTCAACCAATCGTGGTGTTATCTGCGCGCGGAAGATCATACTCGCAACCAACGCTTTCACAAGTGCTCTTGCTCCGGAGTATTCCAAGGCTATTGTGCCTTGCAAAGGACTCTGCACGCACATTGAAGCAGCGCCTGGTGCTCCCTACCAAAAGCTACCCGAGACATACGTGATTCGGCATAAGCCAGGAGCATTCATCTATCAAATCTCGCGCAACGATGGGTCTATCATTGTTGGTGGTGCGAAGGATACCTACAAGGATATACATGAGCAGTGGTACAACAACCCTGATGACGGTACCTTGGTTAAGAGCGTCGAGCACTACTTTGATGGGTATATGCAGCGAACATTCTTTGGTTGGGAAGATAGTCAGGCGACAGTAAAACACATTTGGACCGGGGGTAAGTAGAGCATTCCAGGTTTCTCTGTGTCTGACACAGGCCGTTTCGTTGATATTTTATCTTCTCCCATCACAGTAATGGGCTTCAGTGCAGACTCCTTGCCACATATTGGAGAGATCCCGGGAAAACCAGGACAATTCATTGCGGCAGGGTTTAACGGACATGGTATGCCTGTCGCATTTTTGTGTGGAAAGGCGATCGTGCAAATGGCCCAGCAATCGGTTTCCTTCCAGGAGACTGGTCTACCGAGACTCTTTGAGACATCATCTGCACGGCTGGATCCTGTATATGATGACACCCTGGACTGAATGGACTTCGCCCTATTTAACGACCTACGTGCAGCGATTGAAGTCTTGATCTATACCTACCTGAGGTAGCTTTACCGATCTCTCCGGATTCCCCAGCTCTCCAGGCTTGCAATAGGTGATGAAATATATTTGGCCCCCGGAATGATGGCGTACCTCTGGAAGTTCACTTATCTGAGCAAACTTTGAATCCAATTTACTGTTTATCGTTGTATTTTTTTCAGTGTCATCCAGTATAGCTCTGGGGTTGAGATTTGAAGTTTCCCAGTCCCGAGGAGAATTCAAGATGACTGCTGGATGGCAGTGAATCGCTTTGTCACTCTTACATATGTCGGGGTCTTCGTTTGGAACTCACGTGCAGGTTTACTGCAATAGAAATGCTGCAGTTCCATGGGAAGCAGGCTAGTAGTAACAATATGCAAAATGCAAAATAATTGAACAATTCATTCTCCCGAATCCTTATTTGTTTGACGCAGCTAAGATTTAACCTTCTGCCATGGACCCTCATGGCCAATCATCAGCCAGGGATGACGCACATGGCTATCACCAACCGAAAACGACCCAATAACCGTAAGGCATCCAGAATTGACACCTTGGCCCTTGGCGCGTCAATCGTCTTGATTTTGGGAGCTTCTCACCAGCTCAATTCTGACCGTTGTCCAGTCACCATAGAGATCGTCACTATGTTGCTCCCGGCTCCCATCTCGAGATATGTCAGATCACTTCGGTCTTTGAGCCAAAAGTGGCGGAGCCACACCGAGTCCCGACAATATGACGGCACCGAAGATTCGCTTGCTCATCGACTGACTGATGTCGTTCTTCGGACCTGGGACTTGGGATTCATTGCGTTTGGTGGACCACCTGTTCATTTCCAGATCTTGCATCGCAGGTTTGTGGAAGGGAAGGGTGGAAAAGAGAAATGGGTGGATGAACAGACTGTAAGCGCCGCCTCAATGAATCTTTAAGCGATCAAATACTAACCTTGCTAAATAGTACCAAGAGCTTTTTGCTATCTGCCAGGGACTTCCTGGTCCTGGTAGTACGAAAATGCTGTTTTGTCTCGTCCTCCTGCACGCGGGATTCATTCCGGCCATTATGGCGTTCCTGATCTGGTGGTGAGTATGTAAGACCCCAGTTATCGGACCTGTCATAATAATCGCGTGATAGTCTCCCTGGAGCGGCAGGCATGTATGGTCTCTCAGTTGGTATTCAAAACCTTAGTACGACTCTCCCAGCTCCAGTCTACGCTCTCCTTTCTGGACTGAACGCCGCGACCGTTGGTATCGTCGCGGTTTCTGCAGTACAGCTCGCGGAAAAAGCGATTCATGATAAGATCTCACGCATTCTGATCATCTTTGGAGCATGTGCGGGTCTCTGCTTCAACGCTTTGTGGTATTTCCCTGTCCTGATGGTCATTGGCGGTCTTGCTATCGCTGTTTGGGATGGGTGGCTGTACTCCCAGGTACAGAAAGCAAAGAGAGCTTGGAAAAATAGGCACAACCCTCCAGTAGATTCTGAGGAGGCCAACTCGAACAACTTGGAATTGGAGCCTACAATCCAGACACCAGCGGAGCTAAACGAAGGTGTGCGATCAAGGAAACCGAATCAGGCTGAAAACCTACCACGGGCCTCTGGGGCGGTTGCGGGATCGACAAGGTCAAGAGAGACTGAAGCCAGCCAATCGCCGAAATATCGCGTTCGAGTGCGGACGGGAATTATCATTTTCGTTACCTTCTTTGGTATGTCTCTTGTGATACACATGTTAGATGGACCGTAACTAACCTTGAATAGCTTCTTTCATCGCCATCCTTGTCGCAAGAGGCAAACTGTCACCTCCACCACTTGCACTTGATCTGTTTGCCAGCATGTACCTCGCCGGAACTGTGATCTTCGGTGGAGGCCCAGTTGTGATTCCTCTCCTCCGATCTTACGTTGTTAGTCCAGGTTGGGTTTCTAGCCGTGATTTCCTGATTGGTCTGGCCATCATCCAAGCTTTCCCGGGACCTAACTTCAACTTTGCCGTCTTTTTGGGCGCACTGGCGTTACAGCACTCGCAGTTCCCTACTGTCTTTGGCGCATTTCTCGGCGGAGTGGGCATCTTCGTCCCCGGAATTACTCTGGCGGTTGCGATTCAGAGCTTCTGGAGTGTGCTGCGGACGAGAAGATCTGTCATTCGCTTCCTGCGGGGTGTTAACGCTACTGCCATTGGTTTGGTCTTCACTGCCGTGTACCGACTGTGGGAGATTGGGTACTTGACTCCTTCCAATAGCGCTGGACAAAGCCTGGCGAATGATCCGTGGTGGTTGGTGGTCACCACTCTGTCGTATGCAGGCAACGCATGGTTCCATCTTCCCCCCGCCGTGTCGATTGTTCTTGGCGCGATACTTGGGCTGTGCTGGTATGGAGCTGTTGGGCGGTAATGGTGACCCATCTTCAGCCGATAGGAGCTTTCTTTGCACGGATTTCTTGTATAAAAGATAGATGGCACTGTGTATAGTGGCTGTTCAAAATCTGAATCTAGGGAAATATCTAGCTACATACGGTTGAAATCTCTTTTCTTTCAAGAGCTTCCGTGGGTTTTTGAAAGGGTTTCATAGATGGCCCAAGCAAGATTCCTCATCATATCATTCATAGTATGACCGCAGAGACGATTTCGAACATCTCCGTTCAAACTTATGGGTCGCCACTGTATTTTGATATTGGCTAATATCTTCAAGTATGCTCATCTGATCTTCCTTGGTCTAGTGGTCATGATTTCCGCTTGTCATTAACTCCGATAAGCGCGGGAGACCGGGGTTCGATTCCCCGAGGGAGAGTCACTTTTTGCACTTTTTTAACCCTGTCAAGGTCTTATCTGGACTGTATTATTAGGCCTAGTTACAGATATTGAGATTCGATAATGTATGATACAAAGGTTGATACTTATTGCATCTTAGAATCTACCTAAGCTGACTGGAGAATCTATGACTTCTTCTGGTGCAATTCTCCTCTAGCAAATGCAATGCCCCACGCGGAGGTGGATCGAGCTAGCTGGTCATTCGGCGACCTGAGTTGCTTCGGGCTCTGTCAACAGTAGATAATGTTTCTGGCCCCGATGGACCCTCCTAATTGAGTATGTAATGGATCTACTCTAGGTATGGCAGTCCGCCGACCAGCCCCCGTAATTTTCCTTTCCTTTGCGATGGAGGGAGAAATTTAGAGACTGCAGATAGCAACTCGAAAACAATGCATTCATGAATTAAATTGGACGCCAAAATCTTCAATATTTGATACCTGCAATACTAACTAGCGTCTGATAAACTGCGCGCTTCGTTCAGCTCAGTGGTAATAGACTGCCCTCGCACTTTTTCCTAAAAGTCCATGACTTTAGAAGCAAAAGTACATCCCATATCGCTTGAGAGTTCCCAAGACCTTATTTTGCCTTCTATTTGCTCGCGCCTCTCGGTTTTCGGATTCCTCAGCGGTACTGCTTCCGTCGAGATCAATTAATGTGTCGTATCGATCTGTGACCAAATCCATCTCATGTAGCTTCACGAGTTTGGTCTTTTTGATGAACTTCCATCCAACGATCATGAGAATCAAAACGGGGATCTCCAGGTAGAAAGAGACAAAGTCAACCACACTGAAGCTCGGACTGAAGCACGTCCAGCCCTGAACCAAGATCAGGACCACATTCAACCCAACAGTAAAGATCGGGCCCCATGGGTAGGTCCAGTTCTTGAATAGTAGCAAATGCTCAAGATTCTGCTTCTTGATACCCGCCCGGAAGCGAAGGGATGCTATGCCAATAAACACCCAAGATAGTTGGTTGGAGACGCCGACGATGCTATATAGCTAGGTTAGCTTTCCAAAGAGAGAACGTATAGCAAATAACCTACTTCTGCAACCAGACCCATAATTTTCCTTGTCCAATATAGCTTGCACCAAAGCAAAGTGCGCTGATAACAAGAGTCCCTAGGACTGCAACCCATGGTACTTGGAAGCGGTTGATATGGCCGAAGAATCGTGGTGCATGGCCGCTAATTGCAAGTGTATATAATAGCCGCGATCCCACAAAGAGCGCATGGTTAGAAGCAGAGATTGCACTGGTGAAGATGACTGCGTTGATAAAGCTGCCCGCAACGGAACTACCGGCCTCAACAAAGACGATAGTGAATGGGCTTGAGTTAGTTGACTTGCTGGAAAGCCCCGGATAGTTGTATGGGACGTTGAAGCCAATGATAATTACAGAGAGGATATAAAACAGCAAGATTCGCCAGAAGACGTTGCGTACGACTTTCGGTAAAGTCTTTGCTGGATCTTTGGTTTCTCCTGCCGTAATTGCGATTGACTCTGTGCCTCCGCTAAATAATGAGAGGCATATGAGTTCTGAATCATTGTATTGAGGCACGAAACTTACTATGCAAAGGATGCTGTAACGAAGACTGAGGCGAAACCCCCGATTCCACCCACAAAGGGGGCTTCACCGACATGCCAATATTGATCGCCAATGTATCGGTGGCCCTTGTTTCCGCCACAGTTGACAACAATTCCCACGATAATGAAGACCTGGAATGCAGGTTAGATGAAGGACATGACTTTTGGGATATTTCAAACTTACAATGATAGTGGCTACTTTAAGTAAGCTTAACCAGTATGAGACCTACGAGTGTGAGTGGACGGGCTCCAATGTGTAGTTAGGATGTTTGGCTTACTTCGCCGAAAACCCCAACTGGGGCCAGATTGAATCCCAGGACGATGAGAAGGAATATAAGACTGATGGCCCATCCTGGAAAATGTTCTGTCCAGTACTGGAATAAAATTTGTAGGGCAAGTAAATCTGCTGCTGTCGAAACGGCGTCGTTGAACCAATAGTTCCATGTAAGTGCAAATGAAAGAGAGTCATCCACGAAACGACTAAGAATGAATTGATTCTCAATGAGCAAGTTCCAACAACGTAGGAGCCTTTTTACGTACCCAGCGAATGTGCAGAACGAGCCAGAGACCGGAATGAAAGCTGCCATTTCTCCCAAGCAGAGCATGGTTAAGAAAATTATGAGTCCACAGATGGCATATGCGACGAGAGTGGACCCGGGACCTCCAGTAGCAAAGGCCTTCCCAGTGCCAAGGAACAATCCTGTACCAATTGTTCCGCCGATGGCAATCATTGAAACCTGTCTTGCAGATAGGTTTCTAGCTAAATGATTGGTGCTGATTGGGGTGACATCCCCTTTCGGGTCTGAACAGTCATGTCCCGGCACCTGATCCACATCTGAAGGCACTGGCGCCAATTTCTCGCAGTCAAATCCCATCTTTGATTCAAGTCAAATTCTTCTTAGAAACAGAAATAGTAAATTGGTGTATACAATGGGACAGTGGATTTCGCGAAAGTGGATTCTGAGATGTGGAGACTTTATATTCCAGGATGCCTAGCATCCGCGGCTCTCTAGACCGCACTGGGCACGAGATGGATGCGGGGAAATCTGAATGTCCCCTGGTCCACATTGTTAACGACAGCAAAAGCTCTCCGCAAATTTTGTGTTCTCCGATTTCGGGGCCATAATACGCACGGTCATCATGAGAAAGACCCACTCTATGTTGATGGGGCATGTCTTGCACCAAATAGAAAGCCATATTTGAGTCGGCGATTGAAGTCAACTAGGACAATACCAGTAATCCGGCGAATGGCCGAGATAGATAGAAGGCCGATATATATACTTTTTCGGGGAATGCCACGAGTGCGCGTTAGAATTGGAGAAATGAGAACAGCAAATGGATATCCGAAGTCATGAGTATTGAATCGCGGCATTTAAAGACGACATCAAGTGCAACCCAACCCATCTCAAAATGATCCTCCACAAGCTTCAGAATTTCGCAATTCAATAGTTCAATATGACAGTTTATCCTGACCATCGTAGCAGCGGCTTCGCAACCCGCGCAGTGCACTCTGGCTCTCCTCATGACAAAACAACTGGTGCGGTGATACCTGCGGTAAGTTCCGAGATTGCCATGCTTCGATCATTCATCTCTTTCCAGTATGGCTAACTTCAGCCAGATCTCTCTTTCTACCACGTTCGCACAGAGTGGTGTGGGTAAACCTGTAGGGGCCTATGAGTACACTCGAAGTGCGAATCCTAATCGGTCCGTACTTAAAACTCTCATGTCTCTACCTAATACTGACATGAGCCAGGGATAACTTTGAAACCGCAATAGCGGCATTAGAGAATGCGAAATATGCCCTTGCCTTCGCATCGGGGTCTTCAACGACTGCTGTCATTCTCCAGTCTCTCCCAATTGGGTCTCACGTTGTATCAGTTGCTGATGTATACGGCGGATCTCATCGCTACTTTACCAAGGTGGCCAATACACACGGTGTTGAAGTCTCTTTCACTACCTGTCTCGAAGAGGACCTGGAGAAAATGATTCGGCCAGGCAAGACTAAGCTTGTCTGGGTTGAGACACCGTCTAACCCAACCCTGGGCCTCGTGGATCTTCGGAAGGTTGCTACCATTGCCCAGTCCCAAGGAGTTTCATTGGTCGTCGACAACACCTTCTGCAGCCCCTATATACAAAATCCTCTCTCTCATGGTGCGGATATTGTCGTCCACTCTGTCACAAAGTATATCAATGGACACTCGGTGAGTGTTGAGCTTGACCTGAATGGGAGGGAAATGTCTGTTAATCTTAATTATTGGCAGGACGTCATTATGGGTGTAGCTGCTTTCAACTGCCCTCAATGGAATGAACGTTTGACATTCCTCCAGAATGCCATCGGAGCTGTACCCTCCGCGTTCGATTGCTGGTTAGCTCACCGGGGCTTGAAAACCCTGCATTTGCGCTCGCAAGCTGCTACAAAGAATGCCACGGCTATTGCACTTGCGCTAGAGGCATCTGATAATGTTATCTGCGTGCGATATCCTGGTATCGGGTCTCACCCTCAGCGAGATATTGCAGTTCGGCAGCACCGAGACGGTATGGGCGGAGGCATGTTGAGTTTCCGCCTAAAGGGTGGGCGCGAAGCAGCACACGCGTTTTGCCAAAACACAAAGATTTTCACTCTAGCTGAATCTTTGGGTGGAATTGAGTCTCTCTGCGAAGTCCCTGCAGGCATGACTCATGCGGGTATTTCCAAGGAAGAACGAGAAGAGTCGGGTGTTTATGATGATCTTGTTCGGCTTAGCTGCGGTATTGAGGACACTCAGGATCTCATCATTGATGTACTACACGCTATTAAAAAGGCAGTGATGTCTACTGGTAACGGAATTTTGTGAGGATACTTTTTAAAGCATCGGAAAACGACCGAAAGCTCACAGACAATGCAAGAGAACCACTAGGCCAAAAATGCTTCATGGGCAATTTGACCATGTGTGAAGTCTGTCAGCAGATAGCCATCAAGCAGAATAATTTGTTTCTCAATTCTTTGAATGTTGAAAATTTTACATTTCACTCCTACTTCTGCTTCTTGTGATTTAGACACCTTGTAGATGCAACACCAGCGATAGCGAAGATAGAGTTTCAATGACCGTGTAGTTGTTCCAACCTTTGTAGGTTGAGCAATTTATTTCTCGATCATTCAAGATTTCCCAAATTGCTCTATTTGGAAGAAGAAGCGTTGCTGGCTGTCACAATCCTATCGGCGATGGTTGAATCGCCGATAGAGTGTGATCTCGTATCAGCGGTGCGCCGTGCGCACGAACGCTACCCCACAAACAGATGTGCGGGGAGCGGATCTCAGGCTCAAATCAGTCAATCTCGGGGCTAGGGACACTGTATCTCATGCCTGGGGTGTAATATTTGTCGTTCTTCACTGCATCAGAGTTGGATTAGCTCATTGTAAGTGGCTCTCTCGGCCGGCAATAGCGATCATGGTTCTGTGTCTCTGACCTCGTTCATGATCAGTCGCCGATTTGAATATAATTACCCCCTACTAGGTGGTGATCAGCAAGTTGACTCTGTAGAAGGAACCATTCAATATGATGAGGCTGGTAAATTGAATCCAAGCTTGGATATCTCTCTCAGAATGGGTCAACATGGCTGGGAGATTAGATAGCACCCGGCGAAATACCGCACATACACCTTCAAGACTAACAGCACGACCATCTAAGCCCATCTTAAGCTTAAATGTAGCAGGTTGTCTGGTCGTCTGCGTACTTGAACATTGAGGAACGGATTTAGATTGGTTGACTCTGTCGGGTCGAGGAAGAGAGCATGCGATCTTTCTGCTAACACGCAGAATTGAAAGGGGTGGACGACTGCCAAGTGTTTATTTTAGCTGTTTTACTGCCTACTTTCAGGTGCTGTTATCTCTAAGAAAATTACTACGGCCAGTTAAAAAGGAACGAAAGTGTGAATTTTGTCTGTCTAGTTTGTCTCGACGAATAGCGAGATTTGCTTCAGTGGCCCTAGGCTGGGCCCAGGCAATGATGCTGAAGCTCTGTCATAAACCATCCAGTCAGTCATGATCGTATTAGGGAATTCCAGAATCATCAACGTACGCTTTTGTTGGTATTTGGCCTTTTTAAGCGCCGACCTGGCGCTATTAAGATTTTATTTCGCTTGGTGAACGTGGTCATCAAGGCCTAGGACGCGCTTTGACGTCCTTTGCCAAATGGTTGGTATCTTTACCCGACTGTGAGATCGTTCCGTGCAAAAGGAGCTTAGCCCCACTGTACTCTGAGAAGAGTCTTCAGAATTCGTCTCACGCGTCATATCTTCAAATGAGCGGACATTCGCAGCTATCTGGGTAATATCAGATGGTGCATTTTTTCGAGTCGAATTTTCCGTGGGGGGTTTAACGTGAAGGGGAAAAGTTCAAAGTGCGGGAGAGAAGTCGATGGGAAGATTGATTGTGTGAGGCGAATAACCTCAGCTGGGGGTGAGCCTGTCAGCAGGGTATGTGGTGGGCAATCGAGGGCAACATGTGAATATTATATGCTATTGCCGGTGCCTTCTTCGATTCTATAAGCTCGATCCATGACTAGGGAAACAACGCGTTGATGGCGGGTATACCAGATATTTGCCTCTGGCGAAGACTCGAAGAATATATAACAGGTGACCAAATGGAGAGGCAAGTGGTCCGTGCAGAAAGAAACGAGGAAAGGAAGAAATTTGGGCGATCTTGGTGGAATGGGAATACAGGGCACAATTTTCCTGTGTGAGAAACAGACACATCTCTTGGCAGCTTCAGAAATAACACCGTTGTATTTAGCTATTTCCATGTTTGAAAACCGGCTCCTCCGTGTACATTCTCTGATTGTTTCTCAGCCCCTATTTAAACCCACACTGGCTCCTATGCGGCTAAGCGGATGACATCCGTGGGAAGTATCTCTGTTGTCTCTCATGTGTCAACTCCGCGTTCGGCTTGGCGGCGATGGATGAGGGGGTTGTAAACCTTGTCTTTCGCATAGATTACAGTTTCCAGGTCGCTCCAGGGGAGTCTTCTGGTTAAGCTCTGGTTTTGTATATCTGCCAACACGTGCTTGGCAATTCATTGTTCTGGCAGAATTCCTCTCAGACCTTGAAGAACCGGCAAAAATGATTTAAGAGGCTGAAACGAACACTGGAATGGCCGTTTATCCGGGATCAAATGAACACTCACCTCACCGGCCTGGAAAGAACGAAGTTACGGTTGATCCTCGTTCTGGCGAGTGAGAGCAATGCCCTTCAGCGAGGTTTGCATGACAAAATAATAAATTTCCCAAACTCTCCGGAAGAGTATCTGAAAATGCGAACTGACGAAAAGCCCGCATAGCGCACGAGAATCTTTTCCGCTGGTAGAATCTTGCCTCGACCCAGCCACCTACGGGCCGCTATTAGAGTGGCCCACACCGGACTTGAGTCCCGGTGCGAACAATGAAAACACGGCGTGTCGCAGATCAACGCATAAAGGACCCGTACATTGCCTTGTCGACAAGAAATCCAGATGATCATTTTCGCATTCCATGCTTTGCGATTGAAATAGGAGAGAAAGCTTGGCGGTACGTTCCCTCCGGTCAAAATCGATACCTGCAGAAGTACTAATAGATTTAATCTTCAAAAGATAGCCTATAGCCGACTCTACGTTTCCATACGTTGTGGAACTCCTATCCGGACGTCCATGGCACGAGTCATATTGAAGATGCGAAGAATTGCATAGCGCAGGCCGAGAAAGCACCTGGTACGGCTGATACATAAACCGACAGTATGTGCGCGCTAAATCTCCCACAGCTAAGGCTCACTCCCTCTATTTTCACAGACAATTACCGGCATCGACCAAATCGCCCTGTCTATCTGCTTCGCCTCCCATGTGCGCAATCGACGTGGACATAACTGATAATCCTGAGGCTGAAGGCCAGAGGTTACATGAACTGTCAAGCTGAGAAAAATGGGGTTTCCATTTGTTAGCAGAAGGTCCAGAAAATCAAACATCAGTGGTTTCCCCTTCTTGCTCCCGATTTCAGTCCTTACATTGGGTTGCGGCTCGTAAAAAATTGTCAGCCGGGAGCTCTCCGGAAGTCCCTCAGCGTAGACGGAGCCTGTTGGATGTGGAAGTACCATCCCTTTCTAGTAGCACAATCGGATGTGAGCAGCTCATTTTTGCTTGATAGAATTCTTGGTCATGCGGGTCTTCCCGAATAATAAATCTTGATTCCAAGGTTCGTTTCCATGCTATGGACCCACTTCCTCACGGGAACTTCCGCATTTGCCGGGCCCACATCTGTCTAGCGTCAACCTTATTTTAGCCATTGCCGGCCTTGGTATCCCGGGGTAACGTTGGGTGATTCCAGGATTGTCTGTAAAACCTATGCGTCAATTAAACATTTAATCAATGGAAGGTTCCATTATGAGTCATATATTGTTCTCGTTGACCACGCCCCGCGAATCCCCACCGACCGCCATCCCGACCGCGTCTCTGTCACTCATTGGCTGCCGGTGGGACACTTGACGGCCGTTCTTCCTCTGATATCTAATCTACGCTATTTTCTCACATCCCCATTTACACACCATTGCACCGAACCTGCCTAGGATGTTCGTCCGAGCAACCAGTGGCCCCACGCAGCTGGTATAATCGGGTTTCGAGTTTTATAGCGAGACGTCTCATCCAGCCTCCCCTCCATGAGTCCGGCACTTCTTTTTACTGGAATTGACTCGTCCTGTACAAGGCCAAGAAGCTCAGGAAAGCATTGGCTCGGATCTGTTTGATGAACATATTTTGGCTTATCTTCAGTTAGTTTGGACTGTGGAAGCTTGATATGATCACCATGGATCAACTCATCTACGAATCACAAGCACGAACATGTTTCTGATGAAATGCATTGGGATGGCAATGGACGAAGACTCAAGACATAGGTCCTCCAGATGGAGCATGACATACGGCGGGAAATGGGCAATCCGAATTCTACTGGCCATTGACTTCATCGAGCAACAACCCGACGTTGACACACACAAAGATGTTTCCCACTGCGACAACCTTGAGTGCCCTAAAGCTTCGCATGGCTTCTGTAGTATCTACAAACATAGTCTGTAAGTATCAATAATTCATGATACGATGGATAATTACCATCACAGGAGCCACAATGAGTACTGATGACTGGTTGAAATCTTGCAAGAACGCCGATATCAGAAGACAACCCAGACTCTTCGGTCGAGACGTGTTGATCTCAATAAAAGGTCTCCACTGTTCTCGTGAACATTGATGGAAGGCGACACGCATAATTTCATTGATGGTTGATATGGGGCTGGAGCAGTCGAACTTGATAGTGATGTTTTCTGTGGCACTCAAAGTACTTGAGCATGCATAGGTTGCAATGTTGAGACACATTGATGGAAGATTGTAGATGTAGAGGCTGGGAAGCATCCCTAACATCAGGGATTGGAAGTGCAAATCAAGAGCGGAGATTCCCATGTTGTTCCGTAAGCTACTAAGTGCAAGTTACCTATCAGAAATCCAACAGAGCTTCTGTAGCTTTTGCGTTGAATGAAATTGAGGTGGTGTTTGGATATCAAAGTACGCGTTGAGTCGATCAAGACGTGTTTGGTCCTTTACTTTTATGATGTTTACTCTTAATTTCGTGTTGTTTGGATGCTGAGACTTGTGTTGTTGTTTGTTGGAAGTTTCCAGTAAAGCCTCTGTTCTTCTGGTCATCTTCACTGGATATTCAGCGTTTATCTTTTGCACACACAGTCTCACCCCAATCGTTAGCAGATTCTTCGTTCTACATCTACACTTCATTCTGAATTACCAATCCAAGTTCAAGCAGCATCAGCGGTCCACCGCACACCCTCACAATGAGGGACATCAGGGCCCTGCTGGAGCCTGTACATTCCCTGGACCAGACGATCTCCATCGTTGAAACGGAAATCGCGGCACAAGACAGCGAGGTTGACTCCCTAGAAAGATGGGTCAAGAGCCTTAACTTCAAAAGGTACAGACCAATGCGAGGTTGGCCTGTTGAGTTGCGAAACGCCCATGCCAAGTATAAGGCATTGGGAATGGCCATCCGCCGCCCACGGGTTAAATTCGAGAACGCCGAGAGGGAGTACCTTGAGACCCGAGACCGTACCCCCGAGGACAGTCTCGATTTGGCACATCTTGCCATCGAGTACGGAAAGGTTGCACTCGAGTATATTTGACCCCACCAATCGCCTCTGAGCCAAGCAATGAGTACTGACACATAATTTCCGAACAGAACCTCTGAGGCCCGTCTCGACGTCATGATCCGTTGGGACCGAGCATTTCCCGATGAGAACGCAATGAAAGGCCATATTCAAGCAGCCAGCCAGTTTGTTGCCTGTGCTCGAAAGTCGCTGGATTCAGCCACCAAGTATCGCAACGGTATGGCCTCCACACATTTTAATTGCAATCTTACTGATACTAATTTTGAGTTTTGCAGAGGTTTATGACCTGGTACGCACCGGTTCCCCTAGCGTCTTTGAATAGATTTCTTGGGGCGAGATGGTTTGTTCTGATGGACTGACGCTAAACTACGTGCCTTGTCAAAACAGCGAGAAGGATCGTTTCCCATGATCTCGTGCGTTTGGTCCGTCCTTCTTGTTTTTCCCAGTCTCGTCTTGGAAGATTTCTGTGGCTTAACCTGTCTTTGAAATTCGAATTCCAAGTCTGTTCCTCAAATCATCTTTGAAAATTCAATTCCAAGTAGGCAAAATACATCCGTGTACGGATTGCTCCATTGAGGCATACCTTAACTTAGGGCTATAGTTCGCCCGGTGGGTTCCTTCATGGCAAGGAGCCAATCAGAAGGGCCGTATTCGCGTCCACTATTAGTTAGCGCCGTTAGTGCCATCTTTATTTCCAGTTTGGGGACGCCGCTTCATGTCCCGGAAATCTCCCGCTTGACCTCCTTCCCTTTGACGTGCCTCGCATTTCCTTCCTTTCCTTACTTACCATCTCCTCGGCTCTGAGACCTGCACCTCCAAAAGAGCTGCGCGACCTCACTTCCCCTGGCTGCTTCATGCTATTTCCTTCCCACGCTTGCTCTGAACCCTACAGAATTACCAAAATCTTACCCTTACCAATTTCTTTCCGTACTCTAGTGCCTTTTTTCCAGCGCCAAACTCCACCATCAACAATGACCATGCCCCTCGCTCAGAGCCTGGGCCAACGGCCCTGGTCTGAGCGTCACCCGCGAACATCAAAAATTATCACACCCCTTGCGCGGAGCCTCCGGCGACGGCTTCGGTCTCAGCGCCACACCCGAACGTTCACCGTCATTCGGGGTTTTACTAAGAGCCTCTGGCAGCGGCTTCGGGGTCAGCGCTCGCCATACTTGACCCTTTCCCTTGAATCTTCTCACTCGGACCTCATCCCAGAGTTGGTTGCTTCGCCTCATGTCAACCAGCTTGAAGACGTGAGCATGATCGATGCGTCAGTGGTGGTAGCAGCTGGAGATCAGCATGACATCTTGACCCAAAATTCCCCCAGCGGCTCCGAAAAAGAGCCACTTGTTTATGCTCAGCTAGCCAACGAGTCTCATGATCTCGTTCTAGAAAAACTTCCCGCCGAGCTCCGACTTCATGTCCTTTCACAGTTGGACATGGAAAGTTTGAAATCCTTGGTCCATGCTTCACCCGTGTACCACGCGCAGTATTTGATGGACCGCAAGCAACTTCTATTCAAGACTCTCATGACCACGCTCGGAGGTGCTGCTCTAGATGCACAGCTGGCTTTCCATTCCGGCAAAAAGGAGTTCCAGGATGTACTTTCCAGAGAGACTGTGGAGCGGTTCCTACGGTCATATGAAACTTACCGTTCGTCCTCGCCGTGGCATCTTCCCCACGCCATGTCTGGCGATGGCGCAGCCTTCGACAATTTTTGTCTCAACGATACCTTCACCCTTGCCGAAGTGAGTTCAATGGTGAAATTTCACAGCTCGGTCATCAAACCTCTCGTGCAGTATTTCGCGGAATGGGCATTGGAAAATATGATACAGCTTCCTGGGGCTCAGTCGTATTCTCAACCTCTCAGTGAGACCGAGAAGGTTCGACTTTTCCGTGCTCTTTACCGCTACCAAATCTGCTGCAACTTATTTGGGTCGCAGCTTGGGGAACTAGAGGCCACTCACTTCGACGCGGAATACATTCTCATGCAATTGGAGACGCTGTTTGAACCTTGGGAGAATGAGGAGGTTGTGTGTATTACACTTTTCTTCGAAAGCAAGTCCAATACCCTTGCCACAGTCATCCGCAGGGATTTGGATGGGAATCACGACAAGTGCGATGAGGAATTGAAACCACAACTAGACAACCCATTCGGACCCAGCGATGAATCCGGTGAGTGTGACTACCACGGATGCATCGTCTCCACTATGCTGGAATATATTAAACTAACTGGACCTTTTAGAACAGGATCATATCCGCGGTCTTCTCTCACGGGGCTTATCTATCTTGAAAGAAACCCTCTGGGATATCAAGGATCGCTCTCAGTTACTCTCAAGTCTACGGCAGAATGCAATTGACATGATGGAGGGTCATTTCCTGGGAACCTCCGGATGGGATGCTTTTGGACTGGATACAATAACAGGCAGAATGGCCCGTGATGAATGCGAGCGGGACATCAAAGAACGAGAAAGAGTCTCGTTGCCTTTCCGGGGCGACCACACGATGGATCCGGATGGAGTCTACCCACCCTTCGCATGGACTGTCGTGTGGCTGGGAACTTACAGCAACCAACTTGGAACATCTATTGGAGATAACATTCACTGCTGGGGGTATGTCTTCTGGGACTCGACCCGAATGGAAGGCATGGGTGCAAGGGAGGTACTCAAGCGCCAGTGTGGATTTTGGCGCTGGGGACTGGAGGACCCAAGAGATCGGCTGGCACTTGATGAACTAGTTTCAGAGGAGGATGAAGATTCTTAGTGCGAAATGCCGGATCAGCCATTGTTTTTAACGCTTTATGATATCCTTGGAAATTATCATTATTCTTAATAGCTAATGGAGTACATATCTAGCCCAAATTATCCTGCAGTCTTCCAGGACCTCGATGCAGATACCTTACGCTTCGAGACAGCTTCGATCGGGTTGTTGGGCAATATTGTCCTCCCAATCCATGGCTAACATGTTCCATCCATGCTCTCTGTCAATAATAAATGTATGAGTTCTTCGATGTACAGATTTCCAATAGTAGCGCCTTCTGTAAAGTATTCTCCCATTGAGAATTGTAGAGAAATATAACGCAGCGCGCGCCCCGCAAATGACATCAGCCCCCGATCCCCACCCAATCGCATCCCAGTCAAAAGCCCGGCGAAATAAACTCCCCGCTTCATGGCTTCCAGCCCAACCCAACACAACATCTCGTCACCACACCACCACACCAACAATCCCACTCAAGCCAACACCATGTCCTGGTTCCAGAAGAACTTCACCCTCCCCTCCCGCAGCCGCGGCTCCTACCTCATCACCGACACCGTGCTCTCTGAGCTCCCCGAAATCCGCGATTACAAGGTCGGCATGCTCAACCTGTTCGTGCAACACACGAGTTGCGCGCTGTCGCTAAATGAGAACTGGGATGATGATGTGCGCGCCGATATGAGTGATGCCCTCGATCGCATTGCGCCGTATGATCGCAAGGGTAATTTGTATCGTCATTCTGCAGAAGGCGAGGATGATATGCCGGTGAGTTCTGAATCTTTTTTTTCTTGTTTGAGCGGGGTTCTATGGGCGAATGCTGCTCGGTACTTGTGAGTGGGCAGTGCTAATTCTTTCATCTGTGCTAGGCTCATATCAAGTCTGCTCTCATCGGTGCTTCGGTGAACATCCCTATCTCCAATGGTCGTCTGGCTACCGGTACCTGGCAAGGAATCTGGTACCTCGAGTTCCGTACCAGTCGACACACGCGCAAGGTTGTCGCGACTATTCAGGGTGAAAAGGCCTGACTCGATGATGGAGCGAAAGAGCATTTATAACTGGAGAAGATTTGGTTGCGGATATATCTTCTCGTCTTTTTTTCCCCTACGGACATACAAAGGCCAATTAGGGTTGTACATGGCGGTGCTGGTAAGAACGCAGCAACCGTATAATTTGCCATCCATATTGGCAGGACCATTACCAAATTCGATATCAGGGAGATGGTCCGGTTAGATAGTTAGAGCCATTCCACCGGCTTGGACAGCACAAAAGACTTAGAACAGTTCACTTCACCACGCCGTGGGCAAACGGCAGATCCATTGATCCATATTTCTGTACACGGCCTCGGGCCCAAAAACCAAAATAACATACGCAAAGGGAAAAGTTCAACGCCGACAAAAGGAATCTGATGCTAGTCGTCTACCGCTGCTCGAAACCACCCTCCGTGACGCGCTGGCTCTCGTTCACCTCGGCGGGGTCGCCGGTGGGCTTGAGGGGGTAGCTAGTGGCGGGGAGGGACTCGAGGTAGGTGCGGTGCTGCTCGTGAGCCTGTAGAGAGTATATGTCAGTCAATTGTTTGGAATTGAGTATCCTGTCGGGGAGAGGCACTTACGAAGGGGACACCGCAGTATCCGCAGGTCGCGATGTCGGGCTTGTCGGTGTTGATGAAGACCTTGGGGTGGCCGAGGGGACCACCGCCACCGTCACAGCTAACGACTCGGGACTTCGTCCAGCGGACAGGCTGCTTGTGAATGAGCTCAATGGCGGCCATTGGGCGGGGCTAGATGATTGATTGTCAGTTTCCCTGGATTCCATTGCGGTCCCCGTAGCTCGGACAAAAGGTCCCTAGCTCGGCAATTGGCAGAGATAACCAACCTGAGTCTCCATGATGGTCTGTTCGAAGCGAGGGCCAACCATGGCCTGCTCGCGAGGCTGCTGGCTAGCGGCCCAGGTAGTAGCACGGTTAGGCGCCTGGAGGCTGCGGATGCGCTCCGCCTTGGCGGGGTCCTCCTCCATCAGGCCATCCCAGACCTCATGGCGATCGGTCAGACCGAGGTTGGACTCGGAGACATTGGGCTTGACGACGGGCGGTTTCGGGTCATTGGCCTGGATGCGGTTCTCGGATAGCCGGGGCACGGTGGAGGAGTAGGCGCGGACGGCGAGCGGGCGGAACGAGGCCAGGGCCGTGAGGCGACGACTGCAGGACATCATCTTGGGCGAATTGAGTCCTGTCGAGGAGGGAGAGTGGGAGTGGACAGACGTGGATTCGAGAGGGAGATCGAAGGTCGAAGTTCCAGGAACTGAATAATCCGCGAGGTGTGGTTTGGTGGTGGTTCACCGCCTCCCATCTGCGGGTTGGCCCGCGCAGCTGGTCGGTTTTTCTGCCGCTGGATTTAACTGGACTTGCACGTTTTTTGGAGTTTTGCGCTCTCTCACTTTGAGCTTTCAGAGATTCATACGCCCACCATGTCGGGGTCTCCAAGTACGACTCCAAAGTCGGAGAAGACGATGTCTTCCCGTCTGCTGACCATGAAGGTATGCTCTTGCTGGCAGGTAGATCTTGCGACCCAAAGCTAATTTGTCTACAGTTCATGCAGCGCGCTGCTGCTTCTGCAGCGACCAAAGAACCACAGAGCTCAACTCCTGACGAAGGCAAGCATACACCGAAGCGCCCCAGGTTGTCGACGGAACCTGCCAGCCCCTCCACTCCCCAGTCTGATCTGGAGGCTATTTCCGCGGCACTTGCAGCTGAAGAAGAGAAGCGACGGGAGGCCATTACGCGACAAGCAGCAGAGGCCGGCGAGTCAGAATGGGTGCTGGACATCCCGGCTGTGAACTACTCTCCGCAACCAATTGTCCTCTCGGCGGACTCGCTAGACACTGAGGGAGATATACCCCAGGGTGGTCGCCGCGCATACGGAAACTTCAAGCGCAAAAAACCTGTTGTAAGTTCTTCCTTGAGTTTACATCCCGAGACCCTTGAACTAATCACATAATTAGGCGCCCGTCGTTCAGACCAAATACAGCGAGACCCAGCTTGAAGAAGACGAGGAGGAGGAAGAGGAGGAATTGCAGCAGCAGATTGCTCAGCACGCAGATGATCCCGAAGCCGTGAGCGCCCTCAGGGAGAAGGCGAAGCAGAAGATGTTGGCCAGGGAGGCACGTCGAAAGGCCGCTGAAGCCGACGCTGCGAGGATTGAGAGGAAGAGGCTCTCTAATATAACCAGTATCTCTGGATCGCAGCAATCTTCATCATCGAGAATGGGAGGTCCGTCAACGAAAAAGAAGAAGCGCAAGTTCTAAGCCATGAGCTATGTTGGTAAAGTCCTTCACCTCTTTCGAGACTACGGATATACTTGGTGGTCATGTCATGTCAAAATGGGCGTTTAATATGGAGCATGGGTCGGCGTTAGGGTATTTGGACAGCGTATTTAGAAGCTATCAATGCATTTTCAATCCAAAACTGCATTATCATTGATAATCAATTTTGCAAGGTCAAACCACATATATGTGAGATAATCTATCGCTATATCGGGTCAATGCTAGGCCGTCTGTACAAAACATATCAAAAAAGTCATCAAAAAGGTATCACCATCTCCCATCAACAACAACAAATCACAACCTCGCCTTCTCCTCTCTCTTCCTCTTCTCCCACCCCTTCTGCGTCGCAAAATTAACCACCAAATTCCACGCCGCAACCCCCATCCCCGCCGGCGGCGCAATCAACAACGCCCACGCCCACCACCTCGGACTCGACGCCGCAATACTCGCCATCGCCCCCTTCACGGCAGCCTCCAATTGCACCTTATCCGCATCATTCCACACCACGACGCCGCGCGCAGTCACCGTCCCTCGGAACTCAGCCTGCGCAGCCTTGGTCCGGACATCGCCCTGGCTGCGGACGCGGTTCTCTGCGTCTTCGGCGGTGAGATGGGCGTCTCGCGCGCGGAGACGGGCCATCTGCACAGCTGGATCGTGGACACCGACGACTATCACCGTGCCGCAGATGAGATCCATGCCGCTTTCGAAGAGTAGGGGCACGTCGAGGACGATCGCCCATTGCCCACGAAGGTAGTGGTAGATCAAGGATTTGTAGACTTCCCAGCGCACGGCGGGATGGATAATCCCATTCAGCACTTGGCGATCGCGTTTGCGTTCCTCCGTGTCGCCGAAGACGCGCCGGCCGAGCGCGGGTCGGTTCAAGGGTTTGCCATTTGGGGAGGGGTTGGGTGTGTCTTCGAGGAGGAGATCTGGTGTGCTGGGGCCGAAATAGTTGACGATTGCTTTGTAGCCGGCTGTGCCGGGTTCGACGACTTTGCGGGCGAGAATGTCGGCGTCGATTATGGGGAGGGAGTAGGGTGGGGAGGAGAGGATGGAGGAGACGGTGGATTTGCCAGTGGCTATGGAGCCGGTGAGGCCGATGATGAGCATGTTGGTGGTGGCTTTTTGTGCGTAGGGATCTGTGTGGCTAATGTTGGTTGAAGAAGTAATCCCTTGCTGGAGCGTGGAAGAGTCAAGAAGTCAGGTTATGGTGATGACGAGGTATAGCTCGGCGGAGGTAGCAACCTCGGAAGTTCCGAGGTACAGCAATTTAGCGGGGTTTGATGCTTACTTCCGCCCAGCCACCATAAGCTTAGCGGTACTCTCATTGAAAAGAAAGTGTCTTCAGTGGAAAGTACAGCTTTGAATTTGCACCAAAGATAGGGTATCAAAGCTCATAATAGCCCTTTTACAATGTTATTGATACACTGACATAATAGTCGTGGCACGAGGCAAACCTGTAAAGAGCCTCTGTATGTTATTCATTCTGCAAATGATTCCCTCTCATGCCGCGTTGTCCAAGTTGGCGTCGCCAGTTTCCAAAGCGTCCCAAAGGATTTCAAAGTCGGCGTTGTTCCACTCAGTCAAAGCGTCATCAGTCCCGATCTGATTGCAAATCGCGTCTAAATCGCCGTCACTCAGGTCAACCAATCTGGCAACTTCATATTCCGAGAAAGGCAAATCATGCATTATATGATCGTCGGCTGTGTGTAAATAATCCCAGAAAGTCTGGAACATGGACTCGTCCAAATTGTTATCAGCTAGTAGATCGGGAAATGGAGGGTTGCTCAGTTCGACGTCGCCTGGCAATGAAAAGTGTATATGTGCGTCAAGGTGGCCACCAGGTGTATGGAGAGGCAGTGTCGGAACTCGTGACGAGCTGTTATTGCTCTGGAACTCCGGAAGCAGCGTCAAGTGGTCAAAAGGCTCGATTGTAGAATCATCGGTGGTACCAGCATTTAACCTCTCAACATCCTGCGTTGTGAGCCCTTGCTTGCTTGCAGCAAGAATTCGAGAAACAACGTGTAGGGTACGAGTTGCTGCTGGACTCCATGCTTGCATATGTGTGAGGAAATCAATCGCAAGATTAACTTGTCGGTGACAGCATTCTAACGAAGCTCTCGGATCTTTCGTTGTAGAATCGGTGAGGAAGCAGCCCAAGAGTGGAATGCATACGGCCTGAAACAGTAACCATACTCCATTCCATCCCGTAACTTGATTGATCACCAGTGTGGCAACAATTTCTTCGATGGTCAATTGTGCAAGCAAACGGCACTTTTCGATCGAGGCGCGCTCCTCCTCTTGGAGGGCAGCAGAGGGAATACGGCGGATGGCATAGTCTAGTAGACTAGGACGATGCAGCAGAAGACGTTGATTGAGGAAACGCCACCGCATTACGCTGCGGGTAACGATGAGGGATTCAGAGCAGGGTTGATAATCTTTCAACAGTGGAGGTAGGTTGTCGAACCATTCCTGGAGCTCCTGATCGAGCCTTTTGCGTTCGGCGTATGGAATAACCGAGCTCTCGGCGATCGCCTCTTGGATCTGTGTAGCAATCCGACAAAAGCGAACATTCTCTAGAAGAGGGAGGAAATCGGCCATGTGGCTCTGTCGGCGAGTTAGTCAGAACGTTAAGCAGTGTGCATAATGCTTTGGGTGTGATACCTCATCTCCACGGGATACCAAATTAACGGTTATGTGCGTAGGCCCGAAACGACTGATACCTGGTCGATCGAGGGGGCCGCATGCCCAAGTATCCATGCAGAATAGCGACCACCAGACTCGCCGTCGCACTTGCTGGAAATCAATGGGATCAAATGTCCCCTCCCGACAGAGAGTTCTGTCTTCATGCAACCCCTGTGCCAAAGCCAACCGTTGAGCGGCTCCCATCAGTGGGTAGGCCAGATTGGGTTGACTTATATAGGGCAAGTAGAGTCCCCCCATCAAACCCAGAGTTTGTACCGTCTCCAAGTGTGGGGAACCAAGGGCGTCCAATCCAAGGTGATACTTGCATCGTGCATAGTATACAGAATGAGACTTGTCCTGATTACTTGTCGCGGCGATGCTACCGAGGGCGCAGACGATGCTTAACAAAGCGAGCCATTGGCTGTCCTTTCGTCCACCGGAATTATATGTGTGCCTGAACCCAGCCTCGTCAACCAGAAGGACCAGAGGATGGAAGTAAGTAAAATAGCCATCAATACAATCGATCTCGGGCGTCAAACTGTCTGCGCTTTCTTTGACAGCCGATGGCGACCAGATTGGCGGCGATTGGCGTGATATTGATGCTGAGGGTTGATATGATATACCGCTGGTAATCAATGACGGGGCTGTGGGTTTCTGGCCTGCGCTATTCCTTCGAAGTGGAGGCTGCCGGATAGCACTTTGAGGACACAGGATGAAGATCAACTTGAAAATTGCGTGAACTGATGATATGCCTAGGTATGATTTGGGCGTTTGAGAATCCAGCGAGAGGGCGTTAACATCATCGGAGATGTTAACATTGGGCTCTTCTGCTATCGTGTCTTCATTGGGTTCGTTGAGTGTAGCTTTATGGATGTCAGAGCTTATATCCATGTATCCCCATAGGCAGTGAGAGGGGCGATCCAATGGAAAGAATGGCTCGGTATTCTGAGAGACATACGTTGAAATAGACTCAGTAATTGTTCACGAGGCATATGTCTGAGGTCTTCCAGACTTGACCCTGGAAAGAGCTTTTCAACGGCACTGCGGTACTCCGCCACCTGCGCGGAAAGCTCGCCCACATGCCCTGGCTTGGTCAGTGGTAAGAAATTGAAGCAGAACTCGGAGTAAATATAACTTCATTAAGATTGGCATGAGTATTCTGTGTCTCACCTTTGGGAGGGTTGTTGAGCTCGAGAGCCTGCGTGAGATCTTCGACGTCTCGTCCAAGTTTGGCTTGTGCGTTCAGTCAGACGTTGACCAGACGTCTCTGCTAAGTCAAGCGAAGAGCGCATAATGACCGATACTGGATCCCTCTTTTCTCCGGGTCCGTTCTGGCAGTAGAGTCGAGTCTAGATCATAGCTATCGCTAGCGGCAAATGGAATCAAAAATTTTAGCCAGAACTTCAGAGAGAAAAGAAAGGTGTAGGAAAAGAACGAACAGGCGGAGTTTACCCCGGACCTTGCTAGCGAGCCGAGCGATTACGTTCTTTGAACCTCATGACCTCCAATTGCGGGGCCTTTGGATGGCCTATCTGTGGGACAAATCTAAGAATCGACATTTTTATCCTGAATTCCCAGTTCTTCAATCTGTACTACTTGTCTCTATGAGTTTCTATGAATCCTTCTTTTCCAATGTACGGCCCGAGTTGTCGGACTCATTTACAATTTCCCTAGCTCTAGCTCTACTGGAATACCTGCACCTGGACATTGTCACGATCCACCACAGTCCATCCGCCTATCCCTGGTGTCAACGCCACCAGACCACCTTGTCCATCTCCGCAGGCCCAAGGTTCATCCCGGCAACCGTACAATTCGACTCTCTGGACAGTGCCTACTTGGTTGTATGTCCTCTTTCGCGGTGCGGCCCAGCATAATATAGCGCCGTCCTTGACAAAGACGTGGTTCTGGGCCAGGGGCGCAGAAGCAAAATCAACCCATTGCCCGTGGCTAGTATACTTCTGCTTGTCCCAGAATCCGTACCAAGTCCCCTCTGGCAAGTAGATCGAGTGCGTGCTTGCCTCCGCTAGCGGCTGCAGAGTCGGAGCCACCAGCAGATCGGACCCGAACATGAACTGGCTGTCAATATCCCAGACATTACGGTCCTGGGGATATTCCAGCACCAGTGACCGGACCATAGGCAAGCCGGCCCTGGTGCTAGACTGTGCCTGTTCAACAATGTACGGAAGCATTTGATAGCGCTGGCGCATGAATGAACCCACGATCTGTACAGCCTCGGGCCCAAAGAACCATGGCTCTCGGCCGTTGTCGTCGCCCGCTCCATGAGAGCGGACGTGGCTGCTGAATGCCGCCAACTGGGCCCAGCGGATGTACAGCTCCGTTGTCGGCTTGCCGATGAAGCCGCCCAGATCGTGACTGAAGAAAGTAAACCCGCTCAAGCCGATGGATAACGTGGCTCGAAGGCTTCCCTGAAGTGCTGACCATGAGCACTGGGAGTCACCACCCCAGTGGACGGGATAGCGCTGGCTTCCTGCTGTGCCACTCCTTGCCCACTGGGCCGAATCTGCACTGACATTCAGTACATGGCGACGGACGGTAGCATTGTAGATCAGACTGTATAGATTGCTGAGTCGGCGTCCCGCGATGTTTAGATACGAGGCGCTAGCAGGGATGCAGTCACCAAAGTCAGTTTTAATGGCCGATGCGCCTTGCCGAATAAGAGCCTCTATTTTCTGACCGTACCACTCGGCGGCGCGCGGATTCGTGAAATCGATCACCAGATCATCGGTCTTCCATCCCGTGGTATCGGGTGGGTAGTTGAAGAAGTCCTTGCTACGAGACCCGTCGAGCTTGACGGCGTGGCCCAGGTAGTCATTATCGCGAGCCTCAACGTAGAGCCGGTTGTCCTCGCGTGGCGGCACAAAATTGTATTGCCACAAGGACACACGGATCCCTTGCTCTCGAAGCTCGGTCATTTTCTTCTCTGGCTCTGGGAATCTGTCTCCAAATTCAAGATCTGGATTCCAATCTTCTTGGAACCACGCTGTATCGAGGTGAATGACATCGAATGGTAGATCGTGTTTATCAGCACATTTGACAACATCGTCGACCACCTCCCATGACTGGTAGGAATTGCGGCTCAGCCAGAGACCAAATGACCAGACGGGCGGTACGGGCGCATTGCCAGTCAAGTCACGGGTGTATCGCTGCAGAATATCCTTGGGCGAGGGACCAGAGACAATAAAATAGTCCATATAATTCTCTTCTGTCGAGAACTATTTGCACCGTAGAATGTCATTAGCATCAAATTTGCGTGTCAAAGCTGTGCCAGGGTTAAAACTCACGCCGAGAGTTCCAGCTTCCCTCATACCGATATCCCACTCTGTGCGGGCATTTGAATTCAAAAAGCAGCCGTAACCATTCGTGGAGAAGAAAAATGGCACGTTGATATAGGACCGCAAATTACTTGTCCCAATCGCGTCGTGGTTGACAAAGTCCACTTGGCGGCCGCGTCGCTCGACTGCATCAAAGCGCTCACCTAATCCAAAGATTCTTTCTTGGGGATCGAGTGCAAAAGACTCAAAAACAGCCTCGCGGCCCTGATGGGTTGCAATTGATGTTGGAATGATATCGCTTGTGAACAGATCACTGAGTCGCTGTTTCCAGAAAGGCACCGTCGTATTGTTTTGATAGGCGAGTAGACGGAACGGGCGAGGTTGAACACAAACTCGCACACTGGGTGATGACAGCTCGATTGCACCATCTGGGCCATCCGCTATCGTGGCAGGAAATACTGCTGGAACGTGGGCGAGCATGCGAGCCTCTGGGGGAGGGTACTCCGGATCATCGGTCAATGCGTCCAGAGTCTGTTGCTGCCCTGCAAATCGCAGACGGAAGATATGCTCTGTGACAAAGAAGATCTCGACGCATAGCTTGCCAAACGAGTTCTCCTCCTTAATGAACTGATGCATGACCGAATCGTGCGTCTGCGCGGTTCGATGAACCTGATGGACGGTCTGCACCTCCAGTCGGAGGACGTTGTCGGTAAAGACATGCTTCACCAGAGAGTCCGCCCACATGAATTGCACGTTTTCTCCATCTCGAAAGAAATTCGGACCAGCAGCGCGCTGTGTCCTCTCCGTGGTGGGATTCGGCTTGACAATGCTACCCGCAGCACGTTGAGGAAACGTGCGGTCGTCGTCCATCGTGTGGCTGGATGAAGCAGCAAGTGTACACGACACAGCAACTCAGAGAAACATGATCATTATATGTCCAGACCATTGAAGTGGACCCAACTTCCAGTGTTGTTCCCCTAAGTCCTCAGGGTTGACCAACTCGATCGGCCAGAGAAGTCACGGACTTGAAACGCAACCTCATCGTCGTAACGGCGACCAACGACGACCAACGGCGACCTTGGTTATCCTTGGCTGTCAGTAAGCAATCCGATCGTTCTCCACACGGATTCTCGATCTCTTGATTCACTTCCCTTTTTCCCCACGGATGCGGGGTCTAGAGTCGGGCCAAGAGTCGAGTGGTTCCGCCTCTGCCGCCGCTTTTGTCACGGCTTGGAATATGCTTCTAAGCAGTGACTCTAACCCATTCATACTTCCGCTCGAGATGATCCAAATCGAGTAATATCGGGTCCTTTGAGCCAAGGCACGTGTGAGAGGTAGCGGAGACAGATGGACTATTTACTGGGACGTAGGAACCATTACTACGATCATTTCCTCGTTGAAACAAACACCCTGCTTACCTATCTCATTAGTTGAATCAGCTTATACCCGCAAGGGAGATGGCTACTACCACCACCTCTGCTCCATCGCGCGAAAAGGACGCGGATAGTAAACATGTGGAGCATATCGGTGAACGGAAAGACGTCCAGCAAGTCCAAGTGGCCTCTGTCGATTTCCAGAATGCATTGCTGGAGGAAAAGCTGAACCCGTGGAGTTGGAGCTCGGTGACTCTGTACGGGGTCATCTTGGTAACGACGCTGAGTACGTACTTACTTGCATTTTGATACACGAATGGCAAACAACAGTATCGCTAACAGTCCCGATGGTACTAGACTGCTGCATGAATGGGTTTGATGGCACACTCATGAGCAGCATCAACGCCATGCCTTGGTTCCACCGTCACTTCGGAACCAGCATGGAAGGCAGTGGGACAGGTCTGCTGTTCTCCATCTACTCCATCGGTAACCTCGTTGGTGCAGTATTTGCAGCACCAATCTCCGATGTTTTCGGTCGCCGGATGGGAATGTTCGTGGGGTCGTTGATCATCACGATCGGAGCAATCTTGGAAGCTGTGGGCAGCAATATCCAGCTCTTCATGGGTGGCCGGTTCTTAATCGGCCTGGGCGTCAGTCTTACCAATTCAGCTGCTCCGGTGTATTTGGTGGAAGTAGCGTTCCCACAGTGGCGCGGCCTCTTCGGAGGCCTGTATAACGTAGTGGGATACTACACCGGCGCTCTTGGTATGTCAATTGTTGGTATCCATAGCGCGGTGCAATAACTAATTCACTTTTCAGCATGCACATGGACAGCCTATGGCACCGGGTTCCTCAGTTCAAACTGGTCTTGGCGAGCACGAGTCATCATTCAAGTAGTCCCCTCTCTCGTGGTCATGGGGGCCGTGTTCTTCCTTCCAGAGAGCCCTCGGTGGCTTTGGGCGATGGGAAAGCAAGAACAAGCTCGACAGATGCTGGTCAAGTATCATGGAAGTGGAAAGATCAATTCTCCACTTGTACGCTGGGAGTGCCGCCAGATCGAGGAGGACCTTCAAGTGGAGATTGAAACGGGTGGCCGTCGATGGTGGGACTTTAAGGTGCTCTTTGAGACCAAAGCAAACCTCTACCGACTGTGGTTGATCTTCCTGGTTTCTGTTTTCTCCCAGTTCATCGGTGGCTCCGTCATTAGGTCAGTATGCTGCCCTAGAAACTATTACGACCCCAACTAATCAATTCGTGCAGTTACTTCATGCCGGTCATGTTACAAAATGCCGGAATCACAAGCTCGAGCCAGCAGCTTCTCATGAATGCCATCAATACAGTCATCTCTTTCGTGAGCGGTCTTGTTGGAACCCTTTTCGTGGACAGATGGGGCCGTCGCACTCTGTTCTTATGGGGAACCTTCCTTACAGGACTCGTTTATATCCCCCTTACTGTCCAGGCATCTTTCCCAGTCCCTCAGATTACCCAGAGCATGGGATATGGCTTCATTGCGTGTATCTTCTTATACGGAGTCTTCTTCTCTTTCTGCTGGAGTACATTGCAAGCCTTGTACCCGGCCGAGATTCTCCCCAACGATATCAGAGCCAAAGGCGTCGCCTTCCAGGGTTTGATCTCAGGTGCGGCAAACTTCATCAACATGTATGCAACACCTGTCGCCTTGCAAAATATCGGCTGGGAGATGTATACAATTTTCTGTGAGCGCACTCGGTTCCTGACTAGCTTCAAAACATTACTAATCTCATTCCTCTTAGTGGTCTTCCATTTTATGGAGTTTGTGTTCATGTTTTTCACTCTTCCTGAGACCAAGGGTCGGTCTATCGAGGAGTTGAACCATGTCTTTAAGAGCCCGAATCCAGTTAAGGAGTCGCTGAAGATGACGACTGTGCTTATCCACGAGGATGATGGGGCCAAGGAAGTTACTGGGGTTTGAGGTCGCATAACGTGGGTTGCAAGGTAGGTAGTTGATTATGTTTATCATATCAACTAAGTATTTGGTTAGTTTCGTTATATGTAATTATAGAATCGTGCTGCGTCGAGGAGAATATTGATACTTTGAATCTTGCATTATTTTTTCCGGCTTGTTAGATTTAACGGTCGAAAAAGCCATTAAATTCAGCTCAACCAAGCTCAAACATGGACTTTGCCTGGCGCTATCTCGACATGCAATCTAGGAGGCAGCATAGCAAAGGCCTGAGCGGACAGTTCGCAAGGATATGTACGAGCTGCAACGTCGGCTAGACATCAAACATTTCAATGTTTGACTATATACGCTACTGGTGCAGGTAGATCGCATTCAAAAATGCGAGATGTTTCCCAGATCTTGGCTATCTGGATTGGTGCTACTCCTCGGTCTCGACTGTTATCAAAGATCATCCAAGGTTAAATTGCAAGTCAGTCCCAAATTCACACTGAGTCTTGCTAGGATGTGGAATGTCGTGAGACAGCTATGCGGCCAGGAGTGCAGGTTGTGTGGAGAGCCCAGCTCTAGCAAGGCTCTAGTTCGGGTAATGCGTGATTTCACTTTTGCCCTCAGACGAGGATCCTCGGACAGTTCCGATACTTGTGAGGATTCACCCGTCTCAAGATTCAGGTAGGCCATGGCTCGGATCCTGCTCCTCGCCATTCCACCCAATATACGGCCAGCCCTTGGGCAGCGGCGAGTACGGCGGCAGGACGTAGCGATCATCGCAGGCATTCGGCCCAGGGCAATTCAAATTGCAGAGCCCAAAGACATTGCAGTAGCATTCCTGGGCATTTGGGCAGTGGACGGGCTCCTTGCCAAAGATCACTGCGAGAAAAATGTTAGTTGACGAATTCAGGCAGCAGGAGTAAGTAGATGCACATACTATGCCACGAATACTCCATGATCCGCCCACTCAACTCGTCCTTCAATTTCGTTTCCATAAGCCACTTGCGATAAAACTCATAATCGCTCTTGGGCCGCATCAACACTCTATCACGAGTCACGCCGAACTGCGCGCAACATGATACGCCGACTTCTTCAGGGACTGGTGTGTTGGGGAATAGCTCCATGAAGGCATGTTTGAAGTACTCTCCCGCGTGTATGTCTTGACGGTGGATGTCGGTAAGTGGGTGAATCTCGACAGGGCAGCCGAGGGTCCAGACACAGCGGAGATTCACGTATCCTTCCTTTTGGAGGTAGGAGGTCTGGAAGTTGCGCAGCATGGGGACGCCATCGTAGTATGGGTCGTCGTTGTGCCATTGGAAGCGCTGGGAGTGGATGAACAGCATTATATCGGGGAGGTTTTCGTAGTTATCGATAATGTACCTGCGAGTCAAAAGAAACATCATGTTAGCGTACACTGGTAATTGAATCACAAGCTTGGTCGTAAATGTTCGAGGTCGACTCACGTCAAATACACCATCGACTCGCGCCCCTTGTTGCGCGCAACAGTCAATGGAGCCTTCTTATCGTTCACGACGTAGACACTCCGCGACCAATCTGGAAAGTATTCGGCCAGCCACGAGGTATCATCACTCTTCAAGCTGGCTACGACCATATTCTTATGTCGGCGGACCACGGGACGAGCCAGCTCGCCTGCAGCCTTAGGGTTCGCAAGTGATTCAATTTTATGCGCATATTTGTTGGGTTTGTCGTGGTATGTGGAATGAGAAGACTCGCTACCGGCAAAAAAGAGGAAGTAAATGGCGAGGACGATGCCGATGGTGAGGAAGATAGCTTTCAAGCGATTGCGGCGACGGGGACTCTGGGGTCCGCTTGGAGCGAATAGCATGGTGATGTTGCGAGGTGACAGGCTCTGAGCTGTGACCGGGGATCAGACATTGGAGAGGCTGTTCGAGGTGGTTTAGAGTCGCATCCTGCGGGTCTGCCGGTTTGCTGGTGAATGAGGAGAACAAGGGGGGCGGAAGTTGAAGCTGAAGCGCGGGGAGGTCCGCTTGGTCGCACCAGCTGGAGACTGCAGCCTGGGAGTCGGATGTTGGATCCAGAGAGCTGGAATGATGTGGATTATATCAATAAGAAAGATTCCAGAAATAGCGCAATGGGTTCCATCAGACGAGACGAATCCAAGCAATGGTGAGAATGTCCAGGAGGTGGAGGTGTGGAGGATAAAGTTGCGCCAAAAAGTTGAAGTTGCCAGCTCGTCGAGTCCGTTTGGGGAACTCCTCGGGCGATCGGTGGGTCTCACCCGAACACTTGCACTTGGACTGATCTACAGCATACTCTACTGTACTGTACTTCTTCTCCTTTTCATTGCTTTATATTCCATGATCATAACTTTCCATACTAACATGAACACGACAGAATCATTGCTCATGAACACCCGTCAATATCCACAATATACCAATTATGCGCTGACACACTGTCTCCGCTCGATCCAGCATTACCAGCACTCGAGCCCACGCCAGTGACTTCGGTGATATCGCTTGTCGTGACAGTCACGTTGTCTCCGCTAGTGATCCAGTACTCTGGACTGGCATGGGTGAATCCCCATGAAGCTGGAGGCAACTTGGGCACGATATCGTTCGAGTGGGTGACACGCCAGAGGGAGCCCTGGTTCGTCATGTAATCGGCCAGCGCGGTGTTACCCACGCGTGGTTGGCCGTATGTATACTGCGAGAGTTCGTGCATCAACATCGAGGCTAACGGTGGCTAATAGGAAAATCACTCACCAGATCAAGAGTATATCCAGCATTGCGCAAGGCAGTCCCACCAATGGCAGCCAACGCACCCCCGAGGCTGTGGCCAGTCAGAACCAGCTTGTAGCTGGGATAAGTCGCCACGGCACTCGCAACCTGCGCAGTCAGGGTATCAGCGACAGTTCCCCAGGCCTTGAAAAAGCCCGAGTGAGCTTCACAGCCAGAGCAGAGGCTGCTGGCATCGGTTTGGTCAAAGTCCAGATTGGCAATCCAATTGCTGATGGTGTGACTGCCTCGGAAGGACAGCACAAGCAGTGTATTGGTGTTATCCACGGCGAAGAAGCCCGCTACGTCGCCGAAATCGGTGGAGCTGATGAGAGGTCAGTTTGGTCTGTTCTATGGCAGTGATTCAAGATCACGCTTCACATACTCATCAAATTCATATAGGGTCGTGGCTCCCGCGGATTGGACCTCCGGGCAGTAGCCTCCCGAGCAAGTCACGGCATCGCCAGCGGAATTGAGGTTGTTCGTGCAGTACGAAGCAGCCGCATACTGGGAGAATAGCGTCAACTCACTCAGTGTAGCTGACGAAACATCTATGCACAAGGTCAGCCTCGTCCAGAGAGGCCATCACAAGCAATATTTCCTTGGACATACCTCGAGGCACTGGTCGTGCTGGCGCAGCAACCGCCAGGGCTGCCATAGCCACCAGGATGCCGGATTGGCCCAGGAACACCATCTTTGCTGCTATACTCTGTATAAGAACTCGCAAAAGCTATAGATACTTTTCACTGTGCAGCGTCACCGCAAGTCAACCTGGACTCAAGCGGACTTTTTGCTTTTTCTTGTGCTTGTTCCTCTTAGTCCCGTGAGTCTCCAGCAACAGGACTTTGATCGATGCTTTATACTGCCTTCATCTGCTCTACAGCTATCCATTATCACAAGCAAAAGCTCATCAATAAAGACACCCTTCCAACACGAGCGGGGTATCCGAAGACGACCGACCATGAATGCCAATACGAAAGACCACGCATACCTCCGATGCCACGCTAGCCAAATTCCTCACGATCCAAATAGGCTCATCGTCCGTTCCTGGCCAGATTTGGACGCCTGACTGGTGGGCATTCTGGGCAAGATCGGCATTCTTGCAGCTGGAATTCTTCACGCGGATGTAACCAGTCAGACCTCATGGAGTGGGGAAGCCCAAGACAGGGAGGATGATGAGGGAAGGGGAAATGGCCACGAGGACGACCAGAGCAGGTTTGGTGTTGTTCATCAAATTGAATTTAGAAGCTTAGTCTTTCTATATTACTACTTCCGGGGTTATGGGGAAACCTTGATCGGTGGAGGGGTACGATTTAGGGTATATTCCGTGATGGGGATCCACGCTAGAAAAGTATTTGGGCTGACTCGAATAGTAGTATACTTTGGCCTCGGTACTTCCCTTGAGTGGACTCGGTAGACTTCCACCACAAAGTACGCATCCTGGTTGCAGGTCAAGTGTTCTGAGTATACAATCCTGGTACGGTGCACTATGGTAACTCCGGGGTACGCTAGCATGGCGCCATGCGCATCTACTATTGTACTAACCTCGTTTTTGACTGTACTAACCTGTTTCGGTCTACCCACGCGATACTTTTGGGGCACTTTTGCGGATATAGTAAGCGCCTCTCCCACATCCTTCGCAATGATCGGAGGGCGGGGCAATGCGTGATGACAACATTGTCGGTCAACGAATCACGCTAAAAGCACGGCTCGTCCGAATCGATGCCCAGCACCGTCGGAGTACGGAGCACGCGCGGAGAATGCGTCAGATTGTACTTCTTTGGTGCATGCTGAATGGTTCCAGTTCACTCCCAAGTCCTTTCCTACCAAGGGTTAGAATCCCGTGAGAGGAGAGCAGGACACACCGACTCATGGAGACACTTCGGAGAAATGCAGCTTCGTCCCAGCTCGGGTTAGGGTATCGGGAAATGCAGGAAGCTACAAATGTTCACACTGTATTATTTTTGCTAGTTCTGCACGACTAGCCGTTGGATCATGTATCGTGAAGGGGAAGAGCGGTTTCACTCTAGTCGCTGGGTTCTTCCCCGCGCTCCATTTGATGGGGTCTGACTACAACTCATCAGTCCCCTTCTCCCCTTCACCGATATCCACCATCCCCGTATCCTCTCCATCATCTCCACCTGCCAGCACTTTGGTGCGCGGGATTTGGTCCCCTGGCAGAGGTGCCCCCGGGGTGACGGCGACAACGTTGTCATTCTCGTCCACGAACTCGAAGTTGTACCGCGATAGCAGGTGTGGGATCGCGGAGAGCTGGGGTCCGTAGCGGACCGAGTTGTCGTACAGCTCGAAGAGGGGTACTGCCAGCAGCTTCATGTTTTTGGGGACGGACAGGACCTCTGTAGCAGGCAAACAGACGTTAGGACAGAAAAGAGACAACATTGAAATCCCCCGGTATTATAGACGAAATCAGAGAAAAACGACTCACTCTTCTTCGGCAGGGTGATAAAGTACAGCTTCTTGCATTCCTTTGGCCGGGTGATGTGTGGTGGCAGGTACGGGTACATGAAGGTCTCAAAGTTAGGGCGCCACCACTGCGCCAGGGTATCACCAATTTCCCAGTCCTCGTTGACTCCCTCGCCAGAGAACTGAGATCCAACGGGGGCCAGGCGCTCATTCAGGCGCTTCTTGAAGCCCTCAATCTCCTCTTCGTCGTGGGGGAGATAATCACCGGGCCTGTGAGGTGAGACTGTTAGCGGTGAGCCTCACTAGTGGACGTCCAAGAAAGGTTTTCCGTACAGTTTGAAGAATGCATTTGCTATCTGCAACATCAAGACGTGCGGGTGGTTGTGTTCGTGGCAGACGAGGACGCCCTCGCACGTGCGGCGCATGCCGTGGAGCTCATAGTGCTCCTCCAGGCGCTTCAGACGAGCCGGCACTGAGGGATCTTCCTCAGGCTGAGTCTCCTTGGTGCCGAAAGTGTAGTTACTTAGGGGGTAAAGGCGAATTGTCCGCGGCTGCTGTGCGGAGAAATCCATTGGGATGATTGGACTGCGCGAATCAGCTCATGTCAATACCGGCTCCGCTTCATCGCATCTGGAAGCTATCGACTTACGGTTGGCTACTCTGGATGGTCGTTGCCGTCGTGGTCGCCATCCTGTCTGTATGGAATTGCAACTGATACAAAGAGCGCGGCGTTCACAAAGACGGACAGTAAGAAAGAGAGGAGATCGAACGAGGAGAGGAAGAAGAAGACTGAACCTCGCCGATGGTGATGCATCTCGTTATCGTTATCGTTGTCACCGCCTGCTTGAATGGGATTGTGTACACAACGAAGACGGCGGCAGGATGAAAGATGGAAGAAAGGCGGTGAGGACGAAACTCGGATAAAGGTAACTCCGAAGTTCCCTCGAGATCTGCTACATATGTGATTGAAGGACTTCAATCTGAATGAGTGATGATTGGCATTGACAGGTATGATATCGATTGATCTGTAGATAAAGTAGGTAGATGTAATTGATTACAGCGAAGATCCTACTGCCGAAAGCCATAGCTCTCTACATCCGACTCCACAACTCTCATGACATGCTATCCAAGTCCGAGCCCCAAGCTCCAAAGCTCCAAACAATAATCCCAACTCGTTTGGGATAGAGAAACAAACACATGCAAGACATTCACAGCTTGGCATCAAAGTCCTCGAATTCGGTAAGATCAGACACCGGCACGGGCCCAGTGCTGACAGGCAGACGAGCCTTGAATGTAGGCACGTCCGTGATGGTGATAGGGCTGGCGGTCGAGGCACCGTTGGTCCCGTTAGTGTGCTCGTTGGTCTCCGGCTCCAGTCCAAGCTGCTTCAGCTGAACACCAAGATTTTCCTCGAGCTTCTCGGTCAGTACGTCAATCTGCTCCGCTGACAAGGTTAGCTCGGTTGCCAGGAATGTCTTGACAATATACAGAATCTGGGAGCGGTCAATGATCGCCATGTCCAGCTGTTCAAAGGCCCCGGCTAAGATATCGCCGTCCGCAGCAAAGCCAGCCGCGTCGAGTTGCTTTTTAACCATCTCGATCAGGCGAGACCGCTTCTGGGTGGCATCGGAATCTGCAGCGCTTGCAGCGGACTGGGCATTCAGGTGGATAGACAGCTTGGCACGAGTGGACGAGGATGGATCAATGTACTGCTTGTAAAAGGCAATCAGGTCCGCTTTGCTCAACAGACGCACATTGGCAGCGTCGGTCTCGTGTTGCAAAAAGTCAAAGTACTCCGATCCAACGTGAGACCAGTAGCGGCTAGTCTCAGAGCCCAGGTTCTTGAGCTTCTCCAGGCGCTTGTTGATTACACTGCGCTTGTGGCCCTCAAACTCGTCTTCGGGCATGCTCTCCAGGGTCTTTCCAAACTCGCGGAGGAAGGCCTCGATACGGGACTCCAGGTACTGAGCGGTACGCTCACTCTGAATGATCACACGGTAGCCCATAGTGGTTGCATTGTATCGGGAACCACTCCACACAACGTAACCAAGCTGCTCCTTGCTACGCAGCTGATCGAATGCAGGCTCGTCCGTCAGTTGGGAGAACAGTTGCAATTTAGCCCGCAGGGCATCGTCGGAGAAGAAGCCAATATACAGATAGTACTCGATACAGTGATTGACGTTGGCCGGGTCCTTCAGAGTTCGCGGGTAGACGTAGTTGCTACCCGAGGGAATGACCATGTTGCGGCGCAGATACCACTGCGAGGGAGGTAGAGGACGACCCTCGAGAGTCTTCTCAACCATGTCCGTCATGCGTAGTGCATCTTCCTTGTACAGGTTTCCATGAGCCAGGACTTCAATGTGAGTCTGCTCAAGCAGCTGTGGGAAGAAGTTGATCACATCTTCAGACTGGATGTGCTCCAGCTCCTCAATGTACTGCTCGTTGACCCAGCTGCGCTCGGACAGTAGGTACCGAGTGTAGTCGCCAACTTGATAGAAGGGCTGCTGGTACTCGGCATTGCGGAAGGCCCGGGTCAGGCGCTCCTTGATGATATCGAACCGGTCCTGATTGACCACCAAACCCCGCATAGTGTTCAGCACTTTCTCCAATAGCACGGACATCTTGTCATTGTAACCGCCAACGGAGATATCCAGTCCAAGAATGTTCGCCGCAAGATGGTAGTCCAGCCCAGCAAGCTCAGCGTCGTACGAGTACTCGTCCAGACTGTCGCGGACCAACTCGCAGTAGAGCTTCGTCTTGATGAGGTTGGCAGGTGTTGCCCAGACCAGAGGATTACGCAGAGTCACATGGACAGTGCCCTTTGGCACCCAGAAACGATCATCCTTCTTAAACCACAGACGGACACGCTCATCATGGCGGATCAACTTGGGTGTCTTTGCAGGCTCCGCAACCTCCTTGGTCTCCACCGACAATCTTGTGGGCACAAACTCGTTCTTGTGAGGTATGTGCACATTAGACGTACGAGTGGCCTCTGTAGACTGCAGGGCCGTTTGGATGCCGCTCAGGAAGTCCTGAGGAATCTTCTCGACCTTGTATTCGGTACCATACCACTTCTCCTTCTGATCCCACTCGCCAGGATAGTCCTGGGCCACAATAATGAGACGGAAGTTGTCAGCACGCAGGTAAGACATGGCCTTCTTGATGATCTCCGGGTCGAATCGTCGCAGCAGAGCTCCGCTGAGCAGCCACTCACGAGGCATGGGCTTCTGCATAACGCTGCTCAGGCGGCTGGTAAACCGACTAGCGGGAGTCTTCTGCTTGAACCGGAAATCCACCTCGGCCAGGTTCTTCATCTCGTCAAAGATCCACTGCTCTGGTTCGCGCTCCTTGATCATAGCAATATACTCGAATATCACCTTGGCGACTTCCTGGTACTTTTTCAACCCCTCCGGTGTCAGGCGCACAGAAATAGTGAAGAAAGCCGATCCAGGACAAATGGGCATAGCCCCTGCAGACAACCCATTGGCCCAGCCCTTTGCTTTCAGGTCGGAAAGCACACTACCAGGGCCTTCGTGGCCGATCAGATGGCTGATATACCGGCTGGGTTGCGTATCATTCAGATTCTCCTCATCCAAGAAGGGGAAGTACATGTCCATGGACCGTGAATCCATGACTGGCTTAGCAAATACCTGCGTGCACATATCTTCATCGGAGAAAGGCTGGACATCATCCCAGCGGTTCTGTGGCAGGTTCTTGTTCTCCACATCCGCAAACAGCTCCCAAACCCACTGCTCAAGCACGTCCAAGGTCTCTCGTCCTAGGACCACCAGCTTGGCCCGGTTGGCCGAGTAGTGCTTCTCGTAAAACCGAATGAACTCGCTGCGAACCTCGAGGCCGCGTTTCTGGGGGTCCTCCTTCAAGGTCTGTAAATTACCCGTCGAGAAGTGATGGTATGGGTGCTTGGGATTGGAGAGGGACTTGTTCAGTTGCATCAACCGCCACAGGTCGCTCTGCAGATTCTTCTTGTTCTCAGAGTCTACGGCCCGCAATTCACGATCTAATGTCGATTCTAGGAAAAGCGGAGACACGAAGAATTGGGCAAATCGGTCGAGGGCCCCATATAGGGGTGATTTTCCCTCCACATCTCCAGTAGTCGTCGATGATACCTCGCTGGCAATCTCATTGTTTCCATTTGTAGATTCAGTTGGGGTGTTTTGTCCGGTAGACTTTGGGGGGCTGGAGTCGCCGGTGGCCGATACTTCAAAGAAATAATTCGTTTCGGTGGCGGCGGTGTATGCATTTGACGAGCCAGAGTGGGCGGCTAGATACTGGTTGTAGGCATTCTCCTTGGGATACTATTGATGGAACCAGATGCCATACGTCAGCATGGCTACTAAAGCACTTGGCCCCAACCCGCGGGGTGCCTAACTAGAGACTGCCACGTACCTTTTTTGTACCCATAAACAAGAGATGCTCGACAGCATGAGCCATCCCTGGCATATCATCTTGGTCGGAAAAGTTGCCCACATTGACGTTTACCGCGGCACTCGCCTTGTCGGTGTCCGGGTCATGCACTAGAAGGGCTTCAAGCTGATTCGGCAGACGAATGACCCGATATGACCGGTCATCAAGCTCCGGCTTCTCCAGATTCTCTGTAATGCGTTCGATTTGAGTCATGATTGAAGAGTTGGCGGAAAGGATCGGGGAGGCGTGGGAGAACGAGCGGGCCCAACGGTGCTTGGAGGAAGCAATCGGGGCGATCAACGAAATTGAACGAGTCACGGATGAGACGTGTAATGGCAAATATGGGCGTGCAGTTGGATTCCAACTCAGGCCTCTGTACCACTGGAACCAAGGTCGTGCAGTAGTAGTAATAGGGTACCTTGCGGGCATCAAGGATTGACCGAGGGACCCAGAGAATTGGGGGGAGTATGGGATGGCGCTGGGGGTGACTCCGAGACCAAAGATATGTCAATTCACTATTTGATAAATCAGGGGAGTATATGCACACCACAGGGACTTGATATGAAGAATGCGATGGCGAGAGGAGAGGTTCTTATTGTGAATCGAGCCGAGGGGTTCGGCGATGGAGGCGGTGAGATGCTCCTTTGGAGGGCGATCTGCCAGGCTTTGGCTTGGGGCGGTGGAAATGGGGCTGGACCCAGTCACGGGGTCTTCACAGTTGTAGACTACCGTCGGAGTATGTATATTTGCTGTATTTAGTTATAGTTCAAGATGACAAGGTAGTGGTCAAACACGAATCAATCCGCTGGTTCTTTTTGATTCTATTTACAAATCACCAGAGTGGCCGATACTAAAGTCTCACCCTATGCTGATGCTCCTGTGAGACATACTTTGCTCCACCAGGCACCCGGGTACACCTATTGTGGAGTTGCTGAGAATAGTAATGTAAAGTACTCCGTACAGTATGCTAAGAGCAAGGAATCTGGCCCCACATCTACAACTTGATTGAATATGGTTTAGCTGTATGCAGCCCACGTTCCTACAGCTGCCTGCATCTAGTAGCGACCTGCGCCACAGAGGTGCGGCTCTGCCAGGGATGCGTCAGCCTGTTAGACCCAGCTGGGAGCCAGTTCCATTCGAGAAGCAGCCGCTCGGTGAAAATGACAGGACAATTTTGAGCTTCGTAGGTAGAATAAAAGTATACAATTCTCTTATTCTCTGTGATATTGTAATCAACAAAGTTGAGAAATGGATATTCCTCGGCACAATCAATATTTACAAGGTCGAATTTATCAGCACGGGAGGGGAAGCGGAAATATATAGCCTAGGTAACCTCCAAGTCCTGAATTTACCACCCCATTTGTTGATCAACTTGAGTTTTCTACAAAGCAAATTACTTTATCTTAGTTACATTCGTACACAAGGAATATGGCTCGGCTACCCTATCTCGATTACCACACGCTACATGCCAAATCACGTCCTATCCTCAATATCATAAAACTCCTTTCCCACAGTACAGCAACCGTGGATCACTGGGCAGATGTGGGAAACGCCCAATTCAAACACTTATTACTCTCAGCCAGAGATCGTGAACTCATCATTTTATTGACTACTTCCAAGTTCAACTCTACCTACGAATGGACTCATCACCTCCCTTTGTCGCTAAAGGCTGGTGTGACTAGAAAGCAGCAGTCTGCCTTGGAGGCATCTGCCAAGCGAAACGACTACTTCATTGGCAGGAAATATGACCCCGAGGCGGGGTTCAGTGAGAAAGATCTTGTCCTGCTATCATTTGTGGAGACGATCATTCAACAGCCCGAGGTCAGTGATGAGCTGTTCAAGCATGTCAAGGACAAGTTCTCGGACCGAGAAATCGTGGAGATTATTTCTCTTCAGGTAAGTCGACAGGAAGGATTTGGTATCTGATCAAATTATCTAATAGCTATATAGGGGTTTTACTATTCCTTTTCGCGCTTGACCACTATTCTTCAGTGTGATTTTGATGAATGGGCCAAGGCCAAACTTTGAACTTTTTGGCCACTATGGAACTGAACAATAGGTACTTGACAATGGCGCGAAACTGTCAATGCCTTATGGCCCTTCTGTATCGAGCTACCCAAGATTTTATGTAGCGGTGGAGGTCATAATTCCTTTGAAGGGACCAGCCATATCACGATCCACTCGATGCCCGACCTCCGCAAAACCCAGTCCTCTTCGTCCACGAAATACAAGTAGCTTTAGGCAGTCATCTACGCATAGACCTTTCTGACAGGACAAAAGTATCCCATTCGGATTAGTCAAGCATCAACTATACCCTTCAAGCCAATCACGGAGCCCCGTAGCCGATGAGGCTCTTTCTTCGAGCCCTCTTCGTATGCTTCTCCGCCATCCCCGTCGCACTGTCCGCTAGAGCCTCCAAACCCACAAAAGTAGCAAACACAAACGCAAAATCTCCAGAAATCAATTGAGACGTCAAAAGTTTGAGCCTCCCCTAATCCCGGTCGCCTGAAAACTCCCCATCTAGCACGACTCCGCACACAGCGTCAACGTAATATCCGTGTCCGTGCTACAAGCCTCCGTCTGACTCGTGACCATCGCCCGAACGCCCCCACCCCAGCAAATGGTATTGCAAGTATCGATGGACGGACGCACAACCAGCGTACTACCAGAGAACGGGTCGCCGTATACATCATTCAAATCATAGTACAGGTGGTCGGTCAGCGCGTACTGGAAATTGGTCTGCGGGCTTCCGTCGTACATGCCGTTCTCGGTGCGGGTAATCTTGATGGCGATTCCACCCGAGACATAGTCGTAGTGGGTGGTCTCGGTGTAATTGGCGCCTGGGTCGATGGTTTGCCGTTCGCCGACTGAGCCACCGACGGACCAGAGGTAGACGGGGTCGGTGCAGGCGTTTTGGACGATGGCGTTGCCGGCCAAAGCTAGAGGGGCCAGGGTGGCCGCTGAGACTAGGAGGGTGATGGCGAAATACATTTTGATTATTATAGGTTTTGTGTTCAAGGGATTCTGATGGAGTTGCGAGTGGTCAAGTATTCAAGAAGATGATACTGGTAGCGTGCGATGGAAGATATCAAGCAATGGAATCGAGATCCGTCTTATAGTTTTCCACCCGGCACTTCACAGCATCCCTCCCAGGCACCACCAGCATACTGTTCCACTATTAGGATACTCTTCTGTGAGAGTTCAGAACGTCCAGGATTAGGACTCCTATACTCCTCACCGTCCGTCCATTGGATCACCCAAAGTCTCTTCTACCATTTCTGTATCAAGCTTGCGCAGGACGAGATCAGCCAAGACAGCAGCGTGGTCAGGCCAACCATCTTACCATCGCTGAACCTGCGTATTAGTACTAATCGATCATGGCGCACCGGAGCGACGTTCAGAGACACCAGGGACCAAGTGACCGTGGCACGATGTAGGGCGAGACGGCGATCATGTCTTGGGGCGCTGCGACTGGAACCTGTTTCAAATCATCATTTCTTGGCATCAGGTTAGAAGTGTTTAGAGGTAAGCCTCTCATAGTGATTGGAGAACCAGAGCTTTGGACTGAGGTTGGATAAGGCGCGCTGTAAGCAGGTGGTGATGCACGCCAAGTGGGAAGGTGTTGCGGATCGCGGGAATGTACGAGATGGTCGTGGGACACAGTTCAATGGGGTCACACTAAAGCTGGATGATGATAGGAATTAGCGCCCTGTTTCTATTGTAACACCGTTTAGCTGCCATAGGTATAGCGGTGCTCGGTAGTAGCGTGAAAAGTCTTTCGATTTGACCTCTTTCAAACTTGTCCACTCCACTACATACAGAGGGATTATCTCTTTTCCATATGTACTGCAGGATTATATCTCACTTGCCAGGGCCACTACCAGAGCACCCGGTCAGGCTACAGTAGAAGAAGACTGGCTATTTCTGATTCGCAGTATCCTGTCCTATTCTCGTCATAGCTCAATTCGTCTTCTCGAAAGGGTCTCACTCAGCCTTGGCTATGAGATATCTTGGCAGCGTACAGCTGGGGACCTGTCAGGGGGCTGCGTGATGGACCTAGATCACCCTCCGTCGCGCTCGAAGTTGCGTACTCGGAGACAGATGTCAAACTGAACTCCGATGTCCGATTCTGGCTGGATCTAGACAGCAGCCAAGCAAACATATGCTTGACACTACGGATCAACAGATCTCGGCCAGAAATTCGGATTGAAAAGTGGGAGAGACGCAATAACCGAGCTCATCGGTCTTAAGTCATTTAGACCACCAAGAAAGGGGATCAGAGGAACGTCAGTCACTATCCTCTGGTTATTCCGTTTGAAGGTCTATTGCATCGCTAGTTATCTTACCTAGAGGAGAAAGATTTGGAAATCTCACAACGAAAGTTGGAAGAAGTCGCGGAGGCGATCTAGGAAGCGCAGGAATAGTGATTTTCTTTGATGTTTTTCGGCCAATACGACTATCAATCCAGTATCACACAGGGAAGGGGTAGTGGATATGGATTCAGATTACACTCAGATTACACTCAGATATCTCTTTACTTTTGTTTACCTTAGCTTCGGTTGATTTTCCCCAGCCAGTGAGGTTGCTATCGGAGAGAGCCATATTTCCTTGCTGTCATTAATGCTATTCATCACTGTTCACGGGTAGTGGACTTCGTCTTTCGGGGATATTTTTCGTGCATCGTTAATCCATCGGCACTCCCGAGAACCATTCATATACAATCGCAATCCTGTTCAAGGCGCAAATAAGACTACACTAGTTGCCCTTGCCCGGGTGGCTACCGCGGCTTGCATGCAGAACTACGCCACCCTACTTTTATCTTGCGGGGAGATCTGTGGGTATAAACTGGAGAACCAGGGACTTGCAACGGCAGGGTGATGGTGGGGATGATGGGCAAGATAAACTGATAACCAGGAAACAATTCTGTCCGGTAAGAGAAATGCGCTCGCCAAGTCTTGTGTCTCGTACTCGCTTCCATCCAGGAGCGGGGGTACAGAGGTACAACAATCAAGGAATAACAAAAGAGGAACCGCAGTGACTGTAAGAGTTGAACATTCAACCGACTAGATAATGCCTGACATGCGCCAAGACTCGCCAAGCCTCCCGCCCGCGAATGCGTGCGGTGGGCCTAATCTAACAATCATCCTTCGCCCATTTATCCTTTCATGGTCAAGTCCTCCTCGGCTTCGTCCTCTGTCTCATCGAGGGCTTCGTCCGCGCGATCGGCGAGCCACTCAAAGACTTGCTGCTGATTCTCCGTCATCATCTCGCTCAGAGATGTCTTGTTGGATTTGAATAGCTTGCCATAGCGCTTTGACGGTTTGCGGTCCTGGTCTTTCCAGATTCCATGGGATTCGGAGACAAATACAAGCGAGTTCTGTAGGAGTTGCATATGTGTTAGCGTGGTTGTGGTCTCTCTCTCTCTCTCTGATGAAATGATCAACAACAGGGGCATTGAAACGTACATCCCGGTACCATTTGGATAGCCACACTTGAGTGGAAGACGCAACGGCACGAACTGGGTTCTCCGCCACGAACGAGATGATTCCGCTGACACGCTTGTACAAGTTCTCTGTTAGGAATTAGCCACTGCTCTTTTCTGATCATCTTGTCTTCAGGCACCAATGCCAAGAGAAGAAGGATCAGTATCAGGCGTACCTCTGTTGATCAAGAGATTGACGACTCCGGCGAAAGCACTGCCGATTCCGAGGAAGAACACCTCCCGCTTCTCGTAGAAACTGTGAACCAAAGCGTCAGCTAATCACATTTCCCTTGGACGATCGTGGAAGCCAGCGGCCACTTACTCGATGTAATTGTCCCACAGATAGTTTGCCAACTCTTCGGTCGCACTTGGACGGTTCTCATCTTCTTCTTCGTACTTTCCTGTGGCCTGAATGACTCGGAGGGTAAGCCTGGGTCCCGTGGAGGGTCGGGAAGATGCCGGGGTGGCACGTACGGGTGTCTGAGTGATATGCTTCGGGATGTTGACATCAATCACCGCATAGCCTTTGCAGATTATCCATCCAATGTACTCCTTTTGGGCATCAGCCTTGCAAATGTTAGTACTTGCGGGTTGAAGTCGCTCAACCAACGCTGGGCACACTTACCATCCAACAGTTGTGAGCTTCCAGTTTGCTGGTTACAGGGTCCGGATAGCCCATGAGTTCGGGTCTGGAAATGGTCAGTCAGCTTCAACTTCTTTAACTGGCGGTAGTCCTAGCACTCACGGATCGTGGAAGATGACAATGAGCGGTACGCGCTCATGGTAGTTGGCACTGCGATGGTTGTGATATTAGTGGAAGAAGGGCTTCCCCGGGGAAATGGTTCAGATTATACCTAGCCAGAACCTGGTTCTCAAACGACTTGGAAATCTTGGTTCGGTAGATGTACAACGGTGTGAGCTTGAAGCTTTCATACAGCTGATGAGCTTGATACTCGCGAAGGACATCTACAATCCAATTAGCATTGCTGAGCTATCAAGGATCTCCCAAGTGAAATCCATGACATACCGTGCAGCCGATTCGCCCAGGCTGGATGTTGGGGTGGCTTGGGGTACATGCATCGCCAATACTGGGCCTGAATGTTCATGACTCGGCCAACAGTCTCAATGGCATCTGTTGTTGGCGCAGTCTTGGTCAAGCGGTCTGGTGGCTCACCCATGAGGGTCTTTGTCACCGCCAGCGCAGATTTCGAAATGGATCGGAAGTTGTATCCACCCTGAAGAATCCTCCATTAGTCAACGGCTTCCACCGAGGAAATCAAGAGAAGTCTGAGATACGTACCTCCAGGCAGACTGCCACCTTACCACTGGCAAGAGTCATCAGCATGTGAGTCATTTGGGCATAGCAGGATGGCGAGACGAAGCAGCCACCCAGGACATCGCCAGCGGCAGCGTCGAATCCGGCAGAAACTAGACTATCATCAGCAAGGAATCAAAACACAGAACGAGGTGAAACTAACTGATCACAAGATCTGGATCAAATTCCAACGCAATGGGCATCACCACTTTCTGGAAAGCGTGCATGTAATCGCCGTCGCCCATACCCTGGTCAGGCCAAGGGATGTTGACGTTCCTAGGATCGACAGTGAGTAGAAAGCCCAGACCAAGCTGCCATTTGAGATCCAGTCAAACTTACCTTCCCAATCCGGCGCCCTCACCGCAGTGATCCCAATCACCTTCATCGCCACCGGGGTAGAATTTGCCATTCTGGTGAACATGAATCGAGATATAGAGAACATTAGGATCATTGTAGAATGCCTTTTGAACTCCGTTTCCTGTTCGCTTATTTAGTATCCTATTCACTATGATGAGTCGTCCAGGTGGAAGTCTATTCTAGCATACCGTGATGAACGTCCCTAGAAAGTTTGTCAGTCAAGTCATGCAATTTCCAGAGCCTGCAGGTACGCACCAGTCAAGAATCATAATCTTGCGGCATTGATCTCCGAGAACATTCTGGCAGACACGTGCAGCGACAGGCACATTGTTAAACAGACAAAAGCCCATGGCCGTGTCATGTTCAGCGTGATGGCCAGGCGGACGAATGACCGCGATGGCGTTCTTGACCTGTCGACGAGCCACAGCCAAACAAGTCTCGATGGCACCTCCCGTTGACAGAAGGGCCGAGGAAAAGGTCAATCGGTTGAAATAGATCGAGTCTCGCGTTTTTTCCAGATACACCAACTCGTCGTCCGGCATGTCTGTTCTCGTGGTCAGTTTACTGTTCAGTCCAACCACTGAAAGCAGGTATTGATAGCAGCTTATTTACCTTGGGTGCTTTTGACAAATGCAAAATGAGCCTCGGAATGGATCAGAGTGATTTCCTCTTCCGTGGCATTGCGGGCGTCGATGCGCTTCAGTGTCTGCGGTGCCAATGGGTGTGTCGACTCCGGATCATCTACCAAGCCAGCCCGGCATAGCTCCTTGTAGATGTAGTAGATTCGTCTCGGGTCCTCTGGATGCACCTCGGACGTTGGGCGAACTTCACAGTGGTACCGCATACGGACATCATAACAAAGACCAGTAGCCAGTGAACCAACGGGGAGACCAGCTTTGGCGATAACTTCCTCATCAGACCAGTCTGAGTTGGTCTCTACTAGGCTATCTCGTTTGACAAGGTTGTCCATCGAGTTGGTGTCTGAGTCGCTCATCTTGACTCGGTCAGGTGGGGGAGGCATGCCCGTTAGAATGGTAGATTGAGGTGGAAAGGGATCCGAGACAGAGGAAGGAGATTTGTGAGCTGACGGAATGACAGAAGGTGCTAAAGTAGGGTCACCATCGCCCTGGTGGGTATGTGTAGAGGGAGGTGGGTGGGTGAGGGAGGAGGGGGGTAAAGAAGGGAGCTTCTGGACCTCCCCCATGACGGTGTCCTCGTCTTCTCCCATCCCAAAGTTCAGATGAAGTTGCAAACAGGAAACAATGCGCAAACACAAAGACCACTTCCTCTTTGAATGAGGTGATGGGTATTGCTTGTGAAGTTTCAGTAGTTCATGACAAGGAAGCTTGCCAAGTGGGAGGGAGCTCTGTTTGACGTATGCACTGGTTCTCCTGGAAGGATCCACCAAGGCGATAAGGTAATAGCCGTTGTAGATATGTTCAGAAATAGCTGTTATTGCAAGGTAGACACCAGCCTTCGAGTCTGATGTATTCGGTTGCTGGGAGTGGACCCTCGTCCGTATACAACCACGTCCTGGTGGTATTTCCTCGTAACAAAGGCAGGTAACCGAAGCCTGTGGTGGGGCTGCCGTTGAGGTCAAGTTGCAAGCTGTAAAATCAAGACAATGATCGTGAGCTTCCGCAGATTCGATATCTGCCTGTAAATGGTAGCCACTGCAGAGATGGGGGTATTGCGCAGGGTAAATGGGGGAATAGATGGATGTGCATGTTGGATCCCTTTTGGGTGGCTCGGTCTTACTGCCGGACATTTTAGCTCTCACCGCTTTTAGTGACCGCTTCCGAGAATCCACTCAGGGGGGTACAGTATAGAGATCTGGTCGCCGGAAATAGGTGGCTGACTCATTATCATCCACGTTTTAGAGGACTTGCATCAGCTTCTTAAGATCCATGACACCTGCAGTCCATAACGTAACGAGAACCCTATTGGCTGGACTCGTTAGGCATTTAAGCTTCAATGAGGTACTCCAACCTCTCAAAATGGTCTTCAAAGGTGTCTTGATCACGCAGGTTCCTTGAAGATACCATGATCTACAATATCCTTATGTCAGTCGGACGAAGTGTACGCGGCGTATGAATTTCCTCAATGGCTAAATCAGCTTCACTAGTCTAGAACCGTAAAGCTAAGTTATTCTATCTCTCCCCCTGGTCGCCCTGACGTAAAAATTCCAACTAATAAGCCATGTAACGTATTACAGTGTAGACAAGCCAAAGTGAAGGGATATGGCTTAAGTACTCGCTATGTACAAACTTTGATAGATGGGTTCGGCTGATGTGTAGGATGTTGCGAGGGATGCACATTGTATAGCTTATGATAGGTGGATACAGACCCCTAAAGAATCAGGCTCGTGACGAGGGGATGACGGTGGTTAAAGCGGAGATGTTGTGTTCATATTGATGTTCGATCACGACAAGACAAAATACACATGTCGAAGGAAACGATAGTGATTCAAGGGTGTCTCACCCCCGTCCGGAGACTATAATCCCTCCCCTATCCTCTACTCTACTCTACTCCATTACTGCTACGACGAGGACGGTTTGAACATAAAGAAATGTATTTGTTTCATTAAAATGACGTTATCACAGTTTTTTCTCCGAGGCACCCGGTACCTACTGAACGACCGCTTCTATCAAGGGTTCGTCATGGCTAACAGGCAACCTCAGAGAACACTCCTGACCCCAGGACGCCGACCTGATTCCTACTGGCCATCGATCTTGGCGATGTAGGCTGTAAAAAAGGACTGTTAGTACATTGGATTCGATGTCCCCCGAAAGTGCGTGGGTGACTTACAGATCAGGTCAACAACACGGTGGGAGTAACCCCACTCGTTGTCGTACCAGGAGACCAGCTTGATGAAGTTGGGGTTCAGGGCGATACCGGCCTTGGCATCGAAGATGGAGGAGTGGTCGTCACCGTTCAGGTCAGTGGAGACGATGTCGTCCTCGGTGTAGCCGAGGATACCCTTGAGCTCGTTCTCGGAGGCCTTCTTGATGACGGCCTTGATCTCCTCGTAGGAGGCGGACTTCTCAATGCGGCAGGTCAGGTCAACGACGGAGACGTTGGCAGTGGGGACACGCATGGACATGCCGGTCAGCTTGCCGTTCAGGGCGGGGATGACCTTGCCGACAGCCTTGGCGGCACCGGTGGAGGAGGGGATGATGTTCTGGGCCGCAGTACGGCCACCACGCCAGTCCTTGGCGGAGGGACCGTCGACGGTCTTCTGGGTGGCGGTGTAGGAGTGGATGGTGGTCATGAGACCCTCAACGAGACCGAAGTTGTCGTTGATCACCTTGGCGAGGGGAGCCAGGCAGTTGGTGGTGCAGGAGGCGTTGGAGAGGACGTTGATGTCGGACTTGTACTCGGTGTTGTTGACACCCATGACGAACATGGGGGCATCGGCGGAGGGGGCGGAGATGATGACCTTCTTGGCACCACCCTTCAAGTGGGCAGAGGCCTTCTCGGTGGTGGTGAAGACACCGGTGGACTCGACGACGTAGGCAGCGCCGGACTCAGCCCAGGGGATGGTGGCGGGGTCACGCTCGGCGTAGAAGCGGATCTTCTTGCCGTTGACAATCAGGCCGGAGGTGCCATCGATCTCGATGGTGCCCTTGAACTGGCCGTGGGTGCTGTCATACTTGAGCATGTAGGCCTATATGTTGGGGCAGTATGATTAGCACGTGTTGCGTGTTGCGTGTTGCATATTGCATGATGTTTGGATGCGGAAGCCAGAAGGACGGAGGGGTAGAATGGCGAGAAGGTCGTATGGCATCCCCCGCCGGCCAACATCAAATTGAAGGGGAAGAACACGTACAGCGTAGTGGACCTCAATGAAGGGGTCGTTGACAGCGACGACCTCGACACCACCGTCGGCGATGCTGAGAGTAGGGTTAGAATGCTATTCGGGCCCGATTCTTGTCCCACGGAGACCGTGGACAAGCACGGAGAATGAGTAAGTGAACTTACGCATTGCGGAAGACCTGAAGACAACGGATTAGTCCAAGCTTATAGACGGAGCCTCTGCCCGAAGATCCAGGCGAGGGGTAGGCAAATGGAGGGGAGAGCAACTTACAATGCGGCCAATACGACCGAAACCGTTGATACCGACCTGGACGAAAGCATGTGAGTAGGAGAGCGCGGGTGTGTCGTGATGCGACTCGCAGCGCATACCTTGGGAACCATGTTTGCGGTGATTCTTTTTCTTCTGGAGGAGCTTGTGAGCTTTGAGCTTTGAGACTGCGGGTGGTGAAGGTGGGGTGGGGTGGTGGCGGGAGGAGGGGGAGGGGCAGGAAAGCTGAGAGGAGGGAAGAATGGATGGAACCAGGAGGAGAGCAGAAGGGTGGTGATGGAATTGAGAGAGAGGAATTGAAGCTTACCTGTTTGGAAGAGGGATAGATAAGAGACGAGGAGGATGGAGGAAGAAGAAAGAGAAAGAGAAGACGAAGGAGGGGGGGGGAAGAGAAGGGCAGAAGTAGTTTTTTGGAACGGGCTGACGCAACGACGGAATCACCCCCAGAGAGACGGAGAGAGGGAGAGATAACCTCGCCAATACGATAAGTTACGAGGGTACTGTACCTCTGGATGACTCTGCCGACGGGGGAGATGATGGAACAATGGATCTACAGGAGTATGATAATACTGCTAATACGAACAATACACGATATTAAATAATTATTCGAATAATCTATCAGGGACCGTATTCTGCATACTGGTATTATTAATTGAAGCTACACCGAAAGGCCCAGCCCAGTAGTATGTAGTGTCAGTATGTCCTCGAGGTGTCGCTCCAGCTTCACCGACCTCCAGACCAGGTTGGTAGCAACTGGGCTTCATACAGAGGATCATAATAATAATTTTATAATAATAAGAATAAGAAGAATAAGAATAATAGCCCTACGATGGATGATGAATCTTCCATTACATACATCTCCCTTGTCTATCAAGTTCCTCAGTTCCTCCAAATGTAGAATAATGATTGTAATAACAATACCACCGAGTACAACTTCGTAGACGCCTCTGATTCCTATTACCCTACAGTTACTCCCAACTCCCACCCTTTTCCCGGTGATTGCCGCCCGCAGCCCTGCCCAGCGCCCCTTTCCGGTTTCATACACCGGAGAAAGCAGGAAGCCTCACGATATCTGCCCTGCTGCTGCCCCTCGGTAGCTCCCGTGCTGGTCCCCTCAGGCCAATGGGCGTGCATCGATCCTCGGTCGGGTTCTCGTTCTACCTCGGAGCACTGCGCTGCTCGAGAATGTTTTGCCCGAGCAATCGGGTTGGGAAGGGGATCATCACGTTTCGATCACGATAATAGTGTTCGCCGGGGTAAGGGGGGTGGCATGGTTTGGTAATTTTTTGGAGGGGCGATGAAGCTATGACGATGGGGTAGTGAAGGGTGGAGGGAGGAGGGGCAAAAGGAGTGGATGATGCCACGACTGAGGGGCACACCTTTTTTTTTGGCCTGAGGATGAGGTATTGGGTACTTCCTTTTACTATCACGATAGCAGAATACTCATGGTAGAGTGTACAAGTCATTTGGTACATGGGTACTCCGTATAATATACGGAGTATAAATAACATCTCCAGTACAATCCATACCAGCCACCTCCCCCGTCTCCTCGTCAATGCCAGTAATTTACAGAGTACACCAAAGAATCAATAATCATCGGTCCGTCTCCCTCCTCATTGGCGCCCAGTCAATACCGCTTGCGGCGGGTGGTCAGCGGGTTAGCTCAAAACAGCTTGTCGGTGGACCGGTGTATAAAGAGGGCGAACCACCCCGCCCTGAAAAGAGTCACCGGTAGAGGGGTACCACCACGGGATGGTGGAGGCCTTTTTATCTGGTCGGCCTTTTTAAGAGTCATGGGAGGGTGTCAAATGCTGGAATCCAGCCATGTGAATGGCTCAAAACTGCATTCTGACACCGTGGTCACTGGTATGACGGTGGCAGAGAGACAATGTCCTGTTGTTTCTCCAGCTTATAAATCCTGAGCTCCCCTCCGCGGCACTATTTCCGAGCGGCGAGGAGGCGATGAGGCGAGGAGGCGATGAGGCGAGGAGGCGACATGATCAATTCAATATCGAAATATCGATCATCTCGAGGTCTGTGACCGCTCCAATGGATTGTCTGGTGGCCTGGAACCAGACGACAGTACAATGGTCTTGGTTCTGATATGCCGAGAGCACCGAATGTGACCTGTGAGATTATGCGCG